ACCTTGATCCTGGGCAGCAATAACTGCAGCAACGAACCGCCAGGCCGAACCGAACACGGAGAAGACGAGGAGGTTGTTGAACACGAAGAAGGAGTAGAGGCGAGCGGTGACATGGCGTTCTCTCGAGGTCTTTGAGACATCTCCAGAGTGTGTGAACAGTCGTCGAAACTGAGATTGAGGATATCATGTCAGCTTATATGTCAGGTAAGGTTTCCGGGATTACTAACCACCACGGGTACTCCCATATACATTAGAGTTTGTACCAAAGGAGCCAAGATACCCTGCGCAATCGCCCAGCCGGTGGGATGAGCTTGGAGATTCGTCATGAACGCTGGCCAAACAAGTCCCAAATGGGAGAAGTCTGACAGGAAGACCGAAGTCAAGATGTTAGGAACGACGAACGCGATGGTGAACAATACGACCCAAAGTCCATCCCAGAACGCACGTATCCTGCGAGTTCTACGTGTCATCGGAAGATTTTGCCAGAGCAGGTCATGAGGCTTCGGAGCAAGGTATACATCGCAGCCAGCAGGGCCCTTTTTCCTCGTCGCGTATGCCACTGCATGTGCATCTTCGATATGTGCGTAGGATGCGAATCCATAGGGCATGGGGTTTCGCATATCGACACCTTCCCGCACTTCCTTGATCGTTGTCTCCAGTCTGGAAATCCGGTCTGTAAGGTAATCGATCGCGTCTAGTTTTCCTTTGCCATGGACTGCTTGATCTTCTTTCATGGCCTTGCACGTCGGGCGCTTGGCGGGTAGCTTATTCGGATTACTTAGGTACTCAGCCAAATGCTTTTCGAGCAGGCGCACAGCGTCATCATGCGCCTCAATTAGCTTGGGCAAATCCTTGACATTGCGGCCAATAACTGTCCGGGGTATACTATCGATAGGCTTCGCCTGTTCGACAAGCTCGACAAGACCAGCATCGGTCCGCGATGATTCGGGAACGTGTGTTAGCTGTCTGATGTCAGCTTGGTCCCTGGAATGTATTAGTGATACTTACCAGTAGCGTTCGCGAATGCAAGCTGGACTTGTATTCCTGAGTACTGAAATACGCGCGTCTAAGCTTCAGAATGGCCCTGTAGTTCCACCAAAGGAAGAAGCAAACAGTCCCTTGAATTATATACGCCACCACAACGTAAGCCCAGAACTTCCTTCCAAAGATATACTGAGGAGTGAACTTCATTAGTGTCGGTATCTCCCTCCACTGCTTGTACAGTGGCGAGCCTCCAACGACGTTGACTGGTATCAGAATGCCACATCCGACCGCCGTCAACACGATGAAGATGTTGCGGAGCATTCGAAGGAACCGTAGAAATACGACCGCATCCAGACCGATAGTGTCCACCAACTCTTGTTCCTTCACATCCTTGACAGCAGACAACCAACTAAATGGCTTCTTGTCCAAAGGCTTCGGTCGGTGTTTCTCATCGGCATGTTTCGCTCGTGGCGCGTAGACTCGCGAGTTGCGGGGTCGGAGGAAGCAGAACACCACGACCAGCAGACCGGAAATAACGAAGGAATATACGATAGCGGCATAAATCGAGTTCTCTTGGATCTATAACACAGTCAGTTAGATATTTGTGACGATGAACATATGTGTGGCGTTTATCTGTACTTACTTCACCTTGGAACGGATCCGCAATTAGATCGAGGAACTTATCAGTCCCACTCTCGCCATTTTGCCGTCTCCAAACATCCATAGTATGGGAAAACCCTCCTCCTCTTCTAAAAGCGAATGTACTTAGTTGAAGTCGATGGTATGTCCGTCCGGTCCCAAGAAACCGAAAATGCAGCGAATGAGAAAAAAGGTCGTTGTGTGGTTGGACAAGAAGAAGAAAAGCCACCCAGGGGATAACGTGAACAAGAGAAAGCCTAATTAGATCCACGCAGCAAAGACCAGACCCTCCAAATAAACTCCGGACGCGTAACGATCCCCCAGATCCTCTTTGTTGGGAAGGCGCATCAGGGTGCTAGAACACTCTTTCTTCCGCTCATCGCCGCCGAAACGACGTCATTCCCGCCGCTATCTAGTTAACTGTGGGCCCCGCAAACACCATCAAAGAAACAGTCCGCGTCAGAAGCTTTGAGCGTGCTGGCATCATCGTGCGAGGTGCAATACGATCTGGACTTCTGTTTAAAGTCTAAAAATAGTTGTTTCGTGGGGATGGTCGAGACCTTGGGACCGAAAATTTTTGGTGCACTACTGTATGTTGTAGGGGACTTGGCAGGGTCCCCCAAAGTAGAAAGAATTGAATGTGCGATAACACCTATCGCATCGATGTAACCCAGATGATGATCAGCTCGAGCGCAGTGCTGTGGTGGAGTGTTAATCTGGAACGAGATGGGTGGAGCGAGCCAATCCCGTGACGTCATCGTTCCAGACCAATGTCAACGAGTGTTCGCGTGAAAGGGCCACGCAAAAGGCATAGATTGTTGTGTGAGCGGATACAAGACATGGAACATATTTTTTTTTGATCACATTTCAAATGAGCAACACATGGAGAGACGTGGACAGAACAGCATCGTATACGGTCAACCCCCGACCTGAGCTTGCTACCCACTCAAGTCAACCCCCCCTCTTTATCTCCATCCATCCATCCATCCATCTACGCACACGCTAACCATCGCCAAACATGCTACACATATCATCCCCCAAAAAGTCTCCATTGCGAACGTCAGTAGACACGCAATTCACGCCTCTACCAAACCCCCCATTTCCACCCTAGAAAGAAACGAATCTATGGATATCACGAATACCAAATACAAAGAAAGGGGAGGGTATGCAAAGTTGCGGGGAAAAAATGCTGAGAGGTGATTTACTACTCTCATGCCTTTTCCTTCTTCTTTTCCTTCTCTTTCTTATCGTGGTGGTGGTGGTGCTTATCGGCTTTGGCGTCCTTTTTGGCAGCAGCTTCGGCCATGAGTTGCTCAAAGGCCATGAAGTCGCCCTCTTCTTCAGGGTCGCGTTCGGCCTATATCTGGTTAGTATCCAATTGTTTGATGTGACAGGTGGTGGACGTACCTTCTGGAACATCTCGCCGATGATCATCAGCGCGTGTGCTCGCTCCACTCGCTTCTCCAGTTTGATCTTCTTGTCGTTGAGGACAGTGTCGCATACGTCCCGCAATACACTCTGGATCTCGAACTTGCTTCCCCTCCAGGCTGCGGCGAGAATCTTGCCAGTAACCCTCTTCTCGTACTCAGCCTTCTTCTCGTCTGTCCATGCCTCGCCACCTTGCTCCTCTAGCTTGGCCATTTCCTCCATGGTTAGCTGGGCGTCTATCGCAGCAGACATGGTGGACCATGTGTCCTTGACGAGCGTGCCCTTATCCTTGATACGTGAGAAGAAACCTGAAATTCCGAGGAACTTCTGTGACTTGAGGAATGAAGAAGCCTTCATGATGTACGTGGCACCAATGGCGTGGAGGATCTCAAGACCAAACGACTCCATCTTAAGGTTCTCGATCTCAAGGTGAATCTTCTCCTTGAAAGCAGCGGTGACGTCGGTCGCCTTATCGGTTTCAGTCCACACTGAGATACGGTCGACGAGCTTCTTTGCGAGGCTCGAAACACGTTCGTCGCGAATCTTTTTACGCTCCATCTCATATGCCGCGAGCTCTTCCCGCTGCTCCTTGGTAAGACCGGCCTTCTTCTTCTGCTTCTCCCGTAGCTCCTTCTCAGCGTCGGTCATGCCTTGTGCCTCCATACGTGCGTCTTCCTCCGACTTGTCCATGATAGCTGCGCGGATTGGTATGCCTTGTGTTTTCGGCGTGCTCGTTCGGGATGGGGGCGACGCCGCCCTGGGCGTGGTAGACGACTCGGCGGCGCTCTCAGCGTAGACTGGAGGTGCTTCGGCGTACACGGGTGGTGCATCTGCTGGTTGTGCTGCGGCGCGCTCTGCTGCCGCTTCGGCTTCCTTGGCCTGAGCGGCAGTACTTGGGGCAGCGGTCTCTGTGGTGCCAGTAGCTGGAGTAGTACCAGCTGCGGCAGCCGCTGGGTTCTTCTCTGCCTCGACCTTTTCAGCTTCTGCTTGGGCGGCTGCTTCTTCTTCCATCTCGCGTTGCGAGATTTCCATGGTCTTAGTCAGGTCCTTCATCAACGAGATCTCACCGATCCTGTGGGTGTCAGCTTTCTTGATCTAGTGCAGGAATCGCTACAGCGAGCCATGTATTATGACCTACCAGTCCACGAAGGCCTCTCCACCAAAGATCATGGTGAAGAACTCGGACGGATCCTCTGTTATGTTGTCAGCGGCGTGCCCTACAACCATTACTCCAAGTTTTGTCCCTACCGAATCCACTGCTGGGCATAGCGCCCTCCTTGCCATATTTGTCGTATGCTGCGCGCAGCTGGTCGTCGCTGAGTATTTGGTACGCCTCGCCAATCTGTATTGCCGTGAGCCCCGCAGTCCTCTCATGATAACGAGCAGGCTCGCCAACAACCCTACTCTGGTGGTCAACGTACTTCTTGGAACTTTGCGTGTGCAGTCTCGTCGCCAGGGTTTTTGTCTACGCCAGGATTAGTTTTCAGGCCTCTGAAGAGAGTCGTTGCGCAATGTACCGGGGTGAAGTTTAATAGCGAGCTTGCGGTACGCCTTCTTGATTTCGAGCTCCGTTGCGGTCGGCGGTACGCCAAGGGCGTCATAGTATGCAGTTTCGACTACCATGGTTGCGAATATGAGAGACTTTGGGTGAGTGGTGGGAGAGATCAAGAGCAGATGCGTTGGTTGGGCGCGCGTCGGCGGGCTACACATGCCCGTGAAAATGCTGCACCGCCACAGCCGACGTCACCACGCTAAGACCATGCGAGCGCCTTGACAGCCAGTCACTCATGGTGAGCCTTCATTCTATATTCGTCCGGTGGTAGATGGGGATACAGTCCTAAGTGCAAAATAATTGCTTTTCAAATATACGTTCACTCTCATTCGTAGATATGTTAGATAAGAGAGCTAGTCTATACAAGCTCAGAACCCCACCCGTTCGAGGTAGACCCGCCATGGCCATATGATCCATGTGGAGAACCCAGTGTCACCCTTCGCCGCCCATGCAGACGCCATGCTAGAAATTCAGTCCGTGTATCATGAACCGTTAAGCGAGATACTTTTAGACCAAACAGGGAATAAATCGAGGAAATGCAGCCCAAGGGTGGGGTGCGCCGTGTGTCCGAGGACGACGGAGGATGTTGCAAGTAGCAAGCATCGTGTGGCAGACTTGGATGTGTGGTGGAACCTTTTAGACGCTGAACTTGGCCTTCGCACGAGTGCTGCCCGCGTTGGCAGCCTCGGTGTGGCCAGAGAACTCGACGACGTCGTTCTCCTTGAGCTGGAGCGCCTGCTTGAACCGCTTTCCGATCTTCAGCAGAATCTCCTTGCCCTTCTCCTGGGTCCTGCCCTTGCCTGCATCGCCGGGGATGGCGCGGCCGACAGTGCGTGTCCATAGACCGATACGGTAGAAGCCTCGCCTAACGTTGACGACGACACCCATGACTTCGTTGTCGTCCTCGTCCTCGAGGTTCTCGCCGATGGCAGCAAGCATGACATGGAGCCAGAGCGCATCGATGTTGACCTGTTTCTTCTCCCTGAACTGGAAGGCCCATTTGCCGCCGTGCTTGTTCTGCGGGTCTTCCCACTCGGGCTTGATGCCCTTCTTGAAGAGGTGGTAGTCGGACTTCAGCGCGAGGTCGGATGTGGGGGTAATGTTGTTCTGTGCAGTGTTAGTCGTGCGGGTTGCGGTTGCTCTGCTGCAGCGCGACTTACGTAGATGCCCCAAAACTCCTCGACCGAGTCAAACGAGATGACTTCCTTCAACAGCTCAGCCCAGTTGTCGCCCTGCACTTGTCAGCATGGAACGAGCCATAGGCGAGGCGAGACATTGTCGTACCTTGCCGCTCGGGGGCTTGGTGAACCACAGCGTCCATGTGTTCATAAGCGGGTGCTTGACGTTGAAGTTCTCGGGGTCGTGGAAGACGGTGCGGATCTCGCCCTCGCCGCCGGAGTTGGTGGTGGAAGATTGTTCCTGGCCCTCGCCCGAGTTCTCAGTGGGCGAGATGGGGATGGTGTCCAGCGGCACCTGCTGGTCGGCGTGCGATGCTGATGCAACTTCGGCCATTGTGGAGGTTGTGTTTGGGGTTTGTAGGGAGATTATGGGGTAATGGGGCGGTGAAGATGCTACAAAGACGATGGTAGCGAGTCGTGTGGGATTTTAAGGCGATTGGTGGTGGGCGGGATGAGGTGAAGGTGGGGCTGTCGCAATCGCACCGGGCGATTATACGGGACGTGTCGCGGGCCTGGGCTGCCTGTCTTGCGTCGGGTGAGGGAAAGGTCGAGTGTGCGGTGGCTGTTTGCGGCGGGCGTGTCTGTCGGGAAGAATATGCAGTGCAGTCGCAATTCGTGTGAACCCTTTAGGCTTGCTTGGCACGGACCTCGCGCTACACTCCCGGGGCAGTTTCAGAGATGACACAGGGAAGGCATAAAGAAGCAACAGATTGATGTCATAGCAAAACTAACTTCAGGGCATGTTGACTAGTTGATCTTTGCAGTCATGCACATCGTATATAAGAGAAGACCGAAACCAGGGTCGCTAAGTGTTTCTTTTTCACTGTTCGGCTGCATACCGCAGTCTACAAGAAGAAAGCTTGAAGAATTCTAGAGTATCCAAGAAGTGTTCACTATTTTCATAAGATGTCCACGTTACTACTCTAGACAAAGTCCACAATGAACTCTCTCTCTCAAGCAGCCTCGTCGCCGAGCACACGCGTTTCTATATAAGCACATCTACGGCCCAACCTCAGCTATGAAAGAGCGGGGTTGGAATTTGACATCCGTGCTATGGTGTTGTGTTATGTTCACCGTCAGTCGAGCCTCCAACATGGCGCAGAAAGTATACATTAGTAAGTTATATATGCCCAGTTTCCCTATATGGCAATATTGGTCGCCCGTATGATACATAGAATCGTGGGAGGCGTTTATAGTTCGCTCTTGTTCAGCGTCTCGTGGACTTCTGTCACCACTTGAGGCGTCTTGTCAAGGCCCATTACGCCCATCAGCTTGCCGAACTCCATCTTGAATTGTTCGTAGGCGATATCGAAGCGAGCACCACAGAGCCAGGCGACAAAGAGCTAAAAGCTGTTAGCAAAGTCAAAGCAGCCTAGTCGGGATACGTACCATGAAAAATGTGATGACCAGAACTGTACCAACAACAGCGGCGACAATGTAGACCAAGTCCCAATTGGCCTCGGAGTCCTCCTTCCGTTTCCGCTCCGCCTCCTCGATGGTGGCAGGTGCCTTCTTGTCCACTGGTGGCTGTTGCGACGGGAATATTGACTCGATGAATTGCTCAATCTGGGATTTGTTAGTATGAGTACATTCGACGGAACCAATCTTGACTTACTCTCCCGAGGGTGATGCTGATCTTGAGGAAGTTGGGGTCGTGAGGGTTGTTCTTCTTCGCGATCTTGCGAGCATACCGCCTGAAGACCTCGCAGACAAGCTGCAGGTTTTGTGTCGACTCAACCATCAACTGGCACGCCTCGCCCTTGGTGATCTTGACGTTTTTCTGGAAGAGAGCGTAGTTCTGGAAGCATGTCTCGAGCGTTGCGATGGCCATGGACTGTGGGATAGCGCAGAAGTTGAACACACTCTGCTCTCGGAGACCTGCCAGGTAGTACAAGCAGTCGTCTGCCCGAGTAAGTGCAGTCAGGATCATCTCTGAGCTACAGTTCAGGGCCTTCTGCTTGTTCTCGGGCTTAAAGAGATCCTCAAAGTTGTCCACATGCTTCGACCAGATCTCCCTAGGCCAGAATCGTCGACCGTCGTCCAGATCCTCCTTGATGTCACGGGTGATGTTGACCTGCTGGAGGAACTGGCCCATGGATTCCATCAATTCCGGCCTCTTGAGCAGCGCAGCGTTCGCCAAGCCAGCCTCAACGAAGAGGCGCGTACAACCCTCACCAACCAGACCTGCAACGTAATGGCAGTACAGTTCGTAATCCTTGATGGTGTTGACGCCGGCGTTGAACTCGGCGTTGTTCGCGTAGTCTGCCATGCCGTTGCCCATTTTCTTGGTAATGTCCTTGATGATGTCCTGGTAGACGGGCTTGATCTTCTTGAACTCCTCAATCACCACGTTGAACTCGACCAGGAGCTGCCTGTCCTTCTCGTTGGGGCCGTTCTCTGTGTAGTTCCATCCATCTTTTTCCAGGATCTCATCGAAGTTGCGGAGTATTGGCTCCTTCTTCTCCAGAGGGATCGTCATGTCATCCTCAATTGTATCCAGACCGCGCAGGACCAGGTAGAACAGCGCGACGGGCACCAGAAGGTCGGGGTGCAGTTCGAGGATGACGGCCGCAAAACTTCGACTTGTCTTGTTGAGGAAGTGGAAGCATCGTTTGAGGGATTCGCATTCTTTCGATTCGTCGCGCTCGTGTACTGCGTTGTGCCATACCTTCCTGGAGAGTTGTTAGTAATGCTCTAGTTTGCGCAAGTCTTGGGGAGCGGGCAGAGGAGCTGCGATGCATCTTGTCTTACCATTGAATGATAGACCGTAGCTCATTGGGGTGGACGACGTAGTAGAGCATGCTCAGAGGGCTCGGCATGATGGGCGAAAGGAAAGGAGTCGTGGGCTGGGGGGTAGAGGCGGATGGGTCGACACGTGTGGTATCGTCGCAAGAGGCGGACCAATTCGGCGACAGAAGAAAGAGTCCAAGAAGGAGAGATTGTCACACCTTTACCCACGAGTTGAAGTGTGTTTTGGGCGCGAGATGTGTGAAGTATGGGAGCGTCTCCGCAAATTACAACAATTGGACCCTGTAGCGCACGGCCTCAGCAACCCGCTGTCTGCACCTTCCCCTCGGATCAGGGATGAGAAACACCGAAAACACCGAACGACGCGTCTGGATTTCTGCATCGAGCAGCCCTGTAAGATTGGTGAGATTGGTGGGATCGATTGCATTCAATCAGCATTGCAGCTCTTTTTCCATTTTCGTTGCGCTGAACACCGAGCTGGTCTCTTCTCTATGGCCCAGAGACCAAACATCCAGGTCGGCAAGCACAATGCCTTTGTGGCAGAGTGTGTCCTTGCTCAACAAACATTCTAGTCTAGACATGTCCTATGTCTACCCTGAGATAGGAACTGTACAGCACGAGACGAAGATAGGCCGGTATTATAATCAACTTTTGCTCTCGTCATTAGCTTTCAACCTTCCATATGGGCGAGGTTCCTCTCTGCCCTCTATGAAGTAGCTGAGCCAACGTAATTTTAGAGACACGCGCTCATTAGACCCTGTATAACATAGCTGGAGACAAAGTCTGACGTTACTGGGGGTTAATGATTTACCTTAGAGGCAATATTGAGGTTCGACATGCAATGCTGAGCTCGCTATACTCTTCCCCGATTTAAAGTCGCCCCGCCACACCTATCATCAATGCGATGCCTTTCGAACTCCGTAAGGGGTGTCCCAAATGCGCGCATTGATATAAAAACCCAGTATTTGAATTTCCATACAACATTAGCGCAACCTGACACTTTCCAGCCCTGGAGTCGTTCGCATTCCCGCCCTGCGATGACGCCACACCCAAATTATCGATAAGCGACACCCTTTCTTCCACCCACACCAGAAACGGCAAGAGCAAACCAGCCATCATACACACTCAAAACCATGACATCCACACAATCCGCCCCGGTTGCTTTACCACGCGTCGCAATCACTTATTGCACGCAATGTCGGTGGATGTTGCGGGCTGCGTATGTATGTCTCGTCGTATGATCCGCTAGCAGGACGTTCGCTAATGGGTGATCAGTTTGGGCAAGAACTCTTGTCAACGTTTGGGTTGCAAATCGGTGAGATTGCGTTGATTCCGGCGACAGGAGGACTGTTTACTGTTGAGTTGGTGTGTCTGAGCCGACATCTATCTGTATCGATTGGTACTGACTCCAGGAGACGTATATGCCACCAAAGGAAGAAGGCCAAACCGGTGAAGCCAAGAAAGTGCTGCTGTGGGATAGAAAGACTGAGGGGGGCTTTCCAGGTCCATCATCCCAATGCACCTTTGTTGGTGTTTTATTTTCTTTCTTTTCAGGCTGACATGTCGCAGAAACGAAAGTATTGAAGCAATTGGTGCGAGATCACATTGATCCCTCGCGAGATTTGGGGCATTCGGATAAGCACGGCAAGAAGAAGGAAGATAAGGCAGAAGACACAAAGCAGGAATCAGACGCGAAGCAAGAACAGGGTCAAGCGAGCGGGAGCGTAGACGTCAGGAGAAATCCAGATGGTACCGTCTGTGAAGACTGTAAATGAATTTAACGGGGGTTTCATTTGCTATACGGAGAACCGAAGCTCGCAAGACAATTCATTCCACCATGAATCATCCAGCCATATGCAGGAGTGTTCTGTAACTTCAACGGATGCGAGCGCTCACATCCACCCCTGTACCGCAACGGTACGTACATAAAGAAGCAAAAAGACGGTGTACCCTATGCACTAACTTTGGAGTCGTGGCTTACAGTAGCATCATCATGGGCCACTATCGTGGCTCGAGCTTGCATGCCTCATGCTTACTACAGACCACGCTTGTCGACCTTGTCGAGGCGCTTCATGAGGCGAATGTCCATGCGGTGCATGTTCTTGCGCATGTGCTTCAGCTCGCTACGCAGTTTCTCGGTCTGGCGATTAGCGTCCGCCACGGCCTCCGGAACACAGGAATGATCGTTCCTTGTCGTACAACCCATTGCTAGCTTCGGCATTGATGAAAAGTAGGTACCCTCCCCGTTGGGGACGCCCAGTGCTTCAACTAGATTGTCGATTCGGAGACCGTGAGACTCAGAGGCGAGTTCAAGCTCCTTGTAGCGCTGGTCCAGCTCGTCAAGTTTGATGGAGTAGAGCTCACCGGTGAGGTTGGTCAAAGCTTGCGCACGCTGGACGAGTGAAAGGACCTGAGAGTGCATGCCGTTGGGGTCGGCTGGGAGTGCGAGACTGGAGCCGCTGGTACCATGCATGTGCGCCGCTGCGAGAGCAATGGCAGCGCTCGTCGCTACTCCGAGCACTACTTTGACAACATTCCACCAAGGGCTCTCGCGTGAGGGGATCAAGCGAGCCTCGCTCTCTGCAATGAGCTTCTCGATAATGGAGATTTCGCGGCTATGAATGGACTCGTCGATGTGCAGCTTGTTACGGAGCAGGTCGAGAGCCGCATACACGCTATATGTTGCCTTAGAACCATGCTTAAGAAGCTTCCTGAGCTCTTCCGTAATCTTAACCTCGGCGTCAATCGATACGCTGGCCTCCTCGATGTGGTGAGTAAATTGCTCGTTCATCGCGCCCATACAGAATACAGCGACCTTGCTAACGGTAAGTGACATCTCGGTAGCCCGACTGAGATATGTCTTGACGAAGGAAGCAGGAAGATGAACATCATCGAAGTTGGCGCCTGCTTCGTCGAGATTGGCAACCGCAGGATCGATGCCGCGATAGCCTTCGAATCTGGCCCACAGGTGGATCGGTTTGCGGTCTTGATTCTCAGTCTTGACATATTCACGAAGCTGAAGCATGGCCGTTTCCACTTCACTCATAGAACAGAGGATGCTATCCGCGACCAGACAGAGTTGCTGAGCCTAACACAGGGTTAGTCAGGTAGCGCGCATGCAGAACAATGATTACTTACTGTAACCGACAAGGCAGAATCCCTCAGGCTCACCTCGTTCAGGTTGAGCCTCTCATTGTGGGCTGCGATCGCGTCATCGACCGTAACGACTGTTTCTTGCTCCTTCTCAAACGCATTCTTCTCGCAACCAGCCCCGTCTGCCATAGATTCATCAGCTGCCGCTTGCTCGTTCCCATCTGCTGCTTTTGTGTCGTGAAGCTGTAACGAGCTATCGCTGATGTCGTCCTTGTCGGCACTTCGCGCTATGCTCGCCTCGCTGCTAATGCTGCGGGTGCTACTCATGTTGGTGATAGTTTAAATGACCACTAGTTAGTCGCGAGCGTAGTTGGGTTGAGGCTGATATGGGGTAATGATTGTCAAAGCTAAATTATTGATACAGGTGGTGCGTCGACTGCTGGGGAGTAGAGTCGTGGTGAGCGTGATTTGCGCTCAGCGTTGATTGGATAAGCGCGCTAGCGCGGTTTCCTGTTTGAGTCGCATGGAGGGAAAGCACAAGGCAACCATCCAGGAAAGACGGAGTGAGTGTGACAGCATCGCGTAGGGAAAGAACGATGTTGAAATGAAATCGCTAGGAAAGACATACTTCCAAAATGAATTGGCAGAAGAGAAGTTGGAGAGTGAGTTCTTGAGATGAAAGCGAACAGCGAGGAGCGCAAGCCGACAACTCCAAGCACGACGCCCGACGCAGCACCTGGGCAAGAGAATGATACCGACAGGCGAGGCTTTTCTCAGAATAGCCTAATCATTGTGGGATGAGGCACCACAGATACCTCCAAGCTGCTGCGAAGGTCGAAGAAGCTGCATGATGCGGTGTGCTTCATGAAAATTGCAGTGTTCGCAGACGCGGGATGCTCGCAGGTGGAGATCAAAAGGACGCGCGGTTGCGAGTATACATGCAGTCAAGGGTCACCTGCATGCTCCATCTGGTCGCATGGTCATCGATTCTCTGGTCGTACACCCAAAACTGAGAGCCGGGGAATTAGCTGGCGGCCGTGGCAGCATATGCAATGCAAAGTGCTTATTTGTAATGCAGGAGTCCTGCGTATCAAGGCGGACGCATTCCCTTGCTACAGCAAGGCTGCGCAATGTCATCTGCTGGCCAAAGGCTTGTGGACCTCGAGATAATGTCCGAGCATATTCGTGTGCTAATGTTCTGTGTACAGGATTGCGTGGCGGGAAGAATGTCTTATATGGCCCGGCTGTTGTTACCGCATGCCGTGCATTCGGGACGTTTTGAAGGCGTAGAGCTATGCGTACTTGCATTTGTCACCGGCTTGAGACTAAAGCCTCATACCTGCCGGTGGCACGATTGTCAGCGTGATAGGTCGAGATGACCAAGACTCCAGCGCAGATGCTGATGCCGTGCTCCAGATCCTGTGTTTCATGATCAGCAGCATATGAGCTATGATTCTAAGAACCTGCGGTGAGAATACTGCATGTGTTTGTTGTACTTGATTGAGTTTCCGTAATCAAAAAAGAAGTTTGGGTAGGCCATGGACAGGCCAACAGCCATCGTCATCGAGCTACTCGAGCATCTTCAGGACGATAACAACAAAGATAACGTGGCGCGTCGATGGGCAGACGGCTGCTGCGATCGGAGCCCTCTGGCAGTGGATTGAGTTGTGATGCGTGGATGAAGGATGCCAGCTGCAAGCGCAGTGAGGAGAGCCGAGCACCCTTGGACGACGATCATGGCGTACGCTACGACTTCCCCACCCAGCCTCCTAACACGTCGTGTCATTCGTCGCTCTTCGCATGATAGCATGAACGACTCTACTGTACGCGTCGAACGCGATATCTGATCCCCGCGAAGTCCGACATTACGCATCCATGTTAGCAGATCGCTTAAGTCGGCGATAGGTGATGTTTCTTTGCGATGCCACAGAAACGCCACCCCTCAGTTGGCGAGATCGTCAAATTGCCCAGTACCGCCCGGCGCCGTGCCATCCGAGAACTCTTTTCAAATCCCCAGAATCGTCTAATTCCCCGCATGTGCTCTACCGTACTGAGGCTTGTGTGTTCTGGGCTGAACACGCCTCAGCTCTGCGCGTTGGCATTCTGAGGCTGAGCGCTGCATGCAAATTCGTCGGTCTCGAACAAAACTTATCCCGACGACTGCAGTGACTACACGATCTGGATCAAAAGACAAATGCTTGACAGCTAGATATCTGACGCTAGGAAGCAGCCCGCGCAAGCCACGGACCGCCGATCCCCCATCTGGGCAAGATCGTCTCATCAAGACGCTCCATCGGGCTCGCCAGACGCAGCCTCGCCAACCAAGAGACGCCATCATGAGCCGGACGGCGACGCGTCCCAGCCGTCACGATAGCTGAAGGCGCGACAAGGGTTTGTCGACATACAATAGTTGCTTTGTCCCACGCCCGGTTGCGACAGACTCCTGCTTAGTTTCGACTCCACCACGGTAGCCTAGGCATCCCTGCCGCCGCTCGTTGAGCAACTCAATCTGTGGTACTACACATGCACCCTCCTATTTAGATCAGCATGGCTTCGGAAGCGATCCCGTCTTGTCAGACTAGCATTGGGGAAGAGCCTCATGGATATCTAATCCCCGCCCGCACATCGTCCCTCTCTCGTACCCTTTGTTTCGATGACCCTAGGACCTTGGACCAAGTAGTCTCCGCGGCATCGACAAGCGGATCTACACTACCTCACCATACCAGCCCACCTATAGTCGCACGTCATAGCTTCGCGATTGGCGATCGCGTCGCCTCTACATTAGTAGAAGAGAGTACCAGCAAGGGACCTCTCAAGGTCATCAAAACGCGACCAAGGTCCGCCAGCTGCCTTGTTACACCCTCAAAGCCGATGCATCCAACCAAAGTACAACGATGGTCAGGCTTGACCCGTACTGTGAGCGATTGGGATCATGGGCTACGTAGGGTATGTACAAAATCTTCATGTTGAAGCTAAGCTAACAAACCGGAAGGATCCAGAGTTGTGGTATGAGGAGGGAGACTGCCTCGTACATCTACATGCGAAAGGAGTTTCGCGTCGTGGCCCGTCCTTCTGTATTCCATTCAGACTTCTACGACAAAAGAAGTGTGAGGCGATGCTCCAGCTATGCGATGCGCAGACTGCGTCTGCTCCAGGGTCCGCTTTCCAGCACCTAAAGCGAATGCCCAGCTCCCTTACTAATGCCAACGGGGAACAAAGCATCGTCGAGCTCTTCATCCCAGCCCCAGAGGAACTATCACGAGAGAGCTCTTTTAGAAGGCACATCGCGACTCGCAACTTCTTCGCCTTCCTCCTGGGTAAACCACTGGTAGGCGATCATATGGGTCAAGCATTCGTAGACGTCCAGGAACGTTTACACCACTTCCGTCCAAGTCATCCAAACAACCACCAAGACTTCCTCGACTACGCTGAGAACCAAGGGTATCGGGATCTGGTTGAATGCACGGACTATGCGCTTGCAAGCCTCTACTACGCAGAGCATTATAAACTCAGGGACATTTGGGTCGATGCGTTTGCCCACTGTGTCGGTATGAGCGATAGCCTAATGCTTAGCCCAGAATACGTGGTATGAAACTCGTCCACCGCTTCGGGCCATCTTACTAACACATCGCAGCTGACCTCGAAGCTTACCAAAGCATTGATTACCCGAGCGCATCTTGAAGTCGACGGCCACCTCGGGCGCGTATCGACCGCATTGAGCAAGTTTCTACAGGAAGACCTCTCGCCGACTTACCTCGGATTAACGGACGGTGCCAGAAGCCATCTCGACCGGTTCCGCCGCTTCTTACATACTTTCTACGTAGAGAAATTTGGCTATTGGCCACCACCACGGGGCGCCGCTTTCCCCAAAGCCCTGTACAAATCAATGTACTATGACTTCCAAAATCTGTACGACTACCTCGTCGATACGGATTCGACCGCCGATATCTCCTCCCAAAGACCAGCTAGCGGTGGTATTTGCGTCTTGCAGAACGTTGTAACGTTCGATCAACGACATGGCTTCAACTCTCAGCCGCACCCGTTACCTCTCCTACCAACATACACTTCGCCACTGAAGAGAACAAACTCTCAGAAAACGAATTCCCAGAAGGCCTTGAGACAGCTTGTTCTGGCCTCGCAGTATAATAAGATGCATGTTCATGACACAATGCATGGTGCTCTAGCAGCGGCAACGAACATTCTAGAGCCGAGTGCGATGAAGTCCAACATTGTACAGGCATATATCCACTTTGAGAAGGCGCATGCCACCACTCCCAGTCAACGCCAGGGGAAGATATCAGCAACAGATGCGCGCAAAGTCAGGTGGCTCTTGATCTACGGTACTCTGCAGTATCTTGTGTCCGTTCTAAGGGCGCCGAAAGAAGTTCGCGATACTGAAAGCCCTGACTACGCTTTGTGCTACGTTGCGGAACCCACTTCGACTACCAACAGCGTTGCTACAACTCCTTCTGCGTCACCTTCGGCCAAGGTGCCCTTGGATCTCGATGAATGTCTTGACGACTCTCAAAGTAGTGTGTATTCGATCGAGCCCGATTGCCAAAGGGAAGACTACTTTACACCGCAAAACATGAGCCGACGTGGATCCATGGAGGTTGCGCCCCTCAAAATTGCTCAACCACCTCGTTCGTCCTCCGTGCGTTCTCTGGCGCGGCGATCACTTTCTACTCGAAGGTCGCGGAGCAATAGTCTCACAAGGAAAACTACACAGAACCTTGTTGGTGTTGTTCAGGAATCTGGCGGTAGGTCGACCATTTCAGTCACATCCTCCCAGGACCAAATCCGACCTGTCTCATCTGTCTATTCTGAGCATTCGACGGCAATCACTGCAGGGAGCGGGGCTGGACTGGAGACCTCTTGGCTCCGATCACGAACCCCCTCCGTCACTCGTAGCAGGCAGGGTTCTACAGCAAGCACGGGCGCACGTCCCCGAACACCTCTACTCGATTCTGTTCAGCTCGAGCGTGCCACATACCCACTGTACCTAGCCCGCGCTGGGGAGCCTCCTAGCCGTTCAGATAGTACCAGCTCTACAGCAAGCTCCCTATGGAGCGAAGGCGCGAGTGTGGTTTCGTCTAAGTCCAGTGCATCTGCAGACAGCCCTACTCGAAAGGTCAGCGCTGCAGAAGAGAGTGGGCTCCTGGGTGGACTCGTCTCTTTCGATCCACCTGGAACTATGTCCCTCACGGCACAAAGCCATATACATCCTCTGCTGCGACAACAGTCCCCTAAAGTCGAGTTCGAGTTCGGTTTCGACAAGAGCGAGTCAGAAGTCACTCATGATGTCCTTGAACACTCCCAAGTCGACTCAACCATTGGCATGGCCGTCTCTACTCCGCCGTCACCCACCCGACCCCGGATGAATCTGTTCCCCGACACACGACCCACTTTCACTGCCGAAGAGGCACGCGCTCTTATTGCCGACAAGAGACCTAATCTTCCGTATCGGAACAGATCCAAATCTACCTCGTCAGTCTTGGAAAGTGCCACATCGCCAGCGAAGGATCAAAGGTACTCCACGCCTGTGAGCACAACGCCCACAGGCTACTGGGAGCAATATAAAGCGACTCTCACACAACAAAAAGCGCGATCGAATCCTGGACCATCTACAAGCTTTACTATGCCTCCGATGGTCAAGATTCCGACTACCTTTAAAACACCCTTTTCGCGCCTCCGACCCCGCAACGAGGAAGACCGCGGCGTCAAGACAGAGCGCCGGCTGTCAACTCTCTGGCGACATTGAACGCATCGCAACATTCACGCTCTTTCTCATCTTCAGTGTTTTTTGTCCTCTACTGTTAGCGAGCTCCATGCATGGTGTTTCGGCGTTCAAAAAGGTTGCCACAAGCATGTTATATACCCTCTCATTTGTTTGGTGTACTTCTCTCATTTTAGCAGAATAGTAGTCATACCTTAACCAAACGATACAACGATCTTCTATATATACACGTCTCCGCCCTCAAGATTTCCTCATAAGGCCCTTGTCTCCAGTCTCTGTACGTGCGATTATCCTTACTGGACAGGCTGCGCTAGCACAGTAGCATAGTCAACACAATCACTCTCTTTCATCATGTTCCACAACAGCACTTATGTCTGCAGTCAACACGGAAATTGCCTGAGTAATGTTTGACTGGACAGGGCTTGCGCGGAGAAACGTACCGTCTTCGTACAGAAAGTATCCCGTACAACCACCCTATTCAAGAGAAGAACTAGACACCCATCTCCGCAAAGTACTACTATTAAAAAGCTAAGAAGGCTATATTACCTTAACAATATACAAACTCAATACGTCAAGGCAATGTAGACTTTAGGGCATCTGTCTAGTTTTTCCCTTGAATAGGGTGCAACTGTCGAGGAAGGTCGCTAATACTTGCGAGGTTCGGATGGTTATCGTACACGAGATTGCGATCATCAGTCGTTGATTCGGTGCGACTTCTCGAAGTATGCTCCCCCACAACGCTGTCAGGTGATGGATCAGTGTTCGCGTTGATAACTCCGATGAGCGTGCCTTGACCTGCGCAGTAGCTGTACAAGTTCTTTGGTAGCGATAGCAAACCACAGTACTAGGTCGCGTCTCAGCAAAACGCGGTTTCCTATTGCCGAGACGCTTGTTCTGGCGTCTTCAGAGCGACCACGAATCGTCTATCGTTACCTTGACGGACGTGCTATCTTAAGAGCTGCCAGCAGGACAATCAGAAAGCTTTCCACGCGTATGTTTCCACGGTCGGTGTGTTGTCCATGGACATTGAAATCGAACTTTCTAGTCTTGCATAGCGTGCCCAATGACATCATGCCATTTTTAGATTAGGGGCCCGCAAACTTGTCGCACTATCGAAAGTCTCAACAAACATGCGCTCCACAAACGCCTCCTAACACGAAACACACCACACGAGGTTGAGGTGTTTTTCCTGCCATGCATACCGTCGCTAGGTGCAACGCAGGTGCCACTATTTTTGGAACTGGCATGATGCTGGGCTCGCGCACTCACCACAACGGCTATGCCGACCGGATTCGTATTTGCGAATGGAACTCGATGTAATGTGGCGCTCGATCGAATAGCTAAGCCCACGTTACGTCAACTGCCAGCCTTGCAACACTCCTCGTTGCGTCAGCGGGTGTGGCGTGCGGCTCCGGCACCCTGCATACTAAAGTTGAGGCTCAGTGGGCTGCGCAGCTTCGCGAACCAAAAATTGTCACCGCTCGCAGGTGGTTCCTAGATCATTAATGCCAAGTCAAATACAACGTCAATGTGCTGGCTCTTCACACGAACAGTTGCGGTGACCGACTCACCATCACGATTGTCCCAGTCAATGCAGAGCTCACCGTGCCGACATGCGAAAACGAGAAACAATGCATCAAGCCGCAATATCCATCACAGCATGCGCAACTGCAGTATACGAGTTACCTACCTTGTTGTTCGACGATCAATGCCACTTACATCACAGCGGTCAAGGGGTCCACATCGTTAGCCTCGGAGATTTGTGCCTACGCCGGTGCACGCCCGTCCGGGGGGCGACATCATTGCCCAAATGCAACCCACCACGGTGAGAAATACGAGGAGGTATGACCGAATCCATGAGCATTGTTGGATGTTGGTCGAGCGCTCGACCAAGTGACGTTAAGATGGTAATGAAGATCTTCGTAGAGATATAAGTACGGCTTCAGCCACCTTATCTTCGACCCATCATCCAAACAGTCAATCTCAAAACACTTCACCTACCAACACAACCAACCTCCCTAATCAGCCATCATGCAGTTCTTCACCCTCGCCGCTCTCTTCGGTGCCGCCGCCATGGCCGCACCCGCTCCCCAGACTTCCGACTGCCCTAACCCGGCTCACTGCCAGGGCCCACCAGACGTCAACAGCTACGAGAACGTCAACTTCAAGGACTACTCCATCCGCAAGAACAACGGCACCCTCCAGTCCGTCTCGTTCAAGATTGATGGCCGCAACGCCACCGACCTGGAGTGCGTCGGCGGACCCTACCCTACTCTCCCCGCTCCTATTGTCAACTGCGGTGACAGCAAGTACCGTTTCGCCATGACTAAGGACATCAACGGCGACTACCCCATCACTCTCTACCACGAGCTTGGCCCTGCGTACGTAAACCACTTGACACAGACTTTTGGTGATAGACTAACATATGCGAACAGTGTCGGCTTCTGGGGTCAGGGCGTCGTTCCAACCTACTGCCACGCAGGAGGCAACGGCCCTGATGACTTTATCTGCTCGCAGGTCAGCCAGTACACTATGGTCATTGCTGCCTCTGGTTAAACATCGAACAATACGGTGACCGGGGTTTCTTTGTACATACATACACTTCACAAGTAATATAATACCAATCTGTACATTCACTAAACCTTACGAGATCAGCTCGATGAGTTCGGATGCGCCATTTTATGTATAATGACGTGATTCTTGACATGCCAGAACGGCACAGGGCTGGAGCCTCGTCATGAAGAGGTCTTCCTGAAGGCTTGTGAGGGAGAGACGTGGCGTATGTCAAGACAAATCGGTCGTGTGGGTTTTCGACTCGTGGTAAGTGAGTGTGAAGAACCTAGTAATACTTACAGGTTGAGTTTATGAGTTGACTCACTCCTTCAACGTTCCGGCATATTCAGCGTGCTTCATAACGAGGGCCCCTGAACAACATTGCAACAGTCACACGCTAAACTAATGAATTGACTCCTTCAAAGTACGAGCATTTCGGATATGACTTGTAACGGGTGTGCGTGAAGAGCACCTCCACAATGAAGGCCTTCGTTGATAGACCGATAGCTTGAAGTCACCAGCATGTTGGAGATGTCGCGCAGCTCAACACTTCATCAGCATGTCCTCTCCTCAAAAAACCACCTCTCATGCTCCTACTACTATCTACAAACTCCTTTTCCACAAACGAGGAACAGATTTGCATGCATACTAAATGAACAGCGGCAATTTTATCATTCTCCTAACGGCCACCTTTCCCGCCCTCGCCATATCCTCCTTCCTCTTCTCTTTAGCAACATACTTCCGGCCTCCTGGAGCGCATTCAGGGACCCAAGATCGTTTGGGCGATCTCGAAGACATGGAGGACATTATACCAGCACTCATCCAAGAAGTCGGGGCTCTGAGAAGATCGGTCGATCGGGAAAGGCAGAGGACAAGGAGGCTGGAAGACGAAGTAAGATATATGGGAAGGCGGCAGCGGAGAAACGACGAGACGGCGGACGAGGGCGGAGATGAGGCAGAAATGAAAGACGATGAAGACGAAGAAGTGCAAATGTGTCATTTGGGAGAGTTACTTGTACGAAATCTGTTCGATGTCAACGAGTTTCTGGAAGGGCAGCGGGCCCGAGAGCTCGCTTGCCGTACGATACAGAGGTCGAGGTTGAACAGGACTTGTGGTTCTGATCCACGTCCTGCTAACGGCATTCCGGATGAGCTGTTCCATGTTCCAAGCGTATACAAAATACGAGGTAGGAGCGACTCCATACTAGACGATGAGGAAGCGCTGGAGGCAGCAGCTGCCACAGCGCTACCGTCTAGCCCTGAAGAAGACTCAGAGTCCACGAACGAGGAATCAAGCACACTCACACAGACCATACATCAAGGTAGGGGTGAAGAGACCAGCGCTCGAATGCTAGTCGGAGAAGATATGTCCACGCTCCTGACGAGCGGCGAAAGTCATACTCCCACAACGAATGGACATTCTCGAATGCCTCATCTTGATACTGCCGACTACCATGCCATTCTCATCACACCCTCCCCCATGCGTCAGCGACCAAATATCCTCTACCCCTCCCCACGCGGCCCCACTCCCACAAGAATAGTCATTCGAAACGATCCTGGAGGCTTGTGGCGCCGGAATTTCTTAACAGATGTTCTGACTGATACAACGCCACAACTAGAACAGAGAATCATCCTCACTATCATCGAGAATTATCTAAGGTCGTTTGAGGATAGTGCTGTGAGGCATACTGCGTCGACGAACGGAAACGCTCGGCATGCCGTACCCAGTAGCAGTCATACCGAGCCAACTCGTTTAACGACCAACATGCCCAATGGAGAAAGACATGCTCATCAGACCAACGGCTACACTTATCGCCATACCCATACTCCCTCTACCAACGACAGCATTCAGTACCCTTCACTCCCAAACGGTCATGGAAACAGCAGCCCTCCTCCCAATAACAGTCGTTTCAATGGCTACATCTACGAACCCACGACTGACGACTCCAATCAACAGGACTACGCCGAAGCACGACAAATCACTCGGCCACTCTTCAACGTCCTGTACGCCGTGAGACCTTTCATTAGCTCCCGCGTCATCAGAGATATCATAATTAGATACATCATAGCGATGGATCTGGGTTACACAGACCCTGAGAATTCAGGGCGTATCAGATTGACTACAGCGGCTGATCAACGTGAGGGTGTAAATGGGGTTGTCGATGACGAAGGCGTTGAAGATCTGAGCGAAGATGTATGGATGCGTGAGCCTAACAACGAGTATCAAACTGGTACCAGTAGGGGAAGCGGAAGAGGTATGAACGACAACAGAAACGGAATTATAAACACCTTCCACATCAACGGCGGCATTGTAACGCAAAACAACACCAGTCTTAATGGCGCCCCCCTCACAAACGATCGAACCCACACCTCCAACGCCTACACTCGAGCCCCATCTCCAGAGCGGCTCACCACCGACCCAGAAGACATCCGCTCCCGCTCCCGCCTCTCCACTCCCGAACTCAACGAAGCAATTGGAAACTGGGGCTCCATATCCCGTACTCTTGACGGCCCCGTTCTACGCCTCCGCGCCATCCGTGCTGAAGGTGCACTAGTTCAGGATTCCCATCTCCGTCCGCATGCGGATACGGGCTATGGCGGAAGACCTCCGACGGATGCTAGGCCTAATGGGTACGCAACAGCAACTCAGCTCATTCCCCCGAGTGTCTATGTTGGGAATGGTACGAGCAGTTCATCTGAGTCTTCTACTAGGTCTTCGAGGAGTGCGTCGTTGAGTGGGACTACGCTTGTCAATTCTGCTGTTGGGAGTACGGATGGGGATGCTGTGGTCACTCCTAATCCGCCCATAGATGGAGAGACATCAGACAATGTGGAGTTATTTCGGAACGGCGCATACGAAACCCATACAGCGAGGCTTAGGCGGCGTCGCGGTACGAGGAACATGAGGAGAGCCGCGAGGGAAGATGCACGAGTGGAGAGGGAGAGTGTGGAAGAGGAAAGTTCGGGGACTAGCAAAGACAGTATGGATGTGGACATCGCGGAAGTGGAGGCTGCACGGTGGAGTCTTCGCAATCAGAGGGGTACCATGGAGGAAGAGATGATGCGGCACGTGTTGGAACGGGATCGTGCGGCGCAGGCTCAGCAGGCGAATAGTGTGGAAATGAACGGGGTTGGGAGCGAAAGGAGTGATGAGACTTCCGAAGTCTCCGAGACGAGGGAAAGGAGGCTTAATAGCGAGTAAGCGTCTGAGAGGCTTCTAGTCTTATTGCTCGCTCAACGTTCCAGAAGACATTGATTAGGTCGTATGTTTCTGTATTCCGTAGCATGTTCCCGAATATTCCACACTCCACTATATCCAAATACAATCTATGACATCTTTAACAAAGCTCGTATGTCATATGACATTAGCGCTTCGCCAAATGTTCTTGACAGATCATGTTGAGAGATACTCGCGGAGATCTCCCATATTATTGTAATCATCAAAGAGCTGTAGTATCGAAGACAAGTTGTTTGCTGGTAGTATTGATGGCGCGAAGAAATTACTGAGATGTTCTCAGCTGGTCTTTCGTCTAGGTACAGCCGGTCGACGGCGCGTGTAAAACTCGATAGTAGCCTAAATACAGGTGTACGAAATTAGTGTTTGTCTCACATACAGTTCATACACGGATATTACTAACAGTGCCTTGCTGGATGCCTTCCTTGAAAGCCGCCTCAACATCATGAGCAAGATGAGCCTGCGAAACGAGAGACACGGCAAACGCTTTGGCCATCATCATGGTCATGCGAGGTGTATCGCTTGTCACCTGCTTCAACTGAAATGAATCCACTAATGACGAGACGAGTCCTCGGATGTGCGCAAGACTGACGCCAACACGGTGCATCTTGAAAGCGCGGCAAACCACCGCCATGGCTCGTGCCGTGCGGATATCTATGACGGTATTTCTGTCGCGCAAAAGCGAGGAGACGTATTGTGTCTTTCGACCGGATTGTATTTCTCGCAGGTTGAGGACGTCGTCGCAAGCTTGATTGTTGCGCGACAAATTAGTAAGGTTGGAAAGCGGGAAATGAGAGAGGACAGCTGCAACTGGAATAGAAGCCCAGATCATTCGTTCTGAGAAGCGTTAGCAAAAGCTCGAATATACAGCGTATTGGTGCTTCACCTGCGTGGCCCTTGTATCTTGCCCACCATGCCTGGCCTTCCGCTTTCAACATCCGCATCACATCAGCTGCTGGCAGTGTCTTGTGCGGTTCTGTAAGCAGTGTATGATCGAGCGCAACTAGAAGAAACCACTGTGATTAGTAGAAGACCAAGCTGTGACAGGGATGCGGAATGCCAACGTACTGACGGCGATCCTGGGCTCAAACATCGTAGAAGCTTTGACAAGAGCCTGTAAGAGACTCGTCGACACTGATACGAAAGCCGATGCGCCGCCACTCATAGACAGATGGAGGTTCGTCAAGAGCATGAGAGCCTGCTGTCCCTGTCCATCTGGAGAGAAAGGCGGCGGGAACCCGCCCCTCCATATCGAGAAGGCTTGACTCACGAAGCCGGTCTCGTCGTCGAAAATTGTCCGGGAATTTGCGTCCCAAACGCGAAATGCGATAATATTTCTGCCGGGGGGAGCCCGTGGGGTTGGCTGCGTAGGTGTAATGGGCGGTGTATGATAGCCATCAACGTCTGACCATATTTCCTCATTGTCTTGCTCAGCTAATGTCATCCCGCCGAGCTGTAGAGCCTGCAGTGGTAAATCTTCCGGAGCCAGCGTGCGAAGCGCGCGTGCTTTCTCCTTCTCCCTCTTTAGCGCACGTCTAACTAGGGATTTGTAGTATTTCCGTGTTTGAGGGGACTTTGCAGTTCTAGCCAATCCAGGTGTGTAGCTCACCTCATGTGTGCGTTGTAACAAGTCAATGCCAGACTCGGAGGCGGTATCTTTGATGATCGCGTGGATCTCGTCGTACTTGTGTTCGGGATCGTGGAATGGGACTTTCATTGCTCGATCGAACTCGGGGTACGCACGACCGCCATACAGAATGAGATGGCTCTCGAACTGGTAACGTATGACATTGAGCCTGAGGTTGAGGCCGGTGATGGCATTGAAGACCTGCGGGATGGTGGCCACATTTGTGTCTTCATACCATCTGTAGAGGATTGTAAGAAGCTCGCGTTCATCCTCATGCCACTGGTGAGGCGGATCTCGCTCGAGCCTGCGCAGTGTTGCTAGCGAAGTAAATTCACTCGGCTTGGAGGCTTGTGGCACGATATCATTTGTGTGGCGAAGGGCTGGCATGCCGAAGTCCAAGGTCCGTCGTAGTTGTGGTGTGGGTGCGGTATTGTCGGCGCCAAAGTGATGGCTCGTTCTTGTTGGACTTCGAAGTATAGTAGCAAAAACCCTGTCTTCGTCCGACGGACAAGGAGTGGACAGTGGAAGTGTAGTCTCAGAATCGTACGAAGCGCAACGCTGCTTGGATGTGTCCAAAGCAGAAGTACCGACTGTTGACGACCCAACTACGTTCGTGCCTTCGCCAGGCTCGCTCTTGATGTATGGCTCAAGAACATCCTCGATCGAAGGAAGCACCGAGTCAGCCTCATTGCCAACGTTGTCATCGCGACTGCTCGACAAGGACGCTGGGAAGTTGTCAGTGCCTGCTTCACGAAACAAAGAAAGGAAACATGCCCAGTAAAAACTCACCTTGGATATCAGCTTCGGTTACAACCTGCGACTGCTTCGAGATATGCGTCGCTTGTGGTGCTAGAGGTGTCGTGGCTGCCACTGCCGGTTCCCATAACATCACGCCGGCATCTGCTTCTCTCCAAACGTGTCTCGTCATTTCGATACAGTATGTATTTGCTGCTTTGAATGCAACGAATGGGGGATGAGTTAGAAAGCTAGCGTTTCTAGATGCGATGTGCGAGGTACGTATCCGGCTGAAATTGAAAGAGAGAAGATGCTATGCGGTATGAAGAGTTTTCAACCCACCAGGCAGCCAGCTCAGGATGTGTGGGACTGTGGAAGCGCGTGTACGCGCCCGAGAAGATGATATGGACGCGTCTGACGCGTCATGAGCACGGTCCCGCGTGGTGTGGTGAAAGAGGCGGCTCCAAGCAGCGCATTCTCTAGGGTAGTGAGCCAGCGCGCCTACATTCGGGAGGAAGAGATCAGGTTTGTGAGGTAAGTTGATCTTGTGGATTGGAAGAAATCAAGTAGGGTAGTAGGATAGGCATAAGGTTCAAGTGAGTTTCAGAGCTGAGCGTGATGTTTGATCGTGCTGCCACGTCATTAGCAGTGAGACTTGCCGGTATGACCTACACCATATGCTGACCTGTTAGTACAACGTTAGAGAAGGAACGCGAAAAAGATTCGATGCTCTGCGAGTGTGCTCAGCTCGAGGATATAGAACAGTCAAACGGGTGAGAAACGACCCATGCCGTGTGGTGGAATAGCTCTATCGATAGCTGCACCCCACAGCTCGCTTCAACCTGTCATGAATTTGCCGGCATATGTAGAGGAACGGTGTAGATGAGAACGAATAGAAGAGCAGACCATCGCTTCGCAGCGAAAACCCGCACGTGGGAGCTGGACCAGTGGTTGTATGTAACATCTGATTGCGCTCCACTTGTACTCCTCAAAGATGCCATCGCATCGCAAGGGTAATAGAAAAGAAGCACAGAGTGAAGATATCTATAATGGTTCAATCAGTTGAAAAGCAGATACCTTCCCACGCTACGTTACATTCGTTACTGACGTCGAGGAGCTGAAGGAAAAACAAGAGTAGAATGCAAAGCGCACAACTTTTGGCGTGACAGAAGATCTTTAGAGGTAAACCATCCCTCTCGAACAAGCGGTATGCGGAAGAGTCGGGAGAGCTGCGCCGGCGCTATGCTTTGACAGATCAAAGTAAGAACTCAGAAGAGATAGATGGCCGAGAAGATGGAGTGATAGGTGACGTAGTCGCTTGATTCGTCCAAGCAAATCCAGCTTGAAGCAAGCTCATGCGTGAAATCGACTAGTTCGGTCGGTCCAGAAAAAAAGCTGCAGCGATACGGCACAGTCTGCGTTCGCACGACTGACGAAGATGGGGTGGAAGTGACCAGGTGACGGGTTGTTGGGTTGTCGCATAAGCGCCCGTCTATGGTGCTGTGGCTGCTGCTCCACATGCATATGCGGTCCGTAGACCGCATGCGGGACCCAAAACGTGATCGCACCTGCAGACGAGTGTTCCAGGGCTACGACACGGTTCGATGGATAATTGCTTTTTTACGCTCATCTTTCCCAAACCAACAAATAATTTTGCAGGTTTGTTGCGCATAGCTGTCTTTTCCCTTTCCTGGTGGTTCTTCCACAGGCTCATTTGTGGCCATGCTGCTCGGTGCAGATCTTCTTTACGACCCACTTCTCCCAGAACTTGCGCTGCTGATTGGTGACCATGATTCCGTCGTCTGCTAAAGCGTCCACATCGTCCATGTGCCCGTTGCAGTTGCACCATGTAATCGAGGCTGGCGTATCGGGCATGGGTGGAAAGGATAGGGTGCCTACAGAGGGTCAGTATATGTTCCTCACGTGCACCTCGTGCAGCCAGAACTCACCACCCTGTTCAGGCTCGTCGGTCTCTGCGTCAGATTCTGTGTCAGCTATTGAACTACCGTCAGCGTCGTTCCCGCTAGATGGATCTTCGTGTTCGTATTCGTAATCGCTTTCGTCGCTACTGTCGCTTCCTAGAGGGTCGTCTGGGACTTCGGCTCCCATGACGAACTGCTCATCAAAATACTTCTCATATCCAATGCGCCTGAGACTAATCCAATCTGCAGAATTGGACGTAGGAACTCAGTATATATCTCAGATGCACACAGTAAAGGCATGACTTACCAAGCCGCGTGAGCTCATCTCGCAGGCAGGGAAGCACGTCTTTCCACATACTGCCCTCCTTTAAAAGTACATCTCGGAGACGCAAACCACGCAGTGTATCTCTGTGCCGCCGGGCAATACCTAGAATTTCATCTGCGTTGAGACGCCAGGCTTGGATTCCAAAAGCTGCAAAGACAGAGATGCCAGGTTAGTTTATGTCTTATAGTGCAGAGACGTAAAACGTACCCTGCAGCTTTTCCCACTTGACGTTGTGGAAGAGCTCTTCTAGCCGCAATGTGAGTGGTCGGTATGAAGGAAAGCCAATATGCACAGCTTCAATATTCTTAGCCGCGGTAAACAAAGCCTTGGACAGGGAGGTGAGATGTCGCATCCGAACGTCTAGGTCCGTGCTGTCATCGAAATGTAGCTCTAGACAAGTCAGGCGTTCGGCAAGGATTCCCAGGGTCGATGGTGGGTTGCTAGCGGCCCCTAGGACGCTCTGCGGGCTTAGCATGGGTGATGAGAACCGTGAACATGGCGATTCGGACTCAAGGAGGGCCTGAAGACCGATGTAACAAAGTTAGTAAATGTCTCGCATCAATTCGTACACGGGTATTACTTGCTTGACCGATTGTTTTCGCGCTATGCAAGCATGCCGGTGGCCATGTCGGCACTAGACTGCTCAATTCGTTGTGACCCCGCATGTACGTGATTAACACGGCATCTTCTTGATCCTGCAGGCGTAGGATCTGGATATGCTGGAGTGAAGTGAATCGCTGCAGCGCGAAATGCAGGATATGTGCATCTTTCCTGCTGTTCAGAAGGCTGGTCTGCTCATTTACCTTTTTCTGGAATTTATCAATATCGAGGAAGCTGAATCTCTCGGGCCGTGTGTGCAGAAGCTCCTGTATTCGCTCTCGTCCTTGGTCGTAGAAAAATGGCACCATGTAACTGAACTTCTTCACGCGGCCGGCAATGTGAGGCTGGCCAGCTATTCTTTCTAATCTTTCGAGTCCCTTTCGCGAAAAGCGTGTCGTAACGCGCGAGAACTGATGGATGACACCCTGCAGAGGCTCAGTACATGTCTCACGTGCACTTCGTACAGCCAGGGCTTACCAAATCGCTGAATCTTCTGCAAGTCAATCTGCAAAAGTGAGGATACGAAGTCAGTGTATGTCTCACATGCATTCCATACGACTAAGACTTACCTGAAGCTCGCAATAGTCTCAGCGTCGTCCGGCTCGGGTGGGAGGGGCAGCTTGAAAGATTCCTGCGACAGGTACGCCCGGCGCTCCAGACTTATCGGTTTCTCAGGTTCGGAGGCAACATATTCGAGGATGATGCGAAGAAGCTCGTCGGCGAGATCGAGGATACCCATTTTAAGTGGGGGCTTTCATGACGACCGCTCCGAAGAAGCTCTACCACGAAGCTTCCCAGCACGATTTAGGAGCGCACCGCACAGCGGATATACTCTCAATGCAGGACAGCAGCGTTCGGGCCGGGTCGGGACGAAGAAATGGCAGGTGGTAGTGAGCGTAGCGACAGCGGGACAGTTGAGTCAACTGACAACGTGGTGTTATCCGACGACGGCACCGTTCTATGGGATAGCAAGCGAAGGACAGCCAGAGGGGCGTGGTCGGAGAAAGAAATGCATGACCTCTTTTGCCAGCAGTCAGCTAAGCGTAGAGTTGCGAAGACGACCTGGGACTGGACACGCCGCCTGCACTTGCAGCGTGCACCCCGGTACGCCCTCGCCCAAAACGTGATGCGTTAAACTGCAACAGGTATAGCCGCTCACATGATCACTAGCGTCTGCATTTACATAAGCAGGACGGTAACATGCATGGCTCCTCCCGTTGAAGAAGAGTCGATTCGTTGCTTTGGACTAATGCACTACTTCGCTAGGGTAGGGCTGCTTCGCCAGCGCTGATTCGAGGCCCGAGGCCTGCTCCCCACAGCCCACTACACGAATTTCCATGGTCTCGATGCGTCAGGCGTTGCCAACGAAGCATGCATCTGGTCGGCTGATTGGCGTCACAAGCGCTTCCTTATAGCGTCATCCACTGCCGTGTACTTGGGATGGCGCAAACGCCATGTCAAGCGATGGAGCATCCCATGACGACACGGAGCTTTAGGAGCCTCATAGTGGGCTGAAACGGATGTCCGTATGTCTCGCAATGAGCAATGCGTCATACCGTCCTGCCCTCCACCGGGGGAGAACAGCATCCGAGTCGCATTACAGTATATAAGTACAGTGTACGTTAATGAACTTCTACCCTGGACATAAAAAGAGGACTTCCAAGGACAAGCGATCCGAATTCGGTCATCGCACAAATTCGGGACGGAGAGGACATGGCCGCAATCCCGCTCGTACATGCGCAGATGACGATGTATGCGTGGAACTGCCGGTCAGATCGACGTGTTGCTTCACAAGCCTATACTTGCCCCGGTAACGTCATGCGGATCTGCGCGGTCGTGTAGCTATGGCGCACGCAGCTGTCGTAGATCGTCGCACAGAAAGTGACACTAGATGACCTCCTGCCCTGTCGGCTTATCGACCTCTCATGCCGACGAAAACTCTACGCACATATTGCCTGGGCCTGTTCCAGCACGGCAAACACTCAAAGACGTGTTTCTCTATCAACCCGTCCGACCACGCCTATCAGGTCACGCTTTCGCCCTGGATTGAACACGTTCGCTTCGTTTTCGACGAATCTCAGTGCTGCTCAGCTTGCTCTGGAAGGTTTCATCGATGCTGTCTTCTTCGCTGGCATCGAGAACAGCAACCTCAAAAACCTCGAGGGGATCCCATCCTTGCTCGCTGCGCTTGTTGTTCACTGCAGCACCTCCGCTCCTTGTTTCAAGCGACAACACCAAGGCAGAGATGTCTTTGTCGGTGATGGTTGGGCCGAAAGGATCCCAAATCTCGACATATTTGATAGTGAGCCCGAAGGGATAGCTGACGTGGACGGCATGCCCGTTCGGCCCAGGTTCTTGGATCTCTTCAACACGGATGCGCTCGTCATCCGCGGACCCAAAGTAGAGGAGAGAGGAGAGGAAGTCGTGTGCTGACTGCTGACGCTCTTTCCAACTTTCGAGATGCTCTGCAAACTTCTTGTTCACTAGTAGAGCGTCGCCAGTGATTCCGACTGTAAGTACGCTAGGCGTTGCATCGGAAGTGGACGGCTGCCTCCTTCCGAGCATAAAGGCAAACATGGTAAGCAGTAGCTTGTGGCCAATATGAAGGTGATCGAAAGTCCCTCCGACGGCAACAGAGAGGTGGTTGGTTGATGTGTCTGTCTTATCGGCAGACGATGCTGGTTCTGGGGTCTCTACACTGACGATACCACCGCGAACTTTGGACACGGGTGTCTGAGCTTTCGACAGAGAGAGGAAGCTCTTCAATACACGCTCTCCTTCTTCGCTTTCGACCGAGTAGACGGTATCCCATGATCGCGAACTCCGGGCTAGCGTATGAATGTCTATTGCTGGCCCTTGGAGTTCCTGCTCTGGAGGAGTGGAGTCTGGTAGGGGCTTCGTCAGTTGGCCGTCCCTGGGATATGCGACTAGCACAACGCGAGCATCGACGCCCTCTGAGTCTTCCGTATCGATAGCTTCCCTGCTCGCGGTGATGCAGATGAGTTTGTAGAGATCGGCTACCAGCTGCTGGGTGGTTGCGTAGTGTAGGCCCCGGGGCTCATCAAGATGGCCGTACAGATGAGGGCACGGTAATGCAATTTCTAGAAGTATGGATTCATGGGAGTTGCGTGGAGACCTGGCCAGCTCTTTCAAGACGGTGAACAAGGGCGAGTTGTAGGCGGCCTTGAGTGCTGCATATGAGGGTGGTGAGGGCGCAGGCGGCAGCAGCAGCAGTGCACGGCGGACTGGTTTGTGTGATGGAGGCATGTTTGCGGGTGTCAATGAACTGGAGTCGCAGGTTGAAGATCATGAATCATAACCATGGTTGTGTCACATGGAGGGTAACCCGAAGCAGACGTGAAGGGAGGGCGGAGGGGTGGTGGGGAACTTTTGCCGAGATACAGCCGCCGCCGCCGCCGCCCAGCAAGTCGAGGCCAACCGCAGCTGTGCTCTTGACGATCGAATACGCGCTGCCACAGTCCCGAGTCTCTCTTTCCTCCGCCCGAGCCAGCGTAGAGCAATTGCAGGCGCCATGCCTTTCGGAAACCACCACCAGAATGCGCACAACGACCCGGCGCAGGGCATCTTTGCAGCGGCGTCGGCGTTGGGGAGTATGTAGGGTCTTGGGCACCGCCGTGAACGTGGGCTAATGTGTATCTCGCAATTGTAGGCATAGGAGCGCCTGGAGGCAATCTGCGAGGGGCAACCCAGGGCACCACGCGCGCCGGCACCGACGCCTTCCTGCCCCAGAGCAGCGCGAACGCCCAGGCGCAGGGCGACGGCTACCTGCCCTCGACCGCACCGCCCGCCGCCAACTCGAGCTTCGACGCCCCGCGACACAGGGCGCCGACAATAGGGGGACGCACCAACGAGGAGCTGCACATATCCACGGGAGGCGGCCAAGTGCCCTCGTCGGCGTCGGCGCAGCCCCAGCAGCAGCACCTGTACAGCTCGCCCGACAATTATCGATCGGCGCCCAATATCAACATCGACCATGGAACCCCTCAGAACAGCCAGTATGGCTCCCCGGCCGTCCCCGGCGCCCTCCAGCCCGCCGGCGGCCCAGGGCAGCAGCCACAACCACAACAACCACAACAACAACAACAGCCGGGGCCGCAGCAACAACAGCGACCCGCGCCCGCCAACGCCTACACGGCGCCCGTCGTGCCTACCCAGACGCAGATAGCCAGCAACGCCCAGCAGTACACGCTGCCCACGCGCTCCAACACCATCAGCCAGCCGCAACATTCCCCTCACTCGGCCCATTCCTACTCGCGCTCAAGCCCAGCTGGCCTGGGCCCCGACCAGAAATACGTCCCCTTCTCCAACACCCCCGAGCAGAACAAGTACGCCGCCGGCACGCCCGCCCAGAAGTACTACCCCACGACTCCCTCGGGCGCTGCATCGCAATCGCCCCTGGGCCTCGCTGACATCAGGCCGCGCGCAAACTCGACAATGGACCACGAGGGCATGGGACACGGCAACGCCATGGTCACCGACGGCAACAAGGTGCCCTCCAACAGCAACTACCTCGCCCCGTGGAGCATATACGCCTACGACTGGTGCAAATGGAACGTCCCGGGCGGCAACAGCGCCGGCAAGATGGCCGTCGGCAGCTATCTCGAGGACAACCACAATTTCGTAAGTAGCACACCATTTATACACGTGCTCTACTGACAGACACCCAGATCCGCATTCTCGACACGCAAATAGCGCCGCAAGACGCCGCCACTCCCGGCGCGACACCATACGGCCTCGAGTACAACGCAATCGCCGAAGCCACATGTTCGTTCCCCGTCACGCGCATACTGTGGGAGCCGCCGTCTTCGCAGAAGCAGTCGACCGACCTCCTCGCAACGTCTGGCGACCATCTGCGTTTATGGTCGCTGCCTCAAGCCTCCGGGAACAACATGAGCAACACCATCACGCGCTCGTCTTCCGTAAACACGCGAGAGCCCCAGCTCCCTAAGCTTACGCCGCTCGCGCTCCTCTCCAACTCCAAGACCCCTGAACACACCGCGCCGCTCACCTCCCTCGATTGGAATACCATGTCGCCCAAGCTTATCATCACCTCGAGCATAGACACGACCTGCACCATCTGGGACATACCCTCACTGACAGCCAAGACCCAATTGATTGCCCACGACAAGGAGGTCTTCGATGTACGCTTCTGCGCAGGAAGTGTCGATGTCTTTGTCAGCTGTGGAGCTGACGGCAGTGTTCGCATGTTCGATCTCCGCAGTTTAGAGCATAGCACCATCATCTACGAGCCCTCAGACAAGGGCGGTGACAAGGACAAGGGTCAGTTTTTGTATTTGTTTTTGACGCCGATTGCTAACAAGATCCAGGCTCGCCAACAGGCCGCATGTCGCCCACCAAAGCCCAGCAGACCATGTCGTACGCGCCCCCGCTCCTCCGGCTCGCCGCGTCACCCCACGACTCCCACCTCCTCGCTACCTTCGCCGCCGACTCAAACCTCATCCGCATCCTCGACGTGCGACAGCCAGGCCAGGCCCTGCTCGAACTACGCGGCCACTCTGCGTCTGTCAACAGCATAGAGTGGAACCCCTCCCGGAGAGGCATGCTCGCCTCTGGCGGTGACGACTCCCTCGTCCTCATTTGGGACCTGCTACACGCAAACAACGGCGCGACCATCAGCGGAGAACACGCTTCAACACAGCCTCCCGTCGTGCAGCCAGCGACCACACATCCCGCAAACGGAGCCGCAGGTGCGCAGAATGTACCTGTAGGCCAAAAGGGACCCTATGCCAGCTGGAGGTGCGACTACGAAGTCGGCAACATTAGCTGGGCACCTCAGAGCGCATTGACAGGGCAAGGCGGCGAGTGGGTCGGTGTCGCTGGTGGACGAGGTGTTTGGGGTGTCAAGTTATGATGAATCTGGATTTCGTGTTGATAACCTCAGTTCAGACTTCGGACGACCCCCATGTTTTGCCTTCAATGCACCTGTATGAATGACGCATTGTTTCTGAGTAGGGCAACAGGAGGTATTGAAAAAAAAAGTGCATAGCTCTTGTTATCTTACTTTCTGAGCACAATAGTTTGGTCGTGGTGGGGGCGTTAGTGGTGGGTTTTGCATGCATATAAGATACCTGGAAGTGAAAGACTTGTCTCTCTACATGACGACTTTGGATGCGATGATATTTCCATTGAACAACTTCCCTCTCCATTCCTTTCACTTTCACAATCTTTTTGTCTTGACCAGTCCAGGCTTATCGTATGACGACCTCAACAACAACCTCATTACTCCATCCAGCCTTCGAATCAGTCTCCTTCCACGCCCGCACCGTATCAATCTCAAGCACGTTCTTGCAATCCTTGCTGACACTGACGCAATGTGCTGGGACGGGGCGGCCGAACAACACAGCGAAGAAGTCATTTTCGATGGAGCGCTGTGGGAGGTCTGAGACGTAGATTGCTGTGAGACATTAGTACATATTCTGAAAGCATAATAGAGAAAAGACATACCAAACCTCCCCAGAACCTTACAACTAGTCCAAACCCTCAGTCTCCCCGAACTCCGATCCACATACGCATCCGCACTAACAATCGCCGCCGCCCCCGTCATCTTCCCCACAATCCCCAGATTAGCCACGTGCACCTTCCTCGGTCCTGCCGCCTCACTGCCCTCCCCCCTCTGCAGTTCAAACTCCATCAACGGGAACGCAGATAGAATCTCCCAGCCGCGAACCGGCAGCTCCAGATGCACAAACGCGTCGTTGGTCGCTACGCTCGTCGGCGCTGTGACCTGGCCGTCTGTGTGCGAACGGATGACGTACGTTCCTTTTTCTGCGCCGGGGAAGGCGTCGAGGGCGATGAGTTCGGAGATGGGTTTGGGGGTGCAGTTGAAGACACCCAGGATAGATACACCGCTATGTGCCATTCCGACGTAGGTGTTCACTTTGAGGAGGACGATGTCGTCGTATGCGTTGTAGGCTTGTGTGGTTTTACCCACAGTTTGGGGACGTAGAATAACCGTGTCGCCGCGCGGTGTCTTGCCCGTCATCTGGTTGATGAGGTCGATGTCGTGTTGCCCGGGGACGTCGGTGATATAGATGGGGCCGCCGGAGACGCAGCGTGCGGCCGCGTGGAAGGCGGCGTAGTCATGGCTCGTTTGGAACATGTCCCAATCCGGGAGTATGTTGAGATATTGCGTTATGATGGAGTTGTGTGCGTTGCAGAAGATATGCCAGGGGTGGCTGGCGGGTACTTCGGGGAAGAAGTCGTCCGAGTTACGCAGTAGCATGCGTGGTTTGTTCGAGGGCAATTGCGAGTGGAAGATTAAGGGTGGGGCTTGTGACATGCAGGATATGGCGCGCGCGGAAAAGGAACGTAGCTGGGCGATGGACCAGGCGTCTTGGTAGGATTTGATTAGTTTGCGGCGGTCGTCCGAGTCGTGGAGTTCGTCGAGGAAGAACTGGGCGTCGGTTTTTACGGAGTCGATGCCGCAGGAGGATAGGAACTCGTAGAAGTCTTTGTAAAAGCGGGAGACGTCTTCTTCTGCTACAACGGTGATCTTGCCGCCCGATACGCCGTCTTTGAGTTGGACGAGACTGGTTTTGTAGTCTTTTGCTATGCGGCCTTCGGGTGCGATGCCTCCCCAGTATCCGAACATGGCGTGCCACACAGCAATGTGGCGAATGTGGCTGTACTTTTCTCGTATGTCGCTGACTGTGGCTTTGAGACCACGAGGGAAGCCTTTTTTGGTTGCTTCGAACTCTGTCATGGCGTTGTCGAACTGGTCTCCGCCTTCCGTGTTGAGTGATTGCCAGTTGTCGTCGATGATCAAGTTGCTAATATTGATCTCGTTCTTGCGTAGTGACTCCAATGCCTCGAAGATTTTTTCCTCGGTGAGCTTCTGACCTAGACCGTTCCAGGTGCAGTATGTCAAGCCATCGTACCAATTCTCCAGCCACTGCGGTTTGAAGTCGTCCATCAAGGCCTTCTCTTCTTCATTGATCAGTCCTGCCGATACTTGGTATGCCATTACGAGTTTGCGAGCATAGTACATCGAAGCTGCTACCGCATCGTCTAGCTTCATGCCCACTGCAGCAACGATACGCACAGTACCATCTTTTTCACTGTCGTTTCTGGCGTTCATAACGACTCTCCCCTCACCGTCGTGATTGAGGGTTGTCAATACCTCGTCCAATCCACTCACTGCAAGCAACGCCAAATGAGAGCCATCGTGACGCTCGAATGCGGCCAACATGGCATCCTTGTCAGGCTGGAATCGGTCCTTGCCCTGTCTCGGAGCAAGCCATGGGGCCCAAAGTCGTACTTCGGCGAACCAGCGGGAGAGATTCGTCGGTTTACCAAGCTTCTCTCCTGAAAGACCGGGCTGCTTGCCTGACGCCGCACTGATTGGGTACGTAAGGTCCCACAGAACGGTGTTGGGCGTATCGCTTTGTTCTTTGGATATGTTGAGGAATGGTGGCAGGCCCTCGAGATAGTAAGTCAAATCCTCTTTCAATGCATCTGGTGACTGATAGATGATGCGTCCGTCTGAGGTTGAGAATTGTTCATTGGCCCATTTCCACGGTTCGCCCTGGACACGTTAGCGAGAACCCTTCGGTCGAACATTTCACATGATCAGTTCAGTCAGCCTATTATAGACCGAATGCTCAAGACTCACCTCTGAGGCTCTGAAAGTGATGGTGTATGACAGCGAAGAGCCGTGTTTGGGTCGGCCAGCGAAATCTATTGTATAGTACTGGCGTTGCACATTTGACTGATCAGGCTTGACTACCGTCTTCACGTAGTTAGCTTCTGACGAGCCCGGGTGGTACGACCATATGCTCACCACAGATGCATCATTGTTTGGCTTCAGACTAGTGCTTGTCCATTGATCGAGAGTATCGAAGTTGTGCCACAATGCGACCTCCCATGTTCTGTTCGAGCTAGCTGAGCTCTCAATAACTACTGTAAACCTTACCTGAGGATGTGATTAGATGAGACTCAGGTCTGGGAATAGATCGAACACACAGATTCTCGATCAGAGGGGATGGTAGTCGTTTGACCTAACGGAGGATGGCAGCTGAGTGCGGCGTACATGGTATCGATTCAATGCAGGAAGTGAGGATAAGCTATGTGGTCAGGATAACGTATACAAAGAAGCACAGAAAGACACGATGAATGGGACGGATGAGGATGGAAGTATTGAGTTTGCATTGACCAACAACTAAGGTATGAAGCAGCACAATGATGCATATGCAGGCACTAAGACGCCGAGGAGGTGCAGGTGACGTGTGCGGATGCGGACGCGGAAGTCGGGGTAGCTAGAGGTGCATTGAAGCTCCAGCCAATCGGCGTCATCGAAGTCCCATCTTGGCATTTGGGGACATTTTGGCATGGGCCAAGTTTTGATGCCGCTCAATTGGCAGCCATGTCAGCCTTACGACGTCTATCAAGGCCCCGACCCTTTGTCTGTCGACAATGCATACGACATCAACATGCGCTCGCCCGTGGTGAGCGACCGGCTGCACGATGGGCCGACGAGGAACCCGACCCAGTAATAAGACAGGCGCAATGGGACGAACATGCGGGAAGAGTGCGAGCGGGGATGCACCAGAGCATGCTGAGTGTACTTGAAGAGCGTGGATTCGTAAAGGATGTCGCTGGGTGAGCATCTCGTAAAGATATGCTTTTAACTGTCGTTAATTGTTATAGCGGACGTCAGACGCTCGACTGGCTGCTCACCGAGAAGCGCATCGGCGCGTATGTCGGCGTAGACCCTACAGCCCCCTCTCTACATGTCGGCCACCTTCTTCCGCTTATGGCCCTGTACTGGATGTACCTCCATGGCTACTACACCGTCAGCTTGGTGAGCCACCCACGACTCGATGCACGCAACGCGAGTTAATCATGGCTAGTTAGGTGGAGGGACTGTCCAGATTGGCGACCCTTCTGGCAGGACAACAGCTCGATCCCGGCAAGGCGAAGACGTGCAGTCTATGAATGTGGAGAGCATACAGCGCCAATTGGAAAAGCTGTGGACAAATGTCAAATGCCTGGGCATCAAGTACCAGTACTCCCCCATGATCAGCCGAAAGCAGGACATCCTCAATAACAGGAAATGGCTGTCACAGCTGAGCGCGGTCGAGCTGATGAGGGATCTGGGGTCTGGTATGCGCCTGGGCGCCATGCTCAGTCGCGACTCGTAAGTCCTTCATGTCTTGAGTGGAGAATCCCTCTCACACGTCTAGGGTCAAACTACGAATGGAAAGCGGCGAAGGTATGGCTATATCTGAGTTCAGCTACCCCCTCTTCCAAGCCTACGACTGGTGGAGCATGTACCGGAACCAGGGCGTTCAACTACAAATAGGCGGATCTGACCAGTACGGAAATATCGTTGCCGGCATGGGCGCTGTCAGCCATATGCGCAAGATACATCGTATGGACAACGGAGCAGAAGGCGACGAGGACCCGCAGGTAGCAACCTATGGTCTCACCACACCATTGCTTACAACAGCTTCTGGCGAGAAGTTTGGCAAGAGTGCGGGCAATGCGGTCTGGTTGGACGGCCAGATGATGAGCTCGTTCGACCTATACCAAGTACGCTTTCCGCAACCTTCTACGATGCCATCACTGACAACTTACCCAGTACTTCCTCCGCACCGCCGACGCCGACGTAGAACGCTACCTCAAGCTCTTCACCTTCCTCCCCCTCGATGAGATTCGCCTCCTAATGAACCGCCAAAACCAAGACCCCTCAAAACGCCTCGCCCAACACATACTCGCTCGTGAAATCGTTGAGCTAGCACACGGTGCCGCAGACGCGAAGAAAGCCGAAGCCGCACATAAGGACGCGTTCGGTCAGGGAGCCCATACCTTCTCGCTATTCTCGCTGAGAAACGCGATTGCCGGCGACAAGGGCGATGTCAGCGAGCCAAAAGAACGCATGAAGAAGGAGGACAGAGAATTGCTAGAATACAAAAAAGCCTATGCCGCTTCCTCTACCGCACAACCTACAACTACTAGCCCGAATGAACGACCCCAGCACGACAAGGCAAATATCGTCACGCTCCCCCTCTCCATGCTTCAAGCCGGATCCTTCCCCCACGTCCTCCACGCCGCCGGTCTCGCAAGTTCCAAATCCGAAGCCAGCCGCTTGATCGCGAAGAAGGGCGCGTACGTTATTGTACCCAATTCTGGTACGCCGGATAACCCTACCGCATTGAAGTGGGCGACTATCGAGCCGGGGAAGGAGGTCAATCCGTATCACTATCTTGTGGATTGGGAGGCGCTGGTGTTGAGGGCGGGAAAGAGCAAGATTCAGATCTGTAGGGTGGTTAAAGATGAGGTGCAGGAGTAGACAGAGCAAAAGACAGAGGAAGGACAATAAATGTAGAAGTGTATGTCATGTTCATCGCGGATGGAGGGCTGTACGAATGCAATGTCATATGCTCCACTCTATACTATCGATTTATCCAAGCCTTCTGCTGTGTTGATGGATATTCCGTGTCAAGATATGCAAGTGATACCCAATGATCATCGCCGTCATGCTACTTCACGACTCCAAACACCGACCAGACCTACCCACACCCCTCACGCCATGCCTCGCATGCTGGAACCTCGTTCCAACACCGATCTTGCACGGCGCAAGCGGACTGCCTTGTACCTCTGCATCCACCACCTCCTTGCCCTTTCTGTTCTCTAGTCCCACGCTGCCATTCTCATTATCGTTCTCATTCACAGTATACCGCATCGCTCGTCGTTCTTTGATCGCGGATGTACGCGTAGAATGGTAACGGGACGGACCGCGCTCGATACAGACGTTGGGGCTGAGAGGACTGAGTTGGATACCGCCGTGTTCGAGAATAGGACATTTTGCTTGCGATTGGTGGGGGCGAATGATGACGGTCGTTGGGGAATGCGTTTGTGTCTGGGTTGGAGTGTGTGGCTGGTTGCGAGGGCGCCGTGGAGGGAGTACTTTGAAGAGGGGGGAGGTGCGGAGGCTAGAATCGGATTCGAGAAATGGGTCTGGGATTGTGATTGTGCTGATTTGATGGGATGATTGCATGCTATCCTTGTTGAAGACATGCTTCTCAGACGAAGAGCGCGGTAAATGGCTAGTAGACTGGTAGTCGAGCACATTCTCGATACCGCATGTTTCTTGTTCGTATAGAGATACGGTTGCGAGCCAGTCGTTGACACGGTCCCTAGGCGGACCAGTAAGACTGGCAGTGCGGTTTCGAGAACCTGCGATGAAGTATCCAGAGTCGTCCGACCACGACTCGGAGCTCTGCTCGGATACGCGGGGGCTGACAGCCTGCGTCGCGTGCGATACCATCCGGAACGACGTACTCGACATGCACGGAGATTTTGGATGTTGTACTGGAGAAACTGTGAGAGTAAAGCGTTGCTCATTCCTACTGTGCTCCGCTGGTGGCGAGGCCTTTCTGGAGATGTTTGGTAGCTGGGGATACGAGACGCCTCGGTCAGGCTGAGGAGGCTGAGGGCACTCATGATCGCGGCCGGCATCTTCGAAGATCTGTCTCATCCGCGCGGCATGTCCAGCGCGGGCTGGTGACTGTAACAGTGTTGAGCCATTGTTTGCACGTCGGACCCGAATGTTGGCTATTCGAGAGGGTGATGTTGGAAATGCACTTGGACCTAAGAACGTGGATGCTGTCGCTATTTGAAGGCGGCCGTGGTTAGTGAAGATGTTGTTTGTGGGCAATTGGCTGTATGCGCCGTATGCTGTCTCGAGAACTACACCTCCGTCGGGAGATGCCTCAGTGTTGTCGATATGCGGCAGCCAATGCCCAGAGGTCTGTCCGGGTGTCACGGGTGCCACGGGCTCGCGGAATGTGCGGCAGCATCCACTGGAGATACCCTATAATAGAGTTAAGTAACTTGTAGGAGCAATTCAGTCCTGCGCCATGCACGAACTTGCTGGGAGGCCATATTGATCGGTTGCGCGATTTCTTCATCGTCGTCCATATTCATCCGGGTCATCTCGAACATGCTGAGCTTGGCTGTTCGCGTGGGTACTCGACTTTGCACGAGCGATGACTCGAGGACGGCTTCAGCTGTCGTACATGACTTTGTGGCTGGGAGGTCGATAGCGAGGCTGCAGCAGTTGCACCAACGCCCCCTACATACTGCAGTTACCAGTCGTGCCTGCCAATTGAGCGCGAGCAGTTACTTCCCCGCCAAGTTTTGGTAGCACAGGCGCATAGCAAGATTGCAGATGTACTTTTCTCGTGAACAAGTAGCACATGTGTGGAGTGTAAACATTTTTCCGGAGGATCCAATAGTCAGGACATGAGTCTGATCGTATAAGATCCATATATGACGTGTGCGGTACACGGGGATGTCCAGGTGGGGATCGTCGCTGATCTGGTAGCGACGACCGCAGCTTCCGTATGCACAGAGCACTTGCTCGGGTCCAGTCGATAGAGGCGTTGTCGGATGTTTCTTTTTCTGCCCATAATTTCCGCCACGCTGACATCACGTGGCAGAATGTGCCGGTGCCTGCCCAACGGCCATATCGAAGGTTCTGCGTGAACTCTACCGGTGATTGCGCGAGATAGTGTCAGCCTTGGGATATCTCAGAGATATCACGTCAAGGTTTCGGCGCAGTAGGACGAGACGCGGGACGGTGTAATCGACGCACCAAGGCCGCTGAATCTCGCTTGTCGATCGCTATCTATGGGACGCCTCGAATTGATTACACCCAGCTGTCCACCTTCGATCCCGCCATCACGGTCACCGTGGTTCGGCATCTAAGATTAATCCCGTCTTTCACAACCATTCGCTGCGCCTCACAAAATCAACTTCGATCCCGACCCTGCGTCCAATCTTGCAGGCTCGGCCCTTTCTCCGATCACCAGGATCCCTAGCAACAGCCTTGGGACGTTGTAGCGTACACCGTCAACGGCGCTCTTAGGCAGAATGGTTCGCACTCCGGCAGGCACCCTTTGTGAGAGTCGCAGTAGGCGTATTGTCTGGCCCCAAAGAGGCGTCATGCATGCAGGAACAGCAGGCGAGGGCTAAACTGGGCTGTCTTGGCCGGGACGACACTCGAGACCGAGTCGCGGGCCCGCCTCGTCTACGCAAGGTGATGCTATGTAAAACACACCATGGCTGCAAGCATCTGAAGCATCCTACAACATTACCAGGTCGCCCCAAGTGCTGACAACCACAAATAACCACGAATAGCTCCTCAGGCGCACCTCGAGAAAACCTTACCCTCATCACAGTGACTGCAGCGGACGTTTTCGAAACGGCGCACGCTCTCGCACCAGCGTACGTTGGGCGCATCTTTGGGACCCTCTCCTCACCTCGTGCTGAGGCGGGAGTGTGTGCGTTGCCCGCGACTGTCGCACCATGCTGATTTCGATAGACGGTGACCAGTACGGGGCCCCTGAGTCGCCCGCGCATGTCGTGGCGTCTTCGCTTCCTGCACTACACCTTCTAGTCTGTGCTTCTAAGTCTGAACCATGCCAACCTTGCGTGTTCCACAATCTGCCCTGCCTGCCACTCCAAAGTTTCTGTATTTGCGTGACATGTCGTCGCTGTCTCTCGTGCCTTTTGCCTACCCTCACTCTTTCCATTCCATCTCGGCCTGAAGCCATTCGCGAGCTCGAAGCTCTTGCGCCACCACCATTCTGTCGCATCCTAACTATTATACTTTCTTTTTACTACTTTCGACACCTCCGCGTAGCTTAGTCCCCGCATTTACCCTCTGTAAATATATTCCTTATACTTGGCTCAACGGCCTGTCAATCTATTCAACCGCCTTCGTTCATCGCGTGCTATCGATAGCCGTTCTTCCGACAACGCTCGTCTGACTTGGCTGGGAACCTCTTACTGTAAGTACATGGATTTTCTTTGAAACCCCATTGGGATCAGCGTCACGTTGCTGCAACAGACAACGTCACACCTTCCCTTCTTCCTCGCTTCTGCGTCCGCTATCGTCCTATTTGGCATGTCATTGCTGGGCTGCATAGGCTCTTGGGCTATAGTGGCTCGGTTATACTCTGCATTGCGGTGTACTCTCCGTCGGCAGAGCCCTTGCTGTCCTTATTGAGCCCCACCGATCATGCAAAGGACTCGTTCTGATCTGCGAGAGTAGGTTAGTCAATACCTGATACGGTGTATCAGTCACCTCCTGGTTCCTGGATCTCTGAAACCTCAGGCAACTGGCTGTCTCTCACGCAAGGAATCGCTGCTTTCCGCGTGTGCCGACACGTATCAAATCACCGCGTCTGTTCCTGGAGGCACCCTACACTCACCTCTTTGCCTGTAATTTGGAAAAGGTACCTGGACCAGCATTTGGGAGCTTGAGTACCCCAGGGCCTGCGTGTCATACATGTCCGCATTGGCCATCAGCTGTCTTGCAACAAGTGCGTATGCGTCAACAGTCGCACAACCGTACCCACATTCAACACTCTTACAAACCACACGTTGCCTGGAGCAGACTCGACGACTCTACCAGTTCCGCGCACCGAGGGTGTGAACCTCGCGTCGCACAATAACATTCCACCGCCAGACTTGTGTCCAGTGGCACATTTTACCGTCAACATTTCGATATCTAATTCATGAGTTACGACCCAAGACTGGGCGCCGCGGCATACGGTGCAACAGGCGCAAGCAGCGATGGAGACGCAAAGAAGGGTTCGGTACGGGCGGCGAGAGAGAGGATGCAGGCTGCACAAAAGAGGACCCAGCTCCCAGACACGTCGAAGATAATTGGCCTTCCTCGGCGACCAAACCAGCTGGTCATGCAGAACTCTCAAGAACGGGTAGAACAGTCACAGCAACCGGCGCCTCCGGGAAGCAGAGGTGACGTTGACTCGGGATCGTCGTCACCACAATGGCCACTGCCAAACAATACCAGGGACAAAGCAGATCCGACACCCGCTTTGCCACCTCGCTCTCCGAAAAGACTACAACCACCCCCACAGTTTGCACGCCCTGTATCCGACGAGTTTCCTATACAACAACTCTCACCCGATCTTCCCTCGCCGAGTTCCCCAACATCAATATATCTACATCCGAATGCCGACACCTTCTCTCCTAACTCGTTCCAATCTTCGCGCCCAATCACTACCTCGTCCATAGCCTCGGACTCCTCAATAGGATCCATACCCGACTTCCCTGTACCACAACCGCCTATGCCAAGTATCCAACAAGCGCGACGTTTTCCAAGTCTCGGTCCACCGCCCTCTTCGCGAAGAGGGCCTTCGTCTTACTACACGCAAATGTCGTATGTGTCACCCATCGTCGAGGAGTCGGAGAACAACTCTTCGAGGATACAGTCACAGCGCGGATCCTTTGCTTCTAGCAACGTGTTCCCGACTAACAAGGATGACTTCTACCCCGATGACGATCTCTACTCGGATGACGGCGACACTATAACCAGCCGCGATACCATCTCACCGACCCCGACCGACTCCGACGATCGAAGCGGCCTCGTACAACAATCGCCCGCCCTTCTGCGACAGGCGAGTTTGGGTAGGAGGACTAAGCCATCGCTGATGACTATCAAGTCAGTGGACAGCTTTGGAAACAAGAAGGGTGGAGCTGAAGGGAAGAGGCCAGATGGTTCTAGGCTTGGCGCGGGAGCCATGGGCATAGGGGCTGCAACACTCGCAGCGAGGGATGGCAGTCCATCGGGCGTTTCGAGACATCCTCTCAGCAGGTCCGTTTCTATGGACTCTATAGACACGATAGAAGACTTCAAGAGCAAGGCTGGAAACGTTGGGACTGCATCACCACTCCAACAGGAATTGCGACACCCCGGAATGTCCGAGCGTGCTGGTATGCGACGGCCCGCAAGGCTCGACATGGACGCGGTTCGGGACGCTGAAGCGCGCGGTAGCTTGACGAGTCTGCCAGATCTCATTCGAAGAGCCACGCGCCTGGCAGCAAACCTTGATCGCGGACGCACAGCAAGTCGACTTGGATTAGACTTTTGGGAAACCGGCGCTCCCGATAGGAACCAAGTTCGTCAGTCTGGATTGTCTGAGATGCTTGCCGCTTTCCCACCACCTGGTCAAGAAACTCCCACCCGCTCCGGCCGGGGTACCCCAAACTTCCGCAATGGCAGCATGACGAAATGGCCGTCAGGTGGTAACTCGCGCAACGGTGTTACCGACTCTGGACTCAGCAACGAAAAGCAAAAGCCGCGTCGAAGGTGCTGCGGTATGCCCTTGTGGACATTCATCACGCTCCTCATAGTCTTGCTTTTTGTCATCGCTGCCGCCGTCGTCATCCCTGTGTTCCTAATCGTCCTACCCAACCAGAACAAGGGCGCCAATACCTCTGCCGCTCAAGAGACTCAAGGAAGTAACAACGGAGGCAACAACGGGGGTAATAACAACATGAACAACCCCAACGCACCTGCCGCACCACTTCCCACATCTGGGTCAGGACAAGGGAACGACCAATGCAGCGGTATCATCACCTGCCAGAACGGCGGTGTCGCCATACTCAACGGCGATCGATCGTGCAACTGTGTATGCATTAACGGCTTCACAGGAAAGACATGCACGAACGACGATGCTACTGGTTGCACCACAACTAGCATCGAGGGCACTGCCAACAACGCTACGATGGGCTCTGGTATCCCTCGCCTCATCGAGGTGACGGCGCCCAAGTTCAATATTCCTTTGGATGCCACTCGTGTCTTGTCGTTGTTCTCTCAGCTTTCCCTTAGTTGCGCAGCCGAGAACGCTCTGATTACATTCAATGGTCTCGCGTCTCGTTCAATTCCTCAGCGTCTTCATTCGATGGATTCAAGAGCCGCTCTGCACCCGTCACGTACGCTTCCAGTACTCCACCATCCTCATCCTGCCCAGATCCCTGGTCAGCAGGTCAAGCGCCAGACAGTCGGTCAGGTCGACGAAGCCGAGGCTCCGGAAGACCAAGCCAAAGCCCAGACGGACGAGCTCATAACACAGCCCATCTCGAGCAACATCAACGCTCTTGACTTCGCCCGTGTAGCTGTACTCCTAGCGCTTCAGGAAAGCCAGGACCTGGACGTGGCCGCGAGCGCACAAGAGTCCATACAAACCCTCCTTACCGACGACCGTAACGGGAACGCAAACCGCGGCAGCATCGACGTCGGCCCCTTCGAACTAGATCTCGTCAACTTCACAATCGAGTTCCAGAACGGCACCACGATACGCGGGCCACAGAGTACCTCATCCTGAGCTCCAGCGTCTACACTTAGATCCGAGATTTTGCCTTTACCAGCATAGCGATACCCTTTTTTGTCTTTTTGCCATCACACCATACATCATCTCTCTTTCCCAATACATTTCCATCTTGTCGCAACCAAATGTACGATATCAAAAGGGCTGGCGTGTGCCCTTGGACGGCACAGCGCAGGGCGTATCTCTTTTTTCCTGTTTTACTACTCCTTCATACAGTGTTTTTCTCTTTATATACCCGTCCTGTGGACGCTTTGTCATGACCGATGGACTGGATCTAATGTATTTTTGTTACGGTTGGTGGGAAATACCCCGAAGTGGAGTTTGATGTCAACGGCAGTCGCGATTCAGTACCAGAAGAAGAGGATAGCATAGCGCAGAGACTACGTAAGTCAGATTGATGTAGTGGAAATGATATGGTTCGCCAAAACTTCTTCGTCGTTCCGTATGTGCAGTGAGTGTTGTTGTGGTGGCTGATGGGTACACGTAAGGGACGCATACCTGAACAAGATGCTAACAGTGTATCAGGCTATTATATCTATCTGCAATGCACACGCGTGTCATGAATACGCTCATGGTGTTCTTCCCACTATCCCTAAGTCGCTGATGTTCCACTTGCAGCGTTCCTGCCGATCTTCCCATTCACCCTTCGCGACTTTCCCTTTCACTTCACTACACAAATCTCTCCACCACCAAACACCATGAAGTCTACCACAACCCAACTCAGTGAAACAAATATCCTGCCACTCCGCTTATGGTCCCCCACCCCCACGACCTTGCAAAAAAGGGTCCAAAACAACTCTCGTCGCTGACCTAATCACACTAAAGCCTCGTTGCCTGGAGTGCATAAAAGCTCACTGCCCCGCCGCCGCTGCGGTTTCTTGTTTACGCACTGGCGACTCACGATTGTTCCATTTTGACGACACTTTGATCACACCTCTTTTCTTGCCACTGCTTCCCAATATCTTGCCTACCTTTCGCTTGCAAGCGCGACAACTCCGTCTTCCTTCTGTCAGCTTGACTCACGGTACTTCGGTCTTTCTGATAGTGCGCCACAACACCCGCCAACACTATGTGGGCGTTCAAGGTCTTACCAACCTTGTTCGGTCTCGGTGCATGGTTTCGTCCGTCGTCACCTGCGTCCGATGTCCAAGTCGTCGTTCAGACTTATCTCGTGCTTGACGTACCACTACCTACCATCACCGTCACTGAAACCGTCGGAGGTAAGTCTCGACGGCTCGTTTTTCGCTCTGATATGATGACTGACATTTTTCCTAGTTCTTGCTACCGCCATCACCCACACCATCCCGACTGCCTCCTCCACTCCCGTCCCTGAATCCGACCGTCCTACTATAGATGGCTACGCCTATCCCTTCCCTGACTACACCCGGGCCGAGTCTCGCACCAGAGCGCGTTCCGATGAGCGTTATCAAGATCGTTTGACTGCAATGCACGTAATGTGGACGCCTCAGTATTCCATATTCGACTTCGTCGTGTTCCTCACTACTACCTTCGCCTTCGCTGTTATGACCTTATGGATCGCTATCGTCGCCAAAGACAAGGTTGACATCGTGCGGTACCTCGAGCAGATCCCTGGATACATCGACGCTTCCTTTCAACACACTGGGTGCCGCATTGGATACGCGTGTCTGATCCTGGCTTGGATAGGCTTGATCACCGACTACTGCATCGGATGGTCAGAAGGATACTTAGTATGGCCGAAAATAATCAATGTGCTTTTCTCGTATCCACTCCTCCTCATCGCACACTTCCAACTGCCGCCCATTGGGCACATTCTCTTCCTGTTTGGAAGGTTTGCAAAGACAGTTGCAACCGCCCCAGGGCGATGGATTGCTAGACAAGCGAGACGTTGGTACGAAGCCCGGACAAGCAAGCGTCGCATCGACAAGGTATTCGATCGACCTATATCTAGGATTACCATTGGAGAATGCCTTTTCCCGGACCTTGCCGCCGCCAAACCAAGACAGCAGGACACCAAATTCTCTCAGATAATCAAGGCCGCTTTGAGCGACACCTTCTTTCTCGGCTGGAATCTCATCGTTCTCGTGATCGAGCTCCGTATCCGATCTTGGATGCAGATCTGGTCACACACTCGCGATGTCATCTTGGTCACGATGGAAGTCCTTTTCGGCTGGGGCGACGATGCGTTCCTTTGGGACGTCTGGCTGGGGTGCTACCAGACTGGCTTGAAGGGCCTTCGTGGATGGCTTTCCGTAAGCAATGGGCTCATCAAGACAGCTCTCGGAGGGATTTGGGTTGGCCTCAAGCTGGTCAAAGCCGTCTTCAATCGTTTCCTCATCCGTGTCTTGGACAGGAAAGTACCTCACAACTTGACGCCCTGCGAAATCAAGACTTACGAAGACAAAGTCAACAATGCCTATTGCGAAACGTCCACCTACAACCACAGCCAGATCGCGCTCCTTTTGTTGAAACTTTGGGGAGCCGTCGAAGACATAGCTCGTTTGGAAGCTCAAATCAAATACATGCAGCAGCACTGCGATTCCATAAACAGCCGCGAGATTGGCGAGAAGTGTGTTGGCTACCGTGCAACAATCATCGAGCTCATTCACGATAACAACTACTTCCGTCTTCTGCTCTGCGCCATACTGAACGCTCTGTACAACGAACTTCATGGCCGAAGGCCCAATGACCTCAACGCCAAACATCCTTACAAGCCCAGCCAACTTGAGTTCCGCGTGGCACCTGACCCGCTCACTGGCTTCTACATGGGTTACAGGGAACACACGATTCGGGCCGTCAACAAATGGGATCTCGGCTACGAATACCTGAGACAGGTTGAAAACTTCGGCATGAAGTACGAGAAGGAACCTATGCGCATGTCGATGATCCTCGCCTGGAAAGCCAATGGCCCCGGGAACGTTCCTGACAACTTCGATCCGTTCGTCAAGGACCACTGGGTCTTTTCTGGCGCCATACCTGGTCTCAACATCCCCGTCTACAAGTCTGAGCACAACCCGTTCAACATCCACGCTAAGCGCTTCCCTGTCTACATCAATCCTGAGGGGATCTTTGGACCCCAGATCGAGGACTTTGCCGCCAAGGGCCGACTTGCGCAGTGGGGCGATTCTGAGGCCATGAAGCCCAAGGTTGCTCCTTTCGACGCCGCCGAGCTCTGCAGGTTTACCGCCAAGATGGATTTCGGTGCTGAGCCGCTTCGCAAGCACAAGATGGCTTCATTGCGCAAGATGCCCGTGTACTCGAGTGATCCATGCCCGACTGGTGAGCCCAGGACGACTGACTTCCCGCTCTACAGGAAGGACTTTGCCTAGATACGGATAGAGCTCTGATAAAAGATAATTATGAGGCCGCGAGAAACGACATCAACAACACGGATCCTCATCATATACTAAGGCCACTCGAACACTCCAGACAACACCTACCGAAACCCCCTCTCCACGTCCCCTCACCGATCTGCCTCACGACCACCACCGCCTCTTCTCCCTCTACACAAGACTCAACATTGACAAGGCAGCAGCCCTGTGCCACCTATAGGGTGAGTAGCGCATTCGTGCGCCTCACCGGGTGCCCCACTGCGCTGCTACAAACAAACCCTCCCCACCCTCTATGGAGTCAAGACACTGAAGCTCAAACACACTCTATGTATGTTTGGATTGCCCGACTGTCTTGTTACACCAGCTCCTCACCTTTATCCGATGCAGCAGGTATAGCCCTTTACGGTGCCTGAGTGACTGGACCGGGGTTTACCCCGGGAAGGTCCCGTTCTGAAGGATGGTGGGGTGGGTAGGGTTTGTTTGTGTTGACATGCATGTGCTGGACGGATGGATGAGCGTGTGATGCTTTTGAGATGGATGCTGAGATGGTATGGACGGGGGTTAAGTGAGTGTAGAAATGATGGTTGAGTGTGATGGTGTGAGATAAGGAGGATGTGGAGGTGATGTTGTGGATCTCAGACGCGATGGTGTCTTGAGAGCCTTTTCTTTTGTGCGATACCCCTTGCCTTTTTTGCTCTTTGTAGCTCTTGCATTACAAGTGTTCGGCCGGTGTTTTGGAGTTCGGATAGATAGATACCCACCTGCTTGTTCCTAGTTGTCGTAACCAAATCTAAGTTTCAACTTCCATACGAGCGATGTGATGAGATGAGTCTTCATCTCGACAGCTTCATGTCCGAGTGTATATGTGAATGAAGTTGTGGCGATGAGAGCACAGGGCAAGTGCAGCCGCGATGCGACTCCAGGGCTGCCCCTCCATGCCCCACTCAAGCAGCTCTCAATTACCTGTTCCTGAGCTGCCAGTCAAGACTACAACAGCCACACCTCCCCGCTAGCCCGCCAACACACCCTACACCCCGCCAACATGCCTCAGGAAGCCTCGAAGATCTCCGACCCCGACGCGACGTCGCAAGCAGCGGCCGAAGTTGTCGCGGAATCGAGTAAGCAGGCAGAAGCCGAATCCGCAGAAGAGAGCGGCGACGACGCGACCGAGACGGTGGAAGACGCAGAGGGCGCGTCGGAAAAGAAGAAGAAGAGCAGGAAGCGCAAAATTAAGGATGCCATCAGCGGCAAAGGCAAGGCTGGCGAGACCACCGACCTGAATGCGCCCGCAGGAAACGTCCTACCGAAAGAAGCGATGAACATGCTGCTCGCGAACAACCCCGGCCTGGCGAATGAACTGCAGGGCAAGGCGAACAACAAGGAAGAGCTTGCGCAATTGATCAAGAAGCTCAACATCAATGAGATGTTGACGGGTCTGGCGCCGCAAGGCAGCCAAAAAGACATGGCCAGCCACGCTTTCTGGAAGACACAGCCCGTACCTAGCTTCGAGGAGATGGCGAACAAGGAGAAGATCAAGGACGGCCCTATCAAGGAGATCAAGATTGAAGAGGTAGACAAGAACCCAAGTCCTATGTACCCTGGCTTTGAATGGGTGACAATGGATCTGGAGGATGAGAAGCAGCTGGAGGAGGTGTACGAGCTGCTCACAAACCACTACGTTGAAGACAAGGATGCCACCTTCCGCTTCAAGTACTCGCCTTCATTCCTGAACTGGTAGGTCTTCGGAGAGTGGTATCCAAGATTTGAGCTAATGTGAGCAGGGCCCTGAAAGCGCCTGGCTGGAAGAAGGAATGGCACGTTGGTGTCCGCGCAACCGCCTCAGGCAAGCTCGTCGCATTCATCTCAGGCATCCCGATACAAATGCGAGTTCGCGAAAAGGTCCTCAACTGCTCCGAAGTCAACTTCCTCTGCGTCCACAAGAAGCTCCGCTCCAAGCGGTTAGCACCCGTCCTCATCAAGGAGATTACCCGCCGCTGCTACGTCGAAGGGACATTCCAGGCCGTATACACCGTCGGCTCCCTACTTCCCACACCCGTGTCAACAGCGCGCTACTTCCACCGCGCCATCGACTGGGAGAAGCTATACGATGTCGGCTTCTCTCCTCTCCCTCACGGCAGCACCAAGCAACGCCAGATCATACGGTACAAGCTCCCAGACACCACTTCCACCCCCGGACTGCGCGAGATGGAGGCCAAGGATGTGGACGCAGCTGTCGATCTTCTGAGGCGATACCTGGAGCGCATGGATATGGCACAAGTCTTCAACAAGACCGAATTCGAGCACTGGATGGCGCCAAAGGAGAAGCCCAAGGAGCAAGTGGTGTGGAGCTATGTTGTTGAGGATCCCAACACCCACAAGATCACCGACTACTTCTCCTTCTACAACCTCGAGAGCACTGTAATCGGCAATAAGAAGCACAACACCATCAAGGCGGCATACCTCTTCTACTACGGTACAGAAGTCGCATTTGACAAGGAGGACAAGGACAAGACAAAGCTCAAACAACGACTAAACTTGTTGATGAAGGATGCGTTGATTTTATCGAAGAAGGTGAGCATCCCAATCATTTGATACCGATCTTTACTAACATAACCAGGCCGACTTTGACGTCTTCAACGCACTCACCCTGCTCGATAACCCGCTCTTCCTGGAAGAGCAACGATTCGGCGCTGGAGACGGCTCCCTGCATTACTACCTCTACAACTACCGCGCTGCGCCGATACCGGGTGGCATTGATTCGCGGAACCAATCAAGCAAGGACCACATGGGCGGTATCGGGTTGGTCATGTTGTAAGCGTCTGAGCGTGCACCTACAGCGGTGTTTGGATAGCGGGTTGCTGCTCGTGTTGGGAAGGGTCGAGGATTGTTGGGATGCGGTAGGGTGGCAGTCGGTTCCTACCCTTGATACAATGAGAGCTGTCTGGGAAGATTCAGATGTATCGACCCTTTACCTGCCTATGATGTCCATTATTTTTCATCTGCATATCATGTGCCACATGTCTAGGCGGTTGTAGCACGGTTTTGCAAGCATGTAGAGACTCCCAAGAATGTGGCTAGGCAGCGACGTCACATGCTCAGCCCAACTCCGCGGGTTTCAGCCGCGCTGTCGCCTATGTAACCACCTGGGCACCTTTGACCCCTCATTGGGTAGGCGCAGCCAGCTTTCGCCCAGCCAGGTAAAGGTGACTGCGTCTATCCGTAGTTAGCCTTGTTTCCGTTTCTGTCGCTGCCTTTCGCTCTTGCTGACCTTCTCTCCATCACATCGAAAGAGCCAGCCTATTCACCCGCCAACTACACCGTGCGCTACCCAGCAGCTTGCACATGAGCAGCGTTTGCGGTTTGCGGCACGTGCTTGGGTGTAACCGTGGTCCAGCCTCGCACTCTGCTATATTTGAACTCACATTGTTTCCCCCCAATCGTTGTCAACGCTCAACTTCTTTGCAGCATACATCGTCTCCTGACAAGCGCATCTGACGACTGCCAAGTCTGTGACGACCTCCTGGCCCGACTTCCAGCTTGCTGCTGTCACCCAAAAACATATTGAGTACCTCCAGGCTCTTTGCTTATTTTGAGAGTTTGGTACCGATGGCGGAGGAAGATCCTACCATGCAGGCAGCGAACGCTATCAACCACATGGAAAGATCAGACAAGGACGACACAAGAAAAGCAGATTATCAGCCCGAGACGCCATCGAACTACGTTACCCTGGACACCTTTGCGGAACTTACGCATCACCTCAGAACGCGCAGATGCCGCGTATGCGACGAATTATTCTTTTCCTCGGAGCTGGACATTCGGAACCTGTTTCAAGACTGGGCAAACGGTATAGTGGATCAGTTGTCCTGCGTTCTCAGGTGCAGTAATTGTAACACGCGCTCATGTATCGCATGTGAGCCGGTCCCCTTCGCAACGTCCTCCAGAATCGGATTTGCCTCGCCAAAAAACAAACAAAACTTATCATGGTGCTGCGTGGGCGGGCGCCTGTTCTTGATATGGGCGGTCCTCTGTGGGTTCGATCGACGTATCTGGGAGTCCAGGAATCTCGGAAACGTATCCAAGCAAGTCAGGCCAGAGTCAAAATTGAAGCCCAAGAAGATCCAGAAGTCCAGCCGTGGTGGCAGTCAAGGTCCCTGGAGCAGTAACAGGCCTTCAAAAGGCTCCATGCCTAGTGGTATGGGCTACGGCGGGCACGGCTCGGGCTCCAGTGGACATGATCACGATACGTACGACGACGATACCTCCGAAGACGATGGCGAAGTTGAATATGACATCAACGGTGAGCCGTTCAATGCTGAAGCACTGAAAGACATGTACGGGAAAGCACCAAGCCCCCCAAAAGGCCTTGAACACATTATGAACTCGATGAAATCCAAACCCAAACGTGTCGTGGGCAGGCAAGACGACACAATATTAAAGGCGCGAATTGCACGCAAAAAGGAAGACATCTTCAGCAAAACAATACTGGATTTCTTGACCGATCTTCTTCCATCTCTCGAGCGGGAAACCTGCTTCGATTTCGATCCTCCCGGTGCTATCTTGGAAATGCTCAACAATAGCAAGATCCTCCCACACTGCGCGGAGCTTCTACGCAACGACTCGTTGACCGACGTAACCAAGCGCAAAGATCTTTATCAGGCGCTGTTCTCTTTCCTGACTATGGTTGGCTCGCATTCTAGTACGGATGCAGCGCTCTTTGGCCCTCGATATGCGCGACCTGAGACGATAGACTTGCTTACACTTTCTTTCCACGATGAGATACCCGATGCAAAAGAGAAGGTGACCACTTTAGCCGAATGTCTACGAAACCTCACTACTCAAAGCTCAATGATGCTACAGAGCGCCAAGACGAACCAGAATGCCTTCAAAGATGACGAGGACCAGGAGATGCTTCACGTATGCCACCAGATTTCTATATTTACCGATTTCATTCAAACGCACATGATCACAGCGACCGATAGCGTAAGCGGCAAAGCGACTGTTATGGTACCAGACGGCCTTGATTTGAGTGACGTAGACTCCAAGCTGATGTCAAAAACTCATTACTATTGGAACACGGCAAAGACCCTCGGCTACTCCCAGCCGGGAAGGTTCAAGCGATTGATCACAGAGATTACAACGCTGCAAACAGGCCTACCACCGGGCATTTTCGTACGCTATTGCGAGGACAGACCTGACATCCTCAAGTGCATCATTGTCGGGCCTGCTGGTACGCCGTATGAAAATGGCCTCTTCGAGTTCGATCTCTTCTGCGGCGCAGCATTTCCGAACGATCCTCCGCAGGTCAACTTCAAGGGAACAGCAGGCGGTCGTATTTGCATCAATCCAAATCTTTACGCCGACGGTAAAGTCTGCTTATCTTTACTTGGCACCTGGTCTGGGGAGCCGTGGAACCCCGGGGAGTCGACATTGCTACAAGTATTGATATCGATACAAGCGATGATACTGTGTGAAGAGCCATGGTACAATGAGCCAGGAAGGGAAGCGGGTTACACGCGCAGCCTCAACGGGCCTTCGGCGATGTACAACAGGAAGATTCGTGACCATACAGCACGTACTGCAATTCTGGCTTGGCTCGACGAACCGCCACCACTATGGAAAGACGTTGTCGACTTCCACTTCAAGCAGCAAGGCAACACCATCCTCAAAACAGTAGAAGAGTGGGCCAAAGAGAAAATGCCTGAGTCTAACAACTCGGCTTCTGAGCGAACAATCGGAGAGGAGCTGTATGCGTACGACGAAGCGTTTGCCGAAGCTATGGCTGCTCGTCGCCCGGCTCCAGAGTTCAGCGATGTGGGTTCGTTGCTACCACAGCTACAGACTGCATTGAGGAAATACGGCGCTACCTTCAGAGTCGAATACGTCGCTCCCCCTGCTCCCCCTGCTCCGAAACGCAAGGCCGCACAAGCAAACCATTTCGGGCCTGGATTCTCGCCTTATCCACCTGGGTCGTGGGGTCCCGCGACGAGTTCTTCGGAAGCACCGACGTGGGCTTCGATGGCAGATTCGTCAGAAGCACCGACATGGGCTTCCGTGGCAAGTTCAACGACAGCACCGACAGAACCTCCATTCTCATTCGATAATTTGGATGCTTTCGCTGAATACATGGGCATCCAGAATCCGCAGGATGCTGCGCGTGGAGGCTTCAACCGCGGCCGTGGCCAGCATCGTGGAGGATTCGGTAGGGGCCACACAATTGCCGCTACGAACGGATCTACCGTGGGAGACTCTGCTGAGGCTCCTCGCTATGAACTTAGGTCGTCCACACGTGGTCGCGGCAGTGGCGAGGATCTGAGTACCCGTGGTGGGCAGGGTAGTTCCGGTACCGGCCATGCACCTTATAACAGCAATACCATGAACTATACACGCGGAGGAGGTGGGGTGTCTCCGGGTACCCAAGGATTGGGTCAGGGTGGCTTGGGCCGTGGGGGTCGTGGTAATGGTTTGGATGGTTCCGCTCTTGTATTTCCTCCTCCGCCTCCCGCTGGTACTCCGCCCGCCGGTTTTAACAGTTTGGGTCGTGGTCGAGGTGAACCTTCTCCAAGCGATAACGTCACCATGGGAGATGCGGCGCCGTGGACTCGCGGGGGGTTTGGCGGACGCGGCCGTGGTAGAGGAACCGGTCGCGGTGATCGTGGTGGACGTGGACGGGGTAGAGGTCGTGGCGACCGTGGAGGTAGCGGTTCCTAGTGTGAGCCACTTAGGGGAACCTTCTCAGGCAACTAGATATGCCATGGCGTTCGTGGTGGCACTCCATTCAGGGAGGAAACTGAAGAGGTGCCCTGTAGACTACATTAGTATCAGAACGGAAGTAAGCAAAGTCTTAACGCAATGTAGGCGTCTAGTGTATTAATTGTTATTATTTTGTGCAGGCGAGTGTTGAGTTTTTCCTTGAGTGGGGTGGTAGTTTTAGAGAAAGATACTTGTTTAACGCGCTGCTCTGTCGCGCGGTATACATGCACGGGATGGACGCGGTGAAGACACGATAGTATTCTTTGCGTTATATAGAAGTAACCAATTATAACAGTATTCAATCCAATCCAGACTAGAAAAGAGATGAGACGATACGCGATTGACGCAGCTCGACATTGATATGAAAGAGAGCAGACATTGTACGCGTCGAACCCCCATTCTGTCGGTGTTAACGGACTTAGCCCGCATTCCGTCATCGCCCATCGAACCCAGCATCGCGACGCGACGACCTAGGTACTTCCCCGCTCATGCCACCTCGCGTCGAAACCGCCTAGCTACCGCGATCATGGGCCAAGGAGTATCCCACGATACCCCGCAACTGACGCTGGGTAAGTATGGTTTTACCAATCTACTATCCCTCAATCCATAACCGTCGCTACGAACTTGCCGCCTAAACACCCCAACTAACGCCCTCCAGAGCAGCTCTCCCAAACCATCGCTCAACGCTTCGCTTCAAAAAGCTTCTCCCCCCTCGAACTCTACTGCTTCAATTCCGTCTTCCGCTCCCTCGCCGACACCGAATCCGGCGTGCAATACTGGAGCGAAAGCACACTATGTCGCTTCCTCGAGCTGCCAGATGCGCTGGGCGTAGGCTCCGTCGTCTTTCAGATGGCTAGCTACCTTGGCGCGTTCCCGCTTCCGAGTCAGGCGCCGGCTATACTTACACAAGAGGCGTTGCTCAAGGTGGTTACTATACTCACGGAGAGGTATGGGGCTGTGCTTAAGAAGAGGGGGAAGGAGATTTGGTTGAGGGAGATTTACAGGAGTTTGGCGATTTATGATAAGGGGATACGGTCGAGTTTGGAGGATAAGGAGAAGGAGGAGGTGGGACATGAACACAAGGGGGTGGCAGGCGGGAGTAGTAGTCTGGGGTTCGCGGTTGATGCGCCGGATGAGGGAGAAGAAGGGGAGGACGAGGATGATGATGAGCTGGTGCTGGCTGCATTAGACTCTATGGATGCGATCGACGCGTTTAAGCATGGGGAACAGACAAACGTTCATCATTCGATTATACCGACGGACAACTTCCTCAAGCTGGTTGAGCTGCTGCTGCTTATTGCGCCCATCGATGCACAGCAAAGCCTCTCGTCACTGGCACCGGATCTCTCAGATAAGCGGGTCGAGAATTTACGGCAAGCAGCGCATGTCATATTGTCGTCTTTCAACGTCGAGAATCATCCCGGTGTCACATATCGCACATTCAACACTGTCGTCTCAACAACAATGCCCTACCTGTTCAACGGCCTCAACCCGCTGTTCGAGCACTTCCTCTTCGCAAAGGACTTCGACCTCTCCAAAAAGAAGGCAGGCCCTGGCTCGCCTACCCAAGAGAGCAAACCTGTGATACCTCCACCAAAGGCAGAACTGGAGCCAGTCCTGCGCGAACCAGGAGAGATCTTGAACTTGACTACACTAAGCCAACTCTCGTTCTTCATCAAGGGCAGCAATCTCTTCCGGAGACTACGTCCACTATACAGCGGCAACACCCATGGCTTTAGCATGGGCTCCTTCGAAAAGCAGGTTTTCAACTGGCGCGCGCCCACCATCCTCCTCGTAAAAGGCCGTCTCCTCCCCGCGACACCCTCCAGCACACGCGAACGCGCATTACAAGACATGCTCCCACCCAAACGCCATTCCTCCAGCATAACCTCCAGCGCCCCCAACCAAACCTTCATCTACGGCGCCTACATCTCCTCGCAATGGAAACACACGGGCAAAACCTGTTTCGGCGACTCCTCCACCCAGCTCTTCCAACTCTCACCCACACACGACATCTTCCCCGCCTCCGCCTTCAGCAAAGACTACACCTACTTCTCCAAATCACCCACCCACCCCGCCGGCCTCGGCCTCGGCACCCCCATCCCCACGCAAACAGCCTCCTCAACGCAATTTTCGCACTCGCCCTTCCGCCCCGGCCCCGTCTCCCTGCATCTCGACGACGCGCTCGAATTCGGCATCTTCACGCATCTATCTGAAGGCGGGGGCTCGTTCCATCCGAGCAAGTTGCCTGGCAGGAAGAAGAAGGATTGGCAAGATCGCTTTGAGATTGAGTGTTTGGAGGTGTGGGGGTGTGGTGGGGATGAGGTTGCGGAACAGCAGAGGAAAGAGTGGGCGTGGCAGGAGAGGGAGGCAGAGGCTAGGAGGAGGGTAAATTTGGGTACGGGGGACGCGGAGATGGATAGGGAGTTGTTGAAGATGGCGGGGATTATTTCGGGGGATAGGAGTGGGGGGAGTATGGGCTGAGTGGCTGTAGAGAGCAGCTTTACGATGTAATGATATATACGAGTGATGAGGGTTCGAAGTTATCCTGCAAGTGCAGTCGAATTCCATTTATTGCAGTAGCTGAGTGTCCTGTCCCATTCTCGTAGTGCCGTGTAAACGCCTGTGATGCCTTGTTATGCATACATATGATACAGCCCCTCCTCTTTCCCGCATTGTACTCTCTGGTCCGTCAATCGCATCGTTTCATCCTCCTGCGTCGTTCCTAGAGTATCCAAAAGCCCATCTATCCTTGCCTGCATAATGTTAGCACCCACCATCCATAGCCATATCCACGTCTTGTAACTCACCTCTGCTTGTGCTTCGGATTCTTCGAGCAAATAATATAAACATAGCGTCCCTTCTTCCTCCTCACACTCTTACACCCATCACACAGCTTCTTGACTGAACTCCGCACTTTCATGCCGCGCGTTTGTATCCGCCCGCCCATGCTCAGGTTGTTGAAACTGGAAACGAGATCGCGGATGCCCGCGCTGGGTGCAGAGCGGAAGGTAGATAGCGTCGGTCGTACGCACGAGCATGTTGGGGTGTGGATGTGTTGGGTGCGTGTGCGCAGGGTGGTGCGGAGAGATTGGAAGGTGGTGGGCCGCCGGATGGGCAGGGCGAGAGCGCGAGATAGCATTGCGTGATTTCGGGTGTGAATTGGGGCCGCGGGCGGCGGGGAAAGTTTGCGATGGCGGTTGGTGGTGGGCGTGCAGCTATGGCGATGGACCTGATGATGACGGCGATGGTGTTGCGGCGGAAAATATATGCCAAGACGCTAGTGGCTCGATGAAGTCGCGCTGCGATGGGAGAGGGCATTCTGAACTCCACAACCCAAAGAGTTTCACATCTTTATTTTGCCCGAGATCTTGTGGAATGTGCCCGCAAGGTGATCAGGTTTGAGCGTGCAAAGGCGAGGCCCAATGCGTTCACCATTCAATACTTCCCGGTGTGTCTCAACATCGCGACTATACTCTACAAGCTCGACGCCATGAATCAAGGCAACAGAGACTTTGACAAGGACATGAAGCAGCGTGTGGAATATACGTTGAGCAGCGTCAATCAAATGGAGTCGTACGATAAGGAGTGGCAGGTAATGGGCTATGTATTGGATTGGAGGGATCTGAGTGAGCTGATACAGGGGGGTTTGAAGAGTGGCAGGAACAGGTCAGCTGAAGACCACTTCATGCATCAGCAATTGGAGTGTAGTTCTATGGCTACCAACATCGAGTCGGTGTTCTCAAGTGATCTTCTTGACAGAGGCCAGCTTCGATCTTACAGGCACATTGTGCTCAGCGTTCTGCGTATCCGGAAACCCTTCCAACTCCACACCCTTCCTAAAGATCACACAGTGCGAGCTTCCGCCATAGTGAAACATGCCAATCTCATCCCCCTTCTTGACGTGCTGTCCCTCCTTGACGGTGGTGTCGCATGTCGAGACCTCAGTCATTCCAATGCCCATGAAGCACACCAAGCCAAGATCCTTGTTATCAGCTTCGAAGAAGATGATAGCGCGCGTAGCCGTAGCGGTCAGGTAACCCTGGGCTGTTTTCTCGCCTCCCTCGTCGATGTCGCCCTTAGCCGAGGGGTCACCAAGACCTTCAAACAGCGGCTCGGAGAAGTAGGTACCTTCAACGAGATATGACTTGACCACCTTACCGCTAACGGGCGCGTGCCAGCGATGGTAGCTCAGCGCGGAAAGGAAGGCCTGGTAGATAGTGCCACCGATGAATTGTTCGTGCAATGGGTCCATAGCGAGCATGTCCATGAGTGAATAAGGTTGACCTTTCACCCAGAAACGATCGCGCTTGGAGATGTTACGTCCCACCTTGTAGGATTTTGACTCGCAAGCGTTGGCAATAACACTGTCGTCGTCAGGACTGGCGACGGGCCGCTTGTCTTCTTGGAAATGGCGCGTGAAGAAGTCGTCCCAAGACTTGTACCCATGGTGCTTTCTAGACGGGTCGCAGTGGAAGAACTCTTCGAAAGCATAAGACGTTTGGCCAACATTGGCTGTCAATGCCAGATCGTGAGTGCCGTGATCGCTGAGCCAGCCGATCTTATCGTCACTAAGCACGTATGCTGACGATGGTGAGTTCAGAAACTCTGCCCATGCGTTGAGGACCTTCTTGATCATCTTGTTGACCTCTGGATCTAAGAAGAAGGCGAATCCAGATGGCGTGCCCTTTATGATGCGATCAGCGGTATCCCGGACGAATTTCATTGGAGCTTCCTACCATCGGCCAGTCGAGGATAGCGTTGAATGGCGTTCCTACCATTCCAACAGAGGACTCGTGATCGCTCCACTCAGGCGCCGTTGTGAGGATGTGGTTGAACAACTCCAGCATATGATGGTAATCGCGAACCTGCTTATGGCCCACGGGATCGCTCTTGTACGGTTTCTTCGTAGGTATCTCCTCAAACATGGAGTTGATCAGAATGTAGATGCGCGTGTTGTTTTCAATCAGGTCTTTGAACTCTCGCAACACAGGATGCAGCTCTTGAGAGTTGTTTTCCACGCGCTCGATGATGCCCGCCAACCATTTCTTGTGGACGCGGTGGTCTGCCGGGAGCCAGGAGCCGGTCCTGTGAACGCGGTGTTCGTCAGGGACATTCTCGGTGTTCTCTTGATGCGACATGATTGAATGATATAATCTAGAAATGCAGATTTCGTAATGAAAAGTTGGTCTCGAGAGGGAAGGTAAAGCTCAGTATGAGAGCGTAGTGTAGAATTGAGCATCATGTATACGTCATATGTTCGCGCGAACTCAACAGTCTGCAGGCTGTCGTATCTGCCCGGGCAGAGAGCATACATCGCATACGTCTAATTTCCATGATCGATGGTGTTCATCTGATGGCGTGGCAGGCGCGCCGGCTACGGAGAACAAGTAGGGTGAACTATCGCTGGGTCCATATCCGGCTACACGAAGGCGCTTATTCAACCGTACAGATCCATTCATCCACAAGACAACGGGTATCACGATACTTCCTCCTATTTGTACAAGGATGACAGCAATCTTCAAATCTCAACAGCCTTTGTCGCCTTCCGTTTATTTCTTAAACACATGATAGCCAACGCGTATGCCATCGAACTCAGTGGTGTATATGTTGAGCTAACTAGTATATCTCAATCATTCGCGTCTGCTCGATGGTAGGTCTCACGACACCTGGACCCCATCTTCCCTTCTTACTGCCTGGATTCCAACAGTCCAGGTCCCATGCGGCCCATAGGTAGCACGCACTCACGACTCGGTACTGCTGGCCTTCGGCTCTGCGCAAAATGAAAGGTTCTTTCGCGCCATCAATAGCGAAGATCTCGTCAGCCTCATCAGGTCGAACATCATGAGGTCTATAGCCTACGCTAAAGCGGCTTAAGAATATGCGCCAATTAGGATGGCTCACGCCCATCCCAAGGAAATGGCCCAAATCTTCAGGATGAATGTCCGATTGTTCCTCTAGTAAACGACAATCTTCGGGCATTGCTTTCGTTCTAAAACAATCGAGAATCCATGGATTATTGGTGATCCCAATTCTTTGAAATGTCACGTCTAAATGCCCTGCGGTTACGCTATCGATATAATGCGCTCGTACACGTAGTCGCGGTAGTAAGCCAGATGGCGCATCCTGGGGTGTTTCGATGAAGCACGTTGCGTGGTCATGATTTTTGAGCGGCCGAATTTGCCGATAGTTGAAGCTTTGTGTGGCTTTCACACGAATGAAATCCACAAAGTTGGCAGGTCCTGATGCGTGATCGTACTTCGAGGCATCGCGAAACTTCGAAGGCGACAATATAACGACCCTTATGGTTTTCCGCCATGGAGTGTTAACGTGGTGTTTCTCGTGATGTGATGGCCAAGTAAATCGTTCGCTGCGCTTAGTCAAACTTCGCATCGTTGAATCGAGGTAGGACCTCAACGCCGGCATATCCAGACATGGTTCTGCGCGCCAATCTCCCCTAGGGTCGAGGTGGTCGGTTCTCGAGAACACCAGGACTTCAAGGTTTTGTCGAGTAGCAATGATTGCCGCGACTACGTTCCTGTAGACCACGTTGCGATCCAAAGAATAATCGACAGGTATAAGCGATTTAGCCTTTTCTTCCATGAGACCTATGACGGCGTAGATGTGATCTCGAGTATCAGTCGCCTGCAAGGTACAGGTTGTGTGTAGGCAAGAAACGATTCCGAGCTTCATTCCTTTTCCTAGCGACCATTGGAGGACACTAGGAAGTTCGTAATGATTGACCCCGTACGGATCGCCGTTGTAAACTTTCTTCATCCGCTCAATTACAGCGGCGGTCAGTGGGAGGACATTATCATTAACAATCAGGTATGCAGCCCGCGCTAAAGCTACTTCTTGGATAACCCAGACCCGGGTGAAGTACCGTAATGAGAAGAGACTTTTCAAGTCTGCCAAAGCGGAACTGGTCGCATAATCCTGCGTGCTTTTTCCAAGCAGCCTGCGAAAGAGATAACTAAAGTTCGAAGTGTGATCGATGCAGCTGTAGACAGCTCGTGCATTGGTGTAGATCAGATCCATCAATCCGACCTGATGGTTGCGCTCGCTAACATTTGTCTGATCGATGCCTGGCCGAGATCGTGAGTATTGGCGTAACATACATCGCGGCGTTTACGACTAGGTGCTACGTACATATTGCATCGACCCAGAGCTTCCGTTTGCCAAGCTGCCTCAGGTGACGAAGCACCGCGTCACAATTCATAGTGATCGGAACAGACCCGCCCTGAATACAAAAGATGGCCTTGGTAAGACGTGAGTCGCCATCCTCGGTCGCCCAAGTATAAGATACAGCGTCGTATTCAGGGTCGTGATCCATATCGACGTGTATTATCTCGCACCATAATGCATCCTCAGAGTTGCCTGGAAGGAGTAGAACCAATCGTAACTCGCGACCGAGCTTGTGGTCCAGGTTCTTGTATTTGTACAGAGCTGTAGCCTCGCTTGTGTGAACGTAGGCTGCCAGGGAAGAGGCTGAAATAACTTCGCCACAGCTAAGGCAGCATCTGATCGCGTCGAAGTCTTTTATATCCGAGTGTTTGCATGGTGCTCCAGTCATTTGATGCGTCTTGGCGTTACGTGGTCGTACGGTGCTCGCGCCTGGGTGGAATATGGCGAACGATCCGGAGAACGCTATCACAGAAACCGCGACTTTATGGCTGAAGGCAGCAGGCTGAGCATAACTTGCGGTGGTGGCATAGTGCATGCATCACACCGGCTGTGCTCGACCAATCGGTGAGCGTCGCGTCCACACTAAGCAGGGGCTGAGGCTGAACGTCACGGTGGACCCAGCAGCGTACTCATCAATGTATGTTGATCATCTGCGTACCCATCGCATCCATATGGCGAAAAGGATCAAAATCCCATCGTTGATCCAGTCCTGTCCCCGCTGTAGTCCAACAATCCAGATGCGACAAAGCAAACAGGTGGCAGTCACCCACGATGAAAAAGCTTCGGCGGCCAGCCATTCTGGGTGCCACGTTGTACTCAGGTCTGAGAATCAGCGGGACTGTACAGCCATCGACCGCCCATACAGTATCGCCCACCTCGAACTCATGACTCGTTACTGCTGGCAGGTATCCAGCCCGAAAGATGCGTTTGTCTTTTCCAAGAGACTGAAGCTCGGCGCAAAACTGTTGTAATCCGATCCAATGGAGATCCCCGGCACTTGTTACTCGAGGTTGAGATTGGTTGAGGCGAGTGTAGTGAGGATCGAAGAGCCATCTATATCGTGTAGGCCACGACTGCATACCAAAACCGCGCGGTTCAGCGTCGCTATCCATCAGATTCTTCAAGCTTAGACCAAAATCCTGAGCGCCTTGCCATCGTTGGCTCTCGCTAACCCCTTGCATGGTCGCGCTGTCTATGGTAGCAAGGCAGTGTGCGCGAACCCCAATGGAGGGTTTTGAGTAGATATTTGCCGGCCAGCTGGCGGGTATGTCGACCACTGATTTCCAGTCTATCTCGTTGGACTGAGCAGCTGCAGGCCGGTTCCACATCAACTTCTCCAACGATTTCCAGGGCCCTATCTTTGCGCTTTGAAATTGGGGACGTATTGTGATGTCGCCTGCCCATTCAGTCCAGTCTGGTACCCAAGTCGGTAAATTATGCCGCGCAGGTCTTGCTTTATGCGATGCGTATGATAATATCTCGAAATCTTCTCTGCAGATGATGATTGCAGCCGCTGCGTGCGTCATAACTTCGTCCACGCTCTGTGTGTAATCGATTGGTACCAAACTCTGTACGTGCTCGCCTACCAAGCCCAATAGACCGTATACCTTGTCCCTCGGATCTGTCGACGAACAATTGCGTGTCATATGCAGCATCGTCAGTAGGTCTCTCGTTGGCGCACTCACTAGTGGGTCCCAAGCTAGTGGACCGGGTATCTGCAATCCAGATATTTTGGCTCTTCCACGGATGCGGCTCATTAAATTGGTGTCCATAGGACAGGATGTGTTGCCCGTAACCATCACTAGTTTTTGCGCCAGCGCTGCTTCTTGAATTACCCATACCCGTGAGGCCCATCTCTTGGCAAACAATTTCTTCAGCGCAACTTGTCGTCTCTCGGTATCTAGCCATAGATTGCGAGAGCCAAACCCTAGGTCTTCTTCTCCTAGGTAGACCAGAACTTGCGAAGCGCCTGAGTATATCCTCGCCATGATTGAGACCTGCTGGTTTCGCTCTCGCATGTTGCTTTGATCAATAGCGAGTGCATCGACCCATAGCATTCTTTCTTGTGAGGTAGATCTTAGCCTGCGCAACGCAGACGCGCAGCTTAGTGTCACTGGCAAAATCGACGTTTCTTCCTCTCCAATGTAAGCGCAATGAATCCGTTGTGATAAGCTAGCGTCTCCATCTTCGGAAGCCCACGTGTAGGAGAGGGCCTCGTATTCGATGTCATCATCCAGATTCGTGTGGAGGAGATCGCATCGGATATGTTCGTGAAATTCGCCGGGGTAGAGACACAGGAGGCGAATATCTTCACCCTCGGAAGGGTCCAGCGGCCGGTATCGGAAGCTGTGCGAGATTTGGGGTTGGTAGAAATGCGTGGGTTTATCGAGTGGCATCGCGACGCGCTCTTCGGAAAGCGCGTGCGGGTTCTTGGTATGACTGAAGAGAAATTCAGTCCATGCGTACGCGTCTGTCGATCCTGCAGATCGGGTTGGCAATATGCCGAGTTGTGGTAATGGGACGCATCGCGACAGGTTTTGCCGAGGCCGGACAGATAAACTTCGGTGCACAGGATATATGTATATCGTGGAGTCTAAAAATACACAGGGTTTGCGAGGAGAGAACAGTGGATAACTTGCGGCATGACACAAGGTGTGCGGTGCTCTGAGATCATGCCGCAGATGTGGTGGACGCGTGGCTGTGGCTGCTCGGTTGTGGCTGGGCTCTGATGACGCAAGCCTCATGCATTCGACGCAGACGGACTGATATGCAAGCACAATGCTATCGGAACACGATAAAGTCGTCCACTTCTTGGTCCTTTTTTCTGAAAAGCTCATTTAAGTAAAGATACTAATGGCTCGGCTTTGCCAACGCGCCTCATAGTGAGCTGCTGTCTCGCGGTCTGAATCCAAAAAGCAACAGCACGACGTTTCAAGTAGCGTGACAATGTTGGCACATATATATGTATTGTGCAAGTATTTACAGTATAGGTATATACAAAAGTGTATGGACAAGAAGGTATAGACATGAAGGTGTCCAAGACGGACGAGCAAGCAGCCGACGTTTAGCCAGATGTGCCCATACTTGCGACAAGCGCTTATACAACAGGCCACCCACTGGACCAGTTGATCTTGTTGATACCAAACTTCTTCTGGCCATCGCCGTAGCCGATGCGGGTGTCGACGTAGTGGTAGTATAGGACAGGGCCCTCCTTGGGGTCGTAGTAGACACCCTGGCCACCGGGTCCGTAGACAAAGCCGTGGGACTCCAAGACAGTGGTACCGCCACCCTTGGTGCAGTCGACACCGTTCTTGTCCTTGAAGCCACCAGTGGCGCTGGTAGATCTGCAGACTTGGATCTTATACTCCTGACCCGCGGCAGGCCTGTTGGCGTCGAAGCCGCAGCACTTGCCGACGGAAAAGAAGAGGTAGTGGTAGTTGCCGTTCAGAGCAATGAACGGAGCTTCCTGGGCGTGCTCTCCCTCGGGTTTGAAGGCGATGTTGGTCACTGTGGAAGAACTGGTCTTGACTGGTGGGTTGGCCATGTTCTGGACGAAGAGGTCGCTCCAGAAGGAACCGAAGGACATGACGAACTTGGATCCATCCCAGTAAAGCGCACCGTCAATAGCGTTATAGTTTTTGCCCGCGCTCGACTGGATACCAGTGGCACCAAGGTCGGTCCAGGTGTTGAGGTCCTTGCTGGTCGCAACTCCAATGGCAGAGTTCTGGACTCCGAAAGAGGAGACAGTGTAGTACAGGTAGTATGTGTCGCCAACTAGGGTCACGTCGGGAGCCTGAGTTCGTTAGCTTGTCTTCGAGTAAGCGTAGACATGACAGAACATACCCAGAGATCGTCTCTGCCAGCCAAGTTGATCTTGGAACCAGCGGGAATCGCGGCACCCTTGTAGGACCAGGGGCCGGTGATCGAAGGCGCGCTGTGAATAGCAATCTTACCACCCGTAGAGAAACGGTAATAAGTGCCATCGGCGCGACGGATAAGGGCCGGATCGTGAGCGTTATTGCAGATACCGGAGCAGGCCATGGGGTCGGCATAGCCGTAGACTGCGGTAGCAGCCGAGAGCAACGACGCGACGATAGAGTAACGCATCCTGGCGATTGGTATCGAATGGAAGAGGAAACAAGAAGCGAAAGATGAATGAAACAAACAGACAGTATCAGGCAATCATCCTATATATTACCGGTGGTACTTTTAGACTTCTCGAAGAACCCCAATGCGGACCATCCCGAAACCTTTGGCATGGACTAGACGTGGAGAGGTGAGATTGCCTGTCTGGCGTTGACCTGGATTCTGAATGGTGGAAACGACATTCTCGGTATGTGCATGAAGAAGCCGGTACGGAGAATTGGTCAAAAAGTGTCTAGACCTGCATGTCCAGGCAATCTAATGTGAGGGGTGCAGTGGTGTTTCACGTTGTGCAGGTCTGCCGCGATGCCTGACTGGTGGATCGTACGAGACGGGGTTGCACGTGTAGAGGCTCAAGGAAGGGGCCTGCACTCTGTCGGAAAGCGACCGGGTCGAAATTAGTTAAGTGTTGACACGCGCCACATCCATACCTGATGCGCCCACACGTGTGGCTATCCGCACGTTACGGCACGGGCAGAGTGAAACATGCCGAGCCCAAGGCCTAGGTTTGTGGCGCGACATAATATCGAGCAGTTCCGGAACTGATATTCTCGCTCCGACAGCCTCAAGAAGACGTCGTGAACTGGATGGAACGACCTGTGAATGTTGTGGGATGTCATGTTCGCGGTGGTGAAATGTTCCGAGGCCTTCTACTAGCGTCAAAGCAGCCGCCGCTAGCTCCTTATGGACCATTTGTCTCCTGCTTCTTCCGGCTACCACCCTCCGCAAAGATCGTCGTCCCGCATGCATCCATCGCAAAGCTAAAGGCATTTATCGAACTCTATCTCAATGGCGAGTGTCCTGTATCCATTTGTCGATTTTTTATGGCCATGCGGGCCGACATATCTGCCAAATCTAGGAATTCTCACCGCTCACCGCTAAAATATAACTAGTGGGCATTCCACGGATGTCACACGGGGACCCTTGGCTTCGTCGCTATCTGATTACTATTGCTGGTTCAACACCGAAGACCGAGCATAGATTCTTACCACTATACTTGAGGCGCCGACCAGATTCGGCGGAACAAGGCTTACACGGGTAAGGCAACAGGATGGGCAACCAACGAAGCATTCTTTTCACATCCTAGCAGTATGATAGTCATTAACGGAATATATTGCTACGAAAACGAATGACTGATTACATATCTATAATCTAACTCTTCCAAATGATTGAAATAATGCCAACGTTAACCTAAGACACATCACGACAACTCTAATTACCTCTGTCCAGGTCGACCCCAGATCGCGCCATGACGATACCCTAAGGAATGAAGACGTCGAAGTCAGACACTGGCGCACCGCTTTGGCTTACACCGCCTCCGGGAATGTACACCTTTCCTTTCACACCCACAGCATAAGTTCCATGCCTAGGAAGCTTCATCGTGCCAGCCTTCGCCCATCGATCTCGCACAGTATCGTAGACCTCAACCTGATCGAACACTCCAGTCTCCGATAGCGTATTGCCCTCACCGCCAAAGACGTAGATGTCCTTTCCGATGACACCAGCCGCAACACCACCCCTAGCCGTTGGCATGCGTGCTGAGCTAGTCTTCCAACCGGCTTCCAGATGACAAAGATCCAGAACGAAGACCGTGTCGCGAAGATTCTCTTGTCCGCTGTCTCGTCCGCCAAGGACGTACATCTTTGAGCCCACGACTGCGGCTCCAGCGTGATCTCGGGCTTCCGGGATATACTTGGCAGCTTTTGGGACGGCGAGCCACGTCTTGGTCTTGGTATCGAAGATAGACACAACGGAGACACTGCGCTGACTGCCATGTTCGACAAGCTCTAGCTCCGTCATGCCGGCAGCGAGATAGATTCTGGACTCGTAGGTACCTACGGTCGCACTACCTCTTTCTTCACCAGTCGGTACGCCTGGAATCGTCTGCCATGCGTCTGCAAGAGGATCGTATACCCATGAGTCTGATACTGAGCCCCATACCCTGGTTGTCTCGTTGCCCGTCTCCGCTAGGCCGCCTAAGACGTAGATCTTCCCGTCCACAACGGCTGCATTGGCGTGATTGAGGCCTCGTGGCATGCCCGCTCTTGTGGTCCAGGTGTTGTTCGTGATTGAGTAGAATTGCATTAGAGGAGAAGTGTCTACCGGCGGAAAGGACGTGTTGGATGGGATAACGCCGCCAAGAATTGCGATGGTAGATGGTGGAAGGAATACTGTGGTTTGCTCTTGACGAGGGAAGATAGGTATAGGGGCCAGTGACTTCCATGTGGGTGAGAGCCCCTTGGAAGGCATGGATGATGCAAAATTGATGATGCTAGTCACAGCCAACAAGGTAGAACTGGAGATGGATAGATGCATCGTGGTTTTGTAGGGGCTTTGATGGTCGTTGTTGTAGAAGGTAATGCAGTTTATTGCTGTTGAGAGGCGACATATTTGAGAGTTTATATATTCTTAACACCGTTATACTTGAGGGAAGACTTACATGGCTATGCTACCAGTGAAGGAGATTCTGAACATTGTCCTGACAAAGCCGACTGAAAGTCCGCATCTCCGAGTGACGAAATCGGATATGGAGCGGAAGATGGAGATGAGCTGGCTGCGCATTACGCCCTGCAGTACCAAGCCTTGGGAAAAAGCGCTTGCAGCGGAACTTGCGAACACTTGGCATTGGTATACTTACGCCTCAGCGCTTTGTCGAAATATCTCCTCCGAGTGTTCCTTCCATATCGTGAAATGCGTCTTGCCTTCGAGCGTCCGCAGTCTTCTGCCCCCCATCTTCTCGTTGATCCACTGTGCAACCTTCAACGGCGCCTGCGCATCTTGACTGCCATGTACCAGCCAAACTCGCTCGCTGTCTATGTCCTTCAAGTTAAAGCCCCAGTTTCTCGTAAGCACAGCGCCGTCCTGCATGCATCCGCCAGAGCCTTGCTTGAAAGCCTCAAGTAATGACGCGACAACGTCATCAAGGTTTGTCTCTCCGCTGTCATCGCGAAACTGCTCTTTCTCCTCTGGGGTCTTCGCTTGGTCTTCGAGGACACGCTTGAGGCGAGCAGGGTCTTTAGTGAGGTAGGGACGGATGAGGATGTAAGGCAGGAAGACATGAAGAGCCCCCTGTCGTAGCAGCCATGGAGTTATACCCATGAGCCGCCATGATAGATAGGGTACAGTGTCCAGGAGTGCCTCGATGGGACCAATACCGCACACTACAGTCGTCGCTCGAAGTCGCTCATTAGGAATGAAGCGTGCGCAAGCCAACGCGTATGGTCCGCCTCCGCTGGCACCCAGCACGCTGAAGCGCTCAACTTTGAGATGGTCTGCTAGGCTTACAACATCCGTGGGCCAGTCGGCAAGGCCGCGATCTGCGAAAGTCGAATCTCCACAGCCTGGACGATCAATGGCGATGAGACGCGCGCCGATGCCTCTGCAGAGCTTGTCCCAGCTCCTCCCAACCAAGCGGCAGCCTGGAAGACCATGAAAAAGGAAGATGACAGGGTGCGAGGGGTTTGTAGATCCATAGGTTGCAAAGCCAAGAGTGCGCCCGTCAGAGAGGCTGAGCACTTGGCATTCGTTGGGTCGGAGTTGCAGTTTGGCCGGATCTGGAGGCGATGAAGGGGCGCGATCTCCGAAGAGTGTAAACATCGTTCAAAAGTCGTGTTGTAGTGTCTGCTGTTAGCACCGGTTTGAGAATGCCGGTCAGTGAGCAGTGATGATGATAAAAAGAGAGGTTGTGAAGCTCGTGGTCCATATAGCCTTCAGCGACGCAAAGTTCCCGGCATCTCGCTGACATGGCGAGATACGGAATCCATATCACATACGGTGAACGGAACGCCGTTGTATGATGCACCAATGAAGATGGCTGGTTGTCTCACAGTCTTACCTCGCTCGTGGTCTCCTGAGTAAGCATTAATGAATGCTGCCTAGTGCACGTGAGACAAAGTTAGCCATCCACGGCAAACGCGCCAGCGATTAAACAGTCGATTGCTGCTCTCCCATGTGTCTCGTCAATATTGCAAACTTGACAACGGCGGTGGTGATGGGGTTGACGATGACGACGCGCGGAGCCGCTAGCTCAGGGTCGGAGGTCGGCATTTCAGCCTATCTTTAGCATGTGCATCACCACGGGGCTCCTCCTTTCATCCCACCTGGTAGCATTCCCGCCGTGTCTATTGCATATCGTCTGTCTTTATCGTTTCCTGTATTTTCGATACATTCTTGTCATATTCAATTGCTCTTTGGCATCCTCGAATGCTGGCCCTGTGTTCCGCGGCGCAGCAGTCGCGTTTATTCCATTTTAGTTTGAGATACCCTCAATAGACATTATGAGCCCCATTATCCGACGCATTGCTGTGCTATTTGTATTCGCTACCTTTGTCACCCTTGCCTTTCGCCAACTCAGCGCCCGAAACGGACTCCCTCTACCGACCTTCACCTCGTCAACCCGAATCGATCACGCCGTACAATGGAAGAGCATTCCAGTGCGAAACCCAATATCATCGCTAGCCACCCTCCCCACTGGCGCGCCGGTCGCCATCCCGAGAATCCAACACGAATTTGGAATTGAAACCGAACATAACAAGGCGGAGAGGCTACATAGACAAGCTGCTGTAAAGAAGGCATTCTTGCACAGTTGGGGAGGATACAAGACCCACGCGTGGCTGCAGGATGAAGTCACTCCGGTAACAGGAGGCTTCAAGAATGGCTTTGGGCAGCGTGGAGCAACCTTGGTCGACGCCTTGGATACTTTGATCATCCTAGGCTTAGAAGAGGAATTCGAGGAGGCTGTACATGCCATCAAAAAGATTGATTTTACCACTGCAGGTGTTGCGCGCCTAAATGTCTTCGAAACGACTATTCGCTACCTCGGTGGTCTTCTGAGTGCATACGATCTTAGCAAGGCGAAGCACCATACATTACTACACAAGGCGACCGAATTGGGGGATATGCTATACGCCGCCTTCGACACGCCGAACAGGATGCCCATCACTCGGTGGGACTGGGAGAAGTATGATCGCGCCATGCCACCGGCCCACACAAACTAACAGAAATCAGTGCTGCTCTAAACGGCCACCAAGAGGCTGATGCGCAAGCCCTCAGCGCCGAGATAGGATCGCTCTCACTTGAATTTACCCGCCTGTCGCAACTCACCGGCGACGCGAAGTACTACGACGCGATAGCGAGGATAACCGACGTGCTCGAAAAGCATCAGAACCAGACGAAGATACCTGGCTTATTCCCAATACTAGTCAGTCCAGGTCGGGAGGAATACGACGTCGACGGGTCGTTCACAATGGGTGGGATGACCGACTCACTATACGAGTACTTGCCGAAGCAGCACTTGCTTCTCGGGGGTTTGACAGACCAATACCGGAAGCTATACGAGCGCGCCATTGAGCCAGCGAAAGAGCATTTATTTTTCCGGCCCAGAGTCCCCCAGGGTCAATCCATTCTCGTCTCTGGTGATGCGCGCATTAGTACATCAGGGTCTGTCAAGCTCGAACCCAACGGCCAACACCTTGCTTGCTTTACGGGTGGCATGGTTGCTTTGGGCGCCAAGATCTTCAATCGGACGGACGAGCTAGACATTGCTCGCAAGCTAGTAGACGGATGTACCTGGGCTTATGATACGATGCCTACGGGTATCATGCCGGAAACATTCCGGATGATGCCGTGCTTTGGAGAAGAAGATTGCGTGTGGGACGTGGAGAAATGGCATGCCTCTGTCAGGTACTCCTACTCCAACAACATTCACGCGGAGCATTATGACGTTCAAGACGTCATCAAGGAAGTGGGACTGCAGCCTGGTTTCTCCAAGATTGGTGACCCGCGATTTCTGCTACGGTATGTATGCCGCATGACGTCTTCTATGCATCGCTAACGATTGTCACAGACCGGAAGCCATCGAATCAGTCTTCGTGCTCTATCGTATCACCGGCGACACCACCCTCCAAGACACTGCCTGGCGCATGTTCGAGGCCATCAACAACGCCACTCATGCGGAATTCGCCCATTCTGCCATCGCCGACGTCACAATACCACAAGGTCAAGAGACACTCAAGTTGGATGAATGCGAAAGCTTCTGGATGGCGGAAACTCTAAAGTACTTCTATCTGATCTTCAGCGAGCCAAGTCTTGTCAGCTTGGATGAATATGTATTGTGAGTATGGCCATTGTGAGATTGAGGATGATGCTAACGACCTTGTAGCAATACTGAAGCACATCCACTGCGCCGGCCGCATTAGGAAGATAAATCACCCATCTTGCACTTACATACCGATCTACAAAAAATCAAAATTTGCACCGTTCATGTACTACATTAATTGCTTCTACGTGTACGGGGTAATACATCCCGTGTTTTCAAGCCCTGCCCGCCCATTGGCTACTCTAGAGACGTTGAATGAAGCGACTATCGAGCTCCGTTCAGCTATCCCTAGCTCGCATCCTACCGTTGACAGATCAGTTCCTGATCGGTTCGCGCTGCCGCAAGCCTGGTGTGTAGGCATGTACGAACTAGCGGACATGCTGGATGAGATGCACAGTGCGGATATAACACCCCATCAGTACGTAGCGGGCACGCCCATGCTACTTGGCTACGGGGCTACCTCTCCATTTATGGTTTGTATGGAGATGGATACTTCTTTTGAGCTGTCCGAGTCACAAATCGCTATGCAGAATCACTGGATCGTTCAGTATATGATGGACTGCCTTGGTCTCATCTGGAATCATGTGGATGACCCGGCGAAGTACTCACTATGTCATGTCTTCGTACGCATACCGGTATTATCCGAGCCGATATGGTTTGCGCACATACGACTGATGCTTGCGCAGTTCAAAGGCGACTTCGTTCGTTCGCTTCCGATGATTGACTTCGATTCGATTGCAAAAAAGGATATGCGATGCCCTCACTGTTGGTGCAACTTTGATGAGGAGGATGAGGATGAGGATGGGAAAAGAGACAGTCCGGTACACGCTCCGTGTCCATATGGCCACATGTACGGTAAGTCTTGCTTACTGGAGCTCATGCTTTACATGGAACAGGAAATCCTGTGCCCGCTTTGTCGCAAGGAGTGGCGTATATGAACTGTTCAGCTTGGGTGGGCCGGAGGACTTGAGTCGAGTACAAGTTAACGAGCGAGATGGTCGTTTCAATGCTACATTCCAAGATAGTGAGTAGAAACCCTGCACTCGACTACATGCTTGATGAATGCCGAGACTTTCCTGATCGGTCTTAGCGTTGGCCATGCAACTCCACGCCCTGGGGCCAATGCCTTATTAAGGGAATTCTCATTTTGTCCGCCCCTCTCTTCGTTGACTTTTGCAGGGTTATATTGGTTGCCGGTGCAGGTGTTGAAGAAGTGCGGGGTTTCGTACGCCCAGCGGCAACATACAGCCTAAAAGTACAGTCACGTTGTAACCCAGGACTAATGACTAACGCTTCTCCTAAATGCTTGAAGATGCGATTGGCTTGCTACTATTGGTTCGCAGCATGTGTAAGCTTTTAGCAGAGCTGTTGCACCGATCTGATAGCCTGTTGTCTGTAACTCAAATGGATGCCTGGAATAGGAGCGACTCATTGGTGATCTCTCGGTCAAGGGCTGCAAATCTCTCGCTTCATATGGCGACCTGAGAGGCTATAAAGCACTGTGTCTATAACTTTTCGATGGAGGTTACCCCTTATCATCACAGGCCCAGGAACAGCTTCGTGGAGTCATGACTAAGTTAATAGTCGTCATTGGGGTCACCGGAAATCAGGTATGCGCCAATATATCGACAGCCACTCTAGATGGACGCGACATTAACTAAGCATAGGGTGGGTCAGTTGCTCGCGCGTTCCTGGACGAGCCCGGGTGGAAAGTTCGCGGCATCACTCGCGACGCTTCCAAAGCGTCCGCCACGGAATTGTCATCTCAAGGCGTTGAGGTCGTAGCAGGTAACCTCGATGACCTGGAGTCGCTGAAGAAAGGGTTCAAGGGTGCAAATGTCATCTTCGGCAACACTGACTTCTGGGGTCACCTAAATGATCCTGCGACACATAAGCTTGCAGCCGAACAGAAACGTACAGCAAACGAAGTGGCATATGACCGAGAAGTTGCTCAAGCCAAGGCTATCATCGATGCAGCAGCGATTCATGTCGCTACTTTAGACCGTCTCGTGTTTTCCACGCTTTCTGAAGCCAGGAAATGGAGCAACGGTGCCATCAAGTGGAACTTGCATTTCGATGCAAAGGCTGAAGCCGAAAATTACCTGAAAGAGACATACCCGGAGCTTTCCGCCAAGACGAGCTTGCTGCACTTGGGCGCCTATGCAAACAACTGGAAGACCTTCGCTGGAAAACCAGAGAAGCAGGAAGACGGCTCCTTTGTTGTTAGTCTACCCATGAGCGGAGACAAGAAGATCCCTATGGTCGATCCGGTTGCAGACACTGGTCGGTCTCATTTGCCTTCGACGTAGCCACCTGCTGACAACCCCAGGACGTTTCACGAAAGCACTCGTTGAGTTGCTACCAGGAACACTTCTGAGTGGCGCTGGATCGTTCATATCGTTTGACGAGTGGTGCGACATCTTTGGGAAGGTGAACAACGTGAAATGCGTCTTCAAGAAGATGCCTCGAGAAGCCATGGAAGAAGCGATGGGGCCCTTGTACGGTCCCGAGATTGCCGACATGTACGAGTATTTCGACAAGTTTGGCTTCGAAGGGGGCAATCCTGATGTCGTGTTTCCGTGGGATTTGGGCATGGACGTGAAGTACACGTCCATGGAAGAGTATCTGAAGGGTGAGGATTGCAGTTCGGTTCTATAAGTTCGCGCATCCACCAGCGATAATCACGGCATCTTACGTAGCGCTTGTTCGTATAGCAACGAGGGATCTGTCGCAACGTGAGGCTGCGCGATAAGGCTCGAGGCTGTTATCTTGCTGTGGGGCCCCTGGCTCGTGCACCTAGCGCAAAATGCCAAATCTCCAGTCGTTGCTCACATCTTTCCCACATCCATTGACACTTTCACCCGCACTAAGATCTAGCAGCCAGGGTATCCGGCTTTTACGGAAGATGCTCATTCGTCAGGAGTGTATGCCAATTTCGATCCTTCCAAGTCATGACCTCGATGCAAAACTCTAGAAGTTTGCTTAGAGACTTCAGAGCTCTTTAAGTACGTGGCGACGCAATACACGCTGGACTCTAGAACTATTAAGTCAATACAAGATTACCATGGTAACGGTTGTACACGATTCCACTGCATCTGTCAAAGCCAATCCGTGGACTGGACAAATATCACACTCATTGCATGACTACCCATCGACCGAATCGACGTCAGCCCCAAGACAGTTCGTCGAATCGAATCGTATACTATCATCACGCCACGAAAGCACTAGTGCAGCTGTACCCGAGAGAACGGCAAGCCATGGGACTTGTTCACCACATGCGGTATCAGCGACGTCCGGGGTATTGATAGCGACTGCATTACCGACAGCGGGGAAATTCTAGAGCCGCCCCCAAGATGTACCGTACACAACACTTGATGAGGCAACAAATCGGACGAGAAACTACTGTACTAGCTATGTCTACCTTCGCGCCTTACGCCAAGATGTTTGGGATTCGAATACTATACAAGGTTAGGGCCGTTGCGTTCAATGTGGGCGATCTACGATGACAGGCCCCACCACAATCCAAGAAGTGATGTGCGTACGGCGATACCAAACTGGAAGTTAAGACCCATCCTTTCGATGAGAGACATCACCGTACTGTTTCCTTGCGTCTAATCTTGGCGCAGTCATTACTTGTCTAGGATAGTCTCACAAGTCGCTTCGCCCATGTATGCAGCAGTGGCCCCTCCCCGCATCATAGCGATAAGACATTCGGACCTCACTTCCAGTTGTAGAACGTCACGAGCGAAGCTGTTCCTTTCTCATCTATTACAATATCCCCAAAGCTAAGCTATCGCGGCTTTCGTTGACTCAGCGTTCGTCGTCGTTCATCTCCGTCGATACTGTTTGTATTGAAGAGGAGGAGGCGCGTCAATACAATCCTTAGTCAGGGTGTATTTTCGCTTTTCCAGACTGCTAACGGTCATTCGATATGGCTACCAACCTCTCGTTGCTGTTGGGAGCAGCTTTCTTGTTCAGTTCAGTCTTCCTGCTGATACAACGGGGCAGGCGCAACATCATCATACAACGGCTTCGTAGCGGCGGACGAAGGGTATCAGGTGCAAAGACCCCCCCGAGGTCTTTGTCTCCAGAGAAGAAGGCTACGTCCAGTTCCAAGATTGATCACGCCAGCACCTTTCCACCATCACGACGCTGCGCCCTGGTCGACGACGCAAAGACAGACAAGGTTGAAGAAGTGTCGCCAGATTGGCAAAAGAACATCTTACCAATGGCAACATCATACCTGGATGCTGATGACTCTACATACCTCCCATGTGGCTTTTCCGTGAAGGAGATCAGAGCCCTTGGTGATTTCCCGGATTATGCTACACTCAGCGGCGTACCTCCCCCAAACCCATACCCAGAATTCGACATCAATAAAGCACTGCCGCGGCCATATAGGCCGTTCCGATGGTCTTATCATCAAACGATGTGTGAGTGACACTGATGGCTAGCTACATCAGGTACGGCGCTGACCATAGGTAGCAATCACCAAGATGCAACCCGACTGGTGGATCGAGCTCGAGAACACATACGAGGAGCGCATCAATCAACGTCGAGACCTGTTCGAAAAACATAGAGAAGCAGTCCTTCAAGCTTTACCAGGCTCAGAGCTCGCCTGCAAAGAACTCATGGAGATGGTACTGCAATTCGTGTGCGCTAGGTACCCGCATTACTTCCACCTATCGACAGACAACAAGACATTTCACAATGGCATCTTGAAGACAGACACTGATCTCACCACCACACCACCCTTGCACGTTCTCCTCAACAACATCCCCGAAGACTTCGCCATCATGCTACGAGACGAGAAGACAGGACTATATGTATTTCGAGCAGGCATAATATGCAGTGCGTTAGGTTGGAATGTAGGCTCGAAGATCGGTCTAGAACTCGCCGACATACACAAGCCCATTCCAGATTACAAGGAGAAGATGCAGTTCTCCATGGACAGGTGTGCTCCATCGAGAATATACATCATTCTATGCTAACCTGGTTATCCCAGATACTTCGCCAAAAAGCCCACCGACAAACCCATCCAACGCGGCTCCTGGGGTCTAGAGATAGACACCCCCCTCTACATGCCCCCCGGCGACCCCCACGAAGCTCTGCGCAAACAACAACTTCCCGCCTCTGAACTCCCCATATCCCGCATCCATCTCCGTGTAGACTGGCAGACGCTGCGGCGGCTTCCGCTTTCGGGTGCCGTCGTGTTCAACTTCAAAGCGCTGTTTACCCCGATTGAAGATTTTAGAGAGGAGACGTGTGTTCCGGGATTGTTGCTCAAGGTGCTGAATGAGGGGAAGAAGGAGTTGATTGAGTATAAGGGGACGTGGCATGTTGAGCATGTTGTTAAGCCAAAGTTGGAAGAGTGGCATAGGGAGCAGGTTGAGAAGAGGTTGGTGAGCGAGGATTGGGAACCTCAGACTTTGGATGAGAGTCCATGGTTTGAAGGGTGGGAGAGGAAGTGGAGGGAGAATCAGGGGTTTTGAGGTAGGGACGAATCAAGGTCGTATGAAGAAGGCAATCGCATGTCGCTCATGTTACTCTGATATTACTTGTACATAGCAGATACGTTCCAAATCGCATTTTCAGGCTCGCAGCCCAAGTCTCTTGGGCAACTTACCCCGGTAAACCCACGCCGCCCCCGCAGCAACCGCACTCAATGTCCCAAGTACCAACGTAGTGTTACTCACCAGCGTCTCCTCGCGCACCCTACCAATCTTCGTCTCCTGCTTCCCCGTCCCGAAAACGACTTTACTCGCACTAATACCGCCAGCAGCATTCGCACTTGCCTCTTTCTCTCCCTCATCAGTAGTAGCCGTCGTCTCGAAATCCTCCCAGTCAATCTTCGCAAGCATCTCCTGATACTCGATCACAGTCCCAGACCAGTTGTTAGTAATCCGCCCCTCCTTGTTCTTATACCACGACATGCAATTTGGGTCAGCGAAACTACTGTTCTTCAAGATCTGCTGGATGCCTTCATTCCACTCGTGCGTTCTGTCTTCTTTGGGCATGATGCCCATTCTTTGACCGCGGTTCCGCGCATCGAGGACGGCGGAAACGAGGGTGTTAAGGTAGCGAGACTGCGCCTCGATCATTAGAATGATGGAGTTGTGGCCCAGGTTTGTGTTGGGGCCGTAGAAAAGACCGAAATTGGGTAGGGAAGGAATGGTTGTGCCGTAGAGGGCTGTAGCGCCGGACGACCAAATGTCTGCCAAGGGGCGCGAGTTGGCTCCGGTGACTTTAATGGGGTGGAGGAATTCGACCGTGCGAAACCCGGTGGCGAGGACGATGGTGTCGTGCTCGTGGTGGGTGCCGTCTTCTAGTTCGATGCCGGTTTCTGTGATGCGACGGATTTTGTTGGTTTCGAGCGTTGTCTTAGGATTGGCTACAGCGGGGTAGTAGTCGTCAGATATAATGACGCGTTTACAGCCTGGGCTGTAGTTTGGTGTAAGCTTCTCCCATAGTGAGGGCTGGTCGGGGATTTGCGTTTTCATCATTTCCGTGCAGCTGCTTCTGATCACTTCTGCGAACTCGCTGCTGCTATCTGTGACGGCGTCGTGGAAGGACTCTCGGAAGTCCATCATAGAACTGCGTATGCGCCAGCGAACTGGAGGTAGGTAGCGTAGTACAGCACGTTTGATGGCGCTGACGGGACCGTCCAGACGGGGGATGACCCAGTTCGGGGATCGTTGATAGATGGTCAGTGAAGAGGTTTGCGGTAAGATCTCGGGGATGATCTGAGCAGCCGTAGCACCTGCATCGTCGTCAATATGAATTTCTTCAACATGTGATATTGCGCATACCGTTGCCAATGATACCCACGCTCTTGCCCTCAAGTCTGTGGCTCCAATCCCAGCGCGCTGAGTGCATGATCTTGCCCTTGAAATTCTCCAGACCCTCTATATCCGGGTATTGTGGCTGGTTGAGCTGACCGACAGCCGAAACTAGGAAGTCGCACTCGATGCTGTAAGCGGGGTTGAACTCTGCATCTTTACCACCAGTCACATTCACATCGACTTTCCAGCGGTTCTTCGAGTCGTCCCAAGTTGCGGCTTCGACGGATGTGTTGAAACGAATGTATTTGTATAGATTGTACTTGCGCGCTACGTTGCGAAGATAGTCCTGCAGCACATGTTAGTATTTGTAACCTAAGGTAGATATGAGAGGAAGACGTACGAGTATTTCCTCTTGTCCTGGATACTCTCTCGTCCAATCGGGGTTTTGTTCGAAAGAATAACTGTATAGCATACTCCAAACATCGCAGCAGCAGCCTGGATACTTGTTGTCATGCCACGTGCCGCCGACACTAGAGCTCTTCTCCACGATGATGAAGTTATGACATTGGTTTCGCTTGATGAGATCGATTGCCATGCACATTCCTTGGTGCTGTTAGCCATAGGTACCACACATTTGTTGGAACGCTTACCAGAGATACCTGCCCCGATGATGACAACTGCGGCATCAGTGTGGTCCTTATTTCCGACCGGAACCTGTGGCCATGGCTGCGATCCTCCCATCTTGTTGAATTGACTTCTTTGAAGGGTTTGTGCTAGAAGGAATTATTTAATTGCAGAAAGGAACTGGGACTAGAAACATCTGAGAAGGGCGAAAGGACGAGTGGAGCCACGAGATAAAGCCTACCCCAAGGACCCGACGCAGAGGTTTCTTGCCGACGATCAAATGGCATGGTGTAGTACCGTCATTGCCATCCAGCGAATGATCGCGTCGAACGCTTCCCGGTCCGAAGTAGTTCGTGTCCCCTCCCCCTCAGTGATTACATACCCGAGCGTCGTGTCCCGAGGTAGAACAACATCGGCCTGGTTAATACATGCAGTCGTCACACTGCCCAGGATGAGGATGTTCTTAAGGGACAGTTACGGCCGTATAGCATGATGTTACTGCCAGCCTCGTTCAGCTTTTGAGGGAGTATTACAGGCGTGATGCAGGGCGGGGATGAGTGCGGTTGACAAGGATGGCAACTCTGAGTGTGGGGAAAGGGCTAACCGGCAGCTCTAACCCTTTCGGGACAGCAACCACGCCACTGTCGAGTCGACCAGATTGACTCATTTCATTTAACTTTCAAAGCTAAGTAATGGAGGTGCACACCTGGCGAGTCGCGTTCGCTATGGCATTTGAATTGTTTACTATGACTAATGTACTACGGTGCTGTTACCCAGACCGCCACTTGTCTAAAAGATGTAGTGTGGTGCGGACAAGAAAAATGAACTTAAACTTGGTTTCAAGAAGTAGTTGGTATATGATTTGCTCAATCCAAGGATCTATCCGCTTCTTCCCTCTGTAGGTTCCTACGGACCATGATCTCCTTCTGCCACGACAGACGCTCGATGATCGTGTCTGGCCCGTGTCTCTCTCCCTGACATCCCTTCCACGATACTCTCTCGGGAGGAACGCTCTCTACCGTGTGCTTCGTCATCCGACTCGAATTGGTGGGTCTGCACCACGCCCCATCGTACGTTCTTTTCTCGCTGCTTCCCTTTGTCCCTTCTTGAACGCGGGCCGACAGAGCTCTCTGTTGACCTAGACACTGCGCGTAGCAGAGACCATGCCTTGCTCATCTGTGTCTTGGAGACATGTAGTCTCGGGTCTCTAGGCTTAGTCTCTATTAGGCAGGCCTGATCAGCTTGGTGATTGCGTCGTCTTTGTGTATGTCGGCAGGAGGGCGCGTCGGGTGTCGTCGCTTGCGTATCTTTCGAAAGGCAATATCCTGCGGCAGCAGTATCTTTGCTTTTGGTACCGTTCTGGGATTCTGCTTCGCGCTCTTGTCTTGATTTGGCGGAAAGCGTTTGACTGCGTTCGGTGCTTGCTGCCAAGTATCGACTTTGCTTGACCTTCTCGCTGTATTGAAGATGCCGCGGATCGTCGTGTAGAATGTGTTTGAGTGCGAGATACAAGAGGACAGAGTACTGAACGACGGTGGCTCCCGTACTCGTTGGGTTTCTTGGAGTTTCCGAGTTTGATGCTCCCGATGTGTGCAAATTAGAGCGCTTCATCTCTGATGGCGTGTAAAGTCCATGGAGATCAATCTACCAGCGTGATGCATTATTGATTCATTGCAGTCGTGTGAGTATGCGCTGTTGACGCCATAGCTTGTGGGTGACTCTGACTTCGTCAGTTGACGTGGAAGCTATAACCATCGCCAAAAGCCAACAGTCCAAGCTCGAAAGGTTGCTAGAGTAAGATCACTGTTGAGATGAGTGTTACAAGTTGAGGCGTTGCCGGAACCTCCGTGAATCTTTTACAAGATTCCAAGGTTGTAATGTGTGCGATTGATGTCAACGGGAAGGGCCGCTCACTAAGGCATAGGGGCTGCGCAAGATGAAGTTGGTCAGCGACTACGTATGCCGGTCAATTATACTCTAGAGGGGTCGCAGTGCCTGACTTCCCCAAAGTTCCGCGGCGGCTCTTTGTTTCGAACAATCTCGATCGCTGGGATACCACCAAGGCAGGCATGCTCTCAGCAGTAATAACTTTTCAACATCACTGGGATCGCCGCGCAATTTCGTCGAATCGAAAGTTTTACACCACGACTCTGAGTCGATGTTGATGCGAATTGTGATGTGTGCGTGATGGAAAATGTGCAGCAGTAGCCGCATGCTTAGACGTGTCGCACAAGGCATCAAATGAGCCTTGCTGAAGAAATTCGTGTCCGGGCAGTGCTTATCCACTGGTAGTGAGGCCGTTGAATGGTGCCGGCCTAGGGTATTGAAGGCTCATGTACCCACCCGATGCAGTGGTTAAGTGTTGACTTATTTCGATATCGCACCATGGTCGCACGATGCCGTCCCTAGCGACAATAACAGGTGGATCTACGATCTGCGATCTGCGCGCCTAGCGAGTGACAAGGCCGTGAGGGTTTGTGAGAGTTGAGCGAAGATTGTGGTAGCTTGGGCGGCGAGTATTGGTAGTTTTAGCCGACGCACTTCATAGAGGGGACCCGCACATGAACCAGATGGCTGAGCAGACTCGAAGCTTGGTTGACCGTCGATGATAACGGAGCACTGAAACGCAAAACGAATTGCTTGGATGACGCATGCCATGACGATGAGGGGGGCTCAAGCAGAGCGCTGAAGCGACCGTTTAGAGGCCTGTCCTGAAGCCTGTGCGCTACGGCAGCACAACAATAGCCCGTCGGGTTATTCCCAGGATATTCTCACGGAAGTTTCCTGCCAGGGTCGGCAGACAGAAGTTTCTTCTCGCCGGCGGGAGCTTCTCTCCCCCCTGCTATTAAAGGTTGGACAGTATTGCAGCGGTAATGGCAGCAGTGGTGGATGAATGGCGAATGTTTTACTATGTGAAACTCGCCCCCGCATGTCCAACCGTCGTCCACTGGGCCAGAGAATGCTTCGTAAGGGACGCAGCGCGATTGGCGTGCTGAGTGCAGGCCAGGGCGCAAAAGGAGCATCTTCGTGTTTAATGGAGTGCGGTCGTGTGTATGGAGATCTGGAATGCGGTCGCCGGATCGAGGACATGTCCGCGGCCCTTCTGGTCTGCTATTCGTGGGGCCGCAGCGCCGCTAAGTTTCGATAGTCTGGTTCTGCTGGGAAGGGGCACACGATCGCTCCCTCCGCCGATGTCCAGGGCTGGCTGGACAGGGCAGGTTATGGCGGGCTGTGGCTGTTGGGCGTCTTCAGGAGGCGCGTGCGGGTGGGCGACAGAGGGTTTGATTGACGAGTGGCAGATTTGGCCGCTGTCGAGGCTTCAGGCGCCCATCCGGCTGATTGGCTGCCTGGCTATTCTACGAGGCATCGAGACTCTCCAGGCTGGTGGTCGGCTGCATCCTGTCTAATGCTAGCTGCCACTCTGAAACTCCAACACCTCCTGGTCGGGCCGGCGCACACCACCACGCGCAGTATACCTATCGTCCTGTCCCGTACTTCCTGGGAGTTCTCCCCTCCTGGTTCCGCTGCACTGCACTATTCGATGCAGGCCAACCCACGGCGCATCACCACGATTCCTCCGTCATATCCTCCAAGGTCACCCATGCATGCAGTAGTCGCCAGTAGCTTTGTCTAGCCATTCCTAGCCGACCATACTCTACCGGCTTCCCGCGCGCGCATCCATTTCCTCGTCGCGCACCTGCAGCACATATACACGCTCTGCAGCCGCATTCTACTCGAACTACTGCCTTCGGCCTAATATAGCAATTCTAATCAATCATGAAGCAACGCAAGTTCTCATTCAATCTGGCGCCAGTCGTACGTTCCATCTCCAGTCCCTTGTCTGCAGTCGCATCCCAACAGTAACTCACCGCCAATGTAGAAGATTGCCTCCAAGTCAGACCTCTCCGACAAGCCCGCGCCGGAGCCGACCCCCTCGTCGTCACACAAGAGACATACTTCCAAAGACAGCATATGCGACCAATCGCCCTACATCAACCGCCGCGTTCTCGACGAACATACCGATCTGGAATTGCGCCTAGCATGTCGCGAAATCCTGCAGAACTTCAAGCCGTCCGATCATGGCATGGAGAACACCGACCCCAAGCTCGACTTTGGTGGCCTCGGCAGACGGAAGGAGAGTAAACCACAGGCCGCTGAGGTCACTGTCCGCATGCCCACTGGTGCGCCCCCAGAGCTGTCGGCAACTTCAACGTCATTTATGATGCGCAAGCCCAGCACCAAGACGCGGACACGCGCGAAGGCAGACCAAGAGATAAGAGCAAGGACATACGGAGACATGCCTGCACGCGCGAATAGCAGCCGCAAGCGAGCTGACTTCGGATGGCTTGACGAACGGGACGCAGAGAGGGAGGAGAAGCTGAGGTCATACGGCAAGACTTCCATCGACGTGCCGCGATCGAACGTCTTCCACAATGACTCAGACGAAGACGTAACCCTTCCCGTAGCAGTCACATCTACTCTCGCCAACGCCAAGATGTCGTCGTCAGTGCCCACTTCAGCATCTTTACCCTACAGCAGGAGCATGAACCGACTATCCCACCAATCGGATAACCCAGCAGCAGTTGCAGATGCACAAGCCGCAGAGTGGATGCGTCGAGAGCTGGAGAAGAAGCGACAGCAAGAAGTATCAGAGGGCCAGGGCCGTGGCCGGTCATCGACTTCGGTCCGACCACCCAGTCGTGCTGCCAGCGTCAAGGAAAGCGTTAAGGAATACATCTTCCCAGGCTCTCGCAGTCGGGCTCTGAGCCGCGCGCAGTCTAAAGAATCTCTTCGTCCAGCAGCCGACAACGACGACCAGGGTCTCTCACGCAGTGGCTCGAATTCAGGATGGCGTAGTTGGGGTATCCCCCGCCGCCTGAGTTCAAGAAGCAACAGCAGACCAGGAACCTCGAAAGGACAACCGGAAGAAGCTCAGCCCAGGAAGTCAGAGTCCAATGGCCTTAACTTAAACAGAGAGTTACCCCCACTACCAAGTCTGGACACATGGAAGGACCACCAAGGATCTCCTCAGGAGGAAATAACAGTATCGATGAAATCTCCCACATCGCCAACCGCCGCAACACACATTGCAAGTATGATGCGCTCGCAAGAACAGCACCAAGAGCGCTCTCCCGCTGCGAAGAATCACAGGAAGAGCGGATCTGATACGTTGGCCATGCAATTCAACGACTCGTTCCCTGCTCGGAAATCGTCCCGCAAACAAGAGACCAAGGCCATCCCACAGTCCACGAGGACCAATCCAGGTAGCCCAACACACCCCGGCAATACGATGACTGGCTGGTCCTCTACTAGTAATCTGGACCACCGCCTCGAAGTAGGCTCTAGCAATCACACTCGCCAACGAAGCGGAGATAGCAACTCTGCCAGCAACCAGAGTGCCGAAGCGTCTACCTTCTCTCGTAAGATGAGTCTGGATACCACGGCCCGGAAGACCCTCTCCAATGAGCCCAAGACCCCAGCCCGAGAAGAGCAAAAGTCCAAACTGAAGAAGATCTTTAGCGGCTGGATGCACAAGAAGGACAAGAAAGAGGATTGGATGCACAAGATGGAGAAGGAAGGTGTCAGGGAAGGTGTTCTGGTGCAAGACGGCAGCACGAGCGCGTCGCCCGTTGTGCGCTACTAATCTCGCTTCTCTGACGTCTAGGTCTCGGTTTGGATCGTACCTTCCGTTTTGGATGTGTCACATACCGGATTGGGATATTTGTATACATGTAATGACGCTCACGCGTAATGTGCAACGACGCAACGCCACTTTTCATTTCTTCTCGGGGTTTTCTAGGGGGTTGTATATCCGGCTGCGCCGTCATCAGTACGATGCATTTTCCTTCTTGCATAATTGTACAGGATTGTGGTAATAGAATGAGATTTCTGGTGTTTCTTAAAATCAGTGCGCGATCCCGATGCTTGAATTGCAAAAAAATGGCGTAATACCGCGCCGTACTGTCTTCTTGTTCTCATAAACATAAATTGAAATCTCGAGGCCAAGCTGTCCGTTCCGACCTTGGAAGTTTGAGGGCTACGCACGTGACTGCGCATCATGAAGTGCAGGTAATGCGTCAGACTGCGTGCTCCCTCCTTGACTACAATCTGAACACCTTTCCGCGTTTAGCAACCCGCTCAATGTTTGTTGCCCGTCTCATCTCACGCACTACATAATGGACGTCACCTTGCGACAAAGACTGATTGTGTGTCAGCAACACCATTACCTTTACCTGACCGTCCCCGCTTTTCCACGTCGGTCCGGGGCGCACTAGGTGAGGTGTCTGAGTGGTAGCTATGGTAACACTACACAACTGATGGCCAGTGTTCTTCATCGCCATCGTCACAACGTCATACGACCGCGGATACACACCAACCGGCAACTGCGTACACAAGCTATCGCGTCGAGTTGTTGACGGCATTCTCGATTCCGACCCCAGGCAACCAAAGCAACACGACTAAGTGCTTCCTACAAAACATCCTCCAACGGATCGGCGGCGCATCGCACACCATCTCTTCACAATCACGATTGAATAGGTCGCCATATCACGGCCGACTCTGTGAGAGCCATGCGTCCAATACGACTGTGCAAGAAAGCTAACACCGAACTGATTCAAGTGCAATTTTCCCCGTCAGAACGCCTATATCATCATGGCATTCTAGACATACGTCCACAAGAATCTCTGGCCGAACTCATTCTCATACGAAGTCAGGGCTCCGCCTTCAGCCGAAATACTCGCCAGTCATGTGCAATGTCATCCACTTCTTCTTCAGGTGCCAACACTTACTACGTCTCCGGAGGTCACGCTGCAAAGGCACCAAGCACAAGATGACGCGAACAAGCGTACGAGCTGCTTGCACGGCTGAGTCCTTTCTTACTGTGTATGTTCAGACCGACTGTAGCTCCTGCGAGCACAAGCTGTGGGAGAGTAACCGGGAGTCCAAATTAGGGCGAGCGAGATCATTCTTAGCCAAGCTGACTGAGAAGCGGATGCCTGGCGTCGATGAAATCTCGACTATAGTTCGAGAACTTGACGAGCAATATTACATGGCTTCCTGGGACGCAAGAAACATGCAGATACCATTACACTCCTTTAAGAAAAGCGTGGCGAGGGTAAGCATTACCGATCATCAGACAGCTCGCTCGCCTCTGGCCCAGGAAGTACGGCCAGAAGACGTTGTGGATCCGAAGAATCACGTGAAGGACTGGACGGAAATGGATGAGAATGACTACGATGGCGACTACATTGCGAGCACCGATCCAATTCACCCAGTCAGTACCGATTATTCGCATCCCCTCGACGACGATGACGGAAGCTGGATTCTCAACCACTTCTCACCGGAAGAAATGGAAACTGAGGCAGCAGACCTGGACTTCGACCAGAATGGTTGGAGCTGGGACAACAACGACCACTCCAACGATAAGGACAGCGACAAGGGAAGAATTCCCCTGCTCGCTAAATCTCAAGAAGAGAACACTACGTCACAGATAGGCAGGAACGATCTCATCGCATGGGGCCCTGAAGCATCTGCGTCCTCCATGCTTTTAAAAATCAGCATGGATGGTCTCAGTATGGAACAAAAGCATGCGAAGGAGCAGAAAGAACTCATAACTGGTGCATTCTGGGTAGTCGTCAATGAGTTTACGGAGCTACAACGACAATCAGACTCTAAAATGGAGGATATGAACGTGATCCTTCGCAGCCTTGACATCCCTCACATTACTCCGACCCCTTCGCCTCCTTTCACACCGAGCAAGTCACCGCACATGTGCGTAGATGGTCCTTTGGACGCTCTTCATCCTCCACGAGCAGATTCAGCTCCTCTGTCAACCTTCATATCTCCACCATCGACGCCCACTCCACCCACAACGCCATCAAGTCTCAACTCAACACGTACAGCTTACAACAAACAACGTAAGTTTCTCAAGAAGCGACTCCAAGAAGACGCTAACAAACACAAGTACTACAGTGACTTGCTCCTCGTTTCGCGATTCGAGGCAAGGGCATTTGAAGGACCAGAGGGAAGGTTTGTTGCTGATCCCCAGATGGTGAGAGCCAGTGGAGGATGGGAAGGAAGAGGGAACGGGTGGTTTCAATGAGAGAGTTAAATGGTTGAGGGCAGATACATTGGGAGTTGAAGGCGTTCAAAATCAGTACGCGGTGGGCCATATCTCACTACCATCACATGCAGGCAACTGACCAGGTCTGTAGCCTACGTTAGGAAGACCTGGCGTCAATGTAGGCTCGACGCGTTTAGAGTTCCCTTGGCCAAGGTACTGCAAAGCTCTGAACGACAATATGGATGTATGTGCCTTTTTTCATTGCTCATATACCGACAGCACATTATGCGCTGCCATTCATACCCATGTCTATCAAATCCTATTCAAGCGCCGAACGCTATGCATAAATCTCATCGCTGAGCTAAACGCATTAAATCACGTAAAGCGTGGAAAACAGCTCCCAGCACGTGCAATGTCGCCAGACCCAATCTGCGTACGATCCGGTACGTCCCCCACCCTGTCCAGTAACATAGCCCCAATATGATCAGTGGGAACATGAGCGGACTCAGTATAAACAAGAGTAGATAAGCTGGCCCCATGCTGAAAATTGCGAACACGGCATGATACCATTGGTTGACAAAGTCCCAGTCGAAGTCGTCAGGAAGGTCGTCTGGGTCGAAAAGCGCATGAGCATGACGGCCATCAGTCATCGCGCATACGCTTCGCCGCCTTGCCGATCTAAAGCACCATCAGCAAAGTGAATAACCTAGAAGTCTACGTCAGCTTAGGGTCTCATGAACATTCGTTTCTTTACTACTATAGACTCCAACGTACCCGTTCATTTTGGCTGGTAGGTCGACAGGGATCACCACCTGTCGCCACCAGAATCTCCGCTCATGACGGTATTGAAGAAGTTGGCGTCACCGCCGTAGTTGCCACCTCCGCCATACCCGCCCATGCGGTTCTTGCCCTGGGTCTTGGCATGCTCCACGATGGAGCTCTTCCGGCCAAGATCCTTCGCTAGAGATACGGAGTTTGTGATGGATGATAGCAGATTGACTAGCTGAACATCGGATGCTTCTTGCTGGGACTCGAGTGAGAAAGCGGCTGAGTCTGGCGGGCCGAGGATGTTTAGGCGGGCGAGCATGGCGGATACACTGCGGAGGATCGAGTGGTCTAGAGGCAGGGGGTGTTGCGCGTCTGGCGCAGCGTTGACCGGTAGGGACGGGTCGGAGAGGTACGATGCTGGGAGCGAGTTGATGTATGCGCGCAGGAGCATGATTCGTCGACTAAGCATCCGAATAGCGTTCATCTTGGCTGTAAGCGAAGAAAGAACTGGACAAAGGTTAGTATTTCTGCACCAAGCAGGACTTCAGGTGGCTGAACCTACCCTCTTCATCGTCTGCATTCAGGATGACCGACTCGTCGATGGGCGCGTCCTTTTCTTTCTCCTTCTCCTTCTCCTTTTGCTTTCCTCGTGTATTCCGCTTTCCAGTAACCTCGTCGGTTCTTGAAGGCTCAGGCGCTGAACTCGCCACGCTTGCTGTGCCTTCCACTGCAGTAGCGTTGCCACCACCGCGCGCAACGAAATCGACGGAGATCATTTCCGCCTCGCCAGTCTCAATTGAGTAGACCAACTCTCTGAACTTGGTCGACTTCGCCTGTACAGCGCCATCGATATCCATAGCCTTATCATTAGGATCGCTCGTTGTATTGACGGACAAGGACTCGTAGACGGTGAGAGGTAGCTTTCCGGCCGCAGTCTCCTTCGAGAAGGCATTTTCTGGGTGGAAGAGTACGAGGAGCGGGGACTCAGTATAGACTTCTGATATGCGCGAGTGGATAGGAAGAATATGGGGTTCCGGGCCGGAGGCGGGACCGAGGGTAAACCAGCCTACAATGTCTAATTGTGGCTCCTTGTGTACGTCCTTGACTACAGTAACGTAAGCCTCGTCTGGATGTGAACATGGGAGATATAGACGAGAAACTTACAGTCTTCAATACGCTTGCTGAACCACTCGTCGTCTAGTACTGTCTCCCCGTCTTGGTTTGACTGAAGCTTTGCTTGGAAAGCAACCTCCATCGTAATATTCTGGCCATCTTGCGCACCCAGTATAGCGCCAACCACGGGCCCTGTCTGCTGTCGTAGTGTGTGCCGTGTTACGCAGTCTGTTATTGTGAGGAGTACCAGCGGGTGAAGTTGTACTGTCGGACTTGCGTCAGAGGCGCGGGTGGTCGAAACGAGTGGATTTCCTGATGATTCGGCCATATTTGCTGTAGTTTAGTTCGGTGTCGCGTCCGGGAGATTCGTGATGGTCGAGATAGTGGTGGGAGGTCGGAGTGGCAGTCAAATAGCAAGGCAATGGCAATGATATGGTCTTGGTGGGGAGCTTGCTTAGGCTGCAGCTGCCACAATTCGTGGGGTTGTGCCAAGGCGCTACCCGTTCAGCACTAGTGTTAACGCGACTGCAGCGCGACGCGATTTCCTAGGGAAAGATCCGTCATCGTTTGGCTTTCACTTCACTCCCCTTTCTCAGACTTCAGAAACGACAATCACGAATTGAGCAAGTCTTCACTATCGGAGTACGATTATGGCATTATCATTCATGGTTCAGCCTAGCCTCCAGATCTTTGCATCAATCGCCAAATACACCCCACAACTCCAAATTCAATCCAACCCAAAAGCGAATGGTATCTTAGTCTCGCTCCAGACTTTCAAAACGCCTGACCGCGATCGCCGCCTTTCGGACGATCTCTCTATGTCGTTTCTATCATGTCGTTATGAATGCCACACAATTGAATGTACACATTAGTGGTTTCCTGTGCCGTTCGCTTCTCTACATCTCGACGAGGACTTTGAGAACAAGCTTGCCGTCTTTGTCGACCGTCTTGCCTGCGAGCTCGAAAGCTTCCTTTGTCGACGTCAACCCATGGAACCTGTGAGTGATCATATTGTCGAGACTCGGAAGTACACCGGCAGACAGGATCTTGATACCGGTCGGGTAGGTGTTGGCGTAGCGGAAGATGCCAATGATGTCGACTTCCTTCAGATGAGATGCTGACATGGGTAGTGTCTGGACTGGTGTACCCATTCCGACCATGATGAGCTTGCCGCCAGGCCTTGTCGCCTGCGAGAGATTAGGATCAGGTTTGCGATTGTTTCCCAAAGAGACTTACGTATAGTCCAGCTTGCATGCAAATTTCCTTTCCAGTGCAGTCAAAGGTGACATCAGCACCTTCAAAATCTAGCTCGTTCTGGGATGCAATCTGCATAACATCGGCAGCCAACTCCTTGGCTACGGCGAACTTCTCAGCAGTCTCGTTGCCATGTTTCTGTGGGGTCACGATATATCCCTTGTGGGCGAAGCCGTTCGCCAAAGCGTAATTAATTCGCCCATAGTCGATGTCTGCGATGACAACGGTCGTGGCACCAGACACCTTGGCCATCGCAGCTGTCAGAAGACCGACTGTGCCTGCGCCAAAAACAATGGCTGTGTCACCCTGCTCGATTTGAGCTCTTCTTGTCGCATGGATTGCAACGGAGAGAGGCTCTAGAAGCGCAGCCGACTCCATGGAGACGTGCGAAGGTAGTCTGATTTAAGTTGTCAGCTAAGTTCGGCTTCGGGTCGATCATGCACGACATACTTGTGGCACCATTTCGCGGGATGGTTGATGCGTTCCTGGAGCGTTCCCTGGAAGTGAGGCACAGATTTGGCGCTACTCCGAAACCTCATCTTCGGACACAGGTTGTAGCGTCCCCGTTGACATGACCTGCAGTTGTCGCACGGCACACCTACCTCCAGAGCAACACGGTCGCCAATCTGGTAGCCGGTAACACTCTGGCCGATGGCAACCACAACCCCAGCAGACTCATGGCCTAGTGACAACGGCTCGCAAGCCTGCAGATCACCGTTGCAGAACTTGCTGTAGTAGGAACAATCGCTTCCGCACAGTCCAGTGGCCTTGATAGCGATCTGGAGTTCATTGGCGGCGGGGTCCGTAATGGTACGAGTTTCCTAATTGGATTCGTTAGCTTCACGTTTAGATGCTCAATATACACCAAAACCCCCACGAGTAGTGGGTAGACGTGGGATGTGTAACGAAATTGGAAGGCATACGAGCCGCAAATCCCTTGGCCCATGTAAGACCGAAGCTACGACAGTCGATGACTTGGAGTAGTGCCTCGTTGGGATTGGATAGATATCTGCGAGAGCTGAGGGAGCCATTACGAGAAAAATTTGGTAGTATGGGGGATGGTGGCAATGGAGCGGGAAGAAGTGAGGAAGAGATAGCTAACAGAAGACCACCCCACGGGAGCGTGGAGGCTGATATAGTTGTTGAGAAGGCCCATTTTGATCAACGGTGGCCTGGCACAAGCTGGGCTTGCCTCAGGTTGGTGCATCGGCGAGATAATGGCATCGCATGAGGGAAGATTCAAAGGTTCCACGTCATTTGCTAGGCGTATCAAACTGGCGGGACGAGCATGGATAGGGATGCGCGACCAGAGCTACTTGGTACGGTAGGCCTCGCGTAGTCTTTTCTTTATTCCGTTACTCTGTGTGTATATATCAGGCTAGATCTTCTTGTGGGTACACGACCGGGAGCTCTTGTTATTCGCCCAGCGAACTAGTATCTAGGGAATTAAGCATTCTTAGACTCGTTTTGCCGGATCAGCACCGTATAGCTCCGGGACGTGCACACCCAAGATGCGATATAGGAGCAATGACCATAATGCAGTGTATAGAGTCAACACGTCTTGTCTTGTGTAGTAGCCGTCTATCAGAAACCTGCCGGCGTTGTGAAACAGCGATAAGGCACACTGCACGGCTGTGGAGCCCGCTGCCAAAGGTTGTGTTGGGATTTACTGCAGCGAACCTGTCGGTTGTAGTGGCCCTGCAGAACCACAGATCCCTGAGCAGGACGCGCGAAACATCAGCCTGATATGCAGGCTGTCCTGTCTGGGCGTTAGCATGTCGTTACCGCTAAGCCAAAGCTCAAACCATAAGTCGTCCTCTGCCCCCAGTGCATCATCAATCTTGGATCCTTAGGGCCTGCATACCGACGGGAAAATTCGACCGCTGACTGGCTAGCGTATTTGGCTGATTTTCCAGAAGACTTCCCGAAGTCACTTTTGCAATATAAAATCCCGGATATATTGCCCATGTGCGAACGGCTCACGCCTAACGGTGCGTCTCCAGACTGGACTACTCTGGGGAGCATGGTATCAGTCCCGTAGTGCGGCCCCTTAGCGGGATCCTCCTGGAGCAATTGTGGTGTGCGTGGTAGCAGACCCGTTGGCTGAATGTCGGTTGGAGGGTGAGCATGGGTCATGGTTTGGCTACCGAGCAGCCCATTGACGAAATTCGTCCTACGCGCAACCGAACTGCCGGGACAAGAAAGTACATGGGCCTCTTATCGGAGCGACCTCAACGCCAACTGCACGAACGACTGGCCCAAGGGATAGCTAATAGTCAACAGCTGCACGTTTGACCGAGGTGTGGCCACCAAGAAGCCATCGAAATTGACATGTGCCAGCATCTGCATGACAATGGCGAAGAAGCACCGGTAGCGCGCTGCAATGCCGTCCCAGATCTACCATCTCGACCGAGAAATGAGGTCGAATGTCGGTCGTGAAGGATCCGGAGGAACAACGGTGATCGCGGGTACATGGCAGGCCCAGCAACTGACAGGGAAGTGGCTACGAGCAAGATGAGATGTTGTTACTAAGCCGACCCGCAACAAGCGTTTACGTATCTCTCCGACCGCCCGACGTGCTCTCCTATTCGACAGCCGCTGTCGTCTGGTACGCTGCCGAGCAGACTGCAGCAGCGGGACGGCAAAACAAATGTCGACGACCACTCGTCCTCTGTCCATCAAACATTGCACGGCAGAGCACCATGGTGGATCCAAGCATACCCAGCAGTGTTGAGATTAACTTGTTTGCACACCAGGATGCGCCTGGGACTCGACTAACGAATATACTTAATGTACCTATCCAGCCAGTCCGCTCCCAGCTCCGGCGCAACGAGCTACGAGATGCAATAGAATAATGGCCCTACTGATAAGCAAGGTGCTTCTCGTTCGCACTGCACATGCGTCTACTCGACGAAGCCCCAGGTATATTCAACGCTACTATAGACCCTGTCCGTGGACGTAAAAGAACACCGGGATGTCGCTCCACCAAGCGACCGACTCCACGACCCTCATGCATGGCCCTCTGGAAGCAGCAGGCGGTGAGCGCATACCATCATACCCGGTTTGACTGTATCCCGTAACCCTTTGTCAACCTGAGCACGTTTTTGCGATCTACGTCGAGTATATCTCAAGCGCTTGCACGACGGTGCCGCGGCGGTGAGCAATTTCACCTTACTCGCTTCCCTCAAAGCTGCCTACGCCACAGCATCCAACCACCATGACCCCGGGCTTAAGGATACGTATTCCTCAGACAGGCGGTCTGTCGGATGTAGAGGTACCGTTTCCCCTATCGCAGCACCCCGCCCCAAACAAGCTGCGGAGTCTGCGGAAGCCCCTCTCCGTATCAACCTCTTGTCGCAAAAAAAGCATTGCATGTCGCAACCTCCTCAGGACCACGAGGTTGCCACAATGCACAACGCCGCTTTCTGACTGGCTATAATTCGCAGTGGGTACCAGAACGCCGGATCGCGCACGGACGGAGGGGACCTGCATCTGACATAATTGCCAAACAAATTACCAGGAAAGTGTCGAGCACTCCCTCACCAAAGCATCTTCTCGACTATGAAGTTCGCGTGGAAGAATGTCAAGAAGCGCTAATCCGCAGACCTGAGTCAAGGCGGGACAAGAATCCAGAGGAACAACCCGGTGCCAAAATTCCAAGGCGGCGTATCTACTACTACTTTTGCCGGTACTTTTATGGTTAGAACCTCCGGAGATACCGAGATACCACCACACATCTCACGCTTCACTTTCGAGCTACAGGTACTTGACAATTGCCGCTGATCGTAAGCGAAGCTGAACTGTGTGAATTGAAGAGGAAGAGCTGAATCGCTGGTGTGCTAATGACCCGCAGGCACCCCGGGTATCAGGCAAGATATGCAGATCATGTGTCCACACAACGTGCCGCCACGGGATCCTTTGTAGTCGATGATGAGTATCGGCGTCAAGACATGTCTCAACGAGACAAGGTATCTGTTCGCTGACGCACATGCGTTTACCGATCAAGTGCCGTTTCTAGCAATCGTCGAGTTTGTATCAAGGTTCGCTATCTTGGACAAGCTATAGTCAAGACTCAACGGTCAGCTTTGACTCCACGTCGGAAAAGTGCAAAGGATTCCGCGTGCTTGTCTAGCGCAATGCGATATCGCTGCGTGGACAAGGAAGCCATGAGGCACGTGTCAGGCCACCAACACGGATAGAGCCGCAATCTCCATCGCCTGTCAGTTCCTACCCGGTAAACTATGATATGCCGTTCTCGGTCGACGGGCATGAGAAAGTAATCAAGTATGCACACACCGCTGGGCACCATGGTGAGATTTTGAGTACTCCAAGCTAGACAAACTTGCTCAACAGACGGGTCAATTATTATCCCCAGACCCTCAACATTCCGTCTCTCTAAGCCCGTTCCTACAGACTACTCTCCCGCCTCTTCTTCCCCACCAGCCCCTCTGCCTCAAGCCATTGGCGGATAATAGCATTGGTTTCCTCTGGCTTCTGAATCAACGCCCAATGCGCAGCCTCCACCTCCCCTCTCGTCAGCTTAGGAATGAAATTGTCCATGTTCTTTGCCATCTCGGGTTTTAGCACGCCATCGTGCGTGGCTTGAATGAAGAGAACGGGCTGGTCGATTCGCTTCTTGTCGAGTAGCGCTTGGTCTTCTTCCCAGTTTGTGCGACGTTGGCGGTACCAGTTCACTGGGTTGGAGGAGTTAGTGGGCGGGCTTGTAGTGGTGTGTAGTTATGGGTATAGTCGGACGGGTGAGTAGATTGGGGTAGGGAGGGCTCACATGTGGGGTGGATCCCGTGGTTGAGATACTGCTTGACGTAGTAGTCTAGGTACTGATTCGCTGTTAGTACACCATCGCTTGTTGGCAAAATCCTTGAGCTATCTTTCTGAAACAAAGTGATGCAATAGATCGATCTCGACATATTCCTCACACGGGATGATCTTGACGTTGAGCCGAGTCGATCTCTTGGGACCGTTTCGCGTCTCATGCATGACACGTCGGAAATGGCAATGCCTCTGTCGAGCGACGTAACCACCCCATAGCATCCCCTCAAAAGGTAACATATGGGTCTCTCACGTCAATCGTCCACCCTTCTTTCCCTTCGATCCCGCACTCGACACGCGTTCCAGCATAAGAGATCATCACGTACCTTTCCATTCAGAATCTTGCTCTCACCAATCTTTGGCAAATTCTCGACTAGTATCCCCTTCTCGGGAACGAATGTGATCTCTCCGTTTGGTCCCTTGGCCCCATACATGCCGTTCAGAAATTGCCTGATCGACTGCTCATCTTTGACGCTCTTTTCTACTTCGCCAGAAGCGAGATGGAGTTGGTAGGCGAATTGAGGTAACGGGCCGTTGACGAGATCTTCGGTGGAGAAGTACTTGTCGGAAGGAGCGGTGTATGGTGTACAAACCGAAAAGACGTGTGTAACGAGGTTGGGATACCTGTGAAGTCGGTGAGTTGCTTCTATGTATGGCCAATCGAGATGTTCGGGAACTTACCATTGAGCAGCTCGCCATACGACGAAGCCTCCCCTAAGCAAAGCGTTAGCAGATGAACGTCGGTGCATCCCCACAGCAGACGCCTACCAGTCATGACCACCTAGAATGATCTGCGGCGCATTGACTTCTTTAGCCAGCGCAGCAATGTCATCTGATGCTCTCTTGAGCCCATACATTTTGATGGAGTTTGGCGGAACTTTGGGAGCATCCTGAATACCTCAGCTTCGGTACATTTCCCCGAGTCGCAAGACCTCTGGATTCGTCTTACCGTCCCACCGTATCCCATCATATCAGGCGCAACAACCCGCATCCCCATATCAACTAAGAGAGGAATCTGATACCTCCATCCCATCGATAGATCGGGCCAGCCATGAATCTTTCAAAACAGTTAGTATAATTACACTGCAACAGTTCAGAGTACCCCTTCTAATCCCAGGAAGAGGTGCGGAACTTGCCGGCAACGCATAACAGCCACCGAACTCCACTTACCAAAAACACGGTATGCGTATACTCGCCAGACTGGGGTACCGCATACAGATAATGATATGTCTGTCCATTGAGCTTCGCTGTTTTGTGTTTGACACGAGGGTCCGACACAGGGTCAATTGGTTGGACGGGCATGACGTGATAGATGTGCGACAAAGGGTAAAAGAAAATATATTGCGACGAGGGTGTTTGAGAGATCAAGGTATAGCTTCGATAGTAAGGAGAACCTTGGGTGTTGATGGCGGTGAGCAAGCGAGTCGTTCCTGGCGACGAAGCTGTATATTCATGATGATGGTTGCTAGATTCGGGTATGCCGAGGTACCCCAATTGTGGGGTATGTACTCAACTCGGCCCTGACATCACTTTCATGATTCTCGTTGTTCACCCAACGTGTAGGTTCTGCACGTAAATCGCAAAGTCAGTGCTTCTGAAAGTATCGAAGATATTGTTCCATATATATTACTATAGTATGCTCGGAGATGGGCGATTGTCGGTTGATCCCACGCACCGTGGGGTCCAATCTATCAATCCGGATTCAAGGTAAGTAGGTGTGCATGCAGAGTGAGGCGAGTACAACCGTAAGCGAGTACTGCAACTCGTTGTTGTTTACCGGCGTCCGTGCCGGAACGGTACATGCAGAAGATTATGCATGATCCAGAAATTCGGAAAGAGTACAGTGCTGCTCTGAGCACATACACAACCTATACCCTGGATGTATGATCGACCGATAAAGCAGCAGCTGTGACATGGCAGGACTAGTGCAGCACAAGTCGCCAAGTGTTGATTAATGTACGAAGCACTCTGGCTATCGTTACTAAAACTTTTGTGACGCTGCAGTCGCATATCCAAGGTGAGAAGACCAGATTCCATAGGTCAACGCGATCGGTTGGCAGAAGTCGCGACCGGACCAAGGGCGATATTGCGAATAATTTCAATTGAGACATGCCCACAGCGATCTATCGGTCCGGTTATGGGTAAAGGCAGAGGAGATATAAGCTTCCGAGTGGTCCTCAATAGATGACAGTGTCCTCGGCGGCTTCTTCGACAACATCCTCTCCATTCTCGTCGTCATCTTCCTTAATGGGTGGGTCAGCTACGGTTCCGTGACTTGCACCATTGCTGTTTTGCGTGTCCTCGGTGGCGCGCTCGGCTGTTATATTGATGTCAGGGGTATCGGGCTGGTGGTCCTTCATGTCCAGGTCTTTGGGGGAGATGGCGCTACCATTAGTCCCGCCATTGGTTGTGGTTGTTTCTTGAAGTGCATCGGCATCATGGCTCTTACCAGTTTCTAATCCCTCCGCATCACCCTTTGCTCCCTCGGAAGCATGCCGCCTCTGCAGATTATTCGGTTGTTGGCGAGCCTCGTACTCTTCTATCTCGTGTTTGACGGTTTCTTCGGCTTCGGCTATTTGGTCGCGTATGCGGTCTTCTTCGTCGGGGCTAGTTTCCCAGGGTTTGTAGTACTGCGAACAGATCAGCTCTGACATAGGTGACGAGTTGGAAGGCAACGTACGAGGTGTGGCTCGGACTTGGTTTGGAGGAAGTGTGCCATGGCGAGTAGATTATTGTGACGTATGCGCATCTGTAAAATGTAAGCGCTCAGCCAGGGTGTCAAATGTGAATTGATAGGACATACCTGATCTCTCTCGAGAAGCTTGTGCTCCTTCCATCGTTGCTCTTTGCGCCTGGCTGCACGCTCTGCCTTCCTCTGTTCGCTCTCTTGGTCGTCCTGTTTGCGCTGAGCTAACTGTCGCTTCTCGATCTCGGCGCGGCGTTTCTGTGCTGTGGTAGCAGAATTCTGTGAGAGAGCACCCAAGGCGGCGCCAAATAATCTGCGCTCTCGTCCTCTCTCGCGTCGCACAGGGACGGGCTTGTCTTCTTTTGTGTCTTTGGTGGTAGAGTCACGTCTATCTTGGGTTGCAGTGTCATTTTCGAGTCGCGGTCGCTTTGCGGCGTCTTCTGATAGTGATTCTTGACGTCTCTTGTGGCCGTTTACTGGGGGCGAGGCTGGCAGTGCTAGATCATCCGGAAGGACTACTGCCGATGCAATGGGTCCATCCATGGCAGTATCGTGCGTCGTCCAAGAGTTTCTGGGTATTTCTAATATGTGCTTAGCAGTATCAAAGAAGCACGTGTGGGTGTCGTTGGTACAGGTGTCCCAGGGATATCGCGATGGAAGCTTCGCGCACGGAGCATGGGTTCAGTTCGCGCTAGCAGCGGACCACCGAAGCTGACTTTCACGACCGACTTTCAGTCTCACCGTCTACGCGCCACCACCAAAGCCACCGCTCCCAGCTTATAACGAGACATCCGACTCATTTGAACCTGCAATATCAAACACGTCCATATTTGCCACCACACTCATAACTCTCCGCCATGTCTCGCCATCATCCGTAAGTACCCTCTCACCTCGAAGAGTCGCGCATACTAATACTTGTCGCAGCGATCTAGTCATGTGCCGCAAGCAATCCGGCATCTCTATCGGCCGCCTCTGCGACAAGTGCGACGGCAAATGCCCCGTATGCGACTCTTACGTGCGTCCGACCACCCTCGCCCGCATCTGCGACGAATGCTCCTTCGGCAACTACCAGAACAAGTGCGTCGTATGCGGTGGCGAAGGCATCTCGGACGCGTTCTATTGCTTCGAGTGTACGCGCCTGGAAAAGGACCGGGATGGATGTCCGAAGATTATAAATCTGGGTAGTAGTAGGACGGATCTGTTCTACCAAAAGAAGAATTTCAGGAATCATTGAGGTGGCTTGGACTTACTCTGGGCGCCGCCACTTGCGTTCGGAGAATGGAAGGATCTATGAAGAGATTTGGACCTCGGTTACATGGAAGAGTGTACACGGAGTAGCATGGAAAGAAGCATGGAGTTTGGGCGTCGCGGCAGCATTCTCAAGCGCCGCGATGTAGACAAAAATGGGTTACGGCGTTCAAGATACCTCAACGATCTAGCAATGGTACTTCTATCATGTTCTTTATTTCGCGGCATTGCTAACAAGTTTGCAAGATTAACTTCTTCTCTATCCTAGGGCATAGCAGCCTTGTGTGTTTGTTCATTCAGGCGGCTTTTGCTGCAAAATACAATTCGCTGCCCGCCTGTTCACTGCGTTTCTGATCATCTACTCGAATCCGTACTTGATGAGTCAATTCGGGCTACCTCCATGTCTCCACTATCCTTGCCGGCGCTTTCCCCTGTCCAGCCTGGATCCAAAACAAATCATCATGTCAAAAAGAACAAAACATACAACAGCGGGGATTCGCTAGTGGTCACCCACCTAACTACTAATCCGCCGGTATCATGCTTGTATATGGCTGAGCGGACGGGAAGCCTAATTTTCATGATCCTATGGTCGTATGTGGAGTAGTGGGTGATCCAAAAAAAATTTATACTCATTATAAGCTCGAGCAAGGGAGAATGGCCATGCAAACCCCTCGCATACTGAATCGAACTAGACAGGCTTCTCTCTCATCACGTATCCTCTTGCACTAGCCTGAGTGAAGGGATAGCCTCGGATGCGCAAGGTCAAAACAACGTCGGCCTCGCTTGATTAACAACATCGTTCCGAACCCACGCTTGTTACAATGTGATAGCTGACAGCTTGATTAATCGCTCTACTACAGAAGCTACTATCACCACGACAACAGAGGTACAATGACTCGTAAGACATTCAGCGTTTGCGAATCGTGCTGGCCATGGTATGTGAATCTCAAAGCAACGTAAGCAGACAGCGCAAGCCCTGGCGCTTTTTCAGTGCTCCAAATAACGCCCGTATTCTCGGCGGCGCAGTATTGGGATTTAGCATACGCTCTTAATTTCTGATGTCTTCAAATCTGGCCACGTTTCATTGCACAGGCGCAGCCCTCGAATAGATTGTTCACGCCTTTCGATCGCATATTTTGCTCCTCCCAGCTCAAGCAGACCCAATATCGAAACCATTTCAGACCGTGGAAAGGTCGCATGCATATCATGGGAAATATTGCAAGCAATGCAAACCCAGACGCTACTTACAGCTGGTGCTGTCATCGCTGTATGCTATTTTAATCAGACGCACGGAAGCTTGCTAACGTCTCCAGGTGAGACAATATAGTCGTTCGCCCGCGCCGGGAACAAATGTCCAAACTATAGGCATCGGACGTGTTGGAGAAGGTGCGCCATCATGGGCCTCACGAGGACGGATGAGCTCTGGATGGAGAGGGATCATTCGAAGAGGTTGAGCAAGCGGACGGGATCACTTGTCGTGGAGAGTTTTTGAGGATTTTGCCCTTGTGGCACGATGGCGAGGTGTGGTACTGAAAGTGGCTTGGCATCTGGATGTTGCGTCTGCTACTCTAGCATTGGTGATGACATCATCACAGCCGCTCATCAACGAGGCTGGAAATATACATCTCAATCTAGCAGCACACATACCTTCGAGCATCGGATCCGTCACGAATAATCCCATCATGATACTGTTTCTCGCGGCCGGAATGCTGTTCGGCGTGCTCGTCTCGTTCGGGTACCGCCTGACGCCATTGCTGTTCAGCCCAAGAAGAGTCACTCTGGCATTTTCCCCGGCCTCGCTTCGCATGGGGGAGGTCGTGATAGCCATCATGTTGATGATAGCAAAGTCAATTTTCTACGCAATACCCGGGTTTCCCTGCATCAAGCTTTCAGGATTGGAGCTTGACTCCCCGTTCACTCTAGATGCAGACGATATTGCTCGGTATCAATTGGCAATTGGAGGAACAAGCAACACGAGAGAAGAGCTCTCAGCACCGCACCTTATGCTTTTCTTGTCGGCCATGACCGAGTCGGCAATGCTACTTCTACTCGCCAGTCCCTGGTGTCCCATCAATCCACTAGGCGCAGTAAACGTGCGCAATAGGTTCGAAGTATTACGCCCCGATCTATGCGATCTGTCGAAACTCGTAGATTTACGAACAGCCCGCCTGAAGGCGATCGCACATAACCACCCACGACAAGCAAAACGAGGCATCGAGTGGGATCTGGAGGTCATGATCACCATTCCCACTGGTAGGAGGGATGGAACTATGGATATCATCTTTCGCCAAATCTTCACCATGCTAGAACTAAGAAAGTCACAGTCCAAGAATACCCAGAACATTTCACATGAGACCAGATCTAGCATGGCGACACCGCAGCTTTCTGAGAGCCCTACACACGTATCACTTTCCGCGGACGATCCGCTGAAATGGGCTGCGATTTGCAAGGATTACAACTTCATTCACCTATCGGGAGCGGCTGCGAAGGCCTTTGGTCTACCCGGAAAGATTGCGCACGGAAACCATGCAGTGGCTAAAGCTTTGCATCAGCTGACGGACTCGAGAAGCTCGCAGCCACCGTTCAGCACTTCCTTATGGATGGAAGTACAGTTCAGAAGGCCGATGGTTGTACCCGGTGTCTACGATGTTAGTTTACGCGAGTCTAGCGAACCTAGCAAGATGTTCTCAGTTTCTTGTCAGGGAAAAGACTATGCGACTGCGGTGTATGGGGACCTTCAGCAATGAACATACCGAGATAGTATTCGGTTACCGTCTGGGACCATTCTTGAAAGAACGTCGGCACTAGGGGTGGCTACAGTTTGTGTTGCATTCTACCAAACTATCATTAAGATTTCTGAGAAGTATACCTTATCGTGGGAGCTACTGACTTATCAAGATTGAAATGTATGTAAGCGGCAAAGTGCGTCATGACTTCCATTCACCCCTAGTGGGGAAGATCTTGCGTCAGAAAGTATGTATGAGTAGATAGGCTAATGCAATGTTAGTTCACTTCAACAAGCTTTAACAGCCCGTTGTTCCACTGTCTTCATCAGTGCAATCAGAGCACTCTGGTCCTCCTCCTCCTCAAGATCTGTCTCTTGCACACGATGACCTTCTTCATCAACTTCAGGCTTGTGAAACTCCCATCCGATTGGTGTGTAATCCATTAGTGAACGACAGTCGAGGGAGCAGTAAGCAGCCATGGGGAGATCGGACGGGGTGTTGTAGCGGCTATCAAAAGGATAGTCCTCCGAATAGCCCAACTTGAAGTACCGAAGACGTTGGAGGCCAACTCGGAAGCGTTCGAATATTTGATGCCAACGAATATCCGGTTCAACTTTCCAACCGCCTCCGATAGGAAGACCGAAGCTGTCAACCTCATCGTCACCCTCATCATCACTCTTGGCCTCATCCGGATGTCGAAGTAGCTGAGGGAAGTTCGCTATCATTCCTCTTTCGAACAAGTGCAGATGACGAACAACACCGCAACCGCAAAGGAGTAGAGTTTCCAGTGTAGCTCCATGCGCGACAACCCAGTCGACCTGCCAGTCATGCGCGATGGTCCAGCCGCCAAAACACAGCGATTTGAGGTGTGGAAATGGCTGGACCTCTCGGAGGTCCATGAAAGGCCAGACTCCCCAGAAGCAGTCGCAATCGAGCGTAAGACTAGGCATTTGTTTACAAACTCAGAACATGACTCACATGTAGCTCGACGCTCGTACAGGAAGACTTACCGTGTGAGTTGATTGGTGGTGGGCTTCAACCAGTACTTTGGGAGAAAACGTCTGAGACCATTGTGCGCCGCGTCTGCATAGGTGCTCTGTTGACCTTCCGGTTCCACGTGATACCTTAAGATTCTCAGTTGCAATTCCGTTAAGCGCTCTCTCACAGCCAGGAAGTTTGTGGATTCCATAATATCCTGAGGCATTGCATCTTGCAAGTTCTGAATCGTAAGACTCTCGAAGCTCTCACTCTGCGCTAAAGCCTGGAAGCAAAGGTCCTGGATCTTCGCTCGGAAATATTCGTCCTCCTCAACCTCCACCATAGTATCTCTGAATCTGGTGTGAGTATAATCGTCTACGGTACAAATGCTCGAGAACTTTAGCTCTACTCGCTTCAGTCTCTCCAGCTGTGCAAGTCGTGCGATGGCATCGCTGAAGGTAGAGAGAATCTTGTCTTCATCCGCCAAATATTTCCCGTCGTCGTCATCGTCGTCATCGTCGTCATCTTCCTCCTCCTCGTCGGGATGGTCGGAAGTATTGATGATGACATTTCGTACATAATTTCGTAAAGAGGAATGAACGATATTCGCGAATCTTTCAGGGCTGCTTTTGACATTCGTGAAGGATACTGTGCGGAACAGGCTCTCAGAGGCTAATTCGTGAAATCCCTTGTTTACTAGGCGAAGGGCCTTAAGAGTCGCCAAGTCATCGGAAAGGAAATCGACACAACTCCGTTGGAGTTCGACAGGCAGTTGAAGCATTGCGCTTGCCTAAGCAGCAAGTGTTTTGGCTATAACCGTGGTGGACGCAAGTGGCCCTTTTGTAATTATCTGGATGCGGTGTAATACGTCATTTCGCCTTGCATGAAGCTGTACAGCCCAGTTGGAGGTATAATGTGAGTCATCTGTCAGGCGTGCAAGTCTAAGGATCTTGGTTGCCTAACCATACGGTTGGGACCACGCTATAGCCTATATAGGTATCTGTACAGGCTGCATCGCCTTTTCTTCTTGAATTACGAGAGACGCCACTTTCTCTTCACGACACTGCTACCGCATCTAGCCTCTCGTAATGAACACTTTCCAGACTTTACCGATCACAATACGTGAGCAGATCTATCAAGAGCTGCTCACCTACACTCCAGCTGTATACGACGAGCCGTACTACTCAGAGGCTCAGATGGGAAGTATCGAAACTTCAAGCACCAAGGGCTGCTGCTTAGATGTACCTCCCCAGGCGTCCGCACCCTCATCGCCGTTATGTAAACTGCTCACATTGAGCCGACAAATTAACGCAGAGATCTTCCAGTTTTTGAGACGTCAACTGTGCGTGGTTGTCAAGAGCAATCACCCATGGTTTATCCGGAGCACATTTGACAAAAGATTGCCCGTGTTGCGTGGACAGGATTCCCGCGACCATCTTATGGAGTGCCCGCGCGTACCACTTATCTCACAACTGCAATCTTGCGATGAGACAGTCAAGAAGGACTTTTCAGGTTTTCCTGTGGCAATGGAACTCGAATTCCACGTACCCTGTTCCATGCGCAACCGCTATCCTATGGAGAATACGTCGTGTTTCTTAATGCCAGCTTCGAGCTTGCCGATTTTGATCCTAATTGGCAAACATGGTAGCAGTCGCGGGCGGTGAGTAATTGCAGTGCAAATTGTACCATCGAGACGGAATCTAACGCGTGCCAGGTGTAGAGACACTTCTCTAAATGTGTCGCTTTTCGAGACATTCTCACACACGCACGAACGAGCCCAGGAGATACTCATTGACCCTCTGCTGGTTCCCACTTCCGCCCGCGCTAGATTCTTCATTGTCAGCACCAATAACATGATCACTTCTCCTTGGGCCATGAAGTTAAGGGAGCACCTGATGGGAGAACGGCCTGCTAGTTACTATCTTGACCATCTGGACACTACCAAGTACGCCCGTATGGCTTATGTATATCTTTTCGACTACATACGCAACGACACATCGGAATACGACACAGTGCATGAATTATGGCTTCGGACTTGCGAACTCGCTGCAACAGAAATACAGACCCTCTGCCATCGCGCAGGTGTCTTTGAACCGAAAGGGGAGGGCTCAACGGGTTTACCCAGGAACGAGAGAAGTATCGCAACTCCAAGAACCTCAGCGAGCTCATCTGACAGTACGGCATTGCTCCAGAAAGCGCGCAAGGTTTCTGAAGAGATGACCATCTTCTTATCGAATAAGGTAAGTTCTGGCTGTACGAACTGCATGTGAGACATACACTGACTTCGCACGTCTACCTCTGCAGCCCATGTGTGCGCAAGAAACGTCGCTAGCTTCAGAGAGGGTGCAGCTACCAATTAGCAAGCACAAATCTCTGTTGAGCTTCAGGGCACATATCGTTTGCAAAGCACTTGGGGATATAGACGCCGCCATTGGATACCTCGAGGAAGCGATCAAATATGACCCTAACTGTGCAGAGAGCCCAGTGGACCGACCCCAACGTAGATCCATTAATGGTCTACCTCCTGTTTGGATGAGACTTCGACTAGTTTGGAGGCGACCGCAGAATGGCGAAGCATACCTAGTAAAGCATCCAGTGCCAATGCTGGACGAACTGAAAGCCGAGCGTGGAACCAGCAACGAAGAGGTCGCCTGCAGAGTGATACGATGGGAGAGCCGTATGTAAAACTGTCTTAGGAACAGGTCATTACGGGCTGAGCGCAAAATGAAGAAAACGTACCGTTATCCCGAATGCTCATAGTGGAGTTCGCAAGTGCACGCTAGCACCCCGCAAACAGCCTCAAGATGCCGAGGTTCATACCGTCTCTCCACCAAAGCTCTGCCGACATGGCTGAATCGACCTTGACGCGTCTGCGCACCCTTGTGTATATACACATACCTCCTTGAGCCCTAGCCACAGTCAGTTGACCTCACAACCATACCTACCTACACCCACATCCACACCACCACCCACCATGACGCACGCCGCCTCCAAAGACGACCTGCGCGTCAGCGCGCTCTTCGACTACACCTCCCACGTCGTCCTCGTAACCGGCGGCGCGACGGGCCTCGGCGAAATGGCCGCGCAAGCCTTCATCCAAAACGGCGCCCGCGTCTTCATCGCGTCCCGCAAAGAATCCGAACTCGCCTCCACCACCGCACGCCTGAACGCCCTCGGCCCAGGAAAATGTTCCTACATCGTCGCAGACCTAAAAGACAAAGCCGGCTGCCTCGCTCTGTGCACGGAGCTAAAGAAGCAAACGGATCGGCTGACGGTGCTGGTGAACAATACGGGCGCGAGCTGGGGCGATGATTACTACAATTACCCGGAACATGCGTGGGATAAACTGTATGCGTTGAATGTGAAGAGTATATTTTATATGACGGTCGAGTGTGAGGGGCTGTTGAGCAAGGGGGCGGATGCGCATAATCCGTCGAGGGTGATTAACATTGCTAGTATGGCGGGCATTACGACTGTGGATGTTACGACGGGGGAGGGTGGAGGGTTGAGTAATCCGGGGACTGGGACTTATAGCTGTATGTCTACTGTTATTCTTACCTTTTGTAGATTCTTCTTGCTAACGAAATATCTAGATGGTCCAGCAAAGGCAGCTTGCATCCACCTTACCAAAATGCAAGCCTCGAAACTCGCTCCAAAGAATATCATGGTCAACGTCATCTGCCCTGGTGTCTTCCCCTCGCGCATGACGAACTTCGGGTTGGAGAAATTCGCAGATGCGTTGACTGCGGGACAGCCGACAGGTCGCATTGGCAAGCCAAGTGACTTTGGTGGGCTGGTCTTGTTCTTGAGTAGTAAAGCGAGTGCGCATATCACGGGTAACGCAGTCGAGATGGATGGCGGTGCTACGCTGACGGGGTGGAGGGGGAAGGTAGGTGGAAGTGGGGAGAGCAAGTTGTGAGGAAATCGTGGTGGGTATCATGTGATTAATTGACGGGTTTACTACATGTTGGGTATGACTAGTGTCCTTCCTTCATCTGCTGCACCAAAGACCACTGTTTCTCCTACGAGAGCTGAGTAGCCAACTGGGTAACCTGATCCATGATCGCTTGGTCTTCCCTGATGTTGTTCTCGATAACCTTGTCCCTCAAGTGTTCGACCGTCTGAGCCGGGTCCGTAGGCGGCTGGCCCCTCGCAGTCTGGATCCTCGAAATCTGCATCTCGAGGAAGAACTTGGGCGCCTTGATAATTCCGAAGTTGCCTCCCGAGCTACGTAGACCGGCCTCAGTGGCGAGGTAAACGTTGAGCGCGTCCTGGAAAGCTTCGAGGTTGGAGTCGGCAAGTGGTACAGCGGTGAAGAAGGTGCTGGTGGCGAACTCCATGGGTTTCTGACCAGAAGCGGCGAAGTTGATTTTGGAGAAGGTTTGGCCGCCAGAGGTCACGTCGGGGACGTTCTCGATTGTCTTTGCGTTGGCGTCGCAGGTGACCTTGTCTTGGATTTGTTGGACTACAGTGGCTGTCTCGCCTGGGAGGACTTCATTGCCAACAATGAAGCAAGCATTGCCTTGACGCGGTATAATGTTGGCCGTAGGAGCAGCAACGACAAGGCCGCTGAGGAGCGTGAGGGCGGTAAAGGCGTGGGCGTACATTCTCGGATTCGTTTCTGAAGGTTCCGTCCTGTATGTATACGGCAAGAATACAAAATATGTAACAGCGTTGAATGGGTATAGTGATAATCAACGAACGTTATAAAAAAGATAATAACTACCCTGACCGGAGGGCAAGCAAAAGAACGAAAAAGAGAACGTGAGTGTAAAGACTGACTGGGGCGAACGAAACCGACAAAGATCGATACTCGAAAAACCACGACGGCGGCCACACTCCTTTATAAAAACCACAACCACCATCGTGAGATCATACCCCTCAGGCGCGTAAACGGCAATAAGGCACACCTTCGCGACATCTGTCCCTGTATCACCAGCCCACTAAGAAACGCTTTGCGACATTTCTGACAGGGCTGTCACGTCCACCTGGTAGGGGCCGTCGCGACGTTTCTGGTTTGAGATGATCAATACCGTCTTCGCTTAGGCCCAAGGCGGCTGCCGAGCTCCGAACCTTGGGAAAACTTTATGTTTTGAACCAATAGTAGGTGGATCGCTATTGTGCATCGTGGAGTGGGCCTAGTTTTTGGCGTCCATGCGAAACGCGGTGCTTGTATGGCTTGGCTGTTGGAGGGCATGCAGCATGGCTTCAGGAGGGTGAGAAGGAGTTATTCAATGCCGCTCTGCCCGAGGTGAGGGGATTGAGGCGCAGGGCGGACGGGTTTTGCGGACATGTGGGCAAGCGATTGAAGCGCAATGATACACCGCGGTTATGCATGGCAGTTGAGGTGTAGTAGAACGGTCAGTGCTGGTGACGGGAAACGGTTATGGAAGGCAGGGTGACTAATCGAGACTAGCGCAATCATCACGCATGTAGCCGGCACATCGGCACCTGAACACCACAACACCGCAACACCACACATACAACTCAGTAGTTCGATTTCGATCCACAATGGGAACATCGTAATCCACATACAAACAGCAACAGCACTGGTATCGACCGTTTGCCTTGGCACCGTACCCTACTTTGCTTTCCATCAATCCTAATCTCGAAGCAAACGCCAATCCGAGAGTCCGTCTATGCATGTATAAAAGCGCCCCCGTCGCGTTTCCAATTCGATGCCCGCATACGCCATGCTTTGTGTACAAACGTGCGTACAAAGTTCCGAAGAAGAGTATGTAGAATAGACAAAGGAGAAACAGAAGCCGCTCAAGCGATGCTGGTATGACCATAAATCCACTTTTGAAATCCAGAATGCGAAGGAAAAGAAAAAGGAAGGAGAGGAGTTTGTGTTAGGCTGGAGACGCCTCGAGATTATGTATAGGCCGTTCCACGTGCTCGGTAACAGGGTCTTTGCCCTTCGTCGTTGGCTGGTCGTCGGACGTTCGTTGCGTCTCTTCAGCAATGTCGCTCATGTCGGACTCGCTGTCAGAGTCGGATTGTTCTATTCTAAAGGACTCGCGAAAGTTTGCTGGAGTGATCGTCTGAGACGATACGTGTCGCTGCTTTGTGGTGCCTGCCGACAATTTCCGAGGGGGAAGCGGGTCGTTGTCGTCGCTTCCTGGAGAAAGCGCAGCTGCCATGCCATCCCGATCGTCGGCAGAGTTCGCCTCGGCAGCCTCCTGGAGTTGTTTCTTCGTCTTTAAGCGCTCTTCGGCTGTGGTGTTGTGCCAGTCGGAGCCGAATTGGATCACAGATGCCTTCTTGCCATGGACTGTAAAGCTGCCCTTGCCGCGCGCCAGTCCTTCGCTCTCGGTGTTATCGCTCGCGAGTGTGATTGTCGACGAAGAGTCTCTACTCTTGTGGCTGCGGCGGTGAGAAGAGCTGCCACGGGACTCTCGAAGAGTGCGATGTAGACTTCTTCTTTGCTTTGTGTGAGACCTGGGCGATCCTGTCAAAGCAGCAAGGGATTGTTCGTAGTCAGAATCAATGGCAGCCTCTGGTCGGGGGCTCTCTCCAGGTGTCGCCTCTGGTGACATGGGCTCCAAATCACCCGCCTCGCCTGGAGGCGGAGTCGCGTATCGAGACCCGTCCTCAGAGTCAGAGTCAGAATCTGAGCCTATTGTGCCATCGCCAGTCGTCGATATTGAAGGCCTGTGATCGGAGGGATACATCCTCGGAGACTGTGCCGAAGAGCTCGCAAATGAGCTTCGACGATCGGATGAGCCAGGGCCAAATATAGGCCCAGGTTGAAATTGAGCCGATGGGTCCCTGGGGCTCGACTGACGCGACGTCTCTGGGGGTGTCTTGAATGCTTCGTCTCCACCGAATTCAGTATCCCTAGAGGACTTGGTCCCTGGTCGACCCGGTGAGGTAGGAGACAATGGAGCTTGCTTATTTCCACTGTTCATTGAGCTGGTCTTGGAAGTCAACCGCGCTAATCCACTAACTTTTGACGCTCTGTGCGACAATTGTTGAGGCGAAACTTGCGGCTGTTGTAGCTGAGCAGATTCTGAGGCTTGGTCACTTTGCGCTTGCTTATCTGCGAGGCCTTGCCTCTCGTCCTCCAGTTCTTGGGCAAGGATGTCGCGATGACATTTCATCCGCCAGATGTCGATGCGAGTCCACTTGAGCTTGGCTGATAAACGACCGGCAGCGTGAATGACCAGTTCGCGAGTTTTGGGTTGAATGGGCGCAAGAATCTGGAGATGTCTTGCATCTCGTAAGCGTGCTTCCAACTCTTTGATAGCATTGGTGAGCTTGTCCTCGGACTCTGTAATGCGCACCTGCATGAGGTCTTTCCTAGCGTTCATCATCTGCTGTGCAAACTGATTGTCGATCTTGCCGCTCGTAATGGTGACTTCGCCAGTGTCCGTTGGTATCGTCTTGGTCGAATGGGATGACTCCAGGCGCCGCATACCACGGTTCTTCTGGCCTTCGTACAGCCCACCAATCATGCCTCTTGACCGAACACCCAGTGTTTCAAATGCAGCAGTGTAATTTAGCACACCCAGCCACTCGTTCAGGTCCTTCTCGCTATCGGCCAAGAATGTCTCCTCGCCTGCCTTCGAGAACATGACAAACGCATTCTTATGTTTCTTGTATGTGGCGTCGACAAGCGCGACCGCACCATCCATGGGTATAATGTGGTCTTGTTTGAAGTCAGGTAGGGCAGGTTGGAATATGACTGGGCCTGTGTCGCCGCGTTTGAGATGCTGGTCGTGCTGGCTCATCAAGTTCTTAGTCCAGGTAGAGTTCCGGAATAGAGACAACCCCGATCGTGTGAGAACGGCGCCCCATTCCTGCCATGGCGATCGGGCCTTCTTTTTCTTCGTGTCCTTTCTCCACAAAACTCCCACTTTTGTCACTGGCATTTCGACGATACCAACTGAGGTGCCGAAGGGGTTCTCTTGGGCGGCTTCAGACATGAAGGCTTCTGGTCTCGATCGGGATGACACGATTTGAATTACGCCGTATTTGGAGAACAATTTGTAGACGTTCTTGGTGTCTAGCGTCGCGGTTGTGCCAGTGTAGTTGTACGGGTCGTCTAGTTGCATCACGTCTCGGATCGTGGGTCGGAGTGCGTCCAGCTTGCCTTCGAAGATTAATGTGTACGGATCGATGGGCTCTTTAGCAGCTTTCCGCGCCGGGTCGTTCATTGGCCCCTTCAAGACAGCGACTCTCTTGCTTTTCTTCGAGGTGATGTTCTTCAGATCAACCTCGTCTTCAATGTGAATGAATGGAGTGTAGACGATGTTGTCGTAAAAGCAGCCGAGGACGTCAGCCGAGACGCCATCGCAGGACGAGTTCTTGATGTAGTCGGGCCTTTGCATTTTCCGTTTGTTGTTCTTGTTGAAGACGTCCGTGTGAAGAATGATAATGGAGAAGGATATAAAGTAGGCTTTGTCAGTGTTGATGTAAATACCGGGGTTGCATTCGTGATACCGGTCGGCGAAGCCCTGAAGGACGCGGTCAATTTGTTGTGTCTCTTTGGGTAGTTCAACCTGCATGAGCAACTTGCGAATCGCCATGTCGATTGGGTCGCCAAAGAACGCGAACTTCCGCATGTAGCTTCTGAGTACGGCAAGCAGGAAGGGGTCGTCGGTCTTGCTCAGGTAGCTGGCAACGACGCTCTTATCGAAGTTATTCGCCTCGATTCTTTCCAGATATCGGCCAGGCGTCTCGCCTTCCTCGCGTTCTGGCAGAATGAGTGTCTCCCGACTAATGTTCATCGAGTTCTGGTGTGATGACAAGCCTGAGCTTCCTAGAAAGCCGTGAGCAGGTGAACCATGCCGAGGTGAATGGGGCTCGGAGTTCTGACGAAATCTTGAACTCAAGCCAAACAGATTGCTGAAGCTACTTCTTCCGGCCGTGGAGGTCGAAGTCCTTCCGCTAGGCCCGCCAGGTGGTGTTGGCGAGCCTGCGCCGTCGGATCGCCCGCCCAAAGATCCCATAGTGGATGAGCGACCCCTAAGACCCATTCGTGCAGGACCATTGTTGTTTGGCGAGGAGCGAGCGGATCGACTTGACCGGTACGAGTCGTTGCGAAAGAGAGTACCTGAACCGGGTGAGGCCAAATTCAGAGCACCAGCAGCTAGAGCAACTTGCGATGCAGAAGGGACTGGTGGCGTCTGTGTCCCAGGTTCTCCATAGTTGAGACGACGCGCGGTCAAGGGCGGGCTCTCGGTGAGTGAATGATCGGTCGAGGCAGAACTCCTCGCGCCGGTAGAGGCACGTGGTGTAGCAGGCGCTGTGTCGGGGAATTGAGGAGGCTCAATCTTCATAGGGAGTGGGAATAAGGATGCGCGTTGTTTTCGACGCCCAAAGCCAAATCGCGAAGAGCCAACGCGGGCCGCGTGCGAGGGCCGTGAGGTTGTTTCGAAAGAAATGTGTCCGCCGGAGCTTCCATCTGATCTCGACGACTCGGAGGCCCTGGTGGCAGGCGGCGCCAGCGAGCTTGCGCTTTCCACCGACTCGCGCGAATCGGCAAGCACGTCCGGCCGGCGATGGCTGCTCGTCGATGCGCGCTCCTTCTCGTCCAAGAGGTCCCCAGTGCTCTTCTTGAAGCCTAGCGGCTTGCGCTTCTTGTCCATCGACTTTCGCAGCGTGGTCGGCTTTTCGAACGTCGTCGGGTCGAAGGAGCGCCTGCGCAGGGCGAATTGCTGCATCCTGCTCCGCCTGGGCGCGATCTTGGCCTCGTCTTCGTGTTCTGCTACAGTCGGTGCCGTGGTGATGATAGCGGGCGCTGTGGCTTTACGTCAGTACACACACGTACAAGATTCAATACGCATACGTACGCGCAGGATTGGCGGGCACGCGAGGGACGGGCGGTGCATCGTCGTCCCTCGCGGCATGTTCCTTTGCCTTGGCGGAGAGCTGGGGGTCAGAGGCATGGCGGAAGCGCATCAGACTGAAGCGCTTGGTGTTGGGCGTGTGTTCCTGTACGGGCGGAGAAGGTGGGGAGTCGTCATCATCATGATCATGGCCCGTCGAGGGCCGCGCAGTGTCGGTGGACGTGGGGCGGAAGCCATCTTCAGAGGCGGCTATTCGACTCTGGTCGAGGTTCTCTTGCGACCTGTCGAAGCGCGTGTCCTTGTCGGCGCGCCGGTGGAAGAAGCCGGCAGGGTCGAGGGTGCTCCGTCGCTTGAGGTCTCGTTCGCTGCGGCCGGGGCGGAGGGAGCGCAGAGGCATGGCTGTCGCGCCGACTAGCAGCTCATGAAGGCAGATACGGGGTCACGGTGCGGTACATGGCACAGCGGAGAGGGGCAGTGAAGGGCGTGTCTAGGTCTCTTAGGATGGCTCGGATGCGGCACGCCTGTAAGGCTGAGGGAGTGCTGCTAGGATTAGTCGGGGAGGTGAGATCAGATATCGATGGCGCGGGCCCGGCACGGCGTCAGACACGTAGTTGGAAGAAAGCAGGCAGGCGACGTCACAGTGTCTCGGGATGTATAGGGGGAGGATAGCAGGCCTTAGGGTAGCAGATCAGCTGTCACCAAGGCACTGACGAGCGCACTGGTCCTCTTTGCTGTGCAGTGGAGGCCTCCTAGCGCAGCGTTGGCCTAAACCTTGGACTGGCCGCGCCTCTCCACCAGCCACACCCACGTTTCTTCGCGGCATCGCCAGGCACACGACACCTTCTCCACCCCTTCCCGGCGCTTGCTGGCAACGACTGCATCGCACACTCGGCTCACCGCCCGTTTGGCTACCCACCGCCAGAATGCGCCAGCCCGTTTGCGCTCTGCTGAGCCTGCTGCTCCTCGGGCCCTCGCTCGCAGCCGCCGCCCCGCACGATGCAGCGCCGTCGCCGTACGATGCAGGAACCTATGCCACGACCCACAATGCGTCGCCGCGACCATGGCGCAGGCTGTCCGACGCGATTATACGCCGGATATGGAGGCTGCCAGAGGACCAGAAGAGCCTGGACGGTCAAAACACGCGCACTGCTGTCGATGCGCTGGGGGACAAGCTGGTAGCGCAGTACAGTGAAGATGTCGTCTTGAGATTCAAGATACGCACGGCGGAGGAGGCCTCGGCTCTGGCGGATGCAGCAGACGTCCTCTTCCTCGATGTCTGGGAGTTTAATGAGGACTGGGCAGACTTGCGCGTATCCAAAGACGTCGTGCCTTCCTTGCTCGGGCTGCTGCCTCCATCGCTCAAGGACGCCCACGAACCACTCCTCCAAGACCTCGGCCTCGCACAAGCAATCTTCAACACCTACCCATCCACTGAGACTCCACCCGTTCCCGAGAACGATCGCTTCTCCTCGAATCTCCGACCGTCCCCGCGCTCAGGCAAGGGCAACATCTTCTTCCAAGACTACCAACCGCTCTCCGTCATCAACCCCTGGATGAGCCTCATGGCCTCCATGTTCACCACCCACGTCCGCCGCATAAACATTGGCATAAGCTACGAAGGCCGCGACATTCCCGCTCTGCGTGTTGGCGTGCACCCCACGAATAACGAAGAGCCTTCCAAGCCTCGAAAGACCATCCTTGTCACCGGCGGCATACACGCCCGTGAGTGGATATCCACAAGTACCGTCAACTACCTAGCCTGGAGCTTCATCAACGCGTACGGCAAAGACCGTGAGATGACGCGTCTCATGGAGGAATTTGATTTCGTCTTCGTCCCGACCCTGAACCCAGACGGATACGTCTACAGCTGGGAAACCGACCGTCTATGGCGCAAGAACCGCCAACCCACCAGTCTGCGATTCTGCCGCGGCATCGACCTCGACCGCAGCTACTCGTACAAATGGGACGGCGATGCTTCCCACTCGAACCCCTGCAGTGAATCCTTCCCCGGCAACACTCCATTCGACGGTGCGGAATCAGCACGTTTTGCCGAATGGGCGAAGAATGAGACTGAAAACAATGTTGACATTATTGGCTTCTTAGATCTGCACTCATACTCACAACAGATTTTGTACCCATACAGTTACTCGTGCGACGAGGAGCCTCCGTCTATTGAGGACCTTGAAGAGCTTGCCATGGGTCTGGCGAAAGCTATCCGCGTGTCACGCAAAGGCCAAACATACAAGGTCACATCAGCTTGCGAAGGCAACGTAGCCTTTGCAAGTCAGAAGAAGACTATTTTCCCGCGCATTGAATCGAGCGGCGGCAGTGCATTGGACTTTTTCTACCACGAATTGAAAGTTAGGTACTCTTACCAGATCAAATTGAGAGACACGGGCAGCTACGGATTTCTGCTGCCCAAGGAGAACATTATACCCACCGGAGAGGAGATGTTGGACGCGTTGTTGTACTTTGGGCGTTTCATGTTGGGCGAGGTTGGCATCGTCAACCAGGAGCAGCCTGCTCAAATTGTCAAGCCGTCGCTCGAGACTGAGATCATCGAGTTGTAGTCCATGGTCACTTAATACATTCTTCAAGACCTGACTACGCACATTGCGTAAAGTCATAACCGATTTCATGCATTAGTGCCCGTAATGCAGATCCTCGAGAAGCGAACACATCCATGGAGTCCAATTTTGTACAAACTCGCACAAGCGCGAAGGCGTTAAAAACAACCTTGAAAGTCGCACAGCGGCCAGGTTCTTGGATGTTGGTTTTCAACGGCCGCCATGCAGGTAGCGTTCTCTTGCACGTGGGAGGCCCGTGCGACGACCGTTAGTTCAAGCATAGATCCTTACAACGTCATGGCTCGAAGTCTCGTCGACACAAACAGCTTACGCGCCTGTCACCCACTGCATCCACTAACGCCGGTTTATGGCGCCGTCAGAACTCCGGGGCATCTGCGATTGTGACATTCTCTCTTTCTAGTGACACTTTCACCTTCGCTGTTGACTCGCACCTTCGTTGAATTGGCCGAACAGCCGCCATGGCGTCAAGCTCCACCGAAACGACTCCCTTGGTCTCGTCCATGTCGAGCTCAAGCCGAGCGATACCCCCGAAGCCACAGCGCACCGTCACCTTCAACCCAACCGTCACATCTACTAGTCCGAAACCACCAGCGTCGCGATCACTATCGCACAGTGCCTCGTCTTCCGGCCATGCTGCCACTACCCAGGGCGGGCAGCCGATGCTGTCGACGCTGAACAGTAAGCTGCGAAGGAGAAACAGCTCTGGTGCTCCTGCCAGGATACCTCCCGCGCCGGTGCCCAAGATTGGACCGCAGCGAACGACGAGGACTGCGCAGAAGCTCAAGCTGCTCCCTGACCCGGCCGCGGATGAAGCCGAAGACGAGGAGAGTGGACGCGATGTCTATGTACAATACACCAGGATAAAGGACCCGACTGCGCGAAGAGATGCTGCCCGCCTCGGCAAGGCAGACAGAGAGCGGTTGCCCAGGGTGACGGCATACTGTACTGCGGCCTCGTACAAGCTTGATGACATGATGCGATTCTTGAAAGGCAAGCAGAAGATCAGAGGAGCGGCGCCCAAGCGCTTCGACGAATGCATATACTCGCCCTACAATTACGGATCGACAAAGGGCCCAGAGGACGTCAGCAGCACGGCCGTCCTCGACGGCTTCACGGAAGAGAGACCGAGAAGGTTCTCAGACAGTGCCATTGAGGTGGAACACGAGAATGAGAGGAGGAGACAGGACCTCATCGACTTGCACGACGATGGCGACGCGCCGGATATCGCGAACGAACAAGCCATCGGCCCCAGACGGCCGTCGATCGCCCACGCCGACTCTGACCCCCAAATGGACGCGCCAGACTTCGATACACGCGTCCATACGCCCGAGGTATTCTTATTTGAATACGGCACTGTTGTAATCTGGGGCATGACGCTGCAAGAGGAGAAGAAGTTCTTGAAAGAAATCGCCAAGTTTGAAGTGGACAAGCTCGGCAAAGATGAGATCGAGACGGAAGAGTTCAACTTCTACTACACGCGCGAGTACCAGGCCCGGATATACAACGACTTCATCAGTCTGCGCGACAAGAAGAACTACATGATCAAGCTTGCAATTAGTCACGGTCTTTCTCAGAGTGTCAAAACCTCGCTTTTCGAGGACCTGGTAGATAACACTATCGACGAGACGAAGGACATTCCGGCCGAAATCGCCAGCTCTGGCAAGATTAACCTGAACAAGAAGCAGATCAACATGCAGATTGGAGAATTGTTCATTCTCCGGATCAGTATCCATCTGCAAGGATCGGTTCTTGATGCGCCCGAGCTCATGTGGGCAGAGCCGCAGCTAGACCCGGTATATCAAGCTGTGAGAAGCTATCTGGAGATGGACCAAAGAGTCAGTCTCCTGACTGAGCGACTCAACGTCATCGGAGACTTGCTTGCTGTCTTGAAAGATCAGTTGACCGTTACTCACGTGCGTATCTGACGTATGCTTTTTTGCCGTACATCCGCTGACCAATTTAGGGCGAATTGCTTGAATGGATTGTCATCATTCTCATCTTTGCTGAAGTTCTGGTGGCTGCCATCAACATTTTTGTCGACCTGCACGCTGCGGACTAGACTGCACGTGCATTGTATATATTTCCCGGTGTACGATATATTGTTCACTGCGCGCGAGGGTTGGGCTTATTCAAAAAGTCAAATGCACGGCGTTGGCTATGCGGGTATCTGTTTATTGTTGCAGCATTATTCCTTATCATGAGGGTGGAATGTGGCAGGCTATGAGTAAGGGGAAACGATGAATTAGTGGAGTAATACAAGTGGGTGTTGCATTGTTAAGCTATCTATCACGCACGCGGCGGAGATGAGCAGCTCCGCCCGCTGAACCCTGTCGCGCCCCATCTTTCCGTATGCGACCCTTTTGAGCATTTCACCGCATGCCGTCGCCCTCCACCCGTCCTGAGCCCCAATGAGCCGTCCCAGATGAGTTGGAATCTGCTAGAGCGCTTTATAGAATCTGAGCACTTCAACCAAGATCCGAGCCTCGCAGTAGCATACCTTGCGTGAGTCCCCGTCCCATGTTCCCCGAAGCCACCGTTGCCCGCAGCACCGCCGCACGCAGCGCCCTTCACCGACCCGTCCGCATTGGGGCCCTTGACTGACCATCGCCATGACCGCAGCCGGTATGCAGACCACGTCGGAATCCACTATGTGCTCTGTTCGAAGCTGCGCCAGTTCGCCTACGAGGAGCTCGAGTTCTTCCTCCCGCAGTACGTCGCCGTCCACCACCCATGACGAGACATGGACAGCTAGCTTACACACGCGGGGTACAGGCTATGCCACCTGCTCATCAGCATCGACAATGAGTCCATGGCCCTGGAGGAATTCATAATCGACCTGTGCGAGGAGTCGGTCAACGGCGCGCTTCTGGTGGGCTTCCGGATACCGTGTCTTGTTAGCCGCTGCGCCTGCTAATCAACCCCTCTAGACCTTCTGGCTGTTCCAGACCTACCTGCACGACCTCGCCAGCGCGCCCAATTCAATTGCCTTCAAGACGTGCCGGCGGATATACAACCGCGTCCAGCGCATCGTCTTCGGGTCCGCCGAGCCCCAGCGCCGCGAGAAGATCAAGGAGAACGTCCTGCCCGTCACGGTGCTCTCGAGTCTGGTCCTGGCGAGCATAGCGGCGCCCTTTCTGCCAGTCCACGCCGGGCCACTGGCCATTGCGCAGGCGCGGAAACCACGGCCCGTCGAGGACATCATTTCGGACAATGTGCAGACGGCCAAGGTCGGGAGGAGCAAGACCGTCACGGGAAGTTCCTCACGGTCCAAGGAGAAGAGGACATCGCAGCAGCACTCTGACCCTGAGGATGGGCGATCCGTCAAGGCTTCGTCCTCGCGGCCGCGTGAACCCAAGGACCTGAGGAAGGCAGCTGTACGACCGCCAGCTGCTCCACGGACCCCCTCGATGCAGCACCGCCCTTCCTTGCTGTCGATAGCCTCAGAGGCCAGGCTCAGTTCGTCGTCATTACCCGACTTCCGAGACCCAAAGTCGTCTCCCCTGCCCACGCCCCCCGCAACTGCTGGCCTCGGACCAGGCCCACTCCAACATGGTTCTCGCAAGCACCCCGGGCTACCACCGAGGCCCCTATCTCCCACCGCCTTGTCTCGCGCGCAGAAGGTAAGACTGCTGCGATCCAACTACTTCCGGAACGAAACCCAGTTTCTCAGCGCTCTCGAGGACATTTCAAACCGCCTAGTCGTTGTGCCCAAGCCCGCGCGGCTGAGTGCTCTGAGAGCGGAACTAGCGTTGATCGCCCAGGACTTGCCGGCTGAAGTTGACATACCCTTATTATCACCCCCAACACTCAAGGATGGGATCCCGTCGCAGAGCCAGCACCATCGCATAGTGCGCATCAATCCCGCGGAAGCCACTAGTCTCAACAGTGCAGAGCGGGTACCTTATCTGCTCATGGTTGAGGTCTTGGAGGAGGACTTTGACTTTGATCCCGATACTGAACAGAACCAACAGCTGCTTGAGAAACTGATGCTAGAAAAGGGCACCTCGAGGAGACGACTATTCGACATCACCCATGCAGAATATCTTGCCTTTGATCGCACGCCGCCTAATGGATCAGACAGCGTGTTCGAGCCCGCTACTGGAGACTTGGGGAGTACCTCGCTCATCAAGGATATGGATGATACCGACCTTGCTTCCGGGATGGCACGCGTAACCTTACCTGCTGCGACTGCTAATGGAAAAGCCACAGCCCCCAGATCTTCTAGTGGAGCAAACACTCTGTCCTCGGTGGCTACCTTGTCCACACCACGAACTTCTGACTCGCAGATCAGCCGTTCGAACAGTCCCGGTCCAATTAGGCGAATGACGATTCCGGCGAATTTAAATCAACGAAATCAATCAGCTGATCAACCAGACTTCTCTGCCCTTGCGACTCACATGCGCACCGCTGCCCAGATGCTTGCACAGCTCGAGGCGAGTGGTGCGAAACGGCCAAAGGGCGAAGTAGCTGCGATCAAAGCCAAGATCATCGCAAGCATGCAAAGCTTGGAAGAGCAAAACTTCTTGAGCGAGGACCAGGGGCCTACATTCGACACCATCATGGCTGAGTCGGATCCAGCTGCGATCAGCGGCGAGCCAGAAGAGCTCGAGGATGGCTTGGCCGTCGCTACCAACATCGGTGCTGGTGCAGCTCGCATGGAGAACGATCTCAAAACTGGTGGTATGAAGCGGAAGGGCGATCGCGATGATCCCAGCGCCGCGACATTTGGTGAAGAATGGAGCGCCAAGCGAGAACGAATACGGCGGTCCTCTCCATATGGCAATATGAAGAACTGGGATCTGATTAGTGTCATTGTCAAGACCGGAGCCGACTTGCGTCAAGAAGCCTTTGCGTGCCAGCTCATCGAAGTGTGCACCAAGATCTGGGAAGAAGCAAACGTGCCAGTCTGGACAAAACGGATGCGCATCCTAGTCACCGGCGAATCCTGTGGACTCATAGAGACCATCACCAATGGCGTATCCCTTCACTCCCTGAAACGAAGCTTGACGCTTGCTAGCATAGCAGCAGGCACGAACCCCCGGAAACGCATCGCGACCCTAAAAGATCACTGGCTCAAGACGTTTGGCGAGCCAGACTCGGAAGCCTACATTGCTGGCGTCGGCTGCTTCGCGCGCTCCCTAGCCGCCTACAGCATGATATGCTACGTCCTGCAACTAAAAGATCGTCACAACGGCAACCTCCTCATCGACAACATGGGCCACATAATCCATATCGACTTTGGCTTCATGCTCTCCAACAGCCCCGGGTCCATGGGTTTCGAAGCGGCGCCTTTCAAACTAACGCAAGACTACGTCGACGTCCTAGGCGGCGTGACATCCCCGGCGTTCGACGAGTTCAAAACGCTGTGCAAGAAGGCGTTCCAAGCGCTAAGGAAAGACGCAGAGAGACTAATTATGCTGGTGGATTTGATGAGCAAACAGAGCAGTATGCCATGCTTCGCTGCTGGTGCGGCGAGCGTGACGAATAGTCTGAGAGCGCGTCTGATGTTGCATTTGAGTAGGGAGGAGGCGGAAGGGTTTGTGGAGGAACTCGTTGCGAAGAGTGTGGGGAGTTATTATACCCGACTGTAAGTCTGACTCGTGCCCTATACCTGAAGACTTCATACACTGACGAGACCTTTACAGTTACGATACTTTCCAGTACCGCACACAAGGCATATATTGAGTTTGTTGGTTGCTGCTTTGCATTTGCAAGGAACGCCTGGGGAATACGTTGTTGGCATTGCATTCCGTGGAGTACCTCTTGCCGCGAGGAACGTAGTGAGGGGTCCATGTTGCGCGATTGGATTAGATGGGCTGTTAGACGTGTGGAAAGCAAGATACTACACAATCCAGCGTTCCTGATCTCGGCATAGCGAATGTGTTTCTTTGATGTCGATCCTGCCTTCGGAAGATACCGACTTCTTGCGTACTACCCCGCATATGCCGAATCCACCATCCGTTCTCTACTCTATCTAGTACACGCTAGTATATTAAGCCCATAAGGTTAAATCCCGTACATAAAGTGAACCGGCCACATTATTTCGACCGTGACTTACTTTCATGTAATAATACGACCACATAGCATGTGCCTGCAGCTTCAGGTGAGGAGCAAGATAACCTGATCTCATCTGGAGGCTGAAGGGCCGGGATTGAGGCTTCCCCGATATAGCTTAGTTCTGTGCTATGACGCCTCGCGCACTGGTGCGCGTTATCAAGAAGGACGGTCGCTGATCGGGCAATTAGGACATCTCATATGGAGCGGCTGAAATGCATCCGAGGCGAGACGGCTCATTCCGAGGCTGAAGTTGATCCATGTGTTGAGCTAGTATAAGATGAAGTAAAGAACCGTATGAGTTGCGATCACTAATCTGAGAAACCTTATTCATCTTGCATTCCAAGTCCTGTCGAACTAACCATGAGGCTTCTCATCGCTCTAACCGTCGGTCTATTGACCGGCGTCTCAGCCACTCCAGTCGGCACACCCACCATCAACGACCGCGACGCAACGTCCGTCCAAGAGACCGTCAGCCTCTGCACACAATACGCCTACCACTCCGCCAACGGCTACGAGATCCTCAACAACCTCTGGGGCAAGGACCAAGCCACCTCCGGCTCCCAATGTACCTACTACGAAGGCAGTTCTGGAAACGGAGGTATCAAGTGGAGCACGGATTGGGTATGGCAAGGCGGCCAAGACAACGTAAAGAGCTATGCCTACGCGGGCAAGATCCTCACAAAGGGGCAAAAGATCTCGCAGATTACTAGTATGCCGACGCAGGTGGAGTGGTCTTATAATCAGACTAGCAATGTGAGGGCGAATGTCGCATATGATGTTTTTACTGCCGCGGATCCGAATCATGTTAATAGTAGTGGGGATTATGAGCTTATGGTCTGGTACGTTCATACAGCGTCTAAACGATGACTGCATAAGGGAAATCTAACATGAACAAGGCTCGGTCGTCTGGGAGGTGTATGGCCCATCTCGCAATCCGGAGCCCCCGTCGCTACCGTCACCATCGCTGGATACACCTTCGATCTATACACCGGCTACAACGGATCGATGCGAGTTTACAGTTTTGTGCGGGCTGGCAACAGTGATATCAAGAGCTTTAGTGCTGATATCAAGCTGTTCTTCAACTATTTGGTGCAGACTCAGCAGTACCCAGCGAGTACACAGAATCTTATTGGTAGGTCGTTCCCGCGCGGTTAGAGTTGACTGATGCTGATATATGATTAGTCTACCAGATTGGTACGGAGGCTTTCACGGGCGGCCCGGCTAGGTGGTCGGCTTCGAGCTTCAGTGTCGATGTCAAGGTTTAGGATGTTGGGCGTCAATAGGTCTGCTCACCCCGCTTTCCAATATATGAAGGGGACTACTTAGAGCAACGATTAGTGTGATTCCGGATAGTCAATGAACGGGACAGCACCAGCTATTATCTCCTTTCATACGAGAGACTAGAGATATTTATACTGATATTGCTTCAAAGATTGCGGCGTAGAACGTGTTCGAGGCGCAAGCCATTCTTGACAGGTGAAGGTTCCCATACTGCTTGAACTAGCACCACCTGAGACCTTCGAACGCCACTGCGACGGATTATAGTCGCGCCTATGCCACACGAATGAGACAATCGCGATCGTATCCACGCCTCGGCAGCTAGCCACATTTCTGCTCTTCTAGTCAGTGTGGTACAGGGCCTCTGCTATTTCCATTGCTTTGTACTATGATTGTAAGTCTTATACCCGCGGCGTGGGGGTTAGTACTTCTACCTTTGAATGACGGGAATCGCAAGGTGAGGCTATGATTGGGGAGTTATGATTCTTGTTGTTGTCACGGTGGCTAACCTGGTGTCAATATTATTCGGTACGGAGAAAGGCGACTGTCGGGACGTATTGCTCAATCGCGAATTCGCAGCTCACTGCATCCTCGCCGCCTGCCGGTATCGGCTCGATTACAAATTTCCGTTTGTCGCGTAGTAACGTTGCCAACGAGAAAGCGGATGCTGTACGCGCGGGAATAACAACATGATTCGAGAGGTGCGGAACTCATCCAGTGCTCATTTCTCGAACAGAGAAAACGAGAGCCAATCGTCGTTTTCGGCAGTCCCCACCGAGCTGCGAACCGTAATCATGTGCTCGATGGTATTGTGGTAGAATACCCATCTGCCCGTATTCGTGTCACCAATGAGCGTTGCGCGCAGCGGGAATGATGTAAGCGTGGCGACAGGACATTTCTCCAACCAAAACAAGGGAAGGTACCATTTGGCGCATTTCTTGACCGAGGAGATATGAATTGAAAGCTGTTGTATTGCTCGTTTTCTCGACTAACGTCGTGGTATAGACGCGGCTGGATAGAGTACAATGTATGCAAATCTCGGAGCGAGTGTATGTGGAGCTTGCTTTTGTGCAGAAGGGGATGCCGGAGACTTGGAACTCAATCATGTGCTACAATGCGACGCAAAAGCGAAAGAATAAAGGATAGGCATCGCGTATAGTGGTCGAGGGATGGCGATGATGCTACCATAGTGCTTGGTGTTCCTTCTATCAAGCGGATGGCTGGTGGCAGGATAGAATCGTCAACCGCTGAAGACATCGTTACCCATTCGGTCACGTAGCGCGTGGACCAGATCATCGAAGATTTCGAAGGACTGTATTCCGCACCATTGTGTCAGCGATAGCGACTTCCAGAAGATAAGCCTGATGCATACTTGGACCTGAGTGGTGTACTTCGACAGCGTCAACCTCCGCATCGCGGCTGCGAAGGATCGTTTACTGTACTAGGATCCGTCATTGGAACGATGATAGATCGTGAGAAGCGGTATATAGGTCCTAGATTCGGAGTGGCGTTCGTCAGGTCGAAAGATAGTATGAGATACTGTTCGTGGCTAAAATTAGGGATGATGGCAATAGTCTTGTTATCTGATGGATCATACTAAGCTCACTGTCGGTGATGGAGGCTTTATAGACAGAGGGAGATGCTTGAGGTGACACAACATGCGACCATCGGTAGAGTCTCAATAGATGCAGCAAGTGGCTCGTATCGACTGGGCGCTATTTTTTCCATGCCACAAGTGTTGATGGTATTGTGGCTAGTGCTGAAGCTTTGGTAAAGACGCTGTACATCATAGTTTCTTGAAGTATGCTGTGGGTGCGTCTGTTGGCAGCACAGCGTTGACTTCTCCCGAATCGATCAGTTGTTTGGCGTCAAGACTTGTGGGCACCATGCCGCTGTGACTAGTCCATCTCTTTGAGAGCGTTTTCTTTTCGAGGATGATGCGTTTATGGGCCGCTGTAGCTTTGGTGACTCAATGGTACAGGTATACGAGAACTCGCTGCCGATTGATATGGTACAACGCGTTTCTATGCTTCAGTGTGCCTGACTTCGCATTTGCAAAGAGCGTGATTGACAGACTTCATCCCAAATATGCAAAGGCACCCAGCCGTTCATACTGTGGGTACAATTTGTCGATCGGAATTCCAAAAGCGGAAGTTGCGGGTAGATTTGTTACACATGCTGAGGTTCTCAATGGCCATAGCGGCCGTTGAACTATGCAGATCGCATGGTCACGTTGACGAGAACACGATTTCTGCAGCCCGAGCTCGTATGCGAACATGTGGGGCTGTTCAGGGTTGACTGTGGGCCGGCTGTGTGTTGCCGTATATCAACTGAACCTTAATGGATTTTTCAGTAAGTGTTCATGTTGTAGTCTCCCAAATCCACCTTCAAGTGCGCAACGCACTATCTCTAGCAGACATGCAATGAACTCATTTTGAAGTTACACCAAGGAGAGGAACTGACTTTAGAGCCAATGCAACATGTAGTAACAGACAAGGATTTGTCGTTTATTTCGAGGTCGGAAAGGGCGCATTCAATTGCTTCGAATGCGGTGAGCGCCGAACGGGGTTAGGAGGAACTGGGTGAACATGTGGCCCATTCGCTTTGCCTTGTAATTCCGCATTGATCGTTTCTGGCCAAAATTCACCTACGGAGCATTGTGGCATCGCCTTACTACTCGATCAGTTGACCGCTCCAGAAACAGACAATCGTACGTATCTGTGAGATGGGCACACCCAGGAGAGATATGACGATCAAGATAGCCATGCATTCGAGACCAGGGGTAATGCCAGGGGGATCTGCCGTTGCATTCAGCAACTGTGTACAACGGGGCGCAGGCATGGAGCGCATCTATTGTCGACACTAACGCCCCCTGTCGGAGAACAAGCGTAACTCCAGGCATTCCGTCGAACTTGAGTAACCCGTGTGCGCTTGATCAGTGGAGCTGTCGCTCAAGAGGTAACGTAAACGAATCAAAGGCGTGTCTTGCTGTGCTGCGGCAAAGTTTCGCCCTGTTGCTCTATCGACTATTTCTGGCCTTGCCGGACCTCGTAACGATATCTGCCATGAGTGTTACGAGTTCCAGACGCTCGCACATGAGCGTGGGCGTCTTGACACCTGTCTGTGTTTTCGTGTATCTCCCCAATTCAAGGCCGTAGGTCGACGCAAACGAATTCCGCCCGGGCAGATAGTATACCGTCTTGAATGCGGAATCAGATACCAGTCTAGGAACATCTGCAGACGGTACTACTGATATCGACAATCCAAGTGCACGCACCTCCAGATGACTTTCGATGAGGTGGACTTTTTAAGTGTAGCCGCATCGAGACACGGGGTGAGCTCCGAGCCTATCGCAATGGGTGGGAAGCAGCATGCTGGTCCAGGGTCTGCAGTGCTGCGAAGACTGATGTCATATTCGATGAGGCTTCCGGGGCTGGTCTCTGTTACGCATGCAGCGTATAGTTCGAGCGCTAATATTGTGACACGACCAAGGCGGGTGCGTGACAGCCTCGACCTATGAACGCGCTATCGTCATGTGAAACCGAAGCGTGATGGAGTATTGTGAAGGCAGGCGGCGGATGACGGTGATGAATGTTGGGTGTTGTCGGCTGACAAGTGGGGGTGAGGAGCGTCGGCTTGGGATGATCGTGGAGCCTGCGCGGGACCGATGCGGCGCAAGGCAGCCTCCACCCCGCGCGCCCCTCCAAGTACCTTACAGATACACGACACAACATCGCTACCCGTCAACTCACGGCCTCGAACTCCGCAAGCGAATCAAACCAACACACAGCAACATGGCCTACAACTTTGTCAGGTCGTACATCGACACTTTCCGGGAGCGGACCGCCGCCATCAGCCACACATCGACCTTCCGCGAGACGGGCCAGATCACGCCCGAGGAGTTTGTCCTCGCTGGCGACTTCCTCGTCTTCAAGTTCCCCTCATGGCAGTGGGCGGACGCATCATCGCCTGCGAAGCGCGTATCGTACCTGCCCGAAGGAAAGCAGTTCCTGGTAACGCGCGGCGTGCCCTGCCACCGACGGCTCGACGACAACTTTGCGGGAGAGGCGGGCCAAGATGAGACCATAGTAAGGGACGGCTTCACTGCTGGGGAAGGCGCGACCGACGACGACGGCTGGCTAAGGACCGGAGGCATGGCCGCAAGTCAGGAGGCCAAGGTGCGCGACGTGCGGACGGTCGACGAGAGCGGCAACCTGGGCGCGGCAGAGGAGGACGACGAGATACCCGACATGGAGGATATTGAAGACGACGAGGAGGCGATCATAAGAGACCCCAAAGCCGACTCAAATACCAAGGCGTGAGTTCACCCGCCTGCTGCCAGCGCTCTACACGCAGACTGACACCAACAGGCCCCTCCGTACATACACCCTCTACATCACATACTCCGCCCACTACCGAACACCACGGTTATACCTCTCAGGTTACGGCTCCACGTCCGTCCCGCTTAAACCACAAGAGATGATGGAGGACATCGTCGGAGATTACAAGGACAAGACTGTCACCATCGAGGACTTCCCTTTCTTCGAGAACCCTCTCAAGACCGCCTCCGTACACCCCTGCAAACATGCATCCGTCATGAAAGTGCTCCTCGACCGCGCCGACGCTGCTCTGAAGCTGCGCCTCGCCAAGCTCAAAGCCGGCAAGGACGTCAGCAAGCTCGACAGCGGCATGGAAGCGCTAGTCGATGATACACGGTTGCTCAAGCTCACTGAGCAAGCGAAGAACAAGGATGGCGATGAGGGCAAGGACGACTGGGAGGTTCTTAGCGAGGGTGGTGACGACGAGGTAGCTATCCGTGTGGACCAGTATCTTGTCGTCTTCCTGAAGTTCATGGCCAGGTAACTTCACTCCTTGTTGCACAAGTAAGCACCGTCTAACAGCCTCACAGTGTAACCCCGGGCATAGAACATGATTTCACCATGGGTGTCTAATCATAGACACGTCTTCTGGGTAACTAGTCCGGCGCTTGAAGATTGGCGGCATTGTCATGGGATTATTACTTAACTCAGCGGGCGCGAACATCATTTGGTTAGGGGGGCTATAGGCTTTGGGATCACCACGGATTCAATTAGAAATATACCAGTTGTCTCGTTCAGGATTTTATGGGGTGGAGTGGTGAGAATTTGGATTGCACTCTATCGTCGGAAACCTCCATAAGATCGCTTCCAGTCCCTCACGCCTCCAGGTCGACGCACATCAAGCTCCTTGCCTTCATACCCCAAGCTGCTCTCCGCGCGGTGGAACATGGCGCATAGACGGTCGAAGAGACTGTCTTCCTCTGAAGCCTTGGGGAGGACTTGTGGCGCTTCCACAGATCCCGGTGCTACATCTCCAGAGAAGTCCTCTTGGTCGTCGTCAAAAGAAGTTTCCTCTTCGTCGGTTGGTGTCGGGTCAAAAAGGGCATGGAATTTGTGGTTCAGTCGAGTGCGCCATGGGTCAACCTCTGATGATGCGGAAGATGATAGGCGTTCGGCGATTTCAAACTATGACAGTTAGTCACGATATCCTTTTCTCGTGTTCAACGTGGCGCGCGACATACCTCTCTCAGTCCTTGTAGGCGATACTGCTCAGCTCGCTTTTGCAGGCGGGGCGCCGAAGGTGATATGGGCATGGCAGACGCAAAAGTGAACAGGGCCACGATGGCCATGATAATGAAGGAGCGCATTTTCGGTGTGGTAAACGAAGGAATGTCGGGTGGGTGGTGTAGATGTTCAGTGAGATCGAAATGGGTTGCTGTCAAAGCTGAATGGGCGTAGTCTAGCTACCCTTAGAGACCAGCGCTCTTCTCAAAAGTAGCGAAATGAATGAAGAAGAGAATGTCGAAAGCACGAGTAAGCGTGCAACAAGAAGAGATAAAGCACGTTAATGAGTGGCGATCCGCATGTATATCCGCTGCAAGAACGGCCGGGGTAGTAGCGAACGAAGACCGGTTCGTCGAAAGTGCATCATCACCCGCAGCTTATCCAAACAAGCTCACTATATATCCACCAACCGGTAGGTGAATTGGCTGTCAGAGGTTACGTCTCCCTGTCAATTATTCCGAAACAGCGGTCCGCGCACCAAGAGAAACGATCAACGGCAGGGAGGGGATGTTCGCGCAATCTTTAGCCCGTGGTGTTGGCGCAGTTGTGACCGCATTGAACACGCTGGTGCGGGTTCATCGAACCATTGCATGACTTCGAGACGCTGGGGCCCAGTGCGCCTGAAGGACCTGCCCGATGTAGTCGGAAGGAGCCAGAGACCCGTTGAGGGGAGCCAGGCGTGCATCAGCGCCCTCAGCCTGTAGCCTTGTCTACTCGGCTGATGTTTCCCCAACTTCTAGATCTAGATCAGTGTGTTTCGATCGCCGGCTTTGCGGCTAGGCACGCTGTTTCGACTTGCATGATTTCTGGGATGCCACCGTCATGCCAAGTTGTCTGCGGATGTCAAGTCTGATACAGGCACGCCGGGCGGTTGAACTGGAGGATTCCGGAGATTTAGCCTGGAAGACGTTGGGCTGGACATGATGAAACGAATGTAGCAGATGGATTGCGCGTCAAAAGGCGGGCGCTAAGACTAGCGTGGCGCTATCAGACGCACGGACGTCCAAGAGCGATCGGAAGCAAACAAAGCAAACACTCCCAGCCTCCACATCACGCAGACGTCATCACCGTCGCGCGACGTTGGGAAGACTCTATACTCACTTGGACAATTACCTAGACATCGCTATTATCTTGGAATTTCAGACAATGATCAGCTGGACATATCGACTAGACAGCCGAAGGCACGGAACGCGTCTCTTGGACACGTCTTGACCACCCTTGCTTGGAGGCATCGGTTCAGCATAAAATTACCCGATATGGACGATCATGAACACTCTTCCCAGACAATGCGCCCAGGATCGCTATCACCAACATCCACGATATCCGCACAGGCCCTGGACCTCAGCAGACTCCCGCCAATTGCAATCTTCACTGCGCATCTGAAGGACGAGGAAGTGAAGCTGCTAAAGGAAACGTTGCGCCAGTACGACGCACCGCTTACTACCGATGTCTCCAGGGCGAAATTGTTCATCGGGAAGGTGGGTACCAAGAGAAGGGCCGAGTTCGAATTGAGGTCGAGAAGGCTGGTTGTTCAGGAGATTGTCGCCCCTAAACGGCCAGCTAGTACTGTGAAGGCACAGGATCATTCCAACAAGAGGCGAAAAGTTGGTAGAGCGTCAGGTCGATTCCCCGCGGATGAAGGAGAGTCTACCACTGAAGATGAGGCTGGCAACGGCTCTGAGACTGAGCAGCACCACGTTCCTCTGTCATCCCCTTCGAGATCCGACAATGGCTCACAGACTGCACTACTCTTTGAGAGTCCGTCAAGTGACGATATCATCTGGGTTGTCAAGTTCGACTGGGTTGAAGCTTGTGTCACTGCAGGTCACCTACTTCCACTGGGAGACGATTTGGTGTACAAAGGCAAGGTTATTGAAAGACCCAAATCATCGGCTAAAAAGTCTATCAGAGACATTTTCGGCGCGCACACAAAAGTAGCGCCGGCGTCTCAAACACTCTTGGCAACACGACCACATCCGGTGCAAGACATCTTAAACCGCGCAAAATTAGACATTAGCACGACCACGAAGAAAAGTATCTATCAACCGCAAAGATTTGGGAACCACGCTTCTAATCGCTTCGATGGAAAAGCTTTTGCCCGCTCTTCCCAACCTGTCGGTCACTCGCATGCTTCACAAGCTGCACATTTACTGCAGCAAACGACAAGTGAGTATGAAGGTGAGGATAGTGATGTCCCCGCAGCACCAGAATGGGTGAAGAAGGGCGTCAAATATTCATGTCAGCGCTTCACACCTGGCAATGGACCCAATGAAGACTTCCTCGACCAGCTCAAGAAGATAAGAACTGCTCGAACCTTAATCAACGACGATATAGGCGTTCGTGCTTATTCAACCATCATCGCCTCTATCGCTGCGTATCCGTACAGACTTAGTCACCCCCGCGAGATCGTTCAACTACCTGGTTGTGAGGAGAAAACGGAAGTTCTCTTTGTAGAATGGAAGAACACCGGCAGGATTCAAGCGGTCGAAGATTTTGAGGCCGACGAATCAATGAAGGTCCTGCGTTCCTTCTATAATATCTGGGGGGTTGGAGCCAAGACCGCACGACACTTTTACTACAACAACCACTGGACTGAATTGGATGATATCATCGAGTTTGGCTGGAACGATCTGGACAGAGTGCAGCAAATTGGTGTCAAGTACTATGACGAGTTCTTAGTCTCGATTCCGCGTCCTGAAGTTGAGCAAATTGCCGCTGTGGTTCGAGAACACGCTGTGAAGCTTCGCGACGAACGCATTACTGTCACGATTGTAGGCGGATACAGACGTGGCAAGACAGAATCTGGTGACGTGGATATGATCGTGTCGCACCCGAAGCTGGAGAGTACAGCAGGCTTGGTTCGAGAGATTGTCGAGTCATTGGAGGAATCCGAGTGGATTACTCACACTCTTACGATGAGCTTGAAGAACACTAATCGCGGTCAACATGCGCTGCCTCTTCGATCTGCGAAGGGGGCTGGCGCGGGCTTTGATACGCTTGACAAAGCACTTGTTGTGTGGCAAGATCCAGCATGGCCTACTCGTGAGGAGGATCTTGCAGAGAATCCGAGAGCGAAGAACCCTGCTATCCACCGCCGAGTTGACATCATCATTGCGCCTTGGCGGTCAGTTGGTTGCGCAGTCCTGGGCTGGAGCGGTGGCACGACATTTCAGCGTGATCTGAGGCGGTATGCGAAAGCCATCAAAGGCTGGAAGTTCGACAGCAGCGGGACTCGAAGTCGAAGAACCGGCGAAGCTATAATGCTGGAAGGACCCGATGGAGTCGAGGGTACGCCCGAAGAGGCTGAGAAGAAGGTCTTTGAAGGGCTAGGACTGGAATATATACCACCAGAGTATAGAATAACGTATTGATGGGGCATATCACACGATTTTGCACTGTGAAGATCGCCCTCTGCTTCACCACCTTTCTCCCACAACATTCCTTTCCAGCTTTGTCACACATAGCCTTCACGCGGCCGTGCTACATGCTGAGATATTCCTACGTCTTACAATGTGGCCAACATGTGCAGAACTCTAGCAACTATCTCCTTATACGATCGCTTACCATCATGCAGCATGACCGGCTGATCAACGCACTCACCATCACCGTACAGATACTCATCAGTCTTGTCCTCTTCGCCATCGTCCTCCCATTCTTCATCCTATGGCGTGCCCCAATAAGCCTCCTCTACTTCACCAAGAAAGAAAAAGAGGAGCCAAAGAACGCAGACCAAGAGAAGGAAAGGCGACAAAATCGACAAGCGGACGAAGAAGAGGAAGAGCTAAAACCAGACCCACCTCCCGACCTCCACGACCGCGCCTTCGCACCCTACACAAGACAATGGACAGCCTTCAAGAGCCTCCCAATCAACAACCCCCTCGTAACCCACTGGTCCCGTGTAGCATGCCTCTCCCTCCTCACAATACAAACCACGCTCACCCTCGCCCTCCTCGAAAAGTCTCTCGTCTACCACATCCCCTGGTTCGTCACACACCTGTCAAACACAGACTACAAGACATCGAAGAAGAAACTTTGGCTCAACGATCTGCTACTACATGTATCCTGGCTACTCATGACTTGTGCGCCTATCATGGGGTTACTAGGCGTAGGCCTGGGCGTTGCGTACTATACGTCAAAAGCGGTGAGGTACGGGAGGTTTAGCAAGGGTTTTGTGAGGAAGAAGGGGGGGAGGGGGTATGAGGATCCGGATAAGGCGAAGGAGGGGAAGGGGAAGGATGGGGAGGCGAATGGGGTTAGAGAGGCGGTTATGGGGGTCGTGGATCATGTTATGCATCTGAATGTTCATATTCCGCAGCTGCATCTACCGCATCCGCATCTACATGATCATCACCCGCACGAGCAGCGGGAGCCGGAAACTTCGCCGTATGGGTATCCGGGGTATAGTGAGGATATTCTCTTCGAGCAGCCTGGAGATACGGCGGGTGCATACCAATATACGGCTCAGCCGGCACCGGCGGCGCGATTCAATAAGAATCCTTATACATTGGCTGGTATTGCGTCTATTTGGACTGGTCAGAAGGAGAAGATGAATGGTGGGTATGACGGGAGAGATGTGAGGAAGCGGAATTTTGCGGAGGATATTGAGATGGCGGATTGGGTGGGGAGGAAGTAAGCGATACGATCATTTATGAAGCGTTCTTGCTGGCAAGGACGAAGGACATAATTATGTTGATTAGTACATATAAAGAGAGAGCAACCCCTCATCCACTGGTATCATCGTCCACCCGCCTCAACTCCGCGCTTTTCTCCGTTTACACACCTCACTTTTGCACCACCTCAAACGCCCCCACCATCTCTGTCAACACTCAAGTACTCTTCTTTCCCTGCGCCGCAGCATCCAAATGCCACCTCATGACCTTCTCAAAGATACCCTTACCATCCCCCTCCATGACATCGCCATGGCAAGGGATAATCCTGTTGAAACCCCACTTATTAATCCTCTCCACACTAGCCGAGAAGCCCTTCCTATCACTCGCACTAGTTCCATACCAGATAGTACGCTGCTGCCACTTCGCATCGCCCTTTGTACTCTGCAGTGCCACAAAGATTTTGGTCAAGATGCCGCTGTTCGGGTCGACTCCCGTTTTGCTGAACTGCTCGGTAGCAGGCAGGTTGAACATGAGATCAGCCATGATGAGACTACGGGTGGGGCGGTGATGGAAAACGAGCTCCTTGTTGATGTGCGAGGGGACGTATTCCCAATCGAACTCTGCGTCGAATTCGGGCGAGATGGACTCGACGGGTTTGGAAGCGCTGAAGAGGATGGAGAATGGGACTTTTTCGTCGTTCTGCTTTGCGCGCTTTTCGGGCAGGACGTCGGGGCCCATGACTTGCGCGTTGGGGTATTCTTTGTGCCAGGGGCCGAGGAAGATGTGGTGCTGTTGCGTATAGTGTTAGCGACGGTTCCAGGTAGTCTTGTAGGCGTGATACGTACCTCTGCGTCTAAAGCGGCGATGTATTTCACCTCGCCCATCTCGGACACTTTCTGCTTGACATCCTCGGTCAATGCGACGGGAGAGAAGACGGCGAGAGAACCGGATTCGAGGCGCACTGTTCTTACGCATTAGCAGGCACTTGTGAGCTTTTGATCGGGCATAGTAATACCAATCGTTCCTCTTCCGCCAATCTTTACGCGACCGAACCTCCAGAAGGGCACTGATAGAGTGGTGATTACGCGCGGAACAACGTCGCGAATCACCATGACGCTAGCGGGGTCGGACGGCACGAGTTTCGACGACATACTGGGCTATGTGAGGTGTTGTGAGGTGTAGTGAGTTCGAGTAAAGAGAATCAGTGTAGGAAGAAGAGTTGTTGTAAGGATGCGCCGGATGCTTGGTATCTAAGATAGAAGACGTAATGCGGCGAGACCCTTGATGACGCAATGTTCAAGATTGGAGTGAAGCGATTTTGAAACTGCGATGAAGCAGCCATGATGTGGGGTCGTAGCTATATATCATTGCGAAAGTCTTAGTCGGCATAAAAGGTAACATTTGTCCGCTCGTAATGAGCGGACAGCGCATGTGGAGAGATGTCATTCGAATAAGGTGTTGGTGTGTCGCGTGAAGACGCATTAGCCGAGGCGTCGCGCGACGCGGTCGGGCTTTGTCAGCTACGTCACCGCTTTGTGAACTCCAAAAGTCTAGAACTTTGAGTTTGAAGATGGGAGCATATTTCGCGATTGCAGGTCGAGATAGAATGAAATATCTATAGTTAAGGACGACCTGGTTTCCATGGCTGTACATATGTCATTGTTCTAACATGAACTCTCTATCCGTAGCAACATTTGCATGCTACTTGTAAATTCGCATCTTGCGATTTGGTCTTCGGTGTTCCCGGTAGTGTTCCCAGGGGCCGCCGGCCACCGACCCACATCTGTGGGCTCACGGTGCGTCCTGTTCTAGAAACTTTCCTAATGGATGGAATGCTCGGACGAACTTGAGCGGCGCCCGATATGCGAGTATTTGGAAGCATCGCAGACTGGTCGGCCAGACTTGTAGTCTTTCATAAGGTAATTTTGCTTCGTGCGAGGTCTCACCTGGCATTCTCAGCGCTCAGCTCTGCCATCAGCCCCCCAGCATCCCTCTCTTTGGCGTCTTCGTCAAGCCTCTTCTGGATGAATGCGTTCATCTCCTTGACCTTCTGCAAAGCAACGTTCGTGCAATTCAGCAGAGCCAGCGGGTTTATTGTTGCTCCTCCGTACTTGGCAATCTGACATAACTCGCCGTGTTTGTTCATTGTGAGAATCACTTCTCCCTGCCTCACTTGCTCTTCAGCCAAGTTTGCGTCCACCAAAAATATCTCTCCCTCAAAGTATGAGAAGGTAACACAGAGCGGCTGGTGTAGGATCGACAACGGTATTGGTTCGCGCTCGCGTACGCTGAGGATGGTCGCCTTCTCGCCTTCTACCTGTACGTCTGGTCTTCGGAAGTGTTGTAGCGCAGCCATAACGGCTATGCATGATGCATCGATCAGTCCGCCGTCATGGTCGATGATGTGTACGTCGGCGCGGAGAGCGAAGCACTTCAAGCCAGCGATGATGCAAAGCGATTCAGTGTCGAGAGCGTTGGAGCGACGGATGGCTTTCTCGAGGATGCGCGAGAGAATGACTTCAGCGTCCGTGGGACTAGATTTTCAGTCAGGTACACTGGAGGTTTGGTAGGTATTCAAAAGAACATACCGACCAACTTCAAAGGCTGGAGAAGCCATTGGAGAGAATTCCGTGACTATTTGGAAAATACCGTCGAACTTGCGCTCGGGTAATGGTGTCGTCACGTCTACTGATATGCGCGCAATGACTCTGAGAAGTGTTAGCTTGCGCATGCTATCTCCCGGTACATTATATACCTTGTCTTGCCTAATTGGACGTCTGCGACGCCATACTCTTCTCCAAAGGTGAGCTCGAGTGGGCGGAAGGCGTCGAATGCGCGTCGGTCGATCCGTATCTGTTCCTGCAGCGCTTGCTTGATAAACTCGCGCTCATTGAGCGATATCTCAGCTTCTCGAGGCATCTTGACCGTCTTAAATGTGTGAGGTTGTCTTGGTGGAATGGTAGTTGTTGTAGCAGCCATAGAAAATGCGGCGGCGGGGAATTGTGACCGCCGGTCCTTAGCGCGATTTGCAGTTCAAGCTTCTGTGCACGCTTTCTTCTACACATCACCTACTCACCACCTCAACCACGCGCAAGACTTCCGAAACCTGCGCCAACCAGCGATACGATCGGAAAATAACAGAACTACACAATGACGACCGCCCATAGACCGACGTTCGATCCCGCGCGCGGCAAAGAAGCCCAGCGCGGACCCGCCTACCACCAGCGACTCCTCCCAGCGCACACAACACTCAAACATAGGCAACCCGGGCAGGGCGGCGATGCCGACATACAGCGCGATCTCCGCGCCGAACTCTTGGAGGCTGAGGCGCGTCACATCGCGAAGAAGAACGGCACCTACGTCGAGCCGGAGGCAGCAGCAGAATCTGGCAATGCGCATAAACGTCAGATCGATGCTGTACCGGCGGCTGAAGAGGGGGAAGAAGATGAAGCAGCTCAAAAACGGCGGCGCATAGAAGTCTTGGAGAAGTTCAGAGACGTGGATGCGGACGACAGCAGTAGTGAGAGTGAGAGCAGCGACGACGAGTAAGTGCGAAGACGTGTTGTTACTCAATCTGTTGACTAACGACGTTCCAGCGACGAAGACGAAGAGGATGAAACCGCGGCCCTCATGCGCGAGCTGGAGAAGATCAAGAAGGAGCGCGCCGCAGCCAAGGCCAAAGAGGAGGCAGAACGCGCCGCAGAAGAGGATCAACAACGCGAAATCGATGTCGCCCGCGGTAACCCCTTGCTCAACGCGAAAGACTTCACCATGAAGCGGCGATGGGACGACGATGTCGTGTTCAAGAACCAAGCACGAGGTACCGAAGACAGGAACAAGAAGAAGGAGTTCATCAACGACATGTTGCGGTCCGACTTCCACAAGAAATTCATGGTATGTGCCCCCTGATTGAGCCTCAAGTGACCTTCTAACACCACGCGACAGTCCAAATATATCCGATGAGGTCATTACCATCAGCTATTCGTCCTTTCCGATTCTCGATTGTTCTGCATTGCACTGCTGGCGTTAGACACCTTGGCGTACAGGTTCTGGATCTTTCAGATGGGCTTTAGGGAGTGTGGGATACCCCAGATCTTGGCGGACACGGAGTAGCCAGTGACGGAACAGCACCTAGCGGGACTCTTATCGCTATCTTGGATCAGCAGCGACGACCACCATTTCCGGATGTCAGCTTTATCTCTGGCCTCAATCTTTACAACGAATCGATCCAATGAGTGCCGACCTACAAGTCCCGATCACGCATTCAAGGCGTGAAAAAGGAACCATCGTGAAGTTGAGGCCGCCGGCTCGTTCGATCCAAATGTATCCAAGGATCTATCAAAAGCGACCCCGGTATCGCAAACTTGCATAGCATCGACAGCTGCACGTAGGATCTAGTTTAGCCACTATCTCCTCCGACCCACATGAGCGGAACTTAGCGTACTACAAGGGATACCAATCACACCTTGGCCGGGTCTTCCACCCTCTTATAGAGCTTCTGATCGCATGATCTACGCCTCCCCCAGCAAGGTGACCTCATAAGGCTTTTTGACTTCTTAACACGTCCCGGTTGTGCTAGGGTCAGCACACGGCAGATAGTAAAGGAAGGATGCATGAACGATATATAGTCAACGATCAATACCCGCGTATCTGTGGTAATACAACACTACCTACTATCCACTATCTACTGTCTATACCCGCTTTCTTCAAATACCCAAAACCCTACCCCATAACTACAAGCAACCATGGCAGGCTATGGAAACCGCACAGCACCAGACTACACCGCAGAAGACCTCCAAGACCAACACAGCACCACGCGTCTCGGTCTCGTAGACTCTCACACCCCGTACCACAACCCCCACGAAAAACACGGTTCGGGTATAACAGGCGGCGCAGGATTCGGTAATTTCGCCCTCCCCCTTCCTTCTTCCCATCGTTTCCTATGCAAACGCTCTCCCACGCACACGCCTGACATCCCTAACACATATCTTTCCCTAACACCTCTTCAGGAAACAAACGCTCCTCATCCACCCCCGACACTGACACTTCTGAATTTCGCTTTGGCAGCCACTCAGACACAGCGCCGTACTCGCACGGGACAGCCATGGGCAGCGGGTCGACGGGCGGCGCGGGGTATGGGAATAAGACGGGGGAGATGAGCGGACCGGAGCCGGATTCTCTCTTAGGGAAAGTGGTGGAGAAGGTGGGTGGGTTGGTCAAAAATGATAAGGTGGAGGCGAAGGGGAGAGGAATGAGGGAGAAGGAGGGGTTTGGGAGGGTGGTTGAGTGAATTGACTTGGTAACGTATTGCAACTGCGGATGCTTCCGAGCGAAGCTTCGAGCCTTCATGCACCGGAACAGAAGCTTCCAAGGTTTTGTTTGATCGCTAATCGCTTCTTTATTCATACTATATTACTATTCCAAGTACATGAGTGAAACAAAAGGAGTGTAGACATCGCTGACCAAAGCAAACCCCCCTGAACCGAATCCATGATAAACCTGAAAGGAGAGTAGTAGAATTCCAAAGCGGTACAAATATCGTATCTTGCAATTTCTTATCTGCCTTTGTGGACCTCGATATCTTCCGACACAGAAACTAGAGGCCAATGCCCGGAATGATGGGCGTAATGATAGGTGTCGCCGCTGGCAGAACGACGGAGAGTACTGGTTGGAGGATGGGCGTTGCTGCTGGTACGACGACAGAGAGTACTGGCTCAAGGATGGGTGTTGCCACTGGTACAACGACAGAGACCACGTTGGAAACCACAGGTGCTACGACGGAAGCCACGTTGGAAACCACAGGTGCTACGACGGAAACCACGTTGGAAACCACAGGTGCTACGACGGAAGCTACGTTCGAGACCACAGGCGCTACGACGGAAACCACGTTCGAGACTACAGGTGGAATGACTGAAGCCACGGGTGGGACGACAGAAAGCACACCGGAGACGACTGGTGGAATGGCAGACACCACGGGTGGGATAGCAGAAACCACGGGTGGGATGACAGGTGGAAGTGCAGACACCACGGGTGGAATGGTTGGAGTGGTGGGTGTAGTAGGAGCGACACATTTGAGTCCGCTGACCTTGGTCTTGGAGCCGATTCCAGAGGTAGTAGAGCAGCACTTCATTGTGCCGCCACAGGGGGTGCCCAGAATCTGAACCGTGCCGAGGATATTGCCGAGAAGCGTGTTGATGATGTTGAACAATCCGGCGGGCAAGCAGATCTGCTTGAAGCTTCCAGCAGGGCATGTTGGAGCTGCTCTCGGTTCAAGTTCCATAGTAGGCACTGCCGAAACAGTGGCAACCACAGTGAAGACGGAAAGGATGGTGGAAGGCTTCATCTTGGAGTTGGAATGAAGAGAAAGATTGAGTTGTAAGGGATGATAGGATGATGAGGAGAAAAGTGCTCAGTAGTTGATAGTGAGGATGTTTGCGTTGTTCTGATGATGATAGTTAGGGAGGAAGGATGACGGGTCTTATATAGACATTTCAGCGTACTGAAGTGAAGTGATCACTCCAACTCTCTGTCTCCTCCTCTCGTCGCTTGTTCCTTCGATGTCTGCCCAGGCTAGACCAGGCATGGCCTACCTCACTCCAGCTCGCCTGGATGCAAGAAACCCCTCAATAGAACGTACAGAGCCTTGGAAAAGTCGTACTAACGACGGTTGAGGTCATGGCGAGTCTCAAGCGTAAGCCTCGTTCCAAGACATCAGTCTGTTTATCGCACGATGATAGAGGCTTCGGTGATAAGAGAGTACGCCACAATTCGAAGCGAGCCGTGGTGTGACGGTCTAGAGTCCTGATACCTGATTTTCCAAGACCTGTCTATACTCAGTAGCCCTGCTTCGGAAAGAACTAGTCCAGGTCTGTCAAGATCGGCGGAAGCATAACGGTAAACCCGCTGTCCTTCTCAGCCACTTCCATCAGGACCTTCTGTGGCAACACCCACTTTCGGCTACGATAGTTGCTACAATCACGTGCACTTGCTCTTTTTGGTTATTCTCCGGCGCTTAATCTTGATTCTACGTCTAATCCGGGTAGATAATGTTACTTTCCTGGCCTGCGGATGCATGTTCACGCCACAAGTAGATCGCATGCTCCGAGCAAAAGGAAAAGGTACTTAGGGAAAGGTACCATGGTATCTAGGTACATGAGACTGGAGATACTCGCGTAAGATGAGTCTTGCAGCTCTAGGATCATGTGTTATCGCGCTTAGAACGCGCATATTGAGCCACTGACGATGCAGTGCCGAAGATATCTCCAGTGGCTCCGTCCGTTTAGACTTCTAGAGATGTAGACGCCGATCTATAGCTGATTCTACCCCTCTGACTATGAGTTCTCGGCTACATCCAAGTGTCGGTATACTGCTTTTTGTGCCCTGCGTTCTCTTGAATCATGACAAAACTCGAGGCACAAATAGAGCAAGACAGCTCCACGGGGCAGACATGGCTGAAGCTTTAAGATCTTGGCAACAATTGCAGGTCACCACTCCGTGATTGCTTTTTGATGCGGAAATTTCGTCTCCAACCGTGGCGAAGGGTTTGGTCTTGCGGCTGTATCCGTGCATCATCTGGCGGATTTGCGACAGTATCAAGAAAACGTAAATCGAGGAATTTGTCACTGCTTTGCGGCTGTGAAAAGCGTAGTAGTCTAACCAAACATGACAGGCGTGGCACGCGGGCCTAAAGAAGGGTCGGGTCGATAGCGTACCAACTCTTCTCATTTCCATGTCTTGGCCGTCTACCTCGAGCGGCGAGACATTCCCCTCGCTCACTCCCTATCCTTCCCCTCTCGGACTTTACGCCACACATCTCTCGAATTCCTTCCCCGCACGTTTAGTGTATGCACTACCGTTTTCCGCTGCGTGACATGGTCGACGGTTTAGCGCAAGAAATAGCAAACCTAAGCGGACCTCACTCTTCACCACTATGAAGCCTGCCCAGGTGATGTTCTGGACCTCGGGATGATTCTCTACATCGCTCTCGCCGGACCCATGACACCGGAAGCGAAGCAGAGCCCTGCGCCCAATTATTCCGGAAAAGCAAAGTGGCCTTGCATGAACTATGAGCCTTGGAGGCCTCAAGCTTGGCTGCACTACCGTTATCGTACCTTATTTCCTTGCGAGTGGTGACGTCTTTACTGAGCTTATGTTCGGGCCAGCCCTTTCCGCGTTACGAAATTTACTGTTGAGGCAGTGACGAGTTTCGTTCCTTCCTAAGTGTGCGCGAAAGTCGTTCAGCATGGCTGACATTGACATGGCGGCTTGGCAGCCGAAATACAAGACCATGTAGGATTTCGTGTACCCAAAGCCAAGCCGTCAAGATGCATGTCTCTTGGGCTTTGATGTGTAGAGCCCTCTATCTTTGGGGATATGGTCTCGTTGGTGGATCGCCAGGATCAGGGCTACTTTGGTGTGCTGGGAAGATTCAAGGGCATTGCGACTGATAAAATTTATAGGTAGGACTACTGCATCCTGGAACTATTTCGAAAATGACATAGGGCCAGGAATGAAGACAAACTAAGGTCTAGACTGATAGTTTCCTTGCCAAAGCTCTGCAGGGCTACGATCCGAAGCACTGCTGGGCATCTCTGCAAGGCTTTGGCTTTGGTCCTCTGCTCGATGTTGCCAGTCACCAGCCATTTCGGAGACGTGCGTTGACGGTGCGGGACGCACAACCGTCTGAGCGTACTTTGCTTCTCCATCCTGGTATGTTGAATCTGCCGGATGGTAAACATATCTGTCTTGTCCAACATCCGCTTCCGCTTGTTCCGTGCTGTTATCCTTCCGTTCCCTTTTGAACATGAACCATAACAGCACCCCAACTATTGATATCCCAACAATGGGCCCCACGACCGCGCCAGCTATCCAGCTTTTACTCGAAGAGTCTGGATCTTGAGCTGATGGCATGTCTGTTGTTGCTGAAGATGGCGTTGCGATTGCGCTTGTGTTGCTTGAAGTGGTCGAAGACTCGAACGTGAAACGTGAAGTGCCTACACCCAGTCTTAGCTAAGAATTCGCTTGAAGCTACTCATGACTTACTGCTCGGCTTAGCTGTAACGGTATTAACGACAGTAGATGGTTCAGGCTGACCGCTAATGTAGAATCCCGCCGATGATATCTGTTCCGTGAACGGATCTTCTGCGCCAACGGGTGTGAAGCGTAGCACCCAGTAATCGTTCGCTATCAGTGCGGAAGAAGGTATATTGACATCCCACAGGAATGATGTAGTGCTGGTTAGATCAACACTTCCTGTATTGGTCCTTGACTTAGCCACTGCGATCTGGTACCGCTTAGAGGTGGAAAGCTTGACTCACCTGCGATCTTGAACTTGTAGCTCTCATCCATGAAGCTTGTCACCCAAAAATCAAGCTTCTTGACATCACACGAAATACAGTACGTCCAGAATGCATCTTGAAGCTCAGACTTCCAGCGTATAGTAAATGGTGCACCGCTTTGCAAGCTCGTAGATCCGTCTGGAGTCGCAGGTGCAGTCCAGCTGTCCTGTATGGTTTGACACGATGCTCTGAGGATGAGACTAGTGTACAAAAGAAACAGGGCTAAATGAAGAGCCATATCCGTGCAGGTTATGAGCACACGAAGTCTCGTACAAGTAGGTGATAGATTGGCAAAGACGCTTCTTCTCGGCGCAATGGTGATCACCTGGGTATGTTGGCTCCGAACACCCAAGAGAAGAGACAGTGCAGCTGCATCAGGGGCTAGTAGCGCATATGAGGGAAGTTGCAAGTTTTGGAATTGCAAGATGTATGCATGGTGTGTGTGTTGTGATAGTAAACTTGACCAATCAGCGCACCTATTGCGATCAGGATTAAACTACGCCACAATCTTGCAGAAGTCGGAATCCGAGCGTTACGCGCAGCGTGTGGCACACCGCAAGTCGTCAACGCTGGTTAATACCAGGAGATTATAGTGTGGCGCTTGATAACACCAGTTTTATTTCGCGTTATCGTTGTCAGGAAACAACATTGGGGACTCACTAAAAGCGCCGATGTTGTTGGAAGCGATTGGGGGTGTAATATTGCCCCTAAAACAGTTTGCGGCACAGGTGAAAGGTGTCTTACGCGCCGTAACACGAAACAGTCCGAGCACTATAATAGCACTGTAAGCTGCAAGGTATGGCACAGCGCGCGTCAAGTTTCTGCTCAACTCCTCTTCGTCCATCCATGAGTTTCGCGTCAAGTTCTCGTACCTGCACCTATGAGAAATTAATCATGTTTCTCAGAAAATGGAGATGGAGTGTAGTGCTTCTAGTTGCTTTCGTTTTTCTTGCAACAATCACCTCTTTTTCGACTCAGTTCACATCATCGAGGACATCCATCTTCCCATCAGGCCACCACAAACACACTCCGAGCTCACATGCGTGTCCAACAAGACCACCCATGCCAGTGATAACTCCAAACACTGGAGATCGCTTCAACTGGAGAGTAATCCCGAGTCGACACCCAGTCGATGAGTATGCGCAGCTATCCTCACAAAAGCCTTCGTCTAGGAACACTTTGCAAAGATCTCCTCACCCGAAGTTGTCAGATGCTGAAGCTATTTTTCTTCGACGAGCGGCTGTTAAGGAGACCTTTCAAAGATGCTGGAAGTCTTACAGGGAACGCGCATGGATGAAAGACGAACTCGCACCTGTTTCGGGTCAGCCTCGAGATACCCAATTTGGTGGCTGGGGAGCTACATTGGTCGACTCATTAGACACGTTGTGGATCATGGGGATGGAAGAGGAATTCGCCGAAGCCGTCGAAGCAGCCCTGAAGATCGACTTCAGACCAAGCGATGATCGCGAGAATGAGATCAATATGTTCGAGATTATTATACGCTATCTGGGAGGCTTCATAGGCGCCTACGACGTTTCTGGTTGCCACGACGCCCGCCTTCTAAACAAGGCTCTCGAAGTAGCGGACATGGCTTATGCGACTTTCGATACACCCAACCGGATGCCTGTGTCGAGATGGAAACCAGGAAAGGCAGCAGATGGCGAAGAGCAGCTGCCAGCGCTCTCAGTACTCATAGCTGAAGCCGCTTCCGCTAGTGTGGAGTTCACTCGTCTCTCGCAAATCACCGGGGATATGCGGTATTTCGACGCCATCTCTAGGGTTACCGACGTGCTTGATGAGCAGCAAGGGTCTACGAAGCTTCCTGGAATGTGGCCGATCAGTGTCGATATGAGGACACCCAATTTGACTTTCGACGCTTTCTTTGGGCTGGGTGCCATGGCCGACTCGGCGTTTGAGTATCTGCCAAAGATGTATCAGTTACTCAATGGAAACGAGCCGGCTGGTCAGTATCGCAAGATGTACGATTTCGCGATGGATACAGCGATAACGCACACCATGTTTCGACCCATGGTAGAAGACAAAGCCGACGTCTTGATCGCAACCGCGAAGCATGATGGCCCAGATGGACAGAGAGACGATACTGGGCAGCATCTGGTATGCTATGCTGGAGGTATGCTGGCGCTTGGTGGGCGGCTCTTCGACAACCAGACCCATCTTGACGTGGGACGTAAGATCTCTGATGGTTGCGCGTGGACGTATAAGAATGCACCGAACGGAATCATGCCTGAAGTCTTTTCAATGACACCTTGCCCATCGGGGTCAGAATGCGATTACACGCCAGGCGCAAAGCCGTTCAGCGCAGTCCATGATGGTCGTTACATTCTCCGACCAGAAGCGATCGAGTCAATCTTCTACATGTTCCGGCTCACGGGTGAGAGTAAGTATCAAGAGATCGCGTGGGATATGTTCCAGGCCATTGAGACGAATACGAAGACTGAGTTTGGTAACGCTGCACTCCAAGACATTATGGCGACCCCGCCGCCCAAGAGCGACAGCATGGAGGCAAGTCCTGGATATCAAAATGCTGGCGAGACAGACGCTGACTTTTCACCTCTGCAGAGCTTCTGGTTAGCCGAAACCCTCAAATATTTCTATCTCATTTTTAGCGACCACGATGAAGTCAGCTTGGACGACTTCGTTTTCAATACTGAAGCGCATCCATTTCGGATACCTTACCGTTAATGTCTCGATCAGATCGGTACAGGGTGGGGGCGGTTTCCTGTGGCGTTGGTAATGAATTGCGAACGCGTATTGCATATTAGATCCGATGAATGGACTTTGGCTTGACTCAAAAATGCCACATGAATGGCTGCGCAAGGTAGCTCTATGCCGACAATGCTGATGGTTGACGAGAGTGTCGCGTTGCGCGCTGGGCGGTGTTGACCGGGCGGGTTCCAGAAGAGGGAAGACGGGGACCGGCACCGGCAACCAAGCTTTCCCAAAAAGCTTGAGCACGGATGGCGTTGCTTCGAGTCTTGACTTTCGACACGCACAACACGCGCGGATACGTTGTGTGTCCTGCGCATTGCGAACCTGAACTTTCCGGTCACTTGTTCCTCATCATATGCCGATACCTCTCTCCGTCGTGCTCAACCCATACCTAATGCATACCAAAGGTCCACTGTAGCGCGACGATGCCCGCTCGTCGGTACTTGACGAAGACGGTAAACCTCGGTGTACCGCTGCCGAAGTCTGTTTCCGTTCGCTAAATGATAGGATGACGAAAGTTAGCGACGACGACAGCGTGACGACGATGGTTCGCAACCCCTGTCTGAAACTGGATGGGCTAGGGTCCAGCCAATAATCCTACCATCCGGGGTCTCCACTGGGGGTCTCCGCGAAAGTCTTCTTCCGCGGTTATCGGTATGGGGAAGGACGGGTAGGTACATAGTATGGGGTTGCCACTCAAACCCGTGCACTGGAGATTGCTGGTCTTTCTCGCACTTGCTACTTATCTCGCAACCTACGCCTAGGGGTAGATCACCAGGACTGCATCGCAATCATGGGGAACGACAAAGATGCCATCTCAGATAAGCCAATGACTAGTGAAGATCTAGAGCATGCACCCACTCACGGCACCTATCTCGACAAAGATGAAGCATCTCACCTTTCCGAGGAGCACCGACAGTACCTGTTGGAAAGACATGGCACGCTTGAGCTGGACCCCATACCCACCATGGGTACAGCCGATCCATACAACTGGCCTCAGTGGAAGGTAGGCCATTCCGCATTCATCAGTTCGACGTCTGCTAACAGTGGGATTAGAAAGTGATGAACCTACTCTTTGTCGCCTTCCACGCCATGATGTGCGCGTTTCCTGCTGCTGCGATCATTCCAGCCTACGAGAACATATCCGAAGACCTAGGTGTCAGCCTCCAAAGGGCGTCGTATCTTACGTCTTTGCAAATCGCTATCCTTGGGGGCGCTCCGCTGTTTTGGCGGCCACTCTCCACACGATACGGACGTCGACCCATCTTCATCATATCTTTGATCGGCAGTTTAGTCTTCAACGTAGGCTGCGCGAAGAGTCAAACATACGCTGCCATGGCTGCCTGTAGAGCTCTCCAAAGCTTCTTCATCTCACCCCCGAACGCAATCGGCAGTGCCGTTGTGGTTGAGACTTTCTTCAAGAGAGAAAGAGCGAAGTTCATGGGTATCTGGACGGTCATGATAACCTTGGGTATACCTCTAGCACCCCTCATCTTTGGCTTTGTGACCTACAACGTCGGTTATCGCTGGATATATTGGATCCTCGCAATCGTCAACGGCGTCCAGCTCATCCTGTACACGCTCTTCGGACCAGAAACGCGATTCATCCGACACAACAACGCACAACACGCGCAGTTTGGATTTGCGGCCTACAAAGAGATGTATCTCAAGTTTCGCCGTATCGATCCTACACCCATCACCGCCTCGGAGTTCATCTCACCACTTCGGCTATTCAAGTACCCATGTGTAATCATTCCTGCATGCGCATATGCAATGGTCTTCCTCTTCGCTTCGGTCCTCGCGACCGTCGAGATCCCGCAACTCTTCGGCGAAAAGTTCCATTTCAACGCGCAACAAATTGGTCTACAATTTCTGGGTATCATCGTTGGCACAATTATTGGTGAGCAGATCGGTGGGCACTCGAGTGACCTTTGGATGCGATGGCGTGCAAAGAAGATGACTCCCCTCCGTCCTGCTCCAGAATTTCGTCTTTGGCTAAGCTACTTCGGCATTCTCCTCACCATATGTGGTGAGGTCGTTTTCCTGGTTCGCATCGAGCAAGCCCCCGATCTGCATTGGAATGTAACGCCCATCATTGGTGCAGGCATAGGTGCAGCGGGTAACCAGATCGTTACCACTGTTCTGATCACATATGCGGTAGACTGCTATCCGGACGAAGCTGGTAGCATTGGTGTATTTGTTACCTTTGTGAGGCAAATTTGGGGCTTCCTCGGTCCTTTCTGGTTTCCTCCCATGTTCGAGAATGTAGGTATCGCGAACAGTGCTGGGATCGTTGCAGCATTGCTCGTAGGAGTTAGTCTGGTACCTATCATGTTCACTCATTGGAAGGGCCATTCGATGAGAGGACATATGTCGGAGAGAATGTAGATCCAGATGAAGGTACCTGTTCAGATCCAATAAAGAGACTCGCGTCTTAAAGTAGCGTATGGACACGTTAATGACAACATGAACATCATGCAATGCACGCGCGTCCAGAAAATACCTCTTGAGTGTCGATCTTTTGGATTGATGCGATACCAAAGCACTATGATACATACTCAACTTACAACTTCGCTTCCAATCCCTCCTTCTGACACAGCTCTTCCGCTTCAGCCACGACATCAACGCCATAAACTTGCGCCTGGATATCCGCATCCGCCCACTTATCCGGCACCTTTCCAGATCCAGACTTCAGCGCCGCAAAGATCTTATCGCGTTCCTCCTTCGCCTTGCCAGCGCCGAGATGCATGTCTCTCCCGTTCTGCGCCGCAAGCTCAACGAGTGCTTCCGCTCTCGGCTTCCTCAGCTTCTCATATAGACGAAGTGCGTGCTCGATAGTCTGCGGCTTCCCATCAGCGATACGCTTAGGAGAAAGCACGACACCCAGCACAGCACCGTCTTCAATCGCCTGAGCAGCACCTTGGGCCATGTGCGGGAGCGTTGGATGGCAAGCGTCGCCGACCAAGGCGGCCGTACCATGCACCCACGTCACCAACGGATCGTGAACTCTCAACTTCCACTCCACGACCTCGCCTTCTGGCACCAGGTTCAACATGCGATGTATCATTGGACAGAAGTCGCCGTAAACGTCCAACATAGCCTTCTTGCTGCCTTTGGTTGTATATTGCGCATCTGGGGCTCCGGCAAAGTTGATATCGGGCTGTGCGGTGGAGATGTTATAGATTTGCTTATTGTGGATCGGGTAGGCGATGATGTGTTTCTTCTCTCCGATCCATCGTGTTACTGTGTCGGACTCGATTAATTTCAGTAGCTCGGGGTCGTTCTCCATTTGGTCTCGGGTCAACATGATGCGATATGCAGCTTGGCCTGAGTCGCAAGCCGCGCCGGTGTGGCCGAGTTCCTTGAGCATGGCGACCCGTGTAGAGCTCTTCACGCCATCCGCACCAAGCAAAATATCGCACTCGACTTCTTGCGGCTCTCCGTTTCCCTGAGATGGTCTAATAGTGAACTTTGGCTTCGCACCAAAGCGTACGTCGGATATGTTGCAACCCAGCTTGAATGTGATCCCGCTCTCCTTCTTGCAACCCTCGTATAGGCCGTTTGCCAAACTCGCTCGGTGACCGACCATGTGTGGGTATCCATACTTCTCTCGCACGTAACCCAGATCTACATATCCCAGCTCCTTGTCTGTCGAGCCTTCCCGAATTGATGTATTCGCGCATTGAACCGCCTCGTCGCGGATTGGTCCCCAGCAGCCTAATTGGTCGAGGATGCGAGCCATGTTTGGTGCAAGTTGGATGCCGGCGCCTACAAATCCCATATTTGTTGCGTTCTCGTATATCGTGATGTTTTTGTGACCGGCTTTTGCGAGAGATAGTGCTGCTGCTAGGCCACCCATGCCTGGAGTATGTTAGCTATCATGATAGAATGGGGGATCTCATGTTGGGGATGTCTACCTGCTCCAACAATCGCTATCCTAGTGTTCTCTGCCATTCTGGGTGTTTTGCGCCTCGTTCCCTCCACTTCAAGTGCAGTGTCTGTTGATGTGATAGAGAATGGATCGTTGTTGGTGCAATGCGTGTGCTGCTTATTGTTGGGGCTGAATTCGCCAAGGACAAGCTGACAATCTTCTGGCTGCTCTCAAGATGCTACTCCGACGTTTCTATATCCCCGTCTCTTGCTTTTGTTCCAATCCCTCCACAAGTTCCGAGCTCCTTCCCGCGCGTAATGTTCAGCCACCGGAAGATACCTTAACCGGGACGCTTCTGCCAGGGTTTCCGAAGCAGCTTCGGGTCTTTGGAAAGCGCAACACGTCAATCTCAGTCGCAATAGCCGAAGTTTATTTGGGTCAATTCAGTAAGCACTTCTTCGATAAACATATATCGGGGAAGCTGTAGGCCCGAATACGCCACGCCTGAGGCGAGCTCGCTGTTGTCAGCTACCGGCTGCACACCCCACCGTGGCGGGGCAACGGTTAGCGTATTTCCATCCCAGCGCCCCACCGCCATCAATGAACGCGCGAGATCCGGCAAATGCGGAGTCGCGGAGTGTGGGTGAGCCGTCCCTACATCTTACCATTGCGACGGTTGCGATTGCACGATTTCGAGGTAAGGTCAAGGCGCTGTGCTTGGAGATGTTGAAGATGCCCATGTGTACCGACGCCAGGTCGCTCCCGCTCCGCGACAATATAACTACAAGGGCATGAACTGATACTGCAATTCTTGATACATCAATCGAGCGTCATATTCGATGGCTTCAGCAGTTCGCGATATGGCCAATATCGTGCCAACCTCTTCACCCGTAAATCGTATGCCCGATAGGCCTTGTCGACCATTTGGAGCTGTGTCGACAGTCTCCTGCGAGCGTTCTCTACAACGCTCGCCGCAAGGACGTGAGTGTAGAAAAGCCAAGGACCAGAAGTGCACGAAATAAGTGTATGTTTCACTATTCGTCCACCGCGTCGCGATATGAACCTGAAAACTCTACATCGAGCCGCAAGTCGACTTCAGACCGATATGCGATGAGGGGCTGTATACCCCGCGCTAGTTCAGGGTAGGATGTGGGGTGACTTCCCGAATCATCTCACGAAGAGACAGAAATTCTCATCTTTCGTAACTTCAACAACAATAACAGCTCATTCGTCGAAGCTATTACGGAAGATAGCTGTGTCATCATTGGATCTGTGATCAAGGAAATAAACACCTCATCATTACGTGTCACGCAGCTCACGTAGAGGAAAAGGGTTCACCCGAGACTCTCTTTGATCTTCAGAACACGATCGAAGGGCCAGTCTGGAGACAGCGTGGCTTTCGGGACCAGATAAATCACCTGGAGATTGCTACCTCTTTAGTGGGGATCTAGAACAGTAGCTACACGGAAAAGGCTTCTCCCTTTGGCCCAGCATACATTCGCGGACAGCAACGTCAGGACAAAAAGGAGTACACCGACCTAAACACAGCGACCCTCGATTATGGCACGACGAAGCTCATTCGACCAAGCATCAGCCGGCTTTCGGGCTCATCTACCAGACCTCGGCAGCCCGCGCTTCACGACAGCCGCAAAGCAAAACGTCTACGAATATGTTCAGTCAATGCAAGACGACCGCGCCCCACCATGGCTGTACGATCTGACTAAAGTCTGGGAGAAGTTATTGGAAGAGCCGTACAAAGGCATCACGAATGACGGCACTGTAAGGGAGGGTCTATATCAAGCACGAGACGAAGGTGTCGATGTTGATGGCCCGGTCAAGAAGGCGGAGGAACTACTCGCAGCTCTGGACAGCGAGCAGAAGGGAAAGGTTTCGTACCCAATCAATGCCAGAGAGTGGAGAGCATGGAGCAACCCAGAATTCTTACTGCGGCCATTTGGGCTCAGACTTGAGGAAGGTAAGGATCAAATTACCAAAGCTACGAGCTAAGGCTAACTGCTGCAGTTCCTGAGAGTATTGCGCAGTCAATACTCGCAGTGTTAGAGGCATCTCTTTCCCCAGAAGGCTACGAGAAAGCTATAGCGGCTATGCGGGTAAACCATTTCTTGGGAGAGGTTGTCAAGCTGCCCAACATCTTGAATAAGTACTCTTACAACTTTCTGCTGTTTGGTACGCCTTCTACTTCCGCTTCTTCGCCTTGGGGCTGGCTTCTCTATGGGCATCATCTCGACATTTCATGTTTCTACAAAGGAACTCAGGTCATCATGAGTCCATCATTCACAGGTGCCGAGCCCAATATCATTGATGACGGAGAATGGAAGGGTACCAAGATATTGCACAAAGAAGGAAGTCTGGGTTGGAAGTTGATGCAGAGTCTCAGCCATGAGCAACAACAAAAGGCACAAATCTTCAAGAACATGAGAGATGAAGGCATGAAGCAAGTCTACGGCAACTCCAACAATGACGAGACTAAGCGAGATGAGCTCATTACCGACACATGGGGCCCAGACGACCAGCGCCACCGATGCGGTGCCTTCCGCGACAACCGCATTGTACCTTACGAGGGCGTTCTGATCTCTTCTCTCGACTCGTCACAACAAGAACTCATCCTCGCCATATGTGAAGAGTTTCTGCTGTATCATCCCACGAAAGCGCGCCAACATAAGCTCGATCAGATCAAACAACACTTAAGCGAGACCTACTTCTGCTGGATTGGAGGATTTGGCGAAGATGATGCATTCTACTTCCGTATCCAGAGCCCGGTCATTTTAGTCGAATTCGACCACCACTCCGGTGTTTTTCTGACGAACAAGGAGCCAGCGAAGTACCACACCCACACTATCGTGAGAACGCCGAACGCAGGAGATTACGGACAGGCTATTAGGGAAGAAAACGAAAAGTTAGAGTAAGCAGGTGCTGGATGAAATGTGAATCCGGCGTGTCGCAAGAAGAGAGATGGTACCCATGTCATAGATCTCCGTTGTGAGGCGCATCTTGAATTAGCAATGGCTCCAATAACTTCCATACCTATCTTCCACTTCCAGGCGCCGGCCTCGTATCACCAACGAGACTAGAGTACTTCACATCCACCTCGAGAACTCCAAACCATACATGTCGCCCATCCCTTTGCTCGAATCTCACCTCGCCCTCCAAAGTAACGAATTCCGCTTCCTCACCTGCCGGAAGATAACTCTCGATTACCCGTATTAAATCTTCTTTAAAAACCTCATGTCTACGTTCCCGTTGTTCACTAGCGTCGCTTCCTGCAGCAACCGAATAGTGAATAGCAACTTCTTCTTGTGGCATAGTGGAAATCCCGGCTATTAGTGCGAAAAAGTTTCCAGCATCGTCTCGACGAGGAGTCTTGGCTCTTACATACGTAAAGCCTGGTCGTTCCTGGGTTGATAGATGATCGTAAGTCTCCACGTCGCCTTTGGAGCTTGTGGGGTAGAGAGAGAAGCCGACGTGAACGTTTGGTTTAGCTGGGGATGTCTTTTGGCGTTACGTAGCGGACGATCACGTAGTACTTTCATCTACCTCGTAGGGGCCTTTGGGTGCCATGTTGAAGATTTTGATAGTTCAATCCACGAGGGGGGAGTTGACCTATAGGCCAAGTGTTTGCCAAAGAGTAAGTTAGTCAGGCCCGTGCGACACTACCAATCAGCTTGATCATATATCGTTCCCTTAGTATAGCGTCAGGTGCCGATTTGAATATTTGGAAATGATATCTATACGCAAATGGATGAAATACTTGAGTGCGTGATGCTCCATTGATGCTATCTATGCCGAATTTCTTTTAACGTCTACCTGCATGGCCTCATGAGGTGTGTGCGTTCACATCACAGATTTGGTATCTGATGTACTGACTCTGGAATCCTGAACCATAACGAATAACAGCTATACTATTAGCCCAGATACCAGCTACGAAGTCTAAAGTCAGATTACCACGCGACATGAACGTCTGCACACCTGCTGCTATCTGCTCGCGCAGATCCTGCTCGGCCGCCATGCTCTGTAATGTTGGTTTACTGACTATCCTGACTGTTGTCTCGACGTCACGGGCTATTTCGGCCGTGATCATAGTCATGCTACTATCTCCAATGAAGAAAGGGTTCGTCACGCAGTGCCAGTTGATGTTTTGATTGGCAAAGAAGTCGCGCTCTTGTAGGTATTGGAATCGCTGAGACCGAACCCGAACAGGCGGAATCAGGTCCTCACTCTGATTTGTGGTGCGGATAACCATGTAGGCTGGGATTATGGACATCTTGGGTTATCTTGTCAAGAGGATGGGGGGTGGCGCGAACAGATTCGTGAGGAAGACCAGAAGTGATATACGTGGTGTGAGCTTGCTACATTCGGCCAGCTGTCAGTCGTGCGTGCTTCGTCGTGGGCAGTGTGACCAGAACCGGTGAGCCTCCAAGCCAAGTCGCCATGTCGTTTGGACATATGGCACTGCCCGTCCGTCACTTCCCCGGCTCATACACTTCATAGCTTCGAACTGAGCGCTTCGAGCTTTAGCCATCTTGAACCTGTCGCTGCTACATTATTTTGGCTTTCTGAGTTCATAGATAGCCAAACAGAGGCAGAAGCTGCAATGGTCTAGTGGTTATGACATTCGCCTCACACAGATTGTGCGACGCGAAGGGTCTCGAGTTCGACCCTCGATTGTAGTATTGTTTTTGCTGGTTGTCACGTACATGAAGCTTTGTTGTCGTGGTAGCTTGTGATGGAGTCTTCCAAGGTTGTTTGGTTAGCATCCTACACGTGACTTCTCGAAGCTAAGGGTCTATGTTTTGGCCAATGCAAATCCTGCGGCATGACATTTCTGCGTAAGTAAATCAGCTTCGTGTATTGCGATGCCAACGCAACAGTGCTTGCATCGCAAAGTCAAATTACCAGCCGGAATTTCTTAGGAGTGGAGTGGGGCGTGTGCTCATTGTTGAGGGTCGAGACGTTGCAGAGTCATGGACGGCTGCAATGCGGTCATGGTCTAGAATGCGATAATCTTCTTTCAATAAAACGTTGTGGGCATTAATGACGATACTGGTGTGGAAGAAGCTGGTGGTGTTGACGCTGTGGTCACTCCGCACGAACAGGTTGCGAAGCTGCACGTTGACATCAGCGTCGCGGGAACCTCGGCCAGCCACGCGATGCGCGTACTCACCCCACAATCGAAAGACTGTCATCTAACCACGATCAGCACACCACTAACCCCACATGGCCCAGTCCCGTCGTCTCAGCGTCCGATTGGATCTCGGTGGCAGCCGTTTCACCAGCCGAACCCTTTACAGGCGGCACGCCAGGAGAAGCCGCGATACATGCGCGGCCGGGAAACCCTTTGAAGATGACCACCCAGCGACCTGGTACGTCAGCGGCCTTTCGGTCTGGGGACGCGACGCGAGAATGCATCGGACTAAGCTCATCAGTCCATTTGCGTCACGGAGCCCGGTGATGTCAAGTGCTGTGATTCGTGGTATGATATATGGGTGTGGTGGAGAGACCTGAGTGCACAGCCTACTTGTGACCTGCATTTCCCCGCACGAGGCTGTCGTATATACAGTCCGCATACGCCGCGCTTGGAACGTCTCACCGGAACACATTACACGTACCAAGCCATCAATCAAACACCACACTACCGAAGTCAAACCGCGGCCGATACTTTCACACGTCTTGGCCATCAACTCCTACCAAGGTCAAACACAACCACACACCCAGCAACAGCATATAACCCATACCAAATCTACCATCTCGAGGAACCATCACCATACTCGGCACTACTTTCGCCACTACCACACAACCATCAACATGTCTTTCCTCCTCCGCACATCTACCCTGGTTCGCCAGAGACTCTTCACCACCTCAACACGTGCCCGTGGTGCCATCTCCATGGAAGATGCCGCAGCAGCACAGATGACATCCACCCCTGGTGCGAGTGTCGTCCCAAGGCTCGGAAGGGTTGCACGATGGTACGTTTCTTCCTCCATGGTATGGCTATCAACACTAACAAGAGCAGGTATCTCCCGACCATGGCGGCGGTAGCCATTGGTATGATCTACCTTCCCAAGGCCGCATCATCATCACAGCCTCGCCGACCCCTTACGCTCGGTGATGCTAATGCCAACATAGGCTTTGGCGTTACCAATGCACTTAACGAGGCCAACCGCAAAGTACACTCTGCGCTTGAGCTCACCCAAGAACAAAAGAACCAGATGCTCATGGATTCCTACGGCGAGCGCTCGAGCTTGGAGGACATGGAGCGGGCGATTGCTGGACTCGAGGCCAAGATGACCACCCAGAAGGACAGGAACAGGATCTTGGAAGAGGCTTATGGCGATAAGGCTAGCCTTGAGGACCTTCAGAGGGCCATGGAACTGTACGAGGTGCAGTGAATGGAGCAAGAGAGGGTGAAGAGCCCGAAGAGCAGATCCCCAGCTTCGCGTCTTAGAGCGCACACGCACTACAAAGAAGAGAAGGATGAATCCGCGTGCTGAACGCCGCGAGAGCCACACCGCCAGGCCACGAGCAGACACCGACATCAAGCCAGGATGTCTGGCTCGTGTACCTCGAGAAGTGACAGAGGAACATGCATTTCATATTGGTCTCAGCATTTAGCGTTTTAGCAACTCGTAACAGACCCCAACAGTGGGCTACGATCTCGTACTATACCAATATCATCAATACCAATTTACTATGTTAAACACATGAAATATCCATTTTCTTGCCGATGCTAGCCATGTTCGCTGTTCGGTGCATCTCGTCGCTCCACAATGTCCGACACCCGACACGTGATTCAACCCCGAGTTCTCCCGACGGCCGCGCTCCATCGCAAAACCATGTCCGCACTTGGGCACTCCACATTCCGACATCGAAATACGACTGCCGTTGTGGAATAGGGCCGAACGGCGCCATGAGTGCCATCGTGACAGGTACTGACTTCGTCTAAGCTAGGCCAATTCGAAGATAGGTTCACATTGTTACATCAGAGTTCTAGATGTCCAAGAGAGTCGATGTACGCACTAGCTAGGCCTGTTTACCTGCACTTAGTCCTTATCCGTAATTACAAAGCTCCAGATCTCTCGCCACACACCGCGTGCTAATCGCGCTGGTCTTCTCTCCAAAATCTGCTCTATCCGCGCTCTTTCGTTATTTCTCGAAGCCTCCGCTTCCATCTCCTCCTGCATCATGGGATCCATGCTTACACTAAGATGCACCTGCTCCTGCTTGAATGGGTCTTCAAAGGTGCTCGTAGGACTCACAATGCCGTCATGCTGGGCGTCCATCTCGTACGAACCAAACCGATGTCGCGGCACTGGAGGTTCGGAGACTGGGCCTTCGAGCTCGATGCTAGATAGATCTTCCAGGACGTAGTCTTCTACCGTAAGGTTGCGGAGGTCAACTTCGGATGTTCGGGGATATATGTACTTGTATGAAATGTACAGAGATGCGAACAAGAAGGGGCCGATGTATGCTCCAAGAACGTCGAAAGCGAGACTGATGGTAGACTTCAGGTTGTCTGTGGAAGTGAGGCTGCCCTTCGCAACGAGAATGACTAGTGGCGGAACGCCAGACCATACAAGAACGAAGGCGCTTCCGAAAATCCCGATATATGCAGGCAGTGGTTGCCATCGAGACTTGAACAGGCGTGATATGTAGAGTGGATGGTTGCGACCGAAGATCTGCCGCCGCGCTAATCGGTCAAGACCGGCTTTGAAGCGCAGGAAAGTGATGCACAGAGTGAGGTAGATGCATGCCGCAGTGCCTGTGTACAGTTCGGAGAGTGTGATGCGCGGCTGTGAGCCAGTCTTGTCGGCCAAGCCTATCAGAGATAAGAACCCGAGTGCCGAGCAAAGCAAGATGGCCGCCAAAGGTGTGTGTCCATTGTTAGTCCGACCAAAGACCTTTGCGACGTTTCTTGGAAGGTACTGTTGTGAAAGCATGAACACGCTACGAGATGCGGCGTAGAGATCGGTGTTGGCTGTAGTGTATGCCGATAGAATGAAGAGTCCGTTCAGAACTTTGGGTAGTGCATGGAGAGAAGACTCTTCGGCCGCTATCACGAACGCTGACTTCGTAGCATAGCCGCCTCTCGCCCATATCTTCGGAAGCTGCGGGTCTGCATAGTTGACGTTTGCTCCAGCAGCTAGCATCGCGAACGGGTATATGCTGAGCGGAACGATGTAGACGAAAGACATGGTGATGGGTACGTCTCTCCAAGGATTCTTTGCTTCACCGACTGTCATGGCGACCAGGTCTGCTCCAAAGCAAGAAAACATGGCTAAAACTATTGAAGTACTTCACAAGATGTTAGCTATTTGGAGTATCTTGAGACATACTAGAAACCCACATGAGAGCGAACAGTGTGCCTCCGGGGCCGGATATGCCGAAAGCTTCGTCGGAAACGCCCGCCATTTTGAGAGGGACAGGAGTGGTACTGTTGTGGCCAATAGGCTTCCAGTCTGATGGAAATCCGAATGTTGTATAATCTAGAGTGTTCAGCGTTGTCACATGTAGCCTGAAGATGTTGAACGTACTCGAATAGTATTCTCCTTGTCTCGGGCCGCCGCCTTGGTAGCGTTAGACACATGGCTATGTTGGACGAAGCGCGGAAGCATACCGGAGAAGTTCAAGACCACGCCCATTACACACACAAGGACTAGCAAGCTCAGTTTGAACCACATGACGACCTAGAAGTGCTCGTTAGCAGGCCGTTCTTGTCGAGAGCCGTCAGCGGGGTGGCCAGAATCCATGCCGCATGTTGCCGCATACATGTTGCTAAATCTTAGCAAGTAATCACACCCTAAGCTCATGTGTACTTCTAGCTCAATGATAACTTTGTAGAATGCGACACGGATTAGAGCCACCCATAGTGCTGTTTTACTCTAGGTGACATACTCGTTCGATCTTGCCATACAGCTGACATATATTAGCGAAGTACGCCTTTGTCCAAGGGCATAGCTTACCTTGACGCCGAGGCAATGGGAAAGGGTAGTCAGGGCTATGAACGCTATATTTATAGCTGCCTCAGCACCAGCAGAATGCGGTTTTGGGTCGCTCTTCAGAAGCGCAGTCAGCTCCGCCGAACTCGCTGTAAGAGTAGCCATCGCACAAATCTTGCCTAGCCTAATGGTCGTCAGCGACGTCTTTCGGAGTTTTCCTGTCCATACTCACCCGTACATAGATGCGATAGCGAAACCGCAGGCTGGGTCTAGGAATGTGTGAGGTAGATCAATCAGAGCTCCGGTCAACGGTCGACATGCAACCATCTCAGTAATAGTGTACATGACGCAAGCAACAATACCACCTGCGACTAGATAGCTAATAGCAGCCCCTAAAGATCCAGTGGTAGCGATCAGTGCCCCGGACGTAATGAAGATTCCTCCACCTATGCAACCGGATATACCAATGCCTGACGAGTCAGCAACCAGCGTACTTGTTGATTCACTCCTTTGGCACTTACCTGCCAGTTGAGGCCTACTGAGCACACGGTCAAGATGTTCTGAATGGGTCACATAGTATGGCGATCTGTCAAGGGGGCGCTTTTCTTCAGCCATTTTGCGTGGGATTCCCAGGCGAATCCGTACCGAAGTACGACCTCGTCAGGCTACGGGTGGTTGTGAATTAATTATGAATGTTGACCGCGACCTTGAACTAGAAGATGATGCTTGCGCGACGAATGCGAACCCTCGTGACTATTTGGCCTCCATTCGGCACGTCTTCAGCTTCACTGTCCAATCCGCCTGTGGCGAGGCTTAGACCATACCGGTCGGCCTCTCTGTCTGCCTTACTTGTTGTCCATCAACGCCAGAGTGACTGGAGAGATAGGCTTCGTGATGAGGACGGTACATGGGCACGCGACTTGGTATTGCTGTGATTGGTCAGAAAGGCGGGATATCGGGAGAAGATAACCAAGGTTGCACATGCTCGTATGCATAAGGTTGCTAGGCCGCACTAAGTGCGCCACGGTCGACAAACATTGGTGGATAGGGCAGGACGTCCTCTCAGCCGCGCCTTAGTATCGTTCCGGTGTACATTTCAGGCTACGTGTTGCAGCTAGGCGACAACTATGGTAATTGATAGGGCCGAACTACATTGTGGAGACGGCCCCTCTCATAGTGGATATTGCTTTCCTCTGGGCGTGCGTTCTGTGTGGAGTTTCTGTGCAATACAAGCAGGACATTGCCAATGCAGCTGATAACGAGTATGCCGCATGCGGACAAGATCGCGAGCTGAAAGTATGTCAGATAGTGTTACGTCCTTGACCTACATACATTCGAGGCTCTCCAGGGATGAAGCTTTGGTTAACTCCCAGCTAACGGTTTCCCAGTGATGATTGCAGTTAGAGTGCATTGACGATGTCCATATCCAGCAGCTCTTCGGGCCCTTCGGCGCGTCGCTCGTCGTTAGCGATGGACTACTTCCAGGTGTATTCAGCCTCATCAGGATCGCAGTCGAGTAATCTGCTACAACGACCAAGGCGGCTGTCGTTTCTAAATGCACCCGATGTCGCGACGTCGATCTCATCGTTAGGATGGGTAGCAACATGCTCATCGAAGCAGATACGGTTATACGACGTGAAGGGCGCGAACAGAAGTCGAATTATCCAGCCCGAAGCCGTTTTGAATATTTCGATGATTCTGAAAGATGAGGAGATCCGTGGAATTGCTCTCTCACAGGATCTGCTCGCAGTGATCACCCACAATCGATTGCTGGTGTATGACGAGTATCGCACAAACAACGGCCATGTGCCCAGCCTCGTGAGAGAAGAGCGGATTGACCAGGACGGAAACTGGACCCCGAGATCCGTGTCGATCTCACAACTTGGACGCCAATCTTCCGAGGGAGGGGCAACGGCAAGCATCGCAGTGGGTGGGGAAGGAGTGAGTGCAGTGAAGATCTTCAGATACAAGTACATGCCGGCCTGGAACCTTCAGGGCGACCATGTAGTCCTGAAGTGTCCTCAAAACAACGGTGCTGTCAAGATTGTTGGGTTTTCGCCCTGCCGAAGTGATGCCATCTATGGGCCAACGGTGTTCGCTTTGACAACAGGGAATCACTTGTATTGCTGGATTGTCGCTCGGAACGTAGGCCACCAGCAGAGTATTCGCCCGGATCCTTGCTGGCACATTGACTGCAACGCGAGAAGCAATGAACGTGTAAGTGACATGTGATAGGGCCCGGCACAAAGCTGACTCCAGACAGGCGTATCGCGACGAGATAACGAGCGCGGCTTTTACCATCTCTCCAAACGGTCGGCCTTACATTCTCTGCACCGTCGACCACAAACCACGTTCACACCTCCCAGCGACCTTCCTCGTGGCAATCGACACTCTTGGCTTTGACCCACACGTTCTTCGTCAACCGATAAGGCCTATTCCTGAGAAGGTAGTTGGCTCGAGTGTTGTCGCTGGAGTTTCGAGCTTTAACGGCAGGTTTCTAGTGGTCATAGAAAGAGACGAGAATGGAGACAGGATGAAGCTGTTGACACTTCACGGTGCACCTGGGGGCGGCTTGACGTGTTCTGTTGCCCAAAATCAAACTTGGGGGGTCGAGCTGCAGAGCAGCAAAACTGGATCGTCAACGATCTCAATCATGATACAAGAGCAGGAGGATGCCCTGGAGATCATCGCTGTGGATGGACGTGGCCATGTCGTCTATTCGGGCGTAAGGGTGCTGGGCATGCCACAAGGCCCGGTCCTGCCCATTGCATTACCTAGAAGCTCCATTGTTTCCGAGCTACCGTTCGACCCGATCAGAAGGGAATTATCGTCGGAAGAAAGTAGCCGCCATTCTGTCACACCTTCTTATCGGGGTATGAACAGCCTCGAAATTGTTCCTGGCTGACTGACGGAAATGCCTCGAATCATTACCATACCTACGATCTTTGATTGGATGCGGCAGCTGCACACGCGGCGTAGTGTTGGGGAACTGGGATTTTGGAGCTCGGATAATAGAAACGAGAGGGCGACGCGCTTGTCGCGTACGAATCGCGTCGCGGACTGGCGCCAGCTGACTAAGCCTGTATCCGTCATCTTTAGGTCCGGCACTCACGATCGACAATCGTAACCCAATCCGCCTTGTACGTCCGCTCGCACATGCACAATATCAATAATGTCGCATTGGGAGGAGTCCCCATATCTCCTAACTCCTTGGGTCGCAATCGCCAAGATGGTGTTGTTTATGATGCCTCGTAACCGTCATCAGCACGCGGCTTGAACGCGATAGGACTGCCTTCACCAGTACTCCAAAGCTGTTTCTCGGATTGGCAATCGTCGGTGTTTGCGCGTTGGTTACAGCAAGCATGCCTCGAGACGCATCTCTACGGGGTAGCAGCGAGCTTCCAACGACCCTTCGAGCTTACCAGATTCTTTCCTCAAGTCACACAGCGTATCTCGCTTTCCACACGGAGGGCTGCTCATGCCAGACATGTGCAGAGGAGGAAGGCTCGATAATGGGTAACGCAATGTTTCTGGCATATATAGAATACTCACCCTCAACACTCAAGACACTTCTTCTATCGCCCATTTCTTCCTACTGATCGCACGCTACCTAACATCCTAGTCATACTCTGATACTCCTGTTCAGTGCTTCAACAAGCCTACACTTCAGCTACCAAGACAGCCCCCTCGAGACGATTTACGGCACGCTCCCACCCAAAGATGATGTTCCGCGTCGCTCCTCTATGCTTCGCCGTACTCTTCTCGCGGCACGCTTCTGGCGTACCACACCCACAGCCAAACTCAACATTGCTCGCGAACAACACAATCTGTAACTCCACCGTCCGCCTCTGCGACGGCGATCTCAATGCTGCCGACCCTCCCCCGATCGGTTCGGGCGAATACGTATGCCACGAAGTTTACCCAACCGATCTCACCGTCATCAACGCGCGCTACCCCGATTACGACGTCGACCACCTACACCAAGCCAAGCAGTTCTTCATGCTACGTCGTCAGGTCAAAGATGCTGGAGAGATTGCCACGCGAGTACAGTTTCAAGGCCTACCGAATAGCACGTCGAACTACACCTGCCGTCTCGAATTCGTCCTCCCCCGCCCTGAGCTCCAGAAGATTTCTGGCCCGAACCCGAGCTTTTACGTATACCAAGTCGAGCGGGAAGCCGGTGCGATCGCTACATGGAATACATATGAGGCAGAGAAGAACGCCTTGTTGTTCGGTACGGTCAACGGCGAAAGCCAGGCGCTTGAGAGGACAAGGAGTGTCGGCGGGGTTGCAGCTGTCGACGAGACGGCTTGTAACGAGACAATGTCGTTTATGATGGCAATGATGTACGACAGCCCATCAGCGCCGAACTACTGGGAGTTCTCGAACGTTGCGCCTCCCGCGTTCCCGATACAGGGGTTCAGGATTGTATACGGGTGTTGAGCGAGGAGTTAGTGCATATGGTGTAGTCATGAGATGGGGCCGAATGCCATGTGAAGTAGCAGCTATTCTGATCCTACTGTTTTGAATCTTTAGCCTTGCTCGTACAACTTCTGCCTCGCGTATTGTTGTCAGTAAGTGTACTTCAATGTCGCTCCAGCACGTACGCGAGGTTTTCGCACATCGTGCACTGCATGTTACTGTCTACAATACCGCGATAAACGGAATTTGATCATGACTATGCTCATAGCGCGGCGACTCTTACGGAATATTGAGTTTCCCATGTGCATGCCTACCATGCGGTCGAGCGTAGACACAAGCGGCTCTCGCATAGCGCGATTTGCTCACAACATCAAGGCTGCCAGCTTGACATCTACAGCAGCAGCTTACACTACCGAAAACGGTACATGACCGTATTTGCCGCATACATATAGCTGCAGCGATGTTTCCGTCACCTAGGCAGTGTATTGTCGGCTCCTCGGGCAGCCGTCCTCGTCCTTTCCGCAATCGAACCGTGCACGGTAGCGCACGAACTGCGGCACCTTCCTTCGTCGACCTTCATCTCTCTTTCCAACCAGCAACTTCGCCTTTTCAGACAGCAGCACAAGTCGGGAACTAATCGAGGGATCGAGGGGCCGGCACGGCTGACGTTCAGCCTCAATGCGAATGCTGAGCCTTCCCGGGGGAACGCGATTGCTGTTTTACACTATGCGCGATCCTCAAATAACTGACTTGAAAATCAATACCTCCTCCGTCAAGAGTACAAGCGCAAAGACACACCATAGTGGCGTCAACACACGTTGTGTGCAATTGGTTCGCCGTGGCGTCTCCAGCTGCAGCAATTACACAGCCCTCTTCGCGGGTCGCTGATATCTAGACTAGCCAGTTCAATCTCCAACAGCCACTGACATCCTACCAGAAGCGGAATATGTGTGCGGCGCACACAAGGCTGATTCATCGATCCATGTCCTGCATGTGGCGTGGCGGGGTTGTGAGGTAGGCGCGTAGATGGACACCCCGGCTGTTCAGCCTGGTTGATGGCGGGCTGAAGTACGCCCCAGGGTCAAGAGTATCACTTACATACTCTCTTTCAAGACCTGTCCTTCGCTTCTACTTCAGGTCCACGATTTGATTAATCGCAATCATGTCAGACCGATATCCCGTCAAACGGTGGCTATGCTGCAACTGTGGCGGCAGCAATAACTATGTACGCGATTTGAGCTGCGCACATTGTTACGACCACTCGAGAAGTTCATGTTGTTTTGAATGGGCAGATGCGAATCCCGAATCGCAATTGTTCGATACCCTCGTTTCGCAACCCCGGATTACAGCAACCCCTAGTACCTCGTCCTCCATTTCACGATCTGCTCCCGTCCGTCGACCTGTCATCTCTCAGTCGATACTTCCAAATGACCAGAAGTATATGGCGACCACTGTCTCTAAGCCAGGTACATTTCTAGGTATAACTCAAGATCGAAGCCCATCGCCTATTGACTTGTTTTACGCCACGCCAGACCAAGCGACGAATGCCTCAAGTACCCGCGAGCTATCACGAACGGCTTCCAAGAATGACCCTGTGACGACTAAAGCGCCAGCGCAGTTCCCCAACGTATTTCGTACGCGAATCGAAGAGTCGAGGGCTGAGCAATCGACGAGAAGAAAGGCTTTCATCAGAGAACCCAAGCAAAGACAAAACACCCTAAAGCCTCCTGTGAAGACGTCGGCGAGGCCATCATCCAAATCATCGTCAAAACCGGCCTTTATCGTACAGCATCCTCCTCCCAGAGTAAAGGCTATGCAGGTATCTTCCAAAGACGATGGAAAGAACAACAATCCTCTCGTAAGCCAGGAACGTATTCAAGACAAGCGGAAGGCTAGTCCAGGTCCACGAGCTCACATGTTGCCTACGATAGCCCCGAGAATCCCATCGAGGACTACCAGTTCACGATTGGATATGTCTATTGGAGATGGTATGGATACAGAAAGCCTTGAGGCCTGCGATCTTGCCAGCGGCAATGCGAACGGGGAGATTCGGCTTCTGGTAGATACTAACACTCTATCATCGCTTCGGATCGATGGTGATTTTGAAGGTCATACGATGGAGATAAACCCCGCCGAGGATGGAATGACAGAGCTAGTCATATCGAGTAGTCATGATCCGAGGTATCAAGCCCGTCACAACACTGCTTCAGTGCATGAAGCTGGGTCGGTACGAAATCGAAGACTTTCAGCCCATCTGCCACCCGTCGAAGCTGGTGACCTTCAGGGCAGCCCTCACACTGGGCAGGCTAAGTTCATGCCGAATAGCGAGAAACGCGACCCGAGAGTTTATTACCGTCCTCCCGCAGCGCTTGATGATAGCTCCGATGATTACTTTACGGAAGACGAAATTTCTGAGGTGTCGATTGCTCCCCGTCGACGTGGAGCTGAACAACCTCCACCTCGTCAAAGGCGTGTTGTATATTACGACACAGCCCCTCGACCGACTAGAGAAACCGGATATCGGTCTGGTCCAGCTATCATACAACCCGCCATCGGAACAGGGCGGAGAAGGCCAACGACAGCAACGGCGCGACGGATGAGCTACACGGGAGAGCCAAGATCGGTATATCATTCTCAAGGACCACCACGCTCCCATGCTCAGCCCTCCTACTCTGCTCGAAGTGCGAGGCACTCAGAAAAGATATATGTTGCAGAATTTCGTAATAGCATAGAAAGAGCAAGTGTGGCCCGTGTGGCTAAGGAACGGCCACTCGTGTCACAACACCCGGTGCACGCAACGGGTAATCAGACTTCTTCACCTCAACATGATGAGCGGCAACATTCCATGCGCAATGGCGAGAGGTCAGGGTATTTGGTTCATCCTATGCAACCTACACTTCACCTACTCCCACCTTCATATCGTCCAATCCCCTCTCGACATGACCCACGACTCAAAAAGGTACCCGCGCATAATTTCTATCAGAGAGACGACGTGTCATCCCAAGAACAGGCAGTCAGCGAACCTTGTCCTCCACCGCGTGAGGCACAAGACGAAAACTCCTCTAGACCCGATTCAACTTGCGCGAACAGCAGCTTCAGTCCCGAGAAAAGCCTCGCAGCTGAATCTGATAGGAATCGTGAAGAAGATACCGATGATAACAGCCTTGTCGCAAAAGTAGCCGCTAATACGGAATCGAGGCGAATGTCACAATCACACCAGCTCCAGCAGCCAACAGTTTTGTCTGGAAGCACTGTATCACCATACCTTCCTCGGGTGACTTCAAGAGCTCCAAGCTTTTCCTGGAGCGATTCTGAGCCTGATCTAGAAGTCTTCGAAAGCGACGCAGAAAGTACAAATTCAATCTCAGAAATTCAGCAGGCAACATCAAGTGCAGCTACTTTGGAAACTTCCACGCGTATAGAAGCATTGGGAAACATACACATCGACACTTGGCTGGAAACAGGACTAGCTGGAGAAACCGAGGGCAATGCTGATCAGGATTACGGTGACAGCATATCTGGATCATCTTCCTACCCAGCATCGATCGCATCCGTCTTCTCGATAGCATCTCTAGCGTCCTCAGCATCAGACATGTCTAGAGGTAGTGGTTACTCCGCGATTCAAATTGCAACAGCTACCAAGGTACTACTCGCAATCTTCTACGAAGACGAGACTCTGATGTCGCTGTACAAGAGCGCCATTGAAAACCACGCTATCGGACCGGCAAGACTGCAGAGAAATCTCCGGCGATTATTTCGAGCATATGCAGGTCTTCTGGAAGGCGAGGCTACAGAAAGACTGGAGTATCTGACATCGCGACTTGTGCTCATCAAGTCGGCTATGCTGGCACAGTCCATCGTCGAAAAGTTGCAAAGCGGCCGAGCAGGCTTGCCGCTACCTCGTAGAGAACGCAATGAAGAAAGCTCTGACGAAGAAGAAAACAGTGTCGATACACACCAAGTGAATGAAGACGCCTTCGAGGACCTGGCCATCTTCCGCGAGTTCTTAGTCGAGAGCGAAGCTTTCAAGACATTTCGTGTACAACTGCAAGCGTTTTTAGTACCGAAATCGACACCTCTAACACACCTGGAGTCCGTGAGCAGTGGAGAGGTGACAAGTGCTGTGACAGTAGAGTCAACCCTGACAGAGGCAGTTGCAGGGCAAAGTAAGGCTTTGACCTGGCAAAAGTGGCGTGACGACTCCAAGCAAAGCGCCGATGGCTTCTTTGGCGGTGCACACTGGAAGACTACGGCGAGCAGTATTATGTTCCTCACGACTGATACGTTAATGCTAGCAACAGATAACGTTATGATTGCCGCAGGTCTACTGGAACCACCTCTGAGACCAGACATGGTACGCCTTCGATGGCGATGCGTATGTTTTCCTTCCGAGTTGAAAGCCTTTCAGACCTGTTCAGATGCTAAAAATGTAGCAGGCATGCGGCGAATCTCTTCATAGCGACGTTAGAGAGCTCCGCAAAGGAGGTATCGACAAGCTCGTTCATCATATGCGACGTACCTCTGGTGCCAAAGTGCGCGCGTCGGCTCAGAACCATCAATCTGGAAATCAGCAATACATTGCACCACATCCCATACAATGGATCCGAAAGGCAGTCACATCGATCGTCGGGGACTCGACAATGAAGTCATCGTCATGCCTTCCCCAGCACAACACACCGCGCACTGCTACTGCCAACAACCCATCGGCCCAGCAAAGCATCCTCCATCTTCTGGCTTGCATGCATCGCAATCGACTCCGAAAGGTCCTGCAGCAGGAACGAATCGAAGACGTTACCACTGACCGTGCATTACTGTGTTTCATGCGTAGGCAGTATCTACGCCACCGCAGTCGCTTCCTCCACATACTCTCCCTGAAGAGCGTCAAAGGAATATCTTTCGTCAAGTTCCGCCTTCCAATCGGCGGCAGCGTTGATGTAAGACACCACGATCCATGTTGCGTCACCAACAGCACAGGGCAAGTCACCTGTGAATGCATACCACCTCCGCCGAAAGTTGAGCCTTCACCAGGAGCGGAGTATCGCTGTATTCCCGGCCCGCCAGCCACATACCCGCCAATCCCACCAGTCTACCTTGCAAGCTTATTCACGTGTCCGACAGACGTTCACGAAAAGGATACCTGGATACTAGATCAGCTTCCGAAGCGTACGTGTGGTGAGCTGCGCGGTCAGATCGGGCAGCCTGCTGAAGGATGGGGTATCTACTACGATGAAGGCCTAGACCGCGATACGCTTGCGCTGACTGTCCTTTTGGTGTTTATCATCGCTAGTCTGCTTTTCGGCGTTCTTTGGTCGCGGTTCCAGTATGATGTTCAAGGAGCTTTTGGCGTGAGCGCGTACATGGTTGCATGTTGCGCGGTACTGCTTCCTGTCATCGTCACGCGGTTAGAGAACAAAGGCTAGCCTGGTGAGCTTTGATACCCATCTTGAGATATGGGATGTCGCGACCGCTCGCACCAGAATGTTAATAGTCAGAGTCTATCGTGTTACGAGAAGTGAGTCTCCCGTAGGCAAGAGCGAGCGCACGTCAACTCACTCAATGAGATTTGTAATCACTGTGATATCTTCCAGTTCCTTCAACGGGCAATGTTCTATCAAGACATGCTATGCGAGCCCATGGAGCTAAGATATGCTGTTGTAGACCTGTGAAAACGTGGGTGCCGGTCGCGACTTCCTCACTCAGCAAGCGAAGCGTGCCATTGGAAATTTCGCCTTCGCACACTCACTCACTTACACACAATCTCTTTCACTCACTTTTCAAAATCAAAATCACTCTTCAACATGCATCCCAACGAACACCTTGCGGTGACAATGGATACGATGCGCACCGAGGCTGACTTCGAGCTCTGGCGGCGGACTGCCGAAGCGCAGTATGACATCACGCCGTTCATACGGAACGCGGACATCACGGATCAGAAGATCCAGGAAAAGACTGCCGCGGTCGCAGCAGTGGAAGCGGAGGTCGAGTCCTTGCGGAATGGTGAAAACCCTTTAAAGGTTAAACAAGCCCGGTTGAAATTGCTTGTCGACTACATGGGTAAGATAGCCCGGGCCGTCAAGTTCGAGGGGAACCGACTCCACAGAGAGTACGAGCGTAAGCACGACAAGCCTCCTTGTACTCCTATTTGATGGTTTGCTTACTAGTCACAGCTCACGCCCAGCTTTCCGCATTGGAGCTCGATGAACAAGTGCAGACGCATAATGAGACTATGGAAGTTCTCCATAGTATCATTGATGGTACTGACACTGACAAGGTCAGTGACATTGACGAGCTGCGGCTGGAAGCAGGTGGAACTGGGCTGAGAGCTCAAGCTCGTCAGTTTACCGACGTGAGTCGGTGGCTGGACAGTCACGGTGGACATCAGGTTCTTGAGGCGAAGGCGGCGCAGAGTGACTCTGTCTCGTCTTTGCTAGAGACCGAGGGTGGTGTGGATGCCCTCAAGAAGAAGGTGGCGCGGGTCGACGCCCTTGCCACCTTGATGAAGGATTACGACACTAAGGGCCTTGAGGAGAAGGCGGCCATAGCTGATGCTATCGCTGCCTTGTTCAAAGACTAGGGATGGAAGATTACCGGACGAAGGTGGCGCAAGCCGATGCTTTGGCTTCTTAGTAAAGAGGTCGGGTGATGAGGGTGTCAAGAGAATGGTGGTGCATACTAATGCCGTGGCTACTTTGGCCCAGATGGATGACGCGGAGAACCTCGAGAGGAAGGTAGACATGGTCGATACCATGGTCGCTTTACTTCAGGAGTATGAGGTGAGATCTCCGGACCAAGGAGGCAAGGGACGATCCCGTGTCTGCTTTGCTCCGAGAGATCGATGGCGCGCAGCATGTGGAGGATTTGGTACAGGGCTGGCGTCTTGGGAGTTCTGGCAGCGTTGGCCATGCATGAGCATGCGTTGCGCTGTTTGTTTCCCTGTGGAAATCGTGGGTGGAGGGTCGAGTTAGACCTACATGTTCGGTACTCCTTACCATTCGATATCTTACAATATACCCTGGAGATACTCAAAGCTTATTACACCTGTGAACGCTGCCTCCCCAACTCGATGTATACAGCGGGCATGTTCTCCGTGTTGACATCAGCAAACACATCTAGGCATGTATCAGTCTCACAGTGCCTTCAACTTCCTGCTATCGCGTGATTGTGTTCTGTATGCTGTAGAAACAACTTCGATTCAAACGCCGTCTAATGCATTGGTCTATAGGGTATCATACCTGAATCCTCAATCCATATCCTCTAATCCACCCGCATCACTCGGCGCCTGCTCTTCACTAACCATAATACCCACCATACACTCGCCGAGCATATTCTCCCAGTTCACCCACGGATGCACCTCCATGAACAGCTTCGTTCCGTCTTTACCCGCCGCTCTCTTCAGCTCGCCCTCTCCACCAGGATGAAACGGCAGATAGGGCGAGATATTATACACTTTCCCCTGATAGCTCGACCAAGCAGGCTTCCCCTTCCGCCCGTTCTTCTCCTTGAGCATAGCGGGTGTAACGCGTATCATCGAGTCAACGCCCGACAAGTTCTTGCCCGACTTTTGCAGGTAGGCCCAGTCGAGTGGCGAGTGACCGGGTGACAGGAGTACCTTGCCTCGCGCATTTGGTGTCTTGAGTGCGGAGCCTGCAGTGGGCGGAAGCCCCAGGCTGCCGTTTGAGGTCGGTGGGCCGCGATTGGGTAGCGGGCCGCGATTCGGAAGGGGCCCAGTTGTGGGTACGCGCATTGACTGGGTGGAGGTGTTGGGGAGGGCGCGCAGGTTTGAAGCTGCGACTCGTGGTGGCGGCATGAGAGAGGTTGTGGGCTTTGGTGGCGGGGCCATGAGGGAGGGCTTGCTAGGTGGAGGCATGGTGGAGGGAGGGGACATGGCGGATAGCGAGGGCAGCTTGGAGGCTCGCTGGGCGGAGTTCATGGCTGGGAATGAGGGCGGTGGAAGGTTGTCTTCTTCGTCCTCGTCGGAGCTCTCGTGCTCGTTGAGCGTGAAGGTAGGTACGGCAGGCGCATCCTTTTCAGAGGCCGGCGCAGCTTTTGGTGTGGATTCAGGAGATGGACTCTTTGCAGCTACTCTGGTAAGTTCATGCTTGGTTGAAGTCTGCTCTATGCGCTGCTCCGCCGCGGAGGTGCTGTGGTCTGTCTCGCCATGCTGCGACTTCTCAGGTATCGACGACGCGCCAGAGCGGGCGAAGCGAGTAATGAAGGCGAGCCATGTGGATGGCGGGCGCTGGTAGACCAGGAAGGACAGCGAGAGTGCCAGAATCGAGACGGCAACGAGCATCTCTTGGGTCTATGCGAGGTAAGGAGCGACGGTTGCTGGACCCTGATGGCGTGTGAAGAGCGGAACGAGTCCAGGCTTCATGCGGCTTCAGGGTTTCTTGACTGGTAGGGCTGACGGAAATCGGCGCTAGCCTTCGATGACTTCACGCGCCGCATGCCGTCACTGTTCGGAACATATTCTGTCTGGTGAATGCACACGTTTACGCATTGACAATTGCTCCACGCCTTTGATCACAAAGGTTTCTCATTCTCAACCACGGTTACGCGCGACCCACTCTACGCGCCCTTATAACCTCGCGCCTGCCCCACCACCCCTCCATCTATCGCGATCGCAAGTGCAACCTAAGGCTGAATCACACAATCGCGCAATACACCCGACACACAACCATGGCTGCTGAACCAGCAAACCTGCCCGAGGGCATCATCTCCCTCTTGGACACGGATCTCTACAAGCTGACTATGCAATGTTGCATACTCAAGTTCTTCCCCGATGTCTCAGTCACCTACGGCTTCACGAATCGCACGCCCGACAAGAAGCTCAACCGCGCAGCCTTCAAGTGGTTACAAGCGCAAGTAGATAGTATGTCTTGCCCTCTCTGTTACTTCTACAATAGCTAACCCTCCAGAACTCGAGAGTGTCACCGTCTCCAACGCCGAAATCAACTTCCTCAAGAACACCTGCCCCTACCTAAACGCGCAATACCTCCACTTCCTCTCCACGTTCCGCCTCAAGCCTTCCAAACAGCTCAAGCTATCTTTCCAACCCGCGAACGACACTGGGTCAGACAGCGACAGCGGCGATTTCCACATCCATACCGAGGGTCTTTGGCTAGACACCATCCTGTACGAGATTCCGTTACTGGCGCTGGTCAGCGAGGCCTACTTCAAGTTCGTCGAGACAGACTGGAGCCATGCGGGCCAAGTCGAAAAGGCATACCAGAAGGGGCGGAGTCTGTTGGAAGGCGGATGCATCTTCTCCGAGTTTGGCTCGCGGAGACGTCGCGACTACCACACCCAGGATCTCGTGCTGCAGGGCCTGCGCCGGGCGGCTGACGAGGGCGACAAGGCAGGGTGGAAAGGCAAACTCTCAGGGACGAGCAACGTCCACTTCGCCATGAAGCATGGCCTCGTTCCAGTGGGCACCGTCGCGCACGAGTGGTTCATGGGTGTGGCTGCGATTACCAACAACTACGAGAGCGCAAACGAAATTGCCCTAGAATACTGGACAGCGACATTTGGCGCAGGTGTCTTGAGCATCGCACTCACAGACACGTTCGGTACACCAACCTTCCTGAGAGCCTTCAAGAAGCAGATTCCTCGCGTTACCACGGCTATTCCAGGAGGTGCCACAACGCTGGCGTCAGCGGGACAAACCACCAACAATGATGCCGTAGAGACGATGGCGTCAACCAACCCGCCTATTCAGGCACCATACGACGGGAACCAAGGGTCGCGACAGACCTATGCCGAGGTATTCGCAGGCGTGCGACAGGACTCTGGAGACCCGTTGGAGTTTATCAAGATGATGCGCGACTTCTACGACCAGGAAGGCATCAAGGATAAGAAGACCATTGTATTCTCCGACTCTTTGAACCTGGAGTTGTGCTTCAAATATAAGGCTGCAGCAGAGGCAGCAGGGTTCCAGCCTACTTTCGGTGTTGGAACATTCCTGACAAGTAAGTGCGAAAGTAGAAATGCCTTGAGACATGGCTGACCATGACAGATGATTTTGTCGAGCAGTCAACAGGCAACAAGTCTGTACCCCTCAACATTGTGATCAAGATCGCCTCCGCTGCGGGGCGCTACGCCGTCAAGATTAGCGACAACATTGGCAAGAACACAGGAGACAAGGCGACAGTAGATGAAGTCAAGCAGCGACTAGGCTACCAGGAGAAGTCGTGGGCTGGGGGTGATGAGAAGACGCGTTGGGGAACTGCAGGCGCGCCAGCTACTTAGTATGTGCGGTGTGCATCTCATCCGGTGGGGCGTATACGTTGGCTAGACTTGAGCTCCTACGCTGCAGAGACGTGGAGTCCAACCAAGAAGTGGAGGCGTTCATAAGCTGAGATGCGGTCTGCAAGGCTGAGTCTAGCGCAGACCTTCCTGCGATGACCGTGAAGCTGCGTCAGCGCTTGGTGGCCGGCTCGGAGTCTCTTTACGAGATGAGGCGAAAGTCAACAGTAGATGCGAGAGTAGTGCAAGCGAATAGCAAGTTTGCAGCCCAAAGTGCCTTCTAGACGCCGAAGCATGTGCGTGTGCCAAAATTAGAGTGATGTTAGCAACCTCGCCGCTGCGGGTCAACGACGCGCCGCTGCTTACCAGCCCCATGGAGCTAGCCCAGCGCCTCCTGCATGCGCGGTCCACTCTGCCACTCAGCCCCAGGAAACACTCGCAGAGCTGAAACACATTTATCTTCTGTCGCCAGCCTTTGCACAGCATTGACAGCATTGATTCGAGCTCAAGCGCGTTTGACCTCAATTCACCCTTCGCCTAGTCACGAGCCCACCGCTACTCTAGTGCCGCTTTCCGCGTTTGCAGTCGGCTGTCTCAGGAGTCTTCACGTCCACTCAGACCACACAGGGCCTGTTTCAGAATGAGCGTAAGTTCCCTCTCTGTCAGCGTACCCGAGTAACTGTGCCCTCCTACAACACACTCCACTCCACTACACATCAACACTTGCTGACCATGGCTGCTGCGGACGAACAGTACGGAAACAAGGGCTACGGCCAGATAGGATCGTATGGCGGTAACCCCTACGACGCACGCGACGCCAGCCCGGCTGGCTACAACAACTACAACCAGGGCGGCTATGGTACGTCTTGGATGCGCCACACCTCAACGGCTATCTCTAACGCAGTACAGGCGATGTAGAGATGCAAAACTACCCCGGCGGTGGCGCCAGCGCGAACCCCAATGCCATCCTCGACGAATGCCGCGAAGTCGACCGCGCCCTCGACGACCTCGATGCCCAGCTCAGCAACCTCGACCGTGTCTTCAAGCAGTCGCTGGCGCGCCCAGACATGCCCTCGGGCGAGATCAACAACCTCAGCTCGCAGATCATGACCGGCTACCGTGGCCTCGTCGGCCGCGTCAAGGCCATCAAGTCGAAGCCCGACTCTGGTCACCCAAGAAACGCTCCACAAGTCGGCAAGGTCGACCGAAGACTCAAGGCGACCATCAACAAGTACCAACAGCTCGAGTCGGATTTCCGAAGGGATTCACAGGCAGCTGCTGAGCGCCAATACCGCATTGTGCGCCCAGATGCCACCGAACAGGAGGTCCGAGAGGCGGTATCAGACCCCGATGCGCCCATCTTTCAGCAGGCTGTAAGTAGCTTCAATTGGTCGAGTACATCATTATGCTAACACCCTCCAGCTCCTTAACTCAGACCGCCGCGGCCAAGCATCATCCACCCTTCGCAACGTCAAGGAGCGACACGAGGCCATTCAGAACATAGAACGTCAAATGGTGGAGCTTGCCCAGCTATTCCAGGACCTCGACCAGATCGTCCAGGAGCAGGAGCCGCTTGTTGCCAACATCGAGCAAAAGGGCGAAGAGATCCACGACAACGTCAAGGCCGCCAACGTGGAGATCGACGGTGCCATTGTCAAGGCCCGCAGCCGCAACCGCAAGAAGTGGTGGTGCCTGCTCGTTCTCCTGCTTATCATCATCGTCGTTGTTGTCATTGCTGTTGTTGTCACACAAGTCAACAAGGCCGCTGCCAACACCGTTGCATAATCGACACACCAGCCGAGTCTATCCCTCCAGCATTGAGAGATTGCTATACAGCCGCGTCTCGAATTCCATCACATCCACCGTCTCTTCTTTATTAGTCTTTCCCAGAGGCTGGTCCGTACAATATGTAATACCCTCACGGTGGACATACATACCCCATCTCTCCTGTCATCTCTTCCATTGGTTAGGAAAATTGGTCTCTTTTGTAGGCGCCTGATGGCGTCCTCTATTCTCAGCGTCTTCAAGCTGTTTCTGTAGCGCTGGCCGAATTGCATTGCGGGTTACTTACATACAACTGTTTTAGAGGCTAGCTTACGAGCTATCGAATGAAAGAGTGTCAAACACGTGCTTTTCGTCGCGATGCGCAATCGTGTTTGCATTGCCACGGTCCTTGACTTCACTGCCCCACGCACCGGTCCGACGCAATTTGAATTCGCATGCCACAATCAATCTTTGTGAGAAATGGCGGCGAAACCTCCTCTCAGGTGACGTTGTAATATAAACATGTACCACGCTAAATTTCGAAGCAATCTAACCAACACAAAAGCCGAATAATTACCTGGGGTAAGGCGCACGATCTACCGACACTTTAACCACTCTGGCGTCCACTAGATCGCGAACTCATATATTTTGGAAACAAGCACGGAACAAGCATGGGACTATACCTATTGAGCTACGGAAGATAAAGCTTGGGCTGTGAAATTGAGGGTATAAAGAAATAGCACTTGGCCGCTGTCTTGGAAACCAGCACTTCATACTCCACCAGACCAACAGAAACAATGTTTGGCCAAACAGCACTCTTCGCTCTAGCCCTCGCGGCACCCGCCCTCTCGCAAGTCACCGAAGGCTTCGAGAACGGCTGGGACCAAACCGCCTGGCCGACCTACGCCCCAGACTGTTCGCAAGGCGGAAAAGTCACCCTCGACAGCACAACCGCGCACACAGGCAAGAACAGTATCCGTGTCGACGGCGCAGGAGGTTTCTGCGGCCACATCTTTGTCGGCACGACTAAGATACCTGCCGGTGATGTTTACGTGCGGACGTATCTGTGCGTTCTTCCCATCTCATATAGATCAAGATTAAAGGAAGATGTACTAATGTATCTATAGTAAGGCGTCAAAGGCCCTAACCGACTCCCACGTAACCTTCATCACGATGCCCGACTCCGCGCAAGGCACAAACAAACACCTCCGCATAGGCGGCCAATCGAAGATCCTCATGTACAACCGCGAAACCGACGACGCGACTCTGCCCGACCTGTCGCCCCAGGGCATCGCAACTTCAAAGGCGCTACCAACCAACGTGTGGACGTGCTTTGAGTACCATCTTGGCACCGATGGCAGCGTAGAGACGTGGTTGAATAATGCGACGGTGACTGGGTTGACCGTGGGGAATGGAGCGACCAATGCGAATGCCGGGCAATGGACGAGGAGTAGTGTCAAGCCGAAGATTACGGGCGCGTACTTTGGGTGGGAGAGTTATGGGGGGGATACGAATACGATTTGGTATGATGATGTTGTTGTTAGTGGGAAGAGGATTGGTTGCTAGATGAAGATGGGGGTGGATGGGGAGTGCTAAGGGTGATGGAGATGGTCCCAGGGTTGGGACTTGTACATAGTGAAGCTAGGACTTGCAGATATTGAATGATAGTTTACAGTAAGCGGAAGTGTGCTTTGTTACGAGAGTGAAGGCTCTTGAAGTCGTAGAAGCGTCTGCATGGTGTCAGTATGACGAGACTACTCCAACGAACGCCAGATGTCTCTCCACATAAACAAACTACCTCCACAGCGTCGTAGAACCTTCCTGTCCATGCGCAAGGAAACCACGATTGCAGTCATCGTGACACAAGAACCCTGTGACTTCCGCCCGCTCCGCCGCAGCGCATCCCACGAACCAACCCCAGCTCAGCGGGGAAACACCCCAATCTCCTAAATTCCCTCACTACATGTCATCTGAGCAACGTCCACTCCACCAAAGGACCGGCTGCACCCCTTGGCGCAACATCTCTACCTGACAGAGATGTTCTTGCTCTGAGCATCGCCATCTGCAATGCACCCGTGGTCCCTGTCCCGATCGCGACATGTATCGCCTGATCGCGCATTGTAGCAGATAGGCTGACGACAACGCCTCTTGGCGAACCGCAAGCCCACGCCACAAACCCTGCCTCACCACCAATGTAGACACACGGGCGTGGGCGGTGAAGAGGCATGCGCGCACTTCCAAGTCTTGATGCCAATGCCCGCAGGTGTCGATGCAGCAAGGGTGGCTCACGATGTCCAGCACGAGGACGCACCTTCACAATCACATGGGCAAAGTACCTAGGTTAACGCAAATCACAGCAGCACGTTGTTCACTCCACAAGTGCATTTTCAAGGTCTTTGCTTGCTTAGCTTCCGCAGCCCGCGCCGCAGCGGACAGAAGTTCGAAGGTCCAAGACGCCGTGCGAAGACACGCCTAGACCCTGGGCTGACGCTCCATGCCGCTTGCGACCTAGAAGGTTCGGGGCTTTGAGCTGGGGCCGTTCGCTGGAATACTAACGACAGTATATGTTAGCCTGGGGTAGACGCTGTTGTTTCTCTTCACACGCTTTATATTCTGGGGTTGACCTTTTGTGGGGGTGCGTTCTGCGTTTCTCAACGTCTACGACTACGACCATAGCCGACCCACCGGTTCGAGCTCGTTCGACATGTCTTCTGTCATGGCATCCGCGAGTGCAGCGCCCACGGAGCCTATCAAGGCGCCGCCGCAAGCGGGCATTCTCGAGGGTGTCAATCCAGTGCATTTTGACAAGAATCATCCGATTATCCTGTTCATCGTTCAGGTACGTTGTCTCTACTACCCCGAGCATCGGGTTTGGAGCGTCTAGCTTGGTGAGACGCTTCACCAATTAGTACTACCACCATATCTCAATATCTGCGCAACCCCAGCCCCATACCGCTGGCTCTCCATCCTCAAGACTATAATCCAGCTTTACGTCTTTCTCGCCATGCTTCACCCAACTACCAAAATAACGACTATACTAACCACACCCCCCCCCCCCCCCCCCAACAGGCAGGCATAATAATAATCTTCTGCCGCGCCCTCAACTGGCCCCTCTCCAAAATCCGCCAACCACGCGTGATATCCGAGATCATCGGCGGCATCATCCTAGGCCCCTCGGTAATGGGCCGCATCCCCGGCTTCCAAACCTCCATCTTCCCAACCGAGTCCATGACCAACTTGAACCTAGTCGCCAACCTCGGTCTGACCTTATTCCTCTTCATCATCGGCTTGGAAGTCGATCTGCGCTTCTTGCTCAGCAATTGGCGACCTGCGCTCAATGTGGGACTGGCGAGTATGGCGGTGCCGTTTGGCCTTGGTTGTGCGATTGCGGTAGGGTTGTATAATGAGTTCAAGGATGAGCCTGGGACGGTGCAGATTGATTTTGCGATTTTTATGCTGTTTATTGGTGTGGCTATGGCTATTACTGTGAGTTCTGCGGATTTAAGGGGATCTTTTCTTCATGCTGATTGGATTCCTAGGCTTTTCCGGTGCTTTGCCGTATCTTGACGGAACTGAAATTGCTCATGACACCGGTTGGTGTCATTGTTCTTTCGGCGGGTGTTGGGAATGACGTTGTTGGTAAGTCGCACAGTACCTCCTCGAATGTTCTGACTAACTTGCCGCAGGATGGATCCTTCTCGCTCTCTGCGTAGCCCTCGTCAACGCCGGTTCAGGTCTGTCAGCACTATGGGTCCTTCTCACTTGCGCTGGATACATGCTGTTCCTGGTGTACGCTGTCCGACCAGTCTTCGTCTATGTCCTACGTCGATCCCGCGCACTCCAAGATGGCCCCAGTCAAGGCATCATCAGTCTGACCCTACTCATCGCTCTGGGCTCTGCCTTCTTCACCGGTATCATTGGCGTTCATCCCATTTTCGGAGCGTTCATGGCGGGGCTGATCTGTCCACACGAGGGTGGTTTTGCCATCAAAGTCGCCGAAAAGATTGAGGATCTCATCGGCGCCCTCTTCCTCCCGCTTTACTTTACTCTCTCGGGACTGAACACAAACATTGGTCTCTTGGACTCTGGTATCGTTTGGGCGTACGTTATCGGCGTCTGCGCTGTCGCGTTCTTCTCCAAGTTCCTCAGTGCTACACTAGCGGCACGTGGGAGTAAGATGCTGTGGCGAGAATGCTTCGCTGTGGGATCTTTGATGAGTTGTAAGGGATTGGTAGAGCTTATTGTCTTGGTAAGCAATCACTACTTACTATAGTAGGCCAGCACTAACAATCACAGAACATCGGACTGAATGCCAAGATTCTCAGCACTCGAACCTTCACCATCTTCGTCGTCATGGCCCTCGTTACTACCTTTGCGTCGTCCCCATTGACCATGTACTTCTACCCGCCGTGGTACCAGAAGAAGGTTGAGGCATGGCGTCGCGGCGAGATTGACTGGGACACTGGCAAGCCTCTCGAGGGCTCAGACGAAGGTATCGATGGAGTGAACTACGAGAAGATGGCCGCCGAGAAGATCCAGCGGATGACCATCTACCTCCGTCTGGACAGCATGCCCAACCTACTGGCCTTCACCTCGCTCTTCGGTGGAAACGCGGATAAGCCAGCACCCAAGACACACCCATCCAAAGACATTAGCACAAGCAAAGAGACAGGCGAGACGTCACTCGTTGAGACAGCTCCATCACGACCAGTGGAAGCTTACGGTCTCCGACTACTCAACCTCACCGACCGTGGCTCCTCCGTCATGCAGGTTTCAGAGCTAGAATCCTACACAGCGTACGACCCAGTCGTAAACACCTTCCGTACCTTTGGCCGTCTCCACAACCTTGCTGTCAGCGGCGAAGTGCTCGTGGTGCCGGAGTCGTCTTTCGCTGAGACTCTCGCTACCCGTGCGTCTGACTCAAACTTCCTAGTCCTGCCCTGGAGTGAGACAGGCGGTATGTCGGAGCAAGCCATTATCGAAGACAAGGGAACGAAGAACAAGCTAGCCGCTTCAACATACAACTCGTTTGTGCACGAGACACTCGAACAAGCCAGCATACCCGTAGCAGTCCTGATCAACAAGAACTTTGGCGGCAGCAAGAACAAAGAGCAGAAGCAGCGACTGAAGCTTACCAGGACATACAGCAGCGTTAGTTTGTCTAGCACTAGGGACAAGGCGGTTACAGCACCTATTGCGGATCGGAGCCACCACGTCTTCTTCCCGTTCTTTGGCGGAAACGATGACCGGACTGCACTACGTTTGGTTCTTCAGTTAGCTGAGAACCCTCAAGTCACTGTTACCATCGTGTACTTTGATGTTTCGGAATCCGTCATCGGCCAAGCTTCACCCGTCTCATCAACGGTTCTAGGAAAGGCCGGAGAGGTAGTCACGACGACGACCACATCCCGCGAGCAGGATGCAGCCTTCTTCGCTGCGCTCCGTGCCTCACTCCCTGTCGATCTAGCGAACCGTGTTGTCTTCGAGACCGTGGCTTCCACTGCGCCAGTTCAGGATGTCATTGCCCGCGCGAGCATTGAGGTTGGGCAGTCGCCGAGGAACGCTGGTGATCTCATCGTGCTGGGCAGGAACGTAGCGAGGAACGGTGTGTTGGAGAGGGAGAACACGGCAGATGAGATAAGGAGTAGCTCGAGTGCAGCAGCAACACTGGGTGTGCTTGCTGAGAAGGTCTGGGAGGGCAGGCTGGGAGCTAGTGTGTTGGTCGTCAAGGCGGGACTGTGATGATGGTATAGCTGGTGTTCAAGGCGCTTAGATAAGGGATATGGAAGGGTACCATTGGATTGGGATGTGTTACAACGTCGATACTGAGATACCTCTTGGCTAAATGAAGGTTGCTTCATGCTTGCGTAATCCAACACTGAAACTCGGTCCCACCCGTTGCACTGTCCGTGATCAGCGACAAGGAGCCATGCCTCATGCCGATTCTTGCTCTTTCCTGCCTTTCAACGCTCTTTTGTTGAGTTCATGGCTTGTCCTGAGATCATAGACGTGATGCGGCTCCGCATGCAACATGTGGCAATTCACGAGTAGACTTGTACGTATTCACCGGTCTCAACTGGTCGTTGACGCCTAACCGCGTACGCGTACGGCTTCCGTACGACCGTCGGATGCAGGGCGTATGCTCACGGTACACGTGCCCTATGACAATCTCCGTGGTACGTACTCGGTGCTACGTGGGGTGTGTATCTAAACCACGGTCCACGTCACCTTCCCCGGTCGTGCTGCGGCTGTTCTTCGACCGTCGCAACCCAGTGACTCATCATTCATCAACAGTTTGACGTTGATGAGCATATCAGCAGAAGATCCTCGAAGGAGATTGTGGATCATTCATCTGCTGTGACGTTTTTTTCTTACTCATGATAGGCCATGGTAAAGGCAGAGATGTCGTGATGTGGAGGTGAGGATGAAAAAACTTCCGTACGTTGGATCAACGGACAAGCTCGGAGTAGATGAGGAAGAAGCGGTGACAGGTGGCTAGAAAGCCGTCGAACGAAAAAGCAGCTGTGGGTCGAGTTGCTATCAGCTTTCCACAATACATACAGATATTGTGGGCGTCGAGAAGTGCTAAATGGTGCCTCAGGTTCTTCAGAAACTAACCATGTAGACCTGAATACCTACATTTTACACTCGCATGCCAGTGCAAATAATTGCGAGTGTTCTAGTAGGCTTGTCTTGCGTGCGCACGGGCCAACACGAACACTGTATGACTTGAGAGTGCAACTGCTCAGCCTTGCGCATGAGCAGGATTGCGAAGATGTGGAACAGCTAGTTCTGGAAGATCCTATGCACGTACGGAATCCAATGATGAGGCAGGCAATGCTCTGTCGCACACGTCGTAATCGGGTTATGACTTGCAGTCGATCCCGAAAGATACGCCACCGAGAAGCCCCGTGCCGCGCATGCGCCTCACAGGGGGCTGTAGAAGGCGAAACATGTGACCAGCACACGGGGATTTTGAAAAAGGATGGAAAAGTTCACGATGCTAGTAGAGATGGTCGAGGCGTTGCTGGCAATTCTCCGCGAATTGGTGCAGAATTTCATGTCCAACGGTCGTGGTCAGTGTTCGGGTGGAGTCTGCGTGTAGACGGACGCGTGGCTAGCGAAGATCAACGTCCCCACCAGTCCACTAGGGCGTGCCGCAAAGGTAACCCCAAGAGGAAGCAACGAGGGACAGGGGAGATTGAAGATGGAGTCGTCGCGTTCGCGTGCAGTTGAGAAAGCTTGCGAGATGAATGCGTACCCATTGTACTATGGCAGACGTGTCGCGCCAACGCAGGTCTTGTCACGGGTGGGCCGTGAGGAAGCCCTAGAGCCCACTGCAAGCGATAACGTAATGTGGAAGAGGCGCGTCATGGCGACGTGAGGGCAAATCCAAACGGAGCAGCTTCATGGCAAGCTGGTGTAGTACAGTTGAAGCTCGACGAGCAATACAACCAGCAAAGCTTGAGTAGCTTCGAGACCGGGCAAGGCCTGCTTGGCACGATACACCAGAGCGTCGGAGCCGTAGAGCAGTCGACGGGTGGTGATGGCGACGCTGATGCCAAGAGCGGCGATTCTAGAGGGTAAAGTGGTTCACCAAAGATTGCGCAACTGTAGTGCGTCTCTGCCACGCTTAGCGAAGCGTCCTGCCCCTGCGTGGAACAAGTGGATGCAGTGGATGCAGTGGATGCATGTGTGAGGAGCAAAGGGACAGAGATTGTAGATACGCGGCATGCGCAACAGAAGGTAGATACGGGCGGAGGATACCCTGGGACGGGCAGCGGGAGCAATGCTACGCTGACCTGACGGCGGTTGCGTAGTCGCAGGGCCTGCGTGCGGGTGGTGGGTGTTGTGGTTCTAGACATGAGGAAGCCGCGACAGGGCCGCGTCAACACGGCCCAAAGCGGTAAGCGCGAGTCGTCGTCGTCTTGCCCCATCCCTCAATCAATTACCCTCGTCCGCACCTGTCCAACCCACGACTCCACCACCTATCGACGACCCAACCCGTCAACCAGCGCTGTCGAGCCGCCTGCACGAGAGAAAGAGACTTCCAGCTCTCTTCGCGCCCACGACACGCAGAATTCCCAGAATATCTGCCTGTGGCTGTCTCGTTGCTGCGCCGCCGCATCATCGGGCTGTGCACTGCCAATCCGCAGCCGGTCGACCACGCTATACACCCACGACACCCGTCACCCGCCCACGACCTTCCTGACCCGCCATCACCGCGCACAACGACATTGCGACTGCAGCTCGCACCCGCCCACGATGGAATACAACAACAGCGCCCACCGCGCTCAGCAGCCCCAGCATGTCGACACGGACAGGCTGGCGGCCGACATGACGGAGCAGTTTCGTCAGGTCCTCAGCACCAAGCGCATGAACGAACTCACATCACGCTCATCTCAATCGCGCTCCTCATCACCCGCACCGAGAGATTTCGGCACTCCACAGCCGCCGCCATCGCAGTCTGCCCCGCCGACGTACGCTTCCATCAGGAACATCCCCCTCGTCCCTGAGGCGCCTCGCGATGCGCGATCCCTCCGCTTCAAGAACATGCTGCACTCACTCTCCAACATGCCCGTTCGATGGGAGAACCCTGGACTCCTCGATGAGGCTCTTCGCGTCATCCCGCTCGAGCAGATCTACAACGAGGCCGAGGAGGAGAGCCAAATACTGCAGGCCGAGGCCGAGAGCATGGCTGCTGGCAAGAAGGCTGCCTGGGGCTACCAAGACTGCGTTGTCCGCGCACTCCTCCGATGGTTCAAGCGATCCTTCTTCTCCTGGGTCAACAACCCACCGTGCTCGCGATGCTACTCACCAACCGTTGCCGTCGGCATCACTCCACCACTACCCGACGAGCAAGCCCGTGGCGCCAACCAGGTAGAGGCTTACCAATGCTCCCACGAGGCCTGCAAAAACTACGAGCGCTTCCCACGATACAACGACGCATTCGTCCTGCTGCAGACACGCAAAGGCCGATGTGGCGAGTGGGCCAATTGCTTCAGCATGCTCTGCCGCGCCGTCGGCTCAAGAGTACGCTGGGTTTGGAACGCAGAGGACCACGTCTGGACCGAAGTCTACTCTGTGCACCGCAAGCGATGGGTACACGTAGACGCCTGCGAAGAGGCATGGGACAAGCCCCGGTTATACACTGATGGTACGTTGCTCCTTCCATACCCACACCTTTTCATCTGCTAACCATCTACTCAGGCTGGGGCAAGAAGCTCTCCTACTGCATCGCCTTCTCGGCTGACGGTGCCATGGATGTCACCCGTCGGTACGTCCGCGACGCCAAGCACGCTGCTGAGCGCAACCGCGCCCCAGAGGCAGTCCTCCTCCACATCATGGATGAGATCAGAGCAACACGACGTGCCAACATGTCCAAGCAGGACAAGTTCCGTCTGCAGGGTGAAGACATCCGCGAAGCCAAGGAGCTCCGCCAGAGCGTCATCTCATCCATTGCACACGCTGTCAGCAAGCTCAAGCCAGAGGACATTATCAACGCTCAAGTCACTCGCCGCCTAGACCCTGATGCCCAGAAGGCACTAGAGGGCCGCATGAGCGGAAACGCCCAATGGATACGAGCGCGCGGCGAGGGTGGTCAGGGTCAACAGAACCAGCAAGACCCTCGAAACCAGCACCCGCGCTGAAAGCATCCGCCACCCCACCTTCCATTCACCACTCCCGGTATCTTTCCATCGCGCCATGCCTACAACGTAAGCCGAGTCAGCAAAGTGCGCTGCACCTAGCTCTCGAGCATGTAGAGCCCGATAGAAGACGAGATACCCTTCCGACATACCCCCGCAACATTCGTTACGCGGACGACACTCCCGCTTGTATAACATAGAGTCTGGAATTCTTGGTCATTTCGATTCATTTGCGCCGGCGTTCCAGGAGCAGCACGCAAGAGACACGCGATATCTTTTAATGTCTGCACCCACCTCGGCAGAGGCTTTTCTATTGTTCCCGCATCACTTTGGCGACCGATTTCACTGCTTTGTTGCATTCTTCACTTCATCTTTCCGTGTGCACGCGGGGTTTTGCGGCACTGTTTATACCATTTTGCCATTTTGGATCACGACTTGCGATATCTCCTATGTCTTTTCTGTATGTTTACGAGCATTTTGGCACTTGTACGCACGACGTATGAGCTTCACGTTTAGGTATTCGTCGCACTGCACAGTTTTGAGAATTGGAGGTGTTGTACACGGGCGGTGTGGGGATCCGTGGCAGAGAGCTGATGTGTACGGCGTAAGAGGGGTCGACGCGCGTCCCGCCCAAGATGCAGAGCTTACTGCAGCCTTGGGGCGGTGGATGCAAGATAGAAAATCAGAGCCAGATTGGCCATGTTTCTGCAAACCACATGAACAGTTCATCTCAACAGCTTGCGTGATTGTGACATTGTGCGCGACTAGGGCGGAAGCTGATCAAAGTCGGTATGTGAAAGATTTGCGGGGACGCGCGTTAAGAGTACGCAGGCTGGGTCAGGAACATGGCAAGTCATCTCCAGGGTCCACCCTTCGACATTGAAACATGCATTCCACACACGTCAAACGGAGGAAGAAACCATGATGCAAGAAAGCAAACGTCATGTCTCATAGCAACCATTCTCTCGAACATCTCACTCCAGCGAGAACGAGCGATGGCACGAATCATGCACGATCAGCATCGTGACAGGCGGGCCGTTCGTTTCTCCAGCTCTTTCCAGATGAGGTTAGCGTGCGATGCTGTGCAGAGGAAATGTCTAAAAATAACGAAGAAATCAAGTGTGTGATGACCGTCAGGCCCTACGCCAAGTGATTCTCGAAGTTCAGTGACGAGGAGTTTTGAGGCTCTGTCGCTGTGCCTCTGCAAAGTTTTGTCGACTTAGGTCAGTTTAGGCGTGGACCCAAGGCAGTGGTGGTTGGTAATTGTGCGAGGTACTGCCGTCGTTCTTCCGGATGCTGTCTTGTCGGGTGGGGTTTGGCCGAGCTGACGGTACGGGGAGGAGGGCTGACCTGAAACGGCTATATCAGGTTTTGTCCTTGATAATCAAGTATATGTTTGGAGTGTTGGATAAGTCAAGAATGCAATTCTGGAATCGGAGCTGTGCATCCCGCAGTGATTGAGGCACATTGCCATCTGTTCAAGCATCAACTGCTCACAAGACACTCTCATGGCCTCAATACCGACATAGCACCGTACTCAGGCCTGGCAACACGCATTCTCGCCGGCAGTGCTTTGCGAATGCCAACAGCACACGCACTATCATCCGCAGCAAAGTTGTGTCAGCACTCTTAGGCCATCACAATCCACATCAGTCGCAAGCCCACTGAGGCTGGTGAAGGCTAACCCAGGATCAGCCACTTAGGTCCCGCCGCGCACAGACCCTATGACCCCAAGCTGTGTGGCCGCTCAGCCCCCTTCGGCTGGGCACTTTGCCTTGCGCATTTCAGCTCCGCGTTTGAGGTGGTTTGTACAAAAGCTTGTGGCGGCCCACTGGATTGTCGCACTCATCGTTCTGTCGTTTGACGTCTAGCCTTGTCCACCTTAATCACATCCACGGGTGACTCCACTACCACCGCGGATTCACGATCGCTACTACCAGCCTGTTGACTCTGTTTCTTGAGTGACATCAGTCAGCCTTACTCGGTTCCCGCTAAATACCAAACCAACCACAACCACAACCACAACCGCAAACATGGGCAAAGTCGGGCGCTTCGCGTGTATCCTCACGCCTATGTGCCTTACCCTCGCATCCTTAATATGCTTCATCATCGTCATGCTAGGGCAGACGCCATGGTCTGGCAACAACGCACCCGCAACAGCCTTGGGGCGCGATCTCTACTTCTTCAAGGTACGTCTTCCCCCAGCCTTGCGCACGAATACAACTAACACCACGGCAGGCAGACACAAGTAAACTAGTCGAGAACCCCGAGAACTTTCTGGACAAGATACCCGACGGCATCACACCTGATGCGGCGAAGAACTTCCTCGACGCCCTCCGAGGCAAGATGGACTCCAAGGAACTCAAGGACTTCTACCAAGTCGGCCTCTTCTCCTACTGCGAGGGCGAGAAGGATGCAGAATCTGGCAAGGAAACCATCACCTACTGCTCTGCGCGCAAGTTCCAGTTCCACTTTGATCCCCTCGCCATCTGGCAGATGAACGGCACCAACATCCAGGAGGTCCTCGGCGACAAGTACGACAGCGGCATGAACGCGTACAAGAAGGCTGCTGGCTGGATGAACTGGGCTTTTGTCATTACAATCACCCTCACGGCTGTCGAGTTTGTCATTGGTTTCTTTGCCATCTTCTCGCGATGGGGTAGCCTTGTTACTACTGTCGTGTCTACCGTACGTCTCCTTTTTCCACCCCCAAATCACATTTCATTCCCATACTAACAACCCCAGGCACAAACTCTCTTCGCCATCGCCGCCGCCGGCACCGCGACAGCCATCTACGGCACCATAACCGGCGTTTTCAAGACGGTCCTTGAGCCCTACAACATCGGCGCTTCCATGGGTAGCCAGATGCTCTCTGTCCTCTGGCTCGCCGTCGCCTTCTCCATCGGCTCTGGTTTCTTCTGGCTCATCAGTGTATGCTGCTGCAGCGGAAAGAGCAGCCACAAGAAGATGGTTGTTGAGAAGACACCGTACACATACGAGAGGGTGGCCTCGCCGGCGTTTGGCCAGCAGGGTCACCAGATGCAACAGTGGCCTAGCAGCCAGAAGCAGACGCCGCCTTCGGGGCAGCCTACCGCTTATGAGCCGTTTAGATCGCGCGTCTAAGTGGTGGAAAGCGTTGGATGAGTAGGTTGAAGAAGTATTGTAGGAGTGAAGATGCTGGTTCTTTGACGACATGTACGACCATTTTATGGGAATCTTTCTGGGTTACTTGTATACCCCATGGCGTTTACTATAGCATTTTCGTGATTTGGCCCGATGTGGCTTTGGGGTTTGGGTAGCTTTGATATACTGAAATGGATAACATCAAATACCATTTACATCAATATCAAGTCAAACATCTTCGTTGTCAGATTCCCTTTGTAAAGTGTACTGCTAAGTCATGTTGAAGCAAGGTCGTTTCCCAAACTGTAATTTCGCTACCTACCTTTCCTGTGAACTCTTCATCTTCCGGCAAGACAATACACTGAATGTGAACATCTGCATGTTAGCATAACTGCATCACAACTCACAAGAAGCGAGCATCATCGTAGTTAAGAACGCAACAAAGCAAGCGCGGAGAACCAAAAGTTCCAAATAAAACATGGCCAATTCATCGCATCAGATTAGGTATCTCTCTTTGTACATCTACCCGCTCCTATAAATCCGCCAACTATGCCAACATACACGTCTCTTACTGCTCATGCGTACCCACAAACCTCGGCGGGAGATCCAAATCCCAACTCGGCCGTTCCACAAGCACCACCTCTGGCGCATGGAAACTGTCATCACCGCTAATGGGTACAATGCCGAGTATAGGGCGGTACTTGAATGTGTGCCACCAAGGCTCATTCCGCTTACTTTGTTCGACTGCTCCGACTTCTCCTCCGCCATTGACCATATCCTCTGCTGTTTCGCCATTCGTTTGCTCAACCCCTTCTTGTGTGTTTGCTCTCCGTAGGATGGTCAGGGGTTGGCTGGTGTTCTCCACATCATCGTCGTCTTCGGCATCAGCTTTGCGTCGTACGGCGTTGACGTCCATCCACTTCTGTCGTCCAGCTTTGTCTGCATTGTCGCTCTGGAACTTGCGCATCTTGGTGATGGGGGCTTCTTTCTGAGGGACTGCGTCACCGGCACCGCTGTTGTTCTTGAGAGCGTCGCGCTTCCGCTTCTTTCCTGCGTGGTCGGTATCGGAGATTGTGAAGTCTTTGGTCAGGTCGAACATGAACAGCCACTTCTCGCCGTATAGCCATATCCGTTGTTGGGATTCTGTTACATCCCAGATGCAGCCCTTTGCGGGGAGGTCGACTTGTTTGTACTCGTGGGGATAGCTGGAGGGTGGGTTTCGTCTTGACCATTCTGACAGGCGGCCGGACATGACATCGAAGAGGTAGAGCTGGTGCTCGGCAGAGACCAGCAGAAGTCGGTAGTCCGCGGTAGGTAGCTCGTGCGAGTGGGGATGAGGGTTATGTCTTGTTGGGTGTACCGCGGGGTTGCCATTAGGCTCTGGCCGGTCGGAGGCGTCGGAGCTGGGCTGGAAGGAGAGCAAGACAGGCGTCGAATCGAGTCGGGGGAGCAAGTGACCAGATGGGTTTCGTATCCAATGCTGACCTAGGTAGGTTATTTGTTCCCGTGATTCTTCCTCGTCATCGGAGTCATCGTCGTCGTTGGCAGCAGGTGTAGTGTCGTCGATGTCGATCTCTGGTGCAGTCGTGTCCTCATTCCCTTCCATGACCCATGTATCGACATAGCCAGCCAAATCAACGACAGCGAAAACGTTACCATCCTTGGAGAAGTCGGCATGAGCAATGGATCGTTCATAAGCTCCCGAGGGCCCGCTGAGAGAACTCTGGGTGGACATATCGCGATCAAGTCGGTAGAGGTGCTGTACTTTCTCGAGTGCGCGAGGTGCATCTGCAGGATCATCCGTCCGCACGATTCTGACCAGCTGAATTTCGTCTGTCGCCATGACCGCTGCGAGCCATTTGCCGTTAGATGACAGCTTAAGAGTCTTTGCGCCGGAGATAGACGGCATCTCTAGCCTGCGTACACGCACGGCTCCTGCGTGCTGTAATAGGTGGAATAGCTTTACTGTGCTAGCTGTTGCCACGGCGAGGAGTCCACCGTCTCTGGAGATAGACACGGAGATGATATTCTCTTCTCCCTGCAGAGCAAGGCGCGCAACCACCTTGGGCTTCTCCGTACCATCATCTTGAGGCTTGACGCGCCATATCCGTACCTCGGTGCTCCACCAGCTGACTAGTAACCTTGCCTCGGGAGCGCTCGTTAACGGAGGAGTAGGGGGCAATGCTGGAAGACCTCGACTAAGCTCCTTGCCAAATGTGCGGATCGGGACGACGATGGGCTGGGTGTCGATACCTGACATGCATGTTAGTTGTAACCTCAGCAAGATGAGCAACATTTCATACCTCCAGTAACCACCACGCTCAGCTTGTTGCCCTCGTACGTTGTCATGGCTTTGACATCGTGCTCGTGATGTCTCTGGTGTGACACCTTTCGCCATTTTCCACTCTGTCCTTGAGCCTGACCCTTCTTGCTTGTGTAAAAACAGGTGCGGCGATCCATCCCTGCACTGAAGATGCTCGTTCCATCGTGAGTCACGGCGAGATCGAGTACGTCCGCTTCGTGCCCAGATATCCTCTGTGTTTGACTGTAGTTCTTGCCACTGTAGATTCGAATGTCACCAGTAGAATCTCCCGATACAAAGTCGCCGTTTGAAAGACATTTGACCTTCCACACGAGTATCTCCTTGGGTCCACCATGGGGGCCGCTTCCCAGAGAGATGTTCCGAATTACATTTCCACTCCTTGTGTCGAAGACCCGGATCATGCTGTCGGCAAAACCTGCCAATACTGTATGCTGGTCCTTGTAGGTGATGCTGAGGGCACGCGCCTTCTTGTTCGTAGCGCGAGAGACGAAGCGCTCAAAGGTGAGATCGTTATCGTCGGTAGATAGAAGGACAATCGTGCCGTCAGCGCAGCCTGCGACAAGCTTCTGACACGAACCGCTCTGCTCATTCGCAGCACCCTTGGCCGCACTCTTCCTTGGCTGTGCAGCAAAGCACCAGACCTCGCTGTGGTTACCGTCCGAATGGCGCGCCGGAAGGCCTGTTGTGAGATCCCACTCTGTGACACTGCTTGAGTACCCGATGCTGAAGAGTCGCAGACGACCAGGCGCCACCTTGCCGTGCGCATCGCGTGTATCTGGCTCTTGGGTCCATGCTAGACCTTCAACACTCCTGTCTTTGCCGCCATAGAAGACCTTCTCTTGGAGCCAGGAGCCTCTTGCAGGGTTCCATATCTCGATGTTTCCGTTTGCGCGTCCAATCGCTAGTCTCAGAGAAGCAGGATCTTGCTGTCCGTGTTCAGCTTCCGGGTGCGAGAAGGCGAGCGCGTTGATTGCAGATGGCGGGTACGGCACGAAGCGGGATCGGTGGATATCCATGGTGAATTTCGGGGCTTTGATCAAGCCAGAGAATGTGTGAAGCTGCGCGTACGTCTATAAGGGAGCGCTAGCATTACGATACTACACTCATGGTGACGGAAGAGCTCAGTCGCGAACTTCTCTCGAACTCTTGGCGAGCCGACTTTGACTTTTCGGTGGGTCCAAAGCCCGGAGAAACATTCTTCCATATCACCGACGACCTCCGCATCACCTCCGCACCACCCTCATGATGCTTCCAGTTCAATCGGGTTCTGTTGGCTCAACGTCTCTCAGCAAAGGCATTTTATTATTTACAAAGACACCTGAATATGATTAATCACGATTAGGACCCTCCAACCTCGTCGAGTCGGACACTCGGCGCCCTCGTACCACACGCTCCGATCCGCCCTTGCTCAACGCTAGAACCTGTTCTTCCTGTCTGCAAGAACACATTCCATACAAGCATGCAGTGCGATGAGTCCATCGGAAGATACGTAGTTCTCGCTATCTTGCAGGTGGCAGCGAAGGGCACGCAACGTTGCCTGCAGCTTCAGGGGCTTCGAAGTCGAGGGGCCACTACTATTCGTGGACGGAGCACGACACATGCTGCTGCAAGCCTTCATCGCTGCTACGCCGGTGTGGACGAGTCGATGCGGCGATGGAGGAACAAATACGCACAAGAAAGACTCCTGGTGAACACTGGTACTTCTGGTAGCAGCATGCCATAAAGGAGCTCATTCTATGAGTGGCTTCCCCTAGCACGAAGAACCGTCTTAAAGGTACCTGTACATTGCGTTCCGCACATATGTTTTGAAAACAAAATACACTGTGATTGTCTCCAAGGCGGAGATTACGTGTTGGGTGCAACTCATGTAGGACGTGCTTTCTCGTCAACGCGGGATATGATGGACCTCAACAAGCATTTGTTCAACTTTCGATGTGAAGTATTTTCTATCATACGGTGACTTTGCGACAAATCAAGATACTGTAAAATTTACGTCGAAGCGAGTGTGTCGCATGTGGCTTGCTGACAGAACGTTGCACTATTATTCCGGTGGTCCAAAACTGTCTCAAGTCTTCTGACAAGTCGTATGTTGGAGATTGCTCCGGTAATATTGCGCGAGTCAAAACTAGCTTTACCGGGCCATGTGCGGACCAAACTCAATGTTTTCATGCTCGCGTCATGAAGAAACCGTTTGCAGAAGCGTTGGCACGTTAACGCTCATCGGGGAAATGCATCCCTTCGCACGGGTGGAGGCTGCATTGTTGCGCCGCAACGATGTTGGTGTTACTTTTTGGTTGAATTATTGGCGAAGCTTTGATACACGACTTGACTTGTTCAGATCCTTTGCGCAATAATAGTAACATAAGGATCTCCAGGGGCTGGCTTGAGATGGCAACTCCGCCTAGACCCAGGTACTGGGCTGAGTCAAGACGACCTTCAGGTCTAGTCTTTCCTAAGGTTTCATGGTCGGTGACAATCGTGGAAGCCGGCACGCACGCGGTACGCGTTGAACGTGTGACGCGTGAACACCCAAGGGGCTTTGCAAGACCCAAGACGCACTGAGAAGCAAATATCGGGATGATCTCGCGATGAAGCAGAGGTCCAACCTTGGAAATTTCAAGGCGAGAGCTTGGACCGTCCGGCGGGGTATGTCGTTATCGCGGCGGGCCTCATCGTCCGTGGAACGCAAGTCAGTGACGCCGTGCAAAAAGACTGGTTGCAACCGCAGGATCCGTTACTGCTCGTGGTGCTTGATGCAGAAGATCGGATGTTGAGTATTGAAAAATATAGTGTGGTCCCGCAGCCACAGCCAGAGACGTTGAAAAGTTTGCTCGTCGCCGTCGTGCAAGCATGCACAGATCTTCTGACAAGTGCATGCGGTGTCCGGGTAACGCTTTTAAGCGATGAAGCTTCAGATTAGCATGCTTCTATGACGAGATACACGCAGCACCCGGTCACAGTTCTGCGGGCCTCGGCACAGCGTTGCTGCGGAAAGCAATTGACATTTTGTCATACCGACAATCTTTCTCCTCACGAGGTCCGCTTCTTGAAAGAAAAGTCGGAGCAAATTTGCTGACAATGAGCTGGATGTGAGGATCGGCCCACTTGAAGGCTGTCCAGCGCCGTGAGAGCGTCCGACCGAGGCAGGTGTGCACGGAGTAAGATCAGAAAATAGCCTGGGTTTGTCGCGTGCGCACAGCTCAGGTACTTTAAGACGCGTTTCTTCGCGACTGTGACATAATGCCTGGAACCCGGACGTGCTGAGGTGCATTGGTGGCTGGCGATGGTACAGTTACGGATGTCGGCTGGCCACTAGCTGCAGCAACGACGTGAAGCACTATGTTAGAGCAGGCTTCAATGCGGAGTTGCCGGGTTAGGATCTTCCTTTTTTACTCAGATGATGAACGCGAAAGATCACGCTAAGATCCGTCGTCGCGAGATGATGGGCCCAGCCGCCTGTCAATAGCCGAAGCCGAATCACAGCACGCCTGCGAAGGGAGTTGCGAAACGGCCGTGGATTGTGATGATGCAGTTGGACGGCGAAGCTAGATGGGTTTGGCAGGTGAACTATCAGCAGCATCACGATGTCGATAGACTTCGCCGTTCTCGCGATCCTCACTTCAGTTGTGGAGTTCGGCCGTATATGCTTGCCCGACGTGGAGACGGTTGTTACTCTGTGATGCGGCCGCGCAGAGCTGAGGCTCGCTAAGTCTGAGGCGCACCTAACTTACTCAAGATCGTACATGCATGAACGCGTCTGCGCACATGTTTGCGTCAACTCGCTTTTGCAACATCGAAGCGCTGCCAGAAGTGACTCGCTTGCATGCGGCACGACCGCACCTCGTAATAGGAGGACGGATCCTATAAGCAAACCCCGCCATAAATCCTGCTGGTCAGCAAGGGAAGGTCAAGTCCGGACTATGGCTGATTTCTAGAAACTATGCGGTGGAGGCTTGCCAAACCCACGGACCTGCGCACAGCAAGTTAGGAGAATTGGCAATCTCAGCAGCTAACTTAGGCTCCGACACGCGTTGCTAGTCGATGCTACTAAACACGTGGATCATCGGGCAGAGGAACTAGCAACTACTATCGTCGAAACACCACGGGCATTACGAAACGATGAGTCCAACGGTCAGGCTTGAGGCTTCGGTACGGGGTCTGTGTCGCACAGAATATGTCGTGCCAGGGTCCCCTCTTGAGTAATTTACCATGCAGATAATGGTGAGCAGAGGGTGCGGTGTCGGCCAAGGCTCACGAGTCTCCAGAATTTACTCCTGAGTTTCTGAGATTTGCCATGTGGAGCCGTGATGCGGATGTCGAGGACGCGACAGAGGCGACCTTGGGCGGTGATGGCGGTGCGACGCGTGACAAGGATGCAGCGTGCCGACAGGCGTCTTCTGCAGCTTTGATGCGCTCCAACAAAGGAGGAGGAGCCTTCAGCCTCTCCTAATGGGCTAATTATGACATGACCTCAGCTTCCTATAGCATGCCAGGGGAACCACGACTCTGGAGCAGGCATGTTTGGGATGCAAGCAGCGAGAGCGGCGGCCACCTCGCCCTATGCAGGTCTTGGCCGTGTGCAAAGCAAGTTGTTTCCTGTGCGCGCGAGGGCGACATTGGACAGCGATCGTAGGCTATCCTGCAACCTTGTATAGCTGCATGAGTGGCCTCACCGGCGCCCTGGCAGGGCTCTAATTCGAGCGGGGCCAGGCGAAGATTACAGCCACGGCGCTGCTCAGAGCGTCGGTGCCGCGTTGAGAAAAGCAAGTGCAGCAGCGAGTGTTGGTGCGAGCAGAATGAAGTCAGTCCTACGCTGCAGTCAGGCCGAGTGTGCAGATGGGCGGGCACAGCAGCGGGTGCGCGCGACCGCGACGGGAGCAGCACCGCACTGGGGCTGGGTGTGGTGGTGATGGTTGCGGAAGACACGGGACTAGGACGCGTTCAATGAGCGTGTTCCTGGCCGAAGCTTCCCAGACGCAAAAACGCCATGGTTGATCCACAATGGGGCACGACGGCGGCGGAATACGCATCGGCTGGCTGGGCGCTGTGGGCGTATCAAGTTCCCTGTTCCCATGCTGTGCGAGTTGCCGTGTGTCAGATGCGGTTAGCGGCAACCTCCTAGGGCTTTGCTCGCCCAGTCGTTTTCTCCAAGCTACGTCCGTCTGTATCGTGCTCTCCTCTCACCTCCTCTCTCACTTCTCATATCCCTCTTTCACCACGGTCGAGCACGGAGAAACTTTGGATTTGATGTGGTGCTGAGTGTTTCGGCTCCTATCTTTCCATAAAACTCCCCATCTCCTGCTCTCGGTCCCCTCAACCCGACCGCCGTCTCTCCTCGAATAGGATCGTGAAGAGTCCAGACTCCCTGTACCTTCCGCCCTCATTCATCCGCCGACCTCCTACCTCGTCTCTCGCTGGACGTAGAGATAGCTGAGAACACGAACTCGCTGTACTCTAGTCCTTCGCTCTCTACACAGCTATCCACCCGATACCTGTACCATCAGCCTCGTGTATGACGATTGAGCTATCATCTCGGTAGGTCACTTGTTCCTTGTTTCTTGATTCCGGACTTTTCCAACGATGTCGGCTGTGCTCACCCGAAGAATCTCCGGACCACTGGACTCGACAAAGAAGGCACAACCATCGAAGAACATTGGGATGGTATTAGAAACATTGCGGACATGAACTGGAGAGTGGGACGAGGACGACATGCAAGGACAGCATTGATTTGAGGGTCGGACGTCTGTGTGGGTGAAGAAGGGGTACGGACAAAACGTGTTCAGCCACGAACCCAACCATCGGGTTACTGTCTCAGCAACCTCGTAAAGAAACCGCCTCGCCGGAACTGCCACGCTTCACCCCAGTATTGCGCGTTCTCGAATCCCGATGTCCTGTGACGTCTGCTCTCTCACTCATGTCTAGGAACGATGGATATGGATACGGAGTGCAGCAGTGGCCGATATAACAGTCGTGTGCTCCTTGGCAGCTTGGCTTCGTTATCGTGGTAGCTCAGACGTCGCTATACACCATCCCGCCAGATCTCCACAGTTCTTCACTGTCGTTCACCGCCTCGTCCCGTCCTCGCTATGGCCTCAATTCGACTAGCGACCAAGACCCTTACCTAAATGGGTCTGACCCACTACTCAGGGCATAACTTTTCGTTCTGATCAACTGCTAACATATCTTTCTCATAGATTGTCTACTACTAGCTGTACCTACTTCCTCAGCGCCGAAAAGGACTTGCACTGTTCGTACTCACCATCGTCAACGCCATCTTTCGACCCAAGGCTTACACATCAGCCTAGATCTTAGTCGCCAGTACCCTCGACGATATACCTCTAGCCCGGCGGACTCGTTAGCTCGTGCTCTGCCCTACGACATCTCCTTTCACTAAGGGATATACGAGACCGCGTCAATCAGTCTTCTGGATGAAATCTGCGCCTTCTTCGACCTTTTCCGCTCGTGTTTTTGTACACTCCATTCGCTCACTACACTAATTGTATTAATTCTGCAAAGGTATGGATATCTGTTGGGTTCTGGACGGGGAACTTCCGCTAACGAGATCTCTCCAGCTCTGTATAACAACACATTCGACCCTCAGCACTAGAGGATCGCCGACTACAGACCTTCTTTTTACATACCAGCTAATCACACTCTTTGTACCTGTTGCCTTTCAGGCTGCCACTCTCTAATCCGGCTCATCATTCGAAGCTGTCCACTCACTAAACCCCTTAAACCCGAACCGACCACGTCTATCCCGGAGACCTGACGATACTACCCGATACACACCGACCACATCAACATGGCGTACCACCAACAACAACAACAACAACAATCGCGCTACGGCCAGTGCGACTCCTACTTTGTAGAGTCACACGATGATGGCATCTATGCCATGCGAGCTGAGGCCAGAGAACGCCACCGAGCTGTGTCCAAGATGCAACAACGAGCCATCGCTGAAGAGTTATCAAGGATGACCGCTGATGAATACCAAGAAGACATCATGCAACACATGATCCACATGGAAGGACAAACCCTCCCAGACGTCAACTCCATCGACATCCAGACCGAGATCCAGTGGTTCATGCGCCCTTACCTCCTCGACTTCTTGGTCGAAGCTCACGCTGCCTTCCAGTTGTTGCCCGAGACCCTCTTCCTGGCTGTCAACCTCCTCGACCGCTACTGCTCCCGCCGCGTTGTCTACAAGCGTCATTACCAGCTCGTTGGTTGCGCAGCCCTCCTCATTGCCGCCAAGTACGGTGACAAGAAGGACCGCGTACCCACCGTGCGGGAATTGAAGTCTATGTGCTGCTCTCTCTACGACGACGAGATGTTCACTCAGATGGAATGGCACGTTCTGCAAACTCTGAACTGGATGATCGGCCACACCACAGTAGACGCATTCCTCCAGATCGCCCTCTCAGAAGCCCCATACGATGCCGAGGTTGAGCACATGGCTCTTTACATTGCCGAGATCGCTCTCTTCCACAAGGAGTTCGTCTCCACAAGGCCATCAGTCCTCGCCCGATCCGCCCTTGCCCTTGCGAGATGCGTCCTGTCCCGACCCCAAGCACGCAACACCGACTGGTCTGGTGCTTACGACCCTCAAACAGTTATCGGTCTGTCCAACCACCTGTATCAGCCATCCCCGGTACTTTCCCGCAAGTATGCCTCTATGCATCTGTCCACTGTGTCCGCCACCGTCGAAGAGTTCCTGCAAAGACAGGCGCAGATCGCGCGCCGCCAGGCTGCCCCTCCCACACCACCCCCGACCGTCACCATCGAGGAGCCCAAGCCCGTCCCCAATGTCAGCGCTTACCCGCAGACGCCAAACAAGAACCCATACAGCTCCGTCATGCAGAACGGATGCCCTACCCCACCGATCACCCCTGAGGGAGAGCATTTTACGTATGGCCATGTTGTCAAGTCACAACCTCAGTCTATGTATCCCACGACACCCACTCCGGAGCACCAGTCCACCATGCAACATCAGGGTCAATACTTCCACAACCAATACCTCCATGTTTAAAAGATCACCGCGCCAGGCAGTGGCTATTCTTTACCACTGTCGAAAAACTCAACTGCCATGGACTGTCATGATCACATCCATCGCGCTCCGTTGTACCAAAAATACTCGTATGAGCGTCTTAGCAGGTCATTTCTTCCAGCATTTACAAGCGTCTTGTTACTGTTATATTGCGATATCAAAGACGTCACTTTTCTGTTTCGAGCATTTCTTTTGTTAGGTCCGACCAAAATTTACCGGTCGTCTGCTGCCATTCGCATGGCAATAGCCTGCGGTGGCCAGTGGAGCCCAGATCAGGTCGAGCACCCTTTCTTCTTGGATATAAAGTCCATCTAATACGGGTTGTTTGATCTGTTCTGCAGCATGTGGGGAGGATAAGCGGCTACAGGCTGAAATTGGAAATACACAAGCCAGCACAATCAGGCTCACTCGCAACTGTTGTTTGCTTACGCGAGCCGAGATACCCTTCCTTTCTCAATCCAAAACTTTTTTCGGACACCTCATTTGTTCACGGTTGTCTAGTTTCCTTTTGCATATGCGGTGGAACGGTGAAAAAGTGTTGAAGTGATGTGGGCGTGTTGTTGCAAGCTCATCAGATTGTTACTGGCCAGCCGGGCTGGAAGGGCTACGAAGAGCGTCAATAGTATAGAAACGGTCGCCCAAAAATTGAGGAATTGGTCTTCCATGCTCGCTTTCGCCCTGGTATCCCATTGTTTATGTGTTTCATCATGCGATATTCTTGGTGATATATGTTGGGCGAGTGGATGCTATACAGTCCACGCCGCAGGGTACACCCGCTCGCCGCATGTTTCACAGCAAGCAATGCGATCTCAGTTGCTTAAGATTGCCTTGCTCTGCTCATTGAAGCACGTAGACCCTCCTTTACTCAACTGCAAACGCTGGCGAGTATGCCTCTAGTAAGTATTACACGGCGCTTGTGTGATCCTATCAGCGCTTCTAGCTACTAACCGCCCCAGATCTCCATTACTACCGCAAACTCGTCTACAGCAGGCTACAAACTGCTCTCACCCTATACCGACGATGATACTACGTTCGCACACAACACGCTGTGTCCGCGTTATGCCGAGTCTGACCCCACGTCTGCGCCGCCATCCCCTGCGTCCGTAGAGTCCTTCGAAATATTGGACAGCATACCTTGGCGGAGAGGCTACATAGCCCTGGACAACCATGGAAGGCAAAGCGGCAATACACTACGGAGTCGGTGGATGAGGAACAAAGTTCGCGCTATGGTGCTACTTTTGCTCCTCACTTTGCTTGTAGCTGGTTGCGTGCTAGGTGGATACATGACAATCAAGCATGGGAAAAGCAAATCCAGCACAGACGCCGCATGATGATGCATACGTACAGAAAGGCGGCAAATGGGTGAATCATTACTCAGATTCGAAAACTGGAAATCGACGATTATCCCCAGCCTCGCCGTTTCGGCATGCGCATCGTCAGGAAACCAGTGGATGTGGCGTTGTCCGGAGTACCCGACAGCAAATCCCGTGCAAGGAAGGCCCCTTGACACAGCCAGCCACGTCTCCGCAGGAAGAGGCAAATAACAGCTTTGGGCGACAAAGGAAGGTGCGCTGTATGTCAGACGGGTCGTTGAGCTCGACAAGGGATCAACGCGGTACGCTTAGTGTTGAGGCGGGATCAGCTCACTGGGACGCGATTTGGTGTGTTGCAGATTGCGATGCGTTGGCCGCAGGGAGTGGCTGGGGTAGCCCTACGGTTCGCGGGATAAAGTCCGGCTAGGCATTTAGAAACGCAGTCACGCGGCTACGAGCGTGTAGAGCATAGGTTCGAGAAATCTGAAGAACTTGAGTTCGGTCTAAGATGCGATAGGATGCGTTTAGTGATGTCCTGTTGTAGACGTCCTTTGGAGGTTCACTATCGTCGCTCACGTGCACCCTATCTTATCGCAACATCGCGATACCGCACGTTGAAAGTCACACCAACGGCACACCATAATCTCACTCTTCACCAACTGTTCAGCGATGCAAAGACTAATACACCATGACTTCAACTGAGCCTTAATTCGATGTCTAACATCGACAGCAGCACGCCACTGCTCACAAGCCTTGCGACACCGTCCTTGCCGTCATCTCGCAGTCCGTCCCCAATGCCGTTTCCTACTCGCAAGCGTGCAATATGGCCCCTGGTGCTTCTCTTGCTCCTAGTCCAGCTATCCTCTGTTTTGTACACATTACCACTCAATCGAGTGATAGAGTTGCGGCTGTGTAAAGAATTTTATCAAAAGCATGATGTGTCTGTCATTCTACCAGATGGCTCAATACCGGAGCTGTTGTGCAAAATTAAAGATGTTCAGAGGAAGTTGGCATGGTTACAAGGCAGTATGGAGACGATGAATGTTATTTTTGGTACGTGATTGATGAGTTTGTAGTAGCCATGCGTGCTGATACCATTTATTCCAGACTTCGTCGTGACCATACCGTTCAGCTTCATCGCGGAGAAGTGGGGCGTCAGTACTGTGCTATGGTGCAACCTTGTCCCACGGATTGTGATGAGTGCATGGGCCATTGTTGTCGGTACGTATCCTCCCAATAAGAACTACCTACGTACTTTGATCGCTACATCTCATGAGAATAATTTATCTTGTAACAAGACAACTCTAAACTATGTCAGGAAATTTTCCACGTCTTCTACCAACAGAATCCATCCTTACAGGCTCGATCTTCAATATCCTAGGAGGCGAGTGCGTCTTCCAGTCAACAATCTTTACACTAACTTCGGCTTTGACGAGCGAGTATGTTCAGCGGTGCGTATACATCCTTCCATGTAGAGGAACTTGCTGAGTATCCACAGAGCATCCTACTTCTCCTACATCAGTTCAACATCATACATCGTCTCCTTCATGGGCCCAACCCTAGCCGCATTCATCATGAGCAAGAACCTCTGGCTGCCCTTCTGGCTCAACATCGGCCTCCTCCTCTGCGCAATACCAACGATTAGCTTATTGCCCAACACCACGTCATCTCCACACAAGATCACCAGCTCCGAATCACCAAGCGATAACGAAACCGAGGAATCCGGACCCCTCCTCGACAACACCGACTCCATCCCGACCCACTATACCACCGCCTTCAACCCCTCACCCGGCATCTACCGCACCATCACCCAGACCATCTTTCAACTCCTCCACCTAGTCCTCGGCCGCCGCAACTTCCAAATCCTACTAACAACCCTCTTCTTCACCGCCCTAGCAAGTTCCGACACAAAACTCCTCGTCCAATACATTTCCAAACGCTACAACTGGACGTTCGCACAAGCGGGCTACCTCCTCTCAGCCAAAGCGCTCGTAAACCTTACGTTGCTTGTTGTAGTCGTCCCCCGACTTATCCGCACGTCGATATCGGCGAAAGCTGTTCGGGGCGATGACGTTAGGTTGAATGTGTTGGGGGCGAGGGTAAGTATTGCGGTGTCAGTGCTGGGTGTGCTTTGTATAGCTGTGGCGGGGAAGTTTTGGATGTTGCTTACTGGTACGTTTTCATCTTGCAGTCTGGTGATTCGTGGATGATGTGAGCTGATGTTTCCAGCGCTCATTATTTATGCCTTGGGTTCTGCTCTGCCTGTGTTCACCATGTCGCTGGTTAAGTCGCCGCTTGTCGCACTGGAGCATTCTGATGCGCAGGACTTTAGTATCGTCATGTTGACTAAAACACTTGGATCTTTGGTTGGCGCGCCACTGATGACGGTTCTGTGGGTTAAGGCTATTGAGTGGGGAGGTGCGGGATTGGGGTTTCCGTATGTGGTATCTTGTGTAAGTGAACATTCCCTATATCAGGGCGCATACTAAACGATCCTTCAGGGTCTGTATATATGTGCATTCACCACTTTCACGCGATTGCGCACTTAACGGTACAAAAACTACTATGGGTAATAGAATTTATGTACATTGGAAGCATACTTGTTTGGAAAGAAGGTTGTCTAAGTATTTGTATACCTCGCCCCATTGTCCATCCAACTACTCATCTCATACCGACCGGACATGCCCTCGCTCTCCCCACTCCCCCTCCCCGGATCCATAACCCTATCCCTTAGAGAATCTCTCACGGACTCATGACTCACAAGCCTGCCTTCACTTCCAGCGGAGTCTCTCTCTCTCCTCGCCATAACTCTCGCCCCCGCGCCATCCATATCGTTGCCGAAATCCCTCTCCATGACCATCTCCTCTTTGTCCAGCATCTCTGTCACACCCCTCCCGTTTCCATGGACGATGATGCGTGTCTTGTTCAAAGAGTGTTTGACTGGCTGTTTCGCGTTGAAGATGTCACTGATTTCCTCGAGGGTGCGGCGACGTGTTTCGACAAAGAAGAAGTAGATGATGATGAATTCGAACATATCCCAGAAGATGAACAGGAAGTAGTACTGTGGGGAAAGATTAGCGGGATCTATAAGTTGACGAAGTGCTCAGACATACCTTCCATCCTGCGCCTGAAAACGCAATTCCAGTAACAAAGGTATTGTAGAAGTTTGCAATGTTGACCCAGAAGTTGTAAAACGCCATCCCTTTGGCTCTGGATTCATAACGTAGACACTCGACAGGATACAGCTGCTGCAACGGCGTGTAACCCGTCGAATAAACAAAGCCGAAGATGAAGAAGAACGCGATGACTGCTCTTGCCTGCCCGATCCTCTTGATTTCGGGTGTTCCAGTTTCGCCATCGTAGATTGGCTTTCCGTCTGGTCCCATTTTGAGATTGGTGGCAACTAGGGCGCAAACAATGGTGAGGATGCCAACGAGCAGGGCGGTGGAGACGAGGAGTTGGGGTCGGCGGCCCCAAGAGTCGGTGTAGACGGCGCCAAACACTGCGCCGGCAAATGAAACAACATTTTGCATTCCATTGTAGAGGAGGCGTGTGTGATTGTTGGCTATGCCAGCGCCCTGAAGTATAGTTGGGTAGTAGTAGGATACGGGGCCGTTGCCTGACCACTGTCCAAAAAACGCCATGCAGACTACTAACATCGTTCTGTACCGAGCCTCTCGTGAGTTGAAGAGTTCGCGGTAGTCCCACCATCTCTTATCTGATCCTGTGACACTAATGTCTTCGACCATCTCTTTGTACTCCAGCTTGACGATAGGCGAATCGCGGTTACCCTCACCATGGAAACGTGCCATGGTATCCAGGGCTTCCTCATGTCGGTCATTTGCGATGAGCCATCTAGGTGTTTCTGGCAGAAACGGCGAGCTCACAAACACAATACCGGCGAATATCATCTGGAGCCATATCGGAAGACGCCAGGATTGTGATCCGGGGATGGTGTTTGTCCCGTACGGTACGAAAGTGCCTGGAATACCGCCGACGTACCAGAACGTATTGAAGATTCCCGTGCAAATGCCACGGTAGGATGGGTGTGCCATCTCAGACACATAAGCGGGACCAGCGGTCGAAGTAATAGCGACGCCAAAACCGAGGACGAAGCGACCGCCCATGAAACCTCCTAGGTTAGAGCATGATGCTTGGATGCAAGCGCCGATTATGATGATCGAGGTACCAATACACATTCCCCATTTTCTCCCTCTAAAGTCCGTGGCGGGGCCAGCAACGAATGAACCGACGAGATTACCAATGGTGTAAATGGCGTAGACGATTCCGGTAGCGGGAGTTCCCTTGGTCTGGTCGAAGCCGAAATAGGTACGGTACTGAGGGTAACTGTTGATAGCCCCCATGAGCGATCCATCGTATCCGTTGATACAAGAGTTGAGTGTGGCGATTAAGAGGCAGAGATACAGCTAATACACCGTCAGCATTATGCTTGCAGAACGCTTCTGTTATCCCTACTTTGAACATAGCCTTTGTCCATGGCCGGACATTAGCCTTGGCCGTTGCATCAGCAAAAGCAACGTTCTGCACTTGGCGAACTTGCGTCGAGCTGCTGCGCTCGGTATGCGAAGTGTGCACATCCCTCTTGTGGCGGTAATCCATGTCGACACAGGCTCACCAAAGGGAACACAATACTATTGTTGAAATGAATTGAACAATGAAGTCGTCCTCAAGCCCAAGGTAACGGACAGCATGGCCCACGCATCAGCATTCGACAGACAGAAACACCGCGGAGCTGCGAGTGCGGACGCAAGGTACAGTAATATATTCCGTCGCCCATCCACGCGACCAAGGAATCCAGATCGCCTCGCCAGTAAAACAGCGTGAGCTATACATCCCCGTCCTTAAAGCGCAGCCTCGCATGCATGTGGCACAGTGCAGGGGGTCCCGAGGGCCCGTGTAGCGCATGATGACCGGGTATTTGCAGACCTGCGGATTCGCTTAAGTCTGGGGAGAAAGCAATGATTGGACTCTATGCTGATGGCTAAGATGAGAGGCTTGGAAGTGTGGTGACCATTTCGCATGCTGCTCAAGGACATGTAGCTTATGCGACAGCTTTCTGACTGTGTGTCAGTTGGTGTTGGTGGAGGCGCATCCCGCATGTTGGTGGTAAAGCCTTTGTACCAAATGGAAGTATTCTGTTCCAGAGACTGAGACCCAGCGGAAGCATGGAAGAGTCAAGGAAGTCACCGAGGCCGCCCATTCGTACTATGCCGCAATCCTTCGCTTCGCGAGTGCCTGGCGTTCTGACACAGGGCAGATGCAGGCGTCATTACACGCCCTTGTGAGACCCGAGCCGCTGGATTGCAGTATCGACGGCGAGAGAGACGTTTTACCATCTGCGGTACAACCGTGATAATATGGCTCAAGAGTTGTTGCCCATGTTGATGTTTGCGAAAGATGAAGTCTAGAAGACTGGCCTGCCGCCCTCCACCCGCAAACCGAGCTAGCGGACCGAACAATCCGGGGAACGCAGGGGGAGGTGCGACCCGCTGTCCAGAACACTTGAGCCGTCCTCAGCTTTTCTTCGCGACAATTGCACCGAGAAATGTTTTACGCTCACGAGGAAAGCATCTACAGCTAGCAGTGATCATTCAACCAGCCACCTTTCAGCTGCAGTCTTGTCGCTGCATGCCAGCCCCGCTCGCCACTGCTGGGCCTCTTAATATACTCATATTGAGCTCCACCTCCACTACCGACATAGTATGCCAGCGGTTCCTGAAAGACCAGGGATCTTCGTGTCGTGTGATCCTCCATACCTTCTTCCGGGTTCTGGAAGCCAATACATATCTCTCTCATTACATCACCACTTGCGCACGCTAGAGTCATTAATATCAAAGATAAACCCTCTGGCTATTATACATGCATCCTAGTCTAAAAGGCGACGGGGAAAGGTGGCTTTAGAAGCCTCCCTATAACCTATGATGAATGCAAAAGCTACCGTCCTCCACTACGACGTCCAATCGCTGATAGGCTGATAGTACAGAAACATACTGCTCACTCTCACGTCCGACGTCGCTTACTCGTCGTCGTCCGGGTTCGTGTCGGACTCGTAGATAAATTCACCCGGAGTCGAAGCCTCGGCCTCGCCCTCATCCACCATGTTATCACTGACCGGCGCTGCAGCGGTTGTTACTGATAAGCCTTCTGGTCCTTGATCTCCTGAAGAGCCCGACGCACCAGGGGCAGGGGCAGGCACGGCCTTCTTTACCTTGAGCTCTAGGAGCGTCTTCGGTTCTGAAGGCTTGGTGTCTGTGAGAAGAATGACACCGAGTGTTGGCTGGTGATGGGTTAGCTTAAAGATCTTCAGCGTGGTGACCAAATGACTAACCTTCTTCACTGGTACATATCGTTCGCTTGGGAAGCTGATGTACTTCACTTGCGGCGGCAGTACACGCGACATGTTCTCCAGCTCGTAGCCAACCTTCTCCTTTTCAACCTTCTTCTTTGGAGACTCCACATTTTGAGCACCGTCAGCCTTCTCGCCATCTTCCTTCTTAGGGTCCTCGTCTACGTCCATCTTGTCGTCGTCCGCAGGCTTGGGTGTGGTAGGAGTGTGGTCCACATCCATGCTTTCCCTCCGCTTTTGGCGCTCCTTTACCATCCGTCGTCTCTTATCTTGAGCGGTGGTCGATAGGACTGCGGTCTTGATCTTCTCGGGCGCCTCTTCTGCCTTGACCTCTGCGTCGGGCGGGTAATCGAACATGCTTGGCCTAGTGTTGCTGTGGAACTTGAACGAAGGGATCTCCAACTCCTGGTCTAGACCAATGACGGCGGTAGACGTGAAACTCAGCGAGAGGAAGTGAGTCAGAGGGAACCAATACCAGTACTGGGTGAAGACGGCCATACCGACGATGGCCGCCATGTTCAGGTTGCCGGTCGGCGTCTGCAAACCGATTGTGCAATTTCTACCTCCGGCATCAATGATACCCAGGGCAAGAGCAGCACCGAACTTGGCCATAGCATCCTCGTGGCGATCGCTCACCACCTTGGCGAGCTGCTTTCGGATAGATGCTACCTTGGGGTTCATTGCCTCGTTTTGCTGTACCATAATCATGGACAGCGCAATCAAAGCACCTTGTCGGACGAAGTCGGTCGAGTCCTTCATCATTGGCTCCAACAGATCTACGGCCTCTGGGAGACCAGTTCCCGCACAAGCAATACCTAGAGCCATGGTGGCTCCGTATCGCACATGTGGGTTGTATGACTCTGCGAGAAGCTCGACCATGCGGGGAACACTGCCTGGCTTCCTGAAGAGGATGAAACCCAAGCTCATGACTGCAACTCTTCGTACATCATCGCTTACATCACTGACGGCAACGTGAAGTAACCTTCGGACGGCCTTGTTACTGCCTGTGCCACAGTACGCCAGAGCAATGGTCATGATACCTCCGTATCGCAGGGTTGGGTCTGGGTCGTCAAGGAGACCATTGATGAGCTCGTCAGCAGCCTCTTGTCGACCGTACATGATGAGTGCCATGCCCATGGCTAGACCACGAACAATCTTCTCGTGCTGCGTGTCGTGCGCGTACTGGATCATGTCTTCGAGTGCCTTGATGTTGCCAGTGCCGAGCATGACAAGACCCATGGAGAGACCGACAGCCTCACCGTTGATGGCAGAGTCTGTGTACAGGACGTTCTTGAAGGCCTCGAAGATCTCCTCGGAGCCAGTGGCCATGCCAGCAACACCAAGACCGAGCGCACCACCATGCTGGATGACCTCTTCAGATGCGTTCTGGAACTGCTTCAGGAGGAGATCGAGAACGTTGGATCCGTGGTTCGCGTAGATCAAACCAAGAGCGTATAGTGATCCACCCTGCTCGTAATGAGAGCCCGATGAGACACTGTCCTTGGGCAGGTAAGGCTCAAGAAGCTTTTGCCCTTGTGTGATGTTGCCGCGGTGGATGACACCGAGAGCAGCGGTTGCGGAGAACTTGGACCAGTTGACTGCCTTTCCTAGCCATTCCAGGTTCTCGCGGAAGAAGGTGTCGTTAGTAGTGCCAGCATTCATGAAAGCGTTTGCGAATGTGACACTGGAGTGGAAGATGGAGTTCCTGGCCTCTAAGCTGTCGCGGACCTTGTTGAGCACAGCCTTGTCTGTGCGGTTGTTCCTGTACAGGAACTCGAGGTTGAGCTCGATGCTCTTGGTTCCGCGGAGAATGTAGCGGACGTTGTTGTAGACCTTGACCTCATCTTCACTCGCCTGGTCACCCTTTGAGTTGCTAGTATCCACATCTGCGAGCAGAGAGTCCGACTCGCCCGCATCTGAGGGTTTCTGCGCGTCCTCCTTCTCAGCCTCCGGCAGCTCTTCCATGATCTTTGTGAGGAACTCTTGTGTGCCGTTCTCGTATAGGTCGAAGGAGATCTGGTATGCGACTGCGCGAGACTTGTCATCTCCTCGCTCAATCAGCTGCCGAATGAGCTTTGAAGCCAGCGAGTGCTGGTTGAGGTACACCACGCACTTGGCGATGGAGAAGTAGTCGGGGTTCGGGATTTGGTCATCGTTGAGGAGATCCAGGATTAGGCGGAGGATCTCGTTCCTCAGACCTCGCTCTTGCACCACGTTCATGCAAATGTCGAGAACGTACTCCATCAGGTCCTCGCTCTGTGCGGAGGGCTGCGCGGGCTTCTTACCCTGCTTCTTTCCGTCCTGGCTTGCGCGAACAATCGACTCGCGCAGAACATCGAGATTCCGCGCTTCGATGGCGATTCCAACGACCTGCTTGTAGTTGCCGCTCTCGTAGCAGCTCTCGAATATCCGCCGTACAGTGCTGTGGAGGTTCTTTTGCACGTTTCGCTGCAACACCATCGGGGTGGGGTGGGCCCCCGGTACGCCGGCATTGCCTCCTCCGGGCAGTGTAGGGTCAAATGTCGACGAGTCTTCCCTAGAGAGAAGCGACTTTGAGGGTAACGCGGACTGGGAGAAGGGCGTTATCGGTGAAGCGAGACTGGCTGCAGTGCTCGCACCTCCTGCCGCGTTCCCGGAGAAGGATGTGCTCAGTTGAGGAGGGGCCTGGCTCGCCTTGCTGACCGGTGTCGGGGGGTTGTGCATGACGGACAGCGCAATGTACGTATCTAAGCATTTGGCTAGAAAAAGCAAGTTAGCAAACTGTTCTTGCAGTCCGATGAGCCCGCTGTTTCAGCCCATGATGGAGGTAAATATGAGCTGAATGGGAAGCTCGGTTGTCCGCGGTGTCTTACCCAGTATTGTTTCCTCGAACTCGGCTGCCTTGTGGATGTCGAAGAGCTTGCCCGCGCCTAGGGCGAAGACCATGCTCTCGTTGTACTCTTGCAGCTGGTAGTATACCTTGGCGGCTACCAGAGCGGCCAGCTCTCGCTCGGGGAACGAGTCGTCTTCGTAGAGCGCCTCACTATGACGCACCCATGTTAGCAGCTGTTTTGATGGCGATATGGCTATGAGAGCGCGTAGTGGCTCAACTAGAGTCCTTACATTTGACTGACAGAGCCCGCGACCTCTGGCCACAGCAGATCGATCTCCTCATTCAGCCGCTGGAGGGCGAACGAGCGCAGGGCCGGATCGGGTTCCGAGAGGAAGCCGACGACACCGGCGGCGGACGTGAGGCCAACCATTGTATTGTGTCTTGCGGGAGCAATGTATGGCTTCGTGTAGTGGGACAGCCGTCCGCGTTGGTGGTGCAAGAGGGAGCTGTTGTTGCGGAAGTGGGTAGAAGCGTATGGAGCTGCGCTGTGGCGCCTGCGGCTTGCCTGAGGTCAAAGGATAATCTGAGGCAGTGCTGCGGCGGACTCTATCGTGACGGTCGCAGTGAAAGAGGGACGGGAAGATGGAGGGTGGGTGGTTGATGGGGGATGGCGTGGCGCCCTTGTGGTGTTCGGGGAATCGTGTACGTGATGGTCTAAACAGTAGCTCGTGAGTTTCGGAAGCGGCGACCCTGGTCCACTTTGAGCATGACATAATACGCTACCGGCGCATCACTCCTACGATAAGCTCCGGACTTCCACGTCACTTTGAACATGCACTTGGATGGCCGTCTGCATGGTACGAACAGGGGCAGAACAACTCATCTCATCCTATTTAACCATTCAAGTGGAAAAATGAACACCTCTAGGGGTATCTTGTACGGGGTAATAGAAGTGACCTAGACGTCTACATTGTCTGGTGATTCTGTTAAATTTGGTTTGTATACTGATGTAGCCTGCAGAGCACCTGTTTAGCTTCTTCCTCCTATGGAGTGCCCTGAAGTCTACATCTGCATAAAATCATGAATTTACTAACATCCCAAGGCAGTGTAGTTTCTTGGGCTGGTTTCGAGAGTGATACTTTGTAGGAAGTATGTGAAACTGGGTATCTTGATTTCATGTATAAACTCCGTATGATGCTGCTGCTGATCCTATCTTGGATATTGAAAACGCCGAAAAATCAGATGATAATAATACAGGCACCTCAAGAAACTGAACAGGTCTGCAGCCTACATCAAGACAATAATGAGCAAAACAGAGGTTCTAGCATCAATGCAGGCTCCACGGTGTTCGGTATTCTTCCTTTTCTAAGCGGGATGCGTGATTACGCGTGACGCAACCCGCAGGTTGTTCATCATACCGCTGATCAAGCTCTCAAACTTGGTAGGCTCCTTGAGCCTCACCTTGTCTGCCTCAGCGATGAGAACACCGGAATCCAACTCCAACTCTAGCTCATGGTTCTTGCTAGTCCCTTGTGTGACCTGCGTCAGATCCACTTGATATGCGCCCAGCCATGAGTATGACATGCGGTCCTTTTGCCGCTGCATACCCTCTAGTGTCTTTCCTGGTTCTAGCGCGGGCTTGAGGCTTTCAATCGGACCAGGGAAGTCGATTTCGAGGTTGATGCCGATGCGATAGTCCCATTCTGTCTCGGGAGAGCTGATCTCGAGGTTCCCTATCCGATGCTTTATCATGGCTCGCACAAACTCGCCCGTATTTTTGTCGCGGGTCACGCGGACCCTCTGCCGGGTACCGGACGCGCTGATGAGACGCTGAACTATAGGATTCAACATGGAGAAGCCTGCCTGGTCGAGTTCGTAGAACATGTCCGTCTCGTAGGTATGTCGGTAATCGATCGGCGGGCGCGACGCACCGGGTATCTTTGACTGCTGGACCTGAGCGTTGAGGGCGTGGTTCATGCGCTTGTGTTGAAGAGCAGTCATAGTGCTCTCGAACTTGACATCCAAGGCTTCAGTCTTGATAACGCATTCTGTGTCCCAGAACCCGCGCAGTCGCTGGTCGGTCTGCTTTTCCAGGATCTGACCCCAGCGCGCTTCGACTTCCAGTTGCACCTTTGGATCCGCGATCGCGTTTCGTACCGCCTCGTTGTTAACGGCTGTGGTCCAGATGAAATCGCATACCTTGTGCGAGACGACGTCGTAGATTTGCGCATCGTGGAAAATGGGCCGCTCGAAGCCAGAGAGTCCAGATGCAGTGGCTGCTGGAGGAGGAGGTGCGCCGGCATCGCTGTGCGCGTGTCCATTACGTTCCGCCTTCGGAGATGGTTGAGGTCGCGGCGGAGGAGGATGCGATGGTAGCGCAGGTTGCGCGCGTGAGTGTACCTGGGTGGCTACAATAGGTGGAGGTGGACGCGATTGTTGGCGCTGCTGCTCTTGTAGCTGCCTGAGCTCAGGTGGCAGTTGTTCGCCTTCGCGATATGCCCATACAGGCTTGGTGTCATGGCGTTTCCGTTTCAGCGACATTTGCTGCTGCTGCTGGCTGGGTTTAGGCGTCGGTATCTTTGCGGCGGGAGTGACAGGGGAGGATGCGGGAAGGGAATGGGGGTGGGAGAGTGAACGGCGCGGTAGCACCGATGCTTCCCCATCGTGATTTACTAGCGCAGATATGTCCATCGTGGGTTGTGGTAGGGTTGTGCGTCGGACTCACCATCGTGTACAGATGCCTAGTGTTGCTGGCGCACGGACGATTCCACACTGGGCTCCTTTGTTGTGCCGCCTCTCAGTTGCGACTACCTGTCTTGATCTCAGCTTAGCATGCGGCCATCACTTGGAACTTGTGAGAAGAGGTAATCATTAAAGAGTTTGCTTGATCCGCTAGTGTTTACACCAAATCTTGTGTCCCTATGCGCCAGACCGTCATTTGCGCAAACGAGTCATGTATATGCGCCTCCTGCAGCGCACTCCACACCTTCTATCTAAAGAACCAAACGTCCGCTCCGACGCTACCTTCACGCGTCTTGGTCAAGGCCAAGGTCTTCCTGTGCTGGGACAATGCGAAGTGTGTTGGTGTGTCCCATTCCTCCCCTCCAGCCCTGTACACAGATAACTGGATCTCCCTTGCTGAGAACACCGAGCTTGATGGCGTTCATGATTCCCCACTTCAAACGGCGGTCAACATCCTCCTGCCATGGCTCCGTCTTGAAGTCGGGCTTCTTCTCGGGGAAGTAGAATGGATAAACGCCGCGGTACAGGTGTGAATACTACTCAAGTTAGCCAAGGGAATCCCTGTGCATTGGAAAAAGCAAAACTTACCCTAGCAGCCATTTCGTTGCGGGTAACCATGATGATGGGGCAGACGGGGCGGTACTTGGAGACGAGGCGGGCGGTGGTACCACTAATGCACGTTAGAATCACAGATGTACAAGATGCTAGAAGACTCACCTCGTGGTCAGGACCAAGATGGCGCCAGCGTTCTGCTCGAGACTGGCACTGACGGCGGCCATGGCACAGGTCTCGGTAGTAGGGCATGGGACGGGAGCCAGCTTCCTCAGCTCATCGAACGCGTTGACGTATGGGATAGCGACCTCGGCGAGCAGGCAAGTCTCGTGCATCATGGTGACGGCCTCGACGGGGTAGTCACCCTTGGCGGTCTCTCCAGACAACATGACACAGTCGGCACCGTCGAGAACAGCGTTACCGACATCGCTGACTTCAGCACGAGTTGGGCGCGGGTTGTAGGTCATGGACTCGAGCATCTGGGTTGCGCAAATGACGGGCTTTCCGGCAATGTTGCACTTGGTGATCATCATCTTCTGGGCGATGAAGACCTGGCTGGGTGGGATCTCGATACCAAGGTCACCACGAGCGACCATGACACCGTCGGTCTCCCTCAGGATCTCGTCGAAGTTGTTCACACCTTGCTGGTTCTCGACCTTGGCAATGATCTGGATGTCCTTGCCCTCCTCGCCGAGCACCTCACGAATGGCAGTGATGTCGCTGCCGCGGCGGATGAACGAGGCGAAGACCATGTCTACCTTGTTCTTGACACCGAACTTGAGATCGGCCTTGTCCTTCTCGGATAGCGGGGGAAGGTCAATGTCGGTCTTGGGCAGGTTGACACCCTTCCGGGATGAAATCTTGCCGTTGTTGACACACTTGCACTTGAGTGTCTGCTCGTCTGTGATCTCGAGGACCTCAAATGAGAGGACACCGTCGTCGACGTAGATTATGCGGCCAGGTGCGATGACCTTGGTGATGTTCTTGTAGTCGACGTACATGTTCTTGTCGTCGCATGCCGTGGCATATTGGTCATCGGTGGTGATGTTTATGATGGAGCCAGCCTTGATAGGAATGTCGGCATCGCCTACAGTGTTACCAGTTCGGATCTCTGGGCCCTTGGTGTCAAGGGCAATAGCCAGAGGCCTGCCAGGTTGTGTCCTCTCCGCCTCGCGCGCATGGTCGATGACGGACTGGTGGTACTCGTAGGAGCCGTGGGAGAAGTTCATGCGAACAACATTGAGACCGACTTTGCGGAGGGAGTTGATCTTCTCGGCGGAGTTTGTCTTGGGACCGATGGTGCAGATGATGGAGGTTCTTCGGTACTCCTTGGCAGGTGTGTACTCAGTGTTGAGCTGACTGAGCCACTCGATCCTGGTCCTGCCGGAGTTGAGGTGGTCTAGACTGTATTGCTGTCAGTGGGTGTTGGAGTTGAATGCTTCTATCGTAGAAGCGACTTGTAACGCGTGAAGATCTGAGCTCAACTGCTACAGATTTGGTGTGGAATTGCTGGCATTCTGTTATAGAGAAATGTATTCTACGTACGCGTTCGCCATTTCTGCTGATGGTATTCAGAGAGGGGCTGTGAAGGGGGAAGATTGAGTCGCTGTCGCGGAGTGCGGGGCCGATTAGAGAGTCTGTATGAAAGACTCCAATTGAATGCGCAACGGCTGGGGGATAGGAAGAAGAGAGAAGAACAAGCTGCTCTCTGGAAAATGGCGGTCGACGGGTTTATCTTGTGCTGCGACGGGCTAGAAGTTTTGTTGGCTGTTGAGCGTGTTTTGGAGGGGCAGTTAGTAGCGCGCTAGTGTATGCTGCTTAGTACGTGGGGCTGCTGCACCCTGCGGCGGTTTGGATATGAATTGGAAACAGATTGCAGTCAGAAAATGGTCTGGAGACGGTTTGGTTGAATAAGAGTCTTTGGTTATGCGCCGAGCCTTGGGCCGACTGCCTGCTGAACATGTCCCATGGTTGACTGTCGTGACGCCCATTTGCTTCTTCCACTCCACCCACGTTGTCGCATCATTGCCCTTGAACATCCCGCCCAGATAAGCCAGCCATCCGACGCGTATTTGCAAAGCGATTGAAAAATCTCGGCGCCTTCGCTCTGGGCGTATCCGGCTAGTGGGCTGTTGTACTGGTGCGCGGCCGGCTGCTGGCGTGTAATGGATTTTTCAGTGGGTTACCCGCGCGGAGATGGTCGTGTCTTGGAGGTTTCATGGGGTCAAGAGCAAGACACCGTCGCGGCAGGCCCTTGTTATATAGCAGGTGCACCTGTCGTAGGGTCCGCTCCTAAATCACCCGCAGCTGCTCCGCATGCTTGCCCGAGGTCAAAAGGACGGTCCCATTGATGCGACAATACGGTCCAGTTCCATATTAGTGGGGACGGTTCTGCGCATCTGAGCCTGTAGGACATCGCGGACAAGGCGCATAGGCAGTTGACAGAGATAGCTCCGCGACGGACATGCCCATCTGTGAACTCGACCAACTGGTGCACATGTCACATAGGCTTTTGGACCCTCTACACTAGGGAACCCTGAAGTCGTGTGCCAGCGCAATCACATGCAGACAAGTGACTAAGGAAGGGCACCAGCCACACCTCCACTCTACACCGCATCCCGCATCCTGCACTCAACAACAACACCCACATCCACCGAACCTCCTGAACCCCAGTCGCCACACTCTTCCAAGCAGCCTCACGTAGCCTCATATTCATCCGCCACCTCCCACGTCGCCCATCATGGTCGTATGTCTACTACTCTACTACTGCGTTTGTGGACCACCGAGTCGCATGCTCCGTAACTCACACAAGTAACAGCTCGGCAAAGTCGCACATTACGCCTTCGATGCGGTATTAAGTACGCAGCCTCACCCTCACGCCTACCACATCCATCGCTAACATCACCCCAGTATCCGCCTTCCTCGCCGGCGTCCGCCGCTCAACTGGCCTTACGTATGTCCCCATCCTTCCGTTCTAAGCGCCACCCAACCCACCCCTCCTCCACAACCCCCCGTTGCTCGCCGCGCAAAACTACAAGAACGGAGCTAAAGCTAAACCCAGACCCAGTGTGAAGCCAGATACGTTCGGCGAAAACCCCAGCGCCCAGAAATGGTTCGAAAGCTACCTCTGGGTCGGCGAGACCGTCATGGACCAAAGTGTCGCCTTCTTTGGTTCCAGTTCCTACTTTGAGCGCAAGCGATAGATGCGGGATATACCCATCAGCGACAAAGTCACGGCGAAATGTGATCTGCGGATGTGCGGAAGATGAAACGCTACGCGAGGCGGGCGACTAGAAGCTCTGGCAGCTGGGGCTGGCTAGATGAGTCGTGATGTGTCGGGCACAGCTTGGCGATACCTGGTTGGCATGGAAGTTGGATGAAGAGCACGGCGTCGAGTTTCCCTCTCGATTAGCAGGCAGACGGCGTTGGGGCGAAACCATTGTCTATGAGATTACGAATCAAAATTATTCCAACATACCCTATTTTCGCTATCGATATACTCAGGTCTATTTCGCTAACGCTGCCCACTTCACACAGGGTATCATACGCGCATATGTATAAATCGAGAAAACAGGCTGATCAACATACTCTCATGTCCTTCTCTTAAACCTAAATCCAGTCTCCTCATCATCACTATCGTCGTCATTTCTGCCAAATCTTCCTTTCTTACTAGCAGGCTGCCCACTCGCGGCGTCAGATCCCCTCTTCTTCCCCCTCTGCGTCTGCGTACTCTCAAGTTGTGTCTCTGCAACCCTCTGCGTCCGCCCACTACTCTTCTGTGTCCGTTGTTCCGAGATCTCCTCGTCGTCTGGTCCGCTATCTTCAACATTAATTACTTCTTGCTGCGCTTGGGGCTGCGTAGTCCGCTTCCGACGAGTGAAGCCACCAACTTCTGGCTCTGACGAATCGTCGGCTGCTGCGTGACGACCGCGCCGGCTATCACGTGAACGGAACGAGGGCTCGGGTTCTTCGAGGAAGAAGGCGTCGGTGATGCCGAAACCCTTCTTGGCTGGTGCTTCTTCAAGCGTGACGATGACTTTGTGGGCTTGGACGCCTTTTTCTGCACCACGGCGACGGAACTTCTTAAAGTTCTTGCGACCATTCCACTCAGCATTCCAGCGCTCGTTGTTGGTCTGACTTTGGTTGCGCGAAGTACCTCTGTTTTGCCGAGGTAGAACGTCCATCTCTTCTACTTGGGCCAGGTTCTTCAGCTCAGTGATATCGATGCCTTCAAGTGCTTCCCGCAAGCTCTCTTCGTCCGCCTTACGCCGCTCCTCTTCTTCTTTGATGCGCTTGCGGGTATGCTCGCGGATGTTGATTTCCTTTTCGGACTTGTCTTTTGCCAAGTTGAGTCGCTCCCGAGCAGCTGCTATAGTGGAGGCTCTCTTCACCGGGCCCCCTTCTTCGGGCTCGACAGAAGCCGATGGCGCACGCGTAGCCGCTCTCTGAGCTCTCATTTTGGCAGCCGTCGGGAACAGGGTATCCATTTGTTCTTCTTTCTCAATCGTCTTTCGGGCGTTTGATTGTGGAGAAGCTTGACTTTGTGCGCCTGATGCATTACGTGCTTGCGAAACTGTCATCGATGGTCCTGGTGGTGGTGGTGGTGTAGACTGCTGGACATCTTCCATTGGAGGATTCTCAACCTTCAGCTTCTTCTTTGGGATGGGCTCGTCATCATCAAATCCTGTGAAGCGGCTCGTCTTTGGCCGGTGCACGCGCTTTCGTGGATTGATCTTCGCGGGCTCTTCCGCTGGAAGTTCGTTGTCCCCAGGGACCTGCGACGGTGCTCTAGATTCAGACACTGGTGTTGGTTGACGCATGGACCGGCGACTGCTTGCGACCCCTGGTGGTGCAGTAGCAATCACTTCCACGGGTGGACTTTGTATTGGGGCACGGTCCCCTGTGAGGATCGCGTCGAGAAATTCCTTCTGTTCGATTGAGCGCTGCCCAAGTGCCTGGTCAACGCCAGTCATAAAGCTGTCAGTCCATTCTTTCATTCCATCAGGAATTGCGTGCAACCACACCGTTATCACAGGCAGCTTGTCGCCAGGTTTGCCACGCCGCTTTTTTCCTGCCGCGTTGTGAACGTAATTTACGTACTCGTCCACTGTTGTCTCGCCAAGTCGTAGGTCGTATAGCAATGCCTTGCCGCCTCCACCAGTGACGGGATCCAGCAAACTACTGTGTTGGCTTTCGCTCAGAAATACAAAAGTTAGACCAGAGAAGACTTCTGACCGCGAGGGATCGGGTAGCAGCATCTCCTGTGGTTGATGAACCGGTTCTTTGTCAATTGCTGGTATGTATTCCTTCTCCGCCGGCCAGCATGCATCGAAGTCCTCTTCCAGCTTCGAAGGCAGGTAGTTATTTTCTTCATCGACTGATGGCGCGGCCACGACGAGGAGCGTATCGATAAATTCTGTAGTGACAATGTGCTTGGCCGCCGTCAGACCCGAGAGGACTTTAGGAAGGTTCCGTTTCGCGGATACGACGTGGGTGGTCTTGTCGAATACGAAGTCGGTTGTGGTCTTGATGTCAAGGGTGTGTAGCTGCACGCTGCGGGCTTTGCTTTCTTTTGACTCCTTCGAAGCATATGTAAAGACGACTGGGCGCCAGACAATCTTGAACGGCGCATAGCTGGCAGCCAATCTGATGGTATGTTCGGTGCCTCTCAGGGTCTCGCGGCTGTATTCTATCGACCCATCTGAGGCCTTCTGGCTCTTCACTGTGGTTTTCTCGTCGATTGTGACCCCTTGCCTGCAACTCAGATCGGTCACCTCAATCTGTGACCTCTTGTGAAGCTTTGTGCCGTCTTCCGGTGCTGCGTCATACACCTTCAGCATGACATGCTTGCGCGAGACCGCCTTGTTTTCAATCTTCCAATTCTTTCCTTGTGGGCCATCTTTGTCGTCTGACTTGGTGCGACCGAATAGTTGCTGTGATCCGGGGCGGAGCCAGACGCGCTTGCCTCCGAAGAGGCTCTCGTGCTCCAGAAACCACATTGCGTGGCGTCGATATAAGCGGGCTATTATGTGGGTAGAGGGACGGCAGGTAGGATACGCATTGTTGTACTCGCAGCGAGACTGCGCGCGCAATGGTCTTGTGTGGTGTTGGCTGTGTTCACGGCTCTAGGCTGAAGTGCGCCAAGTCCATACGCGGGATGACGCGCTGTCAGGTGAGACGCTAACGCTCCTGCTTCCTCTTGACCATTTCAGCAACCGCGACTACGCATCACCCATCACCGATTTGAGCGTCACGATAGACTACGGAATCGCCCTCACAATGATTGACCTGCCCAAGTGTCCCACACTTTTCTACAATCACCCAGTATGCTCGTTCTCTTATGCCGGAACTCTTCCTGGGCACCCTGATGATCCCTGGAGACCCTCTCTTCACGATAAATGAGTAGCCATTCACTTGTGGCGCGATGAAGGTAAAATTTCCATTAGGATATCTACAGTATTTTGCCAGCAACTCGTGCAACTCAAAGCCATGACCCTCTTCGGTATCACAAAACGAACGGCGGACAGCCGACGGACCTGAAAAATGACCACAACACAACTTTTCCCTCCATCCCCGTTTCATGCCTGCGTCACAACAGTCTCTTCCGAAGCTTCCTGCATTGCTTGTTTGGCAGCGGTGTTCTTCTCCCTCTCCTGCTGGATTCGCTCAGCATACAGGCTTTTAGCTCTCATGGTAGGGCCCCATTTGTAGATGAAGAAGACCGGCGCGCAAACGAGAGCGGAGATGGCGAACAAGACCCAAGTCGAATTCGTGACACCCAGCTTCTTGTACATCGGGCCGGTATAGAAGGAGCATATACCGGCAAGGACGTCTCGGGCGAAGCCATTGCCACCGGTGGCTGAAGCGGAATACGTGCCTCCGTATGCGGCAACCATGTAGTCGATCGTGGCGAAGTAAATGGCGAGGTTCGCGCATCCGATCAAGACCGCGAAGATGAGTGGGGCAATCCAGGGAAGGGGTGGGCCAGCTACTACAAACGCTGACCCGAATAGGCCAATCGGGAGGAGCAAGACGATCCAGCGGAGGGCTGATAATCGGCTCTCGGGACTCAGCACTTTGCCGTTGCTACGCTGCTGATTGTGTATTCGGATGACGGGTACATATAGCACTGCTGCTAGCCAGTAGCCGATGAAGAGAGCGGACAGAGCGAGTCCTAGCTGACTAGGAGTGAAGCCCCATCCCTCCTTGCCGAACACGTAGCCGTATGACTCGAGGAAACTGAAAATGAGGGCGTCGCTGAATCCACTGAGCAGAGACAGGAAGCCAACGATCGGTTCGCATACCAGCATCTTGTATGGACGGCCCATGATCTTGAGACAGCCCTTGAAGCTCAGCTTCTCCTTCTCTGTCGGACCGACGACATTGTAATCTGGGTTCTGCTTGCGTTGCTTCTTGGCTACCTTGTTAAGCATAATGGTCGACCTAGTCTCCGGCACGAAGCAGAAGTGGACGATCTGGACAGTGGCGCCAAGGATAAGCTGGATCCAGAAATTCCATCGCCAATGGAGGAACTGCTCGATAGGACCTCCACAGATGCCGCCAATTACTGGACACAGTTAGCATTCCATTCCTCAGACACTCTACGACATGGGGTTTACATACCTGAACCCAGGCAACTCCACAGGCTGACCCAGAGGATGGGGAGTTGTTGATCTTCGGGATCGAACATGTCCGCAACCATTCCGAGTGTGACGGAGCCGCCGGCAGAGCAGAGGCCGCCAAGCAGACGCGCAGCCAGCACATGGCCCCAGGACGTACTGGCACCGGCCATAATTTGCCAGATGTTGACGGTGAAGAGGGATAACTGCATGACGGGCCAACGTCCGAACTCCTCGGACCAGGGTGCCCATAGTTCGCACCCAATACCATACAGGATCAGAAACCAAGCCATACCTGCTCTGGCGTTGGTGAAATGGTTGCTGCCGAGATGGTAGTGTTCGTTGAGCGGCCCTATTGCGTTGGAATAGACAGCTGCATTGTAGTCTGCCCCCTGTCAGTCTCGTATGACTAGACGGTCGGCAGAGTTACTTACTCATACTGGTTTGGCAGAGTCCGACCACCGTCAAAATCGCCCACTTCTTCTTGTTCGTGAACGCATACCCTGTCTTTTCATACGCGTTCACCTCGTTGAGCTCCAGTGGGCCGGTGAGTTGGGCTTGACGGCTGTGTGTCGCGACCATTTCGATCGCATCGGTTGCTTGTTTGTTGCGGGCACCAGAGCCACCAGAGCTGGCGTCGCTGTCGTTCCTGATGTATGACGCCATGGTTTAGATGGTGTCAGTAAGTTCAGTCAAGAGAACTGGATGGCCTGGAAGACACTGGACTTTAGATAAGGCAGAGTGCAGTCGGCGGTAAATCTGGGCAATGTGAAGGTTGAAAGATGGAGAGTGCGGGGAGACGACAGATCTTATGGCTGGCATGCACGGCGATGGAACTTGGGACGAGAGTCCCAGCTCTATGCCGACTATGGTTACTGTCCATCGCAACGGTGCTGACAAAGGTCAGCACATATGCAATACACCTCGATGTAGTGGACCCCGTTGACGGAAGTGCGAGACGGCCCGCCTCCTACTACCATGGTTCTGGAGTGCGTCCGCGCACATTTGCTCGCGATTACCAGCATCATTTCCTTCGATTCAATGCGACCATGGTTCCGCTCATACATGGACGCAAGCAGGGGCGCTCATAGCCTGGAGTGGCAGCAAAACACATCCCGCAACACTTCCTCCTCGACAGACCTCAGTTCATGCACACCAACCCCTCGCCAGGAACGAAAGTCTGGTTCGGAACAACACGGGGAACTATTACCACTACAATCACCAAAATCATGCAGGTACATCATGGGCCGAAACCCCTCGCTCAGAAGTAGCGTACCAGTTTACCATTTCTAGCCATCTAGAGGGGTACGTGAGCAAAACCCTCTTGCGTATGCTATTCACACTCCCTCTACATCAAACCTCATTGGCCTGAGCGAATGTGCAAGTCACATTGACAATACCTCATCACCCTGAGCCACCTCACGATGCTCAGCCTCTTCAGCTGCGCGCCCCCTGCTCAGGACCAGTCAAGCACACCCTCCCCCTCATCACTGCCATCGTCGCTCCAATTCCACGCCTCGCTGACCCATGGCCGCAACGGTGTCCAGCTGATTCCCCTTTTGTACTCGAACTGGCGCTGTAGGATCTGGAAGTGCGCGTCCAACTCCGCTCTTAATCGGGCAAGTGCTGCCTTGTCTTCCGCGGCACGAGATGCCGGAGTTGAGTTCTGGTTGCGTATCTCATCTTCGCTGATGGGTTTGAACAGGTGTGCCAGTGGCCGAGATTCGACTGAGGTATGAGAAGTGGAGTCGCAGTCATAAGATGTGAGTGCGATGGATGGCTTGCCGTCTCGATCTACTTGCAGCATCTTTGTGTCTGGCATAAGGAAAACTATCGCGCTCGGGTACATATACTTTGCATAGTCGTAGAATATCCCTATGTTCATCGATGAGTCGCTATCTCCCACTTCGGTACTAATGGTGCCCTGAGTGGCTTCGTGCTGCGAATCTTGGCGTTGCGTTGACATAGCGGTGTTGAGACTTAGCTATTACCAGCACGACACGAAGAGTTGTGTTACTTCTATACGCACTACAAACGCGAGTTGAAACGTCACAAGCAAGCAGTCAGTCGCATGTCTTTCTGTTCGGAGACAAACACTTATTTTCTGGTAATCAGCAAACCACCAACAATGAATGGTGTCAAAGAATTTACTGCGAAACTTCACAGCGCACGAGTTGTCCAGATACGCAATGCTTTTCGTGTCATATACTGTCTCCGCTGGTGGCTACGGTATGCGTATGCACCAGTCGCAGACATTGCTTCCTGTGCAAAGATGTTCACCAATGACCTACCCCACCGAGTAGCATAGCCCTTGCACTTTGACCATAGCGGTCAAGAAGATGGGCATACTAATGATCAAGATAATCCCTCCCCTAAGTTCCGACTCCTTAACCAGCACTGAACCTTGGATGGTAGCGGGCGGACTTCCGCTCGTGAAGTGAGAGCCTGTGTGTGTGTTTGTGATCAGCGACGACCTGCTAAGAAAGGAAGTACATGCATACCACATAAGCCGCCTGTTCGAATGCACACGCGGACTTTGATATAAATCATCCCGGTCCCATAGCATTCCACCATTGCTTATGAGCAGAGCAGACTTTGGTATGGTAGTTGTCAAGCTCGGCGCGCTGCATAACCATGAGCTCTCGCTCAGGTGCCACCTTCTCAAGATCCATTTCGTGCTCCATGGCGCGTATAAGCAACACTTTGATCTTGGTTACATGATCAATATGTGCACTATTGGCGATGGTGGTAGCGGAGGCGGCGGTAGGAGAAGGAGGTGGAAGTTGGTTGTTGACAATGTATCGGTCCAGCAACTCTTGTTGCACGCGTAAGCCCTAAAGCATGTTAGCACAGATAGGGAACAAAGATTCTCTAAGACATACATCTTTGGAATTCTGTATACCGGGAATCTCCATGGCCACTTGCCAAGCTACGATGTTGTCTTCAAGTATGTCCACCTCATCCTGGACCGTCTCCTCTTGTTTGACCGGAGTCTCACAAACCTTGGCGTTTGGGTTCAGGCTTACGAGGATGGACTCCAAATGAGTTGATTTGATAGTAGCATCGGTCTTGGCTCTCAAATGGGGAGGGATAGACTTCTTGCGGATGCTCTCAGGGCGAGGGCTCTTTGTGCTAGCAGCCGACGCGTCCTTTCTAGCGTCTTCTTGGATAGATTCCTCAATAGCGGCTGCCCAAGCCGGCGGTTGACTCTTCGCAGGCGATGCTGAGCTTGTGGAGGCCCGGGATGGCACTGGAGTCTCTGGAAGGCGAGAGTGTGGCACGAACATTGACTCCATCGTTCCCTTGGGAGGACCAGCGACGCGTGCGATTGGCTTGGTCGCAGCTAGCTTGGGCCTAGAGATTTGAACATGTTCTTTGACAGGGCTCGCTGGAGATGAAGGGGTGACAGAGCTTTGCACCAGATTACGAGGGTAGCCTGTACTGCGTGGAGCTGCCGCAGGCCACTCTCCGATTCCACGACCTAGGAGGTTGCCGCTTATAGATGGCGACGAAGGCATCTGGCTTTGTTGTTGAGTTACAGCGTACATCTTTGCTTCCTTTCTGAAAGACTTGCTGCGTCGATCGTGTTCTGGATCACGATTGAAACGAGGGTCTGGGAGGTCACCAGGCCTAGCGATGCTGTCAGGATCTGGTTGCCCTGTTCACCATGTCAGCGATGTCATGGGTCATTGTGTTTGATTTTTCATACATGTCTCAGCCTCTGGGGGTGGTGGAGGGAAAGCATCCCATACAAAGGCCGGAGTCGCGGTTGCTACACGTTTGTCAGCGTTGTCATGTCAACATAGCAGCAAATTGACCTACAGCATCGTGGAGAAAGCTCACTTGTCTTCTTGGGCGTGATGAACGGCATGCTCAAGATCTGAGCGCGACTGCTAGGAGATATTGGGGGTGTTGAGAGCAAGTGCGGGAAAGACTCTCGAAGAGTTGAGGCCAAGGCTGTTGGCGAGGCAGCCGACTAGCTCTTGCCGCCGATCGAATTCGAAGTGATCGCGACTTCCCGAAGCGGAAGCAGCTGAAATTTTTGCTGGGTGACCACGAAGTGACGTCAACTTGCTGATATCGAAAGACTTCCAGGTAGGAGCGAGATACAACCAAGAGGCTTACTCGAATAGAATAGTAGCTATGCGATGGAAAAGCTGATTATTACCGGGCACAAAAAGACTATGCCCGGGCAAGGCGAGATGACAAGATGATTTGGAGACTATAGAACAGAAGAGGAAGTAGGACTGGAAAGAGTAAAGCCATGTCACGGGGCAACGGCGTCTCTCACCTCGAGCTTTTGGGAGGGACGTCGCATGCTTGACTTCGCAGAGCCTACCAAATTAGAGAGATGCTCATGTGGATTACTAGAGTCTGCAATTGCAGATATAGAGTAATTGAAAGACCTTCTTCTTGTCCTTATCAGACCCGAGCGGAGGCCATGACTGAGGTGAGATTGAAGACAACGAGGGCGATTCATCGCAATGCTCAAAAGCTGCGCCCGCAATTTAACAAACGAAGAAGGGGATTCGTGTTCATCAACGGCTACGTCGTCATCCAGACGCGCGTGTAGCTCTTCTCTTGGATGATGTGCCCGGCGAGGTTTGTGCTGCCTCAGAAGCGGTGCCACTAAGGACCGGCCGCTAACCAAATCCATCTCTGATGACTACTACTATCCCACGTGAGACCGCGACAAGCGGAGATCTTTTTCTACATCCGATTGTCGTGCACACAGGTTCATTGGGCTTTGGTATTTCGCGTAGGCATCGTTCGACAGGCCAGGGAACGCAATCACTTTTACGCGCCGTACTCACGCCCTAAGTTTGCTTAACCACCTGCAGCGACTGTTGCGCGTGGTAAGCTGCTCAAGACTGCGAAAGCATACACACTGGATCTCCGCGATCAGCTTCACTCTCTTTCCGCATTTCGTCATTCTTTCATTTGACGAACCGCTACCCTTGGTTGATAATAGTTGGACCAAATTGCACCTGCCACGATAAAGCAGCCTCGCACTTTCTTCGGTTACGGCGAGGGAACCTTGCTCTCCCCAGTCCAAAGTCGCCATTTTCGCACTTCTCTCAAGAATTATCAACTTCTTCCGCAGAATGGCGGGAAAAGTCACTTATTCACGGCGCCCAAACAAACGCCGCGTACCTCACGACGGCGATCCAGCACATGACGACGACGACCATCACAAGCGGACCAAGACAAATACCGAGCCAAATGGACCGCGGCTACCAACACCACCCTCAAGCCGACGAGGGCAGAAATCCTGGTTCAACGGTCCCGTCTCCATTCCTGATTACGACATGAACCCTCCGCGCTCAATCTTCGATAAGGTTCTCGAAAACAAGAAGCACCAAGCCCCGAAGCCGCATGAGCGCAGTGTCCAGGGTGACTGTGAGAACTTCAAAGGCCTTATGGAAACGGGACACAAGTCGAAAGAACAAAATGGCTGGGCGAGGAACAGCTCTCTGCCAACACCACCAGCGGAGGCCCAGAAAAAAGCCCACCAGCAAGCGCGGAGAGATGAGAATCTCGCACGGTACAAAGGAATTACTAACAGGGGCGAGCCGGCGACACTGGAGACGTCACCTACGGCGTCAAACCACACATCGCAGCTCTTCGAGCGGGTCATCAAGAACGAGCAACCAAAAGAACCATATCAGCCGAGGACATACAAGGCTGAGGAGGTTTCAGGACCACGGCGAACTATTATGGGGGAACGTCTGTCTAGAAATTCAGGCCAAGCCCGCAAGTATGTCTCAGACAAAACCCACCTTATGCACAGAACTGACTGTATCAGATTCAAGACGAACCAGACCGACTCGCCTCTCCTGCAGCTCCCCGAAAACGTGAGGAATCTCATCTACGCTTACGTACTTGGTGGTAAGACTATCAATATCGGCTACCAGACCTATCACCTTACCTTTGACCCTACAAAGCCCAAGAAGGTAAAGCAGGTTACACCCATGTTCAAGTACCAGTGCACAGTATACGATGGTAACCGGAATCCTTTTACGACGATATCCCAACCCTGGGTCAAGAGTTCTACGGTGTTTACGCTGCTCAACGGTGTCTGCCGTCAGATGTACCAGGAAACAGCGACGCTGCCTTATAGGCTCAACCTAATCGCCTTTGACTCGTATAGCATCATGTTCAACTTCTTGTTCATGGAGGACCGCCTGCGTCGCGAGCATCTCGATACCTTCACCGAGATTTTGCTACCTGAAGAGCTACCAGGGTCAAATGCACTCGCCCGCTTGTGCAACGTCAACAAGGTGTTTTTAGGAGTCGCACAGGAGGGGAAACCTAAGGGGTGGTACCGTGTAGTGCGTGCTCAAGGCGAGGAGCCGAGACTTACAAGAGTGGTGAAGTAGTAGGAGGCATGCATGGCAGCATGAGTGTGCACATGAGGGCGTTAAAGGAGTTTCAGCGCGACTGTCTGGCATTTTCTACTCATCGGTTGCATGATACCCGGCATGGCAACGACGTTACGATCCAGCTACACACCCACCATTTCATGGCCAAGGCCAACAATCATCTGGTAGCTTGAAATAGATTCTCAGAACAGAGGCGATTATTTGCATGGACGACTGCGTTGCTTCTTTCCTTTTTTGTACACCTACGGACCGTTGAGTCAGTTGGGTCAGTAAGTCTGACATGTGAAAGAGGCGCCAGCTGTAAGCCAGTCCCCTGTGAGAATACCCAAGTGGCCACGACTGACTGTGTCACGCCCATATTCTTTTTGTGTGTGCATTGTCTTATGCATACGGACCTCGTGGACTCAATAGATCGGAGATGGCGGTCAAAACAGGTAGGGATGGCTGCCCTACGTCTGCAGCTTTCTCCAGATCTGCTGTCTGCAGCGCGGGATCGCGATTTCGGACGAGCAACTATTCGCGGCGCTATACGGCCTTTCCGAACTAACGCTGCGTGCCCACAGTTCACAATCAAGAGCTCTTGGGAGTCGAGCACAGCAACGGGTGGTCAGAGGACACTCGGCCTTTGATGCCAGCTACACGTAAGACACATGATCCATGGTGCATGTGCAGTAGTCTGCCAACACTGGACCTGCAGGTACAGGTGGAAGTTGCGTGTCGTATCAGCGTCGGTTGATGACTACTGCCGACGCGACACCCTCGCCGGCTCTGTTTAGTTGATCCTTGCCGATGACGATGTACCATGCGCATGTCCCCACGCTCCCTAGCATGCGCTGCACGCATCGAATACTTCAAAGGCGTCAATGCCGACCCTTCTCGCGCACGTTTCGTCTTCCGGCGACAACATTGCAAAAGTATTGAAGCGGCAAGCCTGTGACGCACCTTCCGCGACTTGCGCGACCGAGGCGCATGACCACCCGCAGTTGACCATCTCCGGCCACCCTACACCGCGTCTTCTCGAAAAGCACTATTACTAGGCTGCAGACTTCCCTGATCGCGACAGACTCCCTGAAGACCGACTCCCCTACTTCGACACCACCGCAGGCTGCCTATACAACACCTCGATCTATCGATCCCCCTCCCACCGGCTAAGCCACGCTCCGTAGGATTCGCGCATGGCGTGCACCGGCGCTCAATGTCATTGCTGTCTGACACCATCTTTACAGGCGGCAGTACGCGACTGCACGTAAGAGGAGGACAAAATGGGCAGAAATCCATAAGGAAGAGCAAGAGCCATGGTGGCTTCCTCGGACCCCTTGTGCAGCTGGCCAGGAACCCGTTAGGTGCTTTGAGCGACCCAGTGGGCGACTACCATGCTCCTGAATTAGCCGTGGATGCTGCGGAAGCAAATCGTAGGCAGGTCCTGTACCTGCACATGAAAGACGTGGGTTCCTCAGATTGGTCGTGCCCTTTCACATGCTGACGAGATCGCCGCGCAGGCCGAGACATACGACCAATGGAAAGCCGCCGCGACCGAGCTCGATATCTTAGAAGGAAACGAAGCCTGGAAAGAAGAGGACGACACGCCGGAATACAATGTGGATCTGGTTGCCGCCCGACTGAAAGAGCTGGACGACGCTCGCATGAGCTGCGACGTGAAGAGGATGCTGTTCCTGATTAGGACCACACTCACACGCGGATTGGGCGACATGGGCGACCTGCGTCTGTACAAGCACTCGCACATTGGGACCAAGCGTTTGATCGAGAGGTACATCGAGTCGGCGCAGCAAACCATGGCCGCTCTGCTGGACGTCTCGGAGAAGCAGGGAGATCAGTGTCCTATCGAGCCGCGGCGACTGGTCGACCAACTGCTTCAAACACGTCAATCATTCGGGCGGAGCGCATTGTTACTCTCAGGTGGTGGAACTTTTGGCATGAACCACATTGGCGTCGTTAAGGGTCTTTGGGACGCTCGTCTTCTCCCACGCATTATATCGGGAGCCTCTGCAGGAAGCATCGTCAGTGCAGTCCTATGTGCAAAGACTGATGCAGAGATCCCGGAGGTTATGCACCAATTTTGCTTTGGAGATTTGAACGTATTCGAAAGCCCGGATCACCCAGAAAGCATGATTAACAAAGCAATGCGGTTGATGAAGTCTGGAGCTCTCTTTGACATTGCACATCTCATGAGAGTTATGCGTGATCTGCTCGGGGACTTGACCTTTCAAGAAGCATATAATCGGACTCGACGTATCTTGAACATTCCTGTTTCGACTTCGTCGCTCTACGAATTGCCCAGACTCCTCAACTACATCACAGCGCCCAATGTGATGATCTGGTCAGCAGTGTAAGTCCACGAAAGCAATGGAGTGTTATGTCTATGCTAACTCTACATAGATGTACGTCTTGCTCAGTTCCGCTAGTATACAAAAAGGCTTCTTTGCTGGCCAAGGACCCAAAGACCGGACAGGAAGTACCTTGGGACCCAAACCCCGACGCGACCTGGATCGATGGCTCAGTAGATAACGACTTACCGATGACCCGACTGGCCGAAATGTTCAATGTGAACCACTTCATTGTCTCGCAAGTCAACCCGCACGTTGTTCCCTTTCTGGCGAAAGAGGAGGAGATTGTTGCTGCAGAAGCCCAGCAAGATGCCGTCACTGGTCCCGGTTGGATGAGTCTCTCAGCTAGTCTTTGCAAGGGCGAAGTAATGCACCGCCTCCAACAGCTAGCGGATACTGGATTCCTCCCAAATCTTGTCACAAAAGGACGTTCGGTACTCAGCCAGAGGTACTCAGGCGACATCAACATCTTCCCCAAGATTAACTACGCAGACTTCCCTAGAGTGTTGAGCAACCCCACGCCAGAGTACATGGTCGGATGCATGCTCACTGGACAGCGAGCTACATGGCCGAAGCTCTCGCGGATACAAAATCATGTCGCTATCGAGCTCGCATTGGACGACACGATCCAGAAGCTCAAAGGACGGCTTGTATTTACACCTTCACAGCAAGACATCAATATGAGGCGGACCAGCTCTCAGGATCATGATCTCGCTCAGAGAAAGCGAGCGAAATCGACACATAAGATGACGCGCTTCGAGCTCAGGACGGAGCCTCCTAGTCCTGTGCTGCGGAAGTCTGCACCCACCAGTCCTCTCTTGTCTCGCGCAGCCTTGAGAGCGTCCTCACAACCGCTTTCCGTCGCGAAGCAAGCTCACGGCGCAAACAATGCAAGGCGTCAGTGGACCGAGACCATTCAACTCGATCCCATGTCGTCTACCAATGACACCTCCGACCACGACTACTTCGCCGACCCCGAGTCAGACACCACGGACAGGCTCTCATCACCCTCGCCTTCTACGTCACCTACATTCACCGGTCCCGCCCTTTGGCCTTCGACCCCTCAAGCCACGATGCAAGCTGCTCCACAGCCCACGCCACAGCCCGCTCAAAGTCCGCTCAGTCGCCGTACCAACACGCTGTTTAACCTCACCATGACCTCGGCGGCAAGAAACTCCTCCAACCCAAACGTACCAAGCTCACCAGAGCTGCGGTACAAGCGCCTATTCCACCCTCCAGGACCCGCTACACCCGATGTCAGTGTAGGCCCACCGATACTGGACGTAGAACCCGTCAGCACAACACGTTCCCCATCTGCCAGTAGACCTGGTAGCCGGCGCGGTAGTGCATCGGGTTTGCCGATTGATCCCTCAGGGACTAGAGGCATGCTCCTGAGAAAGAAGAGTTACATGTAGTATGGATGGCTGAACTTGATGTCTTTTTCGCGATTACCCTTCTTATACATAGTCTTTTACATTCTTTCCGCCCTCTTACCATCTTCTTTCGCAGTTTCCTTTGTTCAAACAGCATGGAAGGTAGACCAGATAGGGATCCGCACGTTTCAAGAGAGTAGACTGGAATAGTGACAGTACACAAGAGTAGTGATACCCCTTTCGTGTACCGTATCTCTATAAACATACATAAGAGGTAGCAGAGACCAGACCGTATAAATAGTATAAATACACAATCCAAATCCAACATTACTCGTCATCATCATCGCCCGCATCACCGAATCATTACCAAACAGGTTTCATCATTACCCACCCGCCGTTAAATCATTCACTCAATTCCTTCTCCGTCTCCCTAAAAACCTGCTTAACCTCCTTTCCCCTCCACCGCTCAAACAACTCATACCCAAACACCAGCACAATCGGCAAGCTCACCATTATCGCTGTGACCCGGCGCGACGCGGGCTTGTATTTAGGTGGTAGCCTAACGTCTGGTGTGGGCTCGATGAGGCGCGTGGGGTGTTGTCGCTGGTGTGGCGGTGGCGGTGTTTGTTGATTCGAGGGACGGATGCTGGTTGGGTAGGGGTTTGGCGGTATGTGGCGGGTGGATGGTGTGGGTTTGGAGAAGCGTGGGTATGGGTTCGGAGGTGGTGATGAGATGGGTGAGGGCGCTTTTGTGGGGTGCGAGGGGAGGGGGATTGTTGTTGGGCGTGGGGAGGTGGGTTTTGTGGTCGGATTTGAAGGAGGAGTGGTCGTAGATGCTGCTGGCGCTGGTTTTGTTGTCGGTTCTTGGGTCTGGGATTGTGGCGGCGCTGTCTTCTTGTCTGTACTCGACGCTACTTTCTCCACGACCTTCGCTGATTGTGCTTTCTTTAACGTCCCTTTTGCTTGTACCTCCTCTAATATCTTGCTTGTGGAGGGTGTGACGGGCGTGGGTTGTTCGGGCGCAATTGGCGATTGAGGCGCGTCTTTCTTCGCGGCAGGAGCAACAGCAGGAGCAACAGTCTTTGCGCTCTTCGCAACCGTCTTCTTCTCTTTCTTGACTTCCGCAGCCTTCGCTTTCCCAACAGGCTTCGCGGTCACCTTCTTTACGGCCACCTTGCTCGCTTCGACCGCAGGTGTTGTCCCCGCATTCTCGGCTACGACTTTCTTCGGGCGACCGCGTTTCTTAACCGCTGGGGGTTCATTCGGTGGTACTGAAGCCATTGTCGCTGTTCAATTGGCACATAGACTGCATGCGCAAAGCGTCTGAGGGTGTAAGGAGGGCGAGATTGGCGTTGCGACACGGCGACTAGGGCGTGCGCATTTCGAGGGGTGAAGCGGGAAATTTTGGGCGAGTATGATTTAGGCGGAGATGAGATGCGATACAGGGATGCGCGTGCATCCAACGGTTCGTAGCGTGTCTGGGGACAGACGTGACTTTGCTGCATGGCGACTAGTTTGCATGAGGGTAGCTAGGCACTCCATGTGTACTTCATTTCATTCATTCAGATATCTACGTTACAACATATACAAACTCCATGACACGAATTATACCCGTGGTGCGATCCAACACTTTGAACTCCTACCATATTCCCAACTACTTCTGCGCTTCTTCCCTCTTCACTCTGAAGAATGCCAGCTTGGCGAAACGTCCTAATTGACCCCAGTAGTGCCGACCAGCAGAGTGGTCCATGATTCTTTCTAGTAATCGCACGACTGCCATCCTGACATCCTGTCTAGGATGAAACAAGCCTAGACTAAGATAGAAGAGACCGGCATCTGGGATCACACAGAGCAGCTGCAGAATGGTGTCGTACTGAAGCTGCGAATTCGCTTTGCGCTCAGAGTCATTCGCGATGGAAAGTGACTGGGCCATGGAGGACAAATCACTCGAAGAGGCATTCGCACTCTCACTAGGTGAACCCGCTTCTTCAACACATCGCGCCAGTGCAAGATAGATGCCCGCAGATTGATCGTGCGTGAGTTTCAAGCAGCGCAGCTTGTCGTGCTGGTGGGCCATATCAAGACCGCGCACTGGTCTCTTCTTCCAGTGTCTCGCTAGATCTTGAACGCAGCTGTAATAACTCCTTGTGTTGCGCCAGCCCTCGATACGATGTACATTTGCAGCGAGCTCCCGTAGCTTGTGGTTCTCGTCTGGCCAGACGTAGCCATGTCCCGAGACACCATATGCGCCAACGTCGGTCTCGTGGGAGCCAATGTACAATGCCGAAGCGCCATAGACCGTCTCTTCGAAAGCGGCCGCGATGCGGGTGAACTTGAGCACCCACGAACGCCACTTCGCTCGGATGGCATTCTCACCGTGACGGTTGGCGATACTCTCGAGAAGTTTGTCCATAAATTGGGTATCGCCGGTCGGGTCGACGCCGCCGCCCTTGCCGTCAAAGGCTGGTGGTGCACCTGGTCCATTCAACGGTAGGCCCTGTTGCTGGAAGAACATGGACCCCTCGGTGGGTGATGCCGTCTCAATGCGATTGCTGATTTTCATGCGACCGGTCGGCAGATCGCAAAGCAGATCCCACCACTCGGGCTTGTACGAGAATGCAGGGTTGGTGACACCAGCAATGAAGCCAGGTACCTTCAGCAGGTCGTCTACTTTGGTAAGGTCGGTATATGGAAACGCATGGCGAACGAAGCCACGGAGAATGCCACCAGAGGCTAGAGCGCATGCTGCCAGCACAGCTTCCGCGACCTCGCCTGAAGGGCGATTATGACCGATGAAGATGATGCGCTTCTGTGTGAGGAGAGCATTGACGAGGACGATGATTGGGTGTGTGAATGCGCCGCTCGTAGTTAGATGTGGGTGTAAAGCGAAGGGCTGAGGTTGCGTCGCATGAGGCGCGGAGAAGGTTTGGATGAGCTTAATCAAGGAGAAATCGCCCACAGTCTCTGGACTCAGAGCGGTGGGTATTTTGACAGGAACGGGTATGCCGTTGTAGTTGATCTTGGACTCGAACTCGTGGGTGTCTCGCGGGACAGTGTATATCTTCTTCCGCGACTGAGGGTCTGAAGAGGTTTCGATAGAGTCTCTCGCCGCGTCGAGCTTCTTCCGCTGCCGAACCATGAGCTCAAACTTCTCCACAAACATGTCTTTGGCATCGCTGGCGCCAAGCACATAGTTCTCCAGCGGGGACAGTCTCGGCAAAAGGGAAAGATCCATGGCATTGAGTGCGTTGTACAGAGATTCGAGCGTGTCCAGGACAGGTGCTCTGAAGTATTCCTCGAGAGCCAGCAGTAACAGAGGCTTGTATATGTGCAGGAAAGGATGGCGCGTGCATATAGCCATGGCCTTGACGATGGCACCCCTGCATAGTATTAGTCTTGCCAAGGATATGGAGATGTTCCTCCTACCTCTTCACTGTATTGTCCTGCTTGGTGTTGACCAGGTTCAAGACATAGACCAGTGGAGGCCCGTCGGGGTCTGGCTCCCCTTCGCTTTCTGTGTCGTCGTCTCCGTCGTCGTATTCGTCGTCTTGCTCTTCAGTGCCGGCAGTCGCGTCGTCGTCGCCTTCATCTTCCAGGCCCTCTTTCCGCCGCCGCCTCCTTCTCCTGCGCTCTCTCCGTGCTTCGCGCTCCTCCTCTTCGGCTGTGGTGTCCTTGTGTAGGAAAAAGATAGTCCAGTCTTGACTGCGCACGTGGGCCTGATCGGGCAACATGAGCTCTGCTAGCATAGTCTCGTCCCCACTGATAGCCGCCGGGTACTGGTGCTCCATGATGGAGCCGCGGTCAATGTCGAACGAGGCGACCAGGATGTACTCGACATGGTTCTCAACCGCATCGGCGGGATATTGCGAGCGCAGTTTCGCGGCTCCACTGGGAATGGCGGCCATGGAGGACTGATACGACTCGTCGTGCGAGGACTGGATCGAGTCGTCTTCGTCGCCCTCGCGGAGCATGGGGGGTTGCGGGGAGCGAGCTTTCGGATGGTGGCCATTGCGGGTAGAGGGCGATCGCGAGGGAGGAAACGAGGAGAAGGAAGGCTGGCGCTGCAGCGGAACAGGCTGAGCGGCATTGGGCCCGCTTGGCCGCTGTGCGATTACTTCAGCCATGAGTGTCTCCATCTTCTTCTGTACGGGCACCTGGCGACTCCGATGCTACATTATCGATCGACGGCGCTAGGGGGGAGCCTAATGTAACCGTTCCGAAACAACATGACGCGCTGTAGCTGGCGGAGATGGGGAATTGACCCAGCAAGCTGTGGATCTGGGAGCGTGAATGGCTACCGCATAGTATCCGGAGCTGTGACTATGCGTGTGACCCGCTATGCTGCCCGCAGAGAGTGAACGAACCCTGCATGCCCACGCCAATTACCCATACCTTCTTATCGATAGTGTGGTTGCTAGGCCATCCCATTAACAACACCAAACAACGCGACGACCTGCGACACCACCAAAACGAATATACGCACCATGGTATGCTGGGCCCTTGTGAACTGTACGAATGCGACTAATCAAGATATGCAGTCTACAACACCAACGCCCTACAAGCCCTCTCCCCTCTCCTTCAACAGCCCGCGCCAGTCGCCCTTCCGGAGACCAGGCTCCATCAGAGAGAGCTCACCGTCTACCCTGCGACCATCGACGCCGAACAGTTCGCCTCTCAAACCAAAAGAGACTCCGACATCCCCCGCGCAAACACCCAACCGCCTGTCCATTGGAGGCAATCCATCGCAAAACCCGCCATCCTGGCTGAACACGCGGGGGACGACAGGAACCCCAGAAGCGCCCAACTCGCCTTCTCGAAATCTTTCACCTGGACGCAATGTCTCGCCAACGCGGAACGTATCCTCGTCCTCGCAGATGACGGTGCGCCCTCTAAGCACATCATCTATTGCAGCCAAGTTTGAGGCCGCTGGAAGGGATGACGCACCACCGCCTCTCTTCAGTAGGAAGAAGTCGCCGCCTATCGAGAATACCGAGCCGATCGAGAGCTTCAAGCCAGCCGAGACCTATACTCCGGTTGAGGAGCCTAAGCCGGCCGAGACCTACAAGCCCGTCGAGACTTACAAACCCGTTGAGACGTATAAACCCGTGGAGACCTACAAGCCTGCCGAGAACTACAAGCCAGCAGAACGCAACGCGCGACCAGCACCCATGCAACGCATGGCCTCCAGCGACGCCCTCTCAAAACTCCCCCCACCCCTCCTCCACAGCATGCGCGAGTCCTTCAGCGTCATGGACCGCGACGACGACGGCCACGTCAACTCCGCCGACGTCGCAGACATGCTATCCCAACTCGGCCTCTCCGCCACCCCCTCCCAACTCTCCACATACTTCAACGGCGCACAGTCCATCAACCTAGCCACCTACCTAACAACGCTCTCCGACCTCCTTGGCAACCTCTCCCACCAGAACGAATTGACGGCTGCGTTCGAGGCCTTCGATGACAACGACGATGGGCAGATTGATTTGGCGGAGTTGAAGGACGCGCTGTTACATACTGCGCCTGAAGCTGGGGAGAGGAAGTTGACGGAGCGGGAGATCGATATGGTTGTTGAGGGGTTTAGTGGACGGAGGGCTTTCGCTAAGGGGGGGAAGAGTTTGGGTAATAGAACCGAGGTGTTTAGGTATCAGGAGTTTATGGCTAGTCTTACGGGTGGGAATGGCAATGGTGGGGAGAATGGCGAGGGCGCTGCTGCACCGGCGTAGATATATCCTGCGAGTACAATTGGGTATCGTTTTGAGTTGGGAGTTTGGCTTTATGCGCAGGCAAGTGCGGTTTTATGTATACCAATGAGTATTTGATTTATGTACGAGCAGCGCATGTTAATAGATACATATGTCCACGTTTTGTGTGCACTTTGTCTTGAGCTGCTTCATCGACTCTTCTGCTGAAGTAGCATTACTCTTGAACCCAATTGCATGTTCATGAAAGAATACTCAATTACTCGGATGCTATTTAGCTCGGGGTTCAATGTATACAAAATGCATGCCCAATATACACGTACCAAAGACTCCAAGTATCTGGGCTGCAGACACGTACTGTCGAGCTTCACCAAAGTACCGCGGCACCAGACATACAAGTCGCTTTCGATCAAAATCAATCTGCCCAAGGCCTGGCAACGGCTCTCGTATCTTTCAAAAGACAGAACGCTCTCCATCACCCTATTTGCTATGCACGACCACCCCTAGCCTAGTAGTATGGCCATTCCTCGCCATCCAAATTTCTGTGTTTCTCCCTATAATCCATTCTGTCTTGGCGGGAAGGAAAAACGGAATACTGCGTGTAATGCCGCTCTCCCGTTCTCTAGTTTGATCTTCGATTGTGGGAATGGGTTCGGGACCTGGACTTGTATCTGTATTTGATCCCCATATCTGCCAACCGGGAGCAAAACAGCTTGCTTCGAGCAATGGGGCTGGTTCGGCTGATTCGGCTGGACCGTTCCTGTTTCTTAGTCTAGCGATTCTGAGGTTGTGGGTGGATTCGCCGGTTCTGATGCCATTGTCGTGAGGGAAATATTGGACGCTGGATGATAGTACGTGTTAGTTTCTGATGTAAAACATGAAAAAGAGATCTATATCCTTTCACTGAAGGAATCTACTTCATGCATCCTGGAGATAGATCTGCTTCTTTTCGAAGCTTCGTGCATGTGCTTTTCCATACCAGTCCTCGAACCACACTGAGCCTACTATGAGGTCAATATGTAAAGTCCTGATGTCGCTCTTGGAGAAGGGATGTGTGCGGAAACATGTCATGTACAGATGGTTCGGCCATGGGTGAGATTTGGGCGAGCTTTTCGCGCGTTTGTGAGGTGTAGGCTGATCCATGTCTTCTGTCGCTTTGCGTTTGAGAGGGCAGGTCTCGGTAGTCGATGTTATACTAGGACTTGACGCTAAAGGCTGAGCGATGCGTTCTGGGATGGGGTCGCTGCTCACTGTCTGAATAGTGCTGTTCGAGAGTTGTGGCGGCAGCATCTCCGCGCATTTGCAGCCTGTCAAAGTTTTGGACATTGTCTGCGTGAAGGCGCAAGCTGTCATGCTACCTATATTGGAGCCTTGCATGCCGTGAAACGACCAGTCTACGACACCGCCATGCTCGCCTTCGAAGGTGACCTTGAGGACCCTGTCGTTCGTTATCAGTCGCAGACTCAACCCTACCGCGCTTGCCTCAAGACCAGGCTCTAGCGTTGCGGCGGTCTTCTCATATGCGCCGTCTTCGAAAACCTCTTCGTCCAGTACATATACCGTTGGCTTTCTGTTGGGTCGTTCGTGACGTAATGTCAAAGTGCCTGACTGTAGGTCATGGATGTAGAGCGCGAGTCCAATAAACTTGACAGGGAAGCCTCTTATCTTGGTAGTATCTCGTATCTGTGAATAAGATCGTGGAAGTTTGGCTCTTGGAAGGTTGAGAAGAGATAGATCAGAAGCTTTTATGAGTGTGTCTTGAACAGCGAAAGTAGCGACTGGGTTGTATGGCAAGTGAGAGAACGGTAAGTGAACTCAGATATAAGAAGTAGGAGAGGTGGAGGCTCCGCTATCACTTGGTTGTCTCTCGCATGTGCATACAATCTACGGAAGTACATGCTTCCTGCCTGCCACAGATGAGGTTCTTCTCTCACCGCAGGCCTGTCTCTAATTTGCCCACTTCCCTCATGACCAGGGCGCTAGGTGAAGGGCGTCATAGTGTTGACTATGATGCCCGGCCTGGACATGATGTCACTAGGATGCTGTGTCTATCATCTCGCGATTGAGATGAGTTCTGGATCGGAACAAGTATTCCCATCTCTTCCCGAACTCGTAACACGCAAAATAACGGTCGTCTCTTCCTACGTTGAGGCTCTGCAAACCTGAACCGGGCTACGTTCGGCGATGAATGTTCGGGCTGATGTCACAACGTACCAGCCTCTTCCATTCTCAAGCCGGCCGACTCGATCCCGATACGGGCCATGAACAATGACGGTGAGCAAAGATGGGAAACAAAGAACATGTTCGTCCATTAGGAGCCGTTGCCGTGGTTCATGCATGGATGGAGGCCTTGAGAACCCTGTAGCTAGCGCAGGCTGGACACGTCCGGTGGCTTCTGCCATTGGAGGACAGTACACGTGATGTACAACACATCGGCGCGGATTAGAAAGCTACAAAAATTGCCATCCACTCGTTGGATAATGGCTGTGAATAGTGTTGAAATTGGCCTGAAAGCGGCTAGCACTGGTGAGCTGGCCGAAAGAGGTCGCAGATATAATATGTCATAGGGCGCCCATTGGTTTAGACGTTGCAGCACAGACGCAGTTCGCGCGCTGCATGAGCGATTGGAGAGCTTCCACCATTTTATATCTTGCATCCGACCCCTCCTCGCCTCCCACCGTAGCTTCCTACCGACAATGAGTGGCCCGGGTGAAAATCGGTACGTCTGAATGCGCACGCGAAGCTGTGGGAGCTTCCGAATACTGACGACTGCTACAGCTGGCGGCGGCAGGGTCAAGCCAACCGCAACTCCAACTCGGGCGCAAACACCCCCACCAAGGACAATGCAGGCCGGCAGCAGGCCATGCCAGCGCCCACGGGGAGCGTCTGGGGAGCCAAGCAGGGCAAGGGAGCAGGTCCCGCAGCTGCACCAGTCCAAGCTCAGCCTGACCAGCACGTACCTGTGAAGGAGTTCAACGCGAACGAGGTCAAGGATTTCCTCAAGAAGAGTATGTCTATGGCATTGCTGGATCATGACATTACATGAGCTAATTGGCTGCAGAGTACCTTGAGAGCACAGCCAGTACGAACCTCTCCATCACTCGCGCGCATACATAGAGGACTAACAGGCTTCCAGACCAACCCTCGGTATACCACAAGGTCCCCGGCGACTCTGTCCCGACCCGCAGCACTGGCGCATGGGGCAAAGGAGGTAAGGCGTCATCGAACCACCAATGGAGACTGGCATACTGACGTGGACCAGGCACCATGACACACCTCATGCCAACCGGCCAGGACTTCTTCACACAGCTGAAGAAGCAGATCGCCACTCTCGAGCAGACCAAACCAGCGCAATAATCGCATACACACCCGACATCCATTTCAGCGGCATTATGGGGGCATTACAGGAGTTCTGTGGGCATTGAATTGCATGGGTGTTATATGGCAGTACTTATAGCGGCATGAGTAAGGTCATGTGCAGGCGTCTTGGAGTTTGTGAGCGTGTTTCGGCCCAGCTAAGGATGATCGCACGCGATACCCATCTTGAAAGTATTTGGGGTTAAGGTTACAGCATTGGAGAGCGTTCGGATGTAAAAGGTCGTACTGTCTGACATGTGTCTGAAGCAAAACGTGCTATAAAGAATCCACGGTCGTTACTACAACAGTGAATACACAACTGCTGCATACCAGTATGTGCGTGAAATACGAGCGTCATCGTATCAAAGTCACCTGGTACAAGGATACCCATACCCCTTTCACTCGTGCAAAGAAAGGGTCCACAAGCTTCGCGCAAGCCACTAATTCCAAACACACGGCAAGCGTCAACAAACACCAGGCTCGACGACTGGGCGGCAACCGAGGCTTCATCGTTGTTTTCCCACACGCCTTCATTGCACGCGCTCTATCGCTAAGCGGCACAAGCCACTCATCATCACGCATCATCGTACTTGGTACCTGAGGCGCATCTCCGCAGCCACAGCCAAGGCCGCACCATCGCTGAAGTCCTGAGGCCGTCAACACGCCGATACCCCGCCACAGCGACCTCCTATCCCAGCGCAATTACATAGCCCTTTGGTGGCTTGTCAGGGCAGAGCCGCGTCGTGCAGGTGCTGAGAGGCAGACGCGCATTGCGCGCCCTGGTTCACGGTTCACTCCCGCGTAGATCTCCGACTGGGGACTCCTAATGCGGTCCGCCTTTGTTCATTTCCGCGACTTCACGAGCCTTCGACGTGTTCGGACCACCGGCGACTATCACAATACCACGACAACACCATGTCGTCTCCTCCAAGCACTCCCACCCAACGGCCTGCGTCTTCGCACCGTCGGCACCCCTCCAGCCTAGACATGTCACACAACACCTCGTCGAGACGACAGTCCTTCACCCGCCGCAACTCCGGCTACTCGCCCATAACACCGCGCTCCTCGCATGAATTCGAACACAGCCCCGCGCACCAATTCGACGGCGGAGGAGACGGCAATGGCTTGGGCAACCTGGCCGACGAGCTCGGTGAGATGTACGACGATGATGACGAGGGCATGGAGGGCGAATATGGCGAGGAACTGGACGAAGCACAAGACGAAAACATCGGCACAGCTGTAGAACACGACGGCTCTTATGGAGTCGACAGCGCAGCTAGCCTCAACGGTGTGCGGGATAGTGGGGTTGCCATGCAGGACTCGTCTCCGGCGCGCCTCAGTCCAGGGTCGGCCGTTAAGACGAAAAAGCACACAAGGCAACGGTCGCTGTATGATGGCTCCGACTACGGTGACGACTCTGACCTGGAAAATGAGGGCATATCGCCAGCGCTCGACGCGCGGATGGCGGCTATTGAGAGTCTGGCACGGAGAGGCATGGAGGAGAATGGGAGCGCATCAGACGAGGTGGTGAAGAGGGTCACGCAGCAACTCCGAGATCTTGGCAGCCAGATTGCTATGGAGAATGGAGCGACGAGGTATGCTCTGATCCGCAGGCAAATCCAGTCATACTGCTAACAAACCCCAGACTAAAGACTGCCCATGAGGCTCTGACAACACATCTGACACACCAATCGCGTACCCTTACATCCATCGCCGTGTCCTTCTCAGGCCCATTCGCCATCCTTCCCGACCCGGAAGACATCGACGAACTTCTACCTATCATACAAACAACACTGGAGCTGCTACCCCACCCCTCCGCCGATCCGCTCGTCGCCATCTCCCACCTCACCCACTCCAGCCGCGAACTCATCCAACACCTCTCAAACGTCAGCGATACCCTACACATGTCACGACAAACGACGGCAAATGCTGCCAGACGGCTCAAAGTCAGCAAAGAACAACTGCAGGACTGGAAACGCGACAACGAGAAAACGCAAGAGGGACAGGAATACATCGAGCATGGAGACTGGGACCGACGGCTCAAAGAGAGGGAGGCAAAACGGGCTTGTGCAAATGTGCTAGATGGGTTCGAGGACGTCTGCGGGCAGTGGAGGAAGAGACTCTGCGAGGGTCTGGGCGTGGCGAGTGCGTAGACCCTCCCTGCGTATCTCCCTGGGCTGTTCTGTCTCAGCGAGTCTTCTGCAGGGCTTACGACTGACCCAATACAGGCGCGGATGTCCCGGACTCGGAGGCATATATTCGCCCTTCTTGGCATCCTTCCTCCGCCAGCACAGTGCCGGAACCGCCGGCAGAGTCAGACTGGTCAGATTGCACTCCAATAAAGGCGGCGCCTAAGAAGGTATTCCAAGAAACCAGTACAGACTCGATGTTTCCCGACTCTGCGGATGAGATGCATTGATCATCACTTGTTTTTCTTATGTTGTATTTGTTGCATTGATATGGCATGGCAGTAAGGTGTTTTTGGCGGCGGCAACTGATAGATGGAGACTCTGGTAATACCCCATTTATATCTATAGCTTCAGGACAAGCGCTTGTCTCATTTGTAGGAGTTGGGGGCCTTTTGATAGATGAAGAATGAAAGGCATTACAGTATTGCAGGTGGGAAGATACTTGGAAGTTGGTGGGATTATGCTGACTACGAGATTTGCTAATAGCTACAAATGGAACAGCTCATGCTAGCTTCCGGATCGAGCTCACGTCGCTTACACCTGTACCTTCGACTACCTTCGCCTCGATGACCTCGTATACGGGCACCTCCTTGAGTCTCTCGACGATGTGATGCAGCGTTGGCAGCGCCTTCCAGTCCAGAGCATCAAAAGAGATCTCAGCCGAGCTTGCCTTCAGCGTCCGTCCGACCTTCTTCTCCACCGTCTTCGCATCCTCTCCACCCGGCAGAAAAGCGGTGTATTCCACATCCGCCTGCCCGCGCTCCTTGCTACCCATGTTACCAGTAGCCGGTACATACTTGTGCAACAAGAGCCCCTCGTCTTTCGGAAGAGGCGGAGAGAGTCTGGGCGCCTCACCATTCGTCGTGGAGTGTTCTTGCAGCCCAGACAGTGACATGCTGCAGAACTTGGATGACATCCAGCCTGCGTCTAGTGTCCACTTGCCATCATCACTCTTCACATCGAGCTCAGCGAAGAGCTTGGGGAAACCTAGCTCTTCCCTTCCACTCAGTATGGGATCAGCCAGATTCTCGAACAGGACAGGCAGGTATGTGCCCGTTACCGACTCGCCATCCGCTCTCGTGTGCTGGATGCCGTGGATATACAGTCCGAAATGACTGTAACCCCTGCCACCGAGCCACTCGAGGTTGTCTAGTTGCGTCACCGCGAAACTCGCATAGCAAGTCGTATCAGCCGCCGCAAACTTCAACTTCTCGGTCGGCAACAGGTTCTCCAACACAGTTCGGCTGGTCTTGAACTTGATACTAGCAGTCTTGAACGTAGCCTTCGACCCATCTCTCGGCCGTCCCTCAAAGTCTTGCCTCGGCCCGGGCATCGGACCAAAGGCCGTAGGCATGCGCCAGAACAAGCCTTTCTTGTTTTCCCACTCCCATTTGCGGAGTATTTGGCTGGAGTAGTCCCATTCGTCGTGGCCGAAGTTGTAGTTTGTGAACTTGTGGGGGTCGACTGGGGGGCCGCTGCCGAGGTCTTTACCTGCTACGCGGGAGTATTCTTGAATGGTGGAGGCGCGCTCGTATCTGCATTTTTCGTAGAGCTTTAGGCGTGCGGGGATGGAGTCGAGGGGTGTGCCTAGGGGGAGCATGACGGCGAGGGAGGCGGCGTCTTCGATGGCTTGGCCTGCGCCTTGTCCTTGGTCTGCGATACGGTCAGTTTGGCTGTCGTTACAGTCATGAAGAGAGGGCGGGACTTACGAGGTGTAAATGGATGTGCGGCGTCGCCAATAAGGACCAGCTTCTCCTCCGTCCAGGTCGGCAGTTGCTCCATGTCCAGCAACTCCCACACCTTCAACGTCTCCTCGTCCGCCATACCCAGTAACTTGAGTACCGCAGGCTCAAAGTCCTTGTACACATCCAACATCTTGTTCAAGTTACCCTGATTCTGCCAATCGCTACTCCCAGGCTCCTTTGGATCAATCTGACTCTCAGCCGTCGGATGAATACAAACAAAGTTCAACAACGTATTATCCGACGTCGGATACACAACGACCCTCCGATCCCTCGCAAAGATCATAACGAGATGGCCCTCCTTCTCCGCAAACTTGCGCGTCATCTCATCATCCAACGCCCGCTGTCTAGGAATCAGGAAACGGAACGCGCTCTTCCCACTCCCAAAAGTCTTGATGTTCTCCGCACCAGGAATCCGGGGTCTTGTCTTGGAATGCACACCATCCGCGCCAACAACAACGTCGCTCTGGATCTTCTCCCCGTTTTCTAGTACAACAACACCCGCTTTAGCATCAACATCCACAACCTTCGCCCGCAGTCTAAGAACCGCCGGCTTCCCCTCCCCCTCTTCACACGTGGCCAATCTCTTCAACTCGCTGTGCAAACTCACACGATGCGCAAGCTGCCAGGGATGCTGCCACCTCGCTGCGTCGTGCTCGAGCGGCACGGTAAAGAGTTCCTTGCCGTTCGGCAGCATCTGCGTCATAAGACGACATGCTACCGCGCCATGGGCTTCTGGGATTAAGCCCATGCGTCGCAGGAGGCCGTTGGCGTTGGGGGCGAGGTGTACGGCTGCACCGAGTTCGTTGGCGAAACGTGAGGCTTCCAGGAGGGTTACTGTGTGGCCGCGTTGACGCAGGAAGATGGCTGCGCTGAGGCCGCCGATGCCAGCGCCGCATATTGTTACTTTGAGGGGTTGTGAGTTTGGGGGCGTGTGCCCGTTGATACCGTTGGTACCGTTTGTGAAGTCCATGGTGGGTGGGTGTGAGAAGCGTTGCAGGATGCTTGGGGTTGCAACAGGATAGTACGGGAAGGAATGAAGAGTTTGTCTCCAACTTCAGAGGAATATTTTCTAGACAGGTCTTCCAGCTAGACTCACTCGATCTTTGCCGTAGAACAGAACCAGTGCTGCCTTGGATCGTCGGTACAGGCTGGAGATGGCTCCTCCACTTCCCGTGCTGTGGGTGGCATGCGGGTTAGTATGGGTGGGTTGGTGTAGGGCGATGCAGGGCACTGCGAAGGCGTTCCTCGGAGTCCGAAGAAGATTACTAGCTGCGAGTGAACCGTCAGGCTAAATGCGATGTGCGCGGTAGTGGTGGTGGTTGGTGGCGCATGCTGACTGAGCCGAGGATGCACGTATGTGGTGTTGCTGCACGCATGTCATGAGGGACGCCTGAACGGGATCAAAATGCGCGTTGGGTAATATAGGGTATATCGAGCCATTGGATTCTACGTTTCACAACAGATTGCGGCAGGATGATTGTTGGAGAATAGAGTTGAGCTTTACGAACGCCGGAAACAATTTGTTCTACATCGTGTCTATCACCACTCCCCACCAATCTTATATCCAACATTCCAGAACCGTCCCAGAGTATTCCGCCACGCTTTGGATATTGTCTGCGCATTGTTATCAGCATGCATGCCCTCCCAATCAAGCCCAAATACTCACCGATTCCAAGAATACGCCTGTGAACATAACTCCAACAAACGCCTGTTCAATGCCGTTCAAATAGACTCTCCGCTCGCTCTGATCGAGTTCATGGTTAATCGGGCGGTACGCAGGCACGCGGCGATGTTCCGTTGGCCAGTCGCTAGGATTCTGCTGCGATTGCGTTGACGACGTATTCGGTGCCGGATGCGCGTTAAGACTTGTATCGAGTCCTTCACTTTGTTCCCCGCTGTGATGGAGATCGTAGTCTGCGAGGGTGGCCTCGAGGTTGTAGTGGATGGGGTTGGCGGTGGTTGTTACAGACATGTTGACAGCGATAGTGGACTTGGTGGGACAGAGATGGGTGACGACGTCTACGATATCAACGATATTATCACCGCCCGAGAGACGTGAGACGGAAGTACGCGTCCCTTGCGGTCCGAATATTGGAGACGCGGAGAAGCTGGGGCAGGGGGTATGGAAACCATCGGAATGTGGGGGACTCGACACGCCCGCGTACTGTCGGCAGCATTGCCGGCGCAAATGGGCGGACTGCCGTGTCAGACCATCCGCACGCTTCCTAGAGCTTACATTACATATCGCACTCTGGAGGACATTTCTTCTAGTCAAATTATTGTTGTTGTTCAGTTTGTTCCTGCCATTCGCAATGTCGTCGCCCATTACCCTCGAAGTTGCGCTGGCCAATCTGCAGGCGACTGCCCTTACGGCCCGCTGCCACAACGCTCACTTCCGTCTCAAACAACTCAAGTCGCTGCATGATGCGCTGCGCAACAATAGCAATGCGATTGCGGATGCTTTGAAGCAAGATACTCATGTTTCGGATGAGGAGGCTATTACTGAGGTTGCGCTTGCCCTGGATGTGGTCAAGGAGCACTATGGCTCGATTGACGCGGCCAAAGAGTTGGAAGCCGAGTATAGAATCACCAATGGCAAAGATGCTGGTGATAAGGGAGAGCCTTGGGGTGTGGCATATGTTGAGCCTCAAAAAAGTCATACTCCGTTCTTCTCGATCATTGCACCTTTGAGCGCGGGTCTCGTAACAGGTAGCTGCATAGCACTGAAGGTCGGTCTTCTACAAATTTGGATATAAATCTATTCTAACGATACTGCAGCTCGAGAACAACCTTCGCGCACTTCCTTCTCTACTCCGAAAGCTGCTCACCGAAGCCCTCGAATCAGATACTTTTGCTGTCATCTCCTCCGACCCTCCTTCAGACTCATTGTCAGCCTGTCTACAAGTATTCCAAGAAACTCAAGTCAGTTCGCCAACATATACACAACTTGTATCACCACGAAACAAAGTCATCGCCATCGTAGACCGCACAGCAGATCTCGCATCAGCAGCCGAGCAACTAGTAACAGCACGCTTTGCCTTCGGCGGAACATCACCATATGCCCCCGACGTGGTACTCGTCAACGAGTTCATCAAAAAGGAGTTTCTCGAGCACGTTCTTCGACATTCCCTCCCCTTCCTGGCCGGATCCAGCGGAGTATCAAACGGCTCGACCAACGCAAGAGAACACAAGAAGTCTTCACGCGTGGCAGAAACCTTCCAAGGGCTCACAGACAGCAAGTCATGGAAGCTAAACGTCATAACACAAGGAGACAACGGCGCCATCGTCGAGCTCTCCAATCTCTCCTCCCTACCATCCAAGTCCCCACAGCCCGTCTTCTGCGTCTCAGCAATCACATCTCTCGAGCACGCCATCAGCCTCGTCGAGGACGACTTAGACCCCCAGCAAAGTCTGCTAGCGGCATACCACTTTGGCACCCCGTCTACGGGCAAGTACCTCTCACAATACGTCAGCGCGGATGCGTCGTTCACGAATAACATCCCCCTCCGTCTTCTTCTCGGCCCGGCCGCCCCGTCCTTCCAGCCCGTTGATGTAGAGAAGCGGTACACATCCCAGCACTTCACTCGCATCTCGCCCGCGTATATCGCAGCGCCTGCTTCACAGGCGACAATGTCGAAGGTCCTGTCTGGCAAGGATTCGAAGAAGGCAGCGGCTGAGCTTCTTAGCAAAGCGACACAAGAGATCAAGGAAAAGAAACGCGCAGAGTCAATCGCGATTGGCTATTTTGAACAAGGTATCTTTATTGGGTTGGGGATGTACGGTATTCCTATCTTGACATGTATTGGCGCGACGCTTTTCTTTGGTGTGAGGGCGGGCTTGAGGAGGTGGGCGTTTGTTTGAGGGCGTGGTGTAATATAGAGTGAATGGTATTGTGCATTCTTACAGAGAGCTGTGTTCTCGTGTTGCGTGAGTGTTGTGGTGAGCTAACTCTGAAGAAAGCAGCGTGACGCTCAATGGTCACCATCAAGAACACGAGCGGCAGACTTAAGAGAAAGAGATAGAATCACGTGTCACCTGAGCATCACGAATAGAAGATTACAGAATACGCATTTAACGAGAACATTAGCCCGAGATAGTATACTATGGGATACGATGAGAACTAACGGAGCTACCCAGCAATCATTCCTCAGGTCCGCATCCGACTACAAACCCGCGCCCTCAGGAACCCACTTAGCAGTCCAAATCCTCAATCTCTTGCCCCAGATCAACATAGGAATCGTCAGTAAACCGAAAACCCCCATCAGCATACCAAAGATACCAAAAGGCTCCGCAGCACCCTGATGCGTAACCCACTCGCCCACAAAGAACGTCCACGCAAAACTAATAATAGCCCTCACACACGTAACAGCAACAAAGCAGTCTCCCGCAAGCGCCCCATAGGATTCAATCAGGTAGTTGAAACCCACAGACGGCGCTTGCATGAGTCCGAGAGCGACGAGTCCGAATCCGAATTGGAGGCCCACCCAGCCGGTAGGCGAGGGGTTCTGCGCTACGAAGCCAAAGATGAGGGCGCCGATTGTGGCGAGTGCGAGTGCGGGCAGTGCGGTGACGAGACGGGATTCGGGTTCTGAGAAGCCGTGGAGGTCTTTCTTCGCGAGGCGCTTGGTTGCGAAGTCGGCGATGAGGTAGGTGTAGACCTGGCCAGGCGTGTTAGTAAACGTGAACGCTGATGATAAAGCGGTTCTGGAGACTTACACATCCGAGAAGAGCGCCAAAGATACCGCCGATGTTGATCAACCCGACATTTTTGCCCCATAGATACGGGGGTGCGGCAACGATTTGCGGACCTACACTCGACATGGTGACGATGAGACCGACGAGACCGGCGTACCATCCTGATACCAGCCATACACCGGGTAGTCTGAGAGTCTTATATGGAGCGAGGAAGTTTTGCACGAGACCAGGGCGGTAGGACCAGAGTCTCAAAGACTTAGCGTACGAGTAGGATGGGTAAGAAGATGGGGCGGCGGCATCTGCGACGACGACTCGCTCTTTTGTTTCAACGGTTTGCTTGTCCGGGTCGTCGGAGAAAGTGACGGTGGTAGATTTGCGGTCGTAGAGGGTTTCTGCTTGGAAGAGTAGGCAGAGAACGAACGTGATGGCGGAGAGGAGCACGTTCATCCAGTGGAGCCAAGAGAGGCCCATGCTAGCGACGATGTAGCCACCTGCGACGGCGCCTACGAGGGAGCCGAAGGATAACATGACCGTGTAGATGGCCTGTGGATATTCTGTTAATACCAGTTTACTCGAAAGATATAGGAAAGAAGACTTACCAAAGCACGTCCGCGCTGATGGACAAAGAATATCTCGCCAACAACATCCGGGCTCACAGCGTCCGCTGGCCCACCCCCAATACCCATGAAAATGCGAGCAGCCACCAGACTATTGAAGCTCGTCGCAAGACCAGCCCACATACTTGAGAAGATCAGGAGCAACAAGCTACCCAGAACAACCGGGCGACGACCAAACGTGTTCGCCAACGGCACCCACCACAAGTTCGACGCGCCCAGCATGAGAATGTTACACGCGATGAAGTATGTCAACTGCGAGAACTTCTTTGGCGGAAAGCCAAACACGCCCGTGGACGCGTAAATGGGCAATGCACTCGAGATGGAGGCACTGGTGACGTTTACCACGAATGGATGTATCGACATGACGGCCAGAATTGCTATCTTGCGCCACATGGGCAGGTTGAGAGGATCCGCTGGGTCGGCGGATGGCTGAGGCACCAGGCGGATCTCATCATGGCTTGTTTGCGACGCTGTCCATTCGAGGTGTTCTGATGGGACATTCGTTAGCAGGAAAGACCTTCAGGGGAGTTGGAGATATCTCACCAACGAGCGTTGCGGTTCCTGGCGGTCGCGCATCCTTCACCTCCTCTTTCGAGAGGCCGAACGCCTGCTTTAGGGAAGTCATCGCGATTAATTAGTAACAACCTTCTGAATCAAAAACCAGGCCCAAGGGTCGCAGAGATGAATCTGCGATGCCAACGATACCAACAACAAAGCTGTCTGTGGCCATAGTCCTCCAATCTAAATAGACCGCACGGTCGAACTGTTGAACAACACGCCTTTGCAAGGCATGTCGGGGTGTAACGCCCCAGTACCTCGCCGTCGACAAATCAGACAGACGTTACAACGCCTCACAACACTCTCATTGGACGCTTGGACTCTGCCTGAACGGCTTGCCCATGGGGTAAGTCGGAATGTGGAGGCGACCGAGACCATTCTGGATACGACCAAGACTTGCGGGGTTTGCATCTAGAGAAAGCTAGTTGCAGCGGATTGTGCTAGGGCTAAGCTAACATGACGGGCGCAAGATCGAGTTTGGATCTGACATTTTCCGGCTGTGCGTTAGAAGAATGCAGCGAGATGCATTGGCATGTGGAGAACGGGTGGGGAACGTGCGCGGCTTTGCTGCATGGGTGCTGTGACAGTATTGTCTTGGCGTGATGAGCAGGCATTGGGCATATACGTGCATCGAGAGAAGTGTCCAGAGCGCTGGGCTCGAAGTCGTCACCAAGGTTTGATAGCTTTAATCAGTGGCTCACAAGCGTGATGGGAGAGCCCTCCATTTGCATGGGCTTGCTCTTGGTCGTTGTATTGTCCCCGACATCTTGATATTACCCCTACCAACCGCTGATGGAATGCAACAATGCACCGGCGCAACATCAGTCCTCATACGGCCGTACCACAGTATCAGCTTCCCCAACCGTACATGCGCATGTCCAAATTGCCGTCACAAATACCGACTTGATCATTTGATGGCAGATCGCAGTCCTTCCAGCAATTGCACCAAGTTGCCGACCAGCGGCGGAGACGGTTCTGACGCGTCATGGTGCGCTCGAAGCAGTTGTGTCAAGCCGTCCATGACCCCACAAACATCACTCAGTTGGGTAGGATGTTGTGATCCGGAATTCTTGATCGCTGGTATACCGCGATCCAGGGTGATGAACTTGCGGGCGCTCAACGAGTCGTCCCCGTTGAGAACAACAGCCGAGTCAATCTGTTCCACTGTCGTGGACCGTTTGAGAAAGCCGTAAACCCATAGTATGAGTCCCGCATGATACACAGCAATGGCGTTGAAGTTACTGAGAAGCGCTTTCGGTAGCACCTCAGCTGCGCGCAAGATCTGACCAGCGTGCCACAGCGATTGACGAGCTGAAGGAGTCTTCGCCCAATCTTGAAGGCCAGGATATGCGCTGCGTGCTTCCTCCTGCCCTTCAATACCTGCAAAGAGCTGAATGTCGTCGAGAGGCGCGTTGAGATGAACTAGCATGATCTCCAGCGTTATCTCAACACTCTTAGTCATGGGAGGCGTGCTGAGTCTGAAATCTTCGAGCTGCTTTGTGAGCTCTTGGTAGCGCGACGATAGGATGAGGCTATTGGTTGAAAGCGACTGTGACCTAGATGTCAAGGCGCACATCTGACGATATTCCCATATCGGACCCCACATCATATAGAGATATGTGGAGCTTGCATAGTCATGCTGAGCGAGGTGCTCCAGATCCAGAAGGCATTCGGTTGCTGATGGTCGCTTCGCAGTTACTGAAACCATATCCAGGTACGCCATTTTCCAATTTGCTGCCGATTTGGCCTGCCATAATGGGCTCGGACTCGGCAGAGGTAATTGCATCTCCGCGTACGAAAGCAGTGGTGGCTTGAGTAACGCCATCGATGACTGCCGATCAAACTCGAACGCGCGATGAACCAAGCGGAGGAAGGACTCCTGGCTAACCCAACTTAGCCATTTGTCTTCCAAGACAGAGCCCTGGTCGTCAGGAGACGGATTGATCTCCTTCCAAGTCGACCGACGAAAGCGACCACCGCGGCGAAGCATCGTCATTAGCGGCTGGAGAAAGCTCTCTGCAATCTCCATCTTCCGGCTGATGCCACTCCACATGCCGACTTTGAGTTGCAGCAGGAACGTCTGCAGATGTTGAAGATCCCTGATAGCTGTGTTGTCTTCTTCGAATGATTTTGACTGCCCCAATCTGGAAGCCTCATGCAGAGCGTAGCCTAGCTTTCGCAAGGATATGTCAGGGAGAGTGGCAGCCCCCGCAGACACGACAGAAGCAAGCAACTCCGGGTTCAGCTTTGAAGGAGAGAAGGTGGGAAGGTGAAACCACGTGGGCGCGTCTATCGATGGCGAAGAGAGGAAATACTGGATCAGGCCATCCAGCAGCTCCATGCTAGGAAACGCCGATGCAATACGTTTGACGTTTTCCGGGCTACATGTGCCGAGCACCAAAGCCATCAACCGGTCGCGGCTGGCACGCGGTAGTCTAGGAACGTAGTCAGCAGAGATCCAGTATACGTTAATGCGGGTCTGCACTTACTTTTCTGCCACGACGCGGCGGTGTGTGAAGTTGGAACGTCTATAACCGTCCTTCTCTGTATCTGGGACAGCCAAGTTGACTTGTTCCGCAGTGGGGTTCCTGGACCGCTGGGGAAGATAACGCCAGATGCTCTGCTTGAATGCTTCCGCCCTTACTGGAGTGGTATCAGTCTCGGGTAGGGGTTGCTCAGTGCCATGGGCGTCCGTAGATGGCGTATCAGCAGCGAACGGGACCTGGAAGTTGTATTGATCAAGGAGACCGAGATCAAGGTCGGTCAAGCCAACATCTAGATCAAAACTGAGGTCCATGATACCTCGTGGAGTTGCCTGGCCAGACAGAAACGCTTCAAATGGGGGCATGCTGCGGAAGTAATCAGGCAAGAACGGATTGTGTCCTGGCGTGTTATCAAAGTGCGCAATCGAATTATCGAAGAAGGGCATAGATGCGCTCGGGTCTTCGTAGTTTTGGTTCATCGCAACAAGGCCAGCGCCGTTGTTGGGTGGTGGCTGCATGTCGCCCATACTTGCTGTCCTTGTCTCGAGGTCGCCAGAGGCTACGGAGTGTCGGTGCATTGTATTCGCGTCGGTAACGACTAGAGTCGCATGGTTGTGAAAAGGGTCTGGAGTCTCTGAGGTCGTAGATGCAGATGTATCGATGCTGCCGCCGTGAGGCGGCAGCGATGAGGGGTAATCGAAGCCATTCGACAAATCGAGCAGATCCTGCGCCGCATGAACTGCATCAATTTCATGTATGTCGTTTTCGTCTGTAACCGGGGTTTCAGGTACCCGGCAGGGTATCTTCTTCTTCTTGCATCGACTGCATGGCTTCTCGTCTTCGCATCGAAGGTGGCTTTGGGAACAGGCTTCACAGGCCTGAACGACTCTGGTATCGCGGGCGATCTCGCGCTTCTGCCGCTTGCTTGCAGGCTCTGTGTCGTGATTTGTTACATGTCTTTTGAGCAGATCTCTGTAGCAAGTCAGCGGAGTAAGACGTTTGCATGCAACAAATCACTTACATTCGCGCAAAGCCTTTGGAACATACGGGGCAAATGTAAGGCTTAGATTTTGTATCTGTCAGTGATGGATTAGCATGGCGGATGGGACATGGTGAACATCATATGCGAACGAGATGCTAAAGACACGAAAATGCAGTTCTTTCGGCGCGGGTCAACAACGCGAACGCGTCTGACGCCATTATGACGGCCAACTAGCTTCAATTTCAAGTAGTCAGGCACACATTGACGGGACCACATTGTTCACTAATTCTAAAAAAGCACTTACGGGCCCTCACGTGTCTCGTAAGGTGATCCGCTCTCGTGAAGGACCGTTTACAGGTGCTACACTGGAATAGGCGTGGTGGTTCGGCTTCTGCACTGGCTAGCTGGGCATTTGCTGAAGTCGGGGCAGACTGCATGCTGGTGTGCTATCGGGAGGCTTCGAGGAACGGTGGCATCGGGACGGAGGAAAGTGGAGGGAAGCTGGAGATAAGGTTGTGGGTGGAGAGGAATGCGGAGATCGACAGGACACGGGCGCGCCTTCTTCCCCTCGGCTAGACGCTCGGCCTCTCCTCGAACCATCTCCACATCACGACTTTTGCCGCCGTAAGCACCTGGGATTGCCTATACAGTGTTGATCATAATGGGTAAAGCTTCCAGTGAAGCCGCGTGTTGGACACGACGTTTGCCAAATCGGCCGTGTAATATCAATATCGCGACGAGCGTCCGCCACAAACCTCGCGACACGGACATCTAACCTGATCATCTACTATCTTGGACATCCATTCTAACTCATTCTTCGGCTGAAACAACACATCGCAATGGCTCCACCAGTGCACTTCTTCTCGCATGGCTCAACAATGATGCTGGGCGAGGAATCCCAATCCGCCACCTACTGGAAAGCCTGCGGCGACGAAGCTCTCTCCCACGGCTTCAAAGGCGTAATAATGATGGGCGCGCATTGGGACGCCCGCGGCGTAAACCGCATCGACGTAGCCATGAACCCCAAGCCCATCAAATCCCCCGTCGCCTACGTCCACCCCCGCAAATACAAAGAGTACGAACTCGTTCCCGATCTCGAGAGCGGAAAGAAGTGCATAGCAGCGCTGAGGGAAAAGGGCATCGATGCGCGACCGAACGAGACCTTTGACTGGATCCACGACACGTACTTGATTCTCATTAGGATGTTTCCTGAGAAATGTCCACCAACGACTCTCATCAGTATGAACTCGAGGTTCGACCCACATCTGCACGCGCGTGTGGGTAACATCTTGGCCAAGTTCCGCGATGAGGGCTACCTTATCATCGGCACGGGTGGCGCGGTCCACAACCTATACAGGAATCACTGGGCACAGATGCTGAGATACTCGGACAACTTTGCGCAGCCCTACCCACCAGAGGCTCCGATGCTGGAGTTTCGCCAGAGCGTCGAGGATGTCTTTGTTCGTTGCTGTAGGAAGGACGCGAAGAAGGGCAGTCTGACTCGTGGGATTACAAGGTTGATGAAACATCCCATGTACAGGGATGCGCATGCCACGGACGATCATTATATGGCGGCGTGCTTTGTGGCTGGGGTTGTTGATGGGAGCAAGAGGGATGGGGACGAGTGTGTGCTTGGGGCTGAGGATTGGGAGTTGGTCAACATGTGCAACAGCCAGTTTACTGTTGGAAGATGGGAGTGAAAGTTTGAGTTGTATATATATATCCAGTTCCTTCTTGTTGCGTTCATGATTATTATGATATTGTCTCTCCTAACAAGTTTGCGATCTCACATCCTGCCCCACTTGCAGACTTGAATCAGCGCTGTTCTTCATCATTAGTGTTCCGTATCGTGTGGCTATGCTTATGCAAGTTATGATGGATACATGATACTACTGTAAGGGTAGAGACAACTTGATGTTACGATGTATGAACTGATGAATACATGATACTACTGCAAAGGTAAGAACAAGTTGGCATTATGATATCTGAACTTTCATTTCAACAACACATCTACTGATCTATTTAGGTGGTACAATAGGCAGAGTGACATAATTCACAGCCTTCTCGCTGAAATGCAAATGATTCCACCCAGCAAACTTCTCCTCACTCCTGTCTTCTGGATGGTTATGCTGGAAGATACCGCTACCTTGTGTATCCCCGCTGCTAATCTCAAACACGATCTTGCCACCCTTCTCAACGATGACGTTGGTCGGCCAAACCTCCACATCCACTGCGTATACGTCACCGGGTATAACGGGCTGCACGTCGGTGCTGAAGTAGTCTCTCCATGGGAGGTATTCGCGGTGCTTCGGGTGGTCTGGATTGGTCTTGCGGAAGCTGACGCGCAGCCAGCCCTTAGCGAGAGGAATTGGGTCACCTGCTGTGCCGGTGTAGTATACCTCTTTTCCTTCGGGCGAGATGTAGCGTAATGTGAGGAAGAGGTCGATATCGGAAGGAGTTACGCCATTGGAGTGAGCTGAGAGGGAGACGTTCAGGTGTGCGACGATGTGGCCGGTGATTTCAGTCTCCTCCTGGAATGGCGCAGTGGTGAACTGGAGAAGCGAGGGGTTGTCGAGGGTACCGAGCGCCTCATACGACAGCTTCTGCGGCCTATTGGTGATGGGCTGGACTTGCGTCAAAGTTTGAGATGGCGTAAGGTAGAACTTCGAATAATGAGTTCGTGCAATGGGCCACTCGTTCTCCGTTCGTCTCTCGTACACCTTTTCTTTCTCGGCGTCGTTGAAGCCAATGTCGCCTTTGCGTAGGACCATGTCAACAGGAGGAAGCTTGCCTTTGACAGACCACCCAACTCTGTCATCGCCCTTGAGGAAAGCATCGAGGAAGCTTCGTTGTATCTCTACTTCCTCCTTGTAGTAGAAGGGCAAGTCATGCCTTCCTGTGATCATCCTTAGGTACTTGAACTCTGAACCAGCATGTGCGTAGCCTTCAATGTTTCCGCGAAGATGGAGCAGAATGCCACCCCAATTGCCGACCGAGAGCAGCGGTACTTCGATGTCACTCATGTCGTACTCTTTGCTTGCGTAATATAATTCGTCGCGGAACTTGAACTTGGCGGTATCGATCGTCTGGTCTTGTCGGTTCTTTGCGCGCACTTCTTCAGAGAGGTCACCATCGACGGTATCTGGTCCCCAGTTACGTTCGGCACGACCTGGGCGACCATATTGGTTGGTAATGACTTGGCGATTCCTGGAGATTGATGAATTAGCATTGGATATATAGCAGATGGTCATAAATACTCACCACCAGAAATCGATGAACTTGTTGCTCAAGATACCGCCGTGGCGGCATCGATCACGGTAGTAGTCGCTCATGCCCTCCCAGGGAATAACAGCCGCCAGTCCCTTGGGCTTTCGTGCCGCCACACGCCACTGGGACCCAGCGTAGTAGCTGATGCCGAGTAGACCGACCTTTCCAGACGACCATGGCTGCTCAGCGGCCCACTCGACAACATCGAAGAAAGCCTCGCTTGTTCCTCGCGACATGGTGTCCAAAAAGCCTGGAGACTGGCCCAAGCCGCGTTCATCGGCGCGCACGATGATGTAGTCATGCTTCGTCCAGAAGCCTGGATCTGGCGTCTCCCATGCTGAGTGATCAGAATGGTGTTCGGGGTTGACTTCGGCGAATGATTTTCCGTGGAAGCTGGAAGTGTTAGCTATTGCATATTCACACGAAGGATATCCATCCTGACTTACTCCTTATAGTGAATGTCTTTCCCATATGGCCCATACGTCACCAACACAGGGAGCTTCGTGCCCTCTTTCGTGGATTTGGGCCGGTACACGTTGCATCGAATGATGCCTTTTGATGATGTCTTCAGCGGTACTGCGACATTCTGCTCGTATAGGTAGGGAAACGACGACTCGTCAATCGAGTAGGCGTCTTTGATTTCTAGCTGGTCAGACATTGTGTGTATTTGGTGCTTGGAAATGAAGAGACATACTGTAACTATCATTTGGATATATACATCATATTGCGACGCGTAGTGGGTGCTTGTGCCGACAACGCGCCGCGGGCAAGGCGCGGCAGTGTTCGAGGGGCACTTTCGGAATGTGGAGGTGCCACACCCCCATTGGCGCGTTACCTAAGTAGACCTCGCAGACACGCGAACAGATGAACCATGCCTTCTTGCAGACGCAAAATCTGGCATTGAGTCTGTGCTCGTACGAGATTTTGCCTTTCGTTGCCTCGGGAGGCATGTTTAACAGGCGTCCTACTGGCTTTCGCTGGTCGCATCACTATTCTCACAAGACAATCGGGAATCATGATGGAGGAGTTCGTCATTACTACAAGCGCAGCATATCTTGTACGTTTTCAGGATCTGTCCAGTTGAGGCTTCACATGAAATGTCACAGTTTTGGGCGAGGCGATATAGATTCGCGACGGTTTATTTCATCGCTTTGTGTATTTCAAGTAGCAATGCGACTACGACGACGCTGGAACACCCTGCATGTTCCCGTAGTCCTCCTTCAGTACCTCACCACTGACTTCTACTGGTTTGCATTCTTGAAGCACATACATCATGCGTCCCCATGATGTGGGACTGGTATTCCTCCAAGCGTGCATCGTGCCTCTCTGAATCGCAACGTCTCCTCTCTTCATCAACCTTGTCTCTCCCGAATCCAGCACCAATTCCATCTCGCCTTCCAAAACGACACCGTAGTCAAGAGAGACTGTGCGATGCATAGGTGAAAGATGACCAGGTGCTACGTCAACAAAGCGTAGCACTGTTCCTCCTGAAGCGACCAGACCTGGAGGTGACTCGAGGTAAGGCTTGTAAACCGCGAGGTCGGCATCTTTGTTCAGATCAACGGGAAATCCCTTGGTAACGTATCCAAGCCTGAAGTCGGCATTTGGAATGTGGTCGACTTTGGCTTCTTCTGGGACCGCGTTGGAGAAGATAGCTTTCTTGGTGGTGGGATCGTGGGTTGTGATGAAGCGGTTAACCTTTGGAAGGTCGTTGACGATCTGGGGCTTGGAGGCCATGTTTGGAGGTGATCTGGGGATATAGAGAGGTAACTGAGTGCAAATATTTCTGAACTGTAATGTATGAATAGGAGTGCTGTGTGTAACTTGAAAGAAGATTCAAGAATTGATGGTCAAAAACATTCAAACACGCGTCGCGCAGAACTCATCCACAGGCTCCCGATGTGGAGGGCAGGGACCCTGGATCCGCTATCTGCCGGCGCAGGCTCGGTATATCCCGTGCGGGGTCCTGCGTAGTGTACGGGCTTCCCTACTTGTTTTGGATATAGCTGTTGATGAGATACATGAGGATCTTTAGTATGAAGTGTGATGTGAGCAACCGACAAAGACTGCCGCTGCTTGGGAGCGAAGATGACGCGTGTCCCGCTTATCGATTGACCGACGCGCTTGCCTACTTCTGTGCTAGACCGAACGCATGCTAGCTGGCCGACGGTCCAAGGTTGTCCCGCGAAGTCTGAACTGGACGCGATGAATAGCTGCATCAACGCCAGCCGGATAACCATGGAACGCTCAGTCTCCACTATCTGCACACTTGAGACCTTTGCCGTGTACAGCTCCGGGCATAGTAGCTTACGGGCACAGATGGGATGTGGAGGAGCAGTATCCGAGACGGTAATCCCCACCTACACACTGCCAGTCGCGAGTTTAGGTCCGGGTAAAGGTTGGTAACTGTAGTCTGGGATGGTGTTGCGAATTGGAAATCATCTGTCTCTTTATGCTAACACATCGACCGAAGCACTGATACCAGCACACTCTAGACTCACGACACAATGACAGACAATTACGCTTCGCACTTCGGTGTCAACAACATCCCATACGGGATCGCAAGCTCTTCGAAGCGCTCCACACCACAATGTGCCACACGCATTGGCGACGAGGTCATCTTCCTCGCAGAGCTTGCGGAGCATGGATCCCTCAAAGCCATCTCAGCACCGCTGTCCTCCATCTTCCGCGAATCTACGTTGAACACATTTGCCGCGCTGGGAAAAGACATACAAAGTCAAGTACGCTCGGCAATACAAGAAGCATACAAGAGCAAATCACACGCCAATTTCTCAGAGAGCATCAGCGATGTCACCCTCCATATGCCAGTCAGCGTCGGAGACTTCACAGACTACAGCGCTTCCGCGAACCACGTTCTGAATGCGGGAGAAGCGGTGCAAGGAATTCGTGCCTACCCACCTGCTTTCAAAAAGTACCCCGTGGGCTACGCCGGCCGGTCGAGTTCAATCACAGTCTCAGGGGCACCCGTTACAAGGCCTTTGGGCCAGTTCATCGAGGACTACACTGTTCCAGACAAGAAGATTATATTTGGGCCGTCACGAGGCTTGGACTACGAGATGGAAATCGCCGCCGTCATTGGCAAACCTGTCCAGTCTGGAACGTATCTTAACGCGAAGGACGCGGATGAGCATATCTTCGGACTAGTCCTGCTGAACGACTGGAGTGCGAGAGATATCCAAGGCTTAGAGATGAATCCGCTGGGGCCTTTCAACGGAAAGAACTTCATGACTTCAATCACCCCTTGGGTCGTTACGCTAGAAGCATTGAAGTCCCACGAGGTCTCAGCCCCACCTCGCATGGAACCAGTAGCTTCTTTCATGGACGATCCCAACAGCATAAACTACAACATCCAGCAGCTTGAAGGTCAAATCATCCGAAACGGTACACAGACCACGACCTGCAAGGTTGGCTTCGAGACAATGTACTGGACCTTCAGGCACATGTTAGCGCACCACACTATCGGTGGCTGTGGACTCCGGACGGGAGATCTGGTAGCTAGCGGGACAGTGTCGGGCGAACAAGAACATGAACACGGATGTTTGCTCGAACTGACGAAGAATGGCAAGGCTCCAAGCAAACTGAGCGACGGATCTGAGCTACGCTACCTCAATGATGGGGATGAAGTGCGCTACATAGGTGTTGTTGGAGACGGAAGCACAGGTGTCGGGTTTGGAGTATGTATTGGCACTGTAAAGCCCGCCCGGAAGGTTTAAGAGCTTTCGGATGTAAGTAGGCTGAGCAATTGTGGTCTCCAGCCTGGGTGGGTTCACCAATGGTTGGGTTGGGCCCTAGTCAACAATTGGTCGACAAGCGTGGTACAGATGCGAGTGGCTGCATACTACCACCAGAGAGATCATTGAATTCAAGCCTTCCAATGAATCTTCGGTCCTTCATATGGGCCTTGCACATTGGACCCTAAGTATCTCTAGCCACACGAATCCCAGCCTCGTGAGCTTTCTCGCACACAGCCCTTGAGTTTCAGCTTTCATCACACCCTTTGACGCTCTCGAATATTGCATCTTCAATTCTGCGTGAATTCTCCTCAATCCATTACAGTTTCTCAACCACACGGAGGCCTAAAGAGATTGTTACACATGTGCTTCGCGCACAGCCCAACCATCTGCAGGGCTGAGCCAGCTTTGGACTCTGAGTAAACACAGCAACCACAACCATGGCAGAGTGAGTACGATACTACCTTACTTGAAATGTTGCTGATTTAGGAACAAGTATCAACATATCATCCAGATTCTTTCCAGCTGACCTGCCGGATCTACCATCGAAACTCGCGTTCGGGAAACGTTTATCCCACAAGTTTAAGCCCAAGAAAGGGAAACCCAAGCAGTCGATAACCGATTCTTCTCCCGTCACGCCTGATGCCAACTACCTTCAAGTTACACCGCCAGTGTCTTGCGCGCGAGAACCGCATATCGCCGACCACGTGCGCACGCGCCGGATTACGTCACAGCCTGCCCCACGATCGCTTCTACAGGCCTGTCAACAATCACAACAAAGCGAAGTCGTCCAGCCTGGAAGAAGCCTTAGCATCGCTTCGCTCGTGCTTCCCGAGCCACACCTTGTATACCCAATCTCCGCGCTGCCATCTTCCTACGATCCTGTACCATCGGATGAACAAGGCAATGTGCTCCGGCTGCATATGAAGGAACCTCCACAGTTGACAGTGATAGACGCGCTCACGGAGCAGTGGGGGAAGCTGCGAGTGCCGAATGTACCACTGGCATCTACTGAACTGCCAACGTCTAGTAGTTCAACAAACTTCTCACTTCCCCTCCACTCTTCCAACTCTACCAAAACCGTAGCCGCCAAAGCAGCATGGAACAGGATGGCGGTCTCGAATCCCATCTTACCAAGCTTTCGAGACGAGCCGCGTCTACAAACGACACATCCGGGTGCAGACCATCCTCGTCAGGGCCAGACAAATAGAGATCCTATAATGATCGACGATGATAGTGAACTTGATGCGACTGCAGCCTCCAACCGCCCTACAGGCAATTTCGAGAACACCAATTTTTTCCAATCGGGCGAATTATCACGCCAGTCGTTAAACCGACGACGAACTCGAAAGGCAAGGTTCTTACGAATGAGACCTGACCACCGAAGTCGATGTCCTGATACTTCGAGCGATAGCTCTGAGGGTACACTAACACCCGATAGCTCGGACAGCCCGGATAGTCTGGAGTTTGACCCTGCAGCTCGTGTTGCACAATTTGAAAACGAGAACCCAAGACGACCTACTAGATGCACACACGGGCGAAGTTCTCTCCATGTAGATACAGACTACGGGGCGCAAGAAGAGCGAGACCGTCTGCTTGCTGAGCACCTGCAGATGCAAGAGAATGCGGCTTATCGGACGACAGCATCGCGCGTTACGGAAGTGCCTGAATCATCAGTATCTCAAGCTTCGTCTCCACGGGTACCGTCTCAAAAGAGTGGACGATTGGCCAGTCTGCGGAGGGCCATTACCAACATTGGTACACGAGAGCATCCTATCGATCTAGACTCCGAATCCGACGAACCCAAAGTTGTTGGCCCTGAAAGGGCGCGAATCCAAGACTATGTCGCACTGTATGGAGAGCCCATGGATATTGATGGTGTGTCGCCTTTCCACCAATACAACGCAAGGGCTGTCGATACACCACAGACTGCAAGCACCTATGTAGATGAGAGGACGCACCTGCGGAGTCGTGATTGCGTCGTTTGCGGCGATAGCGTTCACGTTGCCGACCTACCCTCTCTTGCTGAATGTGATCATCGACCAGAGACGTGTGCGGACTGTTACTCGGGATGGATAACCGCGCAGCTCCAAAGCAGTAGCTGGCGCGAAGCCAAATGCCCAGGGAACAAGTGCAAGACTGTGCTGTCATACCATGAAATCCGGCTATACGCGCAGCCGGAGACATTTCAGCAATATGACACATTCATCGCCCGAGCAGCTTTCAGCGAAGATCGTATGTTTTACCATTGACGATCTGGACTTTCAGCAGCTGACAATGACACAGCTAACTTTCGATGGTGTCGAGCGTGCGACTCCGGCCAGATCCACATGAGCGGTGTCGAAGGCAACATCTTCACATGTGTAGCATGTGGGCACAAAGTATGCATCACCCACGAGAACACATGGCATGAAGGCGAAACATGCGAGGAGTTTGAATATAGGTCTTCTGGCCGGAAGGAGCGAGATCAGAGAGCGCAAGAAGAAGCGAGTCTCCAAGCGATCGGGAAGCTGACCAAAAAGTGCCCCGGTCCTGGATGTACTTGGAATATCGAAAAGAACGATGGTTGCGACCACATGACTTGTGAGTTCCGCGTTCCTTTAGACACCTCGTTTGCTGACATTCGCAGGCTCGAAATGCCGCTTTGAGTTTTGCTGGATTTGTCTTTGCAACTACAGCAGCGTCAGGCGAGTGGGCAACTCGGCTCATACGACGACATGCAAGTACCATACAGGAAGACTGGCGTAGCCGTGGAGGGCAGATGGGATATTATTGTGGCGGACTTTGTACTCTCCCTAAGCACATGGCGGTCCCGGGGATTTTCTGGCATCGTTTAGCTTTCATGGTACTTTTCAACGATCACGACATCGTTACACTCTTTCAAAGTCCATGTCGGGACGTCAGGCCTTCCGCTGCGAAATGACATCCGTATAGAACGTATTTACCAGTAGCGTCCCATGTTGATGTCACGGACTCGGTGTTCATGCGCTCCGATTGGCGCAAATTACCCCTAGCCCTGAGCAACTCCCCGAATTCATACTAATTGTCAACAAACACAAGGACTTCACCGCCGCTTTTTGTGCCATTGGTGACTTGCGCTGTGTGCTTCGCCTTTATGATCGTGCTGTGACGGCATTTGCACCTTTTTCAGCGGCAGTTCTTCTACTCCATATTTTGTCATCACTGCCAAAAACTCGGCTTCATCTTTTTCGATTCTGAACCCCTTGAAACAGCGCGTCGCCACACCCGCACCTACAGTAGCCATGTCTATGCGAGTGACGCGATCACAGGCCGGCAAGACGCCCCAGTGAGTGAATACCAGTCGCGCATGCACACTGTGCAAACACGTGCATTAGTTGCTGACATGCATAACGCAGAAAGCCTGACCGTCCTGGCTTTGTCGAGACCCCCGGGCGCAGAAAGTCGCAACGCAAATCGCTTGCATCCGATGTCGACGGCGAATACGAATCGACGCCTGAGCCAGAGAACTTCTTGAAGCCTCTCCGATCTGGCGACAGCGACGTGAAGCACGAGGTCGAGGAAAAGAGCAATGGCCATGCCAACGGAAATGGACACGCGAACGGATACACGAATGGACATACCAATGGCAACGCAAACGGGCGCACAAAGAGCGAAAAGGAGATTGTCGAACTGGACTACAAGATGGAGGCGGAAAAGTTCTTCTCACCAAAGGACAAGTCCGGTCTACACGAGTTCGGAGGCGCCATTGGTATGGGCAGCATGATGATCTGCTTCCCAGCGCTCATGTACTACATGTGGATTGGAGCGACCTTCTACGACGGCAAATTCCCTACACCGACCGAAGGCCAGAGCTACGGAGACTTCTTCGGACATATGTGGTATCTGGTAAAGACGGAGGCGTTCCCAAACAACAAAGCATGGCAGATCTACTGGTTCTTCGGACTCATGCAGATGGCCTTCTACATGCTCATGCCGGGTGTCTACCGCAAGGGCAAGGCGTTGCCTCATCTTGGTGGAAAGCAGTTGGACTACTACTGCTCGGCTATGTGGTCTTTCTACTCTAGCGTTGTCATCATGTTGACTCTCCACTTCACTGGTGTCTTCAAGTTGTACACTCTGATTGACGAGTTTGGCCACATCATGAGCGTAGCCATCCTTTCAGGCTTCCTCTGCTCGACAATCGCATACGTCTCAGCCCGCGTACGCGGCGCCACCGTTCGGATGACGGACAACCCCATTGTCGACTTCTTCCTCGGCTCGGAGCTCAACCCCAGACTGTTCGGTATTCTGGACTTCAAGATGTTCCTCGAGGTCCGCATTCCGTGGTTCATCCTCTTCTTCCTTTCGCTCGGTACCTGCCTGAAGCAGTACGAACAGTATGGCTACGTATCCCTAGAAGCCATCTTCCTGCTCTTCGCCCACTACCTGTACGCCGGCGCCTGCGCAAAGGGAGAGCACCTCATCATCACAACCTGGGATATGTACTACGAGAAACTCGGCTTCATGCTCATCTTCTGGAACATGGCTGGTGTACCTCTGTCGTACTGCCACTGCACCCTGTTCATCGCCAACCACCACCCTTCTGAATACCAGCTCCCAACCTGGTTCACCGCCCTTCTCACCCTCGCCTACCTTGGCGTCTATTACGTCTGGGACACGACCAACTCACAGAAGAACCAGTTCCGTCAGGAAGAGCGTGGTGTTGTCGACGAGCGCACCACGTTCCCCTACTTCAAGTACGGACGTATCGCCAACCCCAAGACCATTCAAACATCCCACGGCAACAAGATTCTGGCTGACGGCTGGTACGGCAAGGCGCGCAAGATTCACTACACATGTGATTTGTTCTTTGCAATCAGCTGGGGTCTCATTACTGGCTTCAGCAGCCCGTTCCCATGGTTCTACTCCGTGTTCTTTGCGGGTATGATCATTCACAGGGCGCTGAGAGACATTGAAAAGTGCAGAGAGAAGTACGGTGAGGCGTGGAAGGAGTATGAGAGGCAGGTGCCTTATTTGTTCATTCCGGTAAGTCCAGCATGTCTGATCTTAAATGGGTCGTCGCTAACACACCCGCAGTACGTGTTTTAAGTACATATGGGACCGTCGTTTTGATCTTTTACCATCTCGCGCGTCTTCAGACACCTTTTGCTCGACGGACCATTTTGTAGTATACCATAGCATTCTTCTCGCATTTCGACGGTCGTGACTAGGGCGGGATAGCATTGTAATGGTTGTAATGGCAGTAATGGCAGTAGTAATGTATGATGTAGCAATTAGCACAAGCAAAAACCTGACGTGACACGATGCGCCATCCATGTGTCTGTCTCTAGACATGCGAACCCCTACGCGTGCCAAGTCTTGCGTCAGCGTGCGTGCGGGCCAAAAGTTCAGACCCTCACCCTTCGTATCCGCAAAGTGTCCTCCCCTCTTCACCCAACAACCCGCCCAAGTCGCCCTCCAGCGCACCACAACCACCCACCATGGACGCCCTCAAATCCGCCATCCAACCCATAACGCACAACCTCCCCCAACCCATCGCGGACGTCGGCATCTCCCTCCTCGGCCCAAAATGCTACAAAACGCTCATCTACAACGTCGACCTCACCGCAACCGAATGCGTCAAACTCGCCATCTCCAAAGGCCTCGGCATCGGCATAATCGGGGCCTCCTCCATTGTCAAGATCCCGCAGCTGCTCAAACTGCTCAACTCGCAGTCCGCAGAGGGTCTCTCGTTCCTGTCCTACCTCCTCGAATCAAGCTCCTACCTCATCAGCCTCGCGTACAACGTGCGCCACGGATTCCCGTTTAGCACGTATGGCGAGACGGCGCTTATTCTCGTGCAGAATATCGCTATTGCGAGTTTGGTGCTCAAGTACAGTGGGAGGGGTGTGGGTGTTGCGGGATGGATTGGGGGGTTGGCTGCGGCAGGTGCGGCACTCTTCAATGACCAGTGGGTTGATATGGAGAAGTTGAGCTTGTTTCAGGCTACGGCTGGTGTCCTTGGTGTTGCGAGTAAGGTGCCTCAGATTCTGACTGTATGGAGTGAGGGTGGGACGGGCCAGTTGAGCGCTTTTGCTGTAAGTTTTCATGTTGTTGCATTAGGAGAGATGGGATGTGTGGCTAATATGGTGAAACAGGTTGTCAACTACCTACTCGGTTCCCTCTCTCGCATCTTTACCACCCTCCAAGAAGTCGACGACCCGCTTATTCTCTACGGCTTCATCGCTGGCTTCGCCCTCAACGCTATCCTCTTCTGCCAGGTCGTGTACTACTGGAACGCGCCCGCGTCCAAGAAGACAGAGTCGAAGAAGTTGGAAAAGCCCATCGCGGCTGACAGGAAGGAAATGGCGCGTGCCGTCTCAAGCGGTGCGACGCCGTCGTATGCGAGTGCCGCGGGAAAGAGCCCAAGCACAAGACGCAGGGGATAGGCTTATTTCTCTGTTGCTTCTTTATTGGGGATGTGGGCTGTTGAATTAGCAGTTGTAATACAGACTTCACTTGCGCGACGTCTTGATCATGCTTGGGTGAAGATTACACGTATATTCAATACACTAACATGCTAACATATGCTTGATCGCATGTCTAGAAAACAACTCCGGGCGTTCTGCTAAACAAGGCTTTTCGTTTTTCTGATCATATCTGCTGAGGCGCCGTACTTATAGCATGTGGCGGAGGCATTGGTGGCGCGCCTCTCCTATCCGCCAAATCTCCCGTAGGTGACATCGTTGTCTGCTGGTTCGGTATGATGGTATTGACCGGAGGTGGTGGTGTAGGCACCGGGGAAAGACCCACTGGCGGGTGGTATCCCGTATCCGTCAGCCTGCCATTTACTGGGTTGTACACGCCTGCCCTTGATTGCAATTCAAAGTTGTCGTCATCTTCTGAAGACGAGTAGTCATAAGTGTCCATTTGGCGTTGGCGCGCAACATCTACTGCGAAGGGATTTGTGGCTGGCAATTGATTCTGGTATGTGTGCACTTTCGACGTCATGGTGGACCCCATTGTGCCGGTTCGGTAGTTGCTCGATGCTGCTGTATCGCTGCGATCAACGCCGTACTGGGATCCGGATTCCTGGCGTCTGCGTTGCGAGTTGTGGATTTGTTGGCGGAAGACGTTGCCTGTATGTTCGCCGCTACCTTCAGGCACTGCCGTTGTAGAGGAGTAACCAGACGCTTCTCCGCGTTCCTCGTCCACCGGCTTGGCCATGCGCTGTAGTGGTTGTACATCCTCGTCGACCATGATCGTGGGCTGCGGTGGTGCGCGCGATGCCTGGCCCCAAGCTCGAATGGGGTAGGCGCGTCCCTTGCGCCATGTCTCGGAGACGGGAGGGAAGTATTGGCGGTAGGAGCCCCAGGATACGAGTATGCCGAGTAGGGCGCCGGAGAGGACGTCGAATGGGTGGTGACGGGCATCCATGATACGGGTTCCTGTAATCAGAGCAGCTCCGAGGGCAGGAACCATGACGAGGAAGGTTCTCCAGACTTCGCCCTTGGCATCGAGAACGTGTAGCTTTCCAGCGAGGTAGATGGAGAGGTAGAAGAGACCGGCAAAGGAGACTAGGAGGTATTAGTAACTTGTTGATGCGAGGCAACATATCGCATACCGCTGCTGTGCCCAGAGGGGAAGCTTTTGAAACCATCTTGTAGAATGTAATTGTCAGTCTGCTTGCAGATGTCGATGGTTTGCAATGCGTATTTTGCAAGGTTGACCTTGGTTTCATCGACGATGCAACGGCTGATCAGATCCGGCCGCGGCTTGCCAATGGCGTTCTTCAAGGCTCCGGTGATGGTGAAGGCGGCGCCAACGCTCAAGCCAAGGCCAAGGATGCCACAGTTCAATTCCCACAATCGATCCTTAAATCGATATCTTCCTGATAGGCGCTTGATACCAGCCCTACCTGCGGGCATTGTCGTCTGGTGTGAGAAGAGCCCATCGATGACCATTGTGTAGAGTGCGATGACCGCAGCGGGAGCGAGGATAACGTAGACGCATAGCCACGGGACGGGTACGCGCTCATGTTCGGCGAAGGGGTAATGCAGGGTGTAGTTTTCGAGGGCGAAGTGCTGGTGGAAGGGCGGGATCTTGTCGACAATGGTAAAAGCTACTATGAGAACACTATGGCTTTGTTAGCCGGGTCGAGCTGGGAAGGAGGTCGTGTGACGCGGAGAGGGCAGTCTTGCAATATGATGAGATAGTCGCCAATATATCTGTGCTGGTTAGTCTCTCGTGTTCTTCTATTTGAGTAGTTGTACGCACGAGAAGATGACCTTCTTAGGAAGGCGCTTCTTGGAGAAGGGAAGGCGCTCAGGGAGCTGTTTCGACGTCCAGTCGTCCATGATGCGCTACAGGACCCAGCCAATCGCGAATGCTTCGTCACTCTCCCAGGCTCAATGGCAGTCGACTGCTCTAGTATCGTAGTATTGCACTATGCGAAAATGTAGGCGTGAATGTTTTCGGGGGTCCGCAAACGACGGCACCAGACATGCGACCCTCCTGGGGGATGGCGCAGGGGCGGAGAGGACAAGGAAAGGGAAATGCAGAGTCAGCGAGAAGATAAAAGACAGTGGGGAATGTCGGAATGCAGTTGAGTTGCCCCGGGTCAGCAACGCCGTGGGTAGGGAGGATGTGTAGAAGTGCAGGGCCGACTACGCAGCGTCTCCGTGCTCAGCTTGTGGCTGTGAGGATTGAGCTGACGCGCTCCCAGACTTGGCTCTCTCCACAACAGCAGGGCTAGCCGCCTCGAGATCAGCGCCAATTCAACTCGGCCTTGGTACGCGGAGCATTATTTCACGTTACGTCGCGATAAGGTTCGTGTGATATGCATGCGGCAGCAGCTCTAGTAAGGCCGGCCGCATGCACGGCAGGCGATGGCATCCGAACCGAGCTGTAAAAGAAATACGACATGGCAACAATGGGCCTGTTCCATGTGGCGCATCCAGCGGAAGCGGCGATCGCTCCCAGCTTAGCGCCATGGCGATCAGCTTATTTTGTCACCGCCTCAGGGTCCGACTCTCTACATCTATTCCTGTATCGCCATGTTTTCCTTATTCGCCAGCGAGAAGCCGCAGCCCAAAGCCGCCGAGGTTGCCATCCAGAGGGTTTCAAACATCACCGCCACCCAGCTGTCCCGCTTCGAGCGCCTTCCCAAGGTCCAGCGCTATGCCATCATAGGCGCTGCCTCTGTTGGCGGTCTATCCATCCTATGGGCTTTGACTTCATCTTCAAAGTCTGCCAGGCGGCCTCCGATTCCTTCTCCCAGGGATTCCCTGCTACCTGACCTGTCTCCCGAGGATGCTGCAGAACTTCCATACCATCCAGCTGCACTGCCAGGAGCCCGCGATGTCGATTCACCCTGGGGTACCATCCGCGTATATGAGTTTGGCCCCAGAGATGGAGAAAAAGTTTTGCTCATCCATGGCATCTCGACCCCGAGCATTGCCCTGACTGACCTGGCGCACAAGTTGGTTGGCAGGGGACGACGTGTCATGCTTTTTGGTGGGTCCTCCTTGCTGTCACGGCTAGCCTTTGCCTCATCACTTTGCTCTTGGTTGTTTCATAGCCATGAAACCAAACTCCGTCTTCTTGATCGGTTAGAAGACAGTTTTTCTGTGTGGTTTCTATGATCGCCACATCTGCATGCCCCACGTTGAACCGGGCGTGGAACTGTGTCATGGGATCCCTTGCTTTACCCGTTTCGGCAAGGGGCCCGCCAGCCCTACCAACGGTGAACCACGTGCACTGCAGATGCGATTACCGAACTCCATCTTGAATAGTCCGTGCTATGCTACACGAACAAAATACTAACAATATCAACAGACCTCTTTGGTCGCGGCTACTCTGATGGCCCCAACCCGGACACAACCGACTATGACTCGAACCTCTTCACCAGTCAAATCTTGCTCGCGCTACAGTCTTCGCCCATCCACTGGTCAGTTTTCACCATAGTCGGCTACTCCCTAGGCGGCGCCCTTGCTGCCGACTTTACATCCTACTTTCCATCGCTAGTCCGCGGCCTTGTCCTCGTTGCTCCCAGTGGGCTCATCCGTAAAAACCGCATTTCCATTTCCAGCAAAATGCTCTACAACAGCTCCTGGATGCCTGAATGGATGGTACGCAAGTTCGTCGCAAGCAAACTATGGACAGGACGCAAAGTAGTTGAGAGCGACCCTGAAGCAGTAGAGCACGCGGAGACTACCACAACTGCGAGCGAAGGAGACAAGACATATCTGAGCAGCAACCAAATGCTCTTGCCCGGCAACCCGCACTCTACCGTCTCTTCCGTCGTGGATTGGCAGATACAAAATCACAAGGGTTTCGTGCCAGCTTTCATATCGACCATCCGTCATGCGCCCATCCAGAATCAACAAGAGCGCTGGGCCGTCATCCGCGAAAACATTGAGAACCGCGCTGGCCCGCTAAAGGAAGTTTGGCTCATCCTCGGTGAAACCGACCCCGTTATCAACGCCGATGAAGTCACCGAGGATGCAAGGGCGGTACTGGGTGAGGAAAATGTCAGGGTCAAGGTACTAGACGGTGTAGGTCACGAAGTCGCTATTGAGCGAGCAGATGACATTGTACGGGCCGTAAGAAGGGTTGGTAGCAAAAACGAGGAGGTTAGAGAGCAGGAAGTACCGCCTGAGGTACCTGAAAAGGACCAGAAGCCTGAGAAGGTTGAGAAGGTTGAGAAGGTTGAGAAAGAAAAGAAGGACAAGAAGGAGAAGGAGAAGAAGAGCTCCAGTCGGAGGAAGCACGGAAGCTCACACGCTGGCTCTAGTGCGAAATAGGACTGAGCCCCAGGAATAAGATGGTTTACGAGGCCAAAGAATGTACAAGATTATATAACAAGAACAATTTCACAACGCTTAGATGCAACTTCAAACTCCCCAAGAAGGGCTAAAAGTACGCAGCATAAAAGTTTCATTCAGAAGTATATACACGAAACCAAACCCCACCCCCTACCCCCCCCTCCCGGTCACTCAATCCATCTAACCACTCCACACAGCCGGGCCAGGAGGAGTGTAGCTAGTGGGAACCGGGTAGTAAATGTTAAGCTGAATGCCCTTGTCGTCCGCCTTGTACGCACCCGGGAAAGCGACCTTGGGTCCCGGCGTTCCACTACCACCATTCTCAACCTTCAACTGCGCACACGAGATGTAGAACTGCGCACCACCGATCGTAGACGCAGAGTGCACAGCAATGTGCTCAACGCGCATGAGGTATTCGCCCGAGGGGAGGGATTTGGGAAGTGTGACGTCGACTTCTTGTTTGCCTGTTCACACGACCAAATCAGTGCCATGTTCGTTCAAGCGGGAAAGAGGAAACATACCGTTGCTCGGCCAGTTCATCTGCCCCCCAGAAAAGGTAGCGCCCTGACTGAAGATCTTGAACCACACATCGCCGCTTCCATCCCAGGTGGCGGCTGTCTTGCCCTCGGGGACTTTGGCGAGGTAGAATTGAAGAGGACCCGGGTGCGAGATGCTGGATGCGGCTGTGAATCCGACAGAGTCGCCGGCGTTGACGGTGTAGGTCTTTGAGCCTGTGCCCGGGGCGAGCTCGTAGCAGCGGATTGCGTCGGCGGTTACGTCTGTTGTGGGACCTAGAGGGGTGTTAGATGGGTGTTTGGAAGGGCAGTGATGGGTATAGATTGGGAAGCGTACCGTTGGATTGGTAGTTAGCGGTCTTGCGGACGTAGGTCCATAGACCGGTCTTCTGGCCCTTGACGACGAGTTCGGGGAAGGTGTAGTGGGCGCTGGCCGTGCTGGCGACAGCAAGGACGGTGGCGATGATTGAACACTTCATGGTTGGCACTGTGATGAAGATGTGATGAAGGGTATCTTGATGTCTATACGAAGTACCAAAGCCCCCTCTATATATACAACCATCCTGCTAGCTTAGTAGTGGAGCTGTCACAACATCCAGGTTCCTCTATATTACAGTACTATGCGCCCCAGACTCAAGCATGTGCATACTTGCATTTTCTCGCCGCCTTGCGCACGCGGCGGTCGATAATGTTCCGGCGGGTAAAAGAGTTGGTAGGCGCTGGGGCATTACCGAACCGAGGTGTTGAAACGCGAGACCCAGTACAATTAATTCATGGGAAACATATGGATGTTTAGATGAGGTTAGTGGCGCTAAGGTGTGGTCATTGGTCGGCAAGCCTAGTCCCCCTGTCCGGTAGTCGAAACACATGACCCGGGTTCTATATTGTAACGGGCGGCTTTGCCATCCTGGTAGATTAAATGGCGTCTCTAGTTGCACCACAAGTGTACGTTCGATGGAGAATACTACTCGAAGCGATGCGCAGTGGCTGCTAGAATATATTGATCGTGTGGGTTGCAGTATCGTGGCAGCATGGAAGCAGTTGAAGAAAACCCGGGACGAAGATGCGAAACACTATGGACATGAAGCTTGTTTTCGTTAAATCCGATCGCGACCTTCTAGATGCGTGATAATGACATATGATACAGTGGGGTATGAAGACATGTACCTGTTGATCGAGCGATCGTCAACGGGTGAGCGGGAACGGTGAATGTGCTTGCCTGACAGCCAGCATGCAATGTGGGTCTCCCAGGTACGCCAATCTCAGGGGTTTCGTCTGCTCTCGACGAGGGCCAATTGCTTCTGCTCCTCTGCTTCAAACTCGCCGGCTTCGTAGTACAGATCCTCTTCGTCTATGTCTGCGTATCCGAATATGCTGCGGTAAATTCGTTCTCCAAGTCCCTTCTTCTGGGCCATGGCGAGTACCATGACGATGGGAAGGTGCCAGATACTAGCCCAGAACAGACCTCTAGCCGTTCCTTTTTGCCCCTCGGCCTTCCAGAACTGCCAGGCTTTGAGTGCCATCCACCCGTTGACGACGCTGCTCGTGGCTACGTAGCTCCAGTCGGTTACGCCGCAGTATGACAGACCGATACAGACAGGAAACATCAGAATAGAATACCGCAGTGCCACTCGTCCGTTCATTCCAGGGTTCACCCAGGCTGTCATGCGGTAACCCGCGTTCTTGTACTCGTCGCGGATGGCCCAACTCAAGGCGTTGAAGTGGGGGAACTGCCAGGCGTACAGGAGCGCAGCGCACAGCCACCCTCCAGCTGAACCCTCACCGAACAGCAGTTCTTCCCAAGTTCCGTCATGGGCGTACTGACTCGCTGCAGCCGTCCAGCCCATGAGCGGTGGAATGCCTCCCACGATTGCGCCAACCCACGTATTCAGTATATGCATGCGCTTCATGGGAGTGTACACGCCCGCATACAGGAAAATGTTGGCGGCGCCAAGAAACGCGGTCGTGGGGTTGACACCGTAGTATAGAGCGCCAGTACCGAACACTCCGCATGCGACAGCGAAGATGATGGCGCCTCTTGGGCTGATGAGCTTCCGGACGAGAGGCCTGTTGCGCGTACGACTCATCTTGGCATCATGCGCGGGCTCCATGATCATATTGAAGGCATTTGCGGATGCCGAGCACAGCGCCGTACCCGATGTAAGGAAGAAAAGTGTGAGGGTCGAGAGGGACGGGGTAGCCGTTGCTGCGGGTGCAAGCAGGCCGGGTACGGGGTATAGCGAGTATGCGGCGGTCGCAGTGAGGACGACGAGGAAGGAAAGGCGCGGTTTCGATAGCGAGAGATATGTAGTCATCATGCGTTTGAGCGATTGCTGTGGGAGGCTCGAGGATAGGTGTGCCAGTTTCGACGACGCATCGTGTGGTATTGGATATGCCGTCTCCGAATTCTCTATCGCCTGCTCTTTTGCTTTCTTCCGCCGCCTATGTGGTAACACTTCTTCTGTGCCAGTTGTGCCATCCTCCTTCGCCGCTTGCTGCCCGCCTGCATTCGCCGATTTGATAGACAGAATCGAGCTCTGTAACTCCGGCCTTGATGTCCAGAATGTGTCCTTCAGTAATGGGTTCGCCCGGAAGTAGTCCTTTCCGAAAGCAGTACCGCCTCGTCCGGCTGCTATGGCGTCGTCTTTATACGACGGATTGAAAGAAATTGGTCTCCGGGACTGCAGCGGCGCTTTTGCAAGTCTGCGCCAACACCGTAGACATAGTGTATTCGCATCTCGCGCTGCAATTGGCCGCGGCAGTATTGGTCGAAAGCTCATGACGGCATGGGGTTGAGCTCCAGCGGGCAGTCGACATGAGAGTGATAACTTTTGGATTGCACTTGCCAAGAGCCGAGGCGCGCTAGCCACTCAGACATCCCGCATTTCCACTCTACACTCATCCCGTCTCCTTCTCAGCCTCACGACATCTTGATAAGCGACGACCATCAGTCAGCACTACTCTGCGCTCGTCACCGGATATAGCAAGACCGCTGAAAATTTTGAGTCGTTTGTTGGAGTTATCTGATCAACCATCAGCCAGTCGCCGTGAAGATCTTTCGAGCTGGCGGCAATATCGAATAGCTCACCAGCTGAAATACGCGATGCCTCGGGTGCTTCATTGTATTGTTACGCCGCAAACGTGTAGACAACAGTCAGCCTGGAGTTCCAGAACCAACTCAACTTTGAAGTAATTCTGGAATCGGATCAGAGCCTCACCAGTTTGCAATTCAGGCCTGTATGACATCGCTCATACCCATCCTAGCCGCATTGATGCCCTGGTCCGCAGGCGCAGTATGGCCCCCACATGTTCAGCTCGGAAGAGTAAAGATCTAGCGTAACTCGCATGGTTCCAGAAACCCATGGATCGTCGTCAGCCTGCAGCAGAGCGGCGAGGCTATGTAATTCGCTGAAGACGGGTTTCATAGAGGCTGTGTAAGCCACAAGGCTACCGACTCTAATGTCTGTTGCCAGCGCATCGCTCCTCGCATCCGCTGAACTGTCGTTCGCATCGTCTACGTTCAGATGGATCCTAATATTGTTATCAGCTCGGCGTTTACCATCGGCGCAAGCGCAGCCCAACTTTCGCTCGCTCTCTTTGGAGTAGTCCAGACACTCAAAAATGCACCCAGTGAGATAGCGGAGATCGGTAGGCAGTCTGTTCCTGTATCCGGTCCAAAACATACTCAAAAGAACTAGCGGATGAAATATCTTTACTCGCGGGCAGTTGGCAGACCCTCGGAGAAATTCTGGATGTCCATCGCGACTTGTGCAAGCCTGCACTACTCAAAAACACTCACTTGATCATATCGCGATATGAACAGGTTGCTGCAGAAATCCGACTACTCATCAATGAACCTCAAAGCCTAGCGGGGCTCAAGTGGCCGCTGAAGAAACCCAAAGCAAAAGGTCTTTTGAAGAAAGTCGAAGGAATCAAGACTGCATTGATCCTAGAAATCAACATTGTTCGACTTGCCAGGGAAGAGGTTAATCGGCCGTAAGCCTGACCGAGAATATCTTGAAGACTCTGCGGTTGCTCACGTCACTAGATATCCCGACCCTTACTCGAACGGTCAACTCCAGGGTGGTCCAAGATTGAATCGCTTTCGTAGAATCGTGGAAAGTAGTGTCCAGGCGAACCGGCTCGTCGTAGAGAGCGCACAAAAGGAAGACGAAAAACTTGAAGCTGACACACAACATCACACCTCGGCAGAACTAGACATATGGAAAAGTGGCTCTTCCGATACTGCGACCTGGCTCTATCATCTTGTATTTAGCCCTGACGCAGCGAGTCCTTCATCTCCCTCACCACAACCCCGTCAGCTTCACCAAGCATCCGTGGCCGATGAAAGTGCTGAAACGAACACGAAAACCGGTTTCTTACTGTCTTCTGAAGCTCCCATACCACCGAAGAGGCGACCTTCGGAACCCGAAGACAAAGCCTTAATCTTATGGAGCAAACAAACCGAGCCAGGCTTAGTAGCGGATAGACTACTCTCCTCGTGGACCACGCTCTCGTCCAGTCAGATTGGCCTCAGCTCGACTCGTCATCACAGTATTGAAGGTGCGGAGGATGATGAATGGAGGGAGGGCATCTTAAACATGGCAGAGGAGGAGGCAGAGAAGGACGACAACTCATCTTTTGGTGAGTGGGAACAAGAGAATGACCCTATCGGGTCAGATGACGAAGCATTCCAGAGTGCGGAAGAAGCTAGCACGATCGGCACCAATGCACCCCCGTACAACTTCCGCAGCAATACTCAGAAGGCACGTACGAGGAGTGCAAAGACCGCTGATCATTCTGATTCGTGGGCCTATACATACGGATCGTCACCGGTTTACGGCAAACCACCGGAGCCCAGTCGAGTTACTGGCGAGCCACATGTGTCATTCCGTACATCGTCTACCAGCCGTCCCCGCCGCAACAGATCTAAACAAAGGAGGCCTACCATGTCTACCACCAGACCACCATTCTTAGAGGCCGACAGCAGGAGGTCTTCATCCCGAGTTCACACTATTCATAGTGATTCGATGGATTCAGCTCACAGTGCGCCCAGTCGTGACTATTTCGACAGTGAACATTACCGAGAGAGAGCCAGACCCGAGTTTTCCAATCCATTTAGGCCTGGCCACATCCCGCCATCTGTCAGTTACGGGCAAACTCCTCCGCCATGGCAGGGATCGTCACACGTGCGACCACCCCCCGAGTACCACCAAGAGCCACCAAGACAAGCATATGCATCCGACTCACACTTGCCATATCCACGATCTCCTCCGAGTCCTCAACAAGTCGCCGCTCCTTTACCGCCATCTCCAGTACCTGCTCCACCAATTCCTACTCTACACATGCCTGCTCCATCGATGCCTGCACCACTGGTGCCTGATCCACCTGTGGAGATGCAACCTAAGACGTCTGAAAATGAGGCTAGGGAAGATGCGCTTCTCGCCAGGGTAGAGACCTTGCTTCAGAAGCGCAGCCAAGAACCTCGTGTTGAGTATGAAGACCCGCCGTTCTCAAGATTGGCGAAGGTATTGCAAGAGCGTGAGGTCCAAAGCGAACGGGAACGAGCCAATGCAGCAACTGAAGCGCGCACGAACCAGATGCAAGTTGTTCATGAAAAAAACGAGGAGAAAGTGAAGCAACTCGAAAGTCTCGTGGCGGCTCAAAGGGCAGAGCAAAGGCGCATGGAGGTTATATGGGAGGAGGAAAGGAAGGCTATTGAAGCAAAAGCCACAAAGCAAGCTCAGGAAGTGAGAGAACAGGCAGCGAAAGAGATCGCGGCCGCGCAGATGGCCAAAGAAACAGCTCAAGCAGCCCTCAATGTTGAGAGGCTAGAAACCGAAAAAGAAGCAAGGAAAAGAGCTGACGCCATTTTCAAGGCCGAAAGAGAACGAACGGAAGATTTCCACAAATTGCAATTGCATCGCTACGAGGAGCTACTTCATGGGCTACGAGAGCAGCTGCTGAACTCAGAGCATGAAAGCGATCGGGCTATAAGACGGACCCAAATTGCGGAAGGCAATCGCACCGTGGATGTAACAGAATATGCGACAAGCAAACGAGCTCCACTTTCGATATCGGCTTCTTCCTCATTCATAGACAATTTTGCACACTTGGATATGAGGCCCGGTCGGACTAGCTATCACGACCGGCCCCAAAGAAGTTCCCGTCGCCACAGCTTTCGTAGCACTACAGCCTCATTGCATGCTTCGCGTGCTTCGTTGGGGAGTATAGGTACTCCTGACAGTACTTCAAAATCTCAGCAGGTGATCATCTTCCCTGCAAAAGCCGACAGACGCTCCCAGAGGATGCACAAGCTACAGAAGTCGTTGACTAGATTTGGGATTGAATCTGATTTTGAAGATCCAGAAGACCTGCATCAATTGCACACCAGTCAACTTGTACAATATGACTACGACAACACGAATGACCAGACTGTTAGAAGTACCATCTTTTGGGAGGCGTCTGCGCTTAATCTAGGAAGTGAGCTCCTGCTCACCATGAGGCAAGCCGGATGGAGACCATCCTACACTCGCATATCAGGTAGGGATCCGTCGCTGAAGTCCATTATCATCATATTAACACTGCCCAGAGAAAGGCCAAACTCACTATTTAGGAAGTCAACCGGTGCATACCTATTTCTTCGATCCGGACTACGAACCGCAGTTTTCCCCGTCTGAGACCGCACCAGGCAAGGAGTCGATCACTATTCAGAAAGCCCTCGTGGAAGAATATGCACTGATTGAGCTGGGTTTCAAGTTTCATACCAACGATACAGGCGTATATGTTCTCGATGGTAGACTTACATATGTAAAGAACTTCGTTGATTATTAGTACAACGCTTTTGCTAATGGTCCGTAGAACGATATCGAGACTCTGATTGAACGGTCATTTCTGATGAGAGAAAACAACTATCGACGACTACACCGCCAGCTACAATGGCACTTCGACAAGGATCCCGAGGTACCCTTAAGTACCTACCCGGCCACGTATGCGCCATCAGTGCACTCCGTACCGTCCGTGTACTCGGGCGAGAACTCCACTGTCTGCGACGATACCGACACGGAGACGCAAGGCAAAAGGAACCCAAGCTCAGCAGGCTCTGATACCGACCAATCTGAACTTGGCGATGTCAGTAGATTCCTTGTCCCTCGATCCGGGGTGTCAAGAAGGTCAGCAGTGCCGTCGTCGGTGGCTTCACGGACTTCGAAATCCACGAATCCGTATCGGAAGTACATGAATGCGGCCGAGGATAGCGGGGCCGAAAGCGTACCCAGATCATCTCGTTCTCCAAGTCACTTCGATTGAGGACGTATGTGTAGATATCAAGTTAGACGTACAAAGTAGTGTATGAAAAGGTGCGACTTACCTAGACAAAAGAGCTTCTTGTTCCTCACTACCCTTGTGACCATCGAGCTCGCTACTCTGATGAATCACGATTATCCGAAATCTATCGTATACACAAAGCTAGACCCTTGAATCTGCGTCTATCCTGCAAAGCTCGCAAAGTGTCTTCGCGCCAGGAGTAGTTGCCCAGGTGGCCTCCCCGCTAGCCTATGACGCAATCCGCATCCCGAGAATCGGTATCATTCCGAAGCAACACCCAAAACTTCGAGTCCCAGCATCGCGCCCTCTACAAGCTACCCTCTCAATTCCGCGCTCTATCTTCCACGCGCATTCTGTACATGCGCTTCAAACATTTCCTCGCCCTCTCAGACCCACGTCTTTACACTCTCGCCAACTTTCGCGTCCGCTCCCATTGGCGCACAATGGCCGCCGCCCCGCCTCCAGATCGCCCGATAAAGCTATTGATGCTCCACGGCTACACGCAATCAGGGTCACTATTCCAGGCCAAGACTGGTGCACTGCGCAAGACATTACAAAAAGCCTTTCCCAAAGGCATCGAGCTCGTATATCCTACTGCGCCGATACGTTTAACACCCGCCGACGAATCGTTCCTAGCAGGAAACACAAGTAAAGATGGCGAGGGCAAAGATGGAAAGGACGGAGAGGAGCAGGAGATTGACGCATGGGCGTGGTGGAGGAGGAAGGGCACAGGAGAACCATATACATACGAAGGCATGGAGCAAGGGCTGGCGCACATCGCAGGCGTGTTGAAAGAACAAGGGCCTTTTGACGGTGTCGTAGGGTTCTCACAGGGAGGAGCAGCGGCAGCTATGGTTGCGAGTTTGCTCGAGCCAGGCCGTCGCGCCGCGTTCGAGAACCTGTACCCTGAGGGCGGCATGAGGTTCCCAGAGTCTTTCGAAGAGGACACTGGGTACATGGAAGGCACAATACATCCACCGCTGAAGTTCGCGGTCAGCTATAGCGGCTTTGCAGCGCGTGGAAAGAACCCTTATCACGCGTTCTACGAACCCAAGATCAAAACGCCGATGCTACATTTCTTGGGTACACAGGATGTTGTAGTTGAGGAAGCGAGGAGTCTGGCTTTAGTGCAGGCTTGCGAACACAGCGAGGAGAAGTATGTTGTGTATCATCCTGGAGGCCATTTTCTGCCAAGCACGCAGAAAGCCAGCGTAAATGCGCTGATTGGGTTTATCAAAGAAGTTTTGTACGAACAGCAAGGTGGTGGAAAGAAGGAAGAGGAGAGTGTTGAGGATATGGATGTGCCGTTCTAGCGTTGAAGGCCGACAGATTCAAGCGTCGTGAGAGCATTGATATCTATACGGAAGCGAGGCGTTCAGGTAGACTACAGTAGATGATAGACTAAAAGTGTCTACAAACGTGCAGCTCTTAATGCCATGCAGGACGCGGGGAGCGCTATCACAAGACCAGGCGATGGTGCACGGGCCTCCTCTTACCCCATTGTTTGGGTTGGCGCCTTCCATGTTTACATCAGTGCTGTCATTCCGAACACCACCACCACAGACCAAATCGCGACTCCACCATGGCGCAAGCAGGCAAAGAGAACATCGCCGATGGCCTAATCGCGAACGGCTCGTTCAAGGCGTCGACGCAGCCTCTGAAGAAAGCAGCATTATCACCAAAGAAAAAGACGCGTAGTAAGAGTATCGGCCCCGGAGGCCTGGGAGAATTGGAAGTGCCTCCTCTGAAGGAGAGTTTTGGAAATCGCAGAAAGGTATGCTTTGTACACGCGATTGTGGGAGTGGTTGCTAATCGAATAGTCTGCTTTTATCCCCGCTGTCAAGTCCATTCTAGCCTCGAACGATGAAGACGAGAAGAAGCGGCGCGAAGCGCGTCGCAAGTCGCTGGGTACGTGTTTCGAGCCTGATAACAATTCGAGAGCTTGACTAACAAATGATTAGCAAGGCGACGCGTGTCTTTCGCACCGGAGGCCACTTTACACACATGGGACGTAGTCGAGTACATGCGCGATGCGACCACCTCCTCAGCCTCGTCGGAGGCCACACGCAGAGCCTCGAACGTGTCTCAAGCATCCACACCGGCATCACCTGCCCCTCCATCAGACCCCGCCGAACCTTCATCTACACCACCAGAACAAGCCGAAGAGCCTCAACCGGAGCCTAGTTCGTCACCTGAGAGTCAACGCGCGCAGCACCAAAAGAAGAATCGCCGGAGTTCGGGAATACCACCGATGAACTTCAACAACCCAGACGATGTTTACTCCTCAAGTCCGCTAAGTGGGGATAATGCTTCGCCCGGTGGAAATGATAATGGGAGCAGCGACTCTGAGGATATGGATATCGAAGATGCCACAGAAAGTCTAGGAGCTTCACCTGATATTGAGGACTCGTCGCAGAGCAGCGCTCGACTGGATGCTGCGCTGCGCGAGGCTGCAAACTTGGCAGGCACTCAGAAGCTGGATTTCGACGACGATGACGGAGACATGAGCATGGAGATCGCGCAAGACGAAGTTACCGCATCTTTCAAGCCGTGGGCAAAAAAGAGCTTTGTTGCGCAATATGACAAGGAGAATGCAAGCCCTCTTTTCTCCCCAGCACGCACTGTAGCCGGCGAGGACGACGACATGAGTATGGACATCACACGTGCGGTAGGCCGCATCGTACCACCTCCACCACAACAAAAGCAGCCGGAGCAGCAGCAACAACAACGCTCGGACGCAGCGAGCTCAGACGTCGACGACGATGACATGACCATGGACCTTACTATGCCACTTGGAAGCATACAAGCGATGGCGGCATCTTACAAACCAGCAAACAGGAGGAAGAGTCTTAAGAGGAGGGTCTCATTGCTCGATGAAAACCAAGGTAGCCCCGCAAAGCGCACCGCAAGCCGGCGTACCAGTTTGCGACAGCGTCGACAATCCGAAGAGCACGGCCAAGAAGACGCGACTATGGACCTCACAATGGCGATTGGAGCAATTAAGAAAGTGCCCCAGCCGGAGCCAGCTAGACGTGCTAGTATTGGGAGCGTCGTTGATGATGCGACGATGGACTTTACACTGGCCGTGGGCAGCATTAAGAATAGCAGACAACAAGCGCATGAGGAACAAGAGGATGAGATCGAAGATGAAGACCTTTCCATGGAGTTTACCAAAATCGTTGGACCAGGTATTAGGCGTGCCGGCAGCTCAACAACGACACCACAAACACCCGTAGATGACGCACCCGCTTCAGCAACGAAAACACCGACACCGCGAAAGTCTCCAAAAAAGTCGCCCGGGCGAAGAAGGAGTTCCATTCTTAGGGCAGAAGCCGAGCCGGCGCCACAAGTACTGCAAGACATCACTCCCAGCGCGACAGGCGATGTGGCCTATCCCACCCTTGACCCTGGTACACCAGAGATCGTCAGGCAGAAGGATATCGAGGAGGTCGAACCTTCGCCATTTGTGCGCCGGACTCCACTGAGTGCGACCAAAGAGAAGGAAGCTCTTGCAACCCCTTCAAACGCGTCGCCGCAGAGGACGCCCATGATGATTCCCGAGGACCCAATTGCAGCTACAATACTTGACCGACGTCGTTCGTCCTTGTCTGCAGTACAATTCAGTCCTCTGAGTGCACCACGACAGGAGCCTCCACTCAAGAGCACAGCACTTCTGAGCAACAGCATCAAGCTGCTATCCACTCCACGAAAGCAGACGTTAATGTCACCAGTGAAGAAAGGGATGACGCCGAAGAAGTCACAGACTCCTCAAAAGCAGCCAACGCCAAAGCAGCCGACACCAACTCCCAAGAAGGCGACTCCCAGGAAAAGCATGAGCCCAATGAAACGCGTTGCTTTTGGTGAAGAGCCAGAAGAAGAGAACAACGACGACGATGGCGTGGCAGAGGACATGTCGGAAGTTGAGCGAATCTCATTACAGGACTTCCTCGACATGACCAAGATTCGCTTCATGGATCTTAGTACGACCAAGCGACGCCATACTGCTGCTCCCTCCGCATTCCACGACGTTGAAGTAGAGGAGAAGGAAGAATCTCTGGATCGCTATGTTGTGGCTGGAGCGTGCACATTACCTGAGTACGAGCTGTATCAGCATGCATGCCACGAGATGAAGAAGTACATCTCGGACGGTCGCCACTTCGTTCGCACCATGGAGGCCAACGTCCTGGAGGAGAATCCGCTGCTGTTCAGCGAATACCTTACTGCTCCTCCAGATCAGCGCGCTGTCATGGACAATCAGTTCAAGAACCTTAAGACAAATGCGCGTCTCGAAGCCCGTGGAGAGTGGTACACATGGCGAAGCACGCTCTTGCATGATCTCAAAGCTGGCCTCCTCCACACCATGGACGGTTTTAATCACGACGAATCCACACTGATAAAACAGGAGCGCCTTCTCGACGAGACATTGCCGCCTCTGGTTGAGAAGAAGGATCGTCTGTCCACTGAGTGTAAGCAACTACAACAGCGTCACGATGAACTCAACAGCTGCGATCGGGAAGAGCTTGAGCAAACAAGAGAGAAGCTTACAGATACTGATGCTGAGTTGGAAGAGAAGAAGCTGCTTCTTGCCCAGCTGCAACAAGAGCTTGGTGACAAGGAGACACGCATAGAGGCAGCCAAGGACCGCAAAGTCGAATGCATCCAAGAGATCAAAGCAGCGGAACGTGTACGAGAAGAGTGCCGCGGCTGGTCTACAAGCGAAGTCAGTAGTCTGAGAGGTATGTAAAGCCCATTCTTCCTACTAGGATTTCGCTAACAGCACACTAGCAAAACTCACTGCTCTTGAACAAGCCCACGGATGGAGCATAACGTCCGCTTCCTCCAACAGCATCACAATGACACACATGAACGACCTCGAACTTTACTTCGTACCTTCTGCTTTCGCCACCGGCTCCAATACACCCAACGGATCCATCTCGCTTGCCTACGTCGGTGATTCAGCAACGCCACATCCTCGTGCGTTGACGACAAGCAAGCGCTTCTTCCTCCAGCTCATCCGCGCACATCTTCATGGTATCCCTCAGTCCCAGACCCGCATCTCCTCGCTCCTGTCTCTTGTCAAGAATGGCTGGGCTACCGCTATTGCAGTCGCCGAGGGCGTCCGTTGGCTCGAGCACAGCTACATCACCGAAGAGTTCATCCTTTCGGATGAGCGCATGGCGATTTCTGCGAACATGCTGCTGCCGACCCTTCAGACAAAGGTCAAGGCTACCTTTGAAGTCGGTGTTAGTCTAGGCAAAGAGGGCATCGAGACCGACGTCAATATGAGAGCGGAGGTTGTCTACGGTGAGAAATACGGCGAGGAGAAGATGGGCGCGTTCTTGCGCGACTTCTGCGGTAACGAGATCAAGGATGAGAGGGAGATGTCCGTCTGGGCAGATGGCATGATGGATCTTGCAGCAAGGTTGAAGAAGACCGGAAGGAAGGGCGAGAGGAAGTAGATGTGAAGCGTGCCTTGTGTGGTTGGCATTATGATGGTCATGACTTAGCTTTATGGATTACGACGGCGTTTAGCATATCCGGCGTCACTAGGGAAACGCATTCTTCGATAGTCTTCAGCCATTACTCCTTCAACACGATGTTCGTTGGGTGTCGCGATTTCCACCACGCCACATCCGCTCTAGTCTCATCAGCCGGAGAAACTCATGATCGACGTCATACGGAACATTTCCAAAGTTGAGCCTAGCCCGTTTCCCCAGCAAAGGCTCGGCGGAAAATACACCGAATGTCGCGATTCATGGACGACTGTTGTTGACGTCCATTCCATGCTATCCTGGTTTTAGCCGTCCCCGCAATCCGGGGACCGGGAGGAGCTGCTTTAATTTGCGGAGAAGGGGCTATAGATTGCAGTAGGCTAGTATCTCCAATTCCATATATGTACATGTAACCGCACTTTCCTAATCGTGAGTTTCGCTAAAGGCACTTATTACGATGTTACTCTCCGTCGCATCGGTCTTTCTAGCTTTCGTGGCAAGCAGTACATCCGTTTCTGCATCACCAACACAATATCCCCAACAAAATGCATCTCAACCCATCGTCCATCTCGACTATGGAACCTTCCGTGGCGCCTCATCTTCCCAATATAATCTAACCTACTACCGCAAAATCCCCTTCGCTGCATCCACAGCCGGGGAAAACCGATTCCGCGCGCCCCAACCACCACTCCACATCACCAATGGCACATACGACACCGACCAAGCCTTCGACATGTGCCCGCAGCGCACAGTAAACGGTTCAGAAGACTGCCTCTACCTCGGTCTATACTCGCGCCCTTGGACAAAAAAGCAGGACCTCCGACCTGTCCTCCTAACCTTCTACGGCGGCGGCTTCATCCGCGGCAGCGCCAGCTTCAGCATTCCACCATCCGGCTACCCCGTTCTCAACGTCTCTACCTCCAACGACTACATAGTCGTATACTCCAACTACCGCACCAACGTCTTCGGCTTCCTGCCCGGCTCGAAGATCGCTGAACATCCGGATGTCGATCTCAATCCCGGTTTGCTGGATCAGCAGGCTGCGTTGAAGTGGATACAAAAGTACATCCACCATTTCGGCGGCGATAAACGAAACGTGACGATCTGGGGGCAGTCAGCGGGCGGCGGCAGTGTAGTTGCGCAGACGATTGCTACTGGAAATCGGGGAAAGGGCTTGTTCGCGAAAGCCCTGGCGAGTAGTCCGTTCTGGCCGAAGACGTACCGGTACGATAGCGCGTGGGCGGAGGATCTGTACGATCAGACACTACGCGATGTTGGCTGTGCAGGTGTGGTAGATGAGATTAAGTGTTTGAAAGAGGTGGATGTACAGGTGTTGAGGGGCAGTGCGTTGAAGCTCAGTACGAGTCAGCAGTATACTACTGCTTCTTTTACGTACGGGCCTGTTATCGATGATGTTTTTCTTACGGAGGAGTTGAGTAGTGTAGTGCAGAAGGGACAGCTTAACGCAGAGACGGTGATGACGAGTTATAATTTGCATGAAGGGGAGAACTTTATTCCGCCTGGGTTTCAGAATGCCAAGACGGGGAGCGATGGGTTTAATGTGTCGGAGGCGTCTTTTGATGGGTGGTTGAAGGGTTTTCTGCCGGACTTCACGGAGGGGGATAGAGAGGAGGTGAAGAGGATGTATCCTGCGGTGGGAACGGCGGAGGAGATTGGTTGGAACTCGACGTATGTTCGCGCTGGATTGTTGTACCGCGACCTTGTTCTGGCGTGTCCGTCGTATTGGCTTTCGAAGAAGGCGGAGAAGGGGTGGTTGGTTGAGTACACTATCTCGCCTGCTAAGCATGCGAGTGACGTGCAATATGTAAGTTTATCTGTACTGACCCTTTCGTATTGATGCCGAGTACTGACTTCTTTTAGTGGAACACAATCGGTTCAATCCAGCAAACAGATGCTCTGACCTACCAAGGATATGCTGGAGCCATGGCTTCATTCATCCAGACTGGGGATCCGAATGCGCATAAGGTGACGAATTCGAGTATACCCAGTGTGCCGAATGTGGAAGAGGGAAAGCAATTCCTAGTTACTGCGAGTGGGCTACGACAAGGTGGCATCAGCATGCTGGAGGAGAGGTGTAAATACTGGGCAGGAGTATCTCAGAGGGTTCCCGTGTGAGCGATATCATGTATGAGTAGTGGAGTGGTATACGTCAGGCGTACACAAAAAGTCAAATTCCAATCTATCATACAGCCCCCAGGAGGTCCTCCATGCTCGCCACAGTGACACCGCTCCACCTGCCCAGTCCATGTATCCGCCCGGCCTACCCATACCGTCTCCTTCGCCCTCGGCTTGACCTTTGAAGGTCCCCACGGACTATGGCTAGTCATCATGTACGATGAACTTGTTCTTGTGGAACACGCCCACCACGTCATACCTATCCTTAGGCAGCACCAACAACATAACGACAGGACTAAGGGAGCTTCCTACATACGTAGCAGCAGCAGTGCAGATACAGTGTCTTCTTAGGCTCTCCAAGCACCTACGACGTGTACTGTGACTGTCGACTCTTGGCGCAAAGACACATGTCAGCTCCTCAGCTCCTCAGTCTCACTGGATTGAGCCTTAAGTGTATGTATGAAGTACATGAGGCTACCCCATACTCTGATGCAAGGCTCCCAATATCCCATCGTAGGATGCAAGTCTGTGCATAGAATGTGAGAAGTGGTCCGCTCTACGACGCCAATGGGTTGGTCTCAGGTGCTTAAGAATCGTCCAGACTACCGCCGAAGACTCTGTCGGTAACGTGCCGCTTCGCACTCCTGCACCTCCAAGTTGCCAAAAAGAGAGCTTCACAATACGCAGGGCGATGTGAAAGGCTGGAAGGTAGTTTCGAACTCTTGAGCCAAAAAAAAACCCCCCCAAAAAATGGTTTCTTCTCTTTGCTTGAGCGTGTTATCCTTAATGCAGGGGCCATGCTAAATTTCTCTGTATCGTTTCTAATATGACCAAATGCCCGAAGGCGACGGAACTGGAGAATAATAGACTTATATATCCAGGGCATTGTTGTGGTGAAGGGTTTGGTGGGCTGGTGGTCGAAATCCCATGTGCGCGGACCGTGCGTGGGAATCTCCTTACGAGCGACATCATGGTGACCAGAGGAGACGATTACGAAAATGTGCTGAGTTCCTAGGGTGATTTGTCGTGCCGCTGCTGCTGATGGAAGTCCATGAGGATGGAGGAAGAAAGATGGTATGAAGTTCGAAATGGTGCGCGAATCGTGTCGGAAGCCATGCCTCAACGGGGAAGGGCGAAGTTTACGTCAGTGGATTTTCGATGTCGTCGCATGCCTGAGAAGTGGCATTTCCATCATTATCGCGTCCATATCCATCTATTTGAGGCTTGAGATCTCGCGTCGCGGTGTTGCAGCTCGCGTCGAAGATGCATATACGACTCCTGGGGACCTTCGAGGCCGTTGCGTCTTATGGCCACGCGGAGACTGCGGTTAAGCAGTTATTTCGCTCACAGCGGCAGCAGCAGCATGCAAGCAAGCGAAGTGCCCACGTCAGGGCGCTGATGATTACAGATGCATCAAGCGTATGCTCATAGTACGGCCTTCTCGGGGGTGAGCAGGGGCAAACCTGCTCCTTCGCTCGTCCTCCGATGCAGTGCTAATCGCGCTCTCACGAGACACGCGTTGGCCCTCTACTACGCATGCAGACAGTGTGTTCTGCTGTCTTGCAGTGCTCGCTCATCCCCATCGATCTTTGCGGCGCTGCTAAATGACAGCTTCGTGGCCTTCCTCATCGCCGCCGAAACTTCTTCCCACAAACGACATCCACACCACCGCTTTCACGGCAACGACAGCATCATCTACAAGCAGTCGGCAGTCTGCTGATACTTCTTCGCGAGATCCTCGATTTGATGCTCGAGGTAGCAATTTTCCGCCCCTCCTTAGGCCGCCGCAGCTTCATTTCGGATGCCCGCCGCAGACACAAGACTCTACACCCTCCACGCCAACAACACGATGATCATACAAGGCAGAGGAGGCCTGAAAAGGCGACTTGGTCATTGAAGAGACTGCTCAGTCCTTTTGCAGCACCAGCAGGAAGCTGCGACATCGATCGCGGCGGCGGACAGAGCTCCGAAGGCATCTCCGCAGCCATGACACGACCAGCGACACCACCACAGCGATCAACGGTAAGAGAGCTGACTTCCGGCGACTGTGGATGATGGCAGCTTCCCTTTATTTGAGACCAGAATGCTCTCGTGGGTCTAACATGCAACCGCGATACCGTCGTCATCTCTACCTCCCCGCTACCACGGCGAGCCAACCAGCAAATACACCCCGCCTATCGATCGCAACATCAGCTTGCGACTGAGTCTTCATCGCACCAACAGCAGTTTACGACGCTGATATCGATATCGACGGTTGGGCAAACCGCAGCGCCTCGAGCGGAGAGTCTGCCTCTCCGACGGACTACCGATGACACGGCGGGAAGCTCGCTTTCAATGTACACCCCTCACTTGGGATCACGGTCGACCTTTACCACGATACGGTGGTAAGGTGGGCAAACTCAGCGCTGGTCGTCTTTTACTTGCGACTTCAGCACGAAGTCTGTACCGCCTGTTCAGACAGGCCCGCCGCATGGCCGCGATAACTCTTACGCCATGCAAAGGCGGCATCTACTACTACCACAAAGAAGCCGGGATAAATCTGGAGCTTGCAGTGCCTTGTCGGTCGGAAGCTGGTGGTACGGTTTATGACGTGCGCCGCTCGTCAAGACTGCGCGGATCGAGCATCGACACCCGTCCAACACGACAGGTTCTCTTATCACTTCCGTACTGCAGCAGAGATCGACTGCCGTAGCCATCGACGAAGAGTCTGCGCGAATGGCGCCGTCGCGAACGACAAGACACGCCCGGAGATACTGTGGTAGACCCAGGGTTTCGATCCTGATGAACCAAGGTCACAGTGGGAAGCCAGGAGCAAACACACCAGGAGGATCCCCCCAGCCCTGGGCATCGCAAGAGCAAGCATCGGTCGGCTTGACTGCGCAGACTAGCGACAAAGATCGGGAGTTGCCCTAGGCCTCTGGCCGATCCGGTCCGACTGTCTCTGTACAACAGTATGGCCCTTCTGTCAAGATTGCAAGCTTCTCTCAGCGTCAGTTTCCTAAAATCTTGTGTCGATGCGTCTCTTTACCAACTCAGAGAATGCATCGCGTTCCTGGTTTCGACATTGGTTGTTGCTACTGTCAGACGACAATGGTTGGCATCCGGATCTCGTAGTAGACAAGATGGCCAGCAAGCATCTATATTTTCCGGTCACCGAGGCTCAGAGCCATGCATGACAACGGTCTTCCGACTTCCGAGTGCTAGTGGTGGCTCTTGCAAGGTCTAGTGCGTCTATGCAAGAAGACGGTCTCCAGGACATGGATGAGTTGACGATCCTCGTCATGAACGAGAGATGGTTGTGAGACAATCTCCTTTCATCTCTTGCCAGAAGGAAAAGGTCAAGTAAGAGATGGATGAAGACGGGTCGGTAATAGCAAAGGGGCGTTGAGGTCGACAGCGAAACGGGTCAAGACAGGCCGACCGACAACAGCTTTCGTTCTTACGCCCGATATGGAACTGCACCGAGGTTTATTGGAACCCATCCGCGGAAGATGGAGCAAACATCATCGACAAACTTCAACGAAGTCTCCGTCGTGTTACCTTTTACCGAGGCCCGATTGTCTCGAGTCTGCTCAGATACCCCAGCGCGCAGAATCGAGCCGAGCACGCGTTCTAGGAGTAGACCGTACCCATCTATTCTGAGATGATGTTGTTGACTTTCTCTTTTCCAATCAGCCGTTGAGTGTGGAAGTCTTCAGCGCGACCCTGATTAGTCCGATACGGTCTCAATACCCGTGCTTCCCCACCCGCCTGGTTGATGTCCCTAGGGAGGCAACGCGACGCCGCTCAAACTCCAATTTGACACGCGTCACAGCGGGCTGAGAGTGTCCCGTACTCGAACCCATTTGATCTGTCGCTAGGCTTAGCATTCGCCGCCGCCGCTGCTTATGTACTCCGTTCAGGTCGAGCAGGCTGATGACCGGTATCCTAAAGGGCTTGACTTGGCCGTTTACCATCGTCCTAGTCGTCCATGGGCTATGTCTTCGGGATCATGTCAGCGCTCTGCATTCCTCAACCGGATTATGTCTCAATATCAAGTCTCAACATTGTGATCTTTATAGCCATATCGCATCATCAGAGTCGATCGGTCGAGGGTCTGTCGTATGGCCTGGCTCCCTTCGATGAGCTGTGCAGGTGAGGGACCAATGCGTTGCAAGTTCTTTGATGTTTCATTGTTCAAGACTGCTTCGTTGTCCGTGCAGACATGCTGGTGGGGCGCTACTGGCGACTCGGGAGTCGGGCCTTGGGCCTTTCTTGTTCGGAGAGGCGCCGTGGCGTGAGGAGACGGGCTACGAGTTGATTGTTTTGGCACTTGCCGTAGAAAGAGAGGAGATGATCCTCGAGCCTGTCATTCCTGAGTTGCTTAATGTCTGTCCGGTTCCCTCAGAATATTCCAAGGCGCAGCTTGCGAAGGAGGTAAAGGTGGCCGCCTCATACCCATACATTCCCGCTGCGAATCTCCTGAAGGTCTTCGTCAAGCTACTTTACCACATTGTCTCGTCGTTGCCGCTGGTATAGACAGGTGCTGCGCGCTGCGGGGGCCTTCGGGGATGCGGCAAGGTCGTCGAGTAGACACCTCCGCCTCGATGGCAAGGCTCTAAGGGGTCATGCGGCTCGCAAGGAAGGACGCCATGTTGCGCAAAGGCCCCTCGATGGTGTTGCTATCTAGGCGCGCTCGTCGTGCGAAGGTATACTGCTGTCGCAAGAGGTCCGCTGTCGAGGGAGCGCTTCCAGAGGACTGGTCAGTCTCGAAGTCAGCGAGAGCAAGGCTATTGAGACCTGCTCCAGCATCACAAGAGCTTACCTGCGGTGGTCAGTAGCTCTGACGTTATCGGTTTGGTGGTGCTGGTTGCGGTGATCGTGGTGGTCTGGAGATGGTGTTGAGGCCGCGGAGGAGACCAAAGCCAGCGCCAGGCTCAACACCATGGTCACAGAGGCGGCAAAGGACAAGAACATGGTCTCGCATTGCCTCGCATTGTGAAAGCCTTGTCCTTCAATAGCAGCTCCGCAGCAGCGCCGCAGTGATTCTTCACCGATATTGAGGAGTTGCAGCTTGTGACTTGTTGTTGGTTGAGGCAGAGGGTAGTTATGGTCTGCGAGGATCATCATTGGATTTCAGGATCGCTTCACAACAAGCATTGAGGCACCGCGTACTTGCTGCAACGTTGCACGACTCTTTGGAAGCTCAGGATTCTAGGTGGCCAACCCCTAAGTGCTGCCAATGGACATCAGGCATTGCATTAAGTCTTTGCATTGAGTCTCAGCATCAGTCAAGTTGGTCTCAAATGCAGTACTAGACTCGGAGAGCTTAAGGCCTCGTATTGTATGGGATATGAAGTGCTCATGAACTCTTGGATGCTCGTCGAGGGATGGGAGCAGAAAGGAGATGCTGGCAGAGGAGTCATACGCGCACTGACACATCCCATTGCCGTCGCCGTTGCCAGGGCCAAAGGCCAAACAAACTGGACCCTGTGTGCATGCAATCCCCGCAACGCTGCCGCCTCATCGTCGTCATCGCCGCACAACTCTCTCCCTAAGATCCCACAAAGTCTCACCAACTTCTTCACCAGATATACCCAATCTGAGGTCCTATCAAGATATAAAGGCCTGGAATGTACTACATTCCATCATCCCACCTCCGCGGTGAAGACGCACAGCGTACATGGAAAAGGCAACCCACCTCTTTCCGTAGTTCAATACTCAGGTTCGATCCTGGCCGCCACCCATCAGGCGGGATACAAATATGGTGGGCTAAGGTGAGTCTTGCGTTTCCTTGAGGTCAACAAAGAGGTTCGGTTACGGCAATGAGGTATAAGAAGGATGTAAGATCATGCAGGCAGCTTCACAGTTAGCTCTCTGCGGTGGATCTGAACCTTTTGATTTTTGCTTTTTCTTTTTTGCTTTCCCATGTACAAGGTTTCCTGCTTCTGTCTTCTTTTTGTCTCTATCTTTCTTTTTGCAGCTAAGCGAGCACACGCCGTTTTGCAACGCAAGAGTGGTCGCATTTCTTCTATGTAAAGATGCTGCATGCTTGCAATGTACGCATTACGCTTGTACAGGTAAGAAGTCGCCAGAGCGTTATCGCGGCCTTTTGTGGACACACCTTCTCGGTTCATCGCTACGCCCGCGCTTTCTGCATCATCAAGCAGCTTTAGCTGCCTTTCCTAGCACGGCGAAGACGTAGTGAGTATCTGCCTTAGTCTTTGTGCGATGCAGCACGCTTTTATGCCTGCGAGTACCTACCCTTTACAATTCCGAGATCCTAGGAATCCGTAGTAAAGCGCAGGCAGCACAGCACTCAAACGCGTTAACGACGGTGAGCTGTTCAGCTTGTATTAGTGCGTGGGAAAGGCATTTTCGCTGCATTTATATTACGGGCTTGCCTATTGTCTTCAAGATGCCTATGCGCATTAAGGAGCATTGCGGAGAAGATATTTGCTGAGTCACTGGTAATGGTCGCAAGCTTATGCGAAAAGCGCATTCTTTTGTTAGAGCCACAACCCGTGAGTTAAGGAACGCGCGTCTCAAGTCAATTTGGTTCAAGATCTGCCTCCGGTATCGCTTCAAGACCACACGTACATCATGGCCATGTCGAAACGAGCTTCAAACGAATCGACGAAAGCTTACACTGAACACGTGCTTCTCAAAGATTGGAATCACAACTCGTCTAAAGCTTACGACAGTCAATACCTCGAACACCGGCAATAGTTTGCATCGAACAGAGTGATCATTTGGGTGTAACGGCTACATATGTTTCCACCCTGTCTCAATGACGACTTGCATCTCGTTGACAAGACAAAAGCCGCCGCGCTCCGACTTCTTTGTCTCCGCAGTCCACTTTCCCAGCTTCATAAGCACGACCTGCTCCTTGAACAAGCTGGTTGTAGTCCACCTCAATATGCGATTCCGCCACAAAGATCGGAAGATCTGGAATGGAGACAGTATGACATCCGGCGAGTGTACGTCGTCATGCGAGGTACCATTGTAGCCGACTCTGACATTGGGGTTGAGAAACACGCCTTTAGTCACGGAGAGTGGATTGTCGGCGTGTATCAGGCAGCACTCGGATGCCTCGACATGTGATGTTGCGAGGGAGTCGGGTATACCGCGGAAGCGTAAGGGTGGGCTGGCGAGAAAGGGCTCAATAGGCATAGCAACTGCGCATTAATTAGTAAGTTCCAAGGAGTGAAGAGAAGCAGACCCACCAATGCCATTCCAGCATGCGGCGACGGGTACTGGCAACAGCTTCTCGGCTGCATGCCTCGAGGCATACGATCTGAAGTAAGGCCAAGTTTGCATCAAGGCTTCATGGCCGCTTGAGTCTCGGAGCGCAAAGGTATCGTAGAACTGCGGCGGCTTCTTGAAGTCGATGGAGCAAGCTGCCGCATAATGCCCGCCATTGGTGTCCAGCAATCGCAGTACGTCCTCCGGGGTAAACACCACGTCGTTCAAAAACAGTATAATATCGAAATGCTCGCCCTCCGCAGCCAGGCGTTCCAAAGGCTCAAAGACATGATTTCGTATGGTCGCCAGAAAGGGCATGCGCCTCAAGTATGTCTCCCCATCTGATGCCTTGATCCATCCGTGGTCCGTAGGCTGTTGCGCGATCTCATCCGCGTGCGATGTGTCGGACAGTTGTATCGACCTCTTCACCTGCAGGGGTTCCAGTGCAGCATCGAGTTCTTCCAGTACGCCCTTGGTGTAATCATAGCTGCCGCTCTCGTATATCGATACGAACACGTTCTCGACACCCAGCTCTTGCACCAATGCTACCAGTGCGTTGTTCCAGTGCTCCCGAAGTAGCCGTGCATCGTTCCAATGCTGGGAGGCGATGTATATGCGCTTCGTGTTTCGAGGTGGAGGCGGGCCGGTCGTCGCAGATGTCTGATATCTTGACAAGGAGAGACAGTGTAGCGAGTCCCAGACAAGAAAGAAAAGGACCAGTATTCGAAATGCTGAGTATAGCGGATGGCGGCGGAAGGAGTAAAATCTATGACAGCGCATTAGGAGACTAGGTTCTTGCGCAACTGCAGTGCCATTGAGAAGGGAAGGTTATGGAGCTCGCGACGAAGCAACAAGGTCAAAGCGTGTAGTGGAGGCGTGAAAGTGAAAGAAACGGAGCAGGAGCAACATACCACGAAGTCGTTCGCGCCTCCAATTGAAGCTCCTGGCCTAGAGGTTTGGCGAAGCAAACGTCCGGACCCTTGGTACAAACCTAGTGTCCTACTAGGACGGCATTTGGGTCGTATTGTAGTAAAGCCGAGATGGCCGTTTCATCGAGGGGCACGATGGTGAACCGTGGATTTCACTCGGCACTTTTTTTAGTCCAATCAATTTCCCTTCCGTTCCGTAGAACCCGTGTAGAAGTGATTGCGCGCGAAAGTGATGCGACGTATAAGTGCAGCTGGTGCGCCATCTTGTGGTAGTGTGATGAGCGACCTCTGGATGACGGCGACGGTGTCAGGGGCCAGACGCGAAGGACGCGTTCACGTCAGTGTCCCCGCATCACGTGGTCGCCCCACTCGACGACTAGCTCTCGGAGTTGGACAGCAAGACTTGGCCTTAAACCTTTCCTGACTTTGACAATGGAGCTTCTCGAATCGACTGTTTTCTTTTGCGACATCGAGACATGTATGAGTCTGCGATAAGACATCATAGTGCTTACTGCTTACGCCATCAATGGAGGATTTGGCTCGACGAATAGCAGAAGCCGCGAGCAGCCACATCTGATAATGCAGTCTTCCTTTGTCAGCAGCTCCGACCCTGCTTTTTCGCACACGCAGTATCGACTTACAAATTCCGGAGAGTTTGTGGTTTCGGACGAATACTGTCGAACGTTTCCACCAGAGGACTATCGATATTCTACATACTGACGATTTGCTAAGCCTGCTATCAGTAATCTCATCATATTTGAGTACGCATCGCTTTCTCATGGCTACCTTGATAGGATGACTCCGACCGGAGGCTTTGAGGCTGATCGGTGATTACTTTGTTCGGGTGGTATATGCTGACCTCGCTTCATATTCCGCCAATCTGGTTTCTCGAGCATTCCCATCTCGGACCTCTCCGCACATTCGTCCGTCCAAGCGACAACACTCTATGTAGATACTCTACACATGCCGCAGGTATTGGTCGATGAATCATCAGATCTGACGTTCGGTCACGTTTTTTATGTCCGCTTACTCCGCTAACACCACAGGCTTTTCGTTGAACTAACGTCAGAGAAGTGTCCAACGAGTCGCAGCGCTAGAAATCCCTAGATCGGTCTAGGAATCACTGCAGCCTGCAATGGCGCATCGGTACGTGGTCGAGTGTGAGACTCACCCTCGTAGATTGTTGCCGCTTTGGGAGCTATCGGGGACACATGCAAAGAGCACGCTATCTCCATGGCTCAATTCGCTGACATGGTGTCGAGACTCTACTGTTTATTTTTCGCGCCAAGAGCTGTACCTTCACATTGTGCGAGAGTCTGACAAACCCAAATGCTGGGCATGTAAGACGTGGAGTTAAGATAGCAGCCACGATGGAGGATAAAAGACCGTAGTACAGACTCTCAGTGTTGGTACAACACCACGTTTCAACCCTTATTTCACAAGCGCGCCTTACCCGACAGTCTTCCTGTCTCCCTCGCGTCCAACCGTTCCAGGGCGCTACTGCTACCTCTACAGATACCTCTTCGTTCTCCCTAGTGTCTCCTTCTAGTCACCCACAACTTTCACGATAGCGTCGCCATAATGTCATACCTTTTCAAGCACTCCTTCATTGGAACCTTGGCGCATTACATCAAGCATCGAAAATTCGACTACACTCGTACTAAGGCAAAACCAATATCTACATCGTCGTCTAACGATGATCTCCCTTTCCCGAAGGAAGTCGTCCCTGAAGAGGCTGTGGGCACAGAGCTTAAGCAGCACCAGACCACCCTTGTCGACTGGAATGGACCAAGCGACCCAAGCAACCCTCAGAACTGGCCTCAGTCCCACAAAATACTTGTGACGGTGCTACTATGCGTCTACACCTTTGCTGTGTACGTTGGCTCTTCGATATACACATCCTCGCAGCAAGCGGTCATGGACAAGTTCGACGTAAGCCATGTTGCTGCCTCGCTCGGTATTGCGCTCTATGTTCTGGGCTATGGTATCGGATGTCTACTCTTCTCGCCGCTATCTGAAGTACCAGCCATTGGTAGAAACCCTCCGTATGCGGTGTCCGGCTTTTTCTTCATCATCTTGTGCATACCGACTGCGCTGGTAGACAACTTTGCTGGTCTGATGGTACTGCGATTTCTCTTGGGATGTAAGTGATGTTCCTTCTCGAATCGCGTACAAGACAAATGCTGACTCCGACGTGCAGTCATGGCTTCACCCTGCCTCGCAACGGCTGGCGCATCGCTCGGTGACATCTGGACAATGGCTGAGTTCCCATTCGCGGTTGCGCTTTGGGCGGCGGTCGCAACACTCGGTCCCGCGCTTGGACCTACCCTATCTTCATATGCCGTCAAGGACCTGGGATGGCGCTTCTCAAGCTGGGAACTGCTCATCATCGCAGGTCCGGTATACCTCGCCATACTGTTGGTCCTGCCGGAGAGCTCCGGACCCACCATCCTGTACTACAAAGCGAAGCGCATGCGAGAGGACACAGGAAACCAGGAGCTGATGTCGGCCTCCGAGCGAAAGCAAAAGAACATGAAGGTTAGCAGCTTGCTTTTCGACGCGCTGGTCAAGCCGTGGGAGATCAACGCCCTGGACCCTGCCATCTTGTTCACGACAGTGTACATGGGCTTGTGTTACGGCATCTATTACTCTTTCTTCGAGGTAAGTACTCACTCAGCTTGCTCAGGCCACAAAGACCTTCACTAACACTTCCATAATAGTCCCTACCCCTCGTATACCCTGTATACTACGGCTTCAACGCCGAGTCCACAGGCCTCGTTTTCCTCTGTATCCTCCCAGCCTGCCTTGGCGCCTTCGCAGCACATGTGCTATACCTTAAATACCGCGTCTTCCCCCGCCTTATGAACGGGACATTCGGCGAGCTCGAGAACCACCTATGGCCCGGTATGGTAGCCAGTCCTGTTATCGCAATAGGGCTCTTCATGTTCGCATGGGCATCAAGACCCTCAGTCCACTGGATGGTGCCTACCATTGGTCTCGGTCTTACTTGTTTTGGTATCTACTTCATCGCGCAAAGTGTTCTGCTGTACATCCCAAACATCTACCCGACATACGCAGCCAGCATCTTCAGTGCCAATAGTCTTAGCAGAAGCGCGTTTGCGTTCGCGGCGATCCTGTTTGCAAGACCCATGTTCCAGGGTATCGGGATCGACGGTGGTGTGAGTCTACTGGCAGGATGCATGGTGCTGTGTTCGTTCGGCATCTTTGCGCTATACAGGTATGGTAAGACGTTGCGAGAGCGGAGTCGCTTTGCTGTCGCTTGATGAGGAGAAAATGATGGATAGACGCTTGCCAGGTGCCTCATGTTCACGCCGACTGGAAATGAGACGAGATAGACAGACATACTTTGGAAGGACATTAGGAAACATACCACTTTTATAATTCATGCTTAGACTGGGTAGATAGACACGAATTCTGTACAACTTCACTCATCACTCTTTTTCTCCAAGGCGATGTGAGGTCTGCTTAAGCTTGCAAAGAAGAGTGCCGCGCGGTCGTATTAGATGGGGATCGGCGAGCGCAAGCCTATGATTTGCACTGGGCACCCACCCACCCGTCGCGGGTCTGCACATCACCTCGCACCGACTGCGCAGCCTGTTCACGTTGCAGACCCTCGGACCCGTCAAACCACGCAATACTGCGCGTATATCCTCTTCTTCTGACTTTCGCGTTTTGACTGGAAGTGTCCTCTTGCGAGTTCTCAAATAAAGGCTCCAGCAACATAATTGCGCGCCCACTCCGACTCCTTCGCCCAGCATTCCGCGGCATGCGCGCGCTCCGAGGTTACATTCTAAAATCCTGCGACATGCTCACGATAACGGAACATCGGCACTTCAGATGACTCAGAAGCACGAGAAGCTATTCTTACGGCCGATTCTGCGATGCAGCTTTCAATAGCTCCCGCCGTGGTCAAACCATTGGTCCCGCGTCAGCGCGTTTGCTAGCCCTTGGGCGTGTCATTTTCGCGATGCCAATGGGTAGGCTTTGTCGCGAACCTCCCGCGGGAAAACTTAGTCTCAGGCTAGACCCACACACCTCTCCACCAAGCATACTGCGCGGTAAATCTTGGCTGACTGATCCGGCAGAAGGACGGTTAGACGGATGATATGTATACGAAGGGCGCAGCCAGATGAACAAGGCGTAAGTGCTCGAGCAGACCATGTCTTTGTATTAGTCGCTACTGTCACACAAGCCAAGGCGGATGAAGATAGAAGGATGCGATTCTGACAGGGCTGAAAGGGTCTGTCTCGAAAGGGAATGGTTAACGCTCGGTGCCCCTGACTTAAGCATCGCTTGAGCCGTAGCCGACGCCTTCTCAACCCCAACTCACCAAATTTCTCGGACCGCTACCCCCATTGGGATGAAACCACTGCAACCATGCAGCCATGAGAAGATTCCTGCAGGCGGCCACCGAGAGACCCGGTGTTTGCACTGTTCACGGGTACCGACTGGAGATTCAGGAGGTCGCTTTGGCACCAGGATCTTCTTCCAACTCACCCGGCATTGCCAACCCAGCGCAAGAGGTACTACCAACCCGAGCAGAGGTTGTTGGCTTTATGTGTCCGTCCATACTATAGGCATGCAACAACGACGCCACCGGGAGGCTGGACCGAGTGCCGTCCTGAGCCGTTCCACTATGCATCAGCGACTCTCCTTCCTTTTGCTGACGCTCGAAGGAACACTCTCGACGGTTTAACCGAGATTGATGCTATCGATACTTAGACACGGCCCATTCACCGGTCTTGAAGCTAGGGTAAGGCATCACATGGAAGCGTTTCCAAAAGCCATGTTGATGGTTAGCGCTCGCCTAGACGCAGGTACTGCTGGACGCCCGACGACACTTCAGACCCGAAGTAGTTAGGATCCAGGCACCTCTACCAATGGCATGGAACTACGCAAGCCATCGTTCTGTTCCTGCAGCTGCAGGATGTCTGCCGTCTGAATCTGCACGATGGCCTCATGCCACCAAACGGCGCAGTCAGCGTCCGACCCTTCTCGCTCATGCAGGTACAGCCCTGTGGGCCAAGACTAGATATAGTGCAATCTCCCATGTCTTCTTTTCTCATCGTCAGTCGCACTGCTTTCCAGTCCGTTGTCAAGTCACTCTTTCGAGTCTACATCCTAATTGCAGCATTTTTGCTTGCGTCCTTTCGTTGAGTCCGCTCATCACGATCTTTACAGGCCCCGGCCGTCCTATCATTCAAAATCGCACATCCTTGTTTATACTGTTAATACCATAATCATGTCTCCCTCAACCATCACTCGCGCTGCTTTCGCAGCTGGACTTCTTGTCTCTGGCGCCGCTGCCGCTTACGATGCTGCCGCCAAGACGAACATTGCTATGTACTGGGGACAGGGATACGATCAGATCCCACTGATTGATGTCTGCACTGACCCTAACGTCGACATTGTCAACATCGGCTGTAAGTTACTCTATCTTTCATCTATCGACTAGGAAGCAATGCTAACAGTTCTGAAACAAAAAGTCATCACCTCGTTCCCTACAGTGCGAGGCGCATACCCCGGAAGCAACCATGCCAACGCGTGTGGCAGTGATGTATATTACGATCCGGTCTTGAAGCAGAACAGCACTCTGTACAGTTCGTGCCCTGGCGTAGAGGAAGCCATCAATGCTTGCCACAGAAGGGGCAAGAAGGTCATGCTCTCCCTCGGAGGTGGCTGGCCTACGAACTACTACCTCAAGGACCAGGACGTCGCCGAATGGACCGCTGAGTTCCTGCTCGGTGCCTACGGCAAAGTCACCCCTGAGTGGAAGGCCGCCGACAAGCCGCGCCCGTTCGGTAACGCGTTCGTAGACGGCTTTGACATGGATCTCGAAGCGCAATTCTACGACATGCCCGGAGGTGATGCCAAATTCATCTACGCCAACTACGAATACTTCGGCAACTACGTCAAGACCCATTCGAACATGCTTCTCTCTGCTGCTCCCCAGTGTGTCGTCCCCGATGCTAGGATCTCTCCCATCATGAAGAAGTTGGCCTTCGACATGATCTTTACTCAATTCTACAACACCTGGGAATGCTCTGCTGCCAAGGAGGTCGACGACAAGAAGAAGAAGCAGCCCAGCACTTTCACATTCCAGAAGTGGATTGATGAGATCAAGGCCTCAGCGAACCCCGGCGCCAAGTTCTACATTGGATTGCCTGCCGGGCCTGCCGGCGTCGATAACCACAAGGACCACTACCTCGAGCCCCTTGACGCAGACTTCTTGCTGAGGTTCTACAAGAACGACCCCAGCTTCGGTGGTGTGATGCTCTGGGAGGCGACCGTCTCTGTGGAGAACCCAACTTACGGCCAGTCGTACGGTACTTGGATGAAGAAGTCTCTCGACGGTACTTTCATGGAGGACTTCCACCCTGTGGTGTCTTCCAGCACTCTGTCCTCGTCGACTGCTACTCCGACTTCGACCATGCTGTCATCTTCCAGCACCCCTGTCTCGTCTACGATGGTCTCGTCTTCCACTCCTATCTCGAGCAGCATCATGTCTTCCAGCACCCCTGTCTCGAGCGGCATGGTCTCCTCCAGCACTCCTACTCCCAGCACCATGATCACCAGCAGCAGCGCCTCATCGTCATCAGCTTATCCCACCTCGAGCTCAGCTTCCAGCAGCAGCTCCGTCCACGTTCCTTCCAGCTCATCCGTGGCGGAATCGTCTTCTGTAGCCTCCAGCTCCTCTTCCGTCCACGAGAGCAGCTCCGTCTACAGCGAGATGCCCACTTCCAGTGAGAGCGCTAGCTCCGTTGCTACCGTCAGCAGCACCATGATTGAGCCCTCGTCCATCGCTACTATCTCTGCCTCCAGCAGCGAGTCGGTCTACGTTCCTCTCCCAACTGAGACTATCACTGCCAGTTCTGTCGAGTCTGTCAGCAGCAGCAGCAGCAGCAGCATGGTCGAGTCGTCCTCCATCCCTGAGATTACGGCTACTGTCAGCGCCAGCTCGGTTGAGACTGTCTCCAGCACCCTCATCGAGCCGTCGTCCGTTGCTACAGTCTCTGCTTCAGAGTCTGCCAGCAGCTCCGTATACGTTCCTTCACCAAGCGAGACCTCTGCTTCCGGCGAAGTGTCCTCATCTGCCTCAAGCTCCAGCGACATGTACCCCACTGGCTCAGTCTCCGCGACTACCCCTGGTGCTTCAAGCTCCAGCGATACGTACCCCACTGATACAGTCTCTGCGACCATCCCCGGAGCCGTTTCTTCCACTTCCTGCAGCACCACCCCCGAGGCCGCGTCTTCTACCCCATACGCGCCCCCCATGGAGTACAGCATGTCATTCTCTGCTGTCTACCCATCTGAGGTCCACTCGTCTGTTGTTTACTCATCCGGTGTCTACTCTACTGCATCCCCGATGTATCCCACCGACACTGTCTCTGCTACATACCCTGCTGAGAGCTCTAAGGGCTCTGTTGCATCCAGTACTGGTCACGTGAGCGTCCCATCCGTGACCGAGAAGCCTGAGTACCCCGAGTCTTCCAGGGCTCCCGCTGGCTCCACCACCTCAGTTGTCACAAGTAAGTTTGCATTTTGCCATGGAAAAACAAGATCATCACTAATGTTTCCTAGCTACCTACGTCGACGTTTGCCCCACCGGTTTGACCACCGTTACCACCACCTACGTTGCGACCGTCTGCACCAAGTGCGTAAAGCCTACCGGCTCGACCGACGTACCTGAGGGTTGGACCACCAGCGTCTACACTGCCAGCACCGTTACCGTGACCATCACCAAGCCCATCGCTACCGCCACCCACGTGCCCGCATACCCATCCTCTGCTCCTTCCGTCGCATACCCTGCAGACTACCCGGCCAAGCCAGTTTCTTCAGGCAAGCCTACATACCCTGCCGTCCCTGAAGCGTCTATGCCCTCCTACCCAGCTGTTCCAGAGGCATCGATGTCCGCATACCCTGTCGCTCCTGAGGCTTCCAAGGCTGCTGAGTACCCGTCCGTCCCTGAAGCGTCCAAGGGCGCTGAGTACCCATCTATGCCCGAGGCCTCCAAGGCTGCAGAGTACCCTGCCATGCCCGAGTACCCCAAGAAGCCAGTCGAGCAAGAGGTCACTAGCACCATGTACATGACCCTCACCAAGGTCGCAATGCCCACTTATACCCCCGCTCCTTACCCAACTGCTGGAGGTGCTCCTCACATCCCTGCCGGCCCTGCCATGAACGGTACCAGCATGTACGCGCCTATGCCTACTGGCACTGGTAAGCCTGCCATGCCTTCCCAGTACACGCCGCCTGCGGAGTTTGAGGGCGCTGCTAGCCGTGTTGGAGCTGGGTTCATGGTGATTGTTGGTGTTATTGGTGCCGTCTTGGTGCTTTAGATTTGAGGATTGAAGAGTGTTGTGTAGTAGTTGGATGTTTACGTTTCTCATGTCACTTCGTACGTTTTTCAGATACCACTAGGTGTAGTTGTATGCCATGCGAGTACGCGCGATTGTTCTTCTTGTTCATACTTGGTCAATATCAATCATGCCCGCGAACTTTCACCGTGATGCCAGTCTAGAAGATGCTAGAAGTCTACACGTCTCGGATAATAAGGTGTCAGCATAAACGAAAAGTTCAAAGTCATTCTTTGTGATATTTGGGGAACGCGAAATCCGAGGTAACGGCGTGACTGTTGATAACGTCGAGGGCTGGTTCCAGCCTATTGATGATGCAGCGTGGAAGACGAGTGTTGGGGATCGGCTGCGGGAGGCCGCGGGGGTGAAGCTTGGAGCTCCAAAACGTGGGTGGAGTCACCTTTCGTCATTCCCTCGCGACCATTGAATGCACGCGAACGCGCAACCTCGACCAACGCCACAGCCTCTTTGTCGCAATGCCCATACAGAAGCGATTTCACTTGCGCATAGTTCCACCTGACTGACTGACTGACTTTCACAGCCGCAGACTGCACTTGCCCAGCGGTTTCTGGAAACTTCGCCTCTGGTAGCTCTTGCCTCTCCGCTACTTTCTCGAGCTGCCCTCTCAAGATACAAACAGCCTCTAAAAAACTACACAACGTGCCACGATGAAATACACTGTCTACGATCGCTTACTCAAGCGCGAAGTCGGACAGCAGCCTAGGAAATACTCAGACATTCGATCAATATACGGCGACCGCAAATGGATTGACGACCTCGACATCGTGAATGAACTAGAAGGTCATAACGGATGTGTCAATGCTCTCAGGTATGCCTTTACCCTACATATATATCAATGGCACGATCTAACTCTACCAGCTGGTCAACATCTGGCCGCCTCCTCGCCTCTGGCTCCGACGACCATCGTATCAATATCCACTCGTACCACCCCGAATCGTCGACGTCGCAGTTCAATCTTACCACATCCATCCAGACAGGACATAGATCCAACATCTTCTCTGTGAAGTTCATGCCCTACTCCAACGATCGCACAATTGTCAGCGCGACAGACGACGTACGGATATTCGATATCGAGCATTCAGGGCACTCGGCGCTCCGGTCTACAGGCAATGCTGGCAGTACAGGTAGAGCACGCCGTAGACTGACGCTCACGGAGGGAGATACGAACGCAAAGGCATTTCGTTCCCACGCCGACACGGTGAAACGGATCGTCACTGAAGATAATCCGTTCTACTTCTTGACGTGCTCGAACGATGGCGATGTACGACAGTGGGATGTACGGCAACCCTCCAAGGCATATCCACCTGCACGAGACACCATGCTACCTGCATGGGCGAGGGACGAAGACGCCTCAGACAGCATCCCGCCCCCACTCATATCGTACAGTCGGTATGGACTGGATCTCAATACCGTGTCATGCTCGCCTAGTCAGCCGCATTACATTGCATTAGGCGGGGCGCATCTACATTGTTTCTTGCATGATCGACGCATGCTTGGCCGCGATCTGAACAACGAGCGTGGATCCAGCCTTTCGAGTCCAGAGAACTGGAACGACAACGACGATGAGCTATTAGGGAAGGCGACGCAATGTGTCAAGAAGTTTGCACCTAATGGAAAGCAGCGCATGAAGAGGAATGATGGCGGCCATATCACAGCATGCAAAATCAGTGATGCCGAGCCGAATGAGCTCGTTGTGAGCTGGTCTCAGGATCACATCTACAGTTTTGACATTCTACGGGCTCCAGATGCTAGAGAGAGTGTGACGCCTATCAAGACCCCAAATAGTAGTTCTGGCCATCGCGTGAAGGACACAAACAGAAAGCGCAAGCGACCAAAGTCCAGCACCTTATCTCAAGAAGGCGTCGAGAGAGCCGAATCGAGACAACGTACCGAAAGCGCCGATGAGGATCTGGCACTGCGAGTGACATATGGAAATGGCCAGAGCGAAGACATCCGTATCCATCCTCCTGCTGAGAACCGCATGACCCAGGAGGAATTGAACGATCTACGAGCGTCAGACCACTACCGCATCGCAAGTACAACCGTCAAGATAGCGAAACGAATATTCGAGCTGGGTGAGCTTGGGGAGTCTGGAATCCACCTCGCATGCACGTCCATTGTAGGTCTAGCGAACTCGATCTTGCCCGACATGGACGACATCGATAGGACGTGGGGCTACCCAATCGATCCAGATCCTGTGGACGTCGCAGTACAAAACAAGCTTCGCGATAGCAGGGCAGCGTCTCGTCGATTCGTGCAAGCAGCCGGGACATTGGCACGGGTACTTGGTGGACAGCTCTTGACTGGATCTAGCTCTGACGCCTTGATCGCCCAGTATTTCGCTTCAATACAACCAGCGCCAAGAGAGCGTGACCCACCACAACACGAGCAGTTTGGATATGACTTCCTGAAAGCTATACTATTATGGATCGACAGTGGCCCCGGAGCAGTTGTTGAAGGTTTCTCGAGCAGAAGCGGTAGTACTCGATTCCCCATCCCTCATGGTTCGGATATGGACGCCATCCAGGAACGACTGATTCCATATCTGATCGAATTGGCAGACGACACTAAAATCGTCAACGTCGATGCTTCCAAGTATGAGACAGACAGCACTCGAGTCTTGTACGAGTCTGAATTTGAGGCTATTGATGCGTTCGGCCACGCAATCACGATACCCTTTGCCGATCTCACCGGTGAGAATGAGTCCACATCAGAGTCAGCATCTTCTAGCGAGCCCACACAAACCCGAGCTACAGCAAAACGGAGATGGGTGTACTATGTTGGGAGGGGTGTTCTACGCAATGCCGCCAAGGACATCAAATTCGCTTTCGTAGACCGCGCTTACGGCGGCCAAGGCATATCAGACAAGACGATCAGAGCTGAAGAGAAGGCGTTGAGAGAAAAGCAGGAGGACATCGATCCCTCGGTAGACGAGGGTCCGGTCCGTGATGCAGAACTTATCAGCACATCAGCACGAGAGGGTAGTGATCAAGAAGAGGCTGCCTCGATCTCTGCTCATGTGGACGAGTCGGCTTCCGTGGCTATTGAGAGTGCCGATGAAGAAGATGGAGAGGAAGACGAAGAAGATGATGATGACTCCGACGACAGTGATGGTGATTTAGAATCGGATGATGGCGAAGAGGATGATGACGATGACACTGACGACGAGGATGAAGAAGGGCTATCACGTACAAGATCTGGCAATATGTTATGGCGATCAGACTTTGGTCGCAGTCGCTACGGGCGGTGGAAGGTGGAGCGTGATGTACCTTGTGTACCTCATACACGTGTCTACACCGGACATTGCAACGCCAGGACAGTCAAAGACGTCAATTACTTCGGACTGCAGGATGAGTATGTGGTCAGTGGAAGCGACTCTGGTCACGTATTCATTTGGGATCGCAAGACAGCACAGCTTGTGAACATCTTGGAGGGAGATGGAGAGGTGGTCAACGTCATTCAAGGTAGGTCGAAGTACGACTATCCAAACATAGCGATACAGGATCTAACACGATCAGGTCACCCCTACGAACCTACAATGGCGGTTTCCGGAATCGACCACACTATCAAGATCTTCTCCCCAGATGCACAGCTTCAACGTAACGCACGGAAAGGTGTCGGAGTGCATTCGTCTGATCCGGCTTCTTTCTCCACTCTAAATTTTGGTCGCAGACGTCGCAATCGCGCTGCCGATCCATCGGCCGAGGGCGAGAGTGAGCCTGCCGTCGACGCCCCCAGCGACAGTGATGATGAAGTTGCCCCTGGTGGACTCAGCAGCCGACGAAGGATGCATCAAGCCTATCAGATTACGAGCCAGAACGACATGGACAGGAAGGGTGGAAGAGACGACTACTTCATTAGTCAGGCTGTCTTTGCGCAATTGGCTCGGCATATTGCACGTGGGCAGGGTGCTGGTGGTGGAGGTGATGAGGAAGGAGAGGGTGGTGGACCGGTTGTCATCACAGAAGAGAACTGCAATGTCATGTAGGCGAGACTGAACATCTAAACGACTTCATTATGTCTTTCGGCTCTCTCCAGCTATCAAACCAATTATATTGGCGCAACTAAATGTTCTTGCGCCGCTTCAAGCTGACCCCTTTTATCGAATATTATCACTCGTACCCAATGCCGTGAGCATTTATGAAGCCTTCTTCTGTTTGGCCTTGAGTGCCTTCTTCCGATTGCTTCTGATCATGACCACTGAAAGGAAGCTGCCAACAACCGTAGTGCCCAGGATGAGGAGGATGACGGGGATGCGGATGGCCCAGACGCGTGGGAGGAAGAGGGAGTGGAGGATGTGGTCGTCGTCAACAAATGGCTGTATAAAGTTAGAACATGTTCTAGAGTCAAGTGAGTGTAAAAGCATACCATGAACAGTGTCCAGACGGTGTAGTAGACGAAGATGGCAGTCGCTGCGACGAGCATGCTGAGGCCTACGAGACGATCGGCCTGTGATAGTTGGTCAGTACGCAGCACTAGGATCTACGCATATCAAGACATACCATTGTGAAGTTTGGCGAAAGAGTGAACGAGTGTATTAGCTTGGAGTAATGGTGGTGACAATCACCTCGCTGGCCCTTCCCCCCAAAGTCGCGCCAAGCCCAGACCCCTGTCGGCGAAACCGCGGCCCGTTCGCCGCAACCTTCGATCGCCCAACCGCCTGTAAGCTAAACTTTTGCGAAGCGCGTCACTCTACGCCTCAACTCCTCCCATCCTCCACCTCCCACACGACCCACTGCGCGACGATGGAGGTCGCATCTGCCGTTCGCCTGCCCTCACCGGAGCCCGAGATCGACGCCCACGAGGTCCCGCGCAAACGCGAGCGCTCCCCATATGATGGACCGAGTGCCGGTCCATCGAAGCGAAGCAGGAGGGACGAAGAGGAGGACGACCGTCGAAATGGCGGTATTGGCCGTCGCCCACCCCCAAAGCCTACGACCAACGATCTTCCGGATGACGACTCGCGGTTGAAGCTCTTCCAAAATGCCTTCAGCGCGAACCGTAAGCTGCCCATTGACGATTCAAAGACACGTGCTGGAGGCGCGTATATCCCGCCTGCGCGCCTGCGCGAGATGCAGAAGTCGATTACGGATAAGAAGAGCCCTGAGTTTCAGCGCATGGCTTGGGAGGCACTCAAGAAGTCGATCCAGGGTTTGATCAATAAGACGAATACGGCGAATATCAAGATGATTGTACCGGAGCTGTTTTCGGAGAACTTGGTGCGCGGACGCGGGCTGTTCTGCAGAGCTATCATGAAGGCGCAAGCGGCGAGTTTGCCTTTCACGCCCATCTATGCGGCCATGGTGTCCATTGTCAACACGAAATTGCCTCAAGTTGGCGATCTGCTGGTTCGGCGCCTGATTGTACAGTTCAGGAAGGGCTTCAGGAGGAACGACAAGGCCGTGGCGCTATCGAGTACCATGTTCCTCTCTCACCTCGTCAACACGCAAGTCGTCCACGAGATCTTGATCGCCGAGATTCTGCTCCTCCTACTCAACAAGCCCTCCGACGACTCTGTTGAGATCGCAGTCGGTATCATGAAAGAGGTCGGCGCTTTCCTCGACGAGATGAAGCCTGCGATCGCGAATGCCATCTTCGACCAGATGCGCAACATCCTCCACGAAGCCGACATCGACAAGCGGACACAATACATGATTGAGGTTCTTTTCGAGGTCCGGCGGACAAAGTACAAGGACAACCCAGTTATCAGGGAAGATCTGGACTTGGTGGAGGAGGAGGATCAGATCACCCACAACCACACGCTCGAGGGTGATTTGAAGGTTGAGGATGGTCTGAACATCTTCAAGGTCGACCCCGATTACGAAGCGCACGAGGCAGAGTATACGAAGATCAAGGCGGAGATTCTAGGCGAAGAGGAGGGTAGCGACGACGATGGATACACAGATGCCTCATCTGAGGATGAAGAGGACGAGGAGGTGAAGGCCATGGACGTCAAGGATCAGACCAACGCGGATCTTGTCAATCTGCGCCGAACTATCTACTTGACCATCAAGAGCAGCGGTGGCTTTGAGGAGTGCGTGCACAAACTCATGCGCATCAATCTGCCACATGGCTTGGAGAACGAGCTCACCACGATGATTGTCGAGTGCGCCAGTCAAGAGCGCACATACGAGAAGTTCTACGGCATGATCGGAGAGCGCTTCTGCAAGCTGAACAGGATGTGGACCGACCTTTTCGAGGAAGCATTCGCGCACTACTACGAGACCATCCACCGTTTCGAGACAAACCGCCTCCGCATCATCGCACAATTCTTCGCTCATCTGCTAGCATCCGATGGTATCGGCTGGCACGTCTTCCAGGTGGTCAAGATGACAGAAGAAGATACCACTTCCAGTTCGCGTATCTTCGTCAAGATCTTGTTCGAGGAGCTCCTAGCTTCACTCGGACAGAAGGTGGTTGTGGAGCGCTTTAAGGACCCCATGCTACAAGACAGCCTTACCGGTATCTTCCCCACCGACGCCGACGACCAGAGCAAGACACGCTTCTCGATCAACTTCTTCACCGCGATCGGTATGGGTGTACTTACTGAAGGCATGCGCGACTGGCTTAAGAACGCTGCGCCCAAGCCGAAACCGCTACCCGAGCCAGAGAGCGACTCCGACGACGACCGCAGCGTTTCGTCAAGATCAAGCTACACTTCGAGCAGCTACTCGCGATCCCGAAGCCCAGTCCGCAGAAGGCGCGACTCAAGATCCAGGTCCAGATCTGACTCCAGAGGACGTTCATACACACGTAGCCCTTCGCCAGCTCGCAAACGTGGAGGCCGTGGCAGAAGCGGCTCCTACAGCTCCGCATCCCGCTCTCGGTCCCGCTCCCCAGCACCGCGCAAACTTAAGAGCAAGCGCTCCTACTCAACCTCCCTCTCTCGGTCACGCTCCCCCGCGCCCAGGAGACGCGGCCGCAGTCCCTCATCCTCCCGATCCCGTTCTCCGCCCCCGAAATCCAAGTCAACACGCCACGGACGCAGCCCCTCCGAATCACTATCCCGCTCTCCACCTCCACGCCGTCGGAAGTACACTACCTCCCCTTCGCGATCGCCCTCTCCGCCACCGCGCCGTCGTGGTCGTGATTCTAGCACCCCGCCTCCTAGGCGTAGACGTGGCTCGAGCAGTCCACCGCCATCAAAGGGTAAAGGGAAAGCGAGGGCGGATAGTGGTAGCCCGCCGCCGAGGGTTAAGAGGGATTATAGTGGGAGTCCGCCGCCGAGGGTGAAGAGGGATGGTAGTAGTCCGCCGCCGAGGAGGAGGAGGGAATCGTAGGGTAGATGCTGGGGGAAGTTGAGTGAGTGAGGAGGACCATCGCACTTGGAATCGGCGTTAAATGCTTTGGTTAGGGGAGAGATTAGGTGGAATGGTAGCATTGCATATTTTCTGGAAGCATAATTGTGATGAGCGGGTGAAGGAGGTATGTGGTTAAGGCTTGATATCGGTGGGCATCAGTATAGCAACACTAAAATAAGACACTACCGCATTGATAGGTGCACCAAACTTTCGCGATCTCATCAACTGCGCACATTCTCTACATGATCCTCCGGCAGCTTCCAATCGTTGAAGTCGCGTGGTTACGTCAGTCGTTGGTGGTGGCTTCACTTTGGCTTCCTTAGATTGATCTCACTTTTTCGAAGCGGTCGGTTTTCTCGACGTCGTTTGCGTCGTTACTTTTGCGGGAACAAGTGCCTCCACTTTTCACACACATCCAGCTCCCTAGAGAAAGAGCGAGATTGGTCCTGCCCTGGAAGCGCGTTGCGGCTGAGGGGTCGCCGCATGTTTTCAGCCTTGTGGTATCTAGCCTTCCTCACCCCGAGGCGTTCTCGCCATATGCAGCCACCGATCTGCAGTAGGCACGCCGAGCTCTCCGGGACCCCAGTAAATGACCTGTACGACTGCTCGGCGTATGCAGAGGTCGTGTTGTTGACAGAAGGAGCGAATGAGATTGGGAGAATACGTCTTCAGCCGCACCTGAAGCGTCCGGTTTTGAGGGATTTATCGACCTGTTATGTGGTGGGCTTGTTCCCAGGAAGGCCCTCGAATGAAAATGATCGTTCCTCGGTCAGTGGACTAGACCCGTCTTGATAGCACAGCAATCTGCCGAGTTCATCAGTTCTTGGGTATCTTGTGACTGTCGTCGCTCATACAATCGTTACTCCCTTCATTATAGCTTTAGCTGTATCTTCCTTCTTAGCTACTTTATCAAGCTACCAGGAGGATTCTTCGATCATGGATACCAGTAGCGAACAGTGGCTCAAATCATTCGACAAGTCTCCTGAGCCCGTTCCATATGCCTATGCCCATGCCAAAGCAGTGATGCTGTACTGGGAGGATTCCGATAGAGTGCGAGATCATATCAAGGAGGCTCAGGAGATGGAATCAGTATTCAAAAGGCTGGATTTTGAAACGGAAATCCATCCTATTCCCAAGCTCGATAGTCACAATGACGTACGTACATTTCTGATCCGATAACGAAGGTCCCTCTCCTTTAAGGCAAGACCTCCCGGTGCATCTTGCCTGCTCGTTATTCATTACAGCGGTCATGGAGACGGAAGGTATGGATATGACAACGGTAGATTGCACACCTTTCGGAAGCAACGAATGATCTGGCGACCGTGAGTGCGCTCTTCGTGTTTAATCCTCTCTCGTCTGATGTTGTGCAGTCACCCCGGAGCGCTATCGGGCAGTAGCGTCAGATGTTACGAGATACAACGTGAGTTGAACAACTTCAGGTTTGATTGCCTTCTTCTCTTGGACTGTTTCAATGCCACGCAAGCCGTATCAATGCCTGGGCGGAGAATGTTTGACGAACTACCCAAGCGAATGCAATTACTCGCGGGCTCGTGTGGTAACACTGAAACAAACCTTTCGACGGAACACTCGTTCACGGCTGTAATGGCAAGCCTTGTGAGCGTCCACATCAAAGAATATGGCCATGTTGACTTGCCAAAGCTCTACATCGAACTGTCAGAGCAGAAGTTCAATCTGCATATCGCTCCACTCATGTTCGCTGGTCTTTCAAGGCAAAGACTCCGGCTTCAGAAGCCCAGAGCAGCAGGCAACGAAGGGGATAAGGATTTAGCCTGGAGAGAAAATACGGAAGCTACTACTCCAGCTGTTCATTTACTTCCAGACGTGAATTCGCCATCTTGGGGAGGATATTCGAGCTATGTCCCTAGCGCATCTCTGGATCGCACCTGGAGCAAACATCAGTCTCCAGCCTTTGACAGTATTCATCGATTTCCAAATGTTTACGAGGAAATCTCTTCCGTTCCTACAGAATCAATATGGCAATCGCATTCCGCTAGTACTGTGCACCCCGTCAAAGAAACTGTGCCTCTGACGGTTTCCAGTCCAACTGATGGAACAACGAGTTTTGAATGTCGCTTTTCAAAACGACTGGCTACGGAATTGGGGTGCAATGTCGTTCTCGAAAACGTAAAATGCTTTCCGCGATCCGAACTCGTATCAATACTGAGAGGATTTGCTGGCAGACTGCATGAAGAGGCAACAACATCTTCCGATTGGAAATTATCAGTGGCGCTTCATAGAAAGAGCGAGTAAGTATAAGAGATCATATGCATAAGCAATTGCTGACGACTACTCTATACAGAGATGGCTAGTCTTCTGGTTGAATGCAAGCCTTCCCGTAATGAAAGTGGCAACAGTCTCTCTTCGGGGGATGATGCGCCAGAATATGGTTCGGTACTTCCAGCATTCGAGAAGGCCCGAGACGATGCCAGCAACTGGATAGATTTCACCGCGAAATCACTATCTTACCCTGAACCTCCGCTTATCCCTATCGGACCTGCAGAGATACTGCTATCGTCGCCTGAAGATTGCCTCATCACGGAGTCAAAAGCGTATACGTGGCTACTTCTGGAGCTAAAGCTGCGAGCTCAACGAGAGTTTTCGAATTCAAACCTTCGCAATTGCATCAAATGGAAGGTACTGCAAGTTTTGCGGTCTCAAAATTCGCTCCGTGTCCTAAGTAGCCAGAGACCGACGACAATTGTTCATTTTGAAACCAGTTTGTTCTGAGAGCTGAAGAAGTACATTGAGTCGTTACAGTTGCCAGTATCTCAAGACATGTGGGAGCATGTACTGTGTTTGACGGGCTCGCGAGACGATCTTCAACTTGCTACTGTGGCTGCATATCTACGGCAAACATGGCCGCTTAGCGAAGGACATTTGGAGCATATGCTGCTTAAGTTTCTGCGTTGCCGGTCATACCAAACTTGCTCATGTATGTGTCGAAGCAACTCCTGCAATTTGTCTACTAACCAGATATTAGATACTTTCCCATCCACCCTCATTGTGGCGATCTCCAGTTTGTCTACTGGTTACTGCGAGATAGAAGCCCTCGGTGGCCCATACATGATATCTGAGTTTGCTGAGCAGATCTCATGGCTGGCTACAGTATTGCGAGTGTCGCCACTACAAGGGACAGTGGCTGTGCTGTCGCCGCGTATGACAATCTCACCAGTTGAGACGTCATATAACAGAGTCCGAAAGAAATGTCAGTAACGGCTGAACTCGATTTCGACGTCCAAGACATCCAGTGGACATCCACGTCGGCTCAAGGTACTTGCTGGACCCGACTGTTTGCGAGCCCTATATTGGTCAGCGGGTATCCTATTCTCCGAAAGTTAACACCAGCTACCGGTCTTGAGACATCACTGAGCATCATGGCGAGCATAGTGCAAGCCCATCAAATTGTTCGCATCGAGAACAAAATCGTCATGAAAGGCTTTAACTCTTTAGTAGTTGCTTCCGCAGTCGATGGTGGTTCCATTCTGTGGCATGCTTTCACCAGCACCAAGCCAGAAGACCGCATATCTTACTTCGATTGCCGGATAGAAGAATCAGTTTCAAACAAAGAAGAATCGCCTTTGCTCCGCTCCCTGGGCGACTTTCGTCGCATCATAGGATGGTGCTCTGAAGTGACGGAACTCTGCGGTAAGTCATGAGCCGGAATGAACCAAAGAAGTCTAGTTATGTCAATAGGACATCCTCAGGCTGAACTGAGCATTTTCATATCTGGAGCCATTCCATGCCCTGCGTACACAGCTATTGATCGGGTATATGTTGAAGGGGGGTTCTACGTGATAGGCAGCGTTAACGCACGTATCAACCAGCGAGAACAGCCAGTAATATTTGGCGAGACCCGCAACTATTCTGAGGTGTTCGAATGGGTTGCTGATCAGTTCGTCGCTTTCTACGACGTAACAGACCGCCGAGGTTGGTTAGTAGACGGCGCTTCTGCACTACTCCACCTTGTGCGAATGTCTCTGCGACTGGAGGAGACCAAACTCGAGTCTACCTACCACTGGATCTTTGATAAAGACAAGTTAGAAGAAGACTGGACGAACTTCAACGGACGCGCTGCGTCGATACGTACACTGAAGAGTTGGAAGAACCGTGCGTTGCCTCTCTACATAAAGAACCAGACATTGTCCAACGGCAGGCCGATGAACACATACTCCACATTTGGAGATCGGATGGACAAAGTTCTACACTCGCTCGAGCTTCTCATTGAACATCAAAACCGCATTGCTACGGAAAGTGGGGTCAAAGTCTCTCAGACACTCGATACCAGGAAAGGCATCCTAGGTTTCGATGTTCTGGATCTCGTCAAGTCTCGACCTCAGTGCATCCCTCGTATTGAGCGGTTCAGCTCAGGAGATAATAGTTGGGTCAGTTTATTACCCGCTATAGGTGTGCTTACAATCTTCGGCAAGGGGTTTGGCGACCTCATCTGTCCCAGTAAGCCTGACATAGTGTGTGCGGCATGGCGAACCGTTCCTAAGGATCAAGACTATCTAGCCTCTTCTGTCTCGACTCTTGCATTGCTGCGCAAAGAAAGGCTACAACAGTTGGAGACTGATTTAGAACCAGGTGGATTGACGCGTAAGCTCTTTTGGGTGTCGCCAGGTCAGCCTTTCGACTGTTGCCAGTGCACCAAGGGCAATCAAGTTGGGAAACAGGAGCAACGCGATCCAGTGCAGTATATCGTGTCGAAACCGTGGTTGCGGGCGCACAAATCGAAAGAGACAACCCGTGTTAATGTTCCAACTTTGGACGCAACCGGCGCTGTTGTATTTGCCAATCTCTCAAGTCTGGGCCGCCGCGTTGAAGCTTGGAACCTCCAAGCACCTGCAGCAGGTCCTGTATCGAGTAGCAGTCATGGGAGCCTGTCGGTGTCAGCCAGTCAGTCAACCGCAGCTCAATCATTAAGCTCCACAGCTCCAACAGAAACAAGCGCTCAGGTTGCAGGCTCCGCGAGTGATACAGGTGGAAGCAATGCGCGTGGAGATCAGAGTATACCATCCAGACTGAAAGAAAAGTGGAAAGGCAAGCTGAGGACGTTCTATCCGAACTTAAAAATAACATCATGATCTAATCGAACATGCGTTCGGAGAAGGAGAAGCTACATTCTGTCCCAGAGAGTCACAATTGTGTTCATATTGGTGAGGCGGGGCGGAAGAACTTTTGTGAGACCATATCAGTGTCTTGTGGTCGCCTGATTTGAATGATAGGGTTGGCTATGAGAGTAGAACTCCTTATGATTGACACCTTCGTTGGACAGGTGACCTGATCTGGGTTGTGTCGAGAATCTGCGCCGTAATAAAATTGCGAATATCTCTGATGACGTAATTGCCACTGGTCCATGGCAGAGCTTGTCGGATGCGGTAGTCTTGCCCTCACCATAACAGTGAGGTCTATATACTGTCGCAGCTCAGGGACATCATCAGGTGTTGAGACGACGCGTGTGCGCGACAAAATCCAAAGGATGGCGGCCGGCGGTGTGGAGTGAAGTGAAGATGAAGCATCGCAATTGCTGTTTGTGGACGTGCGAAAAGGGGACTGCCAACAGGGATTATCGATAGCGAGGCAACAACGATGCAGTTGCTGCTAGGAACAACAAAGTCTTTCGACTTCAATCCTGTTGCTCTTCTTTCATTGCGCCTCTTGCGACTGTTACTCTCACATAATACGAAACTTATTTGCAGAGGCGTTAAAGAGCGACGCGCGCTCGTTGTAGACGTGACATCTCCACAGTCGCGTCTTTGTCTCAATCACCCTCTGTTTACTCACCCCACTACGACTACCCATCAGTGCGCTTCCACATATATGAGTCAAATATAATTGTGCACGCTGTTATTACCCAATAATTTCGCGAACTTCGCGTCCACGCCTTCTCAATCGAACGCGCTCACTCGAGCGACGCAAGCACCTTCACAATCAAACACCATCCGGATGGCCACCAAATACGACTCTGTAAAGTGCAAATCATGTGCTAGAGTCCTTGCTGTGGTATCCGCCACGGGGCTTATACCAACGACCTCGCCGGATACCTCTCATGCAGGATGCAGTACATGTCAGCAATTCGGCTTTCTGTACGACGCGATAAGAGCTGCGGATAGTGAATGGGCTGTACTTGAAAATAAGCGCGACTCAATCAGCAAATCGTTTGCGCGGGATAACCACAAAAAGGCTCATATGGAGTTCGACAACTGGTTGATGACTGTCGAAGCGCCTGGACCAGCAAGAGACGCGCAGAATGGACAGCCCGAAAATAAGGACCTTGGAGAAGGGGACTTTACCAATGACAACAAGCACGATATGGCTGATCCTAAGCGTCGACGATCTCACTCGCCTACTACCCAGCGACCTGGAGAATCATCCGACAGAGCACCACATGGACAGCAAGGCGTATCGCTGTCTTTACGGCCATCGCCCAAACGATCGCACAGCTCATCAGCTTCACTATCACGCAAGCGACTCAAATTTTCTGATTCAGTCGAATTCCACGACAATTACAGAAGCAGTGAGCAGTACCATCGACCGAGCGAAACGTACGCGCGAGGGAGGAATGCGCCGCCTGAAGGGTCCGAGTATATGGATACCAGCGGTTCCGGCCTGACATTCCTCAAGTTCACCGGTATGAAGAAAGTCGGCGCCAAATGGGTTGAGCTGAGCGAGGAAGAGCTTGCAAAGCAGAGCGAAAAAGCAAAGACTTGGGCGCAGCTGCGAAAACTCTCAACTGCAGGGAAGTCGAAAGCTGAATCGCCAGAGACCGATGCAGAAGTAGAGGTGAAGCAGGATGAAGATGCTCCTCAAGATGCTCGTGCAGCAAGACTTGCACGGAGGGCTAAGGGAACAAGTGCAGAGTCAGTGCAAGCTCGGGGCACGGCGAGCAGACGGGGCCGGGGCACCTTGCGAAAAGAGAAACGGCCATCGCTTGGCAGTGCAGTGGATGATGTCCCAGAGACCGCGTGTGACCTAACCCTCGTCTCGACCACCACAACAACAGCACATGGGAATGATCACCATCCGGACGGAAATCTAGGTCGGGTGGAGATCAGCGCACCCGGAGACGACGGTCTGGAGCGAAGACATGACGCTGTTCCAGAAACAGCAACCTCAGCGCCAGTAGGCGCCGATCAAGTACGAGAGCCAGCACCACCCCACGAGGAGCCCCACAAGGGTATGCTAGTGACTAGCGAGGCAATGTGCCAGAGCATTGCAGCTCGACCAAGCACCGGTGACGTGGAGTCTCAACCAACACTCGTATCTGGAGACGACCAATCGCAACCCGAGCCACTGAAGAATGCTTCATGCACAGATCATGATGCGCCCAAGATTAACATACCAGAGACGTCGCCTAGGTCTTGGGTTCTGCAACCAACCTCAAGTATTATTGAGGACTCCGACATCGCAAGCACGAGAGATCTGGGCCATTCCCTGGATACCTACCCCAATGTTGCGAGAGATTCAGCGCCAAAGGATGATGCTGTGCGCGAAGGCCCAGGGCCGTCAACTCAAAACACGCCTGCTGTTGCAGAGAAGGCTATCGCGACAGGAACATCTCTGCAAGAGCCATCCGCGGAGCATGGAGACCTCGTCACGGAGCTGAACACGTCTCCATCAGCTGATAACGAGTCTAAAGTGCAGGGTCAGTCCAATGTGGACATCATTAGCGCAACGATACCGCAAGACCCTGATCGCCCTCCTGCAGCCAGAATGCCCACAGAAGAAGCGTAGATCCGAGCAGGGGGGCATGATCGACAAAGCTGGAGACGCTGCGAGTCAATATCTAGGTTGTAAATGCGTCCCACAAGAGCTTTCAGTCTTTCTCGTGGCCGTAGAATGACAGAGTAGGGATGTCTGAGGTGGCCTTGTTTGAGCAGGGCCCTCATGTGGGTACTACAGCGTGATTAGCGGCGAGTCCGTGGCGGACACTTGCCGCCGGCCCACACTTCGGCGTACATGCCGTGCCGCAAGCGTCGCGATTCTTGTGTATGATAGCAATAGTAATTGTCGGTCTCAGACTCCGACGCCTATGCGATTCTTCTGATGGTGTCTTCAAATTGCCATATGTGTCTGTGCGTTGACCACACGACAGCGATACTGGTACTGTCACTTACACTTCCATGGAACAGATGAGGGGGAGGAGCATCATGACCATGACTCCGCTCCAACGACTGGCTCTTCTAACGCAGCCTCTGACGCAGCTTCTATTCCTTCTCGAATGCAGCTAGAGCGCTGGGCTAGAAGACAGCAAAGGATGAGCTAAGTCCTGTGCCTTTCCCACGGGACGATTAGGTCGCACTCGTCACGAATGCCGCATTCAGGAATATGATGTATTCCAGGATCACCCACCATATATGACCTCAGCTGCACCTCTATCTTACCCAAGCCCCATTAAGACAATATTCTCCTTCTCCCAGCGTACGGGATAACGCTATGCCTGAATCGCATCGTGGCGACAACAATTTTCCTCACCGATCAATGCGCAGGTGGAGCGACCACATGGCCCAAAGAAGAAGGATTGATTGCGGCGGAAGGGCCGTTCCAGCTCTGCCGGTGTGCCTGGCCGTGGTAACGTACGATTTTTCTCTCCGTGTGCTTGTGTATGCTACCAGATTGCCGATACCCGGTGTTGGCTTAGATCTAAGGTATGGTGTTGATCAATGCTTGGTATCTCAGGCGGCAACTAGCCTCTTTGGGTAGTAAATGGGCAGGTTATCACGATGTGGTGATGTGATTTTGTATGTTTTGCGACTGGGTTGAAGAATGAGATTGCGAAGATAATGGAGATACTTGTGGGGACTTGGAACTGATTGGAAAGATGAGGCTTGAGAATGCGGATCGTTGCATGCTGTTGCGCAATGAACTCTGAATCCTTCTGCATCCTACTATGCTTTGCTTTTTTTTTCAGTCAGATAAATCCTACGTCGAAGTGACGTTGAAGGCCTAGTCTTGGCAGGAGGAATTAAAGACAGAGATAGCACGGAGCTAGAAGCTGCTACGAAGGACCTAAGTTGTGTTCGACAGATTTTGAGCGTAGGAGTACGAGTAGAACCTCTCCTTCAGCGTCGGTATAGCAATTTTCGGATTCGGGTTCGCATACGTCTTCTCAGCCTTGCCCGCCTCGCTCTTGACTTGCCTGGACCCTCTCGAAGTATGGCAGCATATACTAGATACGACACTATTCAATGGCTTCAGATTCAACCTCAACACTTTGAGAACTTCTCTTCCTTCATGGGTGCGAAGCTGTGATAACCCGAAAGATCCCCATTTGGCCGAACGAGCTCGTCGAAACTCGGCAGCATCCAGTACCGTTCGACCGCTGCGGCTTTCGCAAAATCTTTTGCGTTGGTAGAAGACCGGCATGCGCTATCATACCAGCTCAACGTCTTCGTCATTCGGACAGAAACTGCGCTGCAGCCCAAGGATTGCAAAATGAAGACTGCACGTGCGGAGCTGCGAAATTCCTTGCGGTGACGTCATGGGATCCCTCGCACGCATGGATGCATCTCACCAACGTCGACAGGGTTATCGTGTGACGCTCTCGTCAATACTTTCCAGGTATCAAGCGGCGAGATTTACCTTTGCACCCACATCCCACGTCTCAGAGTACCGGGGGAGGGGATGTTTTTCCCTCGAGGGTGATGATTGCCCCCCTCAAGGTTCGGTCTTACTAGAGTATGTCATGCATGACCACGGTTGATTCCGCGACAACGGCGAAAACACTGTGAGCCCGCGACATTCCACTCCCCTACCCCGGCCCGGTTCCAAGCACATGTCAACAGGACAAACAATTTTGGCTGACGCACGCACGGTCCTCCGGTTCCATCGTTCCGTCGGATAGATCTTTCCAACCAGCTAACTGGGATTCAGGGACCCGCCAAGTTACTTACCGCGACCCCAAGATCATCACCCCTCATCAAATCATCGATTTGCGATGACATCGCCACCCCAGTCGCAGACTCAGACCGAGGTTGGCCGCTGTCTGTTTGAACAGGGTCGGCGATAACAAGTTGCGATTGATACGACACGACACCAGCCTGGCGGCAAGGTGTAATGGATATTGGCAGTCGGATAAATCGGCAGCATGTAGCCATTAGCGCGGCAACGTGTTTCTCAACACCACCTGGGCAAGCGGGATGTGGAGGGGTGGCTGGTAAAGCTCAGACCGGCTACCGTGGCCGTCGTATCGCACGCTGTCGCCCAGCATGCGGCGGTCAGGGAAAGCGAGAGCTGAGGCAAAGGGCAACATCTGGACATGAACCGAGGCACTCAACAGTATGCTTTGATCCGCGTACACAGCCTCGCATCTAGTTCTCGAGATAATCCAGTTTCCAGACTGCATTTTGAATTCGACTATCGGCAAATGCCTGCATGGGCCATCAAGATGCCGTGGGGGATTGCAGAAGCTGGTATCGGCGATGATCGGCAGCAAGCATAGTGAGTACTCTGGAGCAAGTGCAACTATCAATTGCTTAGACAATGTCTTAGCTCGAGCCCAACCACGAGGTATGCACGTTGCCATGCATCAAACTATCTCGTGCATTCTTCCACATACGGCCTAACAGGGTGCTGAGACACCTTGCGCGAGCGTCTTGACCTACTGTTCCGTTGGCCGAGCTAGAGCTCACTAGTGGATTGAAACTTCTGTCACACTTTGGAACGAAGTTTACGCAAGATTATTCGAGACATATCACAGGACTAGGATGCGATGACTATTTCGGCTGTACAGAGGTCCGCAAACAATTATCTCAATACTCAAAGTAGTAGATCCATACGTCATAATCAGACCATAAATCTCACACCTACTTTACGCGTACTGCGTTTCATCGCCCAATCCACGGCAGAACTCCGGAGCCGCAACTGCTGGCCCCCAAAAAGGGAATCCGGTGATCCCTACACCATCAGCCTGTCCGCGCACTAACGAAATGCATGAAAGCCTGCAGTAGCGTGCACTACGCGCCGTTAAGCCTCACTAACCTGCAGCAGGAAATCTTCGAGAAGCCCTTGTATCCTATCCTTCGCTTATCCATCGTTTTGATGGCTACGCCATCGTGCATAGTCGGAGCGGTGTCTTGCTTGCATGTGCATAGGTGCCGTAGCTGCAGCTTTAAGATTAGGAGACCTGGGAGACGCAGCCACCGTCCGGTCAGGTCAAACATCTACCAGCTAGCGTAGTCGCAGCGTTGCGGTGTACAAGATGCATAATCTTCACGCTGTAAACGCCCCGTAGGACACCCACAGTGCTCGTCGGCCATACTTTACATAGCGAAGGATTCAAGGTGCATGAGAGTGATGTCATTGAGGCAGTTCCCGTTCGCCAGCAAGCAAACACGTGCATATTCAAGGCGTGGAGTTATTGTGCATCATCAGACTACCAAGCATCCTCCACAATAGCCCCCCGCCAAGACACCGAGCAGGGATACCCTGATGCTAATACCCCGACTCGTTACGAGGCACGCACGCACCTCGTCTCTTCCCGTCCCAGGCGTTTCCTCTAGGGACCAAACTCTAAACCACGTTTCTCTATTCGCCGAGACGCAATCACCAGAGAACGCGTCCGAAAAACGATCAGCGACGCCTGCTACCAACCTCAAAATTACGTGTCTTGTGACAGCAACCGCATCGCGGATTGCCTAACAAGGCGACGGATAAGGTGACTTGTGATATAATGATCTTCGTTGCGCCGAAGCACCGCCACATAGGACCGCGGGCAAAGCATCCGACGAGCAAATTGGAGCACAACAACCATGGGTGTCTCAGACATTGTGCCAAGGTATAGTACGCATGTGTTTAGGCGTGCGTCATACATCGCCAATCCATGCTCGAGCAAATTGGGCCGCCGTGATTGCAAAGAAATAGGACCAATATATGCAGGGCTCTCGATTGTGTCTCGCGCGTAAGTAGCCATCCGGTCGCGAACCGGATCCGCACTGGCGGCGAAGACGGAAAAGTGGGGGTTCGGATGAGACTTGCGCTCGTGGTCAAACACCGACCGGTGTAGCAGCGTTTGCTAGACAACGACAAGTCTGTCTTCTGGAAGGAAAACTCGTGCGTATAGTTCAAAGTGGAGTATACTAGAATCTGGCTTGCAAAGTGGGTATGGGGTACGGGTGAAGCTACCCGGGTAGCACGGCACAGGCGGTAGCGGTCAAAGGGTTCAGCTTCTAAAATGATGTTGTCATGTTGTTTGGCGCATCGTGACTATAAGGTAGGGTTGAGCGAGCTTGCAGGTCACACGTGCAGACAAGATACGTGTTCAAGTAATTGGTGTAGAGCCTGATAAGCTTCTATGTGCATTTGTATATGTGCTATCTAGGTTGGAATGGGCTGATACCGCAATCCTGGTTTCTTCTAGCTATCTAATCTTCTTTCTACACACGTCTCTTCAGTAATCTGAAGCTTGCAGCCCGTGCGGTCGCATTGCAGCAGACCTTTCCGATCATCGGCGCTGCGCTCAAAGGGGCCTGGCAACATGTGTCGGCTTGGAATGACAGTTCGTGTTGCTCTAGTCTTCCGATAGTTCCCGCACCATGGACAAGGGCCAGGCGAACGCTAGTGGCTCCTTCGTAGCAGGACCTCTGCATCCCAGACTAAGCTGTCGGGAGGTACCTAGAGACATGGCTGAGGCTGACAGCAGGCTGGCGGCGGGCTTGCTAAGTATCCAGGGGTCAAAGTTTGTGGCTGATTTGATGCCTCCAAGTGGAGTGCTCATGGTACCAGGCCCTCTGATTCTTCGCCTTGCCACTGCTCGAATAGCTGGCGCACACGGTAGTCGGTCGCCCAACCAATGTCCGACTCAATGTCTCGTAGCAAATGCAACACGACTTGGCGCTCTCGAGCATCGCTGAGGCACTGACCAGCAGTGAACAGGGGCTGCACAGAGTGGATCCGGACCGCTTCATCTGACCGAGCGAGCGAAATGCCAACAATTTCGCGGCTGTGCTTCTGGCACATGGCCAGAACGGACTGGTACGAGTTCATGCGTGCGACGACGGTGCTGCGCCCCTGGGTGGACTCGTGTGGCTTGTTCATGAACAAGAGAATCTGCGACATGTGGTAGGTTTGCATCGTCGAGGCGCACATGGGAATCGAGTACCAGACCTCTGCAAACATGGAGGCATTATCGTTGTTAAACATCGGTCCGGATGTTTGGGCGGGTGCCACCCTGGCAGAAGGTTTGAAAGTCACCGGTAGTCCGTCGTGCCACACCTGGAACTGCTTGCGGAGACTAAACCAGTAATCCAGAAGGGTCCGCTGAGGAACGCCAGCCCAACTCATGCCGGCTTCGTTTGACACTTCGTCTCCCGCAGCCATGAAATTAACTAGCTTGGCCATGAGCCAGACTAGGGCGTTGCAGATGAGGTCTTCCCTCATCACCTTCTCGTCGTCAGGGTAGCCAGTTGCTGTCGTATTGCTAGGCATAATGTAGCCTCGCTCATCAATCATGAGGCCAGCCTCTCTCCACAGCGTCAAGTCATCGGTGTCTAGCCTTGTGTTGGTCTTGTTGATGAAGGCTGCGAGCATGTCTTGTCTGGCAATGTTCCAGAAGGTTGCTCGCCGAGCTTTTGATGTGAAGTTGAAGTTTGCGGATGGCATCGATGATGTGGGTGTCGGTAGTTGTAATGGCATAACATGCTCTTGTGAAAGGACAAGGAGGGACTTTGCACCATTCAGGTGCTTCGCCCAATCCGAAACGGAAGTGTCTAAGAACTCATAGACACAGAGAATGGCAGAGGCGGCCAACAGTTCGTCGGTGTTTGATACGAATGAGGTGTTGCTGGAAGTCCGTCGTCGCTTGTGTGCTGGCCCATCGTACGCGGAGTTTTGATGTCTTTGTTCGCACTCTGACTCGTCTGGAGATGAGGCGACGTCCATCTTGAGAGCGTGCAACAGTAGTGACACAGCAGTATCATAGTATACTGCTGCCTTGTGCTTCCAATCAACCAATGGTGCCTCGGGGTACTGCTCCATCCTAGCTTGACGCGTCACACTACCTCCCATGACAGGCTTACGGCCCTGGACACGAGCAAGAGCCTTCGCAGCACAGGCGACAGCCGCGTACTTGAGTAATGGGTTGTCACGCGCCTGTACGGGGACGTAAGATGCGAAGTAAGTGCCAAGGTCGAATAGGTCCATCCAGTAACCGGGGCCTTCTGAAAACCACCGGAGAAGGAACGCAATCTCGTGGTCATCTTGAGTGGGCATGCCAACGTCCGAGCGAGGTGGTGATCGCCGTGAGCTTGATATCGAAACTGAACGGTGCATGTGGTCGGCGGAGTCGTATGGCGAATTGAGGCGAGGATCTATGGGCGGCGACGCTGTGGAAGCGGGGAACTCCATAACGGGATGTATTCTCCGGTTGCATAATGATAGAGGAGGCGAGAGTGGGGTGCCTACAACAGATGCGGGTGGTGACTGCATCAGTGGTGGTAGGCTTTCTAGGTCGGGGGTATAACAGAAAGGAACGCTGGTAGGAGGCATCTCAGGCCCCATGCTCGATGGTGTGCTGGTAACTGAATGAAAGTTGCTGTGTGTGCGCCATGAAGGTAAAGAGCGAGTCTCAAAGGGCCCCGGCGACTCCATGGAAGCTGTCGACATTGTGTCAAAGTCGGGTGTCCCGGGATCCAGGTACGGGTTGGTGGTGTTGATGAAGGTGACTGAGAAGGCATTAGCCAAGCTACATTAGTTATGTAAGACGAGACCTACCATGCTTGGGGATATCCATCCAAATGGCATCCTCATCGAATGTGTTCTTGTAAGCGTAGAAGCCCTTCAGTGAGTTCTCGTCCCCTGAGTCTTCGCCGTTCATGGAGGCATTGTGTTGGTGGCGGAAGACAATGCCTGAGGATGGAATGCATTCTCTTGAGGCCTTGGTGCACTGTCCGCACACGGGTTTCTTCTCATCACACTTCAGCTTCCGCTGACGGCAAGTGAGACTGTGGCAAACGTCAGTAGGCGACAGCGTGGATACACAAGTCGACATACCATCCGGTTCGTGATCGCATTTCAACGTAGTTCAATCGTGTGGGTCTTGATGCGAAAAGCTTAAGATATCATAGCCTCGAGCCGAGGAAAGTGGGTAAGAAAAAGCATCCACATGAATCGGAGAGAGCTGCCCTATATCTATACCAGTATGTCGCGGGCGATAAAGCGTTTGATACTCGATGGTTAGATGCGGGGTCTAGCATGGGTTCGCGCCAGTTGCGGATCCACCGTCACCATGAGCAAGGTTACGAAAATCGACGAAAGGCTTGCTCCTGAGCTAGCGCAGTAATCTGAATCGCGCTCGCGTTGCTCAATTTAGCTGGTGTGTGAGAAGCCAGACCTCAGTGTAAGGAACTAACCTGGGCCCGCCGCGCCCACGCCAGGTCGCGTCAAGCGCCGCAGTCAGCCGAGCCATGGCCGAGTTGCTATGCATACACCACTTGCAGACGCTGCAGACGTGCGCTGGGGGAAGACTAGCCGGATTATGGACGCTAACTTGCCACTGAATTTAAACTTTTCTCCTGGTCGCTGCGCGTTCGGCTAGGGATGCAGGTCGGCCCTTCTACCTGGACTACCAACGCATTAGGGGCGGTTTTCCCTGTCTTCACAACCGGAACTTCACTTCCTACAACCCCGCCAAGAAGCATAACAACCTATGGGAAATGTCGGAATAGCCTCCACGACCTGAGCGAGCTTTGACGATAAGGCGCTGGAAGCGTTAACAGCGGCAGCGCGATGAACCCCTCTCATCATCGCATTTCCCAATCTTCGATGAGCACGCAAGCATCGGATGCTGGTGCGGCCGCCTTCACCGCCGCCCACCCGTCCACCCGTGCGCGCTTGAGGTTATTGCAAGGGCTGTCGCTATTGCGACACCTTCTGCTTCTTCTTGGGACGTTCTGGTACCGCCTCGCCGGCGTCACTCTCCGCATCTTCCATTTCAGCATCACTGTCGGACCCGCTGCTCTGATGATCGGAGTCAAATTCCTCTCCAACCTCCGACTCGGAATCGGCCTGGAAATCCTCGTCGACACTTTCGTCATCTTCGTCGGCGCTACCGCGGTTCGCTGGCGCTCCGTCGTCACTGGACGCGAGGTCTTCGTCTTGGAGAGCAGCTGCCAGAATGGCTCCAGACTATGTTCGTTATGTCAGCCCGTCTCGAGCAAAAGGGACAATGATGATACTTACGTCGTCCGCCATCTCGTTCTTAGTCTTGATGCCCTTTGCACGGAAAAAGTTCTCGAGTGGTTGTTGCTCCTCACTACGTGGTGTTAGCTGCACAGCCTTTCGGGTTTTGGCCAGGTATACTCACCGGTTGATGTTCGAGAACTGATGTTCAGCCATGCCGTTCTTCATGCTGAAAGTGATGTCGAATGTGCGGCTAGCGGCCATGGCTCCACCAACACGCGACATGGTCACAGAGGCAATGTTGTCCATGCTGATGTATGTCGCAGGCTTGGGGATGAACATGAAGGCTTTGTCGAGGCAGAACAAGTGACCCTCGTTGGCCTTGATGGAACACTTGACACCCGACTGCTCGTGATGGCTGATGAAGTCGCGAGACGGCCTGGTGATGCGCTTCCCACTGAGTCCCCTGAAGATATCTGCCACAACTGTAGCAATGGGGGCTTCGTAGTGCGACTGAAGCTTGTCCTTGTACTTGTCCTCCAAGAGGTCCCCCTTCATGTTGAGGTCGAGATTAACTTCCTCGTCGCGCTTGAATTGCATCACAAGGAACGGGTAACGCGTCTGACCCTGGCGGAGGGGAGGATCCAGACCGACGGTGATCAAGGTGTGCATGTCGTCGGGTTTAGGTAAGACCATAAACTTCTTGACCGAGTCGAACTGAATCTTGTAGTCGTATGTTTTACCGCGTAACCGGAAGGAGCTCTCGTACATGTCGATATCGAATCGACCTCTGCCATTGGGTTAGTACTTCTTCCGAGACTGCAGATGCGAGTGTCATACCTGGGAGTGAGATGTAGAATGTCCAAGAAAGTGGCAAATGTATCACCAGCGACCTCCCCAATCTCGGCCTTCTCCATCAGAGTCTCATAGAACAGGTTGGCAGCATTTGTCTCCTCAACGTCCTCGGCCCCAGAGGCGTCTTCGCCGTCTTCTGTCTTCTCCTTCTTCGATGCGGTACCGGGTATGTAGAAGCGCATCTCGACAAGCTGGTCTCGCGCACCCGCAGACTTCTTGCCTCTGAACCTTGCTCCTCCCAGGTTTCCATTCGCGCCAGCGTCGCCATCGGCAGGCAACGAGAAGTCGACGGCGACTTCGTTCTTTCCTGCCAAGTTCGTGTTGGACACTTCGGTGTAGGGGACTTCGAAGGCGGGGCGGTTGGCTACGTTGAAGGTGAGTTCAGCCTTCCCAAAGTCGGCCTTTCCCCAGTTCCAGCCACGCAGGGCATGCTCCCGGTTGTCCAGACCTATGCCATACCACGTCTTGAAAACTTTGGAGACGCGGTCAAAATCCTCCTGCTTGAAGCCATCGAGTTGTATCACACCGTCGTTGCGCGAGAGGATCTTGACTTCGTATCCGCGTGATGCTCGGCTCCACTGCGCTTGTTGGATTTGTGACTGGTCGCAAGTGTACGTCTCGCCGTTTGCGGGCTTCCAGCCAAAGCCAGAGTCGGAAAATCGAGTCGCGCCAGGTTTCCGCGAAAGGTTGAGGTAGATGTCGTTGAACGCCTCCCTGCGCTGTGTTAGCTTCGCCTGCCGGGCCCGTCACGGACCTTGATTTCTTACATGTTTGCGGTCGCGTCAAGGAATTAAATATGTGTGTAAAGCAGGACGACTACGGTAGCGGAGAGTTGAAGGCGCGACGGGGGACAGTCGCTACAGGAAAGTTGGTGCTCTCACTTCGTAAACGCGCTGTTTGCTTACCTAACCGCACTAGTTGCAGATCGCACGTGATAGCGCGATAATAACGGCACGAATACCAGAGAGTTCTGAAAAGTCTTTCTTGGGAGTAATGATTCTGCTTCATTGCTTGAATCGGTATTCGCTATTCTTCATCGATCGAAGTTGGACACACCCGCGGACGCCTTGGGACCTGGGACTAGATCGTTCTGCTCGTTGACAGTTCGAGCGCAATAACTCGGTTTTACTAGCTAGGTATAGTTGCACCCCCGGTCGTTACGACTGCTTGTCGCCATCGATATTCACAATCTATGTTCAAAGAATGCCGTCTTTGTTTCTGGATCAACTCACATATGAGTGCGATGCGATACCTCGCTTCATCCCATAGCACCGCGGTAACGCGAAGCAGCGAGCGACTCACAACTTCCAAAATCTATATCTCACCTATCTAACCAGGTCCCCTCGAAGGACAAGTATCGGCAAGACAAGAACTTGTTTCTAGATCGATGCGAATCGAGACAACCTACAAAACCTATGCTCGAATCATTGAGCGGTGCCTGCACAAGTGCACTACAGTTTGTAAGATAGGTGACCAGATCCAGAGAGGAATGTGCCGCCTCAACGTCTTTCTTCAAGCAAAGTTTCCCGCAGAACATCACTCCTCGCGCGCTCCTCTCTAGAACCAAACATCTGCAACCGATCACGACGACTATATTGACCTGTCCATGGCTCAAGCGATTAGGCCTCGCTTTGCCGCAGACTTCATACTCCTTCAACCTGAAGCCACCATGTTGTCAGTTCATAGTTTCGTACCCTGTATCGCAAATATCCTTGGAAACCATCTTGGCCAGTCCTCGCTCACGCTCTTCTTCGAATCAGATTGTCCTATCAGTTTGATGAGGCATGATTCGTTTGCAGCAAGATTCCATATCACGAACTGGATGATCGACCTGTTCTGGATTGTCCACTGCTTGTGGCGATCTGCCACGTCAATTGCGGCCGTGTCCCTACAGTAGTTTGCGGACGGCAGCTCCTTTTGCGTCAAAGCTAATATTATCATACGTTTCTAGCCGCATCACCTTCTTTTATGTCGGAATTTAAGTTTAAGAAGGAAGGATACTGCCTTGCCGATATTCCCTCAGGTCGTCAGTCTCCGTTTTTCAAGGTCGCAGTCATCGAGTTTAGGCTGACTCCAATGCACTGAAACCTTGAATCACTTGCGTCAAAGTGAACATGCAATGTCATCACTTCGGCTAGGGAGGCCCTAAGCGCCCTGTACACTAGCACCTGGAATGAGTTGTCTAGACTGAAGTTTGAAGACTTCGTGAGTGACGCATGCTGAACTCGGCCCGGCTGTACCTGACGTAACCCATCCCCACCTAGTCTTTGGAAGAACGAGGACTGACTCGCAGAATTCGTCAAGACGTTGCAGACATGACATTTCAAGCAGGCGAATCGGGTTACGATTGATGAATACAATGACCGGAGTGCTCAACGTACATATATGTGCAAGCCACCAGAATGCACAAATGTAATTCGATCAAAATACCCTTCGATCCTCACAATAGTCATCCAGCCCCCACGGCTCTTACGATCGAAGTGATGTACATTTGCCTCAGATTTAAGGTGTCGACGAACGACAGTAGTGCATGGCAGGAGTATACTCCGGGGATGGTAAACGTCGCGCGGGAACCCAAAATCTCGCATGTTCCGTAACCGAAATATGCAATTCTAGTTAGGTTACTCGATGAAAGGAATCCACATTTTCGGAATTGCGTCCGGATGCTCTATCATTTTGTTCCGCCTCGAAACGAAGTTTGGTAGATAATCTGGGACTGGGAACCGAGGCTTCTCGTATCATGTCCCTGCCTGGGCAGGTTTTTAGGAATATCTGTATTGTCGCCGTTCGCGTTCGTCATAGGATAACACCTGTCGTATGAAAATGACGAAGACGAGGGTACAGTGAAGTTCTTGCGAGCTTGCACTCAGGTAAGTACCGAGCTGGGTGAATCGCGAGCACTGAACAGCCGCAGGACGCTTCGTTAGGGAAACGACGCATTTCAGAAATTGGAAGCATAACAACAACCAGTATGGAGTAGGAATACATTTACGACGATATTGATTGAAGCTTCTATCAAAAAGCTTCCTATGACGCCACCTAGGTACCTGCCTTACTCAGCATGCCCCTCGGGTGAGCTCGGAGCTACCCCGCCATACCGGTACTTCGCTCAGCTCCTTCGATGCAACCGAAAACCCCCATCATGACACCATGACGGATACGAGCGCACAACAGGCTGAAAGCCACTATTTTGCCAACGAGCCACCACCAAAAGACCTCCAGACAAACACGACTCTTGCGCGTGAGTTCATTACGCGCCATGCCAATGAAGGCCGTCGCGTCGTGCTTGTCACTTCAGGTGGCACCACAGTGCCTCTAGAGCAGCAGACAGTCCGATACATCGACAACTTCTCAGCCGGTACTCGGGGAGCCACCAGCGCCGAGTACTTCCTCCAAAATGGCTATGCCGTCATTTTCCTGCACCGACAGTTTTCGCTGTTGCCTTTTTCGCGACACTACTCGCACAACACGCGCTCATTCCTGGACTACATGAAGGAGGAAAATGGACAGGTAGTGGTGGATGAACAGCATCAAGACCAGATGTTGCGCGTATTGCGCCAGTACACGGAGGTCAAGCGAGAGAACAAGCTATTGATCTTGTCCTACGTGACCATCACCGAGTACCTGTGGAATCTGCGCGAGGTTGCGCAACTCATGCGTCCACTTGGGCCGAAAGCCATGTTTTACTTGGCCGCCGCCGTGTCTGACTTCTTTGTTCCGCAAGACCGCATGGTCGAACACAAAATACAGTCCAACGAAGAGTTCCACCAGGGCCCAAATGGCACTCGTGGGGGAGATGTAAAGCCACCGGCCGCGCGCACGGAAGGAAAGAGTTTGATCATCGATCTTGAGCCGGTGCCTAAGTTCCTCAAGCAGCTCGTGGATGGCTGGGCGCCCGATGCGATGATCGTGAGCTTCAAGCTGGAGACTGACCCTGCCTTGCTGGTTACCAAAGCTAAATACGCCCTGAACAAATACTCGCACCATCTCGTGATCGGAAATCTACTGGCCACTCGGAAATGGGAAGTCGTGTTCGTGTCTGTCTTCGATGACGAAAAATGGATACGGGTACCCACCAGCCGTAGAACGAAGAGCTTGTCAGGAATGCCATCACTTGTTGGTTTGGCCGATCCCTTGACCAAGAAGGACGTTCAAGCAAGCGAATCAATTGCTACAGAGAAAGGGGTACCGCAGGGCGAGCCTTCTCTGGAAATCGAATCTCTTATCATCCCCGAGATTGAGAAGATGCACACCACGCTCATAGACAAGACCCAAGCAAAGGCTGTGTCTGCATAGTAATCCCAGACATACTGAGCAAGCGTTGTTTGTACTTTGCCTTTCACGACATGTATTCCGATACGGGTCAATGGATCGCACGGCATCTTACACGTGTTCATCAGGCTTTCAATCTACACATTACATTGGTTTTATCACATTGCTCACTCTAGGATGACTCTCCACTGTGCCGAAGTGTGGCGTATGCTGGCACCCCAAATGACCAACAAGATAGCACCGATACCGACTATGCCAGCGAAAACCCCAGCCAGGGTACCGAAAGCTCGGACAAAACCTGCCTCTTCGGCCCAAGGGATTACACCGAAGAGGAAGCCAAATGCCACGATGTTCTTCAGCCCGTTCACAAGAAGCAGTACGTCCGAGTTGACTGGAAATGCGCAGTCGCTCACATACGCTATAGTGATCGTTGGTATGGCTGTGAGCGCCATCGAGATCATGCCGTACCCGAAAAAGAGCGAAACCCACGACAAGGCGTTCTGAACACCGTAGCCGAATACAAGGCAGCCTGCTGTTGTGATCACCAGTGGAATGCCCACCAGGTAGAGTCGGGTTTCTGGCTCGTAAATGCCTAGCATTTTCCTTGTTTGCCACCTACACCACATGTCCACGAGGTCACCTGCATTCAGTCAGCACGTTTCTTGGCTACGTGGTGCTCCATTATGACTTACCTCCTGCCCAAGCCCCGATCACGTTGCCCAAAATGCCTGGGATGTTGATCAGGCCGTTAATCTGTGCGCTCCAATTGTACGGAGGTGCTTGCAGCACGAACGGGTTGAGAATGTTGACTGCGATAGTAATGACCAGGGAGATGGAGTAGCAGAGAAACGCGTATATGACCGCAGGATACACAATCATCGGCCACGGTCTGCTAGACGTTAGCATCAGAACCCCGCCCAGCTCGACTGTGACATACCGTATAAACAGCTTCACCAGACTCGTCTCCGAGACGCCACTCCACAGGCTCAGCTCCTGCCTCCATGTGTTCTTTGCCTCCTGGTGTAGGATGCGATTACTCGATTTTGGCCGGAGATGTTTCTCTTCCGCCATGACGATCTTATCGTTTGAAGGGCAGATGGCCACACCGGCGCCTTTGATATGCTCACGCGTGTATCTTGTCTCAGGGACTAAAAGAAGTATCGTGAGGAAGTTGAGCGCGGTCAGAATTGCAGCAATCCACTTGTGCCATCGCCAGCTGAGGTTCGTCGCGATGAAGCCGCAGACCAATGGTCCCACCGTATTACCACCCGCTATCGCGTTCCTTGCGCACAGTCAGCGCACTGAGAAGGGCCCATAGGAAGAGAATATATGCTCACATATAGATACCCATTTTGCTGCCTCGTTCATGCAGGAAGAACAGGTCCTTGGAAAATTCAGTCAGCTCGTCGGTCAAGATCGCTCAGCCCGTGCCCTCTGATGGGGTTTGGATATAAGCAAGTAGTACAGAATTACCCACGTTGACTATTGCAGCACCCAAAGCTTCTGTCGAAGACCCTGCGAACGCGGCGACGATGTTACTCCACAAAAGACTCTTGAACGAATTCGCCATGGCGCCCCAGACGCAGCATGCGCATAGCAGGGCACTGGCGAACACGAAAACCGGTCGTTTCCCGAAATGATTGGCCATCGGTACCCAGAAGAAATTGAAAACGCCCAAGACCAAGACGGGGTATAAGAGGAGATGCGCAGTCTCGTCCATCGGCTTATCAAACTCGATCGAGAGAATATGGAATGCTGGCGCTAAGCCTGCGATCGAATAGTTTGTCAAGAAAGTAAAAGCGCACACCGAAGCGAATGCGACATGTTTCTTCCATCGTGGCCATCGGAGCGGGTCATTAGGATCGTTTGGCGAGGGTTGTGGGAAGAGGACGATGTCCGCTGGCGCACTTTCACCATACCCAGCTACACGCGCCGAATTAGCTCCGCATTCAAACGGACAAAAACGAGCATCACCGTACCTTGTTGCAACACCACCGTACCGTCAGTACGATCCAGAGCCCTCAGGCTGGTGAAATGGACACCCATCATGATGTCAAGGGCCTTGGAACCAGCAGTAATCTCGACCTTGGGATCCTTTACTTCGGGTAGGAAACTGCCATTCAGAACCAGGACCAAGCAGGTGCGTCGCTATCGCTTTTAGTCCTGTCTTTCATGGGCGACATGGGAAGCACCCGGCGGCAGGTAAATATTGTTGACATGTGGTCGGACGCATGCTATGTAGGGCTTACGGAGTTCCGTGCAAGGCAAGATTACAGGCGCAGACTAGTCAACCAGGAAACTTTCCAAGGTTCTCACGCGCAGCAGGCGCCAAATTTGTTGATGTACAGATGCGGTTGTGTCTCCATGCTTGCTTATTTGGTTGGCTGACTGGAGATGGCTAATATGGGTATGGGGTCTGTCTGATGCTGACATGGTGGACGTTCATGCAGTACCGGGGCATGCGGGGCCGGTCGCGATCCCGTGCCCACCATGATCGACGGCCAGACTCGATTCTGAAGGCCCTTCTCTACAAAAGAAACATTCAAGTGCCATGGGAGATGCCGGAGTGAATGGCAGTAGTGTATATTCGTGCTTCGACTGCCGACTGCCACGATCCCGTTGCGTGGATCAGTCGATGGTAATGTGAATGCCGATTGTGGTGTCAACAACCAACTTTGGAAGGTTGCCAGTCCCTGTCATACACACGATCGGTAGTAATCTCGACTTCGTGAGATTGCGTCGCTATGCGCTCATCTATTCGCTTTGTCAACCTTTGAAAGCCCTTACTCTGCTGCGCCTGTCTTCCATAAGACGACCTCAGGACGAGTCAAACATTCTCCATGTTACCGCGGATGGAGATTCCCCGAGGTCTGAGCTAAGGCATCCCCACCGCGCGACGAATGGAGGCTTGCGTCATGTCGGAGACTTATCGATCACTTTAGTGACGCTGAAGAAGCCGTGCTTCTTTGTTGTTGCGGCGCCATCCCGTCCCGCCTCGCTAATCGTCGCGCCAAGCCTACCAGCGTGAAGGCCGCGGGGGCTTCGACCTTGGAACCACAACATCAACACCTCCACCCAGGTATCTTAACTAGCACATCACAGTGGATTGATCCGGCTTCTACCGCTCACGTTATCAAATCACATAGCTGAGGTGGTGGTCGCGCGGCCAGTGCTCAGACGCTCGACGACACGAATCTGGACGGAAGCCGAGCTATGCTTCCGAAATGCAACGTTGGACACATCGCAGAACATGACACCGACTGGCAGTATAGATGGACCATATGGCGAGTGATGGATTTCAGTGTGGAGGTTCGTCTTCTCTGATGACGCTGACCTTCACATCTATGGCTTTATCTGACGCGACAACTCGTTTTTCTTGCGCCACAACGTCTCAGCTTGCGCGACCACTCGTCATGAAGCTGTAAACTTATCTTCGCCATATCGTTTTCTCCAGATTGCGACACGAATCATGTGCGGTCTTTTCTTCTTCCCTCGAACAATGAAGGGTCTCAGAATGAACATGGAGTTACATTTCAATGACGCCGTACGACAAGAACGAGATCTAATACAATACCCCACGGCCATGTCTACGACCACACAAATGAGTCTGGATGACACGACTTCTTCGCTAGCGGAGGATATACTGCATTTGTTCCGATTCCCCATGGCGTCCGTCAAGAGGATCAGCAGAGCCATCAATGCGCGCTGCAAAGCATCCCGCATGCACAGGCATATCTGCAGCGTTTTAGAGCGTTTCTAGACAGACGCCATCGCGTGCTGACAAGACAGTGCTTCCTTGCGTCTTTGCTTTTCGCCCATGAACCCTGCCCCATCGGGACCACGGTGACGCCTTTCGTTGCACGGCGTGGCGCCTATTGGACTAAGCACATATCGCATTCCCGCTAAACAGCCAAAGAGACGCGGAGATCTCACTGCTACTGCACGCTCATCGACCGAAGATCAATATCGTACAGCGCTGTCAAATCCGCGGATGCGGCGCAACGTGACGCTTGATCCTAGCCTACACCAAAGTCTCTCTATCGGAGTGTATCCCCGCCACCGCCAAAGCATGGTGACTTGTTTGGAATAAACTTATAACCTGATCAACACCCTGTCTCACCGCTTGACCCCGGTACCCCGGACTTGCACAGGTATATATCGTCTGCGGACCCAGACTCTTACCAAAGTTTCTTCGCACCAATAGGCCCATTACCTCCATTCTCTCACGCGATCCCCCTCACCATATTCAGTACTGAAACATAGTCCTTTTATGGCTAAGTCGACCGTGGCCAGACTCGCGTCCCAGAAGTCTCCAGCCCTAGCAAGCAATCCATCACCTTTCATGGATCCCCGACCACCACCAGGAAATCCAGCGACAACTGCGGAGATGTGGGACAGGTACGAGAGACAGGCTGTGGAGACGGCAAGAATGAGAGAGAGGACTATGCAACCGCCACAGCCTCAACGCCTAGTTATTCCAATCAGAAACAAATGGACCAAACCAGACGATGTTTCGCCGACAGTACCAAGCTTCGACTTCAGAAGACGCGGCCATACAGCAACGGTCTCGACTACAGTGGCTATCTGCAAGACCTGTACACTTCCTATTACCTATGCCTCTGGAGTCTGCGAAAGCTGTACAAGAACCATCATCCTGCCATCGGCCAGCGGCGAAACCACTCCGCCTATCAGTCCCGCCTCGCGCAACTTCGCCTCTACTGACCTCATCAAACTTCGCAAGAACTCATATGGGGAAGATGTCAACGTCCGAACATCAACAACGTCATCGCGACGAACGTCGTACTGCCCACTACCAGCGCACCTTGCAGACCCCTCATTCCGACTCTCCACACTACAGCCACCGCCCGAATTGGAAGCATTCTCAAACGACCCTATCCGCACCAGAAGAAAGACGTCCCTCACAGACCCCAACGAGCCATTCCTTCGCCTACAGATCGCGCAACAAGCACCTTTACCCCGATCTGCAATGAACTCACCACCCATAACCCCCACATCACCACCACCATGGGCAACCCACTCTCGCTCTTCCACACGGCGCTCCAGTCTAGCAAACGCGGCACTGCTACCAAAGCCCGCCTATCCACACGCGCGCACCGACAGCGTGGCCTTGTCAGAATACAGCACCCTCTGCCCAATCCAAACCACACTAACAACAAAACTGGAAAATACAATCAGCGCCTGGGACGACTGGGACAGCGACAATGAAGACGCGGATAGAGCTGGTTTGGCGAGCTGGATGGGTCGGCGCAAAACCAAGGGTCGAGGCAGTGAACGGCCCCGGGAAGGCAAAGGCAGTATGGACAGCACCGAAAGCGATAATGACGCGACAAGACCTAGTCTCTGTCTGCGGGAGACGCCTAAGAAGGTCAAGAAGAGCATGAACATTAGTAAGGAAGACCAGGGTTTGGAGCGCGCTAGGATTGAGGCAGCGGAGAATGCGAGGGCAAGGCGGCGAGATGCCGAACAGAAGCTTGCGAAGAAGAAACCGAGTGGGTTCATCAGGGCGATTACTTGTGGGAAGAGTGATACTGATGATTGAGTTTGTTCACGAGCACTACTTTTCCTTTTGTTTTGGTTCAAGCAAGGCGTTTACGATGGGCGAGATTACTAGGGATGATACCAAGTGTTGGTCGGCATGCAAAACAAGGTTGGATCGGTGTTTTGGTGTTGTCCACTATGGTATACATGTCTTACGACGATATAGGCGATTACGCTACCTTAAATCATAACGTATAATGTATCATCTAGAATGAAAATGGAAAAGATCCTTAGCTACCGTTACTTGCTCTGTGATTGCTTTCGTACCTTCACGCGGCAATTCTCGCTCAGTGCTCTATATCTGCACAGAAGTACCATCCCAACAACCCCATCGAATCCATACCGCTACCCAACTCTCTCAACCTCGAAGCCAACAGACATATCTCCCACCGCTAAACACCCTTCTGCACATTCGTGCACCCGCGTCCCTACCTACCTACCTTTCCATTTCCCTACCTGCTACCGAAGTCGCGTACAACAGCCGCGCGCTCCCGCCTACTCCACCCGGTAAGAGGTGAGAATGCGGGTAGGCGAGCGGTGACCCAGTTGCTAGTTGCCACGGGGTCATTCGTCTAAAAGGCGCGTAGGGGAGTAGGGGTAAGCGAAGCGAGGATGCCGTGGGAGGCGGTGATGTGGCCTGGGTACGACTGACAAGGCAGATGTGTTGAGGTAGGTAGGGGGTATTTGGATGTGGAGTGAACCAGACGGTAGAGTGGATTGTGAGGGTTCGCGACCGACTAAAACAATGACAGCTCAAGACATCGTCATAGCCCTGCTACAACCTTATCTACACAGTCCACCACTATCATCAAACCCCTTCGACCAACACCCTAACACCACCTACCACCGTGCCCTCGTATGCAATGTAAAACCCGTATACCAGCCTTGTCAACGTTGCACCATCGCCCGCCTCGACCGATGCCGTGGACATCTGATCAAGCTGGTGGTAAGTGAAATGCGGATGTCGTGGCTGCGTTTTGTGCTGCAAAGCATCGGTGAAGTCGCCATACTGATATAGAGCCCCGGTTGTGTAACGTGATGCAGGTCTGAGCGGTTGTAGGCGAGCGTTACACGAAGGGGGCGGTTGGGCGGTCTGGGCTTCTGAGGTTTTGGGGTTGTTTGTGTGTGGGACGTGAGGTTTGAGACCTGGTTGCGGTGGATATAATTATAGCTGTGCGGTATCTGGGTAGTTAGTTTGGCGTTGTCGCTCGGGTAAGATGATGCTTCTTGCGCAGGACTGTAGATGGCTGGAGTGGATGCGATGTCGCAACTTCGAGATGGTAGTATGCGCTCTCGTATGGTAAGTGGCGGTGTGGAGGCACGATAGGCGTTGGCCACGTCTAGCAATCCGTCGCACAGTGGCGGACACACCTACAATCGCCTTGAGCATGTTGGTGTCCATGTCAGCTGCAAGTCAGCAGGGCGAAGATGTCAGTTGTTTCGGATATACCACCTTGACCCTGGCATCTAGGAATCTTTGCTGACCGCACGCAGAATGTGCTTTCAAGACGAATTACCAGTGTTAATGTAACGACCAGATGCATGTTCATGTTTTCTTCATCTCCTGGCGTACGAAGACGGAGAAATCCGCGCTCTAGAGTTTCGATGTTGAAATGTCGTTCTTGGCTGTGTGCGACATGTCGAAGTTAAAGTTCGATCACACTTCAATCTCGTTATGGTTTGATAGGTTGACAGCGGCAGAAATCAAGTGATGCAACTTTGTTGTCAATTCATCTGGCGACGAGCAAGAGTTGGAAGTTGCGAGCAAGTCCATTGAATTTGTGTAGCTTCGCATGAGTGTAGAGTAGACGTTGGAAACCTCGGGGGTACCGAGCAGTGACTAGTAATTAACAGTTACCAAAACCGTCTTGGTTTCTGCACCCTCTAGTCATGATCATGACATTAGTAGTAGGAGGATGCAAGGACCACGTGATGCTGACCGTTGGGTTTTGGGTTGAATTACCACACCGGCATCTGGTCGCTTGGCCCAACGTACTGCACATAATTACTCCTTTTCAAATGAGAAGACGTCATAGTCCACAATCGATACGAGTCGGAAACCACGAGGTCCGAGGTTTCGACGAGACAGAAGTTGCGGTGGTGTTGGCAAGCTCATGCAAGCTCAAAACTAGCTGCAAGCCTTTCAATAGTTTGGGGCCCATCAACGACGGGCTGTTGACTACCTCAACCGATGCTGCCGCGGGTAGAAAGGCACCTTAACTACCGACCAACACCACAGGGCTTGCGGGAATAATGACGCGGTGCCACGAAAGCCCGAGGCGTTGAAGACAAGGAAGCATGAAGCTGTTTAAGACGTTCTAAATCGGTACAACTATCCGACTTAGCCCTGCAGTGTGTTTTGATGAGCTGTTACAAGTCACGAAAAAAAGCATTCGTCGAGCGCGAACATGACAGAAGAATTCGGGTGTCGGCACACAGTCGGGAATTTTTAAAAAGAGGGGTGTTGGCGACGACGACGACGACGGAGGTGGTGGCGGTGCTGGAGGAGGTTGGCGCGGGGTGGCTGCACGCCTTGGTGAAAGTTAAGGCGATCGGTCAAATCTCACGTCGTCGGTGTTGTTCCGGCATTGGCAGTCAGCAAAAGGCGCGATGCCTGAAGCATGGTGGATGCGATGGAATTGGCATGGTGGCGTGAGCGTCTCTCGTGATCTGCCACGAGGTAATTTCCTTACGAACTGCTCATTAATCGATACGCGGGCGGGCCAGAGGCAGAATTGATCGTCTTGCATCATAGTTGCCTGTCGTTGCTTGTAACCGACCGCGCGGATGTCACCAAAGCTTGTCACGTCGTGTCGGGTCCGGAGTTGGCGGCAGGGCGGTGATAGTGATGGCCCACCTAATGGGCTAGAAGGATGGCCGGTGTGTGTGGGAATACGGGAGCGGCCAGGGTCTGAGAAGGCCCGCCGGAAACCATGGAAGCGTTGTTTTTGAGGGGGTGTCAGCAGCGTGAGATTGTTGTTTGTTGTCACTGCTTGAGCGCTGCTCGGCGCAGGGTTTTCTTTGATGCAACGCGCAGGTGCATGTCTTGGTCTTGCCAGTGAGTTGGTCCAACCTCACCCCTGACGCAGGTTGTAATTCTGTCACGCTAGCCAGGCCGAGTGAATCTGTGGGGTCGCTTGTTACCGCATCGGGCCAGAGGACAGCCAGGCGAGCCGTGGGCGCAATCTCTTCGACGCCAGCTGGCGAGCTCCTGAAGCTTATCTTGCTCTAGCGAAGGCTTGGTTCTTCCGTCTGCTTGGTGACAGCGCGACAACGTTGTCAGGACGATCCTGCGTTGGCGTCCGAGTCCCTGAGTTCGGTATGCCTTATCAATAGTGCCTCTGTTGCGTTCCACCTTTTACGAGGGCACATGTGGCCGTCCAGCACCATGCTCCCCACCACGTCGTCGGAATGGGCCCAGCGCGTGCCGCTTGCCGTGCTCCCCTCTTGTCGTGTAATGCGAGCCAATCCCTGCGCCCAGAAATAGAAGCTCGACGAGGCCAATCCCCGCGATGATCTTGCCGCACAGAGCTGGCATTGGCTGCGCTAGGGTGGAGATTGCCGCTCGTGCCCCTTAGGGCTGTCCTGAGCAATACCGTTATTGGTCGATGCGTCCAATGTGTGCCTGAATTTTCCTTTTCAGGTCGCAAATGGCCGACGCGATGACTAGCATGGCTGAACGTCCTTCGTATACGCGGCATCGCCTCAGGTACTTGAATCTGGGCGCGCCCGCTTCTATCCTTCTCACCTCCATCGCTGTAGGCGCATCTCAACTACCTGCCTTCAGCATCTCACTCGTTAAAACATCTCGGCCGCTGTCACTCGTTTCCAGCTGCCTTGATCCCATACAGCAACCTTCTAGTAATACTTAATTTGTTTTCGCTAGGTACGTACTTTCCTTATGTTTTCGCTACCGCGCGGGGGCTCCGCAGCCGCTTCCCAAAATACGTCGTCGTGCATGCTGGTGTTAGCCTTCTTTTTCGCTACACCAACCCCCCAACACGACGACATCCTACCCGCCCGCCAAAAACCAAATACATAACCGTTGTGCCGTCGCCCCTGGACTCTCCATGCTATTCATCACCTACTTATACCCCTGTTATCCGCATTCTACAACGACATCTCGGATGACTACACAGCCACCCTGTTGGCTTACACACTCTTTCTACCACACTCGTTTCTAATACTTTCCCACAGGTGAATCCTCATAATGAAGGCTTCTCTCTTCGGCCTCGGCGTCCTCGCCGGTCTGGCCAGCGCAAACATCAACTTCGAATGGGTCAACCCCACCTGCGACCACCAAGACCCTGCCAGCCTCTGCCTGACTGGCCAGCACTGCAGCTCTTCCGATGTCTGCGTACCCGACCTGAAGAGCGAGTACTCCAAGCTCGTCTCTCGCTCATCTCTTCGCGTTGTTCCTGCGAAGAGACAGGCCAAGTACTCTCAGGACGGAAAGTGCGGTCCTGCTAACGGCAACCTTCTCTGCGACCCCAAGAGCACCGTCTACTCGGGCACATGCTGCTCGCAGTACGGCTGGTGTGGAAGCACCTCCGCTCACTGCACTGAGGGCTGCCTGTCTGGCTGTGACAACGGTGCCTCCAGCGCCGCACCCGCACCCACCAAGGCCGCCACTTCGGATGCCACTTCGCCCAGGACTGACGGCAGGTGCGGAAAGGACTTTGGCGGTGCTACATGCGATGCCAACGGTGCTTACGGCGGCTGCTGCTCGTCTTACGGATACTGCGGTACCACCGAAGGTCACTGCCTCCCTGCCAACGGATGCCAGAACGGATGCAAGGGCACTGCTGCCACCCAACCCGGCAAGAACAACCCTGCTCCTGTCAGCAGCCGTCCTCCTTCGTCCACCACCTCCGGGGAGCCAGTTCTTGGTAAGCCCACGACTGCCGCCGCTTCCAAGCCTACCAGCGTCGCCACCACCGACGGCAGCTGCGGAGCCAAGTTCGGCAACACTGTCTGCGGTAACTGGGCCCAAGGAAGCTGCTGCTCCATGTACGGCTACTGTGGTAACACCACCTCTCACTGCGGCGAGGGTTGCCAGAACGGTCCCTGCCTCAGGGCTCCCAGCGTTCCTGCTCCTGCTGCCAGCCCTGCTCCTCGCGCCGCTAAGCCCGGTAGCATCCAGCTCAAGGGCCGCTCCGGTGTCCCTGCTATGCACGCTGGTCTCATGCCCAACGGCAAGGTTGTCTTCCTTGACAAGGTCGAGAACTACACTGAACTCAAGCTCGCCAACGGCCAGTATGCCTACTCTTCCGAGTGGGACCCTGTCACTGACAAGCTGACCCCCTTGGCCTACAAGACCAATGCCTTCTGCTCCGGTGGTATCTTCCTTGCTGATGGCCGCTTCGTTTCTCTCGGTGGTAACGCTCCTCTCGACTTCATTGACCCCACTGTCGGTGATGGTTTCAGGGGTATCCGTATCCTCAAGCGCTCTTCCTCAGATGCCTCGCTTGATGGACAGGCCTGGAACGAGCCCGGTGCCCAGCTCGACACTCCCCGTTGGTACGCTTCCGTCCAGATCATGCCCGACAACTCCATCTTTGTCGCATCTGGATCCAAGAACGGCCTCGACCCCTCAAAGCCTGAGAACAACAACCCTACCTACGAGATGCTCAACGCCGATGGTTCTCCCCGTGGAAAGAGCTACAACATGGAGATTCTCAGCAAGAACCAGCCCTACTACATGTACCCCTTCATGCACCTGATGAAGGACGGCAACCTGTTCGTCCAAGTCTCCAAGTCTGCCGAGGTCTTCAAGGTTGACACCGGAGCCGTTGTTCGCACTCTGCCCGACCTTCCCGGTTCCTACCGCACCTACCCCAACACCGGTGGATCCGTCATGCTCCCTCTCTCATCTGCCAACGACTACAACCCCGACATCATCATCTGCGGTGGTGGCCCTTACCAAGACATCACTGCTCCTGCTGACCCGTCCTGCGGTCGCATCAGGCCTCTCGATGCCGACCCAGAGTGGGAGATGGACTCCATGCCCGAGGGCCGCGGTATGGTTGAGGGAACTCTCCTCCCCGACGGTACCGTCGTCTGGGTCAACGGTGCTCAAGAGGGTGCTCAAGGTTTCGGTGTTGCTCAGGACCCTGCTCTCGAGGTCCTTCTGTACGACCCCAACCAGCCCAAGGGCAAGCGCTTCACCACTGGCCCTGCCTCCACCATCGCCCGTCTCTACCACAGTGTCGCTCTCCTCCTCCTCGACGGTACCCTGCTCATCTCCGGCTCCAACCCCGTCGAGCAGCCCATCCTCAAGCCCGACGCCAAGAACCCCTACGTCACCGAGTTCCGCAACGAGATCTACACTCCCCCCTACCTCCAGGGCAACCCCACTCGTCCTTCAGCCGTCCAGATCTCTTCCAAGGAGCTCGTGATGCAGCAGAAGTTCAACATCAAGTTCAACGCTCCTGCCAACGCTAAGAACGTCAAGATCTCGCTCTACTACGGTGGATTCGTTACTCACTCTGTCCACATGGGTCACCGCATGATCTTCCTCGACAACACCGGCTTCAAGGCTGGCGCCACCGCCCAGAGCTTGACCGTCACCATGCCCCCTAACCGGGCTGTTGCCCCCGCTGGTCCTTACGTCATTTACGTTGTCGTTGATGGTGTTCCCGCTATGGGACAGTTTGTTCACGTTTCGTAGAATGGGACTGTGAATGATGGGAATTGGACGAGACGAAGATGTAGCTAATTGCGCTAATATTCCTTGTATCATCCTTGAATTGAGTGTTCATTCCGCATTCGTGCATGTGTCATGGTATGGTGGATGGCTATTGAATAATTAGCGATGCATGTCCTCCTATAGAAATAAAGAATTGTTATGATATCACTTGTTGCCTACGTTGATTGTTTGTGTCTTGTGAAGTTCATTAGGTGACACTGAGATGCCTACATTCAATCATGATAGTAACATCTCACACTGTCCCTCGTCTATGTCGTCCCCTGGCATACATTTGAATGTCGCGCTCACACACCCAAACTTCCCACTTAGTAGTCAAGTCCAGAACTGTCCGTATCCTCAACCCCAGCCCTCTTGCTGTAGTCGGCAAGAGGACTCGCGCCCTTGCGCTTGCGACCCACGACGACGCTGTCGGCCTTCAGGGTAACCTCGTCCTTTCCATCCAACTTCCAACACTTCTTCTTACCCCCCCATCCAATCCACAGCATCAACAGTCATACCACCACGATACATATCCCTCAGATCCCTCGGCACGTGAACGCGCTCATCATCAATGATCTCTCACATCCACGCCATACACTCCCGCATCTTGGGTGTTTCACTCCGCATCTGACTCAGCGCATCTTCCATAACAGCAACCCGGTTCTTGAGGGCTTTAATGGTGGCCTTGCCGTCGGCGGAAGCGGCGGCGGAGGGTGGTTGGGTGGAGACAGTGCCGGCGGTGGTGATGGCGGCGTCGGTCTTGGGGGAGGCTGGGGACGACGATGGCGTGGTGGATGTTGTTACGGAGGGAGCGGGAGGGTGTGTAGGTGCTGCGGTACTCTTCTTGAGTTTCTCCAACTGTGGATGGAGGGTTGTAGTCAGTAGATATCTCCCGCCGTGCATACCGCACAGTGCGAGCCTACCTCCTCCCTCAACTCCTTATTCTTGCGACAAACACGGTACGCCTCCTCTGCAATCTCTTGCGGGCTACCGTAGTTGGCGACGCGGGCGCGGATGCGCTGGGTATCAGGGTCGTGCTCCATTGGTACTGAGGAGCGTAGCTTGCGGGTGTAAGGCAGCGATTTCTTGATGTACTGCCTGAGTTTCTTTTGGGTGAGGCCGCTGCGGGTGCGACGGCCGGGCATGTGCTAATGAAGTGTGTTAGGATTGTGAGCAGTGAATCACAGCAAAGGGCAGCAAAAGAGATTCAGACTGGTGTGAGGTCGTGCGAGGATGGAGGAGCGGGAGGAAGAGATGCGACTTTAGGCTGCGATACAGATATTTTGGTTAGTGCGTTTGTGCGTTTGCGTTGGGCTGGTTTTCACTTTTGCTTTCATTTTCACTGCGGTTGGAAGGTGGTGGAAGTTCAGTGTTGACGTCAGAGTATAGGTAGGTAGGCGGGCGCAGTGTGAGTGGATGTACAGAAACCAAACATTAGACCGCCTCATGAAACGGTGAGACGGGGTTGGTTCTGGGCCTCTTAGTCCCAGCTACTCAGTCAGTTGTTCATTGTCAGGCTTCTCCGCTGGTTCCTTCTTATCTGGCTTCTCCATACGCCTCCATAGACCCAGGAAGCCACCTCCGACGACCATTTGGCCAGCTTTTGGTCGGCATACCATAACCCATTTCTCCTCCTGTTTGGTCAAGTCTTCTTTTAGCTCGTTACCCCGTCCCTCTTGGCCTACTTCTGAGTCTACGCTTTCATCGCTCGAGGATTCGGAAGGTTGTTCTGGCTGAGCCTTCTGCATAGGTGCTCTTGGTCTAACGGCGCGAACATCCCATTCGCGAATCGTGCCTGCTCCTAACTCAATAACCTGATCAAGAAGATAGGGCATTTTTTGCTCCCGAATAGCTTCGACACATTCGGCGATCTGTGTGATGCTTGGGTTGAAGACGGCGAGCAGGCCGTTGACGTGCAGCGCAGGGGCGACATTGGCGAGATGACTTGTCGCGTTGGGGAGATCAAGGAATACATGGGTCAGGAAGGGCTCCTCAGTCTTTCTTGACACTTTCTGTTTGGCGATCCACTCAGACACGTCTCCTACGTGAAAGTCGACGTTGCCCGCGTACATGCCATGTCGGAAGCCCTCCACGATCTTTTTTGCATGGACTGAGTGTTTGCTAGATATATCCAGTGTATGTATGATAGCGCGACGGTTCTGCTTCCACGACGACAGTGCTGATTCCTGCAGGTCTGATATGGACTCTCCGAGGTATACTGCGTCTTCAGGTTCTTCTTCGGTAGTGACATATGACGGCGTTCTTGGAACCGGAGGGTTACCGGCATGCACAGCGCGAGAGAGATGCAGCGTCAGCGCTCCATGGCCTGTGCCAGCTTCGAGGATCTCGAGAGGCGGGTCGGTGTTGGGGGTAGCGGACGGAGTGTCGACGTGGATGTCGAGCAGGGACACTATGAGGTTCGTGTCTGAAGGGTAGATCTAGAGGATGTCAGTATAAATGTTCCGTTTAGCGATATCGTGAAGTACACACTGGAGTCACAAGGCGCGGTGTCAGTCTGACGTACTCGGCCAATGTAGGCTCGTGGATGCGAAAGGTGACGCCCTTGTGGGAATTGACTATTTGCCGGGGCTCTTTTCCAATGACATCTCCATGCTTGATAACACCTCTGTGTGTGCCGATGGTCTTAGACACCTGCAGTTTCACGAGGCGCCCATCCTGCGTCTCTTTGCTCTCGCGCAGGAGCACGACATCGCCTTCTATGCGCCTGTGAGCGGGGTCGGGGCGGTGGAAGCGGAGGTCTTGCCTTGGAAAGCACGATAAAGGCAGGAGCTACTCGCAAAGTGGCGCGCACGCGGTTGGAGTGCAGCACGGCGTAGCTGGTGGAGAGAAGATGGTCGCATGGCTTTGTAAGAACCTTGAAAGATGTGCAGATGCGGAGGTGACGCCTTCTCCGCACCAAGCGAGCCGCGACCGCGGGAGGGCACCGAGTATGTTCTGCAGGCGTAGGGATGCAGCGGATATTACACAGACAATTGAGTCTTTACCTGTAGCTACTGACTATGCTCCGTCCTACACCGCTGAATCCATCTCACTTTACTGCATAATGCATAACGTCACAGCGGTGACTCTAATCCCGGCATCGCCATTGACGATCCGAGAATCCAGGGTTCGGCCAAGAACAACATGGAGCACCTGCACACTTCCAAGACGCATGCGCCTCGCCCAACACCCTCAACTTCACATCCTCAGCAAACGACCTCATGTCATGGAGATGAGCTCGCGTTGCTGCGAAAGACACGTATCCTAAACCCGACTCTGGCTCTATGCGCCACTACTCACACCTGCGAGGGCCTCCACCATGACGCGCCGCATAGTATGTACAGACATGCCCTTTCTCGTGCCATTACTAATAATCACAGGTACGGACGGGCATACAGCTCGTAGCCCTAACCATCGTCGTCTCCCTAACCATATTCTTCCTCGATAACCGCTACCGCGTCCTCCCCCAATCCGTCCACAGCCACATGCCACTGCACCACGACGGCCTCGTTATCACCGATATCACCGTACAGACATGTTCGACCATCAATCCCCTCTCCAAGTGCATGCTAGACCAGAAGAAGTGGCATCGCATAGAGAAGGACCTATACCTCGGCTCCGGATGGGTCACCAAAGGATACGTCCACATCAAGCGCAAGCGGGAAGAGGAGCTCAAGACAGAGGACAAGGTCATCATCGACGTTCGCACAGGCAAGCTTGATCCCTCGGTGGGCGAGAAGGCCCAGGCGTCGGAGAAGTGGGAGTCGCGCCCAGCTGGCCTCTGGATCAAGAGGTCGCTGAAGCGTCACGCGAGCGACGACAAGAAGGCCGTGACGGCCGTAGACATCCTTTTCGGCGCCGACGCAGTAGAGCCACGCCCTGGCTGGGAGCTGGTCAAGAACGGAGCCCTACATCTTGAGACGGGCAAAGCAAGCACAGATCCCCGCCTGAGCATACGGAGAGGCCCAGCAGCCAAGCTCGAGAAACCCGTACCCAAGATCAGAAAGGATGGCAAATTCAAGATCATGCAGATATCCGACCTGCATCTCAGCACTGGTCTGGGCCACTGCAGAGACCCAGAGCCGCCAGGCCACAATGGCGGACACTGTGACGCCGACCCCAGGACCATAGAGTTTGTGGAGAGGGTACTCGATGATGAAAAGCCAGACTTTGTTGTCTTGTCTGGCGACCAGGTCAACGGTGATACAGCACCTGATGTGCAGAGTGTAGGTTGCCTTCTATCTTCTACACAAAACAAAGCTAACCAACTCACAGGCCATGTTCAAGATAGTCGAACCCCTCGCAGAGCGCAAGATACCATACGCAGCCATCTTCGGCAACCACGACGACGAAGGCACACTCTCACGCCACGCGCAAATGGACCTCTACGACTCGCTCCCCTACTCAGTCAGCGAACCCGGTCCCAACACCATCGACGGCGTAGGAAACTACTTCGTCGAGATCCAAGCCCACAGCAGCAAGCACTCCGCCCTAACACTCTGGTTCCTCGACACGCACTCCTACTCCCCAGACGAAACCCACTACCGAGGCTACGACTGGCTCAAGCCCAACCAAATCGACTGGTTCAAAGCCACCGCTGGCGGCCTGAAAGAAGCACACAGCCACTACACCCACAAGCACCTCAACATGGCCTTCATCCACATCCCCCTCCCCGAATACGGCAACCCAGACAACGACCGCGTGGGCAACTGGACTGAGCCCATAACCGCCCCCGCTTTCAACACGCATTTCAAAGACGCCCTCGTCGAATACGACATCAAAGCCGTCTCCTGCGGCCACGACCACGTAAATGACTACTGCGCCCTCTCCAAAGAACCCGAGACCGGTGATCCAGAATTATGGATGTGCTATGCGGGCGGTAGTGGCTTTGGCGGCTACGGCGGTTATAACCACTTTCACAGGAGGTTAAGGGTTTTTGAGATTGATACCAATCAAGCACGGATTGTGACGTGGAAGAGGTTGGAACATGGGGATACGGAGAAGAGGCTGGATACGCAGATTATTGTTGATTCTGGGAATGTTATGCCGATTCATGTTGCGAATCAGGAGTGAGTGAGTGAGTGGTTGTGGATGGGGATGGGGATGTGGATTGGGAGACTTGTTGTTGCACGGTTTGGCGTTTGGGTGTAGGGTTATGGACGGAAGAAGGAAAATCACCGCTTTTTTGTTTGGGGTAGTGTTGGAATGTGTACGGCATGGGCTAAGACGCCTTATTCGTCTTCAATTGACTGTTCAAATACATTTTCTGGAAGTTTCCTGTCGGTGTATATATGTGTGTGCTGCCCTGTACCATCTGTGTCTGAACTTTCTGCCGCACAGTGGGCTACAGCCGTCTCGATTCTTGGCAGGATTCCAAGCTCTCAAACTATATTAGGAAATTCCGTCACAAGAAGAACAAGCTAGATTTTGTGAAAATCATCACATGGAACTGAGCATCAAGGAGAACTGCGATGTGATAAGTGAGTTAAAGTATCGCTCATAACGACGCTTCCTTCATAATTCGTACTACTATAGCTACACCAAACCCATCTCCCACCCATCTCCCCCAACCCCCTAGTAAACATACCTAAAGTTAGGATTCTCCTTATCTGTCAAATCATCAAAACCATGCGCGTTACTAATATCCTTTCCAAACTCCCTGTCCTTCTTCTTATTCCTGAGCATCAGGTTAAACCTCAGGAACGCAATAACACAAAGCAACGCAGAGTAGCATCCAAGATGAATAGCCAGGGACTTGAGATAACGTGGGTCGCCGTCGAAAAACACCTTGGGTCCAATCGCATTACCCGCGCACCACGCGAAGAAGTTCATGGTAATGCAGACGGATTTCTTAGTCTGTCCTCCGACGTTACGGGTGAGCATGGACATGCCGAGACCCTGGGCAGCCCAGAAGGTGAAGACGATCCAGTAGGAGATGAGCAGACCGGCTTTGGTGGCTTCGTTTGTGTTTTTGACAGTCATGATGACGATTGTGCCGGTGAAGGCGGGGATCATGAAGATGGCCATGGTGAGGAGGTTTTGCTTTGTTTTCTTGACCATCCAGGCGGAGCCCATGAGTGTGGCGATGATGACGACGCCGAGGACCATGGCGAGGAGTTGCACTTGCAGAGTGCCGAAACCGAGATCTTGGATGATGATATTGTAGAAGGCGCCGAGGCCGGAGGTGGGTAAAGTGGTGAAGATTTGGATGCCCATGTAGCAGTAGGTTTGCGGGTCGAGGAGGGCTTCTTTGAATTGGTAGGCGCGGAACTTTTTGTTTTGGAGACCCGTTTGGTTGGAGCGGACGCGCTCGACCATGAGCTTCTTGTCTTCTTCGGACCAGCATTTGGCGCGCATGGGGCTGTCGGGGAGGCGGAAGATGACCCAGATTCCCCAGAGGAAGGAGAAGGAACCGTATGTGATGAAGATGGCTTGCCAGGACCGGATGGAAGCGGTGCCGGGGTTCTTGAGGTAGCTAGGGTGTCTGATGTTGGTGAAGGCGTATGCGAGGAGACCGCCGACGATCTGTTGCATGCCGTCTGGAGGATGATATTAGTTGGTGTCTTATGGGTTTGATATTATATCACTTACTCATCATGTACCAGTAGGTAACGATCTGGGCCTGTTCCTCACGCTTGTACCAGAGAGAAGTCATGATGAGGAAAGCGGGCTGGCAGACAGCCTCGAAGATACCAAGGAGTGTTCGGCAGACGACGAGCGCAGGGAAGCTGAAGCAGGCGGCATGACAGGCAAGTACGGTACTCCATGCGAGAATATTGAATCCGAGGTATTTGGCTACTGGTACTCGTTGGAGAATCCAGTTGGTTGGGTATTCGACGACCAGTACAGCAAGGTAGATACAGGTGGTGAGCCACCCAAACTGTCATGAGTCAGTAAATCATACTAGTGCCCACAGATTTTGCAACTCACAGTCTCTTTGGAAAGAAGGGCGGGAATATCGTCGCGGATGCCCATGATGGAGGTAGCGGACATTGTACCCTTGTCGAGCGACTGTAGGAAGTACGTGATAACCATAATGGGCAATACACGACGGTCAATCATCTTCTTTAACCGAGCGTTCTCCTCTTCCGAGATGAAAACTTCAGAGGCGTTTGCGTATTTGGCGACTTCCTTGTCGATACGGTTGTAGTCGGCATGGTCGCCCTTCTCGTCTCCTCCTTCGGAGAACACGCGCTCGACCTGGCTAATGTCTTGCTTATCATCCGAGTGTCGAACAACCTCAGGTGCGTTGTGCACGCCATCGGCGCTGGCTCTGGTGGCAGCCATCCTGAAAAGAAACTTCCGAGAGCTTGACAGCGGAAGAAAGAATTGAGGTTTGCAAAAGAGAAACCTCAGGACTCGCGAGTGAGCTGGCCAGGATGGAGGAGCGGTCGAGTTGATATTTCTACCCGATTTTAGATTGTTCCGTCCAAGCGTTCCCCGGCCTGAAGCTACCCCAGGCTGGCAGGCTACTCCGCAAATCCTAGGATAAAAGAACCTGCACGTTCAACGTCTAGCCGAGTATTGACCATTGGTGATCATCTCCTTGTTTCCGCACCCCAGTTCGAGGTAGGATTCTGGAAAAGCGTGCTGCAAGCGCGACCCTGTCGGCGCCAACGCTGCATCTTGAGTCGCTAGTCTCTGGGGTTCGCCAACCCCGCCACCATGCCGTCCATACAGATAGTGGAGTGCTTGGGAATGCGGAGTAGGATCAAGCAGTGTGGAGAGTGCCACCACTTGGCGGTGGTCCGTTTGTGGTAAAACATCGGCGTAGATGCTGCCGAAGCGCCCCTCGCGTCACTCGTGAACGCATGTGATGGGTCAAGCTCGCGCGAGTGTCATGCGAAGCTTCGTTGCTGGGCCTAAGGCGGCTGGTGGAAGATTTCGTCCGCCTGCAGCATGTTGGCGGCGGCTGGCTTTCCCAGGCTGAGTCGTGTCAGGCGGCCAAGCTCCTTCACAGCGGTCGCACTTCCCTCCACGGTGTCTTCCGGACCTCCAAGAGGTAAGCGATTGGTGACCTTCACGCCGGTATCATCGGTTTAGTGATCAACGAATCTCGGTGCAATGCAATGCGAGCGCGGCAGAAACCCTAGAGTGGGATGTCAGCAGTAGGCGTCCAAGGTCTCGGTGTTGATGGTTGACACGAGGAAAAGAGCCGCGCCTTCCAGGAACCCATCTGCTGGAGCGACACCACGTGTGCCCAGCGCCCAGTCGGGGTAGAGATGAACGAGTCGGTGCAACAGGGCACGACATCTGGCAGTGACATGCAGCGTCGATGCAATTTACGCGGTTGAGGACCCTGAGCGTTCCCCAGTTTTTGCTCCCCGCTCCGTTCCTGGGTTGAGCTCTACCGACGCGTGTGACCGACGGCCTGTATCTAATACCCACTTGCTAGACTACGCGTGTGATGATATCTGTTCTCTTTGCTGCCTCTTTCCAATTCTTGCGTTACACTCTCCAGTTGCTTGCATTGCTGTAGCCCTCATCTAATTGCGAACATCCGCTGCGAACGCGACGTAACCCATAGAACGCGCCCACGATGTCCACACTCACAGTCCACGGCCTCACAAAAGGCCAAATAGACGAAAAGATCCTCCTCTTAACCCACAACCTGATCAACATCCACGACACAACCGGCGAGTTTCTCCTAAAACTCGACGATGGCCGCGTTATCGACACCAAAGGTTGGGACGGCTGGGAGTGGACACACGGCATCGGTCTCTACGGCCTATGGCACTACTACACTTTGACAGGCAGCACGGCCACAATGGACATCATGAAGGGCTGGTTTGACAAGCAGCTCAGCAAAGGCACAACCAAGAACATCAACACCATGAGCCCCTTCCTCACACTAGCATATCTATACGAAGAGACAGGAAACAAGACATTCGTGCCCTGGTTAGACACATGGGCTGAATGGGTGATGCACGGTCTGCCCCGCACCAAATTCGGCGGCTTCCAACACGAGACTTACAACTCGTTCAACAAGGATGAACTCTGGGACGACACGCTCATGATGAGCGCACTGCCCCTCGCAAAGATTGGTCTTGTACTCAACCGACCGGAATACGTAGAGGAGGCAAAGCGCCAATTCATCCTCCATTGCCAGTACCTCTGCGACACATCCACAGGCCTGTTCTTCCACGGCTGGAAGTGGGAGGACAAGGGCGGATTGGAAGTCGGACACAACTTTGCGCGAGCACGGTGGGCGCGTGGAAACTCGTGGTTGACGATTGCGATTCCGGATTTCATCGAACTGCTCGATCTCAAGGAGACGGATCCGCTGCGCCAGTTCCTCATTGGTATCCTCGAGTCGCAGTGTCAGGCGCTGTTGAAACTACAGGGCGAGAACGGCATGTGGCGCACTCTCCTCGATATCCCGGTGTCAGAGGGTAGCTACGAGGAGGCGTCTGCTACGGCGGGCTTCGCATATGGTATGCTCAAGGCGTGTCGGAAGCGGTATATTAGCGGGGATGTGTATCTGCAGAGCGCGGTCAAGGCGATCAAGGCTGTGATGGGTAAGATTAGTGCGGAGGGAGAGCTGACAGAGACGAGCTTTGGAACGGGTATGGGGCATGACTTGCAGCATTATAAGGATATCAAGATTACGAGTATGCCGTATGGGCAGGCCATGGCTATTATGGCGCTGGGGGAGTTTATGAGGACGTTTATCTGAGGGGGGATGTGTGGATAGAGGTAGTAGATGATGAATGAATGGATGAATACCTAGGTATTAGTACTCTTACACAAATGATAACTCTGAAAGGGGAAGATCGTCACAAGTAGGTCGGTAAAACCCGGCAGTTCTGGACATGTTCTCTTTTGAAACTCATGACCGGTGTTGATTCCGTCCCCACACGTTCGAGGGGGACCACCCCGTGCTAGCGTGATAGCTACGCGATTGGGGAAGTTGGCTTGGCATGCGCGTCCCTGTTACATCATCGCTCCGCGTCGAGCCAAAGGGCTGCCGTGCCACAACCATGCATCTTCACAGCTGGTCATTGTCCACAACCTCTGTCTTTATCGCACTGCAAGTGTCTTTGTTCCTATACACATTTCGAATCAAAGTATGTCCCGACGCTCGCCCTATCCCTCTCAATTCACTCCAGACACCGAGATGCTTGGATTCCCCTTGCTCACAAGTAGTTGAGATTGAGGACTTTTGCCGGAGGAACCGTGTTCGAGGTTAGCCAATTGTCGAATTTGATAATGGCTAGCGCGGAACTATATACCCAGATTGCTTGGTCACCGAATTTGGATCCCGTGAAGGAAGCAGCCGCCTTTCGCGAGCACAGCTCCCACTGATGGCTGGCTATACCATGACCATCCACAAAACCCAGGTATTTCACGGAGAGTTCTGAACTTCCACATGCGTTCTAACACGTCTTCAAGGGTATTTCACTTGATCGCGTCAAGGTGAATTTGGAAAGGGCCTTTGAAGAGGCAATGGTATATCTGGCTCGTAGGTGATCCCTGGAAAGGCATTCCAGCTCGCAGCATATCGCTAATGTTTCCGAACAGTCAGCCGAGCGAGGACGCTCGAACATCTTGAAGTCGTCGCACTTCCTGAGAAGAGTTTGAACAAGCTGGATGCACAGGTCAAGCAGTTTTACGAAAGGATCACGAGCGCCTAGATACTAGGAATGTTGGTCCTGACATCGACACCCGCATGTAATCGATGGTTGTTGTTGGATACCCTACTGTCTTCGGCGTTTGGGGGATGGTATCTTGGAGTTTGCTCTTCTGACACGCTGGCATGCATGTTTCATTACATTACATCCGACCCAGGTAGAGATAGCGACATTATTGCCATTACTATCGTGTACGTGTCTTGTACAACAACTTGCATCATCGCCTCTCTTCCCCATCCACATCTCCAACCCTATCTAACCTCTCATTCTTCTTCGCACTCCCCTCCAACCCCGCCAAAATCGCCTTATCCTCCCCCGGTATCCGCATCTCAAATGTCTCCCTGACAACCGCATACTCATAATACCCACACCTAGCAATCGGCTCCGTCTTCCTCACATCGATCTTGCCGTCCGTCAAAACCCGCTCATCGATATGCACACCAACCACCTTCCCAATCACCACATCCGCCGACCCCATGGGCGGATTACCAGGAAGACGTAGTGTGGTATAATACTCGCACTCAAACTTGACCGGACTCCTCTTCACCATCGGCACCATCATCTCCCTCCTCCCCTCCTTCCCCTCTGCATTCCCATCCCCACCAACAACAACAACCCCACTCATCCGACTATCTTCCTTCTCCACGCCCGCCATCTCAAACTCATCAACCCCATATTCTTCCTGTACCGCACTCCTATTCACCTCTTCCCTCAGTTCATACGTTGCTAGATTCCAGACAAATTTCCCCGTAGCTTCGACGTTGCGGACGGTGTCTTTTTGGCTGTTCGATGGTGTTTGGTTTGCGCTGAACATGACGTAGGGTGGGTCGAAGGTCAGGTTGTTGAATTGCGAGTAGGGGGCTAAGTTTGCGGCGCCTGTGGGGGAGAGGGTGGATATCCAGCCTATGGGGCGGGGAAGGACGCATGCCTGTGGTAGTGGGTATTAGGTGGTGAGTAAACAGGTATTAGGCAGGATTGTCTTGGTGGATGGGTCGTGTTATTTGTTTTTACTGGAATTTTTGCAGTGGCGTATAAATAGACTTACTTTGAATGGGTCATATGGTAGTCCATGGTCTTCTTTTCCGGGTTGATAGAACATTGCGCGTTGGCTGATGTCTATGATCGACGAGCTATGTTCGCGACGAGCTACTCGTTCAACGTGCCTAAGTATCTTCTCTCAAACGATAATTAACCCAGATGCTTTGGATCACGAAGTACTCGTCCAGCAATCTTTATATCCTTGCCCGATGCCGAATCAGTCATGCGGGTCATTACCCGTCTGCCGCCAACGGGTAGACTGCGGGGAACCATCATCGCCTCCAAAGCGGCAAACCTAGGCGGCATGGACCCTGAGGCTCACCCCACTACCGCCGACGCCACTACTGATTGCAGTATAGTTTTCCTTCAACAGAAATTGCCACTTCGAGACGTGATCTGTAGTACATTGAGCATGTACTAATACATATTCTCTTGAGAAGCTGCATAGCTCGATCATCGCAGCATCACCAACACCACAACCCAAAATGCCGTCAGAAACCATCATAATAACAGGCGCATCCTCCGGTCTCGGTCTCGCATTCATCCATTACTACGCCTCCCTTCCAACACCGCCAAGCATAATAGCTATAGACAACCAACCATTCCCATCTCAAATCGCGGAACAACATGGACCCACTATCCATTTCTACCAACTCGACATAACCTCTGCCCAAAAAGTCCAAGATCTCGCCTCCACCCTGGAATCTGCCTCTGTAACTCTCTTCCTCCACTGCGCCGGCATCAGAGGTCTCGTCCCAAAAATCGTCGCCCAACAGAAACAGGGCAGCAAAGACGTTGCAGCGACCGAAACACTAGAAGCAATGGACCGTGCAACGATGATGCGGACCTTTGAGATCAACACTTGGGGTGCCTTCAACGTTATAAGAGCATTCCTGTCGAACCTCCAAATGTCCGCGGCCCAATCCACATCAAAACCTAAAGTCGTCATTCTATCCTCCCGTATGGGCTCTATATCTGCCAACACCGCAGGCGGCGGATACGCGTACCGAGCCAGCAAAGCGGCGCTGAACGCTGTGGTAAAAAGTCTTGTTATCGATGTACCTGATGTGCAGTTTTTGATGCTGCATCCCGGAAGAGTAGAGACGGGCTTAGTTGAGTGGAAAGAGGAAGGGGCGATTGGGGTAGAGGAGAGTGTGGGAGATTGTATGAGGGTTTTGGATAAGATGGATGAGGAGGGGTGGGAGAGTGGGAGGTTGGTGGATCGGTTTGGAGTGACCATTCCTTGGTAGGACGGCGGTGGTATGAGGGAAGGGTCAGATAACACGAGAACAGAGGGAAGGGGAACAATGTACTTGCACGTGTACGTTGGCGCCTTTATATCACTATGTCTTGGAATGAAATCGCCGAATCTGTCCTCTCTCGCCTTTGCTCATCTATCCGTACATTTTCTCCCGCCTCAGATGCCCTGCCATAACGCCAGAGTATGCATGAATGATTTCGAATATCTTTTGTGCGCGCCACGAGCTAACAGATCAGGCCACGACCGAAGCAGTGACGATGGTGTAGTTAGTAATACCTTCCATCGATGTGCCTGTAGGCTTCGTAGATGTCGTTGGAGGAGTCTGTACGGTGGTGTAGTTGGTGACGCCTCATATCTTAGTACCTCTAGGCTTGGTAGATGCCGCTGATGGATCATAACCACTGTAGTTGTTGCCGCCAGTCCTTGTGCCCACGACCTTGGTAGATGTCGTCGATGATGCATCCAAAGTGGGAGCTACTTCTGAAGCCGTCAACAAAAGACGCTTGTTGCGAAAGGGGGTGAGAGTCGTGGAGGATGCTGAAGGATTATATGGACCCTCGTTCTTACCGCCAGTCAAAGTGGCAGGCAGCGTCATGACTTTCGTTGAAGTAATGACCGTGGTTCCGGTGACTACCGTAGGAGCTGCTACTGCGGCCACCTCCGAGACACGCTGGCCATAGAGGATCTCGAAAGTTGTTGGGGCTGTGGCGGACACAGTCGGATCGTACGGGACGTAGCTAAATCCGTGAGTCAAGGTCGCTGGCAAAGTTATAATCTTCGTCGTGGTGATGATGGTAATCGTGACAACTGGAAGGAGAGATTGCTCTGCAACCATCGCTGAGAAGCGCTCGTCTTGGGATAAAGTCATTGACATTCGGGGCAGAGAAGGTGGAAGGCTGTTGTCCTGGTAGCCAGCGCCGTCGCCGTTCTGGTAAACTCTCACCGAGTTGATGAGATAATACACTTCGTTGAACTTGCCAGGGTTCGTCGCAACAAAGTGATTGCAAGAGTCGTCGTGAGTCTTCGCTGCACAACCCGCGTGGTCGGACCACGCGTTCCCTCCAGCCATTGAGCCGCAAAAGGTAATGTTGATGATCTGTCCCATGTTAGTAGGCATTCAAATGCACGAGATTGAGTGTACGTGCGATCTTTATCTTCTTGAACGTATTGCGAATGTCGCAACCATCCCCAACGAAGTTCATTAAAGGCATGCCCCATGTGCTTGGGTCTGGATTGGCGCTATCCCAACCCGATGGCTCGCGACCCCTAGCAAAGAACCATGCCTTGATGCTATCGTCTTCGACTTGGGTTGCCCAGATGCCACCTCGATTGTCGTTGAAGACTTGACCGAAAGAGCCCTTAGGACCATTGACACCACAGTCACGATGTTCCATACATTCGAGATCCGGGCGCGTCTCACCTGATCCGCCATTGTCTCGCATCTTGCATGGCGTGTGACCGGTATGGAGGCTGAGCGAATTTTGCGAGTTCATGGAGACACCCTCGATGATGTCGAACTCAGAGTACCACTCCTCTTGATGACCTGCATCGTGTAGAAGCCAGCTGCAAATCATTAGCTAGTGTACATGTCTGACGCGCCATCCAGACGATGGTGAGTACAAATGGAGGTGCTGGACTTGACATTGACTCGAAATTCCGAGAAAATGAGGTGTAAACAGGAAGTAAGACTCACAAAGCAGGCCACATGCCGCAGCCGGTGGGTAGATGCTCAAAGTCGGCAATGAAGAGTCCGTCGTTAAACGTCTGTACTCCTTCTAGTCGGACGCTCTTGCGGCCATAGCCTTCACCGGGATCTTGCAGAAGGAGTACTTGAGTTGTATCGACTCCGAGATGTACCTTGCCGTCGTCGATGCGTGCAAGTCCAAGTGAAGTTGCTTCTTCCTTGGAGACGTAAAGAGCCATGCCTTGAGTGAACTTGTCCCAACCGTTGTAGAAATGGAAGGAGCCATCGTCGAAGAAGTTGCTCGCGTTGTATTCCGCCTTGAGCTCGTAGCATGTAGTGAGGCAGACCACTGAGGCAGCGACGAGGAGGGTGCGTAAGATAGCCATGGCTAGATACTTGACTGTAAAGCTAGAGGAAGGTAAGAAGTGGAGGTAGAGAGTAATGAGGAAACTTGATGCAGAAAGGTTTGAATCATATAGTGGGTGCCCGTGCCCATGCCGTCTCGTTTGTAGTGAGAGAAGGAAGTGGGAAAGAGCGACCGGCAATCACACAGCGGTGAGTAAAGTGAGAGAAACCGTGTTGAAGTAGATAGTCTGTGTCTATTACATTGCAGCATGAAGCAGAGATAATACATGGTGCTTGAATACTAAAGGAGCTCACATAATGCGGCTCTTAGTCTGTGACGGGTATAAAGGTATACGTGAGGTGAGAGAAGATGGTATCCCATCACGGAGTCAGAGACAGCATCTAACGCTCCTGACGGTACTGACTGGCTCTAACAGAGGGCGTATATGACTGTTAGATGTCACTGCATGAATGCTCGAGCTGAGCAGCCAAGAACGCCACCAACTATAGGCTGTCTCTGAGTCAACGCGGTGCGAATAGCAAAGAAGCAAGCGCACGATACAGATGCGCACTGAACGGGGAGTGTGACCTGCAGCTACTGGCGAAACGGCAGAGCATACCAGCATCATGCTTCGTAACCCACCGTCTTCTCTACGTCGCCCTCACGAACATCAGTCAAGGTGCCCTGGTCTTCCTCTCTTGACCTCGCGCCTGATATCTTGCTAGCAGTCTCTAGTCCTCTTTCAACATCCTGCACTAACCCGTCCAACGCGTCGAAGATGTCACCTTGCTGTTCCCTTGCCTCCGTCAGCCTGTCCTGCCCAACTTCGCCCTTGCCTTTGCCCTTGCTCTTCCTCGGTATGTCGATGCCTTGTATGCGCAGCATGTACCCTTGATCCGGCGAGTCCTCATCAAACGAGGGAGCTATCCGTACGTCCGTATCGGTGATTTGCCACTCCGACGAAAGCGACTGCGCATCTACGACTGTGCGCCCATCTGCGCCGACATCGATTATGAGGTAGTGCTCCTTGACACCGGGGATAGGCGGGGGTAGTGGTGACTCGACTGGTGAGTCTTGCTCGTCTCCTTCTTCGCTTCCCTGGTTGCGCCGTCTTTCCCCGCCACCAGGCGCGTCATGTGGAAGGTACTTTGTATCATCCAGCCCTAGGCCTCGCATCGACGCAGCGGTTATGATGGTCGGGTCGTCGTCGGCAAAGACATAGTGTGTATACGGGTGGTAGTGCTCGCCCGACGTCGTGTCTTCGATCAGGGTGAAGAAAGGTCGGAAGTTCGGCGGCGGTAGCAGCGGTTGCTCGTCATTAGGCTCGGGATACGGTATGTCGTCCTCATCCTCGTCGCATGGCGCATCGCCAGGCTGCTGTTGCTCGTGAAGCTCGTCGTCGGGAGGGTCCGAGGCGCGTTCTATTGACGTTGATCGTGGGGAAATCGATGCGCGACGGTCTGAACGGTACTCTGTGGTGTTAGGGTTGCTAGACATGTTGTGGGAGTTGATGGAAGACTGGAGTTAACGGAGTTCGGGAGCTCTAGTAAGGTGCATGATCGATAAGGGACGTGGTCCATGCACACTACCTCGTCAACCGCAAGGCAGCAAGTCGGATACGGAATGCGGTGAATGTTCCCTTAGCTCAAAGGCTAAAGTATGTAATGCAGTTCTTAGGGTATCATCCAAATCCAAACGCCGATAGTAACATCCTTGTGCAAGCCGGGGTATTGCGGATGTGAAGCGCCATTTCCCCAGCTTCAATCATATACCCGCAGATCGAGGTGACGACAAGCTTCTCAACGAGTTTCCGTAATCGATCATATGATTCAAAGGCTATAGCGGGCTTGTATCGGGTTCTTGGGTCGGTGCCGGGGTTTCGGTCGCTGTCGGCGCGTCTTGACTCTTCGACTTGAAAGCTGGAGGTACAAGTCAGTGAACGATCCGGTAGGTTGCTTACGTACATACGTTGGCGGCACATGGGGCACTTCTCTAGAGAGCTCTCTTGCTTCAACCAAGAGAAGATGCAGTGCTGAGACGTGTTAGTCCTTTGTCGCCCTGTGTGACTTCATGGATATGGAGGCGTACCATGTGAAAAGAGTGGTTGCACTCTCCCAGTACTATCTCACGTCAGTCTAGATCCAGCCCCGTCACCATCAGACATACATAGTGGACACTCATCGCCAGGAAACTTGCACTTGGAGCAAGTGCTATCGTAAGGGTTACGACAAATACCGCAGACATCGTCGTCTGGCATGTCCCAACGCCAGGCAGCGACGGCGTTCCACTCGCGTATAGTTACTTTCATCGTGTCTCTCGTCGCTTGAAGGTAGAATTCGAGGTTGGCGCGTAGATTGAATGGAAAACAAGATCAACAGCACCAAAACATGCCGAGGCGGCAGATTAACGGCGGTGAGGGGCGGCGATTGCGCGTTAATTCCGCCGGGGTCTGAGCTCAAGCTGGAGCTCCACGCTGCAGAGCGACAATCACGCATCACGAACACATAATCACGCAATTACTGTTATACAGACATGTCATGCTAAGGTACATGTATCATTACTATCGGAGAGGGTATATGCCACCGATTCCTGTCAGCAGTCAATACAGGGAGCAAGCAGATCGGACCCTCTTCAGGTTTGCTGCCGTTCCCCGCACTAACTGGAGCTCGATGCGGACCCTCTACTCTGCACGAGGATTGTAGATTAAAGAAGCTTCACCTCGCCGTCTAGCTCCACATATCTTCGTTCCATTTCTCTTCCTCGCCGACCATAAAATACACTCTCAATCCACCGTAGCCATCGCAAAATTTCAAGATGTTCGTCTCACGCTTCCGCTGCTCTTTACGTCCGCTCGCTTCTACCCCCTCCATTCGCTTCCCCATAGCTGTAAGCCTCAGACGGAAGATGTCTTCACAACCTGCTTTCTCCTCTTATCTTGTCACACCATCTGAGCTCAACTCGGCTTTGAAGCACAATGCCAGCAAGCTTTCTACAGAGCCCCGCATCGTGCCACTTTGCGCTTCTTGGTTCCTGCCCAACGACGGTCGCAATGGATACGATACCTTTCTTGCACAGCGTATCCCGCGCGCACGCTTCTTCGATCTCGATGCCGTCGAAGACATTCATTCGCCGTACCCGCACATGCTTCCCTCCGCCGAAGATTTCGCAATCGCCATGAGACATCTCGGGATAAGGCGGGAGGACAGCGTAGTCGTCTACGATACAAAGGAACTGGGTATCTTCTCTGCGCCGAGAGTAGGCTGGACGTTGCAGGTCTTCGGGCATCCCAAGGTGCATGTCTTGAACAACTTCCGCAAGTGGGTTGAGGAGGGACTTCCAACGGAGAGTGGAGAGCTAAAGGACGTCGAGCCGACTGAGTATCCGGTGCCGAAGTTGGAAGAGAAGAGAGTCGTCGCTTTTGAAGAGGTGAAAGACATTGCGAAGGAATTGGGCAAGGAAGGCGCAGACGAAGTGCAGATACTGGATGCTCGTAGTCTTGGGAGATGGAAGGGCGTTGATCCAGAGCCCAGGGAAGGTATGTACTACCCAACAAGATGCGAGCACGGCAGAGCATCATACTGACTACATCAGGTCTCTCCTCAGGACACATCCCATACTCCACCTCCGTCCCAATCACTGACCTCCTCGATCCGAAGGACAAGACCCTCCTCCCTGCCTCCGAACTCCAAGCCATCTTCAAGTCAAAGGGCGTAGATCCGTCCAAGCCAATCGTAAACAGCTGTGGAACTGGTGTTACGGCAGCAATCATTGACGCAGCACTGTCGGAAGCTGGGTTCCCCACGCAACAAAGACGGTTATATGACGGCAGTTGGACCGAGTGGGCGCAGCGCGTGAAGCCTGGTGAAGGTCTCATCCGAAAGACTGAGTAGATCGGTGCATGAAGCACCAGCCTGACAGGTAGTATGGTGGGTTTCCTTGTAAAGTTGATACCCCTTTCATGTTTGCGTATGTAGCTTCTGTATTCGAATGTATGATGCAGTTCTTTGTATTGATCACGAGGAGAACGATGTCTATGTGGAATGGTATCGGTACGCAAGGAGCACGCTGCCATGCAGGAGACGCAATTTTTTTTAACACATGCAATGCCATTTCTCTTAATATAGAGATGATGTGCAAACACCGGGAACAAAGGGAGTATACATAGATACCTAGATCGTACAACCGGGGTGTCACCATATCCAAACAGAGGATACAGAAGCTAGCAAAAAGGCGTGGCAAAGGAAAACCACAAATGATACAAGACAGCTCAACATAGGAAGGTCCATTTGATCAGGACTGCGACTATTGAGAAGCTTGTGATGCCTGCGGCGTTTGAGATGGGTATTGTGGCGACTTTTTGTCAAGGTACTTGTCGAAAAACTCCCTGACCTGCGGGTTAGCACCACCAAGATTTTTTGTCGGTAGTGCTACGACTTCCAGACCCTTGAGCGAACGTGCTCTACTAACTGTTCGAGAAGTTAGCCTCTGCTTTGCGGCTATGGGCAAACAGTAAAACTTACGAGCGACGTATAACTGGCTTGCTTCAAAAGCATCTTTGAGATCAACAATGACACGATCGAGCGTCATACCTTGCGACTTGTGCACAGTGATGGCATAGCCAGCGACGAGTGGAATCTGGGCCCGTGACAGCAGACTAAGTTTGCTCTCATCACCGTTCTCGCCAACGTTGCCAAGTTCGTTGCAAGGACAGTCTGCGTAAATCGTCTTCGTTATGCCGTTGTCGAATTGGACAATTGGCCATGGCTGGCGACGGTTCTGGTCGGCGAATTTCTTGATCTGTCCCTGGGCGTAACGAGCATGGGTACCTCTAAGCTCACCACGGTCGTCTTTGCCCTCTGCTGCGCGGGGTAGCTTATTAGGGTCAAATTCTTCAAATCCGACGATTTGGCCTTGGGTGCCGTTCACAAGACCGGCATCGGGTTGAAGGTTCGCCTGCAATACGACGCGCATGTCCTTCTTCAGATGAACGACGGCTTCGTAGCGATGATCTTTCTGTGAGACGCTTAGTGACATTCAGGGATGGATCGATAGGTATGTCTTACCAGTTGATTCAGAGTTCCGTCTTCTTGCCGTACATTGTACTTCTCCAGTGTCTTATCTTCAAAATCATTCCATTTGAAGTCATCCACGCACTGGAAGGTGCGTGCATCTCCAGGAAGTCCCGCAATATTCTGTTTGTTCACTCGGTCAACATCCCAACGTTTAGAAAATATTCGGATGGCGCCCTTCGTCTCTTTCGTGTGTTGCAGTAGTATGTTTCTGTGAGGCTTGACGATTTCGCCATCTAGTGTGCGTTAGTATGCATTTCAGGCAGTGTATGATGTGTAACAGTACCTCTGCGAATCTTCTGCAGAATAGAGATGAACTTCCAGTCGTCTTGCCTGTGAATTTTCTTTAGGTTGATATGTTCAAAGTTGCATTCCTGTTCACATCAGTGGCAGTCCATAGTAGAAGACAGAGATGAACATACCTGCCATGCTTTGCTGCGGAAGGCCCACTTGTCGGTGTCCGGCCAGGACTCGTAGCGACACGCACGGTTTTCACAAGCATGGTGCAGCTCGCCGTCAATCGTTTCGTCTTTAAGCTCCCACCCACAACCCATGCAGTGCATGAAAGGTTTCACAGGGGCAAGTTGGCAAAAATCTCCGGTAACAATAACCTGTACGCCACCAAATGGGCCACTGGCCCTGCCTGCGCGGCTGGCTCTCATAATTTCGCTCAGTCGCTGAAATTGTAGGTTCTCAATCATGCTGATCTCGTCGATGACTAGCACATCGGTGGTGTCGAATTTCTTCCATATCTCCTTGCCGTGGGCGAGTTGCTTCAGTTTGTCCAAAGGCTTCTTCATATGATCAGGCGTCCAGCCAGCAAAATTCCAGGTCGTCTGTCCGCCGACGTTGAGCGCGGCAAGATTCGTTGGCGCAACGATTCGAACTCTTTTCCCTTGCTTTTTGAGCAGTGGTACGAACGCCTTCAAGATAGTGGACTTTCCACATCCGGCAGATCCAGTGTAGAAAACGTTCTTACCGTGATTTACGATGAGATCTACTACTTCCTCTTGTTCCTCGCTCAATCTGATCTCGGGTTCGGGCACATAGTTGTTTGCGGAAACGTCTGTTCTAGAAGAGTTGGCTACATGCGACTGCTGCTCTACAACTTGTCGTGCCCTGGATGCCTCGGAAGGCGGAGTGGGAAGGACAGACGCGTACGATGGAGGAGGCGAGGGTGTCCGCTGAGATTTTCGCGCGTTAAAGGATGATTGAGGATTGGAAGGATTCCGCGCGTTCTGGTCCTTGCGCCGGAGTGCTTCTACGACATAAGGTCTGTTTGCATTCATGTAGTTCCATGCTTCCGCTTCGGTCCGGAACTTCTTCTGCAAACTGCCACTGTAACCTTGAATTTGTTCGAAAACGTCGTCCCAGTTGGTGTAGATACCAGGCTCGCGCCCGCCTGGCACCGCGTAGTATTTGATCTTTCTCTCAGAAGGATTGGGCTGCTGAACTAATAGTCCAGCCTGCCGCAAGTCTTGCGGCAATGCGGGTCGTGTTTCCCCCATCGTCTGATTCCTTGGTACGGCTCTTGTTGCGCACTCTGGACTCGATGGTATTTCGACGGGGTTGTATTGGGTTCCGTGCCGGGACTCACCATAGTTCTGGACATGGCCCTGCATCGCTAAGTGGGATGAAGGGTTCATTGGCGACATAGCCTGTCTTGGTCGGTTTCCATATGCGTCACAATGTTCTCCGTCCGGCTTCCTTTTTCGTGGCCTCTGCGCTGGCATTTCGTATGTCGCAGGTGCAGCCATGGGTGGAATATTCTCCGTGTTCGACATTGGCGTCGGGTAGCTATTGGGGTCGTACGACATGGGATATTGAACAGGCACGTCTATGGAGGAGGCGTAACGCACAGGCGCGTAAGGCGAATACTGTGGTTGAGGTGCTGTGGGGATGGAGCTTGGAGGGCTGCCTTGCATATAAGGGATCGGCACGTAACTGTCTACACAACCGATATGAGTCACTCTGTAATCACTTCGCAATTCGGATTGGGGAGTTGAGGTACGTACTAGGCATGACTTAATTGCAAGCGGGATCAGACGCGTCGTAGTAATAAGAAGGCTCGTATGCGCCATTGTACCAAGTCATGGTACAAAAAGACTTCCTAGTGAAGCTCGCGAAGAACAGGGAACGAATAAGATAACAGTTTTCTTGGTAGCGATGGCCAATGAGTGTAAGTGTGAATGATGCAGCTGGGCTGCGGGGTGCGGCGTGATGATGAAAGCGAATGGTCGCTCTCCCAGCTCAACGCGCCCGCGGGCCCAATCGCGTAGCTTTCGCGTTACCACGGACTAGTTTCGCTCCCGCCCCGAACATGGGGAGTGCTTGCCCACCATGATGCCATGGAACATTCCACATAATATTGTAGCAATATCAGTAGTGCAGATCAAATGCGATCCCGCCATCAATCATAAACGGATACATCTCTATGAACAGCTGATACGATGATTACTTTACACTTCATCCGCAGGTACTAAGATCATTAACGCAGAGCGATCAGCCACTGACGATTTCTGCGATGCATACATACTATTTGATACATACACAAGAGTACTTTCGGATGAGAGATATCGCATTCATCAGACTCTATCGTTAAACAACTTACTCTCCAGCACTCAAAGCCGCCTCCGATACCCCCCGACTACTACTCTGTCCCGTCCTCGACCTCTTACTAACCTTTCCAGCCTTCACCCTTCCATTCCCCAGCCAGCCCTGCTTTGCTGTAATAGGCTGCAAGAACCCATCAATATGCACCCCACCAACCGTCCGCTCTTCATTATCAGAGTCATTAGTCCTAGGGTCGTAGCCATGAACTCGCATGCAATGCTCGATCACACGGTAGGGCAGAGCAAAGTCTTTCTCGTGCCCCCAGCAATCTGCATGCGGGCAGCGCAGTGTGCCGATTTGAAAAAAGGGGCGCTTGGGTGGCGGAGGCTGTGAGATAGAGTGCATGGTCGGGGGCGGTATGGTTGATGGTGTGTATGACACGGGTTCGGGGACAGTCTTTGAGGTGAGGGCTTCGTGGAAGGGCATGAAGGACATGCCCTCGCCGAATAGAGTTGCGCAGCGCTGGGCTGTACGTGCGACAGCTCCTTCGTTCCAGCCTTGTACAGCTGCTAGACCGAGCACTTCACTCCAATCTAAAAGCCCTTCCCTTAGTATGCCTTCGTCCCCTGAACTATCGCTATCACTCATACTGCTTGAGGATCTGCGACGCTTCCGTTCGCGAGGGATTTTATTGGACTTTCCCCAGTCAGATCCTCCGCTTGAGATGTCATCGTCACCGGCAAGCTCTCTCTCATCTATTGCCTTTCTGGCCGCTTTTGTCTTTTGTCGTACTGTGCGATCAACCTCTCTGGACTTTGCGCGCGAAGGTGGTCCAGTGCTAGATCTGCGGCTTGTCACACTCTTCGACCGGGCTCTCGATGTAGACCTTGATCTCGGACCGCTCGACTCTGCACCTGACGTGTATTCGCTCATGGAGGAATCGCCTGGCTCTCCACGACCGAAGTGGTTGACACGCGTTCGGCGGATGGCCAGGGCGAGCTCGTCTAGCTTCCCCATCATGTTCTGGATAGTCGGCTGGAGAAGTTGCTGTGCCCTCGCATCGTCCGCTAATAGAGTCGGCTCTATGAGCGTCTCAGTACGAGGTTTTCTGCCGCGTTTCTTCCCAGTCGCATGATCGCGTTCGGTGTCGTTGCCGTCGTCAACATCGTCTGTCCTGGTTCCAACCTTAGTAAGATTGTTCGGCTTCGCAGTACTGGCGCTTTGTGATCGAGATCTGCTTTGTGAAGCTGATGTGTGGTTTCCCACGTCGGATTCAGACGAGGGCGTTTCGCGTGAGTTCCACCTCTCTTTAGCCAGTCGCAGAAAAACAGCTAGAAGTTCCTCTCTCAGTTCGTCTCCTGCGTCCTCTGTGTTTGCGCTTCCCGTCGTCCCATCGTCCACATTGCCGCCCGACTCTTCGTCTGGAGGGACTGGCCATGCCGTCCACTCCTTGGAAGGCACAACAGCCGTCTGCAAGAGCCCTGCCGCATCCACGTGTTCAAGGTCCTGTCCAGTCTTGAGCCAGTTGTCCCTACTCTGCCAGTTCTTGACCTGCGCCGTGTCTTCCGGGGGCCGTCGTAATCGCCGCTTGAGCGCATGCGCGTTATATAGGTGTACGGAGAGATCTGTCTCTTGCAGCTGATCGAGGGAGTCGGCTATCTGGCGATCCGCTTCGGTGTAGCTCTGCCATGTTTGGGGCGGTCCAAGAAAGCGATTCGGGCGCGCCGGTACCTCATCATCGTCCTCATCATCCTCTGACTCGTCCCTTGCTGACTCGCTATCGGTATCAAGGTCATCGTTCACGTCTAAAGAAATCGGAATTTCGGCAGTTTGTACTTGTTGCGCGTTGCGCGGGTCCGCGATCTCCTCGACTGACGAAGATGAGCGCGCAGAGGGAGATGACGAGGTTGCGGTTTCGTAGGAAGAGGGTGGTGGCGGAGCGCTACCACCAAATAACGACATCTTCGTTACAGTAAATGTCGAAGCGGGCTTGCGGTTGTCTTGGCGTCAACATCTGGGGTTGTGATATACCAGTCGTGGGAGTTCAAGAGGCGCCGTGAAATTTTGGTGGGGTTCTCGAAAATGACGCGCCATCACGTTGCCGCTACCATCATCCCTGGTTCACAATCTGCGACCCATCTGGGCAGCATCATACCGCCACCTCTCATCTGACGCCATCTTGCCAGTCCCCCATTGGTTTCTGGGGTTTTCATCTACACGTTGAAATTGCTTCAGGCGACCGTCGCTGCGATGACGCACGTGTCATCTCAGCGTCTGCATCTCTTCACTTACATGATCGCATACGAAGACGAAAAGCAGCATCTAGACATACGTGGATAACTACAGAAACCGATCTCGAAGCGATCTTCATCTTACACGGCGTCTCGGTAGCTTGGCTCTATCTTCGCACTGTAATGTCCCGGCGGATTACACCCACCCACGTGCCGCCGTTGGATGGCAGCTGCGCGTCAGCAAGGCTACGGCTTTTGTTCCTCTCTTTTGCCGTAGCCTCCAACGACACATCAACATACTAAGTCTCCTTTTCACAGCCACCATCAGGTTGACCACGCGTTATGTGCGTCGCAAAGTGACATTCGAGATGCTAGCACGGCTAGTTCCGCAGGACGGGCAGTCGGCATACGTTAAGCTTTGCCTATACGTATCAGAACGAGGCTGTCCTCCATGGCAAATCATCATCAGTAGGTGCTGTCCAGGAGATTCATCAATGCGCTATCTCGGATCTCTGCGGAGGTTTCATCACGACACAGTTGCCTTGGCAGAACGTCAATTGCGCGCGAAACATCGAGAACGAACTCTCCCACGGACATAGTGTGGGCAGAAGAGGTACCGACTTCCGGATAGCTGTACGAAGGTCGAAGTTTACATCTCTCCTGTTCCGTACCCATCGTCGATGCTCCAAGAACTTCAGGGAGAACCTGGTTAGAGCCGAGAGCCTCAACAGCTCACGAACACGTCCTTAGCGCGGACGAACGCTCCGAAAACGGCGCTTTGAGCGTGGTCAGCGTCAGCATTAACATCAGTATCTCCACCAGCAGTGAGCTAGCGGCGAAATTTATCATGCCGTCGACTCTGATCCGGGGAAGTGGTGCAGAACCAGCACCACATAGTGATCAGCGGCCAGTCAAAACGCCCAAGCTGACGCATCAGTACTAAGAACATTACCGCAACCATGGACCTTACACAGGCTTTCGGGTAACGCCATGCAGCCGCTGAACGCCTCGTTCCTTTCAACGTAAAGTTCACGTGAGTATGGAACCAATTGACAACCGGTAGGCTATACAAGATTCTGGCACTCGTCTGTTGTGCCTCGAATTAGGGTAGCTATGGCGCTCATCAGCACTACAGCATACGCTAGACCACTCCCCTGTTGCTGGGCTCTTGATCCCCCCCTTACTGTACAAAGCTAGTAGCGATGCTTGTCGTCGATTCTTCCGAACGTGCGGTCTTACTTTTGATTACACCTCAAGTCACACAATAGGACCGATCCAGAGAGCCACCGCACATACATGCTTGTGGCCATATAAATACAACAAGTGTGGTGTGCCAGACGATCACCAACCTCAGTCGCTCTTTCAGCTTTCATATTCTCTTGCAAGACTAATTCAACCATGCGTTCCTTCGTTTCAATCACCGCCGCGGCGGTGGTCGCCCTTCCTTTCGCCCTCGCAGCGCCCAGGGCTTCCAAGATGGATGCCAGGTACTACAGCCCGGAGCAGGTCATTGACACTGATGTTGTGATTATCGGAGGTGGAGGTATGGGTGCCTACTCAGCCATCCAGCTCCAGGATATGGGAAAGAGGGTTGTAGTTGTTGAGAGCAAACACCGCCTTGGAGGCCACACCGAAACTTACATGGACCTTGAGACTGGCTTTCCCATCGACATGGGAGTGAAGCTGTACCATGACGAACCTCTAGTACACCAGTGGTTCGCACGCTTCAACCTTTCTCTCACTCCTTTCAGTCCGGTTCCTCCCATGCCACCCCAGAACGTTGACTTCAGGACTGGTCAGGTGCTACAGGGCCTCCCTCCTGCCAACCAAACTGCCATGGCCGTGGCTCTGCAAAAGTACGCCGCCGTTCTCGCACAGTACCCTGAACTTGAAGGTGGCTTCTACCTCCCCGACCCTGTCCCCGAGGACTTGTACATGCCTTTCGGCCAGTTTGTTCAAAAGTACGACATCGCCGATGCAGTACAAACCATCTTCGGCCTCACCTCCGCCTTCGGTGATATCCTCGAGGTTCCTGCCCTCCAGCAGATGCGCACGTTCTCCCTCGGTCTCCTGAAGACTATGCAGAACTTCCAGACCAGCTCGGTGATGAACAACAGCATCCTCTTCGAGGCGATCACTGCCGAGCTGCTTGCTACCAAGTCTTTACTCCTGTCCTCCAAGGTCCGAAAGACGGCGCGCATCAGCAAGATCGACGGCGGCGTCAAGGTCCTCGTTGATACCCCTAAGGGCCAGCGTCTCATCCAAGCCAAGAAGATCCTCATGGCCATTCCTCCCACGCCCGAGAACCTCACCCCCTTCGACCCCAGCGGCGATGAGCTCAAGATCTTCAGCCAATTCACCTCCGTCGGCTACTACACCTCCATCATCCGCAACGCAGGCCCCACCAACGTCACCATGCAGAACCTTGCGCTCGACAAGCCCTACGCGCTCCCACCCATGCCCGCCATCTACAACGTAAACCCCACTGCCAACCCCACCCTCAGCCTCGTCTACTACGGCACAAAGGTCGGCCAGTACCTCAGCGACGAGGAGGCCCAGGCTGCCATCCTCGCCGACCTCAATCGCTACCGTGCTGCGAACAACATTACCGGCCCCGCCCCCGAGTTTGTCGCTTTCAGCAACCACAGCCCTTACAACATGATGGTTGGTGGCGAGGCTACCAAGAATGGTTTCTACAAGGAGTTGTACGGTCTTCAGGCTAAGCGCAACACCTTCTGGACTGGTGCTGCGTGGAGGGCGCATGATAGCTCCAGCAGCTGGGCTTACACTAGCCGCAGTGTGCTGCCCGCGCTTGTAGCCAGCCTCCAGTAAGCTGTTCCAGGTTGTGGTGGCGAATCATTCGGTCCGATGGGCTATAACTAAGAGGTTGTCTGCCTCGCACGGTCAATGGCGACGTTTCCTTAGACATGCTGTTTTACGATATCTTCAATGCTTGTATTAGTAGATGATAATAATCAAACGTCATTGTCCGCAATATTTGACCATTTTGCTACGATTCATGAGCTACGGACACAGAACATAGCTAACGTCCAGTATTCATTTATTGGCTTGTGAAGTGTCATGTTTGTGTCTCTGATACTCGCCTATCGTGAGTGGTTTGAAGAACTGACTAGCCGACCGTGGTTCGCTACAAAGATACAGAAATCTCAACGACATCATATCTCAAATATACGCTGCTGCTGAGCTCTACAAACATAAACTGTCATGCACTCCACGCTCGTACCCTCACATCCAAGTATAGAGACAACTCTTCCCTATAATATCTCACCATTACAAATCCTAGGTCTTTCTAGAATGTCGCAAGCACTATATCCCACCAGATCTGGATATCTATCCCAACTACCATCCTCAAAGCGTACCCGACTCGAAGGTACACATACTCTTTCCACGCCCGTCCGCTTCCTCATACTCTCAGACACGCATGGCGCCGAGCTACCGGAGAAGCTCCCGCCATGCGATGTGCTCCTACACTGTGGCGATCTGACAGAATATGGCGACCCAGCAAGCATCTCTGCGGCCCTCCAGACATTGGGCAAAGTCGAAGCCAAGCTTAAGCTTGTTATCGCTGGTAACCACGACATCTCGCTCGACGAATCATACTGGCTCTCCCAGGGCGGGACTGAAGCCGATGCAGAACGGGCAGATGCGATGGTCAGCTCAGAGACAGGCTCCGAAGCAAGCAAGAACGACATCACCTTCTTGAGGGAAGGTACACATGCCTTCACACTAGCATGTGGCGCTACATTCAAGATCTACGCCTCACCATACACGCCCCTCTACGGCGTATCCGCATTCCAATACCCTTCAAATGAAGATCGCTTCAGTTCCTCAGGCACTCCACCGTGGGCGAAGAACGTCGGTAGCGAGACTTCAACCATCCCCAACAACGCCGACATCGTCATGACCCACGGCCCACCAAAATACATCCTAGACACGACCTCTGACGGTCAAAGTGCAGGTTGCGAACACCTACGCCGCGCCATCGCAAGGGCGCAACCAAGACTACACTGCTTTGGCCACATTCACACTCCGCGTCGCGGGTTCTACGAAGCACACGTGCTGGACTTTAGAGGTGAAGCGGAGCTAGATAGCAACACCGACATTGAATCAATATCCAAGATATGGATAGGAGAAAACTCAGCGCACCGCAAGGGATTCAGAAGCCTGCCTCCAGGCTCTGCTCAAGACTTTCGAGGGAACAAACAGCAGACGCTGTGCGTCAACGCGGCTATGGAGGGCACTGAGCCAGGCGTTCTGGAACACCCACCCTGGCTCGTTGATTTAGATTTGCCCGCGCGAAGAGACATGGGAATGGGAGATGCCGTCGGTGAGAATCTGCATCTCACGTAAGCGCATGCGAAAAAGGGAATCGCGTCTTGGGTTCGGTGATGAGGTAGCGGCGCTGTGGCTCGGCGGCCGTGGGTCCCGGTAAGGCGGGCAGCTGCCGTAATCTGCATCTCGCGGTCGGTGGTTGGGAACTCCGAGTAGGGGCCTTGCGACAGCATCGCGCATAGAGTTTTGCAGCTTATTGGCGCAGCGCGATGGTATCAAGTATTGGGTAGGACGCCGTGGACGCCGTATAGGAAGATGAAATGTACAAATGTAGAAGTCTCCCTGCCTGTGCCTTTGGCTTCAGGACAGTCATCTACAGCGCAACAACACTTTCCAGCGAACTCGTAACAAAGTTAGCTCCATCTCCATATTATCAATACATCAACATGACAGTCTCATCATCCCTCACCATCTATCGCCCCGGTCCATCAAACGCCCTATCAACACGCTCGTTTTCCAGCTCACTCATCTCCTCCCACCTCTTCACCCAACAAACCGGCACAGCGATCCTAACCGAACTCGCCTACCGCATCCTCATCGACATCATAAACCGGTTCCTGCACTCCTTCCAGCGCCTCGCCTCCCATGGACTTGACTCGGCCTCGTCTTGGATGGAGCGGAAATTACAGGAACGTCGGGATCGGCTGGACACGTCCGGTACCCGGGGGGAGAATCTGAAGATTGTAGAAGAGGTGGGCAAGTTAGTGGAAGAGAGGGGCTTTGTTACTTGTCCGATGACGGGGAGGGAGATGAGTAGAGAGGAGGGGATGAAGGGGCCGCCGAAGTGGGTGAGGGGGGTTTTGGACGGGATTGATGAGGGGAGGATGAGGGAGAGGGATTTTTGGATTCATACGCATGGGGATTGAGGGTCGGGTGTTGATCTACCCGGATTGGTTCAAGAAAGTATCTGAGCTGTCCCGCGACGCTGCTGGTTCGACGACATACTGCTGGAGCTGAGTCGCTGAGACGAAGCGCACCTCGACCACCAAGGTCTACTCCGGATTATATGCCGTCGCGCATTGCTACGTTCGGCTGTGTCGGTAGTTGCATGCTAATCTGCGCTCATTAGGACAGCGACCGCAGGTCTCAACGCCGCTCCGACACGGTCGCGACGCCCGGAGATGGAGGTGCAGCTGGATCCTAGGTCCCAAGGCGAGATACCAGAACATGAGAGCAACGATACAGATCTTCGCATAGCTCTACAGCAGCGCCCTGAATTATTCAGACTGCGTCCAGCGACTTCCAGTTGTCTGCCAGCGGCAAGAAGATACAGCTTCTGGTACAGTGGCAACTCAGGCCACGAAGTTGTGTGTCTCCGTTCCCGAAATATTCGCCGTCTATGGCGCCCTGCTTTTCCCGCAATATCCACATATACCAATATCATACATGTCTCAATCAAGTTCCCTGCTTCGTCAACTCCTTCATCATCTGCGTGTCTTCCTGCCGCGCAGGCCTAATGGTGTCTGGCCGGTGCCTCGTCTTATGCACTCGCCCTCCGTCTATTGAATCGATTTTCCTATCACTATTGCTGCTTATGTCGTACGTGGGACGGTAATGGGCGCCGAGCTTGCATGGCGCACGAAACAGCTTCGAATGTACGCTCTCGGTCAGCGCAAGTGGGCAGCAGCTACGCGCTGGCTGGCGGCGATCGTGAGCGATGGAATGGGGTTCAGCTCAGCGATGTATATTGATGCTCGCGATTTTTTCGACTGATTGTGGCGCCCACTTCTGTCGCTGCTCACTTTCGTAGACACGGCGTGGATCGCGGGTGCGTACTGGTGTCGTCCGCTGTAGGTAGGTACCTCCGTCGCTGAGGTCTTTGATCGCCATGCTGGAATTTGGGTATAGCGGCCTTGATCTTGCGCACCTTCACAGTGCTCTCGTTGCCGCCACGATCATGGGCGGCCAGCGTGGCTTTGCTGCTGTCAGCGGACTCGCCTCTAGAGCGCGAGGAGCTTGCAGCGATGGGCACGACAACTTCGATGAGCCTCGAAAACGCTCATCTCAGGCCCGTCAAGAGAAAGACAGTGGTCTTTCGCTGCTCAATTGCGACACGTTCTTGTGATAAAGGTCCGTACATCGAGTGAGTTTGCGCGATCCTGGTATCAAAGACCTTGCAGACCAGACATTGAGTTCATCCACGTTCAACATAGACATCATCGCAAAGCTACACCAAGTAGAACGTTCTTTTGCTGTTGTGAACTGAAACCGTGTTTTTCCCGATCATGAAGATTCTTTGGCACACCGCTTTCAAGGCACATGTGTGCCCAGCTCCTCAGAGCAAGTTCAACAGCTTTGCGGAACTTTTCCTATGGCGCCTATGGCTCGCAAGCTACGGCTGAAAGGATTCAAGAAGCATTTTACAGGCGTACGTCGACCTAGAAAGAAACCGAACACCCTGGAGCCTACATCGATGTTAGGTCACCCACTTCGCATGTTTTCATCTTGATGTAGGCTCCAGGCTTTTCGGTGTTTTTCCTGTATGAAGTGGGCGAATATCGCAGCTGTGGCTGTTAAGAGCTCGTCCGATACCTGGAGGGTCGTTATATCAGTGGGCCAACCTCGATACGCCTTGCGAATTGAGCACGCATTCTTCCAATTCTGCCGTATGAACAGCGCATGAACACATTTCAATCTTCAATTCTAATGTTCTCGCGTATCTCCACGTTCGTTTCGCCTGTCAATCCTTGCACACTATCGCACTGCCGGTCAAGCTTACCCTCACTGGCTTCATACAATCCAGAACGCCCATCACATGCTAATCGCTGCCTAGTCTGGCCACTTTCTCACTCTCAGTCACTTCCAAAGTCAGTGAGGCCGCTCGGGCCACTTTACCTCGCGTAGTATGACTTGGTGGTTGTTCACCTTCACCTGGCCAACGCCCGCGCAGCCTTCCACCGCCGACGAAGTCCTTCTATACCTGCCTTCACCTGGTGTTTCCGACCTTCCTGTCGCCGGAAGAACACCGGCCGGAGTAATAGCGCCGGTTCCTAGCGCCTGTATGGGCGCAGGCCCTTGGCGGGCATATATAAACCCCATTTCCCCCCTCCCACCTACACTCTTTTACCACAAACCCCACTATCTTTTACCCCAACTCGAAGACCTCCATCATTTCATCACTCGTTCCTTCAACAAACTTCCTTCTTCACTCATCTTGATCATGGCTCACCACTTCATCAATACTTTGGATCACTTCTACTTTGTCACATGACATCATACCTTCACTGATATACCTCGACCACTATCAACCTCACTGTGCTTCACTCCTCCTCAACCAACATCACTGCTCAAAAGTTTTCACACCTTACTTGGTCATCAACAATTCACTCAACTTTGGTCCAACATTACATCCATCAATGATCATCAACAACCTTCCTTCACTATGAGCCATGGTCACTCTTCCAACATCCATCCTCTTTCGCCATTGAACATGGTAAGCATCTTCCTGCCTTCTTACTTCTTCGGTCTTCTAACCTTCTCAGCTTGCTGCCACCTTCTACCACATCATCACTTCGCTTCGGATCGCTCCAACCTTCGCTCAACATCGTCGTCACCCTCCTCAAGCCCTACACTCTAGGCCACGATAGAGCTTTTCAGCATCCCCCTCAAGCCCTCTTCAGGCCAGCATCACATGTTCACGGCATCTCGGGTCGCACGAAAGTCAAGCTGTCTGGATGGATTGGATACTTTGGTGGTGGAAATATACTGGTGGGAAGTGCAGGATACACATGGTCAAAGAACAGTAAGAGACGGACATTACAGATCTCGCTGGGATCTCGCTTTGGGCCTACAAGGCTTGCTTCTTCTCTGAAGCAAGGCCCCATGGCTGGTGGACATGATCTGGAGGAGACTTCATTCTCACATCAAGGTGCTGGAGGACAGACAGTCTATGGTGCCTTCGGGTGCTAAGCTGGGCCTACCTTGGAGATTTGGAGTTCTTCGTCTGTTTGAGCTTGCTCGCCTAGATCCTTGTCTCCTGCATACTTCTCGATGGCGGCTCTTATGAGTTTGGATCAATTCGAGAAATGCAGCATGCGAAAGGTATGAGAGACTTGAGGTGAGAGTGCCTGCAGTCGGTGGTCGATGTTTGAATTGGGCCTTATATTAGCTTTGAGGTTTTGAACATTGGTTTGCTGATGGTTGGAGGATATGGGATTCATCTGATGGTCGGGTCTTGGTTGGGCTTTGGTTGGAGTGGTTGGATATTGGGTTGGATTTTCTATCAAGGGTACTTCAAGGTTTCGCCTCAGCACCAATGAATCTTTCTACCTCACTTATTCTCTACTCTGATAACTTCTGAATTGACTTCATTTTTGACATGACTTCTTCTTTGCTTCACTTCTTTCTTCACAGCATCCTTTCTTAGCTTGACTTCCAACTTATCTTCTATGTTTGGCTTCTTCCTTGACTTGCGCCTTAGCCTAGCTCGCCTCTTGCTTGACTTGCTTGCTTGAACATCTTACTCCTTTTCTGAATCAGTGTCTTCCTTGGATCTGCTCTTACCTCATTCAAGGAAAAATCCGAACACCCCGGAGCCAATGTTGAAGTTGGACCGCCTACTTCGCATATTCTCATGTTGATGTGGGCTCCAGGGTGTTCAGTTTTTTCCTTTAATGGGGTGCTCTTGCTTCACTTGCTTCTCTCTTAGACTGGTTGCTTGCAATGAATACATTTTCTACTGCCTTCTACCTCGAGCTTACAGCGCACACCACTACTGCACGCCTTGAAGAAGTCTTCATGTCTTTACAACACCCTCCCCCCACTACCTACCCACTCTAAACATGCCTCCTCCTCGCCCACTCACTAAGAAACTCCCTCCCCTCAATCCTCCAAACATCCTCCTCAACATAACTCCCATTATACCCCCTACCCCTTGCCTGAAGAACAAGATCTAGTCCCCTCTCACCCGCACCCTCATCATACTTCGGCCACCTCGGCAACCCCGCTCCATTCGGATCCCCCTTCGCCACAAACCTTATCCACTGCGCACTCACCTGCTCAGCCAGCTTCTTGTACTCCTCCCACGGGCCATAGAAGCTGGGGTTCGCAAAGACAAAGGCAACTTCAGTGAAGTGCGCAACGCCCTTGTATGCACGCGGATTGCCGCCTTCGCTGGCGGTGTTGCTGTTTTGCCAGGGGAGCGTGTTGAACCGGTATATGTACGTAGGTGAGTACTTGGAGTAAGCGCGAGCATCTGCCAGGCGAGGCGCGTGGTAGAACACGTCGCCCATGATGGCGGCTATGCGCTTATACTGAAGCCCTTGCTCAGCGAAGAGCTGGACGCCGGTGTTGAGGGGGATACCCACGGTGGGGTCGTTGGGGTAGAGTTCCATGATGCGCTGAATGACGGCGTCGGGGAAGTTGAAGCCCGTGCTGTTGGCGAGGTAGGCGTATAGATCTTCGTCGGTGTTGATGACGCCGTCCGCTGGGGCGTTGTCGGTGCCTTCGTCGGAGTTGGTGCCGTAGAGATGCGGGATGTGGGCGAAGCGGCCTGAGGCGAGCAGTTCGGTAGGGTAGGCGGGGATGATGTCGCCGTCGACGATGGGGTACCAGCCTGGGCCTTGACTTGGGGCTGCGAGAAGGGGGAAGATGGCTTCATATGGCAGTGTGCGTAGGCAGGCGAGGGTGTCGACTTCATCCGTGCAGTTTGCCTTGTCGACGATGTTGTCGTAGACGGGCTGGTACCAATCTGTGCCATTGTACCATGCTGTCGCTGCGGACCCGGACTCCTGAATGCTGCGGTGGAACAAGTTGTCCGTCTGGCCGCCGTACGACATGAGTAGCTGGCCCACTGCGAAACTCCCGGCGGACTCGCCCCAGATGGTCACGCTATCCTTGTCGCCGCCGAACGCTCCAATATTCTCTGATATCCATGCAAGTCCCTTCCGCATATCTCGAAGCGCGAGGTTCGTCTGGCCGGTACCCTGAATCTCCCGCGAGTATAACATACCCCACCCGCCTTTGCGGTAGTTGATGCTGGCTGCAATGATGGGCTGACCAATTTCCACACTTCTGTGCACGATGTATGTCAGGTTATAGTTTGCAAGCGCGCTGGTGCCGACTTGGTAGCTTCCTCCGTGGATCCATAGCGCTACGGGCAGCTTTGCGTAGTCGCGGGCTGATAGACCTGCCGGACGAACGATGTTGATGCTCAAACAGTCTTCACTCATGCTGAAGTTGGCAGCCGACGGGTCCGGACAGCTATCTCCGTACGATTTGGCAGGGCGTGTGCCGTTCCATGTGGTGTTCAATGATTGGGGTATGCGGAAGCGGTTCTGACCTCCCGTATCTTGTGCATATGGAATGCCTAAGAAGATGTCTTGATTGAACGAGGGCAGATGTACACCTTCGTATGTCCCGTTCAGCACTGTGACCGTGGGTTCGTCAGCATGCGCTATTGTAGTTAGCAAGCATGTCGCGAACACCCCCACTTTCCAAGCTCTTGCAATAGCTGCCATCATGCTGGCGTGTACCCGTCGAGATGAATAAGTGAGAAAACCAAAACGTGGAGAAGCGTTACTTGTATACAGCACCTGCCAGCAATCAGAAAGCTAGCAATGATAGGGCGTATCTTAAGAAGCACCGAAAGAACCCTGCATCGTGACGTGATAGCTCTCCCACTCTTGTGGTGGACATGCATATCCGTGGTGATCGGCAGAGGTGCGTGTTCGGCTTTCCGCGCTAATCGGGAAGGTAAGTGCGGAGCTGCATGTGCAGTCGCACCGACGAAGATGCCGGCACATATAAGCTGCAAGTCTTCATCGCTAGCATAAAACATTACGAGATACTGCAGATGATGAGAAGCGAGACGAAAGTCCAGCAATCTCCATGATCCAGGCCTAGAATAGCTTGGATAAGAAGCTTCTTCTCTTCTTCGCTGGTTCTTTCTCTGGTACACTCGCCATTGTATATGACGGGGAGAACATTGCTTGACCAGGTAGTTCTACTAGTACATCGACGACACCATACTCTGGTGTCTTGTTCACCGGCGTGATGTCCGGTACAGCGTTCTGTTGCACAGGACTGACGTACATTGGCGATGGTGTATTTGGCACTGATGTCGGCGACACCGGCATGGACATTGGTAGTCGGGAAGCACTGACGAGGTGTGTCGACTGTGGGTGAAGATATGTCTGCGCTGGAGATGGTTGCGCGTGCACATACGGTTGTACCTGCGGCTGGAGCCAACGTGGCGGGCTAGCAGTCTGCAGTCGTTTGCTTTCAGCGGCCCATAATTCGAAGACTTGGTTCATAAGTCGCGTCCATTCTGAAGGGGCTCCCTGGAAATTGTAGTTGACGCGGCGGTCTGCGAAGGCGATGAAGTAGTGCTGTTTGTTGTACGGCGATATGGCGACATACTGGGTGTCATCAGCGTTATACTTATGCCATCGTGGGGGCATGTTTTTCGAACTCACACTGACGGTACCCGGTGCAGTTTCCATCAAAATCTTGTTCAATCCGGTGTAATGGCCGTTGAAGTTCCATGCCAGATGTCCGTCCGCGAACAGAACGAACCAGGCATCTTTCATCCCAAGACCAACGCAAGTTGGCGTAACCAGCGACTTCTTCACTTTATCCTCGAGACCCGAAGGTATAGCAGCCCATATCGAGCCCTGTCCGGGTGCGCACGCGAAGTAGCTGAACTTCTGGCCGAAGGTGACGAAGCACAAGCTGGCCGCATTCGGGAACGACTTTAGCCATTGCGCAAGATCGGGATAGTTGAGGTCAAAGTACGTCCGTGAGTGGACTGGGTCTGATTAGCTGCGTGCGTAACATGGGGCGGGCCCGCGCCGTCATCTGTTATGCGTTTCATGGTCGCGGAACCTGGGCCGGGGTGCTACTTACAGAGCTTGTCCTCCCCATCTAACGTCTTGCAACCAATGTACCAAATCGGCTCCGGAGAGTCTCCCTGAGGGGCAAGCGCGAGACAGTAAGGGCTAGCGACTCTCCATGGATTGCTCATGGAGCTCTTGAATAACTGGCGAAGCGTCTGCGGTATCTCATGGCTGCACGCTGTTAGCCGCGCCTTCCTCATTAGCATGCGCAACTTACAACTTCCATGTTTGGCGACAGTCGAAGAAGAAGCTATTGCGCGGTCCGAACACGAAAGTTATCTCTGGCATCTTGTTGATTATACGACGAAACTGTACATGCGAGGCAGAGAAACGAAGTTGGGCCCATCAGCAGGTGTGCGGCGTACGCCCAAGGACGTGGCGCGTTGGGGGCCGCAATCAGCAGCACCAATTGAACGACGACGTGGAATCGTCGGTACTGCCCGCTCATGTATATCGAGTTTCCCTCGACCTTCAAGCCGCGCATATATGAACCTATTATCTGAGTGTCTAGAACGATAGAAAAGTCTAGTCAGTATCCTAATAGACATCGCCTATGCTTGTCCATCGTGCCTAGGTAACTAAGTGAGCTCACTACATGGTGTATAACGCAAGAGTATTCTCGAAAGGTGCCTGTTGCTCATGCGGATTCGTTACCACGGGTTTCAACAGTGCAGCGTAGACCGCTCTAGGGCATCACAACCTTCATAGGCGACTTGGACAGTACGCGCATATGGCAAGACATCTGTCGTGATTATGCTATTTCATTTTTGCATCTAATCGTAGACTGGCCTATCTACCATGCCTTCTGGTTATCCAATCTCGCTCAGCGTCTACCGCTACAAGAATGGTATGAGCCCTAGGGCTATCTCGATTCGTGGTGTCGCATCGTCAGTCTCGGGTCCTCTAAGCCGCGGTGGTCTTCTCCTTACTAGTACAAGTCAGCACATGTCTCATATACACGTCAGATTACAGGACGTACGGCAGAGGTGTGAACCGGAGGTAAGGCTTGACAATGCGGATGTCAGGGAACATGGTCTTGGCATCCTCAGTCTTGACGGCCGGGTGGACGATGACATCGTCACCAGGGATCCAGTTGATGGGGGTTGTGATCTTGTGCTTGTCGCCGGTCTGCAGGCTGTCGAGGACGCGGAGGACTTCGGCTGTGTTGCGACCAGTGCTGGCAGGGTATGAGAGGATGAGACGGATGGTCTTCTTGGGGTCGATGATGAAGACTGAGCGGATGGTGAAGGCAATGCCCTTGCTGTCGACGTTGGTTGCGTCTTGGTGGTCGATCCTGTTCATGCTGTCAGTCATGTCGCAATGTCGCGAAGAACGTCCACTCACATGTCGTATGCCAACGCGATCTGGCGGTCCTTGTCGCCAATGATGGGGAACTTGAGCTTGCTGCCGGAGATCTCGTCGATGTCCTTGATCCAGCCATCGTGCGAGTCGACAGTGTTGGCAGAGAGACCGATGAGCTTAGCACCGCGGCGGCTGAACTCAGGCTCGAGCTTTGCGAAGGCGCCGAGCTCAGTTGTGCATACTGGGGTGTAGTCCTCGGGATGCGAGAAGAGGATAACCCAGTTGTCGCCGATGAACTCGTGGAAGTCGATGGGGCCCTGGGTGGTCTCGGCCTTGAAGTTGGGGGCCTTGCTGCCCAGGCGGAGAGGCTCTGGTCGGTCGCTCATTGTGTTTTCTGCGCGCATGTTAGCTCAGGTCCCAGCGATTTGCGCAAACATGCGGGGTGGCGGGGTAGGTCGCAAGCAGCCAACGTACCTGGTTGTATGGCTTAGTGTCTGGGTGAGGTTGCGGAAGATATCGAGGTATCTTCTAGATGCAATTTGGGATGTCGGAGCGGTATTATGAGGGAGAGAAGAAGTTGAGGGGTCGATGATGCCTTTTTGTCCTCTTGTAAGGCCATACACAACATTCAACGACCAACACTTCTAGCTAGCGTATATTGCGCAATCGTCACCTATCTCACGTGAACTCCACCAGACCTTTTTCTGCCATTGAATTTGCCCACGTCGTTTGGCCAGTGAACGAATCACAGACTCAACATCTCCGGCGGTATCGCATTGCCAATTATTGCCCCTCCCTGCCGAGCATTCGTCGCAACCGGAAGCAGGTAGAAGCCAATGATGATGTTGTTGGTGATTTCTCAGCGATATCCCTACTTGTCAGAATTCAAATAAGCTCCGAACCATACCAGAGCGTTCGTGGACCGTTCAGCCACTGGTATGGCGTTTGTTTGATCGAATCTCGCGGCAACGTTGTGCATCGAATGCGCGTGTTGTCAGTTTACCGTATGAGACTGCGTGATGCGTGTAAATTGGCAACAGAGCCTCTTTCGGTATGGAGGCGGGATGTTTGCCTGTGTCGCTGCAGCCAAACCATTGGGGTACTCGCACTCTGCTAGAACGTTGCGCTTTCACAAACATCAGCATCAGCTGGCAGCGTGCACATGTCTGAGATGGGTAGCTTCAGGCCCGCAAGAAATCTCGCGACTGCCTTTCCGAGCACACCGTTCCCACGCGTCGCGCGAACTCTAATGTCGCGACGTCACGCTTCTCCAGGGCTTGCAGACACACCGAGTAGCCACCTGACTGCACACACATATATTACACACGCGCTTCAACGTCGCTACTCCCTCCTAGTAAAGCTTCGCATCGGCAACCTCGGCAGGGTCCTACTTTCTTCTCGCCTGAAGCCTCAAAGTGAAGTTGGGCCGAACTTCCGAGCTGGATTCTATTGTACCCACTTGCGGCGACTCGTTAAGGACACGATGCAGATTTGTGCTGGTTATCGCAGGATAGATTGACGATGAGGCTGCTTGCTTTTGCCCAGGTGCCGATACTTCCCGCTGATGATGTCGGGGAGCCATCTGCTTGTCCGAGTCGAGATGCCTTTGCTTGAGGCGCGCCAGACTCCTTCCCGCATGACGCACCGGATCTACCCTGTTCTGCACACGCTCCAGCAGCCAGAGGCTTCGAGGCGGCCTTGGCATGTCGGTGTACACGATAATTCCCAAGTTTACCCCGAAGCGGGACGCCCCCATGCATGTGGGCCTGGAAGATGGAGAAGGAGTCCTATTCCCGACCAATGCAAACGACTTCTGACAATCCCGTCGGGAGAGAACCGGGCGTCCCACACCGTCCAGTTGTTCGTTGGGATGCATATCGGCTACGCCTGTGGTTTAGCGGACCAGACCTAACCGCCGCTTAAGCTATCAAGGTCGCGCTTTTCAGCGTCACCGGGTTCACGCTTGCTTTTAGACTCTGACGCGTTCATTGCGAAATCATCTACATAGCTCCTAGACATTTCGATTGAAGAGGAGGACCTTATGGCAGCATGAGTGCCAACCCGGAGATCAACCTCCCGAGAGACTCTGAGCTGGGAGTCTGCGCAGATTCAGATTCAAAAAGCCAAGCGGGAATAAGCTTATTACCGGACATGCGCAGGCCATCGGCAGAGGAACCAAGGAGTCGCAATTCCACAGCCGAACCAGACAACGAGCCAGAAAAAGACTATTACTATGGAAAACAAAGCACCAGTAGCGAGTTCATACCGCAAGAGAACGTGCAGAGCTCGGAAATCGTCTGGCGGTATCTCACATTCGACACCGAACTCCCACACCCGACCTCGATACATCCGACACAAACCGACCAGGAAGCTCCACCTGAACCACCGAACCTCGTCAAATACACAAACCCCTTTGACTGGTCAGAGACAAGAAAGAGATTCACGATATGTGTCTCATGCATCATCACCGCCCTGACTGCGTTTTCGGCCGGAGCTTACAGTCCAGGTGTTGAGCAGATGACGCAGGAATGGGGTGTCAGCAGTGTTGCAGCGCTGGTTGGCATCACAACCTTCACGACAGGATTCGCTATCGCGCCAATGGTCCTCGCCCCGTTCTCTGAGATCAACGGCCGCCGACCAGTCTTCCTTGCTTCAGGCATTCTGTTCGTCATCTGCCAGCTCTGCTCTGGTCTCACACAATCGTATGCTGGCATGCTGGTTGCACGCTTCTTCTTGGGCGTGGGCGGATCTACCTTTTCCACTATGGTTGGTGGCGTGGTATCAGACATCTACCATGCTGAGGATCGCAACACCCCCATGGCTCTCTTCTCGGGTGCTGCACTCTTTGGTACATCGTGGGGTCCTCTGGTTTGTGGTTTTATTGCGCAAAACACGACTTGGAGATGGATCTTCTACGTACAGGCCATCTCATGTGGAGCGGTTGTGGTGCTGATTTGTGTCGTATTCAAGGAGACCCGCGGCTCGGTTCTCCTGTCCAGGAAAGCCAAAGCTTTGAACAAGTGGTATGAGGCACGAGAGAAGTCTGGCTATTACGGCTTCAACGTCGACAATACCGAAAAGCCCGGATCTATGGAGTCGCTGCGTTTGAGGTGGAAGGTGCGATCTGACGAAGAACGAGCTTCGCTCGGCAAGATGATAGGCGTTTCCCTCTACCGCCCATTCCATCTTCTCTTCACCGAACCTGTCGTATTCTGGTTCTCACTCTGGGTAGCCTTCTCCTGGGCCGTACTCTACCTTACATTGGCCGCGATTCCGTTGGTGTTCCAGAGCAATCACGGCTTCTCGCTGCAACAAGCCAACGCAGTCTTTGCATCCATGGGAATTGCCAGTATCCTGTCGACCATACTATCTATCTACCAAGAGAAAATCGCAAAGAAGAGCGGGAAGTTGACTGGCACACCAGAAGGCCGCCTTTACTTCGCGTGCATAGAAAGCGCATGCATGCCCATCGGCCTCTTCATGTTTGGATGGACAAGCTTCCCCGAGATACATTGGGTTGTGCCAGCAATCGCGATCGGCATCGCTACCGTTGGCATCTTCAGCATCTACCTCGCGACTTTCAATTTCCTCGCAGACACATACCATCGCTATGCGAGCTCGGCACTGGCGGCGCAGTCCTTCTGCCGAAACATGCTTGGTAAGTCATCTCCATGCAGAATAAGTGAATGCATGCTAACATCATCTTAGGTGGTATCTTCCCGCTCATCACGACACAAATGTATAACAAGCTTGGGTATGGTCCTGCGAGCAGTTTGCTAGGCGGAATTGGCGCATTGTTGACTATCGTGCCATGGATTCTAGTCTTTTATGGACCTAGAATTAGAGCAAGGAGTAAATTCGCAAGTGAGATTATGGATGTTACTTCCTGACGGGCAATGAGCTTGGTAGATATAACGCATAGCAATGTATTGTTCAGGAAATGATAAGTTCAACTGTGACTAGCACCTTCAATGATCAGCACGAACCAGCGCCAGGTCCCAATCTTAGTCAAAGACGCCTTCTCTTCTTCATCTTGGTTCTCAAAGTCACATTCTGGAGAACGCCGACGCGCCAAAGGCGAAGAGTGCTGTCGCCAGACGCAAGTAAGCCTTGGTCACCGAATCGGGTTAGTCAGGCCAACTTGTTGCATCATCTCCATGCAGCTGCGAGCCGGCAAACCGTGACACCTGCACAGCCTCACAAGTCAGCCCTGCCAGCTGCCAGCTCCACGGAAAGATGCGCACACACGAACCTCACCTTTGGCGGAAACCAAAGAGATGCATGCGCATTTCCTTCCGGTCTCCACCACAACCTTAAGTGGCGACTGACGGAACTTGCCATTACATCAAGATTAAGTGCTACTCCGCTCGCTTATAATCATGGACGACCTCCTTCCCTCCTACGAAAGTGTAATGCGACGCGATCCTTGGGTGCTCATCGCTCCCTATTTGCCTTCGCAGGACCTCTGCTCAGCAGCTCTGGTTAACCGGCGATGGCACCAGACCTTCACACCGAACCTTTGGGGCAGCCCAGCTTCGCACTTTGGGGTCCAGAATGATACTGTTTATGGTGGGTTGTTGTGACGCAGACACAACGATAAATACTGATATCCAATAGTGGCACTCACACGATTCAAGCGTACATTACCATATGCGCGAGCCTCTGTACGAGAGCTCACACATACTCTACGTTTTCCACCGGCTCATGCAGAGCTGTATGATGGGCCACACGCAGAATGGCTTCGAGATTGTTTGGAACACCTGCCTCGCCTCCAGTGCCTAATTGTGGACGGCCTGCCCTTCTTCGATCACGCGTGCCTCCTGAGCCTGCGACACTCAAGCCTACAATGGAGATTGACTCGTCCCAACGCGTTTCCGGTGTTCAGCTTACGCCTGCTAGACGCTTCCAGTTGTACGAACGCTACGTCAATGGGCCTCGCAGAAGCACTACCGCACTTTCCTGATCTTGTCTCGTTGGACCTATCAAAGACTGCGGCTGCAAGGGACAATGCAGTCCTTTCGACCTTCAAATACCTCAGGAATTTGCGTGTGCTGAATCTTCGTGGGATTGGCATCAAGGATGAGGATTTCTCGGTAGTTGCGCATGCAATCAATAACCGCGTCAGGAGCCTTGACATCAGCAACAACCTTTTGACGGACACTAGCGTGCGACTCCTTCTTGAACTTTGCCTGAAAGAGAGGGTCGTCGTGACCCATACTTCACGTGGACCACTGGCACCTGTCGAGAACGCGAATCCCCCCGATGAACCAGAGACTTTCGAGTCTGAAAACCTCGTGGGCCACCTTCGTAAGAAGCTTACTGGCGGCTTCATTGGTAGCTTGAGCATTGAGGAGACGAGCGATGTCGGAATATCGCACTTGTACCTCTCGAGTAACGCAATAACTGTCGAAGGTATATCGGCTTTGCTACTGTCAAGACGCCTGCAAGTCCTAGATGTGGGTATACTACCCGCTGTAGTGACGCATCCTTCTACCCTCTCGCTCGAAACACCGAATGATGACTTGGAACTACCTAGCGTATCGAAGCTTACTCCAGTACTTGCTGAGTATGCTTCATCTAGACTTCGATACCTGCGGATCAACTACGAGTTGGTCACAGAAGACGCGCCTTTTGAAACGCCCAATTCGCCACGAGCGGAACTCGCTGGGGACCTTGGTGTCTACAAACCTTCAGATGCGCATGAGATCGAAGCTGTAGAGCCACCAACGCCTGAACTCGATTCCATCCCAATAGCTGTACACGAGGTTCCAGGGGACTCATCACATCCGGTTGAGCTTCCCGGCTCGCCTGTAACGCCTCAACATGCTGAAAACGACAGGCCGGAATCAGAACTTGCCCATGGTGAAACGCGAAACGCAAACGTTCCCAAAATATGCGTTACTCCGCAATCACTACAAATCAACAGAGATCCTGCCTGCGCTCCGGAAGCCATACATGTAGACTCACCATTGAGTCCTCTGAGCCCACTGGGAAACGGGACCTACCGGCCTAACGCAGCTGCAAATAGGTATGATCTAGGAGAACATCTCTCATCATCTACGTCGACCCACGGCAGCAGTACACTGGATCAAGCGATCCCAAAAACTACGAAGAGGTCACGAGGCAACTCGTTTTACTACATCGAAGACAGAAAAGTCCGGCTGGACTTTCGCCAAGCAAGTGAACCTCGACTACATCCTGGGATGCTTCCAAAGCTTCACACCCTTGTTTTGACGGATGTTCCGATCATGACCAGCAACAGGGAAATCATTCATCGGATCATACGCTTTATCAGGGATGCAGCTGAGGAAGCTTCAATCGCTAAACAGCGGGCCAGGCATACCTATGTACTACCACCAGGACGTAGGCGTGCAATCGCAGAAGAAGAGTACGCACGAAACCAGTTTGCCCTTCGGAGAGTAGTACTTGAAATGGCGGCCCCGCAGTCAGCGCCTAAGAAAATTTCCAGTAGCTGGCGGGCTTATCCAACAAAGTCGACCACTGAAGATGCGGACTCGGAAGCATTTTGGGAGGCAGCAACGCATGATTTCTCGTTCTTCGATGACGAAGAATGCGGACAGCCTGGTCGTGAGCCAGGCCTCACCCTGCCCTTGGCGGCTATGAGTGGGTTAGAGCTTGCGCCGAGCCATCGCGTTCCATCTGAGGAGCCTCGCAAGGCTACTCTCGATACTGATCCGTTGGTTGATGTGGTAGCAGAGATTGGAAAGTTTCGAAGAGAGAGGAAAGCCGCATACAGCAATTTGGTAGAGATGAGCGAGATTGAACCGGATGTAGAAGGGTATTGGCCTGGCGACATTACTGTTCTGAGAAAGCCGGTAGATGCCGAAGCTGGGGAACTCGATTGTTACGGTAATCGGTATGAACTTGGTTGGTTTTACCGTTGAACGTGATAGCGTGGCGTGGCGCAGCTTTAGCACAGGGCAACGCTTTTACGTTCCCAGTCCACTTGCTGGGCTGATTGGCCATTATAGCACATGTCTGAGTGTGAAAGAGATAATTTTCAGCATTATTGCAAGTATTCAGTCCTTCAGGGCGGATAACCAATTACCGATAAGATTACTCACCGGTTTCGTGACCGGTTCCAAGGGTTGCAGTGGGCTGACCCCGCGCACAATGACACCCTCATCGATACACATCTGCCCACTTGTGCAAATGCTCTCGAGTTCTTATTCATTTATTCAGTTCATGGGTGCCAGAGCACCGCCCGCCGCGACGTGACCACAGACTTTACCCCCGGTCTGGATGCACCGCCACGCAAAGGTTGCCTGCGCTTATCTCAAGCACTTTGTTCTACTGATACTGGCTATCGAGCAGCATCGAAGTACTTTCAATAACGTTCATCATTCTTATCCGGTCTCTTACGGCTTTTTTGTACATCAGACACAACCATGGGCCAGTCATGGAGCGGTCAGCGAACGATTCAAGCAGCTTATGAGCGACGTGGAAAGAAAGTCGCCTTGAAATCGAGACAATCAAAAGACAAAAGCAACTACGATGGAGACTACTATTTCTCACCTAACGCAGATGCGTCCGAACGGTACCGGTATAGCCAAGCAGCCTCCAACAGCGTGACAGCCAAACCTGGACATGCAGGTCGCAAGTCAGCCTCTTCACATACATCACACCCTGCCCACGTAAAAGCCATAGGAAAAGCCAAGAAAGAACGACCATCACCCTCTGACAGACATCGAACCAAGAAAGAAGCTCCAAAGAAGCCCAGGTCCAGCCACACACACGACAAAACACCCGGAAGAAGGAGCACAAAACACAACTCGATCCACCGAGTAGACAGCCACCACCAAAACGATGAGCATTATTCCAAGAAAGAAAGGAAAGAATGCGCAGTTTGTACAGACGCACTCTCACTACACCACTTCCCCGACCGGCCCCCCACGAAGAACTGCAAACACAGCGTCGACGTATGCCGAAAATGCCTGCGCACATGGATCGCTTCAGAATCCAGCGCGAAAATGTGGAATGACATAACATGCCCTATATGTAAAACGCAACTGCGAACGGCTGATATGAGAGAGTTTGCGCCGAAAGATATTTTCAAACGGTACGATTCCCTACTCCCCTACTCCCTTCTCACACCTCGCACATCCCCGCCCACTCAACAACCCTGCTAACCCCCCACTAGCTACACGACCCTCTCCTCCCGTGCAAAAGCCGAGTCACGCCCCGGCTTCCGCTGGTGTGGCCTCAAAGGCTGTAAAGCAGGCCAAGTGCACCTACCCAACTACCCCAGTTTCCGGTGCAACACCTGCGAAAAGACGTCTTGTGTTGTTCATAATGTGGCATGGCATAAGGGGGAGACGTGTGCAGAGTACGATTACAGGACGAATGGGAAGCTGAAGAAGGAAGAGGAAGAGGCGAGTAGGAAGGTGGTGGAGAAAACGACGAAGGCGTGTCCCGGGTGTAAGAGGCCGATTGAGAAGAACAGGGGCTGTGATCATATGACGTGTAAGTTCTTTCCTGTTTGTATTTTACTTCGATAAGAGGTGTGGAAGCTGATTTGAATAATAGGTGCGAAATGTCATGTTCACTTTTGCTGGAAGTGTATGAAGCCGTATTACTCATCGAGCACTCTTGCGCGCAACACTGGAGAGCATTGTCTTTGTCATGGGATTCGGGAAGGCTGATTCACTATACGCGGTTATTTGGGAAAGAAGGAATCGATGGAGCTAAGAATAAGGAAAGGAACTATTATACTGAACCTGCACGTTTTACACAGTCAACTCCATCAGCAGCGCTGGTAGCCCGGCATCCACCAAATACGCCACAGTCACCCCCACAACCGATGTCAAAATCATATACTTGAACCAACCACCCTTTTTCTCTTTCTTCCCTTTCTTCTCCATCCAGTGCCATCCCTCAGCGCTCTCGTCAATCGTCCTCGTCGGCACATAATCCAATTTCGGCGCCACAGCCAACGATTCGATGAGCCCCACTTTCTGAGATGGCACAATGTACTTGTGTAAATACCCAGCAAAGAAGCGATCAAAGTATGACTGGTAGCTGTTCATACGCGTGAGCTTGCCGCTGTTTTCGACGTATGCCTTTGCTCGTTCATGGCGACCGGCTTGGTATTCGGCGAATAGGGCAGTCAGGTCGGGGGTGGAAATGCGGCGGGTGAGGTTGGAGGCGAATTCGCGGTGGAGGATGTTGCAGAGGTAGACGGCGGATTCGATGGCTATGTTGGCGCCCATGCCGAGGTCGGCTGTCATCTGACGTTGCGTTAGTGATGCGTTTTGCTGGTGATGAGTCTGGGAGGTTTACTTTGTGTGCCGAATCTCCTACGAGAACTATGCGTCCCGCATGCCATTTACTCAAGACCCCTTCTTCGACATAGAGAAGACCGTGTCGTTTGTTCGTCTTCCATACATCTTCCAATGTGATATCGTTTGTCATAGGAAGGTCGGCGAACCTCTTCGCCACCGCCTCGATCTCTGCTTCAGTAGCTCTACCTTTCCTCTCTGCCTTTTGGAATTCGTCTTTGAAGGTGACACCCCATAAAGCCCTGTCCATCTGTAAAAAGAGGAGCATGGTAACGTCCTGCCCAAGAATCATATGCGTATCGGAGGTACCGAGTTGTGCACCGTCCGGAACCTTGCTGACACCGAACAAACCTCTGAATTCTCCGAACGACATGACTTCTTTGTCAGTTTCGGGTATGCTACCTGGTTCGAGCTTGTCGGCGTGGTCCCACATGAGCTTCCGAACATGACTGTGCACACCGTCTGCGCCGATGACCATGTCACCTTCTTCGGTAGAGCCATTAGCTAGGTGGACACGAACACCCGTATCAGTTTGCTCGACACGTTCAAGGCGCCTACTGGTGTGAATTTTGGACTTGTCTGGTAGCCCTTCGTATAGATGTGATACACAAGTCTGGCGATCGAATAGGATACACGGTATCTTGAAGCTTTCATGGAGTCAGCGTGTGATGCATCCACTTCACGTATATCTCAAGAGTATGGCAACGTACACTTTGCTCACAGCCTGCATAGTGTCATCGCGGCAGATCAGACTCCCGTCTGGCCATCTTTTGTACGAGTCATCGATGGGTGTCGTAGTTTTGGTTATCTTGTCGAGAATACCAAACTGGTCGAAGATGCGTGCGACAGCGGGCCAGATAGTCAGTGCTGCGCCTTTTAAGGATACAATCTTTTCGTGCTTTTCGAGGACGACATGATCGATGTTGGCTAGTTGTAGAGCGTGAGAGAGCGATAAGCCGACAATGCCGGCCCCGATGACAATGACCCTGAATGGTTTTGAAGAGGTGGAATCTTTGCCTGCCATCATGAATTGCGATGCTGATGCAAGGGTTGTGCTGGCGAACACTGGGTCTTAGGTCCGAGGCCCAGGGCAAGGGATGACCGTGAGGCGAACCTCTGCTGGCTTTACTATTGTTCTCAGATGACGTCTGTCGTGATCATTTAGCCTGGTATTATTCGAGCGGCTTTCCAGTACCCAAATAGTTACAATTTGCAAGTATGGGGTGGTGCCGCAAGGGATGCTTCCAACGCTGTTGGCGTATCTCGGTTTCCATGATGCTGACACGAGCGCCATACAAGCACTTCGGGCGTCTTCTTAGACGAATCATATCGTAGGACTTTCGCAATCTATTCCATATCTTGGAAGCAGTACAGTCAGACGAGTCCGATATGATTCAGGCGCCGTCGGTCTAATGGTGTCGAAGTGAGTGTCTTTTTTTTGGACGCAGTCGCGCCTATATAGTTAACATGGAGGCAGCCCCACGCGGGAGATGCACGATAAAGGTCGAGCGTGGAAGAAAAATGTCTACCCCGTCCGAGACGACAATTGCAAAAGTTTTGCACTCCTTTTCAATGATGGTACGATGCGCTTCGTGAGTAGACATTGTTGGATCGGCAATGAGTACTTCGGAACTTGCTGTTAACATGGTAGCCAGGGTAGATTGGTGGATTGGTAGCACTGCTGACACTGGTAGGTGATCAAGTTGCCGAACAAGGCCGCAATGACTGTGTCCATGCAGGAACCAGCTCGCTTGTGAGTCGGAACCTGGGGTAGTGGATCAGCAGCCCTGGCCCGATACAAGATGTCGTGTTAGGTTCAGATGTTCCCGGCTGCGCGACTCATGAAATGAAGTAGGATATGAACTCAACGTAGCGATGTTCGCAAATTGGTTTACAGGTTCCTTGTACGAAAGTGGGCTCAGCAAACCTTGCAGGTAATTGAGTGAAATGGAGAGAACTCCGACAGCACGTGATGGCAGGTCGAATTCGGGAAACACCTGCTGTGATAGTCACTAACGTCGGCAGAGAAGACTGGATTGCCGAGCTTGGTATTGACGGATCGGCCTTAAAACGACGCGGTAGGGTGCAGTGAACGGGAGCTGCGACGAACTGCCTAGTCAGTCCACATGTTTCTTGGCACACTAGCCATATTGGTCGACCCCAGCTCGCACCTCCAAGCAGGCGCATCACGGTATCGCGCCTGTCTCGCAGCCAACGCCCCTCCGCCCATCGCCCACCGCTGGCTTTCGAATCGATGAACACGGTGCACTCGAGTTGCCGGGTGAATACGCGCTTGCCGTAGCTTGCACCTGACAGGACCGGCGCCGGCGCGTCATTTCGCGATCGCCCAACATCATCCTTGCGGGTCTCTGGACACATTCGCACTTTCTACATGGCGCCTGTTCCTGACACACCACTACCACGCGTGAGAAGCACACGACCGCCCCGGCGACACATATCTGACTCGGCGCCAGCTAGCAAGCGGCGCAAGTACGTTCCAGGCGGACCAGGAGGCGGGGGAAGATACGTGGATGACGAGGGGCTGGAGACGCCCGTAGGAGGAACTGGACCCGGAGGATACGCGTATACTGGTCCCCGTGGCCGTGTAGGACGCATCAACGCCGAGCGGCAGGGCCTGCCCATATCAGCGCCTTCACCCTCATACACCAGACCTCGACGCGAAAGGCCGCCAGCTGGACCGCGTTCCAGTTCGGCCGCCGCAGTCGCCGCCGCCGTGGCTCAAAACGATGGATACAAGCCGCGCGAGGAGCGGAGCTGGGATGAATTTCATCCGGACCTGGACATCGACGCCGAGTTCCCCGTCTACAGCGCAGACCAGATAGATGGCATCAGCCCTGCAGACAGCGCCCCGGGAACTCCGCTCAATGGCTCATCGACTGGCCAGTATGCCGTCGACAGCGGTCTCTCTGCGGTTCTTGACGGCCTACGGGCGCAACAAGCAGAGAACGTCGCGCAAGAGCAGGAGGATGCAAGCTTAGCCGTCAACGGCTCAGGCGCTTTTGTCACACCAAAGCGGCGTCCAGGTCGACCGCCTCGCAACAGAGACTCCATGCTAGCCGGGCTCGGATCGCCGCCTCGACCACGAGTCAACCCCCTGCCGACTATGAATCCAAGGGAAAAGCTGAATCTACCTAAGCCATCGGTACGCCAGGTCGACCCATTCAAAGAACACGAAGAAAGCGAGGGCGTCAAGGTCAACTATGTCGACAAGACAATGGCAAACATCGGATACCAAGAGAGCGAGATCTTCACTAGGCCATCGGAAAACAGCCTAATCAGGCTACCTGAAGGCTCTATCGAAGAAGATCTGGATCTTACTCTGCAGACAGAGGCTGAAGGTACTGCAGGCGCAGTTGCTGTAGGCCGCGTTGAGTACGACATGGACGAGCAAGACGACCGGTGGCTGGAAGCACTCAACGTGCAGCGGAAGGAAGAGGGTGTCGAGGGCATCAAGCCTGCGATATTCGAAGTGACCATCACCCAGATTGAGAAGGAGTGGCACGCGCTGGAGAAGCGTAAGTTTGTGTCGTGCTAAAACGAGATGGACGTAACAGCTAACATGTGAAAGGCATACCAAAACCCAACCCGAAGCCACCTCAAACGCATCGACCACGCTCGAGCAGTGCAGCTGCTGTCAACGGAGAGCCTGCTGGCCAAGGCGAAGAGCAAGATACAAAGTGCGCCATCTGCGATGACGGCGACTGCGAGAACACAAATGCAATAGTATTCTGCGATGGTTGCGACTTAGCCGTCCATCAAGAGTGCTACGGCGTGCCTTTTATCCCAGAGGGACAATGGCTGTGCAGACGGTGTCAACTAGTGGGGCGCGGCACCCCTGTCAGTGAGCTTCCGGTATGACCTGTTCCTACCTGCTTTACCAAATGCATGCTGACACTCACAGGGTTGCATATTCTGTCCGAATATAGATGGTGCATTCAAACAGACAACCACAATGAAGTGGGCACATCTTTTGTGCGCCATGTGGATACCAGAGGTATCACTGGGCAATGCAACATTTCAAGAGCCAGTGCAAGACGTTGAAAAGGTACCCAAGACTAGGTGGAAGCTGGTAAGTGGTCAGGGCTCTTTATCGTCGGAGCAGCGTACTAATCGCGTTACAGTCTTGCTATATCTGCAAACAGAAAATGGGGGCCTGTATACAATGCGGCCACAAGTCATGTTTCGAGGCTTTCCACGTAACATGTGCACGGAGGGCTAGACTATGCCTGCGCATGAAGTCTTCACAATCGTCGAACCCACAAGATACGACTGTGCTCAAAGCTTATTGCGATCGACACACTCCGTCTGATTGGAAGCGTGAGTTTGATGTCGAGAGTGCGATCGCAGATGCGAAGGCCTTCTATCGCCACACCATGCGTCACATTCGATGGCCGGACAGCCAGGCCTATGCGCTCTCCATTGGGTCTTCGCACGCGATGCCTTCCATCGAAGGGCTGGACGACGACACCCCTGGATCTAACAAGCGAAAACGTGGGCAATCCACCAAGTCTTGGAGACTGCCATCTGGAGCTCCCGTTGTTCCCCAAGCTGTCTACCACAACGTTGAGAACACGCTGATCAAGTTCAATGTACGTAAGCGTAAGGAATTCGTGCAAGAAGCCTGCAAGTACTGGACACTCAAGCGCGAGGCACGACGGGGTGCCGCACTTCTCAAGCGTCTTCAGCTCCAAATGGAGGCCTTCTCTTCCATGGAGATTACTCGCCGCAACTTTGCCGGCATGGGCGCAGCTGGCAGACCCCGACTTCAACGACGCATCGAGTTTGCAGAACGTCTTGAAGACGACATGGAGCAAATCCGCGTTCTCTGTGAGATGGTCAAACAGCGAGAAGCTGAGAAGCTCAAAGACGTCTTGATACTACAACAGATTGTCGATTGCATCTACTTTCCAATTCCTCAGCTACTGCAGCCTATCTTGGTTCGAGCACAAACGTAAGCAATCGACTCCTAGATCTTGAACACATACTAACTTGAAAATAGACTCGACAGTAGAGGTTACTTCAGCGATGGATTCAACAAACTCCAAACCAAGCTCGATGAGAAATACTACACCTCGGTGCAGACGTTCAACGACGATGTGGCGGCGGTGTTGAGTGCTGAGCTTGGATCTGCCGCTGTTCCCAACGTTGGCGATGTTGAAGATCAGTTGAATAAGATTTCGCACAGCAATCTGAGCTCTGAGCAGAAAGAACTGAAGAAGGTCGTTAAGCGAATCACCAAGAGCTTACAGCCTTACTTTGAGGACGCAATCCGCAAGGAGTCTGAGCTAGCTGGCCGGCCTTACGAGAAACTACCTGATCTGGAGACGCTCCTCAACCAGAAGCTGCAACGTAGACCCAGCGTTCTTTCTCACGACGAGACTGTCCGACAAACGACGGAAAGCGATCCGACGACTATTGAGGAAGCTCAGGAAATTGCAGTCGACGGGGAAGAAGCTGCTGTGCTCACTCAAAAGCCAGAGGAGATGCAGCTTGCGCCCACACCCGACGAGAACGCTGCAGATGCACATCATGCACATCACACACATGATGAAGCGGCAGACGAAGCCGCCATCGCCATCCAACTTGGCCAGGATGCTCTCCACGTGTCGAGCGACCAGCCCCAGAGCGCATTGGCAGAAGCCCACGTGGAGACTAACGGTCGACCCGAACCTCTCACGCCTCCGAGATCCGAGAAGAACTTACTCAACCCCTTGGGTAATGGCGGCGTCCCCTGGTACTTTGAGCATTTCGACGTACATGGGACAACCGTGTACGAAGAACGATACACCGGTCGTGAGGTACTCCGAGACATGAGTGAGGAGCTTAGCGAGCTAGACGACGACGAGCTCGACGGCCTGGCCGACTCAGATCCAGTCCGGCCCACGGACACACCCGAGTCAAATGTCGCCGCCATCAAGAAAGCCGTAGCGCGCAAAAGGCAGAAGAGATCGAGGGGATGGTAGATTATGCGTTTGAGTTTTCTTTTTATCCTTTTCTTTGGCATGTGCTCACCGAGCCATGTCTTGTATTATCATTGGCATTTGCAGCATAGCTACCTTGATGGGTAGATGAGGTGCTACTGGCGCAGGGCGTTCACATTCGGAGTTGGAACATGATACCGCACTTCGATGGATTGTTTCAGCAGAGCATCTTCAGCAGGAGTAATTGGAGTGGAGGAAGGCTGGTCTGCATGGCGTCTAGTGGGGTTTGGCCAACGAAGCGCCCATTGCGATAGGCTTGATTATGAATATACTTGGTGGTAATGCGCATCATCGCTTGTTTCCTTGACTGATTATTTCACTTCGTTCCTGAAGGTCCTGCGCAAGCAGGGCAGAGCCTCACTCCGAGGGAAACGGCGGTGCGCTAGTGATATTGACGCACGTTGACGTTGACGGCTTAGACGGGGCGACCAGGGCGCTGCTCTTGCCCCTAGCAGTTGCCTCACCTGAGCCTGCGCAGCTGCCGTCAGAACAGGACAGTCAGGACAGTCCTTTGGCAGAGCGAACATCACATTTAGCTACAAATAGCATCTGGCCTCCGCTCTCTCATCACCCTTTCCACTTTTACTCCACTCACTTGCAGCGCAGCTGTCCTTAGCGCGACGCTTACTAAGTAGGGACGCGGCTACCGTCGATCAGCCCTGCCAAAAAACTGCCCAAACTCGCAGCTTCAGCAAACACCTCTCCTCAACCAACCAACTACCAACTCCCCCGACCCACCACAACATCATCACCATGGAGTACGAAAACGAACAGCGCGGCTACGATGGTTTGTCTCTTGCCCTGTGTGATGCCAACGCCCTTACTGACTGGTTTGCAGACGAGCCTCGCGGCTATGAACGCGACCGCAGCAGGTCTCCGCGTGGTGACCGTCGCGACGATGGCGCGCGCGCCCGTAGTGCTTCACCTGGCGGCCGCGACAGCCGGTATGTATCTGCTTGCTTGCTTGTGTAGATGGAATTGTTATTAACGAATACCCAGTGGCCCACCGCCAGAGCGCAGGGACGATGACGATGAGAGCCGCAACTCAGGCTCCAACCTCTTCGTCACTGGCATCCATCCTACTCTCAGCGAGGAAGAGGTCACTCGTCTCTTCGAGAAGTATGGCGAGGTAGAGCAGTGTAACATTATGCGCGATCCTCACACAAAGGAGTCTCGTGGCTTTGGCTTCGTCAAGATGGTCACCTCCGAGCAGGCTGACGCAGCAAAGGAGGGTCTACAAGGAGAGGTCCACCAGGGCCGGACGCTCAGCATTGAGAAGGCTCGCCGTGCGCGTCCTCGTACTCCCACCCCGGGCAAGTACTACGGCCCGCCCAAGCGTGGTAAGTCTATTTGCTGTCTGCATCGTACATGCCGTGCTAATTACATTTCAGAGTTCGGTGGACGTGGTGGCCGGGGCGGCCCTCGCTACAACGATCGCTACACTGACGACCGCCGTGGCGGCTACGGCCGACGCGATGACTACGGTTCCCGCAGCTCAAGATACGACGATCGCGGCTACGGTGGCGGCCGTCGCGACGACTATGGTCCTCGTGGTGTCGACCGCTATGCTTCTGACCGCAGCTACGGTGGCAGGGACGGCGGCCGTGATGGAGGACGCGATGGCGGACGCGATGACCGCCGGGGAGGTGGAGGTGGCTATTACGACAGGCCTCCACCCCCAGCTGCTGGCGCCTACGACGCTCCTCCTCCGCGTGAGGCGTACGGTGGTGGAGGACGCTCGTACGAGGGTGATTACGATCGCTCATACCGCTAGCTCTCAGCTGACCCAGGCAGAACCCAAGCGGTACTAAGTTAGGGTTCGTATGGCTTCCTCGGTTTGTCGCCTCTCTCAGCACTTCATTCCTGTAATCCCATGGCTACTTCACTGGGTTCAGTTTAATACGGCTTTCACACGCACACAAAGGAAATGTGGTCGACAAAAGTTCTTCGATATGGTTCGCAGCAAGGTAGGATCATACCATGATCTGGCGTCTTGCAGCTCGACATCGTCTTAGCCCTTCGTCGGCTCGGTATTTTCCTTGGAGAAACGGTTCAGCACTTCGGTAAATGCTTTCGGGGCAACGTCTATAGCCCTTGGGAGCACCAGTCATCTTGATCGACACCAAATTGTACTTCTATCTACTGCCTTACGATGCAACCTGGACGTCCAGTAACCCGTCCACACCACCTTCCGCATGACCAGCACTGTCTAAATACTCTTCCTATCATCCACCATGAACGCATCCATGTCAACGCAGCCCCGACCCAGTAACATTAATGGGCTTGCCACCGTCGACCCCCGACCATCACAGCAATCTCGCAATGTAAACTCGCTCCGATACGTAACGGATGCTTGAGATGTATCCACACAGCAACCCAGTCGCGTGTTGGTGCCGCGCAACTCGAACAGCATAGTTGGGCAGCTTGCCCGAGGTCCAAAGTCCATGCCAGAACCCGTGAAGATAGCTTGCAGACACGTCGCGATTGCTCCATGCAAACGAAGCGGTGTATGCATGTCTATGCTCCGGGGGTAAGGTACATTCGAAGGTGCGTGCCCCCAATCTCGTTTGTGTCACTTCCTTTTTCGTCACTCGTGCTTTCCTCAACATGCCACTCACAAGCCGAGTCGGAGTCATGCAAATGTCGACTGCACGACAAGGTGAGATCATGACTGCGACACTTACTCGATCTCGGTACCAAAATCCTACTCCACTGTTGTCATCGCCAACATGTAGTTGCAAGTGCTGGAAGGAGCGTGCCAGGCGTTGCGCAACGACTGCGCTTCACCATCATAATCTATGCTTGTGCGACTATTGAGATTCAGTCATCTCTGTCGCACGCATGCTATCACCATCATTGGACTCTGAATCGTCTATAGTCGCTTGATGAATCAAATAACCAACGTTAAACCTAATGCGCTGCTAATGTTCCTCAGCCCCTGCAATATTTGTAGTTTCGTAGAGCCATGTAGAATGCAAATGATGCCAAGTTTAATTTTGATCATGCAGCATGCCATTGTGAGAATACACTTCGACGCTTGTGCCTGGCTAAAGAAATAAGCTGTTCTTGGAGATCCACGGCAGCCGTGGAGCCGCGCGGTGCCCCGACTGAAAGGCCGATGCAGGGTTGGATGCAGCCTGCAGCTGGTAGCGGGCCGTCTCTGGCTTCTTGCACGACCGAACCTCAGCCCAAAGTCAACCGTCGCCATCGCTGCGGCGTCCGTAGCGGGCCACAGGTGCAACGCCTGTGTCTTGTGCGCTGTGACTTGGGTGTAGCGTGAAAGTCCATGGTCTTGTATATCTGGTCTTTCCGCGATGCCTCGCCTCTTTACTCGTACGCGCTCCGGTGGCCTATGTCATTCATTCGTCGTTCCACGTTCGTCACTGCGGAGCTTTCCTTCGACCAACCCCAGCTGCCGCGCGGCGACTCCACCAGCACCGTGAGCTTGACAAGTCCGACCCCAAATGTGCCCGGCTGACAATGCGACAGTATAAGACCATCCGGATCTTACGCTGACCTTGGCGATCTACGCCTTTCGCCCTCTGCCAGTCGTTCGCTCTCAACTCACGCAGGATGACCCGACGAAACGTCACTCCAGTCCTCGCGCTAATCCTCACGCTATCCGTCATCGCATTCTTCTACTCGGGCATAGACTCTAGCCAGGGATGGCGGGGTCTACCACAACACATCGGTCTAGGAGACCACATTGGCAGTGACGAGCGGCCACCTCTGAGTACCGGCACCGCCGAGCCCTCGAAAGATGCGACCCAAGACCCAGACTATGCGAACTGGAACCCGACCCCCGTATTCAAGCCAGGCTCGCCAATGGCTGCAGAACACAATTATACCTCGACGCTGGTGATTGCCAAGACGAAGCATGAGAGTATTGGCTGGATCCTAGACAAGATGCCGGAGCAACAGACAGCTGTCTACGTAGCCGACGACCCCTCCGCACCGCTGCATCCTCCCAAGAACAAGGGACACGAGGTCATGATATATCTCTCGTGGATCATTGACAACTACGACAACCTCCCCGACGTCGCCATCTTCATGCACGCGCACCAGCTGTCCTGGCACAATGACGAGATCCTCGGCAACGACGCGCATCTACTCATAAGTCGACTCAACCGAGCCCGCGTTTGGAGAGAAGGCTTCGTGAACATGAGGTGTAGCTGGAATCCTGGGTGTCCCGATTGGATGCACCCGGCGGAAACTGAGCTGAACCCTCAGAAGCAAGAAGAGATACTCCTAGCCAAGTCGTGGAGCGAGCTCTTCCCCCTCGACGAAGTACCTACCGTTCTCGCACAACCTTGCTGCGCACAATTCGCCCTCTCACGAGAACGCATACAAGCAAAGCCCTACGCGCAATACGTCTGGTACAGAGACTGGCTATTCAACACACGTCTAGAAGACCGCCTCAGCGGACGCATCTGGGAATACGTATGGCAATTCGTCTTCACAGGCCAGAACGTCTTCTGCCCCAAAGAACACATTTGTTTCTGTGATCAATACGGATCTTGTTTCGGCGGCGAAGAGCAATACGCGAATTTCATTGCCCTCAAGAACGAACTCGGAGCCCGGGAAAGGGATCTCAGAGAGTGGGAGGAGAAGCGCAAGGCCATAGAAGAAGCAACGCGAGACAACGATCAGACTAAGCTGCAAGATCTGGAATTACCAGAGGTAGGGAAAGATGCTGAATTTAGACGGGAGATTGATCGCCTGAGACCTATTGTCGATGGCTTGAAACATGATGCTGAAGTGAGAGGGCAGGATCCGAGGATGAGGGCTGAGGAGGTGGGGAGGGAGTGGCATGAGGGGGATGGCTTTTAAATATTCTTTTTGATACCCTGGGTTTTTAGCCGGCGTCTCATGTCGTGCTGTATGGCGTTGGTTTCCATGATCTTAGAAGGGCGTTTTAGCATGCTATTCGGGGAGGGATACTTTGTTGTAAGAAAGTGAATAGTACATCGTACACCACGTACATACCATACTCCAGTCCTTTAATCTTACCATTTCATCATGCGAACAGTTGAGGTTGCCCTTGTTCGTGGATATTCAGATGGGCGCGTTGAAGAGCATGGCTTATCTAATCACCCCAAGCCCACTGGGGCAGTCACATGCGTGCGCGTCATCTGTGCAAACAAGCCAAACTCAACCCCATCCCGAGTTGATTTGGCCCGCTGGCCGGCCCGCTTGTCATTTTCACACGACAGCAATCAGGTGTGTCTGCTGATCTGATTCCTACCATCTCGCATCAAACCAAACCACGATCCTAATCTCCGCACCTCGATGCCAGCTTACGTCGCCGAGACGGATCAAACTGCACTCCACCCTCTCCTCTTGTCGGGTCAAACTATGCTTTGCCCTTCCCATCGAATCGCAAATGATACTTTCTTGCGCTCAAACCAAACCATGTCGCTGCTTCGATGTCAAACCAAACCTCGTGGGCGCTTGCACACAAAAGAGATTCGGCGTCGCGCTCGCCCTGTAGACGTATCGAGTCTATTCCCACTCGCAGTCCAACTTGCATGAACTCAGCTGCTGTCTCAATCTCAACTTTTGATCCAAAGACTTACCATCTGTGCATTGACAGCTCACACGACCGATCCCTTCCAGCCCTGTTTGGCTCCTATCGTCTGAGCCGTCTGATCTCGGGGGATACGAGCCACGATGCGGGCAAACGTCGACGCGCCATACTACCAGATGCGCCCCGGCCAATTCGTCACCACGCCCAACAGTACAAACAGTGCACCGCCCCCATTCGCGTCCGACGACGATGAATATGACTTGTCTGGTCCCGCTCCTCTCGCATCGCCGCCCCAACACCATCTCAACCCACATTCATATGCCGAACGCACTGCCCGTCAGACGTCAGACGATCACACACTGGAGGAGAACCATAACCTCGTTGAGTTACTGGAGGCTGCGACAGCTGCGGGTCAGGTGGCATATGCTATGGATACTGGAGATGGTATAACGGCGACTCTCCCACTTCAGGATAAAGGCAAGAGAAGAAGGGGTATCAGCTCCCCAGCCGAGGATGCATCGCATCAAGCCGATGGGCCTGTCAACTCTAAGCGAAGTAGAAGCGGCGGAGCTACCGATCCTCGGCTTCAGATCCATGGCCATGGCATGTATGGTGACTCTGTCGATGACACTGTACCGCCTTCTAGTGAGTCTCTACTGAACGATGCCCGCGCCGCAGGCGTACACTCAGCCGCCGCTCTCTTCCGCCGCTCCTCCGAAAGAACCTCTCGCAAATACACACGACCGCCAATGTCGAAGCTGTTCATGTCCCTCCAGCTCAGCCCTGAGAACTTCCTTCAACTACAAGCTTTAGCAAAAGGCTACATGCTCGACACATCACATCCGGAGCGGCAGAGCTGCGTTGGAAACCGTGGTAAAGGCGATACCGACATGGTCAAGTTACGGCTTTTCAACTGCGTCCGAGACTTCCTGAACGAAGGGGTCGGTGAGCAGTTCTTCGGCGAAGATGTCGAGAAGCCGGGCGAGAAGGATGCGATAGAAGCTGCTCATGCATTAGGAGAAGACAAGTCTCTTGGTCCTGGAGAGAGACTGACATGGCCAAGGGACGGGAACAAGATTATTAGCCTTGTTACTCCGTTGATGCGACGAATGGTCACGAACGAGCGGCAGCGACAGTATGCGATCGAGACCAGAAAGGGCGGCGCGAAGAAGAAAGACAAAGAGGGTAGTGCCGAAGCTATGCCTCAGCAAGGCGAGGATGATCCAGGACGTGAAGTCGAGCAGCAACCACAGCCGGTCTTCGATGACAGCCTGGCTCATCATGCGTCGCCGTCACATTACACAGCTTCATCGACACGACTCACGACCGTGACGCCGCAGCTTTCTTTCCGAGGGAAAGATGGAACGTCAGACTCTAGAGAGGTGGTCGAGTGCAGCGCAACAAGACAGCCGAATTTGAAGGTAAGATCGTCTGCTTCATCCTATTGTATGGTTGACGCCGCTAACCCACAGCAAAGTTACCCACGACCAGCTCCATTGAACCCAGTCTCTCGCACATCAACATCTTCCTCGTACTCGCCTCATCGAGCGGCAGACCAGGCATCAAGCTCGACGAGAAGCGCATCACAGCCGAACCAAACGCACACTTGGCATGGTATGACTATAATGACTTCATGAGAGAGGTCATTCTCCTCGTCAAGGCCGCCAGAGACAGATACCCTGAGCTCAGCATGAGCATCGCTGCTCACGACGTCGAGCCCGGCACAGATAACCTTCGCGGACTCGCTGCTGCCGCCAATGCACTGCAGACGGAGCATGCTCTGCGCGGAACATCGTCTTCATTTAACGGTCTCGCTCAAGTAGCTATGGAAGACAACGTCTCTAACTTTCCCACACCAACCTCGGCGACGAGCAACCACCCCGCCTTTCCTGTCGACAGTCATGCGGAGACCAGATCTCTTCCCCGTTACGCTATCAAGTCTATTGGTCCGCAGGGTTGGCGCGATATCCGCAATGCGGATAATTGGTACAGTGTGCTGAGGGAGAAGGCGTTTGCTGTGTGGGCGGATGGCGTGTGTAATGTGCTTGTTGAGCTTGTGGAGTTTGCTGGGGCGGTGGGATAAGTTTGGGTCTGGGCAAGGTATGGTATGGTATGTGTTGCAGAGTATCTATTCCATCGGAGTATCTGTCACCTCGTCGTATTGCTATGGAGTATCGTTTACATGACATAATAACCATCTTTCTCCTACCATTTCATTCAGTAGTGGTGGACATCACATACTTGGGCCTGGGCCTTCGATCATGGCTTCTCTTCCCATCCTTCTCAAGCACTTTCTCAAGCACCTTCTCGCACTCCTCTTTGGAAATCACTGGACATGCCGCACACCGCCGATGGCCACAATTTTCGTTCTCATTCCTACCTTGACACCTGCCAGCTCGGTCCGGATTGTGCGCCGTTCTCCTAATCCCCGTGTAAGTCATCTTGGGGGCAGCCTTGTAAATTACGGCGAAGTTGTCAACAACAATCCCGTGGATCTCGTTGGGCAACTCTCGGACAACGACATATGGCCCTTCGAACATTTCGCGGATACATTCATACTTCTCGTACTTATCTCGGATACCCTTGTCGGGCACATCACAGAAAGTGTCGGACATATCTTCGCAGTCACCGCAGTGATAGCAATCGTAGCTCACGCTGAAACCCCGATTTGCACGCCAGGGAGGTGTGTTCTTCCAGTGTCGGACACAGTTTGGTCGGCTTGAATCGCTCTTGCCAGACCCTTGCTTCAGCCGTGAGTCTGTGGCGCGTTGAGATCGTCGGTGACAGCGGTGGTTTGGCGACTTGGGTATATTGCCGCGGACGCCGTTACACGGAAGCTGGGTATTTGGGAGGTCTTGGTTGGATATAACGGGGTATGAAAGAAGACCTTTGTTTCTTCCTGGTATATCTCGTGAGTTTTGGATAGGCTGAGGGTGCAAGGCTTCAGTATACAGCCTACTCTCCCTTGGTGCGGGGGCGGATGCGGCTTGGCTAGTGGATACGCGCCGGTTAGGGTTGTCTTGAGCCATTGCTTCGCAAGGAAGTCAGTGATAGTAGGGAGTTTCGATGAACGAGCCAGCAGACCTTTCTTGTAGACAGAACAAGAACTGATGGAAGTGTTACCTGACTGATGATGATAGTCAGAAGAACGGATGTGAAAAGAGCGTGATGAAGATCTTGTGATAAAGATGAAGCCACGACTTTGTTTGCTTGAAGTTATGAGACAGTTCAGGTGCTGTCTGGTGATTCTGGCTGTGTTCTATCGTGTTCGCATGTTCATGACCGTGATATTTGAGCGTTGTCTGGGTCGCATGGAAAGAAGTGGTAGTAGCGACGAGCTGAACACTGTCTTGTGGAAATGAGACATGCGTTTATTGTCTTTTGTTGCATCGCTACACATCATTTCCTGCACGTCCACCTTCCTTGAAATTAGACATTCGGTCACTGTTGTGTGTCAACTAGATCGGCCCGCGCGAAGGTGCCGTAGGTGAAGATATCATCCGACACCGTCAACTTTGCAAACTTGCCAATGTCAGAGTCCATCACAATCGGCGGCGAATAACATGTACAGCTCTCCCTCACCCAGCCTTGCGCAATCTCATCATAAATCACTTCCCCACGCACGTCCCTTCCATCTCATGTCCCCCCGTGCCCAAAACTGCGATAAGGTGTGTATCCCATACCAGGCGGCGTGCGGTGTCCGTGATAGGCAGGCGGTCGCGCCAAGCCATAGATTGTAGCGAACGTCGTTCGCCCAATTTTACCCCTCCTTGTTAGGCACGCAATAAGCTTTCGGAAGCTGCGTAGTGCGCGCTACCTGCACCCTTTTCAACGTCTGCCGTTACGTCAAGCGTGCCCCCGGTGTCCTGGACTGTGGAGCGCTTCATGTGGGGACGGATGGGCTGAGGTCTGGCTTTGGGCATGGGGGCGTGGTTCTGTCAATGACGTACGTTCGTTCAAGAGACGCAGTGTTGTCTGGATTTTGGCCTGCGCATGCAACCACCTGGACTACTGTCAGATCTTGAGCGCACCGATGCTATTCGCGATCGTGGCACCCATGACGTCGCTCTGCTTCCGGTCCGCTCCTCCCCCCGTCACTCCCGTCCGTTGACGACTTCTCAGAAATGCGGTACTGCACTGTGATCTCGTTCAGGTTTGTCAATCTTCGCTGAGAAATCACCGGGGGTTAGCACTATACGAGATACCCGTACCATGGCGGCCAGTACCAATCAGTTCCTTGCGTGGATATTCAACAGCCTCTACAGTCTCGCTGTCATGTCACCGATCTTGGCAGGGTGCCACGAACCGTAGAAACTGAATGCTCATGGTCCCATGGAAGCTCTTATAACACTCGACTGATCGACGGGAGAAGTCTCTGTCTGAGGTACCAAGGCTACTGATTCGGAGATGACATCTGCCGTATAGCACCTCTGCGACTTCAGCTCTTAATGACTTGTCACGCGCGAATCTGCGTAGCAGGAAGCTGGAGTGGCTATTGAAGACATTCGGAGAGAGCGGGTGTCGGTGCGCGCGGTATTGTTACAAATGTCTTCCTCCTCTGTCCATCTAGACGTACGCTCATTGACGACATTGTGCGCGATTCTCACCTCTCTTTACAGTGCGAATGGCGACGATCTAACTGTCCGTTCCAAACGAGAAGTGCCGTGCCTCTCGGAGGTTTACGCGGGAAACAAGTGCCGAAATCTGGAATTGATTGCAATAGTGTAGCACTGTGACTAGGTCTTCAATATCAACGCGGGGATTTCTCAAGGTCATAGCCGTTATTGGTCACATGCAGAGGTATTTAATCAACGGGTAAAGCATATACACACCAGAGACCATCGATGCCATGGAGCAGGGTGACAACAAGATACCAAGACGCGAAGCTATTGACAATCCTTCAGCTTAAGATCGTGGGCCGTCCTTCGCGCATCTTGCAGTAAGAATACACCCACAAGAACCATACAGAGACATACGACAATGAAGTGGTATCAGATCGCCGCTCTCGCAGTGCCTGCTCAGGCCGCACTACGCTTCGGATGCTCAACCTTGAGCATCCAACGGCTTGACCCGCTGGTTGAGCCAGGCAAACTTCCTTCAGCTCACGTTCATCAAATTGTTGGTGGAAACGCGTTCAACGCGACCATGAAGGAAGATCCATCCACTCTAGCCACCTGCACGACGTGCACATTCTCCGAGGACTTCAGGTTTGACAGCTCCGGATGCACATCTTCCAATGGACGCTGACAGATATAGCAACTACTGGACTGCGGCGATGTTCTTCAAACACACAAACGGCTCGTACAAACGCGTACCTATCATGCAGAACGCGGCCTTGCCTAACGGCATCAACGGCGGAATGAGTGAGTGTTACCATACTGGACGCAAGTGAGACCTACACTGACTACGTATCTACCTTTTCGCAGCCATCTACTATACACAGCAAGACTTCAACACGAATGGTAACCAGAAGATTACCGCGTTTCCCAAGGTCAGTCATACCTCGGACTTCGGAATACTCAACAACCTACTAACCGGCCCAGGGTTTCCGAATGACTGTAGGTTCGCCTACAACCAATACGGTAGAAGATGCCAAGAAGCACCCAGGGCTTCGGTTCGTATGTTTGCAAGACAAGAACACCCGCTTTCCCGAGAGCCCAGACTTCCCGCCCAAGGCCTGCAAAGGTGGCATCATGACCGTGCATCACTTTCCCTCGTAAGTAGTCGCCTTGTAAGAATCCAATGCGAGAGGGTGCTGACATATACGTCAGTTGCTGGGACGGCAAGAACGTCGACTCGCCCAACCACCAAGATCACATGTACAACACAGCTAAGGAAGCCTTCGCTGTCGCCGGCGCATGCCCATCTTCGCACCCAGTCCGCATGCCACAGGTTGCCTACGAGACACTCTGGGATACCACACAGTTCAGTAACATGTGGCCCAAGGACGGCTCCAATCCCTTCTTCCTTTCTTACAACGACAACAAGGGCTACGGTACCCATGCGGATTACCTCTTTGGCTGGAAGGACGACAGTCTGCAGAAGGCTATGGACAACAATTGCATGTTCCAAGCTTGCGAGAATGGAAGGCCTTTGAAGGTATGTGATGCGGTGTGGTTTCTTGAAGCATGGTATGGCTGCTAACGAGGAATTGTAGAGCCAGAATGTTCAGGCCATGAACCAATGCCAAGTCAAGAGCGCTATCAAGGAGAACATAGATGGCTGTAAGTTCTTCTTCCAGTCGCACTGTGACGTCTCTATACTGACAACCACTCTCAGGGCTTGACCATATGCCCGGTATGGCAATGTAGGCGAGTGGTAAGGGGAAATACGAGTCAAGGCGCTCGTACCTTCGGCGATACCAAATTGTGATCTACTTCATCTGCAGACTTCGTATCTACACAAATTCAGTCGTTTCTGAGTCACGTTATGTCGTCGTTTGTGCCATGTCCTCGGAGATGCCTTCGTGACTCCGTCTCTAAAGACGGTGTTGATGAAGACGCGACAGGCCGCATCGCAGTCTAGACTTTTCGGCAAGCGACCCCGCAAGCCATCGTACATGCTTTTTCTCCCGTCCAGACCCTCAAACGCCACATTCCACGCAACACTCGTCTCCTTCATCGTGAACCGCAGATATAGACACAGCTTACGCATTATATCATGCGCGCGACACCGTGCAGCTCGGTGCATAGCTCAGTCGTTTCACCACCAGGATGGTGCTCCGATGCAGCCCGACCTTTGCGCTGGCTCCACCACGATGCCATGTACCGGGAACCCGCAATTGGCAGACAGCGGCGGGCCGTGCGTCCACGGAAACCACGTTGCGGCCACGTGGTGAGCATGCATTTTCATGCAGGCGCTCGGACGCTGGATGAAAGGTTCTGCCGTGCTGCCGCTTTGGGGAGCATGTGGGGTTGGGTAGGCGATTGCGCATGTGAGGACGTGGTTGGGAGGTGTACGGATTGGTGGGCGATGGGGGACGGGGTTGAAGCTTGGGGTTGCTTTGGCTACTGGTGGGTAGGCAAACCTTATCGGCGACGCATCTGCAAGATCATTTTGACGTGCATTTCCTCACATGCGCTCGTCGAAGGGCGGTCAAAATTGACTGGAATGGAAAGGGGGCGGCACTTTGTGCCCTGACGTTCAGCTGCTCATTGCCAGACTGCAGCATCCTCCGGTGCCCAAACGCCTGGGCGTGCTGATTAACTAGTACGAGGCATCAGCTGCGGTCACATCCAAGAAGCCGAAGCTGCATTGATTAGCCACCTAGGGACTTCGGGCTGACGGATGATGGGGCATGCAATACTGTCCATAATCACTACTCCATCTTCTCGAGGCATCGATGTCTCATAGATAATGCAAGGAGTGTTCCGTCAAGGACAAGCGCATGGCTCATGACAAGACCAAACCAGGAGCGGCAATGCGCGGGCACCGGTGGAGACGCAGCTAAACCTAAGCAACACGGAGCCCTGTAGCGGCCAACGTGGGTTCTGGGTTCCCGCCGAAAAACGTGGCATAGGCGATGCAAGCGTGGGCGGTGCTCGAGGGGATTGGTCGGGTGTCGCGGTCGGCGTGAATGGCTTGAGTGGAGGCTGACTGCATGCAACTCACTTAGCACTTTATCGAAATGCAAGTGTCCCTACATGCAGTGTCCTTACGTGTGGCCGTTTCAGAGCCGTCTGGTGGTTGTCATGATGCCGGTGGTTGTGGTAGAGTGGTTGCTCCTTCCTTGCTTACAGCCGCTGCTGCCTACATAACCGTGTCGCGTTCTTCGGTGCCTTCTCGATACGCGTCTTCACCACGCACACACCATTGGCCGTCTGCAAGGCTGACGTTTGACAATCCTATCAAACACCATCGCCGCCCGTTGCGACTCGCTAACCGTCGTGCCCCTGCGCGTGCATCTTGCTACTCACGACGCCCCTTGCCGATCTGGGCCCTTTGAAACGCGCAGGAGTAAGACAGGCTGAGCACAGGACTTCTACCGACTACAACACCCATCTCCTCGCTTTTCTCTACAACCCCAGCACGGACAACGGCCTCTGACTGTTGTGTTTGCTTGCGCCCTCTCTTATACCCTTCAATCGCCGTCGTGCGATCGTGCTTCCGGCGACCCTAGCAAGCAGCACGCTATCCCCGCCCACGTACTAACCACCGGACTCGCCGTGGCGCGCATCATGACAAACTCTCTCGAGTCCTCGCGGCCCATGCTTGCCAACGTAAGTCATTCTCCCGTATCCACTGCCCGTTTCAGACGTCCCCTGCGTGTGGTCGATGCTCGCCGAGGAGCACCTGCACTGCTTGCTTGATCATTCACTCCTTTGCGCCTTCCCTTCCCTTCACACTCACCACACAAACACTTGCCTTTGCGCTCCAACACGCCCGCACAAACACGCATACCACACGGCGACCATGTCGGAACAAACACAATCTAACGAGAAGAAGTCGGCCGCCAACCGCGCATCAACCCGCATGTCCACCTACAGCGCCACACCCACCCTCACACCCTCCATCGCGCCCTCGCACCTCTCGCAAGCCTCGTCAACAGCCGGCGACCCAAAGTCACACGACATCAAGACATGGAACGCGGGATTTGACCGCCTCGAAGACAAGCGCCTGGTCCAACAACGGTACGCCCTCAACGAGCGCAAGACAGACGACATGAGCAAGCTGGCGCTGGGAGCAAAGCTGGACCGCGCACTCGCCCGCCGCATGTCTGGTCAAGACGCTGTCTTCCGGCCAAAGGGCGCAGAGAAGAAGGAGATTCAGGCATAAGCGCGAAGAGATGCGTCGCGATACCACTTCTTTATCCTTTCGTTACAAAGAGCCATGATTCGATAGCTGCTTACAGCCACAGCCGGCTATGCACACGGTCATATTCCTTATGAGGCACCGATTTCGGGGGGGTTAGCGTGCAAGATATACTTCTCGCGGGGGGATTGAGCACACGCAGGAACGATGAGGGGCCAGACGGCGTTTCGCTGGACATGGGCGACAGTCGAACTCGAATCACGGCATGCAGCAGGGGCATCAAGGCTGCCATGGAGGACTATCATCGCTCCTCGAGGCATGACAGCTGCTTCGGATTGAAAGCTTTCTTCGATACTACTATACCAAGGCGTTACAACTTTCCTACTACTAATTCCATTTTACACCGTTTCAATGCTGCGTTTTGTATTGTTCACGGCCTTTTCTGCTTCTCCTAGCGCCCGCCTACTTTCTCACCTATCTACCGAAATGCGAATGACTCGAAATCCCTCTCAATATCTATGCACGCACATGTGAAGATCGCCCTCAAACCAACCAACGCGCGTCTTGCAATCAATCCCGCACCATACCACGCATCATCATCCCGCGATTATCATCATATGCCGCGCATTAATCAACCGCACGCGGCACGTCAAACGTAAGTAGTCAACCCGCGGCTCGGCACACGCTGCATGCGTGTTGATCCCCTTTGTTTGTTTGGTCCTGTTGATCGCTTGCCCATATCGCTTGCTGTTAACGTCATTGTGGATGTAAGGGGCTTTTGGCTGGTTTGCTTACCCCTAAGATCGGCGCCCGGAAGGGCCGTTTTGGGTATGGCGGATTGAGTGGGTTGGACGGATCTGTGTGGCGGAGTTGGGTCCGCGTTTGACAGACTTGACAGCGCCGAGAGAGGGAGGGCGGCCGTTGGGGCTGTTGAGTGATGGTGTTTATTGGAGTGTGTGTAGCTATGGATTGATAGTGGCAGAGATACTTGTTTGGGCGAGAAGATATTTTTAATCTTCAATGTCTTGTAAGGTATAGGAAGAGGTTTTCCGGAGGGTGTGGTAGGTAGGTTTCGATAGATCGCTTGCTCTCATGAACTTTATGTTTCGCGAACTTTGTCTTCGCTGCAGGTACTACTAGTTGCATTCCCCCTCTGTAGTTCGCGAGTTTGGATGCTAGTGACTTGTTCTAGACTATTGGACATATCTAGTCACTGTACGGGCGCGTTCCTCCGTTCTTCATCCAAGCCCCCGATGCTATCCTCCGAGTAGCGGTAGCATGATGTGGTCAGCATATGGGAAGCGCTGCATACGGATGCTTCCAATATCGTCCGTATGTCTCTGCTTAGCTCTACAGAGTACTGCCACCGTCTAGACGTTCCACGAACCATTGCATCCTCCATTCTGCTCTTCCTCCATCCATGGAATCCTCTCTTCTCCCCTCCCCTTTCGCCATCCAACTCTTACCACATCACCAAAACTTCCCAGTCTTCCTCCGCTCGTTGGCCAACTCCAGCTGTTCTCTGATCCCTCTCAGTTCACCCCTGTGCCTTTCGTGTGTCTCCTCTAGGAGTCTTGCATGCTCCTTCTTCAGCTCCACAAATTCTTCTTCTAACTTCTCGTGCCAGGGGTAAAGGACAAAGATTTGAAAGCAGAGGGCTGAGGAGCCGATGAGGAAGTTGGTGAGCGAGAAGGTACGGGTTATCAGCATGGCGGACTTCTTTTGGCTGAGCGCTTGACGGACTGGTCCAATGGGAAGTTTTGACAAGGAGATGCGTGCGTTGGTGTACAGAAGTGCGGATTTCAAGGGACGCGTATTGTGGAGTAGACGTTCTTGCGTGTTGAACTCGCTTGGCACACTTCTTTCGCGAGTAAACTCGGGTAGTAGATGGACTTCGAGATAGCAAAGGCGTCGAAAGTAACGTTGAGCAAAAGATATGTTGTAGAAAATGGGCAATGGGAGAGGAACGCGGTAAAAGAATCGAGACCGCCAACTGCGCGTACAAGCTGCACTTTACGACCCAAAAGTCGCTCAACATCAAGTCACATGCCATACTACCTTACGTTCCAATTGGGTCTTGCTCTTGAAAGTGGCATGATGGTTGCTGTTTTGGGCCAAATGGGACTAAAGCCGAAAGAAAATCAGACCACCCCGCGAAACGAACGGCAACTCTACACATCGGCGTACCGGTACATCATCGATGATGTTGAAGTGCATGATTCTTTGTAGGATGCGGGTATTGAGGAAAAGGGATCGTATTGATGTGTCACGAAAGATTTGGTTTTGTGATGCGCCGTGGTGATGGTTGCGGGAGGCACGCGACACCTGAGCACGGACTAGCGCTGCGCTAACCTGAATGCAACCCGTGGACGTGGGTTGGCAATTGGAAAGAGCATGTCCCCACTTCTTCACTACATTCCAATCTGAACAACAGCTCTTTCAATCCGAATACAGTCTTATGATGGCGATATCGAAGCACCTCCGGCATGCTGGTAGTCAAAGAGCAGACCCTGATGACGTCCTCTTTAGCCACTTCAAGCATACGTCATCATGATACGAATAGCACCAGTGGCGCTGGCGTAGCACGAGTATACAAGCAGTGGCGCTGTAGCATCGATGCCTCCTCTTCACCATACCAAAAGATACTGCAGAGTGACAGCAGAAACCCGACATGACAACTCCCAACATCGAGCTCCTCACAGCGGCCACGCCCAACGGCCAAAAGATCTCCATTTTCCTAGAAGAACTCGGCATTCCCTACAAGACTAGCGCAATTGATCTATCCAAAGATGAGCAAAAGTCCGCCTCTTTCCTCAAAGTCAACCCCAACGGTCGCATACCTGCGATTGTAGACCACACCCGTGACTCGTACCCCGTTTTTGAGTCTGGAGCCATCTTCCTCTATCTCGCCGAACACTACGACAAAGACTTCAAGTTCAGCTTCCAGGATAGTGACGAGAAGATGGAAATGACACAGTGGCTCTTCTTCCAGAACGCCGGTGTGGGCCCAATGCAAGGACAAGCGAATCACTTCGTGCGCTACGCACCCGAGAAGATTGAGTATGGCACGAAGCGATACAAAAACGAAACAAAGCGGCTTTACTCGGTACTAGAAGCGCGACTCCAGGATAGAGACTATCTGGCAGGGAAGGGTCGCGGGAAGTACAGTATTGCCGATATCACGACTTTTACATGGGTTCGGTGGGCGCCATGGGCGGGGATTGAGATGACCAAGTTTCCGAAGCTGAAGACGTGGTGCGAGGAGATTGAGAAGAGAGATCCGGTGAAGAGAGGGCTTTTGGTGCCGTCGGGTGAGGATCAGATTGAGAAGTTGAGGAGGAATCCGGATGTGCAGGATCCGTTTAAAGCGTGGGTTAGAAAGGGTCAGAAGGAGATTGCGGATACGCATGGGAACTAGCAAGCCCATAGTACAAGACATTGCTAAAGATAGTACCCCAGCTTAAGTATACAGTACCTTGAAAGCTATCTAGTTGTTAAAAATTAATCGTAGTATGTATGCAGCAACATGCGACACGAGCCCTAGCCACCCCTGGCGCCCCTACTGCATAACCCTACGCGTGATCCTCAAAATACCCCCACTCTCATGAATGAAATCGAAAAAGCCTTCTTCATGGTTACAGGAAACGTTATAAAGGAAGGCATGACTGAGTTCCCGAATCGTCAAGGCTCCGTCCTTTAGGAATTGAAAGATAGTGCCGTTCTTGAGATTGGGATCTAAAGGATATACCGAGGAGCCATTCACAATGATCATTTCGTAATCACGATCGATGGGTCTGGTACGAATGTGATATGGCTCCGCATCGTTGGGCCGGAAATACTGTATCTCCAATAAGTCATGCTCGCTAAACCCCTCGGTAGCACCGATGAGCGGACCGTAATGGAAGTTTGCCTCGAGTGGAAGTAGTTTGGCGAAGAAGGTCGGTGATGCCCATTGGGTGATTTCTCGGTGCAGCATCTTGCGGAAGCGGACCAACTGTAGCCAGCGGGCGAAGCCAGATCCTCGATACCAGAAGTCTTTATCAGCGCGTCTGTGTGCTGTCAGTAGAGAAGTAAGGACATGGTAGGCAACAAGCCATCGTGTTTCGCGCTGCAGATATCCGACGTATTGAGGGAAGGCAGACTGGTCGTAGTATATGAGGGCGGCGCGGATACATTGCATCACGATTTCGCCTTGTTGGTGATCTAGTAGCTCTGTAGTCTTCAGACATAACTCTGAGTTGCTGGTTTCGTGCGTAAAGAGCGCAGTAATAGCTGCGCGACCTTCGTCTGTGAGACGTGTAATCTTGCGAGACGGTGGCTCGCCATGGCCAAAGAGCGTAGCAATCACAGCGCGACCCACATCCACGGTCGACAATGGTTTAGTATAGCCTCTTATCTGCTCGATAATCTGAGATGCATTGCGGTGGTACCATTCGTCCAAGAAACGGGGAAGAGCAGACCAGAAACCGTCTTCCTGCAGTGCGTCCTCAATAGTCGGGCCAGAAGGATACAGCAGCTGTGAATCTTTGGTTTCGTCGTCGTTGTATTCAATCTGGCTATTAAGTGCTACAAGGCCGTCGTAGAGTTGAGCAGTTTGATGGTAGATATTGTCCGAGTTATTCGGGGGCTCCACATGCGGCTGTGGGATCTTCTCGAAGAGCTCACGACGGCAAAATGGACATAGGTTGCTGACTTCCTCTCCGTCTTGCGTTGCAAAGGTTATGAGAAGACAGTCTTTGTGAAGAGGATGTCGAGAGCAGTGAGAGCTTGGCTCGACGACTTCTTGGGCCGGATACTCCCACTCACCACGACATATAGCACAAGTTGGCTCGTCCGCTGGAGGTGCGACTGGGCGTAGGTTGGCAATGTATTCTTGTTTCGACGGGAGCCACTCGATCTCAGCCACTGTTTCGTCACCGTATTCTGTAGGCATGGTCTTGGGTCAAGCGATGCGGGGTCGAGAAAGTGGTGTGGAGGGTGAAAAGGAAGTGAACGATCACTTAAGTGTCTAGAATAGATGATCGTGTATCAACAATGCGCAATGGTTATGTCGTGAAAGCACAAGAATTGAGATGTGGAAACGTGTTTTGCCGACTGCATTAGTGTACAAGATAAAGTTGACGAAATACTGAGGTAATGTAGACTTTCAGGGAGATGGATGTTCAGTTCTTTCCTTGTATGAGATGCTTCATCATAGGGGTTGCCAAAGCATCTAATATGAGCCCACCGTGTAAAGCCTATGTCTATCGTCTGTGACTAAGTCTAAGCCCATATGATATGTCTTCTAACCACATTCATCTCCTCGAGCGTCGAATTTGCACGTTCGCCACCCTTCCAACTATCATCATTCAGCGGTGAGACTAGCGCACTTTCGGACGACCTTTTCTTCTCGCGACCTGAATCTTCAATGGGCTCAGGAGGTACTGGTGGGGGCGCTGGCGCTCGCTCAACCTTTACAAGCATCGAAACCGTATTCAGAGCCCCATTCGGTAGGAAAACACAGATCTCAGTAACCCATCGATTGTGGCCAAACTGAGGCTTGTGCTGGAGGAGGAAATACATTACTGCTACAAGGTTCGGCGATCCTGAGAACTGGTAGTTAGTGCATGTACTGTGACTGTTGAGAACTTGAGAGCTTCTGGTGGTGAACATATCAGAGAAATCTGCAATCGTATACATACCCAGTAGAGCAGGAAAGTTCTCATTCCCAGCTCTAAAAGTGTATCCTGGCGCCTTCGGCAGAACCTTCTGTCCCGCATTGTCCATTGCTCTACTGATGATCTTGCGCGTTTCCGTGTTTACAATTGCCACCGTGAAGAAGTAGTTGATGTTGGACAGGCTTTCTTTGCTATGCCTGTTCCAGAGACCCCAGGCAATATCCGAGCTTTGTCTGAGGGCAGGCAATTTGTCCAGCTTGACGGAAGGTACCCCCCACATCTTTACCGCCGCGTTTGCAGGGCTCACACGTTGAAGAAAGAAGACAATACCAGCTTTTGGATTTATACCAATGGTGAAATCTGCGGTGGTAACCTAGAGCAATGTCAGATACATTGCGTCAAGTTTTAGCCCTATCGAATTCTACGTGCTCACATACCCTGTATCTGCGCCCATCAACGTTGTAGTATTGTTTCCTAGGATCGGTTGGTATTTTACCGTTCTCATCTTTCTCCAAAGTAGGACCGTCTTGATGCTGGATTGTGTAACAGATGTTGTCCCCTCCCTCACGTGAATCCCTATCATCTGCATGTAGCTCTTTAAGCATATCTTGGAGGCCGTGGTTTTCTTCCCCCATGACACAGTTTTCCTCCGCGTCGCTAACTTCCGAGTACCCAAGTTCCGAGTAGCCCCAAACTGCTAATTCGTGTTCGAGCGTTCCATCCCAGGGAGTAGTCATTGGTTGGCAGATCTTACCAGCCTCTGGAAGGTTCAAGCTCGTGGCTAGTACTAACTTCTGGCCTTTGCATACCGAATCATTCCATAGAACGTCATCGGCGGGTTCTGTCGTGGAAGTGTCAATTAATACGGCGGTTTCGACCCTGTCTTCGTCGATAGCGGCGCTGGAGATATTGGAGTGAGAAGAGTCGAAGACGTCAGCGGTGGCAGAGGCGAGAAGAAAAGCACCAAACGCCAACAGCTTCGAGATCATCGCGGTAGAATCGAACGCTGCTCGCAAGGCGGTGGAAGTATTGGCGAGAGTCAAATCGTGTCTAAAGTAAACTCATCTGGGTACAGATATAAGTTGTCGGCGCGCAAAGGCCACACAGGTTCGGGCTTTTCACGTTTGTAGCAATGAAAGGTCGAACAGTGCGAAAGCGCAGAAGTCTCTCATTTCCTATCGAACATCTGATATTTGGAGGAAATGAAATGTTTCTGCTAACGAGAGTCACAATATCTCACACCGTGTGGATTAACTTCCTCAATCCGCGTTTTTGATCCGAGTGTCTCAAAGGTGAATGCTACCTAGGTACACGTACGTATGCGGACGGACCAATCTGAGTAGAAGAGACGTCATCGCGACCTCCAATAAAGTTTCCAAGTAGAAACATAGCCTAAGATGGTCAAAATAGCTGCTGATTTGAATACGCGCACCCTCTTCTACCAGCAGATGAATGCAACAGGGAGGCCATGGCCGGTATCTACAAGATATAGTTTAGGCTAGTTATTCTCGCCATCGCCTTCTTCATCATCGTCATGTCCTCCTTCATCATCGCAATCATCGAATGCCCATGAAGAGTACCACTCGTTATTCATATCGCGCACGGTATTGGTACCGCAGTGGACCTCGCCGCCGGAGTTGTGATGTGTATTCCAGTCGTCGATGTAGATGACATCCATGCCCACACTGGCGTACAGCGACTTGAGCTTCTCCGCAAGAACATCCGTACCGTTCACAACGGGACCCCAGGGGTTGGGAGCAATATATGTACCAAAGTCGGTCAAGACAATGCCGTTGATAACACCGGGAAAGAGCGCACCGACCTTCAGCTCATCTGTCGCGTTACCTGAAGAGTTTCCGCCCAATGTCGAGCCATTTGTCGCATTACCGGAAAGAATTGCGGAAAGGTCGCCGAAGGGATCTCCGTTGAACATCTCAGGTAGGCGAATGATCTCGTCGTCAGTAATTCCTGTCGCCTCTTTGAGAATCTTTAGATTGCCCTCGATACGCTCGGCGCAGCGCTTCTGCACAGATATGAGGTCCTCATTGGCAAGCAATTCACTAATAGTGATCGGCGGAACGGGAATAGCAGCACAGGCGGAATCGGAGGTGCAGTTGTCGAATGATTGGCTGTCGTTCTTGCGCGAAAAGGCATGCTCTGATCCGTATCCGTTGTCCTCTAGCTGCTGGAGCATTTCGACGCTCATCATGGGATCGGTAACCATAACGACCCAACCACGAGGCGAATCGACAGGGATGAACTGGATAAATTCGTCAACGTGGCCGATGACCAGCCAGTCTGTATCGAGAAGGAGGGGATCTTGTGTCTCTTGAGCTTGGAAGAAGGGAAGCATGAAGTGTTTCTGCTCGCCATGGTTGCCAAGAATCAGACGACCGGCGGGCCAAGTTGTGCCATTGAACTCGTAGGGAGGAATAGTCTCGATGTTACCACCGGAGTTGATCTCATCGCGGGCACCACCGAGCTGCTGGACAGCACCAATACCAGTGTTGCGGTAGTATTCGAAGAGCTGTCTGCCGGCAACGCGCTCGTCCTGAGGAGAACGGATCATGATACGCAGAGTGATGGGTCCGTCGGGACCAGGCATTGAAGCGAAGCCAGGCTCCATAAAGTCTTGTGCCCATACATCATCGCTTCCGGAGAAGAGGTAAAGTTCTTCCTCGAGGCCCGACTTGTTGACGGCTGTCTGTAGGGCGTCGGTGAAGCGAAGGAGCCATGGATTGCCAGTCTCGTTGCCTTTAACAGCAACAACCTGCTGCACAGGGTCGAGATTAGTATGGGTAAGAACAGGTGCAGCACGTAGCATGACATCGTCGGAAGAAGCACCTATGGAGCTTTCGAGATCGAAACTGACAGTGACACGACCATCCCAGCCGTTGGGTCGACGGGTGTCACGTGCGTCGATGCCGAGCACAAGACCCTCACGGAGAGCGGCCGCACTGAAAGTGGAATTGCCGTCGACATAGCTCCAGGTGCTGTTTTCACTCGCATTGTGGAAGATTCGGACATATTTGCGCTGCACGGGATCTTTGATGGAGATGCGACCATGAGCATCGTCGGGAAGCTCAGCCAGAGGGACTGTGCGGAGCGGAGCGAGATACTGTTCGGAGCGCATGACGTTATCAGAAGCATCGTTACAAGCGTCTAGTTTCTCGTTGCTGACCGAAGGACCTTTGAGGAGGGCGTTGGAGCAACGCTTGTTCGTGTCTCCAATGTTGGGGAGGAAGATGGCGCCAGAGTCGGCTGTCCACTCGGTCTTGCCGTCGCAGTCCTCGCAGTCTTCAGCGTCTGTGATGTCGACTATGCCGTCCCGATTAGTATCAGCTCGGATGTCGGCCTTGAACTTGTCGGTTGTAGATGCATTGGTTGATGTTACATCGAATGATGCGTCTGATCCGCGCGAGACGACTCTGGCAAGGGCGGGATACGCAAGGCCTGACATGTATTAGTTTTTTTTCGATCTGCAAAATGTTGGAATGAAGAGTAAAGCTTGACCTGACACTTACATAGGCTTGAGAGAGCAAGCGCCGCCTGAGGACGCATCTTGAAGTTTGTTCGGGACGATGGATCGAAACTGTTCACAATGCTTCACCAGGTGTTCATGAGGTGGCGTTTTTGGAGCAGGTTGAAGATAGATAATGAGATGATCTCCCTCTCAATCAAGCTTTGTCCCTATATACGTGTTCTCGAAAGCGCGAACGTAACCGGTCGATGGCTACTCTTGTTGTCATGACGTGTGCAGCAAGGGCGTTGCGTCGACAAGACCTCGGGAGGCTGTGCTCTCTGCGTATAGGACTTGTACGGCCGGCGTATAACTTTGACATTGTCACCAAAGTAGGGTGGACTCCAGTGGCTTGGAAACCAGATCAGTAGTTGTTGTCGCAATGGAGGCGGAGGTGACGATAGTCCGATTGGCTGTCTCGACCGGCGCATTATACGCTGGAGCCAATCACGGTCGTCGTGTCGGGCCGATAAGATGAACCAGAACGCATGATCGCGACTCCCGCCGCCTTGTTCTTCTTCCTAACAATTACGCGTCCCTTCAGCCCTTACTTTGACTGTGGCTTCGACGAGAAATAGCACCGCCTCAACCATTTTGAGTTCTGTGGGTGAACTTCGTACTTATAAGGCGAACTACCCGACATACGCCACAGCCAATAACATGGTCATGGATTTGCCGGTATTGACAAAGGGCCCTCGAGTGCGCACGTTCTCTCCAAAAGTTCGCACAGGATGTAATACTTGGTACGTTCTCCATAATTGTGGTGAAGTGCAGCTGCTTTCTCTTCTTTCATTCCCCCTTTCCAATTTATTGCCTCTGTCCCTGCGATCCTTGAGAAACACCATATTATACACCGAAGATGACTGTTCTGCGTGGGATCATTTGGGTCGTTGACACAACAGAACTTTTACTAATGTGCTTTCGCAGCAAGTAAGTGTGTTTGAGTGTCATCTCGGCAGTGCATCATCTTTGTTCTCATATCAGGATGTCTGTTCCGCAATTGAGTATGGGAAGAGTGTGGCATCCAAGATCGCCCAACTTATCAGGTTCAACATGCTGACATACTGCGTGTTGATCTACAGAATACGCCGAAAGAAATGTGACGAAGAGAAACCAACCTGCCGTCGATGTAGAGAGGGCCAAGTGAAGTGTGATGGATATGCGCCAATGCCACCTCAAAAGAAGAAATCACCCAATGGAGAAGAAGCCATCCAAGTCTCTACAGCAAGCAAGTGTACCGTCGCTCGTCGCAAGACGCGTAGCATATCTCCAGACGTCGGATCTGGCTTCGGCCTCTTCGGTAGCGCGCGCGAACGGCTCTTCTTCTACCATTTTTGCTCCATCACCATCGTCGATTTCGTCCGCCTCGCCACCCCCAAAGACTTTTGGTCCCAAAGAGTACTTCCAATGAGCCATAACGAGCCTGCGGTGCGACATGCAGTGGTTGCGCTCGGTGCAGCCCATCAGCTCTACCTCCAAAAGCTCTCAACGCCTCTTCTGGAAGATACAAATGCGTCCATGGCCCGTCTAGAAGTCATTGCCACACAGCATTACAACAAAGCCATCGGAGACCTAGTGAGCGTCAAGAACTCCCAGATGCCAACAGCCATTGATGCTGAGGTCACAATTCTGACCTGCTGCTTACTCTTTGTATGCTTGGAGAACTTGCTTGGTCGCTTTGATGAGGGCATTCGTCATATGCGAGCCGGCGCACGCCTGTTGGAAACATGCAACCTGTCGACCGCTTCGCACGACTCGAGACAGCTGATGCAGGAGATCGGGACCGTGTTACTTCGCTTCGGTGTGGACGCAGCCATGCTTGTCGACGACGACGACATCATATCCGACATGACGCCATACGCCACGCCATTGATCGAGATTGACGAAGAGCAGACACCATTTTCAAGCGTTGCAGAATGCAAAGACGCCCTATGGGACCTGGAAGTCAGGCTCTTCAATAACGATTGTGGTTGTGATGGAGATGAAGAGACCACGGCATATTGTGGACCAGACAGCGAAACGATAGAGCTCACCGCGTCCTTCGAGCGTTGGAAGAAGAAATTCGACCTCCTTGTCTCAACTCTAGCCGACTCACGGAGTTTACCGAAGGAAATTCAGCGCGAGCTACTTGTCCTCATGCTTCGCAGATGCGCACTGGAAATCATCCTACTCCCAGAGACCGAAGGCAACGACGAAGAGCTATCGAGGCTCAATCATGAGCTCCTAGATATGGCGGGGTACTTGTACAGTATGGAGGCATCGTGGTTAGGACGGCCTATGTTCACCCTCGATAGCGACACGATTCCTTCGCTGTTTTTTACAGCGACATTCTGCGAGGACCCTATCTTGATTCAGCGCACCATCGCTCTTTTACGCCAATCTCGACGACGAGAAGGCCCTTGGGATAGCTGGGAAGCTGCGAATAAGCTTGAGCTAGGGCCAAAGAAACTGTGTAGTGCTACTACCTAGCTGGCTTGAATCTAGTCCGTTACTTCTATTATCATTGATCGAGGTTTCTTGCAGTTGTCACCAGGCGGATACTTAGCATCCTCTCGCTAACAAGGTTCCAATCGGAGCATTCATTACCGCATACACGAATCATTCCAGTGCTTAGAAGAAACTGCCAGTCTTATCTCAGCACCCAAAGAGGCAGTATGTTTTACGCGCGGAGGGTTCCGCTTTTGTTGTGGTAGCCACAGAGGCGACAGATTCTACGCGCAGAGACTTTTCGTCCTCTTGTAGTAAGCAAAACACTAAAAGCTATTTTCTATACCCTAAACACTTTGCAATGTAGTAGGCACAGCATAAAGAGGTTTTGCGTTCTAGCTCCACAAAGCGCAATGTAGGCATAAAGACCTTTAAAGTGGCTGTTCTTGGTAGATGCTAGTCTAAATATCGCGAATGTAGAGCATGGTATAGAAGTTACACATCCAAAGGTGGATGAGACATGTACTGCGCATTCCCATCTACCGATCAGTTAGTCTCTCTCAACTCACCTGGAACTCTATACTGTATCGCTTGTGCAATACACTACACGTACGTCATCAAAAAGATTGTGTAGTTGACCAATTCATGATACATTCGTTGCGTGACAGACGGGTCGTGACGTAGCAGTAGATTTAGGTGTCATGTTGTGCAACACAGCAAGGGCTGTGTTGTATAGCCAGGGGAGAGAATGAGTGCGCGATGGTTCGGGTACCTGTGCGGGGCTGCCTGCCGTCACGCACGCAGCGCGCCTGCTATCTCCGCTTCCTTACACGAAGTCTTCTCTTAATATAACATCATCACCACGTTCTCAACCATCTCGGCGAATATCGTGCACATCGCGTTGATCCTGTTCAAAGCGTCGGCTATCGTGATGTTGGTGTATGATGTGAGAAAGACCTTGTGGCACTTTATGTCAGTGCCACTGGGATCCGACCACGGAGCGCGTCTTAACCCTCCAGGGCTGATGTCTCTTACCAACACCACTTCGCTCTCGATGTCCACGCAGCCACATGCGAAGAGCGGTCATTGATCACTCTTGGCCCGACCGACTGATGTCATATTTGAGTCTTCTGATGCGACGTACACACACCGTAGCTACTGGCTGAGAGGTGCAGCCTACCCCATTTCATTATGACGACACGATGCGCGACGCGTTCTGGGGCAACGTGATATATCATTAGGTCTCGCCTGGAGCGGCACAACAGATTATCATACAGATAAAAAGAACAAGTAAGGTATTGAACAACCAGCTAAACCTGAAGCATCATGGACACCATCAAGAAAGCCATCGGCAGCGCCTTCGATCCCAACACAGACATCCCCGACCTCAGCGGAAAGGTAAGCTTATACTCTCTTCTACATACGCAAAGGACTAATGATCATCTTAGGTCTACGTCGTAACAGGCGGCTCCGCTGGAATCGGATACGGCATCGTAGCGCACCTCCTTCAGCACAACCCCGCGAAAATCTACCTCCTGTCGAACAAAGAAGAGCACGCCGACGACGCTCAGGAGGCGCTCAAGGAATGGGGTAACATAAGCAAAGTCGAGTGGCGCAAGTGCAACCTCGAAGATCTCAAGCAGGTCGACGAAGTAGCCAAGTCGCTGGCAAAGGAGCTGGATAGGCTTGATGCTTTGGTCTGCAACGCGGGTCTGGGGGTTGGCGTATATAACGAGACGCGCGATGGCTTGGATAGCCACATGCAGGTCAACATTTTCTCGCAGGCTCATCTCACGCTCATGCTCTTGCCTGTATTGCAGAAGACACCCGACTCGCGCATTGTACACCAGTCTTCCGACCTACACAAGGGCGCCGACTCGAGCATGAAGTTTGAATCCATTCAGGAGATCAACCAAGACATCGGTGCGATGAAGCTCTACAACCGCACCAAGCTAGCGCAGATCCTCTTTCTACGCGAATTGTACTTCCGCATCAAGGCTGGCGAGTTCGGTCAAGTCACAGAGAGTACGGGTTTACCGTGGATCAACGCGACACATCCTGGTGGCGTAGTGACGGATCAGCAGGATCAGGCAGTCGAGGCTTATGGTACTGCTGGAAAGGTTGGCGTCAAAGCCGTGCGACCGTTCATGAAAGACCCAGTAGCGGAGGGATGTCGACCGGCTTTGTTTGCTGCAGCGTCACCTGATATTGCGAAGGAGCAGATCCAGGTATGTAGATTCAAGATCTCTTCACATCAGGAACTTCAGCTGATTGCCGCCAGAACTCGTACATCGTTCCTGATAAGAAGGTCCAAGAAGCGTCCAAGCAGGCCAGAGATGAGAAGTTGCAGAGAAACTTGTGGAGACTAACCAAGGAAGTTCTGGAGTCGAAGATTGGAAGCTTGCCGTACGAGATGAGAACTGAGGTTGTCAACATCGCGTAGACCGAGGGTAAATGACGGTCCGATTATTGATGGACAATGTCCGAATATGACTCAGGTGCCTATTAGATGCGCTCCACAGTTTATCGCACTTGCATCTCATGAGCGATCCCGCATACTTGAGTTCCATGGAAGGTAGACGAACGAAGCGCGATCCACGCGTCAGCTATTTGTATGACGCGTTACATAACAAAAAGTTCAACCACAAAGCAAGGTTATATCCCACTACAAGGCGTATGCAGCGTCTAGATCAAAACCTATAATCTGCTATCACAGTCTCGATCGTCGCAAACCCCAGCATGTAGTTTGAAGGGCGTGTTGTAGTGCCCCGCTAACGTCATAGTACCAAGTGGGGGTCCCAAGAGGCTCTGGGCAACTTCAACTGTACGGTCATGAAGCGGTATATAATCACCAACATCACTTTCAGAACCATCATTACAAATCCCAGCTGTCTCAGGTGTCTCAAACCCAAACACACTTCTAACTTTTCGCAACACACCAAACACCACCATGTCCAAGCTTACCGACTTCAAGCTCCTCTCCTTCGATGTGTACGGCACTCTCATAGACTGGGAGGCGGGCGCTTTGATCGCCCTCAAGCCCCATCTTAAGAAGTCTGGTCAAGAGAACATGGATCGCAAGCACATTATGCAAGTCATGCACAAGATCGAGGCGAGGGTCGAAAGCGAACACGGCCATCTCAAGTACTCAGAGGTACTCGCTATGGTGCTTCCTGAGTTGTGTGAGAAACTGGGGTTGGAGATGCCCAGTGAAGAAGAGAACAAGGCATTTGGAGCGAGTATCGGACACTGGCCTGGATTCTCTGATATACCATCTGCTTTGGAGAGGCTGTCCAAGTACTTCAAGCTTGTCGTTCTTTCCAATGTCGACCATGATTCGTTCAAGCTCGGGAATGCGAATGGGCTCAAGGGGTACAAGTTCGACGCGGTCTATACAGCCCAAGATATCGGGTCTTACAAACCCGACCTGAGGAATTTCGAATACATGTTGGCTAAAGTGAAGGAGCAATTCGGCGTCGAGAAGCATGAAGTGCTGCAGACGGCGCAATCGCAATACCACGACCACCACCCAGCAAAGGACATGGGAATCAAGAGTTCATGGATTTACCGGCCGGGCGCAGTCATGGGAAACCGCGATGATCCTGTGTACACCTGGAAATTCGACACGTTGGCCGACATGGCGGATGCCGTGGAAAAGGAGGCCGCAGAGCAGGCAAAGTAGGCAGAGATGGGAGATTGTGTGGTTGTGTGCATTGACCCTGGGGGTGGGGGACGCTAGAAGTACTTCAACCTTTGTTCTGGATTCAACAAGGAAGACATCAATGCACAGCGCAACGTTAGCGCTTGTTTCTTTTCGGAGCCAGATTATCTACCGCGCGAGGCCGCCAACATTGTGATTAGTCTGCGTTAGCTTGCGGGGTGCAGATGCCTTCTCCTCCTCCGGACGCCACAATCTATTGCTTCACTATAAACTCAAAAAGCTTTTTTCAATAGAACTGAGCTGATCATACTAAAAGTAGACTTGGAGGATCGGGTTGATGTGCGATCTTCCTGCGCGATGCAGTTCTGTTCTGCAGCTGTGCCGTACTAATACAGGTGCGTAACCATCATGGGTGCCCAGGTGCGTCCGGTGAGCGGGCGATGAGAGAAAAATTACCTCCACGGACCTATACTCAAGCGCCTTGGAGAGGGAAATGATTCTTTATGAGGGTAAGCTTCGGAGGTAAGTTGAGATGCAAGTTCGCGATATGGCTCCAAACATCCTTGCAGCACCGATATCTTGACTCGGTAGTGCCATATCGTGGCTCGGCAACGTCATTATTCGCCAGCCACGTGCCGTTCTCACCCTTCAACACCAACGTTGTACCCATCACGACTGCAAGCTAGCGCCAACACGAATAAGCGCATGCGAGATTATCCGTAGCAATAGTTACATCGCCTGCATCCCCGCAGTCTCTCCGCTATCCGTTGCCGATAGCGTCAGTCGGCACCCATGGCGGACCGACTCCCTGCACCGCCATCGGCAGAAGTACGGGAGCAAGAAAATACTATGAAAGCAACCCATTTCTCCCCGCGATGGTGGAAGAGAAGATTAGCCATCACCATGATTTTCTCCGGTAGCACTGCTTTGCTATTCTGGTACTTTGGCGCTTTCAGCCAGGCCAGGCCATACCAGCCTGGTACACCCCAACGACCGGATCCTCCGAGTTATGAGACACCAGACGGTTCTCTTCTCGTCACCTTGCCGGAGTATGGATCCTTCCAGGGCACGCAACTTCTCATGAACCTGAAGAAGACGGAGACTTTGAGTCGGCCAGTGGATGCGTGGATGAATGTTGAGTACTCTACGCAGCCTATTGGTCACGGAAGGTTTATGCCAGTAACATGGCCTGAACCATTCGATGGTACAAAGGACGCGACATCAATTGGACCGGCTTGCTTCCAGAACATGTACGGCTCCCTTGGACAGTCGGAAGCTTGCCTCACCATCAACGTATACCGACCTTCGGGTATCCCTATGGACCAGAAACTCCCCTCCATGGTCTTCTTGCACGGTGGCTCGTTTGTCTCGGGCTCCCACCGCAGCTTCGACGGTCCGCTATTCGTGGAGCAGAGCCCCGAGCCTCTTATGGTTGTCACCGTTCAGTACCGCCTGGGTGCGCTCGGCAGCTTGCCAGCCAAGTTTATGCAAGAGGAGGGTCTTCTCAACCTGGGTATCCGCGACCAGAAGATGGCATTGGAGTTCTTGCAGAAGTACATCGGCGACTTTGGAGGCGACAAAGACCAAATCACGCTCGCCGGTCAAAGTGCTGGTGGCCATTCCGTTGGTATTCACCTTTTCCACAACTACGCAGAGGATGCCGGAAAGCCTTTGTTCAGCAAGGCCATTTTGTCTTCAGGTTCACCAACCGCTCGCGCCTTCCCAGGTGTTGACTACCCTCTCTACCAGAAGCAAGTCGCAGATATCATGGACTACCTAAACTGCCCGGAGTCGCCCAGCTCGGCTGCTCTGGACTGCCTTCGCGCTGCAGAGGCTGATGACATCCAGTTCATGTCTTCTTCGCTGTACAATGCCCACAACTACAACATCACTTGGCCATGGCAACCCGTCTCTCCCGGTCCCCTCCTCGAGAAGCGCGGTTCAACATCCGGTCAAGACGGCACTTTCTTCAACATCCCGATGCTTATCTCCTCCGTGACCGATGAAGGCACAGGCTTCGCGCCCCAAGACCTACGTACCAACGCCGAGTTCCTCAACTTCTGGAAGACCCTTACTCCAGGCCTAACACCGGAAGATCTCGCCGATCTCGAGACCTTGTACCCAGACATCAAGCCCCAGCAGGGTACATTGGGTTACGTCTCTGACCAGTTCGCCCGAGTATCCGCAGCTTACGGCGACTACTCCTACATCTGCCCGGTTCAAGACACCGCGTCAGTCATGGCCTCTACCTCCGCCCCCGTATACAAAGCGCGCTTCAACACACCAAACTGGGCGCCGACATACCTGGGTGTACCGCACGCTAGTGACGCCTCGTACTTCAACGGGCAGGCGAACACACAATACCCTGAGATTGCAGACATGTACAGTGCCTACTGGGCTAGTTTCATCGTCAGTGGCGACCCAAACACGTACAGTCTGGGCAGTGCCAAGTGGGAGCAGTACGAGGGTACTGGCGGAAGGCAGTTGGTGATTAACCCTCCGACAGAGGGTGGCCCGATGATGGAGGATGAAGGCACGGCTATCAGGATGGAGCAATGTGCTTGGTGGAGGGATCCGGAGAGGGAGAAGAGGCTTAACAAGTAAAGCTTGGTTCCTTTTCATCGTTGATGATTTGTATATATGATGATAATAAATGTTTGATCTTCGAATTATCACTATTATGTGCACTCGAATACAGGACAAGGACAGTACCTAACCCGCCAATGTACAAACTCAAAGCTTTGTCAAAAGACTTCAAACTCGAGCGTGAAGCACAGAAGAGGACAGCATCAGGTCGATGTTCACAAGATTTATTACGTTGTACAGGGAAGTCATGTGGGAGGGGCCTGCGAGTGCAGGTACGTACGACCCCGCACATGTGTCCCGGCGTGTTACGCACTTCTCTTGTCCCTTTGCTGTGCCGCACACCTGAACTTACCGCCACGTCACTACTCGCCCGTCGCACATTAGCTATGTCATGTGTGTACTTTCCTGACGAAGTTGTGCCTATGATTCTTCAGCTCGCATTAACTTGACGGCGAGCCTGAAGCACGATAAGAGCTCCTCGAACACCCTACACCAATACCTTCCCTCCCACTCGTTTTGCGCTCGCAACGACCGTTTCAAAGATGCTTTGTGATGTTTGCAAGCAAAGTCTGGAGGGAATGAACGACCCTATTGTCACACCACATCTTCGAGCCGTACAACAAGGGGAACACAGATCTCGTGGCACCCTGTTCGACATTGAAAAACACGTGTTTGGGCATCACCGTACTCGTGACTCACTAGTACAATCAATCAAACAGCAGTGCCTCCTTTCTGTTAAGTTCAAAGACCATGAGCATAACCTTACACGTGCTGACGATGACTTCCTCACGAGTTTCAATTTATTCGTCTACGAAAAAGAAAAACGTATATTCGTAAATCTTATGTGGAGGGGGACGAGAGCTGGGACATTATCAATCCTATTGCCCCTCGAAAGCATGCAGGAAAAAGCCGATTTGATCCTCGAGCTGAACGACAACACAGATGGCCAGCACTCTCGAAGGCTGATCGACGGATGGGATAAAAATTGCCTCGCCAAACATTCACGATGCACACGAACTGGCGATTCTGCCTTTTTACCTACGAAGATACTTGAGTTCGAAGATGGCAGTAACCCTACCACATGTAGGCTAGTGTTGCGAGAAGAGATATATTCTAACTCAAGATACACTGCATTGTCCTATCGTTGGGGTACTGCAGGGAAACCAGGAAAATTGTGTCTTTTACAGTCAACGTTCGATACCATACGCAGTGGATTGCCTCTCGGGTCCCTTTCAAAGACATATGTCGATGCCATTCACGTCACTGCACGACTCGGCATTAGATACATATGGATTGATGCGCTCTGTATAATACAGGATTCTCCAAAAGATTGGCGCGTTGAAGCTGCTACGATGCAAGCCGTTTACCGCAATTCATACCTTACTATCTCGGCTGTCGCGGGTGCTCACGATGACTCTGGTCTATTCTATTCACGAGACCCCGCCAAAGTCCAGCCCACCGTCGTAAATATCGCATACACATCATACGATAAGCCCAAGACTTTCGTATGTTCAGATGAGACACAGGCAGTGGAAGCGTCTTTCCGGCTCGGCAACGTCACGAGGAAGCGTGGCTGGTGTCCCCAAGAACGCCTCTTGCCATGTCGTGTTTTACACTTTGGGTCGCAGCAAGTTTTCTGGGAGTGTCACGAACAACACGCGTCTGAAACAATGCCATGGTCTATGTCTTATGGTCACTGGGATCGTGATCTTCCTAGAAAAAGACTATGGAAACTATCAATCGGCGAGACGCTCTTTCTTGACCCAGAAGACCCGTATACGACCCTGTTCCTCGAGTGGTATGCTATGATATCCATCTACAGTAACTGCCAACTCACGCATGCGTCCGACAAGCTCGTGGCTATATCTGGCTTGGCCAACGACATGAGATCAGCGTTGAACACTCGCCGACCTCATACACACCACACATATATTGCTGACTTGTGGGCAGAAGACCTTCGCTTTGGCCTGTGCTGGTCGTTGGACGGCTTTGGTAGCAGATCAGCTGTTTACCGAGCTCCATCTTGGTCTCCAATGTCACTCGATGGATCGATACACTGGAATGGGTCGCCAAAGAGGGATGAATTCACATGGCACGTCACCAATGCGAATTGTACGGCGGCAACGCGTTATATCAATGATTTGGATACGGGCGAAGTCACTAGCGCATAGCTCAAGCTGAGGGGTCTTTGGATGGCCATACAAACCGTCACAACAAGGTATGAATCCGACGCGCTCAACATTCGTCACCTGGCATACTTCCAACACTTGGACCTGAATTCAGCGCCCGAGACATCTCTCGGTGTTGAGGCGAACTCTCTGGTCTTATACGCTACCAAGGACGATATGATGCAGCAAGCATTCTGCATGCCTATGTACTCAACATTGGTCCATAAGGTTCACTGTTACGTTCGTGGCATCGTTCTAGTACCAGTGGAGGATAGACCCTCAATATACCGCCGCATCGGTCTGATGATGGGTATCTTTAACACTGAAGAAGTAACGCAGACATTGCTCTCGAAATTAGAGAGAAGAAGCGTCACAGTTATATAAAGTCTTTGATTGGTACTGTAAAGTATCTAGACAGCATACGTTTGCAGCATACATCGACCTTTTAACTAACTGTACAGATGACCAAGAACCACCGTGGAGGTATACACTACTCTTCGCAAGAATGTCCAAAGGCGCAGAAATCAGCGAATACCTCCTGGCTAGGTTTTAGTCTTACGTCGCAATGCAGCGAATACCTCCAGGGCATATTTTTGTTCAGCTTACAGCTAGTGTAAATGTAGCGAATACCACCAGAACCAATTTTGATTCTGCGCATAACGTGTTGAAAGGCAATGTCTTCGCATAACAGGCTGAGTGTTAAAGTAACAAGACCTTACTTCCTCAACGCATCAATGTCTTGCAGAACACATTCTTAGAGACAAATACACATGTGGCATAGATACAGATCAGAGAGGTTCACAAAAAGCTCTTGTCCTGTCTTTGTTTAGATAAATTCACGCGCCTTTTTGGTTTCCAGGTGAGCTTACCCAGGTACGCGACACGCGAATTGCAACAAGCAGCAGATGTGCATGCCCTCTAGATACAGAATAGGGCCTCTCATGAATACAATACAGCAGAGCTAAGGGCATGCACAAATCCTTTCGATGCCAATCACTAGCATCATATTGGTAGTATGCTCAGGTGTTGAGTGTTGACCCCAAGTCTTCCATCAACCAATCAATCGCAAAAGCTGCTTAACGCAGCGGAAGCGCGGCGGGCGAATAACCCGTATTGTACAATTCGGCCTTATGTAGCTAGATCACAACTTTGAGCTGGAGGCTTAGCTACCGTACCCTTAACATTACACTGCACTATCTTTACAGAATGCACTATATCTAGGTAAAGTCTTAGTTTCTACGCGTAGAACTAATGTAAAAAGAACGCCGGTAGAATGGAGGTAGAATGGAGATCGCATGTATAACACGGTGTAGGTTGACGGCTGCGCAGGGGACAAGATGGCATGGATAAAGAATGGGCAAAAAAAGAAGAAATCAATCTAGCTGCTCTCGGTTTCGATCCGAGGTCCTCCGGGTTATGAGCCCGGCGCGCTTCCGCTGCGCCAAGCAGCTTTTGTGGTTGATTGGTTGATGGAAGAATTCAAGATCTGAACAAATATAACCAAGAATTTTGTTCTGGAGTACTCAAAGCTGGGGGACGACCAAAATTGAGTCACAAAACTCATGTGTGGGAGTTCAAGCGAACTGTGGGACATAGCGTGAAGACTTTGCTCTGACTCACAGAGAAACGACTGGTTGTGGAGATCCCTTGCTTAAATCCCAACTCCCCAACTAGACCCTACCCACTAGAACACAAAACCCACCCAACCACCCAAACGCCACGCTAACCTACATAACCACCGAAACCCCCAATAAAAATACACTCGTGATCGTGATCATAATCATAATCATACACAGTCCCATCACCTCGAAAACGCCCCCTCATTATCATCCCCCAGCCCCCTAAACGCAATCCGCCCATTACTCCGCAACACCTCACAAACCGTCTCAGCACTCAACTCATACCCACTCTTCCGCCATCTCGCATTCAGCCAATCCGCCAGCGCATCCGCACTACAGCTAAACCGCCTCGTATCCCACTCATGCAGAATCAAATCGACAATAGGCTGATCAGGCAACGGTTCGGGGTTAGGATCCTGCAAGGGCACCGAACTCAACGGCATGGGTAGTGCGCGGGGTGGGAAGATGTTTTCGTATGCTGTCAGGAAGTGGAGGAGGGTGTGTTCGGTGTGCGGGCGTGAGGCGAGGGTTATGCCGAAGGGTTGGCCGTTCAGTTTGAGAGCGGAGAGCGGGCAGGCGGCGGTGGGGTAGCCGGCTGCGGCTGCGAGGGCGGAGAGGGGGGCGTCGCCGGGGGCGAAGATGAGGTCTAAATGTAGGGAGGTGAAGAGGAAGTCGAGGCCTTCGGGTCCGCCGGCGGTTTGGAGATGTTGGCGTGCGGCGTTGACTTCTTCGCGTTTGGTTGTGGATTGCATGGCCGCCATTAGGTCGTTTTGGTCTGGGCAGGCTGGGCGGGGTTAGTAAGATGAGGGAGTGTGGCGGTTTGGAGGGACGTACTGGGTGGCAGGCAGAGTTCGGGATGGTCGAGGTTGAAGTTGATGATCTCGGCCAGCGAGTGCATCTTCGTGACTTTGAAGTCGCGGATAAACTCTGCTAGACAATCTTTGAACTCGGAGTCTGCATAGTATCAGTATACACCTAGCAATACAAGAAGTTGTATACTAACAAACAACAGGCTCAAAGCAGTTCTTGCCGTCAATAGTCAAACTCGATTGGTTCGGTAATTCCACCGGATACACAACATCAACGCCCATCTCGATCATGCTTTGAACAACCATGTCGTATTTCTGTGTCTGCAACATGTCAGCACTGCATGACCCAACACAACACCGATCCCTGTACCACAACGTGCGTTCCTATGCTGCTTCACGTATAGAGGTAAGCGCTAACTCACCATGAATCGCTCGGCGTCAGCATTGATCCGCCCGCTTTTGCGCCACGCCTTCCAAATACTCGGCTCGCAGATACCGATGCGGAGCGTCCCGAAATCCGGCTTGATCTTGAACGATCTGTGCGGACCTCTTGCGTGTTCTTCGCGGTTGGTGGGAACCATCATGGCGTCCATTAGTGCTACGAGGTCTTTTGCTGATTTGGCCTATGGTACTGTCAGTGCTGAGAGTACGAGCTGACGCATGCGCGTGCGCTTACCATGCCGCCGACGGCGTCGAATGTCTTGCTCAGGTTGAAGATGCCGTCCATTGGTATTTGCCCAGCTGTGGGTTTCAGAGCGTAGAGCGCGGCTCGGTTTGCGGGCGTGATTAATGATCCGATGGTGTCTGTTCCGATGGCAAGGGTGCTGAAACCTGAGGCTACTGCGACTGCAGATCCAGTGGAAGATCCTCCTGGCGCGGAAAGCTCCCAGTGTAGCTTCCTTTTCGCGATATGTCTTGAGACGTACGGCGACTGACACTGTCCACCGACTGCTGACCATCCTGGAGGCATGGAAGGGTTCTTGAGACCGCAGAACTCAGTCAGATTCGATTTGCCGATGATGATCATGCCGCGTTTGACCAATCTTTCGACAATTGTTGCGCTTTTCTTGGGTATGCACCCTACGAAAGCGTACGATCCTGCACGAGCAGTAAGTCACTGGTCTCAATCCAAGTTACCTAAACCACATACCAACTGTGGTGTCCATGCCTAGCTTCTCATCGGTCATGATGTTGTCTTTCAGCACTATCGGGATACCATGTAGTGGGCCTCTTATCTTGCCTCTTGCCCGCTCATCATCCAGCTTCCTAGCCATCTTGATCACTTCATGCTTTGGCGCGACCGAGATCAATGCACGTAATTGTCTTCCTCTTCTGTTGTGCTGTTCAATTTCCTTTAGATACAACCGCACAATCTGTACACTTGTGAGAGCTTGTGCGTTCATGAGTTCGGAAAGCTCAAAGGCCGAAATGGTAAGCGGATCAAAGTCTGGCAGCCATGCGTCGTCGGCCGATGATGTGAAAGACGCCTTGCGCGACGCACTACTGTTGTCGACAGATTCTCGTGGTAATGTGTTTCCGATGTTTGGCGCAATGGCCGTTTTTAGATATCTGAATACCTTCGGCATGGCTGTGCTGGATTTACGACTGTCGGATGTGCCCAATGTGGAGTGCGGGCGCGTGGGGATGGAGATGCCGGGATGTTTGTCGATCTGGGGTGATGAATGCGGAGCGCAGACGTCGTTTGGAGTGAGAGTACGTGCGATTGCAAGACTGAACGAGTAGATCGTCAATGTAGGGAGACGAGACAGCCAAAAGCATATGCAGGGGACGTGGGATCCGCCAGATTATGAGTGCTTGCCATGGCTGTCTCCGAGGCTCTAGACATCGCCAGTGGCTGCGGGTATGATCACTCCTTCTAGGCTGGACGTTCGCCTTCTGACACCCCTGTCAATGGCGCCCATAGACTGTGTGGAGTAATAGGGTTGGTGGTCTCAGCGAGGCCAATCGAGGAGAAGTATTTCCGGGAATTCGTACTCCTTAGTCCTCTTATTCGCAGATGAGAAGCCCCCGTAAGAACCACATGATGCGTGATCAGGTTGAAGTCGCACAACACTTTACCCGGAACGCAGGGCCGCACGGAGCTGTTGGCGGTTGGACGTCTCGCTTACGGTCAAATAGTGGCTGCTCACCCTGCTCCATCCAGCCCGCTGGATATTAGCAGTCTTGGGTGAGGTCGTGTTCCCTCGGTGTATTTACCTCAAGAGTCTACCTGGCGTAGGATGAGGTTGCTGATCTTTACAACTACTACATATGACTCTGCGGATTAAACCGAGTCACTGAACTTGTAGCACCGAGGTTCATGAATAATCATGAAGGTTTTCCCTTTGTGATCTTCACCAAAGTACGTCCCAGTGGGACTTAACTGGTACTCGAGACCTCTGCGCAATGGTGGCACAGCGAGTATGCTTCGTCATTACCTAGCAAGACTATAGGAAGGCTCACCCTCTTGAGCGTGAACAACCATGGTGTCGTTCGTGTATATCGGACTGGGTATTGCTTGAGAAGCCTGATCCTTGTCTCGCTCTCAGACATAGGCTTGCCGTGTTATGCGGGGTATCGACTCCTACGACTTTGGTGGCCTGATACGTTGTAAACATGGTTGTGGCAGTCGCAACACGTGGAAAACCAAAGCGCTATGGTGAATCGCCGTTGGATCAGGGCAAGCAGCGCGGCCAGACCCGCAGGAGGCACGCGGCAGCAGCTATCATATCGTAACGTAGGACCGATCAGAACGGCTGGCGCCGTGGCACAGCTCTCGAAGAGTGCTGAGATTCCATGGCGTAGCTGCGCCTGTCATTCAGGCGGGACGCCTAGTCGCGCCTGGAATAGCGTTAGCGCTTCAACCTGCCGCCGTGCGTCCAGATGGTCAAGACGCAATATGCAGCCCCATACTTTGCAATATGCGACGCCACGCTGTACAAATTAGACCACAGGTCAACTGATGCCACTCAGAGACATGATTGCCACTTCCCGCCAATCTGGATGGGGGATCCCCTCACTGCCGTAGTAGGATGCCAAAAGCCGAGGCAGGTCCCGGTACTGGGAATCAATCAAATGTAATATCGCGATCCAATACTGGTGAGGTGCCAATCCTGATGCGGGTTTAGTGGATTGGGGATGCGTGCTTGGAGATGCGGAGGAAAGTTGTCTAGTCATTGGGCAGGCTATGCATGCGAGAGGCTGACACGTGGGAATATTGACCGCGTGCATGGCGAAGGGGAAAGAGAGAGAGAAAAAGAAGGATGTGACGGAGATGGAAAAATGATCGTTTACTATCGCTAACTCGACGCCATCTCAAAGCATCTTTCGCGACAGACGCGACATCTGCCGTCGTGTCCGCAGACGAGGTAGCAGATACCAGATAACGCTGGAAAACGATTAGAGGTAAGCTTGTATAGACTGCAACACAAGCCCTGGTATTGCTCTTCGTGCCAAGTATACGATCCACCAGGCCTGTCCAATACCGTTCAAACTACCACAGACGAGCATGTCCCTAGAACGTCGTAGTAGCCAGTCTGCTCGCCGCATTCTTTGCGTCAATGCGATCATCATCCTCTTCGATACCCTTTTGGCTACCTGCCTTGCTTGTCGCACGTTTCCTACCATTCACAGACTCTTCCTCATTCTCGTCGGCCTCGGGTAAGGGCGCCACGATACTGCCGCTCATGCTACGATTGAGGCCGTCACCTGGGCGCCGGGGCACACCGGACCATGCATCACCCTTGGGTCCTTGTGAACTAGCCATGGGAGTACGGCGCTGAGTGGGATGTGCTTCGCGACCCAGCCGAGAAAGGCCGCCACTGCCGTCGATAGCTCGGATGTCTGGTCGTACTGACTCTAGTGTCGCAAGTGTACGGCGCTCTGCTTCGATTTCTCGCACGACGTATTCGCGGATCGCCTGCCTCATGTCTTGTGTGGTCCTGTTGAACCATTTGCGTTGCTCTTGTAGGAGGTTGGCTGTGACGCGCTGGGCTTTGGTCGTGAGGTATTGTTCGTGGCTTCTCGCTTCATCTAAAGCTGCAATAGCCTCATCGACCTTGTCCCGTTTTACGCTCGAGCTGGCCTTGAGCCTATCGGCTGCGGACAGCTTGGACTTTGTCGCGGACTGAGCTTGTAGGAGCTCGCGAAGGAGGATGTGTCGGTTCGTGAGTGTTTCTTTCGCAATAAAAGCGTCGCTGCTGTGGTATTGGAGAGGGTCGCCGAGAGTCGTAGCTTCGGCAGTACCCTGCGCTGCGTGGAAGTCGCCAGTGGCCTGGATGACCTTCCCCAGCTTTTTGTATGCGTGTGAAAGACCGACGTGTGTTTCTTGGACATGCAGCGCTGCGAACTTGGCACCGAGATCGGATTCTGCGACTCCCAGATCTGGATGTTGTCAGTACTGTGCCAAAAGGTCTATCTAGGAAGCGCCTACTTCTCCTGTGCTTCACGACCTTCTCTAGCTTCTGCTCCGCTTCCATTGTACCGAGGTAGAAAGCCTTGACGACTGGTCGCGCGGCAGCAAGTTCTGGAGTATCGTCTGGCGGCGGCGCGAACTGCTTGATCATCTTGCGGCGCACGCCAGTCGCAGGCTGCTTCCTCCGTACCACAGGGCTGTATCCAAAATCGCTCTCCACAAAGAAGACCATCTCTTCGTCGCGTATCAGGATGTCATTGCTGCACACAATGTTCAGCCACCGTTGTAGAGACGTCTTCAGGCGTGCCTCGTCTTCGTCAGTGCCTGCGCCTGCCGAGGTGGTCGCTGGCGGTACTGCAGGCACAATAGCTTCGGGGCATGCTGAGATGAGATGCTCGCCCAGCTTCACAAACTCGGAGTGTAGACGTCGGACATCGCGGAATTGGGTGGTTCGGAACTTGGGGAGGTTCGTCTGGAGACAAGTCAGTACGAGTTGGAAATGGGGGGCCAGGCATGCGCGGTATTGGCAGGATTGATGCAGCTATGCAGTGCGACTGAGATGCCAGAGAAGCACATGTCTACCTTGCACCATGCCTCAATGTCCGCTATGTCGCGCGCCTCTAGCCCGGTCATGTCGATGTTGTGGAGACGTACGTAGACATCGAATCGCAGTATCGGGTCCTTCTTGCTATTCCGCTCGAGTCCCGTGACCTTGGCCTGGAGCTTGTAGTGTTGCTGTTGTCGCTGCGGCCTGTTGCCGTGATATCGCTGCGGCTGTTGCTGGCCCTGCTGCGCATTGGGTGACCTTGGCGCATCCTGACCCGGCATCTGTGGTTGCTGCACATGGTCGCCGTTCTCTGGCGCCGTGCCTGGCCGACTTTGCGCATCTTGGTCGCCCATGTAGCCATACTGCTCACCTCCTTCATGGTACGGGGAAGCCTGCGGAGGCAGCGGGGATGAGGGGATATCGTTGGTTGGCGGCTGGCCAAAGGACGTTCGGTTGGCCTGGGGCGACGATGCCCATGGGTCGCGGCCGCCGGGGTGGTCCGGGTCGTGGGCGCTGTAATCCATCGTGTGTGGTGGGTAATTGAAGCTCTGGACAGCTGCACCAAGCTGTCGAGTGATGCGATGATGTCGCTCGAATGCCCTGACCAGCCCTGGAATTAGCCGAGCTAGGCAAGGCGCGAACGTTGACATCCTTCACATCACGTGCGACTGCCAAACGCTGTCAACTCGCCCATCGCTATCGTACTGAGCAGTCTTGGGCATGAGGGTCGGATGGGTTACGTCTACCCGTCGAGTCTTGCGACACCATGTGAAGACTCCACGGCGGTTGCTGTCGACGCAACCACACCATGATTTGCTTTCCAAGGCCACCCGCAACATTGGCATCATCGCCCACATCGATGCAGTAAGTGCTATCTTTTCTTAGTTGGATCCGGTCTGATAGTTTCGTAGGGGAAGACGACGACGACTGAGCGCATGCTCTACTACAGCGGAGTGACAAGGCGAATAGGAAGTATGTACATGTTATGTCTCTTTGAACGCCATACTTTCTTTTCGCTCTCGTTTGCTTTTAATCGAGAGACATGCACTATGAATTGTCTCTTCCTATTTCCAATCATCTTATAGACGTCTTGGAACTCTTACCAGGTACTTCACCTGAGTCGATCACTCCCTCATTCAAGCCTTGCCATCACCATTCCAGATTTCATCATACACAAAAATCACGAATTGGCGTATGGATGGTATCTAACATCCCACAGATGTCGACGAAGGCTCGACAGTAACCGACTTCCTTCCCGCTGAACGAGCACGCGGCATCACCATTCAATCCGCAGCCATCACGTTCCACTGGCCTCCTCTACCACCGACTACTCAGACTCCGCCCCCACCACCACAGCTGCTCGCCTCATTCGACAATGTTTCAAGGTCTTCAACATCCCACAACATCAATCTCATCGACACGCCCGGCCATGCAGACTTCACTTTCGAAGTGCTACGTTCGCTTCGTGTCCTGGACGGTGCTGTATGTATTCTCGATGGAGTCGCCGGTGTTGAAGCCCAGACGGAGAAGGTATGGACGCAAGCTGGGCATTACCATATTCCTAGGATCATTTTTGTCAATAAGCTGGACCGTGTAGGCGCCGCGTTCTCGCGCACCGTTAAAGAGATAGGCGTTAGGTTGCACGGATGGCCAGCCGTTTGTCAAATCCCGTGGTGGAAGAATGGTAATGGCGACTTTGTTGGAGTCGGTGATGCGATCAACTTACGCGGTATGCTCTGGCAAGCCGGTGGCGATGGCAGAGACATTCAAGCTTTCGGGCTGCAAGATCTTAGCAAAACCGACGAGAAGTTTGCAGAAGAGATCAAGAAGGCAAGAATAGCTCTCGTTGAGATCTTGAGTGAGCAGGACGATATCATGGTTGAGCACTTCTTAGAACACGATGAAGATCACCTGGCCATTTCTGGGCTCCAGATCATGCAGTCATTACGCCGAGTTGTACTGCAGGCACCACAGAGAGTTATACCAGTCTTCGCTGGCGCCTCTTTTCGCAACATTGGTGTTCAACCGCTGCTTGACTCGGTCGTTGATCTCCTCCCCTCACCACTCGAACGACCAGATCCTGAGATCAGCATCTCCAATCAAAGCAGCACACTATCATCCCTTCTCAGTGCAGCAGCGGCAACACCGACAAAGACCACTAAGCCGTCGAAGAAACAGCAGCAAAACAACAACGAACTAGCCATCGCAGAAGTCAAGAACCTCAGCGCCTGTGCCCTCGCCTTCAAAGTCGTTAACGACGCCAAACGTGGCGTCCTCGTTTACGTCCGCGTCTACTCCGGATCCATCGACCGCGGCGCCACCCTCTACAACACCAACCTATCCCTTGCTGAGCGCGCCCCCCGCCTGCTCAAAATGTACGCCAACGATGCCGTCGAAGTCGACAGCATCGGCTCTGGCCAAATCGGCGTTATAACCGGTCTCAAGCACGCCCGAACTGGAGATACCCTAATCGTCTACCGCGGCCTCCAAATGAAAGGCACACCGCCCGGTGGTCTTCACACGCTCCAATTGCGTCCTATCGCTGTGCCACCCCCCGTCTTCTTCACCAGCATCGAACCAAATAGTCTCAGCGAACAGAAACACGTGCAGGAAAGTCTGGCCATCCTCCTCCGCGAAGACCCCAGTCTGCACCTCTCCATCGATGAAGAATCAGGGCAGACTCATCTTGCTGGCATGGGCGATTTGCACCTGGAAATCGCACGAGACAGATTGCTCAACGATTTCAAAGCCAAAGCACGCATCGGAAAGATAGAAATCGGGTATAGGGAGACTATCACTACGATGACGCAGACGCAACCTTACACATATACACTGGATAAACTCGTTGCGGGGAAACAGACAAAAGCAGCTATAACCGCTTGTGTTGAATCTGTGGAAGACGGCAGCATAATCCCGCTTTCTCCAGTCCAAAATCAAGCGGACGAACGACACGCACGCGAGAACCCGTTCGAAAGCACCTACAGTCTGCCTGACAACAACACCCTCGACATCCACCACTCCCCGCTCTCCAACCTAGATTCCTCAGCCCACAAACAGCACCTCCCGCCCCACCTCTCCCTCCCAGGAATCTTACACGCCCTGCAAGCCGGCACTTCCGCAGCTCTAGCCCGCGGCCCTTTCAACGGCTTCCCCGTCGCAAACACACGCGTTACAATCACACTCGACGCTTCATCCCACCTCTTCCCCGAAACAACGCCCACAGCCATCTCAATGGCCGCTCGCGCCGCTGTATCGCATAGCCTGCGTACAGCAAGTGACGCCGCGCCAGCCACACTCATGGAACCCGTTATGAACGTGACGATTTTCGTTAATGAGGGGAGTATGGGGGCTGTGGTTCAGGATATCACGTCTTCACGAGGCGGACAAATCCTATCTTTAGATGGCTCGGAGTCCTCCTCCTCCTCCTCCTCGTCAACGGACGACGACGCCCTCCCCCGTATCGACCCCTCGCTCATCTACACGCCCCCCGACCCCTTTGCGTCTGGCACAAGCGAAATGGGCAATGGATTGAGCGATAGTCAGAGACAGATTGTGGCTAGGGTGCCGCTGAAGGAGATGGTGGGGTATTTGAATCAGTTGAGGGCGTTGACGGGCGGGAGGGGCACGTTTGTGATGAGTGTGGATGGGTTTGAGAAGATGGGGACGCAGAGGCAGAGGGAAGTTTTGGATGCTTTGAGGGAGTTTTAGGGGTAGAGGAGCGCAGGGGCAAAGTGTACGAGTAGATGGAGTGGATTGTACGAGTAGGTGATACAGTATAGAAAGTGTGTACATGTATTCCAAACCAGCTCAATGCTATGCGCAAGATATGCTATCTATGTATCTATCTACCATTTCCAGTCATTACCCCCCCTGTACACGATAAGATATGCTTACGCCGTAAGCGCACTACTCAACCCCAAAATCCCCATCCCCGCAAACGTACTCACAAAGCACAACCTCCTCGAATTCGTCAAATCCAGACTCTCACCCAACAGCTGCAAGCTCACCATCGCCATAATCCCCGCAGTAACAGCAAACATACATCCATAGATAGTATCCATGCCCTCATCTGCGCCGTGCTCTCGACCCCGGCCTTGGATCTTGAACCATAGCGCTGCGACACCTGCACCGAGGGGCTGGCTGACGCCGCCCAAGACGGCAGAGATGACCATGGCTTTCCAGCGGGAACCGATGGCGAGGTAGAGTGGGAGGGCGAGGGCGAAGCCTTCGGTGATGTTGTGGATGAAGAGGGCGAGGAAGATGGAGAAGCCTAGGGTTGGGTTGGCGTGGTTGGTGGCGTAGGTGATGAAGCCTTCGGGGATTTTGTGTAGGGCGATTGCTGTGCTTGTTTGTAGGCCGAGGGAGAGGAAGGCGTTTGTTGGGACGTGGTGGTGGTGTTGTTGGGCCTCCTGGTCATGGTCGTCATGGCTGTGGCCGTGATGATGATGGTGATGATCAGTATTTGATGAGGTATTCGAGGAAGAGCGGCTGTGCTTTTGGAGGGGTTGGATCGCGTGTGCTGCGTGGCCATTGGTAGACGGTAAACTTGCAAAAGAGCTTTCCATGGTGGCTGGTCCGGACCTTGTAGGTACCAGGGGTGTTGTTTCGTTCACATCCTCCAACGCTGTTCGTCGATCATGCGGTCCCTGCGAGGTTTGGCTTCTGCTCACTCCAGATGGTCGTGTAATACTCAAGCTGCCTAGAGACTTTCGTGACTGCAAGCGTGAAGGCCGGACTTCACAAAGATCACCAAAACATTGCCCATTGTCAGTGTCGTCACATGCTTTCTCAGCTCCGACAATTAGTTGCGAGACTTTGGATGACAGCGACTTGTGAAGCGATGGTCTCTGAGGTAGGGCAGCTTTCGAGTTTACGCTACTAGTCCCATATGAAGTATGCTCGTCATGTCCGTGGGCGTGCGGAAGACAGAGCGGCTGCTCCTGCATCGGTTGGTGAGAGTGCGATTCCTCTTCTTGAAACTTCCCTTGCTCTTCGTCGTCGTGTTTGCTTTCGCAGTCCACAACTGAGTGCGGAATGTACTGGTGTAGTATTCCAGAGAGAACTGAGATGCCAAGAGCACCAACAAGGAAGCATCCGATCAATGTCAATATCGCATTCCGCGGTGACATGCCTCCTTTCTTCAGATAGTTCTTCGCCGAGGGAAGCATGCTGTATAATGATGAGAATATCTTGAAGTTGAGTCAGTCAAACCCAAACAAAGCTCACCAGCGACACGCACCATAACACCAAAAGAAAGACTCAGCCCCGTCGACAAGAAAGCATTACTCTCTTCAATCTTAAAGTTCCTTTTGCCAGGAAAATATCGCACAATAAGGTCGACACATATTATCGAAGCTAGCCATCTTTAGCATCTTCCCTGGATGAAGTTCTCGAATCCCGGTCGATGGGATCAACCGCGGGAATAATCTCACCTCCAAATGTACATGCTGTTTACGCGTTAGCTCATCTACTCCCCGAGAGATTCCATGCAGCTTCCCGCGCAATCGTCAATCATACCTATGCCGCTGACCGCAGTCATGATCCACCCACGCGTATCGTTATCGAGAACCATTGTGCCTGCCTGCAGGTACACTTCTGGATGACGTCGTTATGCCAAGCTCTTCGTCTCCGGCTGGCGGGTAAGGGAGTAGTCGCGGAAATGAGAGGCGATTAGATAGTTCTAGAGAGCGGGCGGCAGGCGGATAAGAAATGATGAAGTTTGTACATGCAAGAGAGTCCTGGTCAGATGAGGCGTCTTCTTCGCACCGTGTTGGCCTCCTAGCGCGTCGAGGACAGTCAAGGAAAAATCGGGTTTAGCGGCTTGGCGGTAGGGCTGATGTGCACGTGTCGTCATTGGCTGGAACGCACGAGGCCGGGGTGTCGCGTTTCGCCTCACGGAGGATGACAACTACGAAATTGGACGTAAAGAGGGATTCACAGTACTTTGGGAGTACGGTCTAAGTCTCAAAAGGACTGTGTAATGAGTGGAAGATTGTCCTGCATATATGAGGGAGGGTGCATGAATGCAGACACACTAGCGCCCAACAAGGAGGCGGTGTATGAGATCAGACACGTGAAGTATGACATCTGACATTGTGTGGCTGATAATCATGAGGTTACTGACTTTGAAATTACGACTAGATAAAAGAAGAGAACAAGCCTCCACCTTGTCGATGAACACGTATTAAAGTGTTAGACCCAAAGTACTCCTAAGCATCCTTGACCAACCGCTGTGCGGTCAAGGACGTTGCTTCCTATCCGAAGCATGTTGATGACCGTGAAGTAAAATTCTAGAAAAGCTCGGAGAGCTGCAAACGCCGTGTTTCCCGTCCATCCCGCTATGCATAACAAAGGAAATTTCTAAAGTACTAAAGGCCGTGAGAAAGAAGTGTCGTCGTCAACGGTCGTGTCTCGAGCGATCAAGACTTGGGAGGCCTCGGAACAAAGATCTTGCTCCATGCACCAGGGCCGTGTTCGGGCTTCTCGTTGATGACGAGGAGATTGGGCGATGAGCAGTAACCGCCAGGCTCTGCTCTCCGCTCTTGCTCAACGTAGTGGCCTGCACGATCGGCTTCTGTCGCGTTTTGTGCAAAAGCCGCAGCTGGGTGGTCATAGATCCAGACTTTGTCCGTCACAAGCTCGCCCGGCTCTTCAGCGAAACGGGCTTTCTTGTCAGGGAAGCCGACGAAGTAGTTCAGGATGTCGTGGATCGGAGAGTAGAGGCGTTCCGGGCGACGAATAAAGGAGAGCCAACTCAGCGTCTTCTCGTCGTACGCCACTCGAACGAACGGGTTCATGTATATCCTCGATTCTGCGGGTCGGCCCCTCCCTGACATTCGGTACTGCAAATCCGCGTTGATCAGACAACACTCCGAAGCCTCCCAGAAGGTCTCGTTGTCGTGACGGAAGCGAAGCGGGAAGATGCTGTGGTTAGGCGTCCCGTTTTGTGGATTGGCCGGTTCGGGCTGGACTCCGGTCTCTGACTGGAACCATTTGGCCTCAAAAGCCACCATGCCGCCCCAGCAACTCCGTACCCGTACCGCATCTTTCCCTGCGAGCACATCACTCCTGCTGGTCCCTGTTCCTGCGCTGGTGAACCACGGGAAGAAGGGCAGCCCGGTAATCATGCCGTCGAAATCGCGTGTCGCAAAACGGTCGTAGAACTTGAAGGGCATGATGTGGTCGACAGCGCATGCGGCAGCGTAATCTGCCCGTCCGGTCGAGTCGATGTTGGTCGCGAAGAGGAGCTGCGCAGCTTCAACAGGGTCGAAGTTGACATCGTTCAGGTACAGGACCTTGTCAAACCTGACCCCATGCTGGTCGATTGGGGCAAGCGCTCGATTGCGCACCTCGGCAAGGAAGGCGATGCGCTTGAGGCGTTTCTCGCCGTTGGGTAACGTAATGTGGGGGAGGGAAGCGAGGTCAAGATCTTCGGATACGATGGTGGAGTTGCCTTGGGGGTTGTTAGCGATCTTTGCACAGCGGCACGAGGCGAAGCGTCTCACATTTGACCTGGTCGCGGAACAAATTCAACGACTGCTTCGTCACCAAATCTGGATTGTCTTCATATATGCTCAGATGGACATTCTCGGGTCCCAACAATTCCACCAGCTGCAGCACCTCTCTACCCCACGCGCCAGATGTCAAGTCGCCCTTCTTCTCGGCGAGCGAGGCGGCTATGAAGACCTTCTCCTTGTAAGGGTTCGCGCGCCCAGTCTCGGTCGCTCGCTTGCGTAGCTCGTCGTAGTGCGGAGGCCTGACTGTGTAACTCGGGAAGAAGATGCCGGCAACTAGCACTAGGACGATCAAGAGGTACGGTACGGAGAATAACGTCCAGTATATGAGCCGCAGAATGGAGCGCTTTCGTCGACGCGGGGTGACGTAGTGGGCGTATACGGCGCGATCCGAGAGCTTGTTGACTGCATTGAAGCGACTGCTCAGACGGTTGAGCCAGGAGCGTCGTGTATTTGAAGCCTCTTCATCTTGAATGACAGCTTCTTCACCATCAACGTCGAGAGATTCGCGCGGGACCAGCTCATACTCATGTATGGGCCGGCGGGAGGATTTGGGCATCGGAAGGGTCCTAGGGGGTCGAAAGGGGCCTAGTTAACTCAGGTCCGCGGGCGCCATCAAGCGAAGATCGGACGACAGGGCTGTAGTGGAGGCGTTTTGTAGTGTTGACGACAACCGCAGCAGAGGTGAGTGTTTGTATATCGCAGAGTGGGAGGCGGGAAAGTAGTGAGTGAGAGCACGGCAGCAGGCAGTCTTGCACAACGCTGCGAGGTTCCGCTTCTTGGGGACGCGCAATTCACACGGACTCACGACTGTTTGGTTGGGGTCACCCGTCACACAGGGTCCAGCTCCCTAACCACAGTGGAGAAGCGCGAACGTGCCTCGTCTTGCCTTGCCTTTTCCAGCTGACGACACCAACTCTAATCACGCCCAGGGTGCTGCTGCCACCGAATAGTCGTTTCGAGAGCCCCGCACCACGCCCCCAGAACAGAGCATGTCGCGAACCCTTTCACTTGCAACCCACCTCGGAACGTTGCATCAATCAACCCACCTCGAACCCGAAAACACTGCAGTGCATCGTTCACTCCTCGGGCACAGTCCTGGCGGCTGGGCCTTCTCCGGTGATTAAAACCGTCGTCAGAATCTGCACATGGGTCGCTTGGCCAGTCTCTCGGCCTCTTGGTCTTCGGTCATTTGAACGTCGACGCCACAAGCGATGACCCATCTCCCGGAATCGCGCGGAGCTTGCCGTCGTACGACGCTCGTAGCAGGCGCGTACCTGGCAGCGTATCGATATACGAATGCGTGTATACAATTGCACTGCCTTACACTACTCCACTGACCTCAAACAACTGGCGCATGCCGTTACGCAGACGTGTTATGCCTCACAAACCATATTACAGTGATTGCTAAAGCTTACACAGCATGCTCGTCACATCGCTTGATGCCCGTGTCATACGACGTACGTGATGATATCCGATCCAACTATTGGTCGTCCCGTCATGCAGAAGGGCATCTGCCACGCTAGCGATACAGCACCCTTGCTTTGATCCTCCACCCCTCGCAACATTATCCCCAGTCGCATCTCACCACTACTCACCTTTGTCCAGACTTGACACGGCTGATCTAGGCGAGCTGAGTGGACTTCGTAATTGCGAAATAGGAGACAGTGGCGCAGACGCAGAACTAGCCTTCGGACGACCAACACTGCCGGAAGCCGACGGTATCTTCGGTGCGTTCAGCTGCCTCTCAGATGTTGGAGTACATGGTTCCTCAACTACCGGCACTGGCATGGGGGAGTAGCGGGGCACGTCTTGTGTTGTTGGCGAACGTTCCTGAAGTGGTTTCTGCTCGGGCTGTCGATCGTTCCATCCGCCGAGTTTCGGTACTTCGTCTCGGACGCTAGCAACGACCCGTTCCCTTTCTTTCCTCTGACATGTGTCGTTTAGCTTCGTATTGGTCTCTTTTGCTTCATATCCTTCCGTTCGAGGCTCGCCCTTACTCCGTCCGCTATTCCTTGGACTCGTCGTTCGCTGCTTCCACCGTCCGTACGTCCGAGACCGAGGTACGCTAGAGCCTATTACAATAATTGTCAGCATGCACTCCGTGGAACGATCGAAAGCTTCAGTCTACAAACGAGCAGCGGGATTAGGGTAGCATTACTCGGTGCGGGACGCGTCCTGTTCGTGTGCAAACCCCATGGCCTCGCTGTATACCCGCTCATCGGCGTGAAAGGGGCGTACCTGGCTTGATTATCTCCATCGGCCCCCGTTGTGTCGCGCATCCATTGCCGAGGATACGATCGAGGCGTATTCCACGCTCTCGTTGCTGAGTACGGATGCAGTGGGTACTCGAAGGGTAGCGTATCTGCGAATCCAGGTGTTGCTCGCGGTATGGACTCTCTTGGGACTTCTTGCGTGGCGCCAGACGAGTCGCTAGAGCATGACGACGACGATGACGACGATGGAGGCGCTGCCTTTTTGAGCGCTTCAAGTACGATAGGTGGGTATTCATCGCAAATGTGGATGAAATCGACTTTCTCGTGTCGACGTACGCGTTTAGCCGGGGGTTTTGGCTTCACTGGAGGTGTTTTGCGATGGTTGGTCTTCGGCACATCCGTACTCATCGTCTCTACGTAGGGTTGTCGATGTGGATACCGATCTCGAGGTTGATACTGAGGCGGGTACTGAAGCGGCTCAGGCATTGTTGCTGCCATCCGCTGGAATGGCTGGTGCGGCACTCCTGTCGGCATAACAAAAGGTGGCATCTGAGCCGCGACTTGATCCTGCCATGGCACGGGCATCTGTTGCGATACACCCGAATGGTTGCACACCAGATTCGCGCCGGACCACTGTTCTCTCCAATCGCCTGGAGGGTAATACGACTGTGCGTACGGTTGCTGTTGTTGTGGCCCACCAATTTGCCTCACCCCTTTCATCATCTCTACCTCCCTCTGTCCCGCCCAGTCCCCATTACCATTCCCATCCCTCACTTTCCGACTCTTCAAATTCCTCTCATCACAATACTTCCTCATCTGAGATCTCTCACTCCTTCCTCTCTCTCTCCCCCTCTTCGCAGATCTCGACCGGTGTTTCGACGGCTCCCCGTATCTCGTCAAATCTCGATGCCCCGCCTTTTCAACATACACAACGGGCGGCTGCCGCGTTCGGCTTGGAAACAGGAAATGGAACCAATGCTCGAGTTCGTAGCAGCGCTGGTTGATGTAGCGGTGGACGTACCAGAGACCGAGGTAGACGAGGGCGGTGCCGAAGATGCCGGCGAAGACGAGGGCGATTATGAGGTTGGTTGTTGGCATGATTTGGGGCTACCTGTCCAGTGGTATGCAGTCTCCTCGCCAAAGGATAGGCAATGAGTGAAAAGAAGCCAAGAAAAACTCAGGCAAGAGAACAACACGACAAAGGAAAAGCAGAGCGAAGAGCACGTAGCCACGATGTACCATCGTTGAGATCACAGTCGCACAGACTAACCCCTAGTAAGTTTGTCCGAAGCCAACACCGCTAACAACGCAGCAAACATACAGCATGCCGTGCAACACTACCACTCGACACTCAAGCACGCCAGCGCAGTAGCAGCACACCCTTGAAGACTCTCTGAGCTCTGTAAGCTCCGTCTTTCCCATAGTTTGTACCGCAGCGCTTGTAGAGGCGTCTAGCTGTAAATTGAGCATATCGCTGTGGATGCTGAGTATTGGGGTGTGGTACATGCTCCAAGGGACAAACTCGTGTGACGGGATTTGGGCGCTTGTGCGAGCCTGGTCATGTTGTACGGAAGGGGAGTGATGGGTTTGGCTATGTGGTCGGGTTTTCCTGGTAGGTTTGGTGCCTTATAAGTTATTTCGAGGAACGGTGTCTGTCTGTACGGTCAGCGTTTTGGCTGATATCTGGATATTGGCCGTTGACATACCTGGTGTTGTCAGACTCTTTTTACCAAACTCCCTTGACGTCGTTGTTTTGCAGCATCTCATCCTCCTACTTCTCTTCCTCCGCCGGTGTTGTCCCACCCTCCTCCTGCTGCCGCTCCTCCACCTGCTCCGGTGTCGTCCCATGCCGGAGTACCTCCATCTCCACCGCCGGTTGCTGTACTCTTCGCTCCTCCGCTCTTCGCTTTACTTCCTTCAACGTTTTCCATTTCCATTCCCATCTTTAGTTCCTTTGCCACCACTCTTGCTCTTCCCACCCGCACTCTTTCCCCCTCCATCTGCACTCTCCCCTTCCCTTATCTCTCTACATTCGCTCTTACTCTTCCCTCCCGCGCTCTTACTACCACCACCACCACCACCACCACCACCACCCACCAACTCCTCCTCCTCCTCCTCCTCCTCCTCCTCCTCCTCCTCCTCCTCCTCCTCCTCCTCCTCCTCCTCCTCCTCCTCCTCCTCCTCCTCCTCCTCCTCCTCCTCCTCTTATCCCTGCCTCAGCATCCCTCCGACACCTCAATTCGTGAACCTCCAGATCGATAGCCCGCCGACAACTCTTCATGAGGTAGTAACCGAAGAGATAGCAGAAGAAGGTAACGAGGACGATGGTAAGGATTATCGCGTGGACGTAGTACATCGCATGGATGTGAGTGAGGAGTTGTTTGGTAGGTAGGTGGTTTGACGAGGCACCGGTGTGTGGTGTTCGTATGGGGGAATAGTGTGGGCGTATGGGTACGGCGGGAGCACTGAAGAAGAGAGCGCGGTGGTGAGAGTGGATATCAGGGCGATAAAACTCCACGTTGGTCACAGAAGGCTCTGTTGGCGGAGCGCAATGCGATACTACTTAGTTGGCTGTAGATGTCGCGCTGGAAAAGATAAGTCAGCAGGAAGATAGAAGCTGTTTGGAAACGCAGTGACAGCAGTGTTGGGTAGCAAGGCGTGATATGGTGAACTAAAGAGAAATCCATCTTCACCTTCACCTTCACTTTGCTGGTAGCGATCAAAGAACGCACAGTCATATCCAACACCGAATCTTGAAACGTTCCTCTAGAAGGAGAACGTGGATTAATAGTATTGACACTGTCTAATCATCATATATGTTATTACACAGGAACATGGTATTCACTGTCCCAACGTTCAAGACAGAACAGCAGTCCCCGCCTCAGCAGGCTTAGGACTCGCTTTCTCGCCTCCACTCGACGCAGCAAGAGTAATGTTCTCCGCTGCCGCCTCCAGCGGTATCTCTTCTCCGCTCGTCCCCTGTCCCTGTCCCTGTCCCTGTTCCTTTACCTCCCCCTTCTCCTTCATTGCCGGGCTCGGCGTAGGCGGCGCCGGCGCCACAACCTTCCTACTCGGACTGCTCATCTCCCAAAACCGTCTCGGCACATTCTTCGCGGGCGGCATACCCAAAAACCCTTTTCCGCCCATACTTTCCAGTGGTTTAGCTCTACCTCCCACATAACAGCCCAGATCACCACTCCAGACAAAACCGCCTCCGACTACGCCTCGCAGCACGCCGAAAGCGCGGGCGTCGCGGTATGCAATACCCGTTTCCGGGTCGCGGTATCGGGCTATGGTATTGGTGATGGGACAGAGTTTCTGGCCTGGTTTGAGCACGATCTCTGGCTCGGCTTTGGGCGCGGCGTTCTTCCGGGGTGGTTTTGGCGGCGCGATGAGGGTTTGTTGAATGTAGTTTGCTGCTTCGGCAGGGGTCCAGCTGAAGAGGGCTGTGTAGAGCTGTACCAAAGCTGATTTATCCTTTTCTTTGAGGAGGGATGCTGCTGTCCTGGCTCGCGAGGAGGATGTTGGTGGAGCTTCGAGGTTGGGGAAATTGGAGAGGATAAGGAGGTTGCGGAGAGCTCGACGTATGACTTTGCGTCGCGGTGGCTGAGGGGGCAAAGCGGGTTTTTGGAATTGTGCGAGGAGGGCTTGAGGGCCGATCGCGGAGTCGCCGTTTTGGTGAGGTAGAGAGGGATGTAATTGGTTGTAGAGGGCTATTTGTGCATCTGAAGGTTGATTCTGAAATTTAGAGGCTTCTGTGAAGGGGAATGGAGGAAGGTCGTTGCCGTGCATAGGCTGGGATTGCTGGTCCTGGGCGTACTCGTCGATGCCATAGAGGAAGGAGTCTTGGCTTGGCGGTGCGAACATTACAGTGCTGGGATGTTGCATGCCGAACGAGCCCATGAAAACATCGCCGCCTTGTGATGCTGCTGCTGTCCATGGTTGTTGTGAGTTATCTTGTTGTGGGGGCATGGTTGCGGGTATTGAGGGGATGTGTGTTGAGCTACTGAACTGATCCAGAGAGGGAAAAGAAGGCTGTGAATTATCTGCATGGTTATCTGGAGCTTGTACCGGGAGCTGTGTAGACTCTGGCTGCGTTGACGTCTCCGCAACTGTGACCTCCTTGTTGAGCTTTTCTTCGAGATGCTCCAGACTAGGTGCGTCCTTGCCTGTGTATTTGAGCTTATCATCGACCCAGATGCCCGGCCCGCTGTAGTATCGATAGAAGGGCCCATCGATCTGTCGGTTCTTTAGAGCGTCAATCTTGGCCTGCCTCTCTGCTGCCCTAGCTTCCTCTGCCTCTTCCCATCTGTGTAAGGTTTTCTTGTTGATGCGCTCATTCCGAGCAGCCTCAGCAAGCCTCTCAGCCTGGGTCAAAGGTTTCTCCTTGGACTTCAACTTCCGCGCCTCTGCAGCCTTCATCATAGCCAGGGTATCATCGCGCCTCCGGTCTTTCTCCTTCAACTTAGCCAGTGTGGCATCCTTGTTTGCCACTGTCTGTTTGCGCATGGACATTCGAACCGGACCATCCTCTTCAGTAGGTAGCCATGATGCCCTCTCGGACTTCTTCTTGGGTCGCGGAGGCGCAAGCGTGGGCGACTGTGTGCGAGGAACGTCGAGCTTGACCTTCTTTCGTGCTTGGGCGGCGACCCGTGCAGTGAAGGGATTCGTCGTGGCCTTGCGCTTCTTGTTGCGCTCTTGTCGCTCTGCCTTGCGCAGCTCCTTCTCGCCCGCCTCGTCCTCGTCGGCATCGTCATCGCCCTCTTCCGACGATGACGAATCCATGTTGTAGTCCTCCTGCTCGTTGATATCACCGCCTTGGAACTCCTCCTCGTTCGGAGCCTCCTCCCACTCCTCACCCCATTCCTCCTCCTCGGCCGATTTGGCGAGCAGGATGGACATGCGATTCCCGGCATTGGATCGCTTGGCCCTAGACGTAACCATGAGCTGCGCGGGTGCTTCCTCTTCGCTCTCATCCTCGGGTGCCTCCGACTCATCATCGTGGTGTGACGGCGGGGCATCCTCCATGGCTACCTGGGGCGGCTCTTCGGACATGGCGGACTGCGAATTCTACGGCAGACGCGAGGTAGACGGGGAAGGTGCAGACGAGGCGACTGGAGCCTGAGGCAAAGCGAGTCGGACGGCAGCGATCAAGGTTTGGGCAAGGCTTTCCAGAAGGATTCCATGCGACAGCGACACGGATTATGCGCTCCAACTGTGGGGTGAACGGTTGGCGGCATGGACTGCAGAGCGGCAGGGTCGTCTGATGGTGCGGTATTATGCGGATTGTTTCAAGCGGCGTGATGACAGCATGTCGAGAAATGCGCGGAGTGGGCGTGGAATCGAGAGCACGCGCCAGAATGACGCGACGGGCGATGGAAAGTCGCCAAGTCAGCAGCAAAGGCTTGGCACGGCCCGTCTGCATCTGAAACTTAGTGCGCTGATGATAGAATCAGATAGATAAACGTCGTTCCAAGGTACCGCACCATGGCCTGTCAACGCCTCACTAAAGCTCTTTGGGTCTGCGTGGCCTGTCAGCCTGTCTACTTCAGGACGTGCAGCACAAGGCATATCCGCCGTGGTCTGACATATATGTTTTCTAGAAGAGTTGTTTCGACTGTGTGGATGCTGCACCGATGCATTGCAGGGTCAATAGTCTATTGCAGTCCATCTACGTGCCACATTGTAGTGCTAGATTATAGCAGAGACTCAGTAATGGTGTACGCATCGGGCTCAGAAAGTCTAATAGGCCGTTGGTATGCATGCAGGACCCCAACGCACCTTCACCCATGTTTGGCAGCAGCAGGCCAATCACACGCCGTGGCCGGGCAGAGGCACACAGTGTCCACGTCAGATTCTGGAGTAACGGACTTTGTCGACGCGCCTCTGTGTTTCAGACGCGGGCGGGCATGCGCTGCTCTGTCCCGCGGCCACCCACTAAGGACACAATTGCAGGACGAGGCCCTGGAGCCACCCGGGCGCCCTTTGTGTGCCCCTGAATTCTACAAAAGCAATGCACCGCAGCCGTGCAATCGCAACCCTCACTCGCCGTTGCACTTAACAGCCCACCTACAACCGTAGCCGACCGCGCAGATCGTGCCGTAACCTGTAACGTGCTTGTTCTGGCAGCCCGCCCAATTGAGCTAGTTTCCTCGTGTTCCTGGTGGCTCCCCATTTCTATCAAGCGAACCTCACCATTCATTCCCTCGCAAGCATCTCTCCATCGCCCATCGCTCTCTTGCTCCCGCCCGCGACAACTAGCTGTATCGGCCTCCGCACGAGCTCGAATGCTTAATCGGCCCTCGTCCGCTTAATCCTATTACTTCTGTTCTCCAGGCACTCCGGTGATCTGTCTATTCCGCCCGCCTGCTGCTGTACAGTACCCGTACCATAATCGACACCCGCCCAGTCTCCGTCACTCCTTCGCGGCCTCCCTCGCCGTCGAGCTCCACCACCGCCTCCGGACTGGATCCAACCTGTGTCGTCGTCTTCCACTGTACACCAGGCTGCGCTGTGCTGAGCCCGGTCTTGCTGGCAATAATCCCTCGCCTCACATTCCTTTGGCCGGCACCAACCCTCCTTCGATCCATTACCCTGGCTTTGGTAACCGAGTCACGACGACTATTCTTCCCTATTAGACTACCCAGGTCACCGCAGGGTCTGTAATCCATAATGGCTCCCACCACCAACCGCCCCGAACACCACATCAACCTCAACTACATCCCCCAGCTGCCCCAGCCGCCGCACTCGGGCTCCTCGACAGGCAACACCTCGCCCGTCGAGCCTCCCAACAGCGGCTCTCTACGCTTCGCTGGCAATGCCTCGAACCCACTCGGCACCGCTGCGGCGGGCGCGAGGCTCGGGAACGGGTCCCCGTCGCACGAGTATGGCGGCCGATTATTTTCCAAACGGCATGTCGCACCCTGAAACAAGTTCCGACTCGTGCTAACACCCTGACAGTGCACGCGAGATTCAGGCACAGGAGGGCTTAACTCCGCAAATGTGGGGACCTCCTACCAGTGGGAATTCCACGCCGCTGCGCGAGACTATCCCCGAGTCCCCCAACAGCGAGAACCTGAGCTTCCCCGACTTCAACAACGCCGTGCCAGACGCCATGTCAGCTGCACCCGCTCCTAACCGCCGCGCCCGCGCTGGCACCCTGCCCTCCCGCTTCTCCCCCTCGGCTGCCCCTCCCGGCCTCATGTCCGGCACCTCGCTGCTCCCCAAGAGCTCCCGACCAACGCCCTCGACAAGCCCCTTCAAGCCTGGCCCTGGCACACCGACCGACAACTCAAGCTTCAACGCGCTCGGGTCTACAAATGCTGCGGCCAAGTCTGCGCTGCTTTCCCGTCTGCGTGCTGGCTCAATGCCTCAGCGACCGGGTGGCTACCTCCCTCCTTCCACCTCACCGTTCGGCAACTCCATCTTCTCGGGCGGCTGGTCAAACCAGCGTGACCGTAGCAGCACACTCCAGAGCATTGCCTCGGTGCCGTCAAACGGACAAGGTTCGCCGAGGTCTTCCTTCTCCCGCGATTCGCTCGCCGACACCGATGTCAAGACCCTTGACTACCTTGGTCTAGTTGACACCCCCCAGCCTGCACGAGCTACCCTGGCTCCGTCCGACATCGAGCTCCTCCTCGAGAGCCAGAGGAACGCCAACAACCAGAACTCCGGTGGTGCAAACCGCTTCCGTTCCTACTCTGTCAATGCTAAGGAGAAGTACGCTGAAGAGGAGGAGGATCAATACGGCGCATACAGCGGCACCATCACTCCTGCCGAAGCCAACGCCCTTCTCATCCACGAAGCGGTTCGTCAACACAATCTCGAAGTCCAAGCTTTTGCGAACCTCGCTTCCAACGCGCGCCCACGAGCTCGCACTGCCGGCGTGCTAGATGCTCCTTCGCGGGGCATGATGCGACCCTACTTGCCCGCCATGGGCCGGTTTGACAACGGCATGGGAACTGGTGACTTGACTGAGGATGCAGAATACAACCTTACTGAGGCTGTCAAGAAGCTCCACTTGCCTGGTTCCAACCTCGGCGACGATGGAACTCTAGAGGGACCCACTCGATCTTTGTGGCTCGGCAACATCCCATCTTCGACAACTGTTTCCTCGCTCCAAGTCATCTTCGCCCAGTATGGTGGCATTGAGTCTACCCGCGTCCTCACACACAAAAACTGCGGTTTCGTCAACTACGAGAACCTAGAGAGTGCAGTTCAGGCAAAGTCAACTCTGAACGGAAAGGAGATCTTCCCAGGTGCTGGCCCCGTCCGCATTGGTTACGCTAAGATTCCAAGTGCAGCAGCTACGCCTGGCCACAATGGTCTGTTCCCTTCGCCAAGTCCTGATCCATTGTCAAAGGCTCAGGCTGAGGGCACAGCTGGCTCTGCTGCCGCTACCAAGGTGGCCAACATCCCCGCAAATGTACCTTTGACCACGCCTGAGCTCAGCGACATCCGCAGCGACATTATCCAGATTGTGAAGGAGCTGGGCGCCACGGACGACGAGCAGTCAAGGATCACTACCAAGGTTGAGAAGGCTGTCCAGTTCAACAACTATGTCGACGAGATCCCATCTGTTGAAGAGCCGAGCCACACTCGCATTCACGACGCTCCTAGACTGCGAGAAATCCGAAAGCGCATCGACAACGGATCCTGCTCCAAGGAAGACATTGAGAACATCGCCATGGCCATGCTCCCAGAAATCGCTGAGCTCTCCTCTGACTACCTTGGAAACACGGTCGTGCAGAAGCTGTTTGAGTTCTGCGAGGAGCCTACCAAGGAAGCCATGCTTCGCGAGATTGCCCCTCATCTGGCTAAGATTGGTGTGCACAAGAACGGAACATGGGCTGCCCAGAAGATCATCGATGTGTCCAAGTCAGAGACTATGCAGAAGATGATCGTCGATGCTGTTCAACCTTACGCTATGGCTCTCTTCCTCGATCAATTCGGTAACTACGTTATGCAAGGCTGCCTCAAGTACCAGAAGTTCAACGACTTTATCTTTGAGGTCATGCTGGGCAGACTCTGGGATCTCGCCCAAGGCCGATTCGGTGCCCGTGCCATGCGAGCTTGCCTGGAGAGCCACTATGCTACCAAGGACCAACAGCGCATGGTAGCTGCTGCAATTGCTCTTCACAGCGTTCAGCTGGCGACCAATGCCAACGGTGCCCTGCTCTTGACCTGGTTCCTCGATACCTGCACCTTCCCAAGGAGACGTACGGTTCTGGCTCCCCGCCTAGTCCCACACATTGTCCACCTCTGCACGCACAAGGTTGCATACCTCACCGTGCTAAAGATCATCAACCAGCGCAACGAGCCAGAGGCTCGTGACACCATCCTACAGGCACTGTTCTTCTCTCCCAACGATCAGGTGTTGGAAAGCATCTTGGCCGACCAGAACTGCGGTGCCACCTTGATCTTCAAGGTACTCACCACTCCATTCTTTGATGAGCAGATCCGCGCCGATGTAGTAACCAACGTTCGCAACGTTCTATTGCGCATCAAGGCACAGCCTCAACAAGGCTACAAGCGACTCATGGATGAGGTCGGTCTTTCCACCCGTGGCGGACCTGGTCACCGTGAACACTCCGCAACCCGGCCAGCGTCGAAGGACAGCATCGCATCTGGACCGCCAAACCCTGGGCAGTTTTACCAAGGAGCGGCACCTGGCTTCGACCCTGTCGCACTCCAGCGCACAGCAAGCATGGACTCCAATGGTTTCGAGCAATACCCAATGGGCGGTGGACCCATGTACATGCCAAACATGCAGGCCATGAACAACCAGCAGCAGATGCAATACCAGCAGCTCCTGGCCCGACAGGGTCAGTTCTACCCTCAGATGAACGGTTTCCAAGGCCCCGTTCCGGGCATGGATGCTTACCGCAACGCGTCGCCTGTTGCAGGCCCTGGCAGCTTCAACGGATCACCAATGATGCAGCCCGCCAACCTCGCCGGTCAGGGCATGCCCGGCATGTACCCTCCCTATGGCATGTACATGCCACCCCAGCACCAGCAGGCGGCTGGAGGTAACCAGCGACGTGGCAGAGTAAGCAGAAATGCGTCCCCTGCTAACAGCGTTCGCCGTTAACATCTCTTCAGAGATAAAAATCGCCTCGCCTGAGGGTTTAGATTCTCATCTCCTCTTAGAATTTACTGTGTTGCCAGGAAAAGCAGCACTATCTTCCTGTATATGATTCGGATCTTCACACCTACACGCATCTGCTAGCGAGCATTCTTTGCAAAGCGGCATACTACCATACTTGCCATGTTTCCCCTTGCTCTGTCTTCGGACCCTTTACGATTTTCATATCCTTTCTTCTCAATCAATCGGCACATCGGCTATCTGTCGGTCGACGGTCGTCTTGTCTCGTCACTCGCTTAGCCACCTTGCTTGGTGTTTCGGGGCGTACTTTGAGCAATGTTCTTCAATGTAGTCGCGAGTCGAGGGCTTAGCTTACCTTGGCTCCGTCGATCGGATCGGATGATCGCTGTATCGATATGAAATGCGCATATGAGAGTTTGGCTGGAATGATATATGCGATCTGGTGACACGCAAAAGTACCGTTACAATGGCATGATATAGGATCTTGGGATCTTGGACGTTTGTTTTTCTTCCCTGCGCTGCGAGGGAGAATGGGGGGTCGAGCTCGAGCTTGCGAGCTAGATAGAATCGAGATTCTTGCCACTTTGTAATGCTCTTTACGGTCTGCGTGTTCTTGTCGTTTGAGATGTTGTGGTGTTGAAGCTTTGTCCGCTATAAGACTCATAGGAGTAGTCTGAGCGCGGATAACGCAGTCATACTGCCTTTCCCAAAACCCATGGCACACCTAGACCTTGGCTCTACAAACTCTTCACAATTCGCTTCCCTGACATTATCAACCAAGCCCAGAATCACACGAGCAAGGCACCATATAATGAATCGGGCTAGAGCCTGCGAACGAGAAAGACTGGAGCTCTTTTTACTTTACAGTCTTACAATTGTATTGATGATTTAACAGTTAAGCAAAAACGACAACGAAATGGACAGCAACGATGAAGAATTCCACGATCACAACGAACCGGAGGATGAATTTGGGGACGAACCTATAGTATGGACAACGAAAGGCCGTAAGTCACCTCTGCGGTACCTGAATCGCTCATAACGCTAACGGGCACCACAGTATATAATGCTTGAATGCTCAGCTGGAGGAGAGCCCACAATCTCTACATGCTTGAATATCCCGAATTATAAGAGCGATAAGATCAGGACCTCTAAAAAGCTTAAGAGCTACACACGTAGCTTGTGGTGTTGCGCGACGGTACGGCATGGCGAGAATTGTATCGGACGAAGGAGGGTTCTTAATACTACCTAGTCCCTGAATGACTATGCCGGTTACTCATTCATCTTCACAATCAGACAGACACGAGATTGAGTCTGCATGTGACCGTGTATCTTGACTCTCCATGAAGTCATAGCCCCATGACTTCGAATGAAGGATACTAACGTGGGTGAGAATCGCGGTCTGCGTTGGACTGGAGCCAGCGATCGATAAAAGACCAATTAAAGAATGCAGAAATAAGACAGTGTATTTGGGGCAGAGCTGCTATAGTTCTAGTGGCTAGATACAGTTTCGTAGGGTGTGGTTGTGAAACAAAAGGTTTGTGGTGGTGAAAATGTCATTCACCAACATCGTCAACACCAAAAGAAGAGCTGCAGCGACCAGATGAGCCGGAACAAAAAAGCTAGAACGTACAAGCCCGACGTGGGGGTCGAACCCACAACCTTGAGATGTACTGAGTAATCGTGTCTGTTAGACCGTGAAAGACTAAGAGTCTCACGCTCTACCGATTGAGCTAGCCGGGCTAGTGATGTTGTTCGATGGGAAGCAAAGTTGAAAGAATCAACATAATGTAAAGTAGATTTCTTCCAGCTCCATGGGATGCATGTACAACTTTTCAAGATGAAGTTTGCCATGACTGTAAGTGTGGTGAGCGGGGCCGGGAGGATGCCCGCGGGACGCTTGGAAAATTTCATTAGTGGAACACGAACCATGTGCATGCTCGGTGAAGCACCACCGCAACCTACCGATTATTGGCTATAGACTTATTGAGCATATCACCATAAAGATAAACGCTAGATAGGCCACTTTTCGGTTTTGCGGTTCGTTGCGACAGTGAGATAACTCGACGAATACCACTTGCTATTCGGTGTTTGAACTGCGATCACTACACGAGAGTATAAGGCTTGATACGTTACACTGCTCTTTGACGGTCATGCAGTGATTTGCAGGCCACGAATGCATGGTGCTATTTTGGGCGCGTCGGCTGCGCCCTGAGTGCAAGTTTACGAGCCACAGCCTCACTCTATCAACAGTCCGAATAGATAGTTTCAACCGTCGGAAGAAGCACAATAATGCACCCGCAAGTTGTACGCTCTCAACGTCATAGGAGATGCACAGTTTGATGAGCTCGGCACTTTGACATATGAGCAAAATTCTAGATGCGTTCTGTCGGTTAGATCTGATCTTCTTCGATGAATTCATCATGCCGCAGCACGAACCGGGCTGAGAGAAATTGTAGTGTGCCCGCCTTACAAGCCGTATCGGACTTGGCGCGGGTCGGCCAAAGAGGACAGGGATTTTAGATTCAGCAGGAGATCAATAGTGTTGCGCATCGTATGGTAGACATGTTGGTGGATGGACTTGTATATTCTAGATCCAGGCCTTGGGAAAAAGAATAAAGAGCGTTCTTGAGAGTATCGGCATGCAGACTTGGCGCAACGTCAGGGTCTCCACCGAATCTCTCCCCACAACGTGGCGCCGCGTAATGTCGCTGCAAGTAGGGTAGTTTGCAGCTTTCGCGCGTGCGTGCAGCGTGGTGCAATTTGAGACATACGGCCAAGGGAAATCGACATTATTCGCCGATATATCGAGACCCCAGGGGCGCGGTTGCAGCAGGTTGTCCAGGATTGGGGTAGGCACTGCCTCAGCACATAGGTCCGTGCCTCCATCTTTCGACGACAGGCAAGCAGCGAAACCTTGCAAACAAATCCGCGAGCATTGCCAGCGCCGGTGAAAGGTTGACGTTCGCTTTTCCACGATATACACGCGATCACGACACATTGCGCGCAACCCGTACAAACCCAACTCCGAAACGCCGGCCAAGCTGTGTGACCTACTATTACCAGGGCGGCTTACGAGGAAGCTCCGCAAGACCTCCGTACTCCGTATACCTCCGCGACGCGCCCACACATTGCAGCGCAGACAACACACTGGCGACCCGTACATGAAGTGGTAGAGAACCCGCGCTCTTCGGAGACAGACGCCCATCACAACATTCGGCCGCTATGGCCAGCCGGCCGCCGGGTGGACCGTCTCACAGCGAGAACCTGATCGACTTTGACGACCACCAACCCACATACTCCTCGGGCGCACCACCACCCGCAAACGACAATGACCTCCTCCACCGGTACGATATAGACAGCTCCGACGCGGCGCCCCAGGGCCGGCCCTCTGTATCGTACGATGACTTTGTTGGGGGTGGGAGGGCGACGGCAGGCCTGCCGGGCGGGCCTGGCGCACCAACTGGTACCTCGCCCTATCTGGGTGGAGCAAACAATAACAGAGCCTATTCGCAAACGTCGGACCTGAACAACTACCAACGGTACTCGGACGCAGATATACCACATGACGACGACGCTTCCACGCAGGGCTACTATGCTGCAGGAGGGGCGTATGACCAGGCTTCACCAGGTATACAGCGCGGGGCATCCAAGAAGGCGCACAACAGGAATAGTATCCTGAGTCTCGGAGGTGGTCTGACGGGGAGAGTCAAGAACATGTTCGGACAGGGGAACGAGTACTCTGAGATGGACCTTCCATTGACTGAGAACGCAGCACACCAACGGCAGCCCAGCGCGACCGCGAGCGCACGCGACGATGGCCAATCGTCAAAAACAAAGAAGGGTCTGGGGACATTCAAATTCGGCTTCGGCAGGGGTGCGCCAGACCCTTCAACACTGGGGCCCCGAATCATCCACCTGAACAACCCGCCTGCGAACGCCGCGAACAAATACGTCGACAACCACATCTCCACCTCCAAATACAACGTCGTCACCTTCCTCCCGAAATTCCTCTACGAGCAGTTCTCCAAATACGCCAACCTCTTCTTCTTGTTCACTGCCATCCTACAACAGATTCCCGGCATTTCACCCACTTCGCGATTCACTACAATTGTCCCGCTCGGCATAGTTCTGTTAGTGTCGGCTGTCAAGGAGTACATTGAAGACTACCGGCGAAAACAGTCCGATTCCGACCTCAACAACTCGAAGGCGCAAGTTCTCAGAGGCTCTTCATTCGAGGATACAAAATGGGTCAACGTGGCAGTAGGCGACATTGTACGCGTCGAATCTGAGTCACCTTTCCCAACTGACCTGGTCCTACTCGCTTCTTCCGAACCAGAGGGTCTGTGCTACATTGAAACGGCCAACTTGGACGGAGAGACGAATCTCAAGATCAAGCAAGCTATTCCCGAGACGGCTGATTATGTTAGTCCTGCTGAGCTAGCGCGACTGGGAGGCCGTATTCGATCAGAACAGCCCAACAGTAGTCTATACACGTATGAAGCAACCTTGACCATCGCAGCAGGTGGCGGGGAGAAGGAACTACCACTTCAACCCGATCAGCTGTTATTACGTGGAGCTACATTGCGAAACACCCCCTGGATACACGGCGTTGTTGTCTTCACCGGACACGAAACCAAGCTGATGAGGAATGCCACTGCTACACCTATCAAAACTACTGCAGTGGAGAGGATGGTCAACAAGCAGATTCTCATGCTCGTGGTCATCCTCATAATTCTTAGTATCATCAGCTCCATAGGCGATGTCATCATCCAATCCACGCAAAGAGACAGCCTCGAGTATCTCAGGCTTGAGACTTTCAACGGCGCCAAACAGTTCTTCCGCGACCTCCTGACATATTGGGTGTTGTACTCCAACCTGGTACCCATCTCACTTTTCGTAACGATCGAGATCGTCAAGTACTATACTGGCAGTCTGATCGATTCTGACTTGGACATTTACTACGAACCAACGGATACACCTGCGAAATGCCGGACTTCGTCTTTGGTCGAAGAACTGGGTCAGATTGAATACATCTTTTCAGATAAGACGGGTACTCTGACCTGCAATGTGATGGAATTCAAACAGTCCACCATTGCTGGTATCCAGTATGCCGATGAGATCCCAGAGGATAGACGTGCTACGATTGAGGACGGCGTTGAGGTTGGTATTCACGACTTCAAGCAGCTCGAGCAAAATCGCAGGACGCACCACAACAAGTACATCATTGACCAATTCCTCACCTTACTTGCAACATGCCACACAGTCATTCCTGAGCGAAAGGGTGAGAAGGCCGCTATCAAATACCAAGCAGCGTCGCCTGATGAGGGTGCTTTGGTTGAAGGTGCGGTGACTCTTGGCTACAAGTTCATTGCACGAAAGCCGCGCGCCGTCATTATCGAAGTCGATGGTCGCGAGTTGGAATACGAACTCTTGGCCGTTTGCGAATTCAACTCCACCAGGAAGAGGATGTCGACAATCTTCCGCACTCCCGAAGGCAAGATCGTCTGTTATACCAAGGGTGCCGACACCGTCATTTTGGAGAGACTTGGCAAGGACAACCCCCATGTGGAAACGACGTTAACGCATCTTGAAGAATACGCTTCCGAGGGATTGCGCACATTATGTCTTGCTATGCGAGAAATTCCGGAAAACGAGTTCCAGGAATGGTGGACCATTTTCAACACTGCACAAACCACAGTCAGCGGAAACCGTGCCGAAGAGCTAGACAAGGCCGCTGAGCTTATTGAGCGTGATATGACTCTACTGGGCGCGACTGCTATCGAAGACAAGCTGCAGGAGGGCGTGCCCGACACTATCGCTACTCTGCAATCAGCCGGTATCAAGGTCTGGGTTCTCACTGGAGATCGCCAAGAAACCGCTATCAACATTGGCATGAGCTGCAAGCTGATTAGTGAAGACATGAGTCTGCTCATCATCAACGAGGAGAATAAGGAAGACACACGGGACAACATTCGCAAAAAGTATCAAGCAATCACCAGTCAGAGCCAAGGCGGCGCAGAGATGGACGTCCTCGCTCTAGTCATTGACGGCAAGTCACTTACCTACGCTCTTGAACGCGACCTTGAGAAGGAGTTCTTGGATCTCGCTGTCAGGTGCAAGGCTGTCATATGTTGCCGTGTCTCCCCTCTTCAGAAGGCCCTTGTTGTCAAGCTTGTCAAACGCCATCTCAAGTCTATCCTCTTAGCCATCGGCGACGGTGCGAACGACGTCTCCATGATCCAAGCTGCTCACGTTGGTGTTGGCATCAGCGGTATGGAGGGACTACAGGCAGCCCGCAGCGCAGATATCGCGATTGGCCAATTCCGTTACCTGCGTAAGCTTCTCCTCGTTCATGGTGCATGGAGCTACCAGCGTGTGAGCAAGGTCATCTTGTATTCCTTCTACAAGAACATTGCCATGTTCATGACGCAATTTTGGTATTCTTTCCAAAACGGTTTCTCCGGCCAGATCATCTACGAATCGTGGACACTGACGTTCTACAACGTGTTCTTCACAGCTGCGCCGCCTTTCGTCCTGGGTATTTTCGATCAGTTCGTAAGCGCAAGGCTCTTGGACAGATATCCGCAACTCTACCGACTCAGTCAATCTGGCGTGTTCTTTAGGATGCACTCTTTCTGGTCCTGGGTCGGAAACGGTTTCTACCACTCGCTAATCCTCTACTTCGGCGCTCAAGCATTCATCCTTTGGGATTGGCCGCAATGGGATGGACGAAATGCAGGTCATTGGGTCTGGGGAACTGCCTCCTACACAGCCAATCTTGCGACCGTCCTTCTCAAAGCCTCTCTCATTACCAACATCTGGACGAAGTACACTGTAATCGCCATCCCAGGCTCCATGCTGCTTTGGTTCATCCTGATGCCCATCTACGCCGTTGTAGCACCCAAGGTCAACATCTCTAACGAGTACGTTGGTGTCATCGAGCGCTTGTTCCCCGACCCGCGGTTCTGGGCAATGGTCTTGGTGTTGCCGCCACTCTGTCTTATCCGAGACTTTGCATGGAAGTACGCCAAGAGGATGTACTTTCCGCAGAGTTACCATCACGTCCAGGAGATTCAGAAATACAATATCCAAGATTATCGGCCACGGTATGTTTACTCAATCTTTACGCTTGCTAGCAACAGCTGACTGACTCTTCAATAGCATGGAGCAATTCCAAAAAGCGATTCGAAAAGTTCGACAAGTGCAACGTATGCGCAAACAGCGTGGTTATGCCTTCTCTCAAACAGACGAATCACAAGCTAGGGTGTTGCAGGCCTATGACACCACACAGCAAAGAGGACGGTTCGGAGAGATGGCGAGTTCGCGGAAGTAAGCCGGAATCTGGGGATGATTGCGGGAATGAACTTCACTCATCATTGTTTGCTTGGCGCATGGGAATTGGGCGGTATGATATTCGTGTACGACTGCGCTCCCAGTGGGCATGATGTGTTTGATATGGGTGCTGCATAGTGTTATTGATGTTATAGCGTCAATCAACGAAGCTTTTGCTCGTAGTCTCTGATGACTTATTCTCTATTCAACTTTTGTTTTGTCGTTGATGTGCTGTAATGCCGTTTCACTCCCGGCTATGCAACAATCTCAGCGTCATGTCGCATGTCCGAAGAGCCTCAAACGTTCCATCGCCCCACCACGGCATGCGAACAGCACAAAAAGAAATCCCACGCCGGCTCATCGCTTATCCAATGCCATGGACGAACGGTAAATCACGACCATGGCGCGTACTAATTATCCGGTGCCTCGAGCTGTCGAGACTAGCAGTTACTTTACCCGTCGACCGCGTGGTGGCAGGCCAAATTGTGGGTAGGGAGGGGCACATGGTACCCCACTATCGTCACTGTGGTGATCGTGATTGCAGCTGCGCTCTTTTGCCAGCATGACGGCGCTCGCATGCAGTTTCAGGACGCAGAAGTTTCTGATTGAGCATTGTTGAGACGAGCCGCTATTTACCCATGTATTGAGAATTGCCGGGCAGGAGGAAGAAGGAAGTGTGCGGTGCTGTAGCATTTTGCAGGCGACGCCAAACACCAAGGCCGACCAACTCGCTCAGCATCCTCCGCCACAAGTATGCGGCGCAACAAGGATAAAAAGGCAGGCGGAACCATAACCCATCAGGGTAAAGGCGCGGACATGGCCATGGCAGCCCAGTCGTCCGGTTGAAGACGCAGGGTCATATGGTGATGCTAGCCTCTGACACGGCGTATATAGACGGCAGGCTGTTGTACCTGGCGCCAAATTCTGTTATTCCGTCTGCAAAATACACGTATATACTACCCAGGGACATGATTGCTGGGCGCTTCAATTGCCGTGCTAGCAGTATTAATACGCTGCGTGCCGCCTGTTCTTCTGCTGTTGCTACTACTTCCAGACCTCTTGCTTCCTCTTTTATCGGTTCGACAAGACCTTGCTTTCAACGTTCACCTCCTACTACGTTACTACACAGAAATAGCTTTGCGCATCGCAACTTCTTCGCTACCATGGCTGTCAACACTCCCTACGTTACGCTCAACGATGGCAACAAGATGCCCCAGGTTGGCTTTGGACTGTGGAAGGTCGACAATGCTACCTGCGCCGACACTGTTTACAACGCCATCAAGGCTGGATACAGGTTGTTCGACGGTGCCTGCGGTACGTGCATTCCATCTCCCCATCCCCAGAGCCGCTGCTGGCGACGGTCTGGGGAAGCGGTCTCAATTACTACGAAACGCTCCATCGGGCCGTAGACCGTAAAGAGCAGAGATCTATCGGCAATCGCAGACGGGGTTTTCCCTCCGATTTACCGGTGGCTTCTGCATCCTCCGCAAGGTTACATTGCGTCGGAATGCTAGCGCCCTCTCTCGGAACGGCGCCGCGCATGATCACAGCTGACAATCCAATTCACAGACTACGGCAACGAAGTCGAGTGCGGCCAGGGTGTAGCCCGTGCCATCAAGGACGGCCTCGTAAAGCGCGAAGACCTCTTCATCGTCAGCAAGCTGTGGCAAACGTTCCATGAGCGCGAGCAAGTCGAGCCCATCTGCCGCAAGCAGCTGGCCGACTGGGGCGTCGACTACTTCGACCTGTACATCATCCACTTCCCCGTCGCCCTCAAGTACGTCGACCCCAAGGTGCGCTACCCACCGGGCTGGTTTGTCGACGGCGAGAGCAAGATCGAGCACAGCAATGCCAGCCTACAAAGCACATGGGAAGCCTTCGAGGAGCTCAAGTCAAAGGGCCTGGCCAAGAGCATCGGTGTGAGCAACTACTCGGGCGCCCTCCTCCTCGATATGTTCACCTACGCCAAGACCAAGCCCGCGACTCTCCAGATCGAGCACCACCCCTACTACGTTCAGCCCTACCTCATCGAGCTGGCCAAGCAGCACGACATCAAGGTCACCGCATACTCTTCCTTCGGCCCCCAGAGCTTCATCGAGTGCGACATGAAGATTGCGGCTGACACACCCCTCCTCTTCGACCACCCCGTCATCAAGAAGATTGCAGATGCACACGGCAAGACACCCGCTCAGGTTCTCCTCCGCTGGTCGACACAACGCGGTCTCAGCGTTATCCCCAAGTCCAACTCGGCGAACCGTCTGCAGCAGAACTTGGATGTTACCAGCTTTGATCTCAAGGACAACGAGATTGCGGAGATTTCGGGTCTAGACAAGAACTTGAAGTTCAACGCTCCTACCAACGTAAGTTTTGATGAGTCTGTCTGTGGTATAGGATGAGTGCTAATGATGGGTTGCAGTACGGTATCCCTTGCTACGTCTTCGCATAGATGGACGGTGCTTGGAGAGAGTGGCGGACGATTGAGGATAACGATATGAATGAAAAGATAAACGGCAAGGCGTATTGCACTGCGCTGATAGTCAGATAGCAACGCCGAATGGTAAAAATGAATATATACTGTCAAAACACTCGTCCACAGTCCAAGTCATGCGCTTGACCAACGTGATGATGAACGAAAACTGAGTCGCGACCCTTGACCAATGCTCCGAACGAGTGGTCTCCACTCAACAAACCATCCACATCTGTCCTGTGCAGTCCCTTCCAACACCACGTCAATGCACCGTCACACGCTCTACTCATCGGCACTCGAACCAAATCTCAATGCGCACCTAGTCACACCCGGACAACCCGATAGCGCACCGCACGCCAGTTTGTTGTCATAGCTGTCACCTAACCTCTAGCCCCTACTGCATCATCACGCCAAGCACACATGCACCTAACGCGTCCGCTCCACGGTACAAGCCACGTCTAGAACTTCTTCTGTGTACCAGCCCTGCGCTTGAAATCGCGATGGGTTTGATGTGCTGGTTGTGCATGGAACAAGGTATTGTTGACTTTCGCCGTCTTCTGTCTGAGCGACCAGGGTGGTTGCGTTGTAACGTTGGTGATTCGTCACGGAATAAGGAAGCGCGTGCATCCGAGTATTCCACTGTCCAGACTCGGGAGATATGTGATGGGTATGCGAGAATGCGCATCCAACAATGCCATCCCATGCCCTGAAAACCCATCTACCAAATGCATTACCACTCACCCAACTGTGGGTCGTCTCACACCTAGGCAAAGAAGACTGCCGACAGCCGTACAAGCGCGGCATATCCAAGAAAGACATAGATAACGTTTGGACATCGAGGGCACGGAATGACGCGCTTGTGATTCTAGGTCTTCGAGGTTCTTGTTTCCGCTAAGCTCCGGAAGGTGCTCCACTGGAACAGCCGCTTGCCGCATGATCCGCATTGGCATTGGTGCACATTGGCTTGACCTGTTTGTGTGCGGGTTGATGATGGCGCATTTGGACTTTAGAGGTGCTTTGTTGTTTGTAGGTGTGAAACGGGGAGCTGTGCCTCTTGCTGTTCAGCTTGCGCATCGGTTTCACAGAGTAATGAAAATGCGCGTGCGCATTATTGCGACCCAAAAAGATGCTCAACCGTGACATCACCAGCCCACCGCGTTGTCCGAATCGTCCGCCCATCGCAGGCACCTCATAGTGCATCTAGCATCCGCGGATCCCGGAGCTAGCCTCAAAAAAGCCCATGCACATGGTGTACTAGGAACAGCAAAGTTAAAATCTTCACATCAAACCCAAGCCAGGACGCGATTAACAATCCAAAGTGTGCTCTTTCGGCGAGTTTAGGCATACTGACCTCACGCTCGTCGTCTATTTACTACTTGACTACTGCACGCGACACCACGTTTTCTTGACTTGACTCCGGCAACCGGCTTGTCTCTACTCGCGATTACGATCATACTACAGCGCGCTACGGGCTAGTTAATTGCACTTATCGTGGACTACGATATACATACAAGAAAGCTGTGCCGGATCTCTTGCTTTTCTTCTGCCTTCCTGATCCTGAATCCGACGCGCCGGTACTGATCTGCTGTTTGATACCCACCCCCGGAGTCCATCTGACGTATTTGACTTGAATCTGCTTTTTATACGGAGGGTTTACGCGCATCACATCGGAACGAAACGCAACGAAGCGCAACGCAGCGCATTGTTACTTGGAGTCTTGAGCAAAGCGCATTCGCATCCACATCCACATCCGCCTTCGCATATTGAATCCCATCCTCATCCCTCTGGCCTGGACCGAACCGGAAACATGGCGCTATCATCCGAGCAAAAGCAGATGAGGTATGTTCGCGAACGCGTGAAGCTTGCGCCATGCAGTGGATACTGACCTTGCTCCCACAGATTCCTAGCCGTTGTGCTCCCCTCCCTCACACTGTGCACACACACGCTCCTCGCCCTCTCCTTCCTCCTCCCCGGCTCAGATCCCAATCGCGCCGTTTTCTCCATCACATACAATGCCATCGCCGGCAGCGCAAGCATGTTAGGCCTGGTGGGCGCTATACGGGTAAGCAAGCAAGCCACTTTCTTTGTCCCCACAATTCGTGCAACTGCGAGCTTGGATGGGTCCGGGTCGCGCGGAGGAAGCCACACCCAAGACATATCCAAGACAATTAATAAGACAAGGCGAAAACATGCTAACGCCCCGTTTCTTAGTTACTACCACGCCTAGTGTCAGCTTACACCATCGTCCACGCCATCACGCTATCCTTCGTTACCATCGCGCTCGTAAACCTGATTCTGCCCTTCGATTTCCGGTTGCTGAATCCGGTTATTCCGAGCTATGCCGTTGATGGGCCGTTGTTGTGCCGCGATATTGATGCTGGGTTCGGGTGGGATGACGAATGGTTGGAGAAGTGCTCGATGACTTTCATTGTCGTCAAGTTTGCAATTGCGGGACTGGGGTTGAGCTTGATGGGTGCGCAGTGGTGGGCGCTGTGTAGTGTGAGAGCGTGGGGTCAGGAGCTGGGAGGTCCGGACAGGAATGGGGAGGGGGATGTGGAAAAGGCTGGCCTTGAACAGAGGGATGGTATGAGATATGATGAAAAGACGGGGTTGTAAATGACTTATGAATTAAAGAGTATGAACAACATCGGCCCGAACATCGAGACCTGCCCGTCCATGGAGTATAGCTTTCAAGAATGCTGAGAATGCGGTTGAAGCTCAACGCCGAACATGCTCATCTGTCTGGGACTGACTTGTCTAGAACGGGCATATTGATGAAGGACGTATTGCCGGTCGCATCCCGGTGAGTCTCCCGAACCCAAAGTCGACCGACTCCCTCCTCCCCTGGTCTGGGAGTTTCCCTCCAGAAGACAAATGTTGGAGGCTTCTTCCCACGGTTTGAGATGTATCGAGTGTACGTCGTTACTTCGCCAACCAGACAAGTTTGGCATTCGCAATTGCACTCATGCTCCCAACCAGTCCGCCCACAGTGCAGACATATCTTGACCGTATGACTGACCCATTCATTTCTGCCCGGACGCCCGGTTGTAGGCCCGCTCATAGGCGCGGTCTCGATATGCCTTGTGAACCTTGCGACATGGCAGAAGCAGACGTTCGGCGGTAATGCGATAACGTTGTGCGGAACGTTGACTCTCGCCATGGGCAGACAGGCTGGACTGAGCGATGATTTGAAACTACCAATCGGGCATGTGACCCTGCACAGGATACAGTATCGATGGGTGGGTTTCGAGGATGGTGGAGCTAGATGACGTTGAATGGCGCGCTGCACACAACGTGGAGGTGGAGTTTGCCATCGTCGCTGATTAAGCCGTGATATGCTGTTGAGTCGTCCATGTGTGAGTTGAAGGGCGACTATCGCATCAGGCGGAAGATGGTCTGCGATGTCGAGGATAAGCTCAGTTGGAAGGCTGATGAGCTGTGCTGTAGCCGCGGCCATGGTATCCTGTATGTTTCGCAGTGGTGGCTGTTGATACTTTGTAGATCTTCGTAATCTTATGATTGGAAACAGTCGTAGGAGGAGGTTGATGCAGCACGCTCGCCCACATGGCGAGGCCCATCTGCGAAACCATAGCAGTGTCATTCACACTGTGCAGTCACCGTTGTGACATTCAAGTCCGATTGTAAAGGCGAACAGCGCCCGTCCGTCGAGAGGGTGAACGCAGTGCTAATAAGGGATCCATGGTTTCGCCTCCTTTCCAAGGGCCGTGTCTCATATTCATGCGTGAGATGGACGTCGCGCCTCATCATGTGTGACGGGCTTACCGGGCGTATATGTTGGAAGGAGGAACGAGTGGTCATGTCGAAGTTGTGGCTGATGGCTTAAGTGATACCCAAGCTCATGATCGGTGGCAGGCGCGTGATGTCAAGAAACGAAAAGGGCAAGAGCGTTGGATATTGATGACTCGAAAAGTGATGACGATGACGACGACGGTGGAAACGAAATGTCGAGGATGACTGCGCGGATACGCGAGAGGAGAATACATTCCTTAGGATAACATGTGCCAGGCTTACTTTTGGAGGCTATGGCGCAACGGCGGGATGTAGGCCAAGTTGGCGAACTACAAAAACTGGGGTATGCGGGAGCGCAGGTCTAGCCGAATGGGTCGTGCCCTTGTCTGTGTTGGTCTGCTCACGCACGTGCCATAGTAATATTGCGCATACAGTGAGGTGTTTTCGAGCATCGTCCGGCTTTGTATAAAGACTTGTGTATCTGGAGACTCGGCAGCGCATTCCGACCCCCCACATCGTGGATGGACACTGACGTCGCATATCAGCATGCGAAGCTCGGCGTGCATGGCGTTGCTATCTTAACTCTTAAACCTCATCTGGAAACAAGGCCGGCACCGAAGCTGGCCATCTTGGTCTTCTCTGAGCCAAATGGACGCAGGCGACAACCACACCGATGGTAGGTGTATCATCTCTCTGGTGGATGTGCATGTGCTATGATGGAGAAGTAAGCCACAAGTCGATATTTTCACGAATGTCTGTCTTTGGTGGGTGCTTATTGGAGGCAGCCCACATTGCTCGTCCGATTGCCCCGCATCACAGCCCAAGCGCTTCCACATGGTGCGTGATGGTGGAGGGTAGTGATCATGCTGGCAGTCCGGCGTGGCATGCGTCGGTCTGGCATCCATGGATTGCTGCACTCGCGGGCGCACTGGCGGGGCACTGCGAACTCGAGGTTCGCAGATGATGGCCACCACGCAGCTGTAGATGTCTATGGGAGAACGCAGACCCTGAGTCGGTGTATGTCAGGGCCGTGACAAAGCCAGACAGGAAGGGTCCACGTGTAAAGGAGACGCGCGGGGCTTTCTTGCGAATAGCCGACGACAGATAGGGTGGTGAGAGCCCGAACGACGGTTGCAGGTTCGCTAAACGCGCCCGCTGCTCGCACTGCATATCCCGCAGTCGTCGACATCGACATGCAGCTGCCCCTCTTGGACGTCATCCGCCTGCTCTTCCACTTCGCCGACTGCTGAAGAGCCGTAGAGTTGGGCTTCCAGGACAATGACAGCCACCAACGCGAGGCTGCGGCGTCCGTCATACGAAGTACGCGGCTGGCCCAGGGCGGGATGGAATGGCCTGTCGAACTAATTGCATGCAGCTGGTGAGGCCCGTGTCGTCGAAGCGGAGATGAATTAAGTGGATAGGTCGTTGCTCGGCCTGCTTAGCGCGAGGAATCCAGCATCCCCTTTCGCCATATCCTCACATTCCCGCGATATCTCCCGAAGACCCTCCCTGACCCCTACCCGCTCTCAGTTGTGCTTTTCCTGGTGCCTCAAATTGCTGCCTGCCCGGTGAACAGCTGTCGCTCCTTTTTCGCGGTGAAGGTGAGTTCACGGTTCACGTTCTTTGGTACGCGGCACGACCCCGTCGTCCAAAACATCTCCGCTCTCCACCAAAATTTTCCGCTGCCCGCCTCGACCTCATTTCCCGCCCCCATATCGCCAACACTGGCTGCCGTCCGTTGCCGAACCTCTTGTCGCCGAACCTCTGATGCCAATTGCTGCGTGTCGTTGCTGAACAGGAGCAGCCGTACTGACCAGTGTTCTCAGAATATCTAGTCTAGTCCCGCCCACGAGCCCATTGGCGTTGCGCAACTACCCCGACTCCCACGAAACCACTGGACTACCTCTTGCCCACCATGTCCTACTACAACGACGCGTCGTGGAACACACCAGCTCCCGGCCGCCAGCAGTCATGGGAGCAGCCCCAACCGCCCTCGCGCTCAGGTACCGGCCACATGGGTTTCAACGGCGCAGGTGCAGCGATTCACATGGATGTAGGCACAAGCTCCACGGTCAACAGCGAGGTCGCCAATGCCTTCGCTTCGCAGTTTGAGGGTACGTAGTTCCGGCGGTGGGGTCTGTCGGAGCCAATGCGACCCGACATGGCAGTGACAGGCCCCATCGCAACCATAGGCGAGGCAGTGCTAACCCGACACCACAGAGGTTGACCGCGCCATTGAGAACCTCAGCAAGAGCGGCAAGCCCCTCGGCCCCGGCTTTCCCCCTACTCCCATGGGCGCCAACCGCCGCGAGTCGATGCCCATGATGGGAGGCGCGCCCCGCCCATACCCCGACTTCGGTACACACTCCTGCCCACGCAAGCCCCTCCACACCACTGACATGTGACGCAGAGCAGCAGCGCATGGGCGGCCCCCAGCGACACCACTCGGTCAGCGAGTACGACGGCTCCCGCTCTCACTCGGCGACCAACGTCCAGGGCTTCTACCAGAACCAGCGCGGCTATGCGCCCCGACCCAACGACGCAGACCAGATGGCACAGGCGAAGCGACGGATGGCGGCTCAGCGTGAGCGTGAGCTGCGCAACTATCATCAGGAGCAGCAATACCACAGAAGTAAGGACTCGGAATCTGGGCAACAATAGGCAGGACAGTTGGTTGACTAGGGTAATACAGACGTTTCAGGCTCAGGCTCCAAGTCGGACCGCTCCATGAGCCCCAATGCCATGAATGAAGATGAGCGCCGCGAACTCATCGCCCGCCAGCACCGTGCTTTGTATGGCGAGACCTCCACCCTGTACAACAGCAACCCCACCTCGAGCCAGGATGTGCGCGTTCAAACTTCTGCCGCAGGCCGTGGACCCTCTCCTCTCGCCTTTGACCCCTTCGGCATGCAGGCCCAGTCCGGCGAGGGTTCCGTCCAGATGCCTCCCCGCGACAAGGACGTTACTGGTAGTGCTCAGGATGCTCGTGCCAACAGCACTTCCTCGCCGTCCGGTACTCAGAACCCCGCGTTCAACCTATTCGATGCGCAGCAGGCGAACCGCACTTCCAACTCGTCGCCCGGAGGCTCTCCTCCCGTGCCCGGTCAGAAGGCCAACGGCTCTAATGTCGCCCCTATCGGCACTCGTCCCCAGAACCAGAACCTCCAGCAGCCAGGTGGTGCCGCCCTGGGCAAGCGCGCAAACTCACCGCTGCCGTCGCCTCTCGGCTACAACTCGTACAACGCGAGCGAGCAGAACAACATGACGACATCTGCTTCTATGAACCCTTCTTCTACTGTCACTGACAAGGGCGTTGGTATTTGGAACAACGGACCCTGGAGCAACACCCCCACTCAGGGAGTCCAGGCGTCGGTTTGGGGTTAGAAAACGGAGTTTTGATTAGGGAGATAGGATGCACCTCCGGAGTTACTGCATTTCAGGTGTCTCGGGCATACTGTGTCGGTCTTTCAGATACAACCATGGGTGGAGCCGGTCAATTGGTGGTCGGCGAATATTTCCTGTGGGTTTGACGGCGCTCTTGCAGCATGCTCGTCTACGTTCCACATCTCTGGGTCTGCTGAAGATAATATACCTCTCACGGGCGGTTACATGGGTGTTTGCTAGGCAAGGTTAAGGGTCGGCATCGGTTCACGGGGATTGCGGGAGTTTGCTTAAGGATGACTTGCTATTACCGGTTGCTAGCTTTCGGATCTGGTCGAGGGCATCTACATCACCGAAAGTGGGCTAGGTCCTACGCTGATGATGTTGGGACGCTATCTGGCCTGGTATATCAACGGTCTAATGGGAAAAGTGACTTGGGACGAACCATGCTTTTGGTGAAAATGCTTTCTGTAATGTCTGCAAGTGAATATCTTCATACCACTGCCATGTTTATGTACCTACCTGTTCGGGATAACCACTGCCGTGGTGAAGGAGCTAACACGTGACCCTTGCTAGCGGCATTGTAAGCGAAGCAATCGAGGTCAGGGTTAGCGCGGCGCGGCAACCCCAGCTCCAGAATCGTGGCCTTTGAGAGCCGCCGAGCGACTATCACCAGCTGCTTCCACGACATCTTCCATCACAACCACTCCGTCCATCTCGCCCCGGTCACCGTCAAAAACACACATCATGGTTAGTACCAACTCTCTCGATGCAAGAGAAGGCCATTGGACGCACAAAGACACCTGGCCAGCGTTCTGGAGCATGCGACAGGAGGGCAAGAGCATGAGGACATGCCAGAAAGACTATTGGACTGGTGTCGCGTGCTGTCACTTCTCGAGCTCTCTGCTATACGTTGATTCGTCATTGTTTCTCGATACATCCAAGAAGCTCCGCGGCAATACCTTCACGCACAAGCCGAATCTCAGAACACCAAGAACGTCGCTAACATGACCGATAGTCTGCTGCACGCGCTACCTCCCCGGCCACGGCCTCTTCAGGCTCAACAACCGCTCGCCCTGCGTCGCCAAAGCCCCCAGGTGGCCCTGCGACTGTCATGCGCAGGAAAGCTGCTGCTGACCGCGCCGAGAAGACCGCAAACCTGCGACCAAGCAGCACAAGGGCGGCTGGTGCTGGCGGCAGCTCGAGCACTATGCTGAGTAAGTGAATTCCGAGTCGGATAGAGAACGAGAAGAGGAGGTTGTGTCGTGGAATGAGCTGCTCAGGCACGATGGCAGCGGATCTGGCCAGCCGCGGTTGGCAGAGATGTGGTTGTGGGACTTTGGCTAACATTCATTTCCAGGGCTGTACACCGATGAGTCCCCCGGTCTGAAGGTCGACCCCGTCGTGGTTATGACCCTGTCCGTTGTCTTCATCTTCAGCGTTGTCGCTCTTCACGGTACGTACATCGGAACCTCCGAGTTCAGTATCAATCTAACACCCTCCAGTCATCGCCAAGGTCATGCGCCGATTTTCCGCATAAGCACATCTTCCCAGATGCACCCTTTACAACATTCGACCGATTCCCCCTACGTTGAGGTTGGCCCTCTTCTGCGGCGACCACAACATTTCTCACAACCTCTATTTGCGATTACCCATGTTCATTTCCTTATCATCTATTCCCGATCGTTGGGCACAAGCATAGAAAGCATGGGACGAACCGTAAAAGCATTGTATCAAGATATCATCTTGACCGTTGACTTGGCAGGACAATGGAAAGCTCGTTTGGCCAGGGACTGCTAGTTTTGCTTGCTGTATTATAGGTCCCCGTTGGAATCAGGAGTTTTGACAATGTGTTCTTATCGAAGTTTGTTGTATCAACTCACAGTGATGGAATCCACAACAGCTGAAGTTCTGGCATCTTATAGCAGGACCGTCGTTGCAGCCGAGATGCATGCTTTTGTCCTACCTTCTCGCCATCACAGCACACACTACGCAATCTTCAATATCTCATGAACTTCGCAAATATTGCTAATGAAGTCTTTTATCTATAGGCCTTTCTTTCGTCGTGATGTCGTTTCCATATACCTCTTCCTCCCTCTGACGAATTTTCCACCGAATCAACGCAAACTACAAAGGGGTATTCTAAACTCAGTTTAAAGCAAAACATCCGCCCAATTGATGTAACAGAAAGCCTATACAACACGGCTCGCCCGATCAACCTCGATCTTAAACTCCTTCTTTTTCCCAATCACCAACCTAGTCCCAGACTTGGAACCACCTCCGCCATCCGCAGCAGCCCTATCCATCTCCTCCCTCGTGATGCTCAAACTCCTCTCGCCCACCCAAACCTCCGCTTCATGCCCGCGATACATATGCGTAGGACGAAAATGCTCATCCGCCGTCATGAACCCATGAGTATGCCCCGGCGGCGACGCTCTTGTCGGAGTGCTAGATTGTATCAATTCGAGAGGATGGGAGCCATCATGGTCTCCTAAGGACTGCTTGCTCGCCCGTCGACTAGGCAACGTTTCCATGAGATAAGATTCCGAGATGTTATCCGCGGACCGCCTGTGATGGCCATGATGATGGTGGTGGTGACCCATCATCTGTCTCCTCGCGGGCGGCAACATCGCACTACTCGTCGTCGTCAACGCACTCTCCATCCTCGACCTCCCCCCACTCCCACTTCCACATCCACTGTTCCCCGCTCCATACTGCTTATACGTACTGCTCACATACTCCTTATCGAACGGCTTCAAAAACGGTCCCATGCCCGTTATCGTAGACGACATGATGGCATATCCCATCTGCCATTGCGTAGCGATTATGTAGTCGAAAGTGAAGTTTGAGCCGCGAAGTCGTAGGTCCAGGTAGTAGAGGCGGATGCCGGCGATTGCGATGACGGGGAGGCGGGCGGAAAAAGCGAGAATTACGAGGAGTTTGGCTAGAAGGCGCATTTGGAGAGAGTAGATTAGGTGGATTGCGGCGAGAAAGATGAGAAGTTCGGTTAGGATGTCGAAGGTGCCTATGCTGAGCCATTTTGGCCACTGCGGTGGTTTATTAGCATGTGGGTGTGGTCCAACGAAGAAGGGAATGCGCCTTTGACTTGGAGCAGGGCCTGGTCTTGATTCGAGCATTTGGATGTAGTCATCTAGGATCTAGTTGACTTACCCTATTTGTACAGTTATCGGCGTCTGTATATGTTTGCGCTGGGTTGCATGGTATGGCGATCAGGATGACGGATATCAGTGCCCAGAGACAGGACAATGCCACGAGTGACCATGATGCGATGCGATGAGATCCACCTGGTGATAGTCGTAGGTATAGAGAGAGCACCGACAGCTTCGAGGCGAGTATAACGAAGATATATATGATCTGCGACGCAAAACCTTCCTGCTGGTTGTTAGACACGGTTTCCCCAGATGTTCGGCCGTTCACTCGGTCGCGGCTGCCCTGCGCGAACGCCAGGAGGAAGCAAGGAGCCGACACCCACGCGCGGATCCAGACGGTCGCTGAATCGCCAAAACTCAAACACCACGTACATTTCCAAGTTGCTGAAGTTGCGACAATGGTACTCCGACTTGCGAGGCCCCCAGGCCTAGGTTGACGAGATGGAATATGATTCCTGATTGTACCGTGTCGAGCAAAGTCGCTATCGCGAGCCACCAATCTGCATACACAAGACATCAGCACAATGTCTCAACTCGGAGTACAGAGCAACTCTAGGCCACTTACCATCAGATCGCCATTCCCTGGATTGCAGGCGCAGCCATACCCGGATCAGAAAACAGGACCAGACAAAGGCCAAGACAGCTGCACCGGTCACGACGATGAGGCCGCGCTTGTCATCTGCAGATATAACATACGGCGGAGGGATTACCTCTCCCGCCATCGAGTGTCAAGGAAAAGAACGAAGAACTAAGGTACAACAGAAAGGCGGCCATAAGATGACAGGTAGCAGATTCCACGGCAGCTGTCGGAGGGCGATCCTTTGGGTTCTGTACAGGCGCACCCGCGTCTGACATGTACCTATCCCACCTGTGGTTTGCACACATGCCAGCCCAATGAGATGTCGCGCGGACGTTATACCGCCCATGTCCCTCCTTTGCATCGTGCTCCCTCACCCTCGTCGCTTACAGGTGCAGGACCGAATGCGACCCATGTACACGGGTTCACGAGAGATCTTGTTGAAAAAATGGCGTCTGATGCTAAGTGAGCCATGACCAAGTACTTCTAACGCATAGGGTCTCTTCGTCCCTTGTATGTGTTACGGTGGCTGACGCCAACAAGGCGCGGCGCTCGGCGGAATGTCAACCGCATGCTGCGATACGTCTGACATGACATTGAGGTAGCTAGTGTGAAGAAAGCGGTTTACTGCACGGTGGGACAAGTGAAATTCTTGTGAAAGTATACCGTTCCCTCGGGTTTGGTGAGCTCGGCTACCACCATGACTGATTTGAGATCTCCTGGGTAATATCCGTTCCAAGCAGGAATACGGTTACAGAACGCTACAGATCGTACCATGAATTACGAATCATACCATGATCAACGTTCGCTAATCTGATCTTCACCCTGGCTCCCTTCATCCTGTGAAGACTGGAGAAGGTCCAGAACAAATTCTTCCGCTTCCTTGACGGGATGGTTTCCACCACTCCTGTACGTGTCATCTCGGCGGATTTTCTTTTCGTATACAAGCCGCGGCAGATGTAGCTAGATGTAATCAATGTACGACTCCTGCAGCAATAGCTTACGGCCCAGCCGCAGCAAACCCCCATCTAAGGAAGCGGGCCGCGTGGTGTCGCGCTAGCGGCAGGGATAGTGGCATGAGGGCGGACAGCACGTCAAACCATTCATGGCAAGTCAGAGGGCCACGCACAGTGTGCCGCGACGCTCCTGTTGGTTGACATGTGCACCGGAGCATATTTGCACCATTGGACCCTGGCTCCGCTCGAGAAGAAAAGATGCCGGGTAAGTGGTGAAGGGGGTTTAGGTCTAGTGGACCCCACTTCTTCGTGGAAGCGGCAGACAAGGCATTTCGCAGCGGCTGGACGAGCCCATCTCGCTGCATGCATGTGCACGTCTTTTCGTGCCCATGTGGGCAATCCCTTCTTTTTACTTCCATCGCACCGTTTTCGCTTGTTCGTTTGCGTTTACTGTTCCTGTTTCTTGGGTCCCTTTTTTATTGAGGTGCTGCGTTCCTGCATATAGGCATTGTTATCAGGCGCGCGACTGGGTATGGCTGCTTACGAAGCTCAGCCGCTTGGCAGTATGGATAAGCAAGCTACGTTGGAGTCGCGGGCGAATGCGTCGCGGTCGCTGGATGGGGATGAGAGTCAGGAGTATCATGAGTCTCTGAGGGGTTTCACGAGGGCTGATCGCGCGGATATGGAGCGCATGGGCAAGGTGCAAGAGTTGAAAAGAAATTATCGGCCGTTGTCTGCGTTGGCGTTTACCGTTATCTTGCAGGGGACTTGGGAAGTGCTTTTGACGTAGGTGAGCTTGACGCAAAGGACAGTGAACGGGAACTGACAGTAACATAGTGCAACATACCAAGGCCTTCTCGATGGAGGTCCAGCAGGTCTTATCTGGAGTTTTGTCTGGACATGGTTCGGCTTCAGCACTGTCATGCTGTCACTAGCAGAGATGGCATCTATGGCACCGACCGCTGGTGGCCAGTACCACTGGGTCTCTGAGTTCTCACCTCCAAGCGTCCAGAAGCCATTCAGCTACTTCATCGGATGGATGTCAACACTGTCATGGCAAGCCGGTACGGCGTCCGGACCTTTCCTTGTCGGAACCTTGATCCAAGCCTCCGTCATCGTCATGTACCCAGAATATGAACCTACCAACTGGCAGGGAACGCTCATGGTTATTGCCGTGACCTTTTTGGTCTGGGTCCTCAATATCTGGGGCTCGAAGGCTATGCCTATTTTCCAGAACGTCATGTTAGTCGTCCATGTATTCGGTTTCTTGGCCATCATCATCGTCTTCTGGGTTCTGTCGCCTCGGGCTACTGCCGAAGTCACCTTTACGCAGTTCAAGAATGGTGGGAACTGGAGTACGAATGGGCTAGCTCTTATGGTGGGTCAAGTGTCAGCCATCTACGCGTGTATCTGTAAGTCTAGCTCTGTATCAAGTTCTGATTTTCGAAGATGTACTAACACCCGATCACAGGCTCCGACTCCGCAGCCCACATGGCCGAAGAGATCAAAGACGCCGGCAAGACCGTCCCCCGCGCCATGATCGGCGCATACCTCATGAACGGCTCCCTCGGAATAGTCTTCCTAATCAGCTACATGTTCATGATCACCGACGTCGACGCCGCACTCGCAGAGGACTACCCTCACATGTGGGTTTTCGCCCAAGCCGTAAACTCCGGCGGTGTCGTAGCCCTCAACGCCATCCCCACCGTGCTTATCTTCGCCGGCACACTGACTTTCAACTTGTCGACTTCGCGCCAGACCTGGGCTTTCGCTAGAGACAAGGGTCTGCCATTCAGCAAATGGATCGGCCATGTTGATCCAAAGTTGGAAATTCCGGCGAACGCTGTGACGGTGACTTGTCTTATTACGGTTGCGCTGAGTCTGATTAATATTGGATCTGATACTGCTTTTAACGCTAGTAAGTTCCTCCCTACTCATTCGCTCTTTTGTACGATGTCAGCTAACGCATTCCAGTCATCTCCCTCAACGTCGTAGCCCTCATGATAACATACATGTTCTCCATCGGCGCCGTCCTCTACCGCCGCATCCGCCACCCCGAACTCCTCCCCAACTGCCGCTGGTCCCTCGGAAAGTGGGGAGTACCCATCAACATCGGAGGAGTCTTGTACTCTACTCACGCTTTCTTCTGGTGCTTCTGGCCCGAGTCTACGCCTATAGAATTGGCGTACTTTAACTGGGCTGTTGTTATGTTTGTTGGTGTGGCTATTCTGAGTGGTATCGATTATGCTATTCGTGGACGTAAGCAATATAAGGGGCCTGTTGTGCTTGTCGATGGGTTCAAGGGCGAATGACAGATACGTGGTTTAGAACGAAGGGGTGAAGAAGAGGAAGGCGAGGGCGATGAGTTACTTGGGTTTGATGCTAATAGATCTGACGATGAAGATGAAGATGAAGATTGAATATAGACTTTTACTCCACTTAACTTGGTCTAAATGCCATGCGAATCGAATGGTCGTACGCATGTGACACGGACTCATAGTACCGTTGATCATTGTGATTGACGCACCAGCGGCCTTGGTATCCGTTCATTTATATTCACCGGCGGAGGCCTAATGTGGGGGTATAGTCGAGAAGCGGTCAAACACGCGACTTTCCGGTAGCTGTAACCGACACCAGGCTGTCTTTGAACGCCGTTGGGTAGTCAGGTCCTTCGTTGCTCATCTTGGCAAGGCACGAAGGATCGGCATATGCAGTTGGAGTGGGGCATCAGATAAAATTTGCACCGGATAATGCTCGGATCTGATAAGATGCCCAGTAATTCGCCAATCGCAGACCGAGACACTACATCCGCGACGACAGTGGATCGCTCGTGTACTTGTGAATAGCTTAGTTACTGGCGCGACGATAGTTAGCTGATTTCCGATGTCGGTGTGGTGTATGTGTGGTGCACTGCCGGCATATAGAAGTGGGTGTTCTGCCACCTGCACTTGTGATCTAATCAGATCATCTTCCTCTCATCCCGCCCTGCCAACACTCCTACACCCCCACGACCCCTCCTTTATCAGATCAAATCTTTACAATGAGGCTCCAAGGCGTTACAGACACACTGGGCAACCTCAGCCTATCAAATCCCAACCGCGTACTCGTTGTCGGCTGCGCATATGGAGGCATCTCTACTGTCGTCAACCTCCTGGAACTCTCACAAGGAAAGGCCCGACAGAGTGTCTACCCAGGTCCTGACTTCAAGGGTGCACGGAGTAGCAGAGGGGTTGAAATTACTGTCATCGATGAGCGCGATGGTTACTGTGCGTCACTCTACCCCACTAGCCGAGGCTCAGCATCTTCACTGCCCCACCTTGTCACCTCGCGTTAGAGGAACTTCAACTAATGCTTGTGTCTTGCAGTCCACTCGGTTGGAGCACCGCTCGCCCATGTTACACCAAAGTACACAACCCATATGTGGAAGAGGTATAGCCACCTAAATGAGCTAAAGCACCCAAACTTGCATTTCAAGCATGGAAGTGTAAAGAACATCAACCCTGAAGCCAAGGTTGCCGAGTGGTGCGATCGCAATGGCAAGACGCAACACCAATCATACGACTATCTAGTCATGGCCACTGGCTTGAAGAGACCGTTCCCTGCTGTGCCAAAGTCCGGAAGCTTCGAAGAGTACCAGAGAGATTCAAAGGCTTTCATCGAGAAGATCACTGGCGGCGACCCATCGAAGTGTGAAGGAAGAAAAGTTGTAGTCATCGGCGCTGGTGCTGTCGGTGTCGAATTCGCTGCTGAGATCAAGAACTACTATCCTGAGATCGATGTCACACTCGTGCACTCACGGAGTGAAGTACTATCGTCAGAGCCACTACCAGCAGACGTTAAGGAGCGCGCAAAGATCCTGCTCGAAGAAGAGAGCGTCAAGTTGGTTCTCGGTAGCCGAGCATCTATCACAGAACAACCAAATGGTCAGTTCATAGTCACACTCGCGAACAAGGAGACAATCACAGCCGACTTCGTCATTGACTCGACGAAGAAGGGCACACCGACCACGGGTGTTTTGCCTACTGAGTGCCTGAACGAAGACAAAGAGATCATGGTCCACCAATCTTTGATGTTTAAGGACAATATCCCAAACGCATCATCCCACTTCGGCGTCGGTGATGTAATCGCCTGGACCGGTATCAAGCGCGCAGGCAGCGCGACAGTCATGGGTCAAGCCGCTGCACAAAACATCTACTCCGCGATTTTGAACTCAGAACTTGCTCCTTCAGCCGAGCAGTACACCCAAACAGAGCTGCCGGCATGGGACGCTGTGATTGGTCTAGCGGTCGGCAAGCAATGTCTGACATACGACCCAAAGAACGGCATCAAGTACGGTGTTGAGGTTATGAAGAATTACTTCGGCAATGACCTAGGTTGGACGGCGAGCTTGAAGTATATGGGTCTGACTGATGTTGTAGAGAGGGCGGATAGCCCGGTGGAGGAAGTGGAGAAGACGAAGATGACTGAAGTGGGTATCAAGCCTGTCAGCGTGCAAGCATAAATCTAGATGGACAAGAGTCTACAGGCGTTATTGGTATAGGTGCATGATAGGGATATGGATTTCTATACAATTAGAGCATCGTTTCACATATTATTCTCCCATTTGACCCCGCGCTTGTGATTGAAGATGTTGTGCGACGCATCGGATGGCGGCGAACTTTCAAGGATCTTGAGCAGTGAAGAGGGCAGAGCTGTCGATCCACAAATGACCTCGGAGGGTATCACAAACACTTGGCGCATATGCACGCAGCCACAATTGCAAAATGCTGCGCGGAGGATTCGAAATCATACTGCTGGTGCTGCCGTGCGCAATTCGTCCACGAGGCGCAGCCAGGCAACTGCACCTGAGTATTCAGGCCCTCTCAACCTTTGCACAGTACGCATCCACAATATTTACCCACGACATCCAAATCACCCAGGACACAGAATCACAGTCAACCGTCGCAGATGACAGTATGGTGCACCTTACCAAGATCAGAGAAAGTAATGCGCAAATCGACGGAGAGACAGCACCCCGGATCGCAGTGTTTGTCGGCGGGACCTCGGGCATAGGAAAGATCACGCTGGGAGCGATAGCAAAGCTGGGAACAAACTTCAAAGCCTACGTTGTTGGAAGAAAAGAGAGCAAGGCGGCGTTTCAACTATTCATCGAAGAGCTACATACGGCGAACGCGAATGCGAGTGTCATATGGGTAGAAGGTCAGGTTACGCTGCTGTCTGAAGTAAAGCGGATATGCGACTACATAAAAAAACTCGAGACCAGTATCGATCTCCTCTTCTTAACAACCGGATACGTACCGTTTTTCGGACGAGAAAGTAAGTCCATCCTGGCATGGTTCTGTTCCCAATGCGCTTCATCAAAAACTTACATGACCAGCCACGTCCGAAGGCTTAGACATCAGCCAAGTACTAGAGTTCTACGCGCGGTTCTGCTTTACACAAAACCTCCTTTCCCTACTCCGCGCTTCGGATCGCGCACGCGTGATAAGCGTACGCGCTGGCGGAATGGAAACCGACTGGTTCTTCAAACCAGATGATCTATTACTCGAAGCCCCAGGCGCATTCGGAGCCATGACTACGATGATACACATGATCAACATGGCCACACTATCACTCGAACGCCTTGCTGGAATGCCAGAGAACAAGAATATCGTCTTCATACACGCACATCCAGGGAGCGTGCGGACGGGAAATCTGTTTCGCGGGTTCAAGGAAGGGTCTTGGGGTTCGTGGGCGGCTTGGATGTTCATGGATCCAGTGATTAGGATTATGACGTATAGGGAGGAGGAGGCCGGTGAGAGGTATGTATACCAGATTACTAGTGCGGCTTTTGGAGGGAAAGGGGTGCCGTTGAGAGGAGGCGTTGTGGAAGGGAAGAACACGGTAGGACAGAAAGATGGAGGCCTGTTTCTGGTATGGCATACTTGTGAGACGACGCTGAATGAGAAGGCGCTGGCGAGATTGAGAGTGAGCGCCCAGGACAAGGTTTGGGCCAAAACACAGGAGATTGTTGGGCCATATGCTTAGCTTCTTGTGTTTTACGTACAATTTACTCGCTTCGGTCTATTGGAGCTGCTGATCGGGTCGTTGGCCAGTACCTGGGTAATCACGACAGTAGATTCGTGAGCGGACACCGTAGTAAAGGCTGAAAAGCAGAACGGTTGGGACTGGTAAAGTTTACGGGGAGCCGCAAGCGATCCGGGTGTCGACAGAAGCGCTGGAATCATCAAAGACAAACAATAGACAACCTTTGAGCTACCATCATACTGTAAGCACTCCAGGTTTCGAGAACCCAAGCTACTGGTTCCGCAGGACGTCAAGGCATCCCTAACGATCGCGAACGGCCGGGTAAGCGAAGGACAGATATGGGGTATCTGGGATGACTTGAGAGGCGTGGCTCAAAATAGGGTGCGCTAAAGGGGTGGAGCCCGCTATACCGCATCCCGAGCCCGTTTCGATGCACGTTGACTGACGTGCAGCATGCACAATGCAGCCCAAGATAACTCACCTTATCGCAAATCATCTCATCTCCATCACGAACGTCTGACAACGACGCAACAGTTTCTTCCAACACCATTTGCGCAGCGTTGTGGCCATTGTTCTCATCCGGAAGGTGTTTGCCGCGCCGTCCTTCGTCCCCGTTCCAATTTCCCGCACAGCCCGGTTCTCTGGAAAAGGGGCCACAGTGGTTCGTAACGTTACTGCCCCTACCGGTCTTCGAAATGTACACCATTTTGCGATGAAACTGTTTTGTTTTCAGCTGTCAGATGGTTTGTCGAGCTGATCGAGTCGAGGAATAATCTTGAGGTCACGTTGGGCGCGCACAGCAGAAGTCGCGTCCGGCATTCTCAATCGATAACGTTGAAAACAACAACCGCGGGACCCGCTTGCCACCCGCACTCCGAGATGCTCTCAGGCGTTCTAGAAGCGGCCGCTAGCTCATTTACGCAGAATTTGGATGTGAACGCCTGTTCGCATGCTGGCCGATGCGGCATGGGGCGTGTCATGGTTGCACAACTAGGCACCAGAATAATCCGTATCCCCATCCCGTGGTCCCCAGTAATGTTTCCATCTCTTTACGCATCTTGTTTACTTCTCCCATTTCGCATAGTCTTGACGCGCGCTGTCATTGTGTATTTGTAGTACCTCTTAATCGTAATCACGCGTTTAGCACTTTGTATTCTAGCAGCAGTACAGTCGGCCCGAGTCATACCACCCCGGACCCTCACATACGATGTTTCCCAGTGTAAAGGATAGAGCGCGGCAGCTGTTTGGAGAGGCTGCAGTTCCTGACGCTGCTCCTCCGCCTCCAGTCGCGACGGGAAGGAGAGGTGCGCCACTCAAGACTTCTGCCGCGACGAAGGCGGCTCCAGAACCAAAGACGCCCGCGAAAACCTCGAGGTCAAAGAAAGATGCGCCAGTGGTCGAAGAAACACCAAAAGCCATAGGCGCATGGCCAAGTCCTTTCGATTCGTTCAAGGCGAGAACATCGCCACCAGAAAAGCCCACACCGTCAACGCCATCGAAGTCGAGGTCCTCCAAGACAGCTACCGCATCGAAACCATCTGCGCCGTCAAAAACCAGCACACCTTCAGCATCAAAGCCCGAGAAGTCTTCAAAGACCGAAAAGTCGGAAAAGTCAAAATCTGAAAAGGCCGAGAAGTCGTCCAAATCAGAGAAGAAAAGTTCGCGACCCAAAACACCCCCAACACTCAAAGCCGTCGCGCCGCCAAAGAAAGCCCCAGAACCCAAGATTTCTACGCCATCACGCAAGAAGACCGAATCAAAACCCGCGCCCAAGCCCAAGGAACCCTCGCGCCCCAAACTCGACACCCGTACCTCGTCCTCGCGCCCAAAGATGGAGCGAACGTCCTCCTCCTCCTCCCTTGAAGACGACGAATACAGCGACCTCCGCGCCGCCTGCCTGCGCGAAGCATCCAACGTCACTGGTCTCAAAGGCAAGAACCTAGCGATATCGCTGCGCCAGCGATCCTCGGGAGGCTGGTACGCAGCGCTGAAAGATGTCGGTTCGGATAAATACCTGAAGATGTGGATGAATCGCGATAAGACGTTCGAGACGCAAGATGAGGCTCTGGAGGCATATTTGGTGTTTGTTAAGAAGATGAACACGGATATGAAGCTCTTTGGACCGATGAGCCCTAAACTCGGATCCGGAAAGAGCAAGGGCTTCTTCTAGATGTGCGACGAGGAGAGGAGCTGCACGCGTTAACTTCACCGATGGACGCGACTGAGACGTGTTTTACGAGAACATGTCATCTGTAATATACGTAACACCATCACTACTACGGGATCTGGGCCTTCTTTTTTCAGCGAGGCGTTATTCTGGATCCAGTTACGAGCCGAGCCCCCTTCCGCTCGCAAACCTGTTGTAATACGCTGTAACATTATGTACGATATATAGGACTACGCGCCCCTTTTGGGTTTTGGATTTTGGACTCTGGATCTCCGGCGTTGCGGTACACGATGGACTGGACGATCTTGCGCGGCGACGTATTGAGCCGGTTGGATTCATTCGGTTCGCTATATACCCCACTCAAGATCTTGCTACTCCTCTTTTACGCGGATATGGCGCTGTTCGTTGACCGAACGAACGTATCGCCATTTACATATCTTTGTAATACATAATACTTCTCCTCGGTATTAGATCATTCATAGCATACTATTAACCTCAGACGTCCACTCTATCCAAGTACGGCGGCCAGGTTGGTTTCTCTTCTCCATCTCCTGGTCCGATTCGACATAAGGGTAGAGATGGCGAACGCCGTCTGCATCTCCGTCACTGACTTTCCATCGCACGTCGATGATCTCTAGGTCTTCTTTCTTGACTTCGCTTGGTCGATCGAAGCCGATACCACGGTTTTTCCAGAACGCCAGTGGCACTTGTAAGACGTCGTCTGTATCTGCTCCATCGTTTGCGAACTCGGCAGAGGTATACAGCATGATAGATTCGTCGTCAAACTCTAGGTCGTTGTTGATATACAATGGTAACTCAATACCTCCTTGGTGGAGAGGAGCGATATGGTCAATAGTATCGTAGTCTTGGACAGCGGGGAAGTCGTATTGGAGGGCTAGACGGTAGTCGGCGCAGACTTGTTCCATGGTATGTTCCTTGGCTGCTTCGACCTTCGCTTTCGCAGCGGCATAATCCCGCAGTCTGGAACAGTCGAAGTGGACGTAGTCGTTGCGGTCTTCGCGTTGGTGCTCGTGCCAGAATCCGAATAGGTGGCCTAGTTCGTGGGCCACGGTTGTGATCCAATAGTCTGGTGGGTATTTTTGCTTGAATGTGAGACCGAGATGGATGCCATGGCGACCTTGCTCGTCACTCCAGTCTTTTGGTATGTAACCTGTGACTGAGGAAGCTTGGGTTTCGGTATCTTTGGATTCAGCAACAACGGCGATGTCGTTCTTGACGTGCTTGTTCCAGACCCAGGGGTCGTCATCTTTTTCGCGTTTGTTGTAGCAGTAAGGCCACACTCCTTCTTTGACTCTGTACTCCCTGAAATGGAGTATGTGACCGCTTGGGCAACCGGGTTCTCCGATCTTATCCACCCAGAGTTTCCAGGCTGCGTCAATGTCGTCCTTGAAGTTGTTACGGGCATTTTCGTCTTCGTAACAGTATCGGACCAGCCCATCGGGCCACACTGTACGGGGCTGTCCGGTCTGGCTGAACTGTCAGTTGAAAATCGTGCGTTAGTGTAGGGATGAGTATACCATAGTCACAATCTCAGTCCATCTGCGACTTAGTGAAGAAGACTCGTCTCTAGATAGAAGTAGGCTGGAGATCATCTGTGATGTTGTGTGGGTATCATTGGCTAGATATTTGAAGCTGTTAAGGGGCGGTGGACAAGCTGTGACGAAGATCAATAAGAACGAAAGGGTTGGTAATAACATAGCGGTTATGGTGGAACAATGCGGGAGTTGTTCCTCGAAAAGTTGAAGGCCTACACTAATACATATAATCTTCTCTTTCAAAAGAGCGCTCAGAACTTCAATAGCTCAGGAAAGTGGCGTCGAGTCAAGTGAAAGCTTGGGTGCTAAGGCGCTCTTCCCAAACAGGAGGCCTGAGGTTCTAGTGAAAAGAGAGCTCAGTATGCTCTTGTCCACGAACGTCTATCTCCTAATAATTTAAACTACACCAGCACATGCAGTCGCAAAAGCTTTGAGTAACTAAGTACACTGTATGATTCATTTGGCGAGGTGGCTAAAGTCTAGCAATATGTAGTCCTTGGACCACTCAGGACTATTTGTCCGAGCGGAAAGCCAGCACAACTCCAAAGAACAAGTTGACCAATATCAAGACAAAAACAACACAAGCATCAAAACATAATTAGATATGACGAGACTCGAACCCGTATCTCCCTTACTAAAAGGGCCATTGCCGCGTCAGCACGGTTACTGCGTAACTTGCATCAAATAGAAGGGGCGCCTTGGCCATTAGACTACACACCCTTTGATTGATGTTCAGTGCCAACAAAACCTCTTATAGCCCCGAAATACCCTCTATTTGATATGTGCAATAGCAGTAGCACCTTTTTTTCCCCGCAAAACATCAGACCTGTTTCTTCATTTGCATCCCACAGGCATTTCCAAGTCCACTCCCGACAGAACAGCCCAATCTCACCCACTAATACCACTAGGGAAACCTGGAATCACGACCGTGTCACACTAGTTTGTCAAAAAAGTGCTTGTCCCACTTGGTACTCTCTATGAAGCTCTTTGTCATCACCTCCCGCCAGTCGAAGGACATGATCTTGTCTTCCGAGTCGAGTCCAAAGTCGAGCAGTCCCTCCTTACTATGCGAAGGACTAGCAGTGAGGCCATCCAGAAGTCTCGCGCAAAAACCACGATCGTAACCCGGCCCTTTAGACTCCACCCATACCTGCCACGGCTTCTCTGCCAGTTCTAGTGGCCGTCTGGTAACGCTGAGACGCATTCGCTGCGTGCGCATATGTGGCCATTCGGCACAGGTCATGTCGAAACAGACATGTTGTTTGTCTGGGGAGTATCCTTTAAAGATCCGTCCATGGCAAGAAATCTTCGATTCGTTTTCGCTCCGATATTCGAGAGCTACCGTGACGAAGTTTGGAAGGAAGATGGTGCTAATGTATATTTCGACGGCAGCCTTCAGAGTGCTGGAAATATGACGGCAGGCAAGCCAGAGGTGTTCGGTATCGTCGGAATATGCGAACACCATAGCCCATATCTCCGTAGGTAAGTCGCTCATCGTACGTATACAGTTTAGTTATAATGAGAAATAAGAGATAGTAATTTCGTTAAATAGGGAGAGTGATCTCGGCAAGAGCAAGGGAGTTTATATCCCTGAGTTTTTAGGTTTTACGCTGGTGTCGATATGCTTGGAAATGGTTGGTAGGCGCGGCGTTGTACGCGGTGGTAGTACCATGGTTGCAACAGAGCATACCTAGGTATTGGGCAGTCGGTATACTGGCAACATTGACGTCTGGCGAATACGATGCGACACCAAAACTTCGATATGGCGAGGTCTGCACTGCGAATACCTCCAGGCCACGTCAACGTAGAAAAAATTTGGACACTCTAGAGCCTACATTAAAGTTAGGTTACCTAATTTGTATATTCTTGTCTTAATGTAGTCTGCAGAGCTGTTTGAGTTTTTTTCTCGTATAAGGTGCGTGAGCTAGGTCAGAGGGTGTAATGGGATGGATCATGCTGGAGCCGCAGCCTGTGATTACATAAGCAGACCCTTCACTAGCGCATAAGCTCGCCTGGGCGATCCATTGCTTGTACAACTACTACGAACAAAACCAACCCTCCTCCAACCGCTTCCGCATACGAAATCTGTCGCGCTCGAAGTCCTACACCGTGCCGAGCCGCGAATACCCCATATTCTACTTTCCCAACATGCCAGCTGTGGTACCATCGCACGCGCCGCCGCAGATTCCAGGCTTCCAGATCCCGAATGACGAGGCGCATTCACTCAAACAATCTGTCGCCGAACTCCTCGAACGCGATAACCCACGATTTCCCGGCGCGCAACCCGTATCATTCTCGCGCGAACACGTTGCCGAGCTCCAGCGCAATGAATACTACATGTGCGAGAAGACCGACGGCTTGCGCTGTCTGCTCTACTTGCATTGGCAAGAGGGTCCGACAGGAGCTTTTGAGCCTGTGACTTTCCTGATCGACAGGAAGAACAACTACTACAACGTCCAGCCTCCCTTTCGGATACGTCACTACCAGCACCCGAACGAAGCCGAGCCATTCTTATTCGGCACCCTTCTGGACGGCGAGCTGGTCCATGACCAATATCCGAACGAGCCTGCGCCGCGTCTCAACTTCTATGTCTTCGATTGCTTGGCGGTGGATGGTACGAATGTGACGCAGAGGACACTGGACAAGCGGTTGGGACGGTTGCATGAATGGGTTATTAAGCCGTATGAAGCCGGCTTGACTAGGACATTTGGAAAGAACATTACACCAGACGACCTGAAGCCGTTTGCACTCAAGGGAAAGAAGACCTACCCTGCATACAAGCTAGAGGACATGTTCAGCAGCATCCTCCCCAACCTCAGACACGGCAACGACGGCCTGATCTTCACCTGCGTATCCACACCCTACCAGTTCGGAACCGACAGACACATCCTCAAGTGGAAGCCACCGCACGAGAACACCATCGACTTCAAGCTCCGCCTCGGCGACTTCCCACTCATAGACCCACAAGACGGCGAAGACGGTCTCGTCCCCGACTACGACGCCATGCCTACACCCCTCCAATTGCTCGTGCAGCACAACTCAAATCACTACGAGGTCTTCGCCACTTTGTCCCTCACTCAAGCCGAATGGGACACGCTCAAATCGCTGAACCAACGCCTCGACGGCCGTATCATAGAATGTTACCGCACAGAAGGTGGGCAGTGGAAATACAAGGCTGAGGCAGATGGTACACCGCGCTGGCGCGACGACAAAAAGGACGCGAATCATATCAGCACTGTTAGGAGCGTGCTGGCTAGTATTGAAGCGCCAGTTACAGAGATGGATCTTTTGGCCAACGCGGAGAATATCAAACGCGAAACATACCGTTTGCAGGGCAAGCTGGACCAATACCGCCCTCCCCAGGACGGTGAGCGTGAGGCTAAAAAGCGGAAATACAGCGACATGGGTCTTAACGGTCATTGAGCGTTGTGTCGTGGCACGCTGATGACCGCCAGGCTGTGCTATCGGCACAACCTACAGCATTTTAGATGTAATTGTGTATTTCAGGGAGTTACGGCGCGTTTACACAGTACATGATACCCACGCTCAGTTTATATGGGGCGGCCAAAATTGAAGTTTCGTTGTTCTCAGTGTAATGCTTCTTTCTCTCCACTCATTCCCCCAGTACACTGCGTCACTTGGTATGGCCTCCTTCTCTATTGCTTGCACAATGAATCATGGACTTGAGCCGACGCCAACGCGTCACCAAGTCTGTTCTTTATCTTTTTTGTCACATGACAAGCGCATTACACTTGCGCTAGTCTTGATCTGAGATCCACACTGCCCTCTACATTCGGTTTTCTTTCCGCCTGGGTACCTGCATCTCACCGCAGCAATCCTTCTCAGCCAAGTAAACCGTCATGCCGGCGGACAACAGCATAACCGTCAAAAGATACGAAGAAAACACCTTCCGCGGCGTTATTCATCACGATATCCTTGCCCGTCATTGTATCCTCGACAATGGCCATCATGCTCTCGGACTCGACTACACCACCGCGCCCGATCTAGGCTCACTTTCTCAACTCCCAGTCGAGTTGCAGCAGCAGATTATCTTGCAAATGGGTATTGCTGCTGTGTTGGCGTGGAGGGGAGTCAACAAAAGGGCAACGGACCTGGTCTCTAATATGAACGAGTGGAAAGAGGTAAATACGCAATGACAAGGATAGGGCTGCAGACTAACATTGTACCAATAGATCATCGCAGTCGCTCCGAATGCCCTGAGAATGGCCATCGGCCTCCGTTCACAGTCTACATCCAGCCTCGCCGACCTTCATACCGCCCTCCACCGCCGTACCTACGATATCTTACACTGTACCTCCGGTACCATGCAGTACATCGATTTGAAGACTCTTAAACGTCTCTGCCGCAAAAGGTTCCCGTACCACGCAGGTGATATAAAATTCGAAATTGAACTTGCATTGGGCTATATCGTGGAGCTTTACATGCCTGAGTTGTTGGGTGGGGCGACCAGTCATGCAATAGAGAGAAGAGAAGCCGTAGAGAAAGATGATAGGCCATTCAAGGTAGCTGTTGCTGAGCGCAGGGCCTTCGTTTATGTGGGCGCACTGTAAGATAGATGGAGTGTTGCAGCAACGAAGAGACAAGGAATCAGCGATGGAGATTTGGATAGGAAGTGGGCTGATGGGTCGGCTTGGGAGTAAAAAGCGTCACTAGGAGATGACCGAAGCTGTGTTGCCTTTTGCTGTATACACACCATTAAATGTCAACGACCAATCAGTATCGACATCGTTTATACTTCGGCCTTTAATGTATTCATGAAATACGTCACGCGAAAAGGGTTTGACGTCCCCTAGTTCGCAGTGACTTGAATATTGCACGCCGAGGTGAAGTAGACTTGACTTCTGCGTTACCATATCTATAGAAGACAGGTACCTTCCCAAGCAAGTATACGAACAGTGCCCAGGTCGGCGCAAAAAGAGCAGCAAAAAGAAAGAGGATGAATTGGACATGGCGAAACTCGAATCCGCATCTCCCTGCATATACCCGTGTCTAGCACGTCTAATAACGTACGGGCGTCTTGCCATACTGGCTTTTTAAGTCTAGACCACATGCCCTTGAAAAAATAATTCGATGAATAGTTTCAGGTTTGGATGAGATATAACGATAGTGAAAGAATAGGAGAGTGAGTAGAGTGGTGGCGGGTCGGCTTCACCTGGGTAGTTTGTAGCGCTCGTCTGTGTCGATATCCTCACTGCTTGCTTCTACAGCTTTCTCGACGCAGGTATCTAGGTAAGCTTTCAGATCAAGCAACGTACCGACATCTCCTGGGTTCAAAAAGCGGATTGTAAGAATGGTATTGCTTGTAATACGGTACCGGCCTAGTGAACATGGGAGACCTGGTCGTCTTCGTCACACTAAGTCTCTTCTCTTTGCTTTTTGCCATCTTGATAGGCTTTTGGAAGCTTCTCCGACTGGAACCGTCATCCGGTTTGCTAAAACATGTGGAAAGCTCCTACATCGCGGGGTTTTATGCGTGGAATATGCTTTTTGTTTTGTTGTATGAGCCAGAATGGCTGTCATTTGTACGCGCGTATTGAATCTCAGATAGCGGTGTCGCAGTTGGTCTGGGGTAGAACGGCGGTGTTGAATATGATGCATGCTCAATGTATCGCCTTTGTTAGTTGGTGCCCTGATAGCGGGTAGGACAATACTTACTGGTAGATCAACCTCTCTAGATCTATCCTTTTCTCACAGCAAGGTCTGAACTGTCGCCTTCAACGCCTCAACTTTCCTCACCAACCCCTCAATGTTCTCCTTTAACTTCTCGTTACTCCTCTCTGTAGCCTCACTCTCTGCTTCTAATCCACAATTCCTCTGCTCTAAATCCGTATTCTCCTTCTTTGATTTCTCGTTACTCCCTTCTAGTGCACAGTTCTCTCCCTCAAACCCACAGATTCTTTCTGCTGAGTACTGGTTCTCCCCCAGTAACTCCTTGTTTATTCCCTCCAGCTCATCGTACTTCGCTTTTAGAGCAAGCATGTCGAGTATTTGTATAGCTCGATGGTGTTGGGCGAGAAGTTGTGAAGAAGTATCTTGCTCGAGAGCGACTGATGATTCTTTTGAATTAGTATGAATAGACTTGAAATTATTGAAGTATGAAGGATGGTGGTGCTTTAAGTAGTGTTAGCGAGATGCGACCCTTGGGATTGTTCGGAACACGCCCCGCAACAACAACCAATCTAGTGTCGAGCGTTTTAAAAGGGCTGCTTCAGTTACGCGATGAGTTGGGAAGCCTGCAGCAGCTTTCTTCTAACAGATTCTAGGATGTTCTCATTACAGTGATGATGCGCTAACCCAGCCTTTATGGAAATCAGGCCTGGGTAGCTCTACATCCAAGACGTCAGTGTAGAGTCACCCCATTCAAGAGAAGATCTGAACAGCCTGAAGCCTACATAAGGTTAAGTCATCTAATTTGTATATTCTCATATCAATGTAGACTGCAGACCTGTTCGGTTTCTTCCTTGTATGAGGTACAGTCAAGCACACTGTGGATCAGAGTTACCCATTCTACAGATGCTAGGGAAGCTTACATGAATGATTCTTATAGAAATATACAAGGAAACTGTGCCTGATGCGTTCGGATGTTACCATCGCGCACCTTCTCGATGAATCCTTGAGCTGGTCTACTCAGTGAAACGTCCGAACCGTCCAATGCAATGTTCCAGTGTGTTGATACTACCCTGATAGCAGTGTCTTTTGATGTCGCGGACTTCCCTGAATCTACCACCGCCCTCTACGAGCTGAGACTGAGCCTTTCCTAAGTCGAACTCATTCCCAAACTTGTCATGTATTTCCATGATGATGAGGAATAACTAGATATCTGCGGCACTTCGTGCCTCGAAAGTGTTCCGATCGCATACTTTCCTATACAAGTACGTCTCTAGTGCCGCATCCAACTGCCTCGCGAGGGCGAGGCTGCGTCATATCTCCATTCCAGGTCCCCATCGCTTTCCTTGACCTGAATGAAGTCAATTTCACGTACAAGCGTGTTGGTAGTGGGGTATATGTCGTATGGCTCTTGCTCGAAGCAATTCCTTACGTATTGCTCATAGACTTTCAGTTGCGCTTCCGCTGCATTCGGATCGACCTTGCGTAGTTGGGCGTATCGTAAATCTGTTTGTTCTCGTCAGTACCGTAGAGCAGCACTTAGGATCTCAATAAGTAAGTTAATTTTATGCAGTCCTTTCATGTTAAGAATCTCGTAGGGATTCATGTTAATGATCGCTGAGACCGTACGTCTACCCTCCTGCTGGGTCTTTTCTATTCGTAACTCTTCGCGTAGCCGACGGATCTCTTGCAGACTGAGCTGCAGCAGTTCTTCCGGGTCCTGTCGACTCTGCCTATTGTCTAGTTTTTGAAGCTTCACACGCGCTTCCTCTTGGATTGCGACGCTACTGGCTGCAGCGTTTTTCGGTTATTCTTTGCGAAGATGCTCAAGGCCGTTACAGGCGTAGCATCTTACAGTGGCCTTGTTAGGGCAGTCATCCATGATATGACCCTTCTTTTTACAATGGTGACAACGTGCTGATGGACAGTCCTTGACCCAATGATCCTGAGTCCCGCATTTGAGGCACCGATCGTCTCCTGGCACGACTTCATCGGCGTAGTTGTTCAAGCCCGGACTTGAGGGAGTTGAACGTGCAGGTGCAGCTACCATGTCGTCGTGTGCTGCGTGGGAGTCTTCGCGGTTTCTCGCAGCATCTGATGCAAGATTACTTGCGAAGTGAGAACTGGGTACCATGTATGCCAAGTTTGCTGCTCAGTAAATGTCCATGCAGATATGTGCGTGGTATTAGAAGGGTATTTATGTTTTTCAAGGTCGTTTGGCACAGCATACCACCCTTGTCGCCCGACCGGTTGCGCGACGCGTCGCGTCTTCGCTAGGAGTAATCCCACCAGCTGTCGAGTCCATCTGGCGGCAGTGCCAGCGGTTGTGCACAAATAGCTCCATTTTCCCACCAGCCAGGCTTGGGATAGTCTAGCTAACATAGGGTGTACTTGCATGGAAGCATACGGAAGCGTAAATGCATCCGTGTTACGGCCCTTCGAATTTCCAGATAAAGCAGGCACAGGTACGTAGTGGTTACGACCGCATCTGATATGCTCCAAGAAGCGCACCGAACGCGAAGATGTATCGTATGTCAGAGTGCGTTTCGTTGCCCAGAAGCATACATAGGTAATGAGGATCGTGAACACATGAAGTGTGGGGCCGATGTCGACGTCGCGCTGGTGGATAGTTTGCGCGAAATTCTGGATGCTTACGGGAAAACATACGAATACCTCTAGGATATTTCGTACCCACAATGTACTAAGATCCAAAATAGCGAAGAAATGGTATAGCGAAGAAATGTACGACGATGCTCAGAGTGTTTGTCGCAGGCGACCAATGGGTGGGTTCCACAAGTGAACTAGCCCGTCACATGATTACGCTAAAGTATCTCGCGCTGACCCTGGGACTCCGCTCCTCCCCGATGCTGAACCTACACTCCTGTTCGCAAAATGCTATCGTGCGAACACATACCGCTACCGAGGCCAACACCCGACCGTCGCAGCGGTTATCACTGGTACCTTCCCGCCATTCCTGGAGGACCGTTTGCCCTGCGTTCGGACGCGTCGCGAGATGTGTGTCAAGCATGCGCTTTTGGCTCTCGACTTGCTGCTTTACCAAATTCATACTGGCCTCTGGGATACTCACCTTCTCCATGAACCTTTGTATTTCATGAGCACTGACACGTATCACTATGTCCAAACCTGCTGTCACGGCGACGAGGAGCGTTGAATCTGGCTGAGACATCTGCCATGTGCTACGCCTTCACTTGCCTTTGGAGATGGCATTGCTCCCAGATCTGTTCCATCACGCAATCGCGAACGACTGGCCAGACGGACCATGATAGCTATTGCTGTGCCGTAACCACTGAGACACTCACCTCACTAGGCAGACTATCTATTCGCATTTTGCTGCTAAAATCGAAAGTCCGGTATCATGTCCTCTCTCACCTGGTGCCGCACAGACGCATTACACCACCATCTAATCCTCATTGTGCAGGTCTAGACGCTCTCTCACCCCTCACCCTCCACGCTCATCATGACGGCCTACACGTGGCTTTCTACTAGGCTGTGGCTGGCTATATAAGCAAGCATCTTCTACGCTTGTCCCCCCTCTTCCTTTTCCACCAAACTTCCCATTCTATTCTATAAGTAAACCTCTTTTACGCTTGTCACCCCTCTTCCCTCCCATCAACACCCTCATACTACACTAGCTCCTTATCCTATACCAGCTTATGGGACAACTCAAGACTCAAGTACCACTCAAGACTATGGAGCTGGAACCCATCCTCAGTCTTGAGGAGTTCCCAGCATATGTCCAACCACGAAGAGTGGTGTCGCGTTACAATGCCAGTCAAGAGAAGAAGCCAGACCTTCCCTGGTGGAAACTTGACAAAGCCGGGATCGACATCCTGCTGAAAGCATTTGCACACCTTATCATTGAACTTCTCAAAGGTTCCCCGGATACCGACAAAGAGCTCCAGTATCTGCTACGTACAGTTATTGAGCTTGCTCATGTCCTGCGAAGCCCTACGGTCAAGGTCGCCTTAATCGGAGCTCAAGGTGCAGGGAAAAGCCTGGCGATCAACGCTCTATTCGACTGTGATGGTCTCTCGCTCACTGGTGCAGAAGGCGCGGCTTGTACCAGCTCAATCACCCGATACGTCCAGTATCCGAAGAGCACGACTGGTGAGGATAAGTTCTTTGCTGAGATCAAGTTCTTCACCCGAGAGGAGCGCGAAGCATTGCTCAAGGAGCACGCTCGGTCGTACTACTTTTACCACAACGCAGACGACGACTCAGATGATGAGGAGTCTCCACGTACAAAGTCGGTCGGCCAGGACCAGATGGACCGCAGCCTGAACGATACAGCCGAAGACATCTTCACAACCCTGTTTGGCTCCTACGACGAGTTTTCCGAGAACTGGAACGTACCGGATTACAAAGCAGGGGAGTTCGTGCGCCTGTGCCAACTGAAATGCGATGAGGCTCTGAAGAACGAGCAAATCGACTCTCAGGGTATCGCGACTAAGATGGCAGATACTCAAATCGAACTGCTGGAGCAATTGCGACCATTTCTTACTAGCATCAAGGGTCAAAAGTGTTTATGGCCGCTTGTGGACAATATTTCAGTCAGGTTCCATCATGAAATCCTTCAAGGAGGGATCGAGATCATTGATCTCCCAGGTAATTCTTTCGTCATTTCTTGTCGGAACCTGCTAACTATTCACTAGGTTGGGGTGACATCAATCTCTCAAGAGTCCGACACGCAGAGAAGATCAAGGATACCGTCGACGTTGAGATCATTCTGGCAGACACGATACGCATCGCCTCTGACGACAAAGTCATTAACAGCGCACGGGCAGCTGTCGCTCATCATGGCCCTTCGAAGGTCAAAGTCGTCGCAACAAAGATCGATGTAAGTTGTTATGTCTCCTGGCATCCAACATGTTGCTGATTCGTATAGTCTCTCACCAAGAACCAGCTCTCTCAATGCAAAGGCGGAGAATTTGATCGCATCAACCAGCTGCTTCAGGAAGTCGAAGAAAAAGAAGCCGCGCTCGATGACAACGATGACGACGATGATGAGGTCAATGCCAAAGAGCGCAGATTGTTGGGTCAATATCGTATCTACCTGGAGCGAACACGAAAGCAGAGAAAGATACTGCAACGTGCAGACAACATCTCCGCAGAGCTGACGTCAAAGCTTCGCAGTCGGTCAACCAACGATATGCCCCAGATTTTCCACGCATCCGCCTCTGAGTACATGGATTGGATACGCAAACCCAAATTGACCTTCGCAAACCAGCCATCCTTGTCGCCCGACATGACTGGCATTCCTGCAATTCGCGAGTTTCTCTTCTCACTGCCTGCACAACAAAGCTTGCGAGACTACGAACGCCATATCAACGTCACAATCTCAGCTTTCATTGAGAAGATCAATAAGACTGTGGCAGAAAATGAGCGTGATGGTGGTTTCCGGACGATAGCTGACGACTTCGACGCCCACCGCAGAGGTTACATGACGCGACTCCTCTCAGAAGCGAAGTCAGCATTCCAGCGATGCTCTGATGACAGTATCAAGCGAATTGAAAAGGACATTCCCAACTTCAAAGAGCAGCTTGAAGAGAAGATGACCGCGGAATGGTTCATACTCAAGGCGGCGGCTTTCACTCGGATCGTCAAGTGCCGTGGCGTTGTTCCGAAAGGCGCATCTAGAGCCAAAGGCCTCGAAAATGGATGCCACTGGAACAAGGAACTGGCAGATCTGCTCGCACCTGGTTTCAACAAGTGGTACAATACGCACACGGCGTGTATGGCGACCATGAAACCAGCACTGAGCCAGAGCTTGCACCAGCTCCATGTGAAGATTAGCAAAATGATCAATGACTCTAGCGCAAACATGGTCACTATCGAGAAGGCTAAGAAGAAATGGGAACCGCTGCGTACCCGACTTCAGGCTAAGCTTATGGTGCTGATGGACGATGTCAGCAAGCTTGAGAAGTTGATGTTCGAATCGGCAACTATGGAATTCGGTCAAGAGAGGACCCTCATCTCATGCATGACTGATGACCTCTACACCGAGGTTTTCGAAGCGGTACCCGAAGAGAAGCCACCTCTACCAGCGAAATCAGGAAAGAAGAAGCCGGCAAAGCGGTACGTTATGCCCAAGATCAAGTTCCAGAAGAAGCGCATGGAAGACTTGTTCCTGAACCCAGATGCACATTTCATTGACCAAGTCCTCAAACGCTTCCAACTAGAATTCAACGACGCGATACGCACTCTGCTCGAGAAACATTTTGTCAGCATCGACAAGTTACTGGAGAACCTAAGCGCAAGCCTTCGGGCAGAGGCACCTATCGACTATCGGATCACCAAAGAGGGCGAGGCTATCCGTGCCGAGTTAGCGCAGCACATCCCAATGTTTGAAGAAAAGGCTATGGAACTAAGGAGCAAACTACCCCAGATGGTGAAGCCCGAAGACGAAATGGCGCTCACGCTGGTTAACAGTGACACGTTCGATGGAGATGACGAAGACAACCTAGCCATCTTCTACGATAGGATGGCGAAGACCAAGCGAAAGGATCCTGAGCCTACTGTCCGGCGACCCAAGCGGATCAAGACAGAGCCTATCTGAGGCCTATCTCGATAACACAGACTCTGGCGTATACCTCCAGGACCAACTTTGGATCACCCACTCGTCAACTAAGGTTCCTACGAATTGGGCAATGTGTATACGCGGAAACGGGACGTTCGCGGATACATGTCATCCTTTCTCTACTTCAGGTTCTCTGTTAGACAAAAGTCAGGGCCACGCTGCATGATTGCGTTCCACTTCGGAACCCTGCTGCGATCGCTGTGCAGGCGTAGGCCAAATATTGGTTATGGCGTACGAGTTCTGCTTTCCTTCTAGCGTTTACGATGTCTTCTCGTAGCAGCAGCAGCAGCAGCAGCAGCAGCACTTATTTTAGCGGTTCCTTTTGTTCCATCTAGCGGTCGACGTTGAGGCTGCTCTTTGGGCTAAGTCTTTTCTGCGCAAAAATTTGTCAATGTCGAGCGATGTTTCGTTCGTACTCAGCCATGGAACCATGAATCACTATCAAGACATTAGTATACCTTTGCCTCCACTTTGTGGTTTACGTGATCGATCCAGTCATCCACTTGATATCTCTGACTTAGTGCCTTTTATACGCTCTAGATATTCACGCTCTTCCAATGCACATTGAGGTGTTTGTCTGCTAGGAGGAATTGAGAGGGATATAATAAGAGTCGCTAACAAAAACGTGTATGTATCCAGCACGTAAACGAGGAAAGGAGAGTCAAAACCATACAATACACCAACAGCCATCCGCATCTCCTACTCCAGACCCAAAGAACACGAACATCGTATATCCACCACCCGTCTCCCAAAACCACCATAATCGACCACGTAGACTCCTACGCCATTCCATACACCGACATGGAATGACCACCATCTACGCGCCATCCCCCCATAGCCCAACAACCTGCATCGCGAACGCCACACCCGCCAACCCCGTCTTAACCCACTCAACCACTTGCTTCCTCTCCACCGCCAAGCGCACCTGCTCGCCATTCACCTCGTCGCCCTGGGCCTCCAACTCCATAACCTGCCTCTTCTCATTGCCGCCCTCGGTCAGACCAACCGCATAGTCGACACCGGGTCCAGACACGAACGCAAAGATGGATGTGTAGAGTAGGTACGGGTGGCGGAAGCGGGCGGGCGAGAGACAGTAGGCGGAGAAGAGGGTGAAGGTTGTTATGTGTCGGAGGTAGGAGGAGAGGTTGGTGGATTTGGTGGATAGGTAGATTAGGGAGGTTCGGGCGTTTATGGCGGTGGGGAGGGCGAGGAGGGAGGGGAGGGCTATTGTCGAGACGGTTGCTGAGACGCCCTGGTGGGGGTGTTAGTATTCCCACAGTATAGGTGACATTTGTTCTGGGGTGTTTGGTGTGGTGAGAAGGTTTGGAGCTCTGATAGCTTCATGCGGGGAGCTTCGCGGCGTGAAGTGGCGGGTGGTGACTTACAGTTGCGATTCCCAGGGTGATTGTACCGACGAATTTACATATTGAGACTGTTTGGGCGGCCATCGTGATGGTACCGTGAGGTTTGGGGGGAGATAGGCTTTGCTCAGGCTATCGGAGGGTACTTTGTCGTGGAGTTATCTGTTGGCAATGCAGGTTGACGTGCATTCAGCGCTTGGAAGATTGCGGAGATGCTGCGGGATTCATCCGGAGCAGGCTGTCATCTTTCGGAGAAATCTGCATGGCCCAAGCTTCCCCTTCCATAATGCGGAGAAGAGCACATGTCAATAAGTAATCATACGGCCACGCCCTATAGAAAGAGAGATGTCGATTCATTGTCAGGACGACCTTTACCGTACCTACTCTGCACAGCTTTTCAAACCTATGGAATGTATTCGATGCGCGCAATTTGTCGCCCAGGGCAGATGGCAAGCATCAAGAGAGTAATCTTGCCAGTCGTACCTCGGCTTACAACACCAACGCGTATCCTACACCCATCAGCCGGTTCTTGCGGCCGTAACTTTCACACGACGTGAGCATACTCAGCTACTTATACTCCACTCTATATTCGTACATCCATCCGACGATAATTCCCAACGTCATCACCTGCTCACTCTCACACATCAGACCTGCACGCTTCCAGTCCGACGACCCCGATAGCACAGAACCCGCCTGGAAAACACCGCGCACCATGCCTATGGAGAAGTACCAGTTTATGAGCAATGTCTGGAGGGATGGCATCTTTGGTATGTCTCACTTCTTCACAGTAGGCGTGGATAGATAGAGTTGGGCTACGCCCACTGCTCAGACAGTTCAACCTCCCGATCAAAAGCTAACAAACCCCCCAGACAACAAAGTCGTCTTCTGCACCGGCGGCGCAGGCTCAATCTGCTCGGCCCAAGTCCGCGCCATGGTCGCCCTCGGCGCAAACGCCTGCATCGTCGGACGCAACGTAGAGAAGACTGAGAACATGGCAAAGGACATCGCAACCGCACGCCCCGGCGCAAAAGTAATCGGCATCGGCGCCATCGACGTGCGCAGACCTGAACTCCTCCAGCAAGCCGCCGACCGATGCGCCAAAGAACTCGGCAGCCTAGACTTCGTCATCGCAGGCGCAGCAGGAAACTTCCTGGCGACCATCGACCAGATCAGTCCGAATGCCATGAAGAGCGTCATCGACATTGATGTGCTGGGGAGTTACAACACAGTCAAGGCGACGCTACCTTATCTCAAGGAATCAGCCGCGAAACACAAGACAGATGGAACGACGCAGCCGGCTAACGGCACAGGCGGACGCATCATCTTCGTGAGCGCAACACTGCACTACACAGGCACACCCCTCCAATCCCACGTCTCCGTCGCAAAAGCAGGTGTAGACGCCATGGCCATGTCTGTCGCCATTGAGCAAGGCCCCCGCGGCATCACATCCAACATCATTGCTCCCGGACCCATCGCTGAGACCGAAGGTATGGCGCGGCTGTCAAAGTCGGATGCTAAGAGCAAGGTAGCTAAGAGCGTGCCATCGGGTCGCTTTGGCTCCGTCAAGGAGATTGCTGATGCTACTATCTATCTGTTCTCTGATGCGGGTAACTTTGTCAACGGCGAGACGCTGGTTGTGGATGGCGGCGCGTGGCATACCGCGGGATTTTCGGGTGGGTTCGAGTATCCGGATTTCTTGCTTAGTGGGGAGAGTGTTACGGGGGTTAAGGGGGGGAAGAAGAGTAAGTTGTAGGTTGTAGACTGTAAAGTCTGATAGACATGGAATTTGAACACCATTTTGCGTGCTATAAGGGAGCCTAATCTTGTGAGTCATGATTTTGGACAATGCCATGGAGCCATGGATAGGTTTCTTGCTCATAGTCGTCTCTGTCTAACGACGTTGTATGCGTTAGAGCATCTCCTGGTAACGCGAACAACCAATTCACAACGAACGTCTTCATCAATAAGGCTATTGAAAATGGCACACGGCTCATGTGTTACATTGCTTTCTCTTGGTTATTCTCGTGCATGTATAAGTATTCAGTTCCACAATGACGACTTTCGTACCGCATATGACATGATAAAGCAAGTCATTCCGCGGAACCATCTGCACTGTTGTTTTGTACATCGAAGCTTTTGGTTCAGCGACAGAAGCTTGCACGAGAGCGTGGCTCGACAAAGCGACCATATCTGGTAATGATGTCGTATTCAGTCTCTTCAGATTCGTAGACTGACATAATAGAGGGACATGTATACGTCTCAGTACAATGTATGATGCAATGTGTGCATGAGAGAAGATGATGTATACATCTATTCCGAGTGTCGAGCGTAATTTAGAGAGGATATGACACAATGTATACATCTATCTTGTATATGAGATAGAACCTACAAAGACAAAACTTTCTGTCAGCGTCTGATCCCAGATGGTTGCCTTCTTGTCCGGAGCCACAGCCTTTGTGATGTTGTGCCGAAAGCAAATATGATATCACGCCGGGTACGAGTCCCTCTGTAATGCTGGGCCAGGCTGACACTGATCTATGCAGAAGGAAGCCCGGGCAGCACTAAGTATCCCAGCTGTTGTATAGCGCGCGGCCCACTCCCTACCTCGGAGCACTATGATACCGGGAATCGAAATCGAATCTCAACGACTTTTGAACCAGGTTCGATAGCTCAAAACGGATTGAACCTTGTAGCGAGGCTTGATAAAAGCAAAAGTATCATCCATCGAGATCATCGGGTATCGGTGCTGCAATCTCACCAAACGTTGAGAGAAGCATGTCGTCCATGGACCTACTTCCGCCTCCAGCCTTGGGCGCAAAGGCGGACGGACGAATATAGCAATCAATCTCTCAGTAAGCATCGCGCCCCGACATCCAAGCAACAGATCGTCGACTAGGTATATTTTGAGTCTGAGATCATCGACCTTGAGCGGGAACCCATCTCGTCGTCAGCACATCAATGAAAATCTCACACCTCCCCACGGATCAACATGCCAACACATCGATCCTACCCAGTGATGCCAGCCGCACATCAAGGCATCCACGAATAAAACCCACTCATTACCAACTTTGTTCCCGCGGAATGACGAAATGGGTTGCTTCACCAGGTTTGGAGCGATTGAACATCTTCATCTGCGCCCCTTGACGAGCCGCACACGCCAGGCCTGCGCTCCAGTTTTAATACAAAATGCGCAGCAACGGCTTACCCTGCTCCCCTGTCGATCGCACTATCGATACCCAGGGGTGCTCCTTCTGGACTGGGCTGGTGGTGGCTGGCCATGCATGCGTCATAGCCCTTTTTCAGGAGACAGACGCGAGTGCGCGGTGCCCGGTTAGCGAGATTGTGCGTTTAGGTTTGGCGTGTTTTGGGACTGGCGTGGGCTAAGACGCGTGGTCAAGCGGTGGCTTGCGGGTGCTTGGCCGGCATGTTCGCTGCGGTGGGTAGGGCCGTCGTGTGTTTGGCTAGAGGTCGGCGCGCGTGTTTGCGTGGTTACTGTGGTGTTGGGCAATTCTCGGAGGGTTTAGGCTGAAGTGGAGGGTCCGTATAAGAGATGAGGAGAGATAGGATGGGTGTGCTTCCGAGGGAAGCCACTTCATGTTGATTGAAGATGCATGCGTGCAGACTGGTTGTCGGGTCGTAGATGTGCCGTTGACTGACACGTTTCAATTCGCGGGCGCGTCGCCGTGCTCTTCGCGCGCCGCTTGAGTGGTGAGAGAGCGATGAGGCTTAACGCCGTTGCTAGACGACGGCGTGAGGGCGCCGGCGCTTTTTGTCATGCGCGCCCAAGCACCAGCACCTTGCGCAATTCATGGGACGGCAAGCCTCAACTTGGTTTTGGAAGGTCGCACAGGGAAAGACATGAATTCTGCAGGTTGTACACAGGGTGCGGGTGGGAGGGACACGGAGGGGATGACCTTTCTTGTACCCTGGACTATAGCATAGAGGCCAGTGAGCAGGGCTGCAGGTACGACAGGTACATAGCGCGGCCACCTGCTTATGCTGTTTACTGCAGGCTGCAAGTTTCGATGATGTCGCTGCAGGTTGGGTTGGGTGTAAGCGACAGGGAGGCGTGCGATACGACGCCACCGAGGTGTCTAGTCTGCCCCGTGCCAGAGGATCAGCATGCATCAAAAGACAAAACATGCAGCAAGTCCCGCGCTGTGCACCCAACCATTACATTCTCTCCCTTTTCTCTTCATACACTCGTTATCGAAAGTGCGCTTATACATTCGTTTGTGTGGTGTTTGGTACAGATCAGAAGTAGCGTCGGCTGCCCAGGACGGTCGCTTTATCGATTATCGCGAGACATATCATTTCCGGGAAAGGGTCCGCGTTAGTAACACTGGACACGGGAGCACAGCGACAGCACCAAGACGGCTTTGCGAATCACCGGCGGCTTGTGTGTCGTGTTTGCTGCATTATCGCGATCGAAAGAGTCGTGATCTGCGAGGTGTCCGAGGTTGAGCACGTCATGCCCACGAGATAGGCCGAGGAGCTTCACGTTTGACCACACGATTCCCTCGTCCAGTTTCAGCATCCACAGCCATCCCACGACGCCGGCGGAGCACCCAGGGCGCCAACCAAAAACCCAGAGTTGGCAGTGCAGGGAGTACCGCGGTTCGAGTCAGACCTAGTGCCAGTGCGGAAGAGGCGGAAGAGGCTACTCTTGAACTAACGGCCAAAGCGGGAGAGATCAGTTAGCCAGAAAGTGCTCCATTCACCAGCACAGACCTCTCTTAGCGCTGGTAAGTCCTGCAGCTCCACCAGCTCCCATCCTCAACAGCGGCATCGCCTTGTCAACCTCTTCCCTCTCCACACCCAGCTGTGCTACCGGCGACACCCGTCAGACAATCCATCACGGGCAGCGATGCTGACGATAGTGTGAAGCATACCAGCAACACATCGCGCCTACACCCAGTAACCGATCCCACCGAGCCGGCGCTTTTCTGCCAGCGACAGGCCCGTACCACCTCACACCACTTCCACTCATCGACCCCACTTGGAACCCTCTCGAGGCCCTTCCAACTTCCATCGCCAGCTTCATCGCTCGTTCACGACGTCGGAGGCGTTCAATCGCTGTTCCAAGTCTCCATCGCCCTAAGCGCCCATTCACTACCGAGGGACAAACAGCATTGTCAAGACCTTCGCACAAGACCGCGCCTATACAAGCGACCTCGACCACCCCACCCGCAACCTCACACATCCATCACCATGGAGCACAGATTCGCCTCAACGCTGCTAGGCTTCCTCGCCTTTTTCGTTCTGCTATCGTCAATCCAGCGCGCAAGTGCACAAGGCTTTACGCAATCATATTGCTCCAGTCTAAACACTGGTAGCGATGACAACGTCTGTAAGTGACATGTCAATCCACGTCTTCCATGCTCCACAACTAACGTCTTCAGACACATGGCCATACCAATCCAACGGCAACTGCACCAACCACTGTAAGGAAGAAGGTACCTATGCCTTCGCCGTTCTGCAATACACCGACTGCTGGTGCTCCAACTACGCCCCCGGAGAGGAGGCAAGTATGAGCGACTGCCAGAAGGATTGCCCTGGCTTCCCGGCCGAAAAGTGCGGCGACAAGGACAAGAACCTGTTCATGTACATCCAAATGGACGGTCAGGTATCCGGCACCATCGGAGGCTCGCAACCCACGTCTTCGGCCGAGCCTTCGAAGACAAAAGATGAACCTACAGAAGCCCAGACTGTTAGTACTCCCTCCCCTGCGCGCGCGGTCTTTCGTCTCTCTATTTTTATGCTTTCTCGATTTCCATGCGTACTATACTTTGTGACCGGTGTTTGACTTCGTGGTAGTCTGCTCCGCCACCAGTCACTGTGACACCTGATCCAGAGATTGTTACTTCCGTAGTCACGGCCACGCCGTCTTCTTCTTCTACTTCTTCTACTTCTTCTACTTCTTCTACTGTATTTGCTTCCAGTCCTGTCTGTAGCACATAGCTAACACATCACGCAGACCGAAAAGCCATCTGCGACTAAATCTGAAGCCGATGACGAACCAACCTCAGCCATGGCACCTGTCACAACGCCAACCGTCCTTACCGAAAGCGGTCGCGTCGTTACCAGAACAATCGTCTTCACTCCGACTGCGGCTGCCTCTGAAGAAGTAAGCCATGACAGCGGCACCAACGTGGGAGCCATCGCCGGTGGTGTTGCTGGCGGCGTCATCGCTTTATTAGCCATCGTGGGCGGTATATTGTTCGTCCTATGGCGGAGGAAGAGGCAACAAGACCAGCAAAACGACGGACATGGCGGTGGTTCCGCCGGGATCTCGCGTAATGTGAGCACCATGAGCAGAGCCGGCCTGCTAGGAGGACGTGGCGAAAAGTCACCGACCCAGCTTGTCACAAACTTCGGTTCGCAACGGAGCCGCCACGACGAGGAATCGATCACGCCCGTTACGCCGTCGAGCCGCCGATTAAGTCAACCTATCCTAGTCGACTCGCGACTCAACCCAACTGCTGTTTTGACCTTCCATGGCGCTAACGCCAGCCGGGAAAGCCTTGGAAGCATCGATGACAGCCGAGACTACGGACGACAATTGAACGTGCGAAACCCGGATCCGAACTAGGAGTAGACTTTGAACCACCATCTGCGGACTACATTATGGGTGCGACCACATCACAACCCAGAGAACCTCCGTACATCCACAGAATACACCTGCAATCAGAAAACTTGGATGTCACCACCGCGCTATGACTGACGAACCTACAACATCATATACAAAATAACAAGGCGTAATCCATAGCACCGACGCACGGCCGTCTAGTTTGTTCCATTACTGTCTTTGGGGGCTCCACGCCACATATCTACTCGAGACACTCCTGTCCGGTTCGATCACATCATTAATGGGCGCCAGCATCTGTGTACACTATTTTTCCTTCTTCGCTGGATCTCTGTTATGCGGCAATGTATATACTTATTTAGGGGGTGTGGGAGAAGAACAATATCAGAAAGGCCTTACGGCACTCGGCAGAAAGGGGACACACCTTGCCACACCTAATGGGTCACACCGTCATGGTGTATGGGGATGGCGGAGTCGCAATAGGGATTTGCTGGTAGACTAGTTTAGTTGGAAGAGATGGGACTGCTACGCGTACGTGAATGCGAGTAGCTGCATCACCACTCGATGCTTGAATTTAGAAATTACTTGTCAATTTGTGTTTTAGGACTTTCGTTCCTGCTGTTCATTTGTCAACGGCGATCCGAATCACCAACCCTGGCGATATTGCGTCCCACCAAGACGCTAAGAAAGGAGACAACCAGCACGACATGTCGCATATTACACGATTTACTTAAAGACAATCTCGTCAACCGATCCCTTGTCACCATTGTCCCCTCAAACATCAGGATGGATAAACTTCCAGCAGAAGTCCTTGCCGAGATAGTCGACTTGCTTCGCGATGACTATTCGGATCTTTGAAGCATCAGTTACACAAACAAAGAGCTGCAGGCGATTGCCAACAATATCTTATACTCCCGTTACGTGCTTGACCGTCAGGACGCAGCGTTGTTCATCCGAACACTTGCATCAAATCCCAATCTCCAGCGATGCGTTAGACACATTATGTGGAACAGTCCCATCCATTGTTCAGGTGCCTTCAAGTTCCCCCGTAGGATCACGGAAGCCGAGTTCCAGCAGATCAGCGAGAAAGTGGGGAATTGGTGGGTAGTGAGATTGCGTACTGGATGTAATTCCTACGGGTTGAAAGGGTCTTTCGCTTTTTTTTGTATATGCAAGTAGGATATTAGGTAGCACGCGAGGACGTATTCAGCAGCAACGCGAAGTTGGTTGAGGTTAAGAATTGCAGTTGAATGCAGGCTTTTTGTGTCCCTCACTACTGCTAAGATGCCTTTGTTTTTGCTTCCTCTGTACAGACTGTGCTCATTCTCTTCCTACGTACATGCTGCTCAAGATGCGTTACAAGAATATTACAGAAGTAATCCATTGCACGGTTATTGAAGCCCGTTATTTTCAATATATACATGATCTGTTGTCCGCTGAATGAGAAGAGACAAACATAGAAATAATGTCGCGACAATAGCGGTAGCATCAGACGTGGTGCACTTGACTGCGTGGATACCAAATCACGCAGATCCCTGTGAGGCTCAACTGCACACGCGCCACGCGTTCTTGGGCCCACGTACCCTGAATCTCGACCGCAACACCGACCCCATCCACGTTCCCCCAACCTGGGACCAGACCTCACATTCTATTCCACTACAATCGCACAGTTTCTCGGTTGCCCATCATGAGCAAAATGTGGGAGGTGGATCCGGAGACGCGGAGTAAGGTACGTTGCGCCTTCTACAACCCCAAGGAGGGGGGCTGTTAGGGGTCAATTGCGGCGTGACGGCAGCACAGGTGATGAGTCGAGCATGCGCATATGACGGAGACTGATCAATTCCGTACGCAGTTGCTCGAGATACAAAAGACCAACGACAACAACAAGTGCGTCGACTGCAATGCGCCGAGTCCGCAATGGGTATGCAACCGCCCTTCCTCCACCTGCGCACGCGATCACCGACTACACCTACTAAGATGAAATGTCCTAGGCTTCGCCCAAGCTCGGTATCTTCATGTGTCTCTCCTGCTCGGGTGTGCACCGCGGTCTCGGTGTGCACATCTCCTTCATACGCAGTATCACCATGGATGCCTTCAAAGGCTCGGAACTCGTGCGCATGGCTGCTGGCGGCAACAAGCCCTTCCAAGACTTCTTCAATGCACACCCTTCGAACACGAAAGACGGACGCACATTCGAGGCTTCGTCCATATCCGAGCGATACGATTCGGAAGCGGGCGACGAGTGGAAGGAGAGACTCAGCTGTAAGGTCGAGGACAGGGAATTCGACAAGGCCAACCTACCCAAGCGGTTACCCAAAAAGGACAATGCATCTACAGCCGGCATGGGCGCGCCCTTGAGCGGACGCGCCAGCGCAGCCGGAAGCCGAAGCCAAACACCCCTAGGAAAGACACGAAGCAACGACGCAGGCTTCCAGCGATCGGGCTCCCCCGCCCTCGGCACCAACGCCATGTCTGGTCAGAAAGTGAAGAACGAAGCCTACTTCGCCAAAATGGGCCAGGAGAACGCCAACAGACCAGACGGCGTTGCGCCAAACCAGGGCGGAAAATACGGCGGCTTCGGCAGCGAGCCGGATGCCTGGAAGAAGGACGATGAGCCTGGTGCGCCGCCTGCGCTGGATGACTTTCAGAAAGACCCCGTGGCTGCGCTTACCAAGGGCTTCGGCTGGTTAGGCGCAAGCGTGAGTAAAGTAGGCAAAACGGGGTATGAAGGCTGGGTGAAACCCGGTATGGCAAAGGTACGACACCCCTCCTCACAAACCACTACAACCCTCTAACACCCCCGCAGCTCGCAGAAGCAGACCTCGCAACCCAAGCCCGCACCACCGCCGGCACCCTAGGCCAAACCCTCCAATCCGGCGTCGCAAACGCAAACACGCAATTCACCCGCTTCGTCGAAGGCGACTCTGCACACCCTTCTTCCTCCCGCGCTCCGTTGTCTGGTCAGCGTGAACCTGAGCGCAAGGACTTTTGGGAGAGCTTCGGTGCTGCGCCAACGGGGCCAGCCAAGGATAAACAGGACTTTTGGGATGAGTTTGGGAATGCGGGGGAGACGAGGGCGGCTGGGGGGATGGCAGGGAAGAAGCCGAGTGGGATTGGCACGAGTGCTATGAAGAAGGGGAGTGCTGGTGGTGGGGGGATGGGTGGAGCTGGAGGGGCGAAGAAGGATGATGAGTGGGGGGAGTGGTGAGAGGGTTGTCGCACTAAGTGAGGCGTTTGGGCGTTGGATACGCGTGTGGGTTGGGATTGAGTGGGCTGGGTACGTTGGTGGTTAGACAAAGTATAGCCAGATTTTGCTATTGGTTTGTGAGCAGTGCTTCATCTTTACCCTTTGCATGTGGCTTTACCTGTATCGATGGATCCCAATATGGTCCATGTCACGGGTCTCAGGTACGCTTTTGTGCTATACTCATCTTTCATCTGAGTTCACTAAACTTACTCCATGTAGGGTGCCTGTCGGTCATGCCTGGTCCGCTCCTTCCTAGGATTACTATCAAAACTGCACTTTCCAATTGGTCACTCTCACCGATTTCATGCCTTCCTTTGCTGCGATCTCATATCACCTGGCCACCTTCCTCAGTTGAATGTGACTGTCACGCCGCTGCAACTCCATCCGGTACTCAACGCCATCTACGCCCTCTCCTCTAGAATGATCGAGCCTTTCGCTTTGCACGTATCTAGGGAACCGAAGTCGGAGATGCTTGCGAAGATGGACGAGTGTAATAACAACCATGGACCTGTCGCTGCTACATCTGTCCAATGCTCTTCCGTCATTAATCCAGCATTACGCTATGTCTTGCTGTAGCATCGAGTGCGACTGCCTTGCTTGCTGACTTCCTGCCTAGCTCAACCGTTCGCAGACGCCACAACTTCGTCATTCCACCACACCAAGCGCAGCAACCACACGAGATGTACTGTGTACCTTCCACAACCCACGGAAACTACCTTCTTCAACCACACCCCGGTGACGAAGCCCGAGACCTGGCTTTAGCGCGTCTCTGAGACCATTATAATCCCACTTCCTCTCCCGTCTCTCCGTTTCTTCTTCACCCAACCACTCAACAGCAACAGTAACATTGGACAGTTGCTTCTCTTGCACCGCTTTTATACTCAGTTGGTACGTCTACCCTTTGCTTCGCGTCCTCACCTTTGGTCTGGACCACGCCGGCACCCCAGATCCTCCAACTCCCTCTTCCATCCGATGCTGCTCAGAGCATATATACCGACATACCACAGGGTCACATCATACTTTTGAACTAAAGCCTCAGTCGAACTCCTGTCCCGCCTTCTGGTTGAGTAGTTTGCCTCGTCTTGCTCTTCATCAGCAAGTGTTGACGCACATAGTCCATCTTTCTTACCGATCTGAGCCGTGATCGTCGAACTGAGCTGCGGTTGAACTCCACTGCCAGTATGTCTCCTCACCTTCCTCCTCCCTCTTCTTTCCGACACAGTATGAACCCTCATTGACGCAAAGCAGAGCTCCCCGACCATGCCTCGCCCCATCCTCATCGTCGCGAGTGCAGTCCTCGCACTCTTATCTCCCCTCGCTCAGGCCAAGGACAAGAGCGAGATACGCACGTACTTCTTCACCAGTAACGACTGCAATGGACCAACAATCGGCGGCAATGAGGACATCAAGGTCAACCAGTGTCACGAAATTGTCAGCGGCGCCAACAGCATGAGGCCTTCCACGAACAAGCACCAGGACTGGGTCAACCAGATCAACAGCGGAAAGCAATATTGCTGGGTCGCCACATACAAACATCACGGCTGCCAAGGCTACCCAACAGTTTCCGAAGAACTCCCTGGAGCCATCAATGACTGCATATCTCCAGACGAACAGTTTCTCTCGATGGTGTTTGGATGTCGAGAGGAGAAGCCAGAGAACAGTACGACGACGACCGTCATTGTGGTACCAAACACCACCGTCACTGTGATACCCACCGCCGACACCACAGTCACCATGTTTGTAACCCCAACTCCCGCCGTCATCACCGTGGTTGGGACTGCTGGCTATATCACAACATGGATGCACGCCGGCAGCTCTTTCACCAACTATGTCTCGACTATCCTGACGACTACCCTCAAGACTGTGTATCCTACGCCGACCACCGTTACTCGAGTGAACGATGGAACTACGACCGTCGTCGTGGGTCCAGGTGCCATCCAAACTTCCCTCGAGACTATCACCGTGCTTCCTAGCTCTCCAACCCATACCGTCACCGTCTATGTCGAAGACAGCCACTACCCGCGCGAGCGTCGCTTCGACCCTCAGCCCGAGGCTCACGCTCTGGAGCCACGCCGAAGGAGCAAGTGGAAGGGCCCTCGGATTGGTGTCTGGATGAAGCACCCTTGGTCTCAGGCGGTCATTTGCTACGAATGCTACGCCAAAGCTCCTGACAATACGTGGAAGTTCGAGTGTCGCTCTGGACCAAACAACCCCATTTCATGCAAGGGCCCGATACCTGATCCAAAGGAAACCGTCACTGTTACACATACTCCAGATGTCACTGTAACCCAGGGTGTAGCGATCACCAGCACGTCAGTCGTTACGGTAACAGCTGGGCAGGCGTCGCCAGCGCCAACCGTTATCACAACGATTATCAGCGACAACCCAATTCAGTCAATGCAGACCATTACGCTCGGCAAGAAGGAAGCCGATGTAGAACGCCGCTCGTTCCACAGGGCCGTCAGATTCACCCACCCATGGTATCCTAATACAGAGATGTGTGCAGATGCTGAATGGGAGGAGCGAGGATCGAAGGGGTCAGAGATCCGGATCCAAAAACCTAAGGAAGACATGAAGAAGTGCACTCCGGCTCAGCAAGTGCAGTACATCGACGCCAATCCAAAGACGGCCACTATCGAACTCCCTTCCTCTACTGTCTCTATGATCATCGGCACCTCCACGGTGTATCCTCCGTCCATCGTCACGGTCATTCCCTCTCCTCCATCCGTCGTCACAGTCATTGGCTCTCAACCCGTGGTTACTGTCACCACCATCTTGGGTCCTCCCACGGTCACCGTTACGACTACCTCTACACCATCGTACATCACGGTCACTCATGCCTTTCCTCCTGAACCCATCACCACCACGACCATAATCGTCGCCCCTGAGCCACCTTGCACCACCGAACCCTACTCCATCACAACCGTCTACGTCGACCCTGAGCCACCGTGCACCACCACTCCCGCACCTGTTTCCATCGAAACCGTCTTCGTGGACCCCAGGCCGCCTTGCGACACCGTCACCGTCGTCCCCGGATCTGCGCCCATGAGCTACACCACCGTCTACTCAAAACGTCAACAGCTGCGTGATCTCTGAGTTGTTGGAGGAAAGAAGGAGGATTGCGTGGGGCTGAAGATGACGTCGAATCATGATTCTGATTGTATTGTTCAGTGTTGTTTCGTTAGTTGAAGTATGATTGTTGGGCCCAAGGCCACCAAGTTGCTCATATTATCTTCTGTTGTGACATTGATACCCTGTGCATGTTTCGCATCGTTTGGCTTACTTCTATTTTCTTTTCGCGCTCCAACTATTGGTAGCTCACGGTCTAACACCTGGGAAACACCTCGCTGGCTCTTTGCCGTTTACCCCATCTTATTCCTCAGATGAGTATATGATACATCGTTGACATTCCCGCCACTTCCTCCATAACATTCCACTCCCAACTAAAAGAACGGCGACGAAGAGACACTCGAGAACAGATCATCCCAATCCACCAGATCAAGCTGAATAGCATCGTTCACATGAGAAGAATGCTCTTCTTCCCTTAATACATTCGAAGGCAAAGCCTGCAAAGTCTCCACCGTACTCCGACCACTTAGACTACTTCCATTCTTCTCTCCCGTATCCCCAACATCCCGATACTTCTTCACAATCTGCATGAGCGACTCATACAACTTCGCCGCTGCAAGTGAATCATCCCTCGCATCTGCTACCATACGCAGTCCTTTCGCTAAATCGCCGTCTTGCCGCAACTCAGCATGTAGTTCACCGGACCCATTAAGGCAAGCATCCATGAGCAACGCGATAGTAGCAATGAATATACTATACAGCCCCGCCGGAGGCCGTTGGGGCCGCCTCGCAAAAGGATGACGCGACAGCAGTAGTTTCGACTCGAGGTATATGAGTTGACGAGCCGAGTACAGACAAGCAGTGCGCGAAGAAGGCGTTGTTGAGATACTCATCGACGCCGACGGTCGCGTGAGGGAAGTGAGATGTAATTTACAGCGCTGAGTATGGATAAGCGTGTTGAGGAAGTAGGCTTGGATGAAGACGTGATTGGGCTTTTCGGGCGAGAAGGTACTGTCGTAGTAGTCCAGCAGGAAGAAAGCGGGTGTCTCGTGCATTAGTTCGACGAGTTGGCGGTCCATGGCCATGAGGTGGTCGGAGCGTTGCGTGGGGGCGGAGGTGAGTTGGTCGACGAGGAAGCGGGAGATTTCCGCCAGGCGGATGCGTTGGAGGAAGTAGGACATGTCTGTTTGTTGGGAGAGGGGGAGGGATGGTTGGGGTCCGGTAGCGATGAGGTCTATGTCGTTGATGTTTAGGGGCTTGTTGACGTGGAAGTGGAGGGGGTTGGTTTGGTATACGCCGCCGCTGGGCCCGCCGTATCGTGCTGCGAGGAGCCTGGGCAAAGCTGTCAGTCAGCCCTGTAGCTTTCATGTACCAAGTTCTCGAGAGGCGACGTACCAATCCGTTGCGATCAGGTACCACCACACACGACGGCCGACCTCTGCTTTGAGTGTCTGGGCCGCATCGGCATTAGATTCGTGGTCGATCCGATGGAGACCCATTTCCCGACATAGCAATAAGCCCGTCGATATCAAGGAGCGATATCGTAGCGAGACACCTTCTATGTTGCACAGGACGTAGGACAGGATAATGATGCCTTGTATAGCCTCCAGAGCTAGCGAATGCCCCTCTTGCAAAGTCTCAAGCACAGTATATGTGGCTTTGATCCAAATGGACGTTTGCGAGCGCGCTTGGGTCGAAGATAAGAATAGGGGGCGTTCTCTGTTCAGTCCGTCCGGTACACTCCATACATGTGTTGTATGAGCGATGATGCTTAGCAACAAAGCAACCTTGCTGGGATCGGTAGGCTCATAACTTTCAATCGGGCGGTAGATCTCGTCGAGAATCGCTGGTAGGGAGGGAGTGTGCGTTACGTGCTGAATGTAGTTGAGCTCGGTGATGTAGATGTCGAGAAGTATCGTAGCTTCTTCCTTTAGTGGTAGCCATATACATGGTATTAGTCTACCGAGTTGCGTCGTGTAACTCAGTGTTGGTGGTATTGTGCGGATCTGTCCGATCTTGAAGGCAATGTGGTTTGTGGCAGGCAGCTCGAAAGAGCTCTGACTCATGGAGACGCCTTCGAGATGTTCTACCATGTCTCTTGTTTTCTGAATACCGGAGGGTTGATCCATCTCGATTTCGTCTCGAGCGGTTCCAGAAACGAAGGCCGTTCGGACACTTTCGCTGCTGTCATTGCCCGCCTGTGGAGGAAAGGTAGTCTCTCGTGTAATACGTTCCTCCAGCTCCTGCACACGAGCCTGAAGCGCATCTATCTCAGCCTGCATGTCAGGTTTTTCGGTTGAAGATAAAGGTGTCTGGAGGCTCTCATGTGGCTGTTGGTGTGTGAGCAGAACCTCGACCGAGACGGGTGTCTGAGGGCCTTGAGCTTCGCGTGCCGCCGGCGTAGGATCAAATTGACACGTCTTTCCTCGCGACCTGCAACTTGTGCATGGCAGCGGTCGATCACAGCGAATCTTGCGCGATCGGCAGAAGTTACAGGAGTATTGTCCTTTGCGATTGGAACGCTCTCGCTCGCCAGAAGCTGGCATGATGGTTCTTGAAATCTTGGTAGACAGTCACAATGAGAGAGCACTGGTAAGGAATAAAGGAACTCACTCTCTAGACTGGATACCTAGGTAGGAAGATGGTTGATCACATGAAGCATGTCTGCAGGTGAGTGCCAAGCATTTCGCGGGTATTCCGCGGAATACCCGTGGACGGAGAAGCGATGCTGACAGCATATTCCCACCTGGGTACTACGCCATTATGGCCACAGAGTCGATCGTCGAAGGATTCAGGAAGAGGTAGATCTGAAACGGATTGACCCTGCAGACGTCAAGGATTTCATAGGAGCGTATTTTCCAGTGCATTGGGAGGGTAACGCTTTAGGATCTCCATCGTACGGGCCTGCTATCCTTCTCTCTGAGATATGCATGAGTCGATCTGGAGCTGCAAGGGGTACCGGTAATACGGCCGACGCTATCAAGATTTATGTAGTAACAGGACAGATGCAGATAGTTGGATTCAGTGATGTGATGCGGAAGTGGGCGAGCAATGGCAATGGTAAGACCGGAGGCCGTCATTCGCACCAGTCATGCTCGCCAAGACATAGCTACTATCTGACTCGCACTCGAAATAATTCCATCTGCAGCCACCACATCTTACCCTCCACCAACACACCAATGTAACCGATGTCATTCATCCCCCGCCATGCCTTCCCGCAAATCCCGTCGCTGCCTCGGTCCTACTTCCTGGGCCACCACAAAGCTGGCCTGGCGAAGATGAAATCGCTTCTCTCCTCCATCGACCTAGTAATCGAATGCCGCGACTACCGTGTCCCACTCACCTCGCGCAACCCGTTGTTCGAGGATGCACTAGAAGGAAAAGAGCGAGTCATTGTTTACACGAAGAGGGACTTGGGCGGCGGATCGCGCGATAACCGGAACGAAGATGTCATTGCGAAATGGCACCGTCCCACCACAACCATGTTCGTGCGGAACGGGAAAGAAGCCGAGGGCGAGATCAGCGGACGGAAGAGCGTGATCAAGCTCCTGGATATCCTAAGAGAACATGCGCAGAAGAGGTGGAAGCTAGTCGGCCACCGCGTCATGGTAGTCGGCATGCCCAACGTGGGTAAATCCACGCTCCTCAACGCCCTTCGCGCACAAGGAATCGGTCGAGGAAAAGTCGCAGCCACGGGAGCGCAACCAGGTGTAACGCGCAAAGTCAGCAGCAGCGGCGTGAAGATCATACCGAGTGAAGACGACATGGAAGCAGCGGAGGCAGCGGCGAAGAAGAAGCTTCAAGGCGTGGGCGGAGGTGTATATCTCCTCGACACACCCGGTGTTTTCATCCCGTATGTCCCTGACGCAGAAGCCATGATGAAACTAGCGCTCTGCGGCTCCGTCAAAGATACCATCATCGCGCCTGTTATGCTCGCGGATTACCTCCTCTACCACCTCAACCTCCAATCGCCGTCGCTATACTCGGAATACGCTCCGCCTACCAACGACATCATCGAGCTCCTTACTGAGATCGCGAAGAAGACTGGTAGGCTGGGTAAGGGCGGGGTTATAGATACGGAAGCGACGTCGCTGTGGATGATTCAGAAGTGGAGAGGTGGGCATATGGGTCGTTTTTTGTTGGACGAGGTGGATGAGAAGAGTTTGGTGAAGGCGAAGATTGACGAGGAGGGGCTCACGCCTAGTTTTAATCAGGCGAGGAAGGCGGAGAGGGAAAGGAGGAGGGAGAGGAACAAGGCGAGGGGGGAGAAGTAGGATGGTGAGCAGGAGTGTTGGGGGCGTGTGGCACAGTTCCTGCAAAGCGTCTAGTACGCATGTTTAATGTAACCACGGCCTAATCAGATCACGGCTTTGAAGGGATTTCTATGATATTTGAGCTCTACAATCGTCCTATACCGCATCCAGGACAAACGATGGTGCAATTAACCCATAGGTTAGACCAAAATCCCCATCTTACAGCTCAACAACTTCGCGAAATCACCACTTTCTCCATGCTATCCTTGTTTCACATCCTTCAACCAGATCTGGGCGAAATATCTCATCTTCTCATCATCGAATCAAGTATATCAACGGACAAATCCAACAGTTGGAAACTGCGACGTAGAATACGAAAGCGTAGGTTACCTTCGACATGACCAAACTCAGCTCGATCCCCAGTCGGCATGGCCCAGAAGTGCGACTCTAGCCGCAAAACCCCATACCGCGTCACACAACTCCTTCCACAAACTTCCTCCTTGCATGCCTTACCACGCTCCAAGTCCACCAAAAGGCCAGACTACGCAAAAAAAAAAAGAATACGCTCAGTCTCTTAAACAGCACCCACTGGACCCCCCACAGCCGTATTCTGGAGCACCCTATACGGCGGCGGCTCATCGTGATAAGGCGGCGGTTCCTCTGTATGAACAGCCATTTCGTACACCCTCGGCGCAGCATCCAATTCGTGGTACGCCAGCGGCCCAGGCCCCGCTTCGAATGGATTAGGAGGTGCGGTTGATGAGGCTTGCAAATCTGTAACCACCTGTACGGGCTGCGTACACGCGATACCAGACCATTCTCTATCTGCGCATCGGCCTGCGATTTCGATTTGGAGTTCGTATTCTAGATTTAGGCCGTAGCTAGTGAAGCTAGGCGCGATGTTAACGTCCTTTGCGAGTTCGATGTTCGCCACGTCGAGCAGATTGAGGCCGTCGTAGAGGGGTTCGCCGTCACCTGTTTCGTACTTGTGGTCGCAGAGGACGATGGTACGGCGTTCGGTGTGGTTGGTTACTCTGCTGGGATGTTTGAAGAAAGCTTCGTTAGGTAAAAAGACGTTGACCTTCGCGTTCAACTGCACTTTGAGTCGCCGGATGAAAAGATCGGGAGGGGAGGGCAGTGATTCCGAGCGTTTGATGTGTTGCACTGTTACGATGACGGGAACGAGAGAACCGACGACCAGGACGTTGGGTGGAGTGGCGAGGACATTGAATTGGGCGTAGGGGATTTCTGCAAAGGACTCGATGCCAAAGAGGAGTTCTTTATCGTAGAGTTTGTCTTTGAAGCGCCCGAGCTTACTCGAGTTCTCGGCGTAATTGGGGAGAAGTTTGCGTGTTCGAATTAACTTTTGGCCGGTGCAGTGTTTGGGTAGTTTGGTGCCGAAGTTTAGGTCCGGTTGGAGGAGGGAGCGGTCGTAGGAAGGGGCTGGAGGCATGTAGGTGATTTCTTGTCGGACTCTTACTGGTGGCGTGCCTGGTAGATCTGACTCCATATACGCTTCTAAATGGTACACGACCCGTGGACTGGTGGGCGTGGGACCATCAAGCGTTGGAGGTAGAGGGAATCCAGGAGAATGCTGGAAACGGGGGTGGTTCCATTGGTCCCCTGGATGAAGCCATACTCTACCAGCGGGAGGAGGTATCGTAGCATGATTTCCGAATGTGAAGGTGAAAGGCAGCTCGACTCTGGGTGGACTTTTCGTGTTGTTGGCGCGAAGGTGAAAGTCATCGTATTCATTTTCGTGGATATAGAGGAATTGCGAAAGTCCATAGAACTCGAGGTGCACGCTTCTTCCGTGGGCATCTTCAACGGCAGAGAAGCCTTTTAGACTTATGCTTATGCGTTTAGGCTGGAATGTGGGCACCACGATTAGCTGGCCTTGTACGCAGTCCCCGCTTGTGTAGGTTGGTGGCGGATTGGACACTTCGATGTAGATGGGATTGTCTCTGCGATTAGTTCGGCTGCCGCTCGCAGCAATTGCCAATACCATGATCAGCTGATGGACGGTGGACGACTATACGATAAGGATAGGAGAATAATTGTGGTTATGGAGAACAATGGCATTGTATAAGGCTGCCCACGGGGTCAAGTATCGACGGCGACGTCGCTTCGCTGCCGCCCCTGTTCCTCGGGACCTGCCATACCAAGCCCTAGGGTGTCACGAGTTAGAGCCGAAGTTCCATCTTGGTATTCAAACCCGGGTTTGATTGACCTGGACGCCCTACGAGCCTAGAGACCCGCGTATCAACACCGCTGGCTCAGCCTCAATGCTTCGACAAGGAATGTTTGCGAGATTTCCCTCAAATCTCCGACCTTGAGGCCTGCCGTGGTGTTGCAGGTGTCTTGCGCGATGACGAGGCGCTTTGGGGTGATGCTCATTGGTGGTGTTGGCGGCCGGGGTCGTGCCGTCATCGATGGAGGGCGCGACTCGCGACTTTTTGACCCTCTAGCAGCGAACATTTGAACGCCCGTCCCAACCAACACGGCCAGCCATGTCGTCCAACTACACCTGCACAGCCTGCTCCAAGGCCCTATTGAGGTCCTCTACGTCGCTGCTCCAGGTACACAGCCACCACCCACTCCCCAAAGCGGATATTGACTCTCGTAGCGAACGAATAGAGCGTCTCTGCGCCAAGCACGTCGAACAATCTCCACCACCTCACCCACCTCCTACCATGCGTCGCAAACGCTGTCAGCAGATGTCAGGCCCGAAGCAATCAAGAAGCCGCACCCAGCTGTTGCGTCGGGCGTGACTGGCCTCGCCCAGAAGCTGCGCGAAAAGGCACCATTGATGACCGAGACGTACGTCGCATATGGCGCAACACGAGACCTCATCAAGGAATGCACAAAGCCGGGTGAATACAAGATACCCCAAGCGCTGCTAAAGCGGGGCGAGATACCGGTCGACGAGAACGGTGTGCACCTGGGCGAGGCCGAAGGGTGGTGGTATGACAGTAAGTGCTGGAAACAACAATACCCAGACCCCCGCTAACATATCTTGCACAGCCCTCGGACTAAAGCCGACGTTTTCGAATTGGGCCCAAATCACCTTCATCCACATGTACATGCTGCAAGTCCGCTTCCGCATGTTCCCCCAGTCGCACGCGCCAGTATGGATCCAGCACCTCACCAACCAAGCCTTTTACGCGGCCGAGGACCGCCTGGTCATATGGCACAAGTTCAACGCCAATTCGCTGCGCCAGAAGCACCTCAAGGATATGTTCTCGCAGTGGCGGGCGGTGCTGCTGTCGTACGACGAGGGGCTCATGAAGGGTGACGCTATGCTTGCGGCGGCTATTTGGAGGAATCTGCTTGGCGCAAAGGAGGATGTCGACTTTGAGAAGCTGGCCCAGATTGTGGGGTACATGCGGAGAGAGCTCAAGAGGCTGGACAGTGCTACGGATGATCAGGTCGCGGATGGGACGTGGACTTTCCGTGGTAGCCCGGGAGAGGAGGCGCCTGTTGTTAAAGCGCCGAGTAGGATGATGACAGCTGAGACTTCGAAGGCGTGAGGGACGAACGGCACAAATGGAATGTAAGAGAAGAGCTATGTATCAACACCGTGTATATATCTTATGAGAGATGTGATATGGAAACAAGCCTATTCACGTTCGTTCAGATTTACTCGTGCTCCTGCATACTTAAGTTCAGCGCCTTTTGCAACTCCTCTTCGTCCTCACCCTCAGTAGTCGAAGCTCGGCCTTTACCTTTACTCTGATGATGCGCCTCGAGAAGACTCTGCTTCTTGACATACTCCATCACAATCTCTTCCTCTGTCTTTTCTTCTATCGTCTTTTCTCTCCGTTCTTGCGCTTGGAATTCACCTTGCGTGGTACCTGCAAGATGACCAGGGTCATACGAAGGGGGTCGTCGGGCGCCTGCTGGCCCATTACTCCTGCCAGCTGCCATTTGTTCTGATGTTCCTGCCGTCTCGCTATCCAGATCTTCCCATCTATCGTCTTCGCTCACCTGACGCTGCTCTTTGAGACTCTGCGCGATGGCTTGTTTCAGCTGTTCTTCGTATTCCAAAGCTTCTCTTGAGTGTCGCTGAGCTTCGGCTTCACTGGACGACATCGCCTGGAGTAATTCGGCACTGGAACCTGCTTCAGCGTCTGCGCATGGCGTGTTTTGATGTGCTTGGTGGATGGATCCGTTGGTATCAGTCGCTTCAAGCGGTGCTTCGGGACCGGTGTCGGCAGCATGCGAATCATACTGTGATGTGAGCGCGGCAGTTCCCAGATCTTGAGTAGACTCATCCACAGACCGGACTGGACCCGCCGTAGCCCCATCATCCCGATAAGCCTCAGTATCATCCGCCTTTCCCCGCCGCTGTGCATCCAGCACATCCTTCATCATCTCATCAAGTCCATCTTTCTTCTTCAAATACTTCTGAATCAATCTCCACCTCTCAATAACATCCTCCCTCTCCTTCTCATCACTCTGCAACCACTCCTGATACCCCTGCGCCGTCCTACTCGTAACAATGTACGTCTGCACACTATTCCCAAACCTCTTCTGAACCTCCTTATGCACCCCCTTCATCATATAACTCGGTATCCCAAACAGCGCCGCCCCCGGCTTAGCTATGAAACCCCCAATACCCTTTCCTACCCCCTTGAAGAAACCACTGGTACCTTCTTTCTGAGCACCCTTCCAGGGCTGGGTGAAGAGGCCGGTGACGCCGTCGTACCAACCGAAACCGAATTCGCGGCCTATGGCGACCATGCCGGATTTGAGATCGGTGACCTTTTCTTGGGGGCGGACGGTGGTGTCGTTCCAGAGTCTGGGTGCGTTGTGGAAGCCTTTTGTTATGCCAACGGAGAGTTCCATGGGGGATTGGACGCCGGCTTTTACGATGCGTCCGAAGCCTTTGCTTGTGCGCAGCCCGGTGGGGCGCAGCATGTCATTGTCCTTGTTAGAGCTGGATGCTAAGCTGTAAGTTTGAGATGGCGACGTGGGGAGGTTTGGAACGGTCTGAGAACGAGCAAGAGGTTTCGATGCGATTGCACCCGACTGGCGGTGTTGTTGTGAGCTTGATGAAGCGGAGCTCTCTCCTACAAGCGACGACTCGCTTCTCTTTGCGGCGTTCCGTACTGATGTGTCAGACTGTTGTCTACCAGGTCCAAAAGGGGCTTGAACAGCCTTCGCCGTTTCTGAAGGCATCTCAGCTATCCCCATACTCATGCTCCCCAACGTCCTAAGTATCCCCATACCGAATCCAGAGATAGGATCCACAGGACCTTCATCAGTCTCATACTCTTGTGGCCTAAAGAGCTTGAGGTCATGGAAATCTAAAAGATTGGCGTTGGCCAAAGTACAGGCCGCAAAAGCGCTCAGTCTAATTTGAGTGCGCTTGATGCGCCACACGGCCACTCGAGATGGTGCAAGGGTGCAACGAAGTCGGTCGGGATCGAGATACTGGTGGAATGACTGGGCGCCAGTGTCGCTGCCTCTTTCCGTAGCGATCTTGCTTGCTAGGTCTTTGGCACGCTCGAGGCTTTCGGGCTTCAAGCAGAAGTTGATGGCATCTGCTAGTTTGTCCGCTGTGAGTTGTCGATAAGGAATTGGATCGGGACCGGCACCAGCTCGCGCGATCATTGCGCCCCAAAAAGGCTGGTCTCCGAAGAACGGAATAATCAATGTTGGTCGGCCTGGAATAGAGATACCAAGTTAGCTTTTGGCCCATTTGAGTTCTGTAGGCGAAGAATTTACCTGCTGCAATGCCTGCCGCTGTAGTCCCCGCGCCACCATGGTGAACAACGCATTCGACGTGCTTGAAGAGCCAGTCATGCGGCACGTTGCCCAACATGAACACGTTCTCAGGAATACGAAGTTCTTCCGCACCCATGCCTCCCCAGCCCTTGGAAAGCAGTACACGTCTTCCGCCTGCAATCCTTGTCGTGGCCTCGAAGATGATTTCCGTCATGGCGTTCGGATCGTCCAAAACAATACTTCCGAATCCAATGTATACCGGTGGTGGCCCATCGTCAAGGAACTTCTGCAGCTCAGGAGTAGGGGTATAGTTAGAGGCCAGATTCAGAAAGTAGAAACCAGAGATAGATATATGAGAACCCCAGTCTTTTGGTTTCGGAATAAGAGCTGGAGACCAGCAGTACGTATGAGGAACTTTGAGGCGCTGAAGCATTCCTGGAGCCCAGATCATACTCACGGGCTCTAAGCCGAGACATTTGGCTCGAAAGCGGTTCATGATGTCGCCCAAGCCTTGCCATGAAAGGGCTTCGATCATAGCGTAACTGATGTAGTTTGTGAGTTGGGTGTCGGCATTGGAAGACTGGATGTTCGCCAGAGGATGAGGGAAAGCCTGGGTGGGAGAATATGGCATGGTGAACATGATATGAAGGGGTATCCCCAACTTCTCAGCGCAATGGATATGTGCAAAGCTCGGTGGGTTGGCAATGATACAATCCGCAACGAAGGGAAAAGCACCAGAGTCCTTTGCAGAGCGATCCGAACTGTCGTCGTCGGTAGTTCCATCACCCGTTTCGTAGCACGATCGCCAGCAGCCTTGTATGTATTCCGCAACATCTCTTCTTCGACGACCGACATCTCCACTCGCTAGACTGCGAAAACCTGGCATCAACCCGGGATTCTTGACCATGAAAGCCATCAGCTGAGAGGGATCACCGCCGATGCTGAAAAACTCTAGACCGTTCTCTTGCACGAAGGCCTTGAAAGTAGGATGAGTCGCCAGGCGTACGCGATGTCCATAGGTCTCTTTCAAGACTTTACCGAGGGCGACAAAGGGTTGTACGTCCCCGCGCGAGCCGACCACCTGGATAACCACATTCAAGGATGGAGGTGGAGGAACTCCTTCTTTACCTCCTAATGAAGGTGGAATATATGCAGGGGGAGTCGGGCTGTCATCTTGAACACTTTGAATGTGCTCACGCAAAGCTGGAGTAAAGACTTGAGATAACCGACGGTTGAGCTGGTTGATGCGGATGTTAACACGGCCGTCTTCGGTGACGCTTGCGCTGGTGCCTAGGCCATCTTTCTCGTTCCGAATCTCGCCATAGATGTCGCCATATGGAGGAGGTGGAACTTCTTCGTCTGTCGCATCGGAAGTGATGAGGTCAGTCGTTTGTGAGGGGGCCTCTTGTCTCGTTGATCCTGCGGTTTCTGTCTGAACGGCAGAAGCAGCAGCTTGTGCTTGTTGAAGCATTGCATGCTGCGCATCGGTACTCGATATAGAGGTTTCATCCTCTGGGTAAGGTTGCGTGGTCATGGTGTCAACGAAGGAAAGCAGATTGCACAGTTTGGGTCGTCCCAGGCAGGTGCAGCATCAGTAAGTACTCCATTGTCGAAGAGCGATTTACGCCCTGGTGGCTGAATAGACCCAGACATCGCATGAGTGCATTCGCATATACCAGTCCTCAACGATGATAAAGTCATATTAGTGGTAAGCCTTGCGCGTGCGAAGGATGCGTATGCGTTCGCGAGAGGCTGAGGCAGGACCAATTGGGTAAACCTTGCGAGCTGAACACGGGAAGTTGGACCCCGTAATTACGTCATTATCATCAACAGCCTCCTTGGGCACGTAAGCATCACCCAACTGCGGAACCCATGCCATGATTGGATATTTATCAGGAGCATCTTGCGAATTCCAGATTTCAAGCTCATATGTATACCAGGAACTAAGGTCTAACATCAAAACAAACATTGCACCAGACCGAAAAACAAGCTTGTCATAGCTAATGTGCACAGCGCATACCAAACATCATGAACACTCGCAATCGCACCACCAGTGAAATCCGCTAGTATGCCTGTGGTGGTACTCGTCGGCTGCCCAAATCCGCCGCTACCGCTGTTGATAGAGTTGCCATTGTTGCCATCCACGGTAACAGATGCGGTGATGGACATCGAACCCTCGACCACAACGATAGGTGTTTCTCCAGGGGTGAGTGAAACCTCGATCCCACCAATCGTTGTCATGGCACCAGGCATCAAGGTTTGACCGTTCGGCAGTAATAAGCCTCCCCCATCAGTTGCAGGAATGAAAGAGAACCCAGATGGAAGAGCACCAGCAGATATCGTTGCACCCCCAAGCACCACGCTGCTTGCTGCTGCATTGATCGCTATGGTTGTGGTGCCTGCAATCAAAGCGGACGAGTCGCGTGAGATGGTCATGGTGCCGACGATGGTCACCTCGCCTGGCTCAAGTTCCGAAGCAAGCTCGCTAACATTGACACTCGTCCCGTCTACGGTCACTACAGATGGACCTGGTAGTTGGGTAGTTTCCTGTAACGAAATCGTCTGGGTGCCGCCAACGACTACAAAAGAGCCTGAAATGTCTCTGGAAATTGGTATGTTGTTTATAGTGGTCACTTCGCCTGGGTGGAGTCGTGTAGCAACCTCACCAATGTTGACGGTCGTCCCACCGATTACCACAGGTGCTGGTCGAGCTGCCGGAGTCGGTGGAGGAAGCCCGAACGTCACAGTACCATCTATGACAACGAACGAGGCGGAGTTATCGAACGAGATTGCAATGTCGTTGATGGTCGTATGCTGTCCAGGAATGATCATGCTTGCAGCACCGCTTATCATGATACCCGAGTGAGACGGCCGAACTACAATAGCGCCAAGGCCTGGTAGAGACATGGTCTGCATTTCGCCAGGACTGGGGACCATCGTGGTAACCGGAGGATTAATGGGCAATGCAGGTATTCCACCTGATGGTTGCACAGGTTCTCCTGGCATTGGTCGTACCAGACCACCAGACGTCGCTATCGGATTACCTGGAGGCGTACCCTGAGGTATTGCAGGAGCAGTGAATTTTACCGATGAAATTTCCGGTCTGCTCGGCTGATCATTCGATGCAGTAGGAACGTTATCCGAAGGTTTGAGTTTGGTGGATCCGGTCTGGGTACTTGGCAAAGCCTTGCTAGACGTTCTTCTCTCTGATTAGCTATAGACATCAACAATATCAATTTACTGCTTACGTGGGCTCTGCCAGGGTCGGCTGAAAAGTAGCTGGAATGAGATAATCGTAGTCGAATAGTGTTGAAGCAGTGATTGCGGTTGCGGTGAGCGTAATGACAACATCAGATCCCGGCAGCGTCATTGTTGTGACCTCAGTGTAAGTCACCGTTTCTATTCCAGTCGGGCAGACTGTCTGCGTTTTGGTTGGAGCTGGCATACTGGCAATGGAGCTGTTGAAAAAACGGGGTGTCCTGTGCTCTGTTAGTATATTGCTAGTGTAGCTAGGAAAAAACTCACGTGAAGGATGCCGCAGTAGTCGTTTCCGCCCTTTTATCAAAACCCACACCAGCTGTTTGTCCCACGTGCTCGTATCTGGTTAATGTTGTACCGTTGCTGAACGGAGTTATGTAGACATATTCAATAAATCCTAATGTCACTATAGATGTTTGTGTCGATGGCTCGCTTAGTACGGTAGAGATAGTAGTCACATAGCTGAGACTGGTGATCAGTGCGGTACATTTTGAAGTTGTCGTGGGGGAGGAAGCAACATTCGCTGCAACTCCAGGATCTATAATCTATAAGTCCAACTGAACCTACAGGGTAACTTGTGGACCGGGAAAATACCTGAAAAGAATAGAGCGACAAACGTGAACACTCTCAACCGGTATTGTGAGTACATGTTGGCTATGGGAAATCAGACAGTGGAAGACGCAAGGTCGTAGTGACTGTGTTCATCGGTGTCGATGGTTATATTGTTTCCTAAGCAAGATGGGGGTAAGTGGTGGGAGAAAGCAGGCTAGATGCGATGCTTTCCATGCTGCGGTCTTAACGATGGATCTGATATTGGACGTTCCTCAGGCCCTGGTTTGGCCCCCAATGGTCATACAGCCTGTGATTGGTCGAAGTCCGCTGCATTGTCTCAATCTGGAAACACACAATAAACCTTGATTGCTTCTGCAGGACGCATGACCTATCAACGATGGTGTTGTATTTTTGGTCGTCGGAAAGGACGCAGTCAGCAACTTGAAAGTTGATTACATTCAAGTACAGGTTCATTCATGCATGTGGGGTACTGTCTTCCTACCTTGCCCTCAGTCTCCAACATTCGCGAGATAGCGTTGTTCATCCCAGCCTGGAGGTTCCCGCAATATGGCAGGAGCGCTCTCACTTGCAGCATCGGGGGGCTGGTTTGGTAATGACGGCAGCTGGTCAACGTATGCCTCTTACACATTAGGAAACTGTGCCCATACTTGTGCTGACAATCGTAGCTTCCTCGTTCAGGTGGGAACGCCACCACAAACATTCAACGTGTTGCCTGCAACACAAGCTGCAAACATCTGGCTTCCTATCGCTGATGAGTGTGTGAGGCTGCAAAATGGGTCGGCGTCGTGTGGCAGCTCTCGCGGTGCGATGCCTTTCCAACAACGTCCGAGCCCTGGGTTTCAAGCGAATATGTCGTCGACCTGGAAAACCATCGGTCTCTATGAACTCGGAATGGGAAGAGTCCATGAGATCAATGGAAACGGGCTCCAGGGATTCGATAGTGTTGAAATGGACAACTTCACAATGGAGGGTCAGGCGATCACCGCCTATGCCTCGCCCGGTTTCTGGATCGGTCAGATGGGAATATCGCTATTGCCACTCAACTTCTCAGAGACAATCAGCTCACCATCTTTGATCTCAGCTCTCAAAGATGATGGTCACATACCTAGTCTAGTGTATGGATATCAAGCTGGTGCCTCATATCGCAAAACAAGAGTACCCGCCAGTCTCGTTCTTGGAGGATACGACCTTTCGCGTTCGTCAGAGCCTTTGACGGTCGACATTAATTCCGACGTGTCCAGGGCGCTTACTGTGGGACTCCAGGATATCATAGTGATCGACTCACTGAATGGAACGCTGTCGATGGTTGATAACGAGCGGATATTAGCCCCGATCGATTCGTCTGTTCCTGAGATATGGCTCCCCAAATCTGTTTGCGACCGCTTCGAATCTGCATTCGGGCTAGAGTATCATGAGAGGTCTGGGAGGTACGTTCTCACGGATTCGGCCCGGGATCGACTTCGGGAACTCAATCCTACCTTGACGTTCACCATCGGTACCAATGCGGTGACGGGCGGCAATACTACTATGGTTCAACTTCCATACGCAGCCTTCGACTTGCAGGCAGGGTATCCAATCTTTGCGAATGCGACGAATTATTTCCCGATTCGAAGAGCTGATAACGAAAGCCAGTACGCGATCGGCAGGGCGTTTCTACAAGAAGCATATATCGGCGTTGACTTCGAGGCTGGCACATTCAATGTCAGCGCAGCAAAATGGGACGATCTGAAGCCTGAGATTGTGACAATATCAGGTAAAGATAGTGATACCGGGGCGGCCAAGGAGCCAGGCCTCTCGGGTGGTGCGATAGCTGGGATTGTTGTTGGGTGCGTAGCAGCAATATCGATCTGCGTCTTATGCATATGGTGTCTGGTCCTGAAATCCAGGCAGACACGGAGGCCAGATACGGCGCTGGTAGACGACAAGGCAGCGCACGACGCGCTGCACTCAACTCCGCAATTGGTAGGAGTGGCTTTCCACGAGCTCCCCGCTAGGCACGGCGACAGCGAGTTATGGGAGGCGAAAATGGTACCTGAACTGGGCAGTCAGGAGTGTGCGCACGAATTGCATCCGGACTGCGTTCGATGAAGGAGGGCTGGTGACGGCTGCCAAAGAAGGGAGGCGTGATGACGAAGAACGTTAGTGTGTTAGCTTCTAAGGCTGTTGCGATTCTAGTGCGTTGCGCCAGCTGTACATGACCTTCCTCTCAACTGACATTTCTCACAGATCTTGAGCAAACAGCTCTCTCTTCTTTCGCCCACAGAACCACCTCATACCAGGAAAACATTGAACACACACCTTATTAAAATCTACATCACCTTGGAACTTGGTTAACTCTAGCTTTTATGCTAATGTAGACGGCAGTGCATATCTTTGGTTTTTCCCTTGTATGAGGTGGGAAGTGAGCGACCGGCGCGCCCTTCAACCTCGTATTGCATCATAGCTTCTCTTCCTACACTGTGGTCCGTCAGAGAAGGAGTATATACCTTCTTATATCTGCGTAATCTACACACATACATCATTCAGTTGACCTATCGAATTAATTATAGTGATAATGCGTCACATTCATACCACTTCCACATTCGCCCAATCCACATTGCTCGATGATCGAACACGACGACCTCCACTAAGCACCGGCTAAGCTCTGTAAGATAACAAGAAGCGATGAATGAATACTACGTGGCAGATCGTAACTCGGTACTTCGTTCACAACACGACCTTCCCGGTCGCATGGGAACGGGATCATATTTCTTCTCTTGATCAGCGCAGCCTGTCACACAGTTCTAACGCACAGACATGGCGGTCGATCCGCATACTCTCACGCTTTCCACCGCTCTCGAAGCTCGCTATTCACCCTCTGGCGAGAAGTGTGCTATTTGCCAGGAGTTATCAGAGGACGCGCCTCCTGTCTACGATCCAGCAGATGAATACACATCCGATACAGATTGTCAGGCTAACTTAGAAGCAGTCGTTACGAAGGTCTGTGGCGATAAACACTTCTTTCACCGAATTCGCATCGAATCGTGGTGGAAGTCTGCGAGTCCCCATCTCAACACTTGCCCTGTCGATCGTACATTTTGCTACGGTGACGTACGAGTACCCCAGGAGCCTGTCAATCATCCTACGTATACTACATTCCCAGGTCATGACCCACATGCACACGGTACCGTTCACTTAGATGGAACGGATGATTACCTAGGATCTCTTTCAGCTGACGATATAGATTTCATTACCCGCGCACGAGACGAGGCATTCAACTCGATGCTTACTCCGAATCAGGTCAATTCAATCGGTCCATTGGTGGACAATCTGCTTGATCGTGCAATCGAGACTGTGCAGAGGTGTGGACCCGATTCTGGTAACAGAGTTACGATCGAATACTACTTGGATGGTCGCCTGCTTGCGGGAGGGCTGGCCGCAGGCTATATCACGCGCGAAGAACTAGACATGGCTAGGAATATCACCGAGAATATAATGATAGCAGCTCTGAACCGTACAGCCATACCGCATCGAGCGATGGAGGATGTGCAGGCCCCTTTCACTGCCAATCCACATGTTTCTGACGACATTTTTGGGGAAATGGTAAGAACTGGAGCCGACGAAGCCAATTCTGATCATCACCAGCGTTATCAACCCGGCCACAACGGTTTTATGGTTTACAGGAATGTACGCATTGAGCTCCAAGCAGAAGGACCACAACATTACCTTGACACTATCGCTCATATGGTTGGCTTCTTCGACGATGACCAAGATGATTCTGGTGGCGGTGACATGGGTTAGGATTCTGTCAACGAGCATGGTAATACCGTCAATGTCAGCTACATTTGGTCAGTGACTAAATTGAGGGACAGTGACCCTTTGTTATCTTTATGGCATGCACCACTCCAAAGAGATATGGACGTGGAAACCCTCTTTGGTCGGAGAAGATAGATACTGTTGCCAGAAGTACTGGGATGAGTAAAGGTAGTTTTGATCGTTGATGAAATATCGGGTCAGCTTCTTCGAACTTCAACAATGAGATTGTCGTAGATAGGCAATGGAAAGAACAAAATACATATAACATGCGTGTGTTATCAGGGTGAAGCTGAGTCATCCCGTGAGGTAGTTCTTAAGACCTCTACGTGCATATCGCTTTCTATGACCGTGCGCCTCGTCACAGATGCTAGATACCGTAATCCCCGCAGTCCGAAAATTTTCCGGATTTATCCATCGGCTTTTATACCTGGGAGAAAAGGAGGATGATAGGAAGAAGGCAAGCCGGTGGGGAACATGCGCACCTCATACACGGCTCGACTCGAGCTGACAACCCCACCCCGCTGCCGCATCCGGCAAAGCGCCAGATCCCGCTCAGGATGGCTGGCTAGCCTCCCAATAATCTCAGCACGTCACGAGCACGAGACGGTGTTCTAAGCCTGCAAGCCAAATCGCAAGAAGATCTTCGACTATTTCCATCCCTTGCAGCTCCGATGGCTATGGCCCCTTTGATATGTCTCCACTGAAGCGTCCGAGTGAGGATGCGGACCATGAGGATGGGCGCCGACCTGCACCACGAACGCCGAGAATTAGAGCTTGTAAGTCATGGACGCGCCCCACTTCATCGCTACTTCTATGCTTTTTCTTACAATGCGTTGCTTTAGGTGCCGAGTGTAAAAGACACAAAATCAAATGTGAGCCTGTCGACAATGAAGCAAAATGCGCAAAGTGTCTGCGCAGCGGAGCGGAATGTGTTCCTTATAATTTGAACCAACGGCTTTTGGATGAAGATGCTGCGTAGGTTCATGTAGCACACACTTCATTTCATCGTCACTAAGTACTTCAGCTGGAAATCAAATGCGACAGCCGAGTTGTCGCAGCTGCGGTCTGCGGTGCAGCGTCTCCTGCAGCACAACAAACTCCCCGGCTTGGATAGTCCAGTTAGTCAAGATACGCCGCCGCATTCAGCAGGACGCACCATGACCATCAGCCCGACAAACGTCATGTCCGAGAGCGGACATGCCACGTTCGTTGTTCCGCCGCCCATGGATATGACGAGAGATACCTCTGTTGAGCCCGAGTCCGGAGAAGAGTCTGGCTTAGTGACAGCGCCCATGAAGAGTTTATACGACCTCACCCGGATCCGGAACCTTCGGAGCAGCGTGCGATGGAAGCCTAGCTCCAACTCTGTGGAAGAGGACTTTATAGCGCAAGGCATTGTGTCTTTACCGGAAGCTGAGGACCTGTTCAGACGGTATATGCAAGACATCCGTCTCTATCTCTGGGCTGGTGTACTCTTCCCATATGATTCCTTGGAAGCAGTGCGCCGCCAGTCCACTCTTCTCACCGCGGCTGTGCTCACCATCTCAGCACTACATACGCCTGGTCGAGACGAAGCGTTGCAGAAATGCTACAACATCTTCGTATCATTAGTCTACAGTGCCTTTCTCGCTCGGCCTCAGAACCTGGATGATATACGTGCGCTAGCTCTTGCCGCCTTCTATCTCTCGAATCTAAGCTGGAAGTTGGCCGGCCTCGCTGTGAGGAACGCTGTGGAAATGAATCTGCATATGTCATACCAGAAGCTGATGCGAGGGCATGAAGATCAGCGAGACAACGTGCGTCTATGGTACGCGTTATATGTCTGCGACAAGCAGTTCAGCATCGCATATGGGCGACCATCTATCGTCCATGAAGACATTGCCATCAAGAACATCGAACACTTCCTCGACAGTCCGAAAACGACACCGGGAGATATCAGACTGGGAGCGCAAGTCACTCTGTTCAAGATCCTGACAGAAGCATACATCGCCTACGGCAGCGATCCAGAGCAACCACTGACGGAACCCGACTTCCAACAACTCCGCCTCTTCAACTTCGCCATCGAACAATGGCGACTCGCATGGCAAGCCCGATCCGCCGACAGTCCATCCATCGGATCCTACCCATCGAAAGGCGTAGTGTTGTACTACCACTTCGCCAGATTCCAGCTCAATTCACTCGCCCTGCGTGCGCTACCTCCCCCTAGCGCCGCCACATCGGAATCACTTTCCTACGACCGCCGCGAAGCAGCCAACATCGCCATCACCGCCGCAACCAGCACCCTCACTCTAATCTTCGAGGAGCCCGATCTGCGCAAAGCCATGACAGCAGTACCCATCTTCACGCACACCATGGTCGCGTTCTGCGCTACCTTCCTACTGAAGATGGCAAAGACCTGGGGCGGCATGGCACAAGTGCAATCACCAGAATGGGCAACCGAACCCGTTGGCCTAGGTCTCAACTTCAACATTAACCAAGTACTATCTCTGTCGCGGCGCTCCTCTTCTTTCCTAGCGAAAGTGGCGGAGAATCTGAACGAGAAACACATCACTACGCATATCGTGCAGGGCATAAATGATTTGTTGAAACGGCTGGATGTCGCGGGTACGCCGTCGGGTTCTGTGACTCAAGGCGGCTTTCCGGCGACTTCGCCTGCTACTACGCATGTGTTCGATCCTGTGAAAGCTGCTACTGCGCGCAATGATGAGGGTGTGGAAGTGGGGGCGTCGAACGAGTATAACATGTATGATTTGATTGGTTCTTATGGGTTTGGGTTTGACGAGACGTTTTTGGGTCAGGTTGGGCCTACGAATTTGGATTTTTGGCAGACGGAGCCTTTCTAAAAGGGTGGCATATGTTCGTGATTCGAGAGGGAGCTCTTCTAGCCCTATGTTCCAATACACTTGAGGATCTTGGGATACCTTGTGACAAAAGGACTTCACACGTACTTTCACATCATATCACTCTTGAAGTTATAGTCCAGCCATGTTTGGCGCTCCTGATTATTCCTACATCACATCTTCGTCCAGCCGACACCTCGCATCCAACGTTACGACTCGAGAGTGGTGAAAGGCGGCAGTATCGGGTGGTGAAGGTGGGCGTGCGGAGCTTGCTGGGAAGCCGGGCGAAGGCACCGGTGATGTTTTGTGGACCAAGCTGTGGTTTGCTGCACTGCGAGTAGGCAGCAGTAGCGATTGCTGCGGCGGAGCGGAGTATGTAGGCAGCTATGCGAGTTTAGCAATGCGCAAGGCTGGACAAGGCTGCGCGAGGCTGAGGCTGATGCTCAGAGCTTCCGCGCGCGCTCGAGAGGGGAAGCTGCGACGGTCGTCGGGGAAGTTCGTGCTCTCCATACAGACGGCGGAAATAATAGAAACGAGCTTTCTAGAAGTGAATCATGCGCGTGTCGTCGGCGGGACAAGCAATGAGTGAGTGCATCGACAGAGTCGCGATTGTTCTGCCCCTCGCTACTAGGCGTTGCTGGGGAAGGCGCGTTTGGCGGTGAGGCGCAATTGGAAGGCGCGCCCCACCGTGATTGGCTTAGCCGCGGCCTTCTCTGCGTTTCTGCCGCTCTGTCTAGAAGATTCTCGAGCTCCACCACAGACTATATCAGCCCCAAACTCGACTCCTCCCACTACTTTTTCTTCATCGAATTGCTCTCTCCCACTTGCACTACACAGACATCGACGTCTCTCTGCTTGCTCTTACCCACACGCATTAGAAGAGCTCAGCAACCGAACTACCCCGCCTAACTGTACGTCTTCCCCACATTCGCCTGTCACGACAGCCTAGCCCACCATTGAGCCCTGGCTGACTCTTCCCCTCACAGCTCAACACCCACACAACCGCCACCATGTCTGGGGAGACCTTCGAGTTCCAGGCTGAGATCTCTCAGCTGCTCGGCCTCATCATCAACACCGTCTACTCAAACAAGGAGATCTTCCTGCGAGAACTCATCTCCAACGCCTCCGACGCCCTCGACAAGATCCGATATGAAGCCCTCTCAGACCCAAGCAAGCTCGACAGCGGCAAGGATCTCCGCATCGACATCATCCCCAACAAGGAGGCTAAGACCCTCACCATCCAAGATAGCGGTATTGGTATGACCAAGGCCGATCTCATCAACAACCTGGGTACGATCGCCCGCTCAGGCACAAAGCAGTTCATGGAGGCGCTGTCAGCCGGTGCCGACATCTCCATGATTGGTCAATTCGGTGTCGGTTTCTACTCCGCATACCTCGTCGCCGACCGCGTCACCGTCATCTCCAAGAACAACGATGACGAGCAGTACGTCTGGGAGTCCAGCGCTGGTGGCACCTTCAAGATCACCGAGGACACCGAGGGCGAGCAGATCGGCCGCGGCACCAAGATCATCCTCCACCTCAAGGATGAGCAGATGGACTACCTCAACGAGTCCAAGATCAAGGAGGTCGTCAAGAAGCACTCCGAGTTCATCTCATACCCCATCTACCTTCACGTCCTGAAGGAGACTGAGAAGGAGGTCGAGGATGAGGACGCCGCCGAGGAGACCACCGAGGGCGACGACAACAAGCCCAAGGTCGAGGAGGTCGACGATGAGGAGGAGGAGAAGAAGAAGGAGAAGAAGACCAAGAAGGTCAAGGAGTCCAAGATCGAGGAGGAGGAGCTCAACAAGCAGAAGCCCATCTGGACTCGCAACCCTCAAGACATTACCACCGAGGAGTACGCATCCTTCTACAAGTCCCTCTCCAATGACTGGGAGGACCACCTTGCCGTCAAGCACTTCTCCGTCGAGGGTCAGCTCGAGTTCCGCGCCATCCTCTTCGTTCCCAAGCGCGCTCCCTTCGACCTGTTCGAGACCAAGAAGACCAAGAACAACATCAAGCTCTACGTCCGCCGTGTTTTCATCACTGACGACGCCACCGACCTGATCCCCGAGTGGCTCAGCTTCGTCAAGGGTGTCGTCGACTCCGAGGACCTTCCCCTCAACCTGTCCCGTGAGACCCTCCAGCAGAACAAGATCATGAAGGTCATCCGCAAGAACATCGTCAAGAAGACCCTCGAGCTCTTCAACGAGATCGCCGAGGACCGTGAGCAGTTCGACAAGTTCTACTCTGCCTTCGGCAAGAACATCAAGCTCGGTATCCACGAGGACTCGCAGAACCGCGCTTCCCTCGCCAAGCTGCTCCGCTTCAACTCCACCAAGTCCGGTGAGGAGCAGACCTCGCTTACCGACTACGTCACCCGCATGCCCGAGCACCAGAAGCAGATGTACTACATCACTGGCGAGTCGCTCAAGGCTGTCCAGAAGTCGCCCTTCCTTGACACCCTCAAGGACAAGGGTTTCGAGGTTCTCTTCCTTGTTGACCCCATTGACGAGTACGCCATGACTCAGCTCAAGGAGTTCGACGGCAAGAAGCTTGTCGATATCACCAAGGACTTCGAGCTTGAGGAGTCCGAGGAGGAGAAGAAGGAGCGTGAGGCAGAGGAGAAGGAGTTCGAGGGTCTCGCCAAGAGCCTCAAGACTGTCCTCGGTGACAAGGTCGAGAAGGTCGTCGTCTCCCACAAGCTTGTCGGCTCACCTTGCGCTATCCGTACCGGCCAGTTCGGTTGGTCAGCGAACATGGAGCGTATCATGAAGGCCCAGGCTCTCCGTGACACCTCCATGAGCTCGTACATGTCTTCCAAGAAGACTTTCGAGATCTCGCCCAAGTCCGCTATCATCAAGGAGCTGAAGCGCAAGGTCGAGGCTGATGGTGAGGATGACCGCACCGTCAAGTCCATCACCCTGCTTCTCTTCGAGACCTCGCTCCTTGTCTCTGGCTTCACCATTGACGAGCCCGTCCAGTACGCTGAGCGCATCCACAAGCTCGTCTCTCTCGGCCTGAACGTCGACGAGGAGGTCGAGACCGAGCAAGAGAAGACCGAAGCCGCCGAGGCACCCGCAGCGGCTGGCGAGAGCGCCATGGAGGAGGTTGACTAAGCGCATCGCCCATCTTGACTGGTTTCGAAAAGTTTGGTCGGCGCTCTGATATCCCTTTCATGTGTCATGGCTTTCTTTCACTTTCTACATACACCTCACTTGCATGATGGACGAAGCTTAATCTTCGATGGCGTCTTAGAGTGGTGGTACTTTATGCATCACGAGTAATGGATATCCCGAAATGTATCTTACGTAGACTTGCCTCTGGGTAGTTTTCATGAATGATGAAATTTTCAAATAACCTGTCTTGACTGTGCTTTTGTTGTGGCTTTTGCTTTCGTGGTGTTGATTCATGACCTTGGTGGTCGACGTGGTTGGGCACAGTTCACCACACCAGCTAGCCATCGACCGTTTCAAGACTACTCACGACCTTCCGTCATCTCTCACTAACTTTGCGCCCTGTTTGAAAGATGTCAGATTTGACAGATGCCAGTTTGGTGATGCGATGGACCTAACAAAGTCAGGGTCCAATCCATGCAACGGCGATCGTCCCGTGTCCGAAAAACAGGATCTCCACAGCCTGGGCCGTTTCGTACCTCCACAACAGCAGGGATGAGAAGCGTGCATGACGTATGACGGAGCGCGTTCAAGATGTCTGGAACGCGATTTCTTGGTACAGGACATAGACTACCAGACTTTGTCCACACTTTCTGCTGTCATTAAGATACCTGACGTTCCAGCACCAATTTCCTGAAGCTCAAGTTGTTATTTCGATATGTCGGCCGTAGACCAGCTCAAGCAGCAGAATGCTGCACTGCAATGTACGTTGGTAGATGATGTAAAGGATGTAAGCTAATGCGCGCTCAGCAAGTATTGGAAACATCTCCAAAGTCGCTGGATCGACTGCAACGAAACCAGCCTCTACGACACCAGCGAAGACGGCAACATCGACTGCTAAAGCTACCCCTGTGAAGAAGCCCGTTGCGACGGCGACGGATACCGCAGGATCAGCTGCTGCACCAGCGAAGAGAGTACCGAGGAAGCTCAACGCAGCGGGCGCATCGGCTTCAACACCAGCAAAGAGCACGCCTGTGAAAGCGACTCCAGCTGCAACCTCAACGCCAGTAAAGAAGCCGGTAACCGCTGCATCAGCGACGAAGCCCGCCTCTACCACCACGCCTGTAAAGAAGACGCCCGTCACCGCAGGCAAAACACCAGTCAGTGAAGCATCCAAGCCCGCCCGCCAACGTACCCCCCTCGGCACCACGAAGCCCCTGCCCATACGCAAGAACCCCACAACAGGTGCCGCACAATCACAGCCCGCCAGCGCAGTCAGCAAGGCGCCCGTGAAGAAGACCACCGCCGCAGCATCTTCTCCCGTAGCAAAGACCACTCCGGCAGCGAAAGCTACACCCGTCAAGCGTACAACCACCAAGGTAAACCCCGACGGCACAGCGCCCACCAAAGTAAACATCGACGGTACCTACCCAACCCCCCTCTCCGTAATACTAGCTCATCCCGCACCAGGCCAACCCACTCCTCAGTCAACTATCGCTACCGCGAAGAAACAGCCGGGCATCGTAGGCAAAAGCGTGAACACCGCTACGGGCACTCTGAACAAAACTGTTGGGACGACGACGGGGGGTCTTAACACCGTTACCGATTCTGCTACTACGGGGCTTAACAGCACGGTCAATGGCGTGACGGGGTACGCGGGCAAAGGGCTCGATAAGCTTCCAGGAGGAGTAGGAAAGCCGGTCAAGCATGTAACTGATAATGTTGGTAAGACGGCGACGGGCGCGGTGGATAACGCGTATTACACTGTTGGGTCTGCGACGAAGGGACTGCAGGGCACAGTTAGTAAGACGACAGGGGCGATTGGACGGGGTGATGCGAAGGGGACTGTTGCTGGAGCGAGCAGTGGTGTTGGTATGTTCCCCTTTTCCCATCTCACACTCCAACACCTTTACGTCGATGTGAGCTTGTCGTATATGTCTGAACGCCCTACTAACAATCTCACAGGCAACACAGTAACAGGCGTAGGCAAAGGCGTCGGCAACACCGTCGGCGACGGTCTCGCAGGCCTGGGTAACACTGTCGGTGGCCCTGTCGGCGGCGTCGTCGGCAATGTAGGCAAAGGGGCGAACAACGCTGTTGGCGGCATCACCAGCGGCGTTGGCGACGGCGTTACTAAGCTCGGGAAGGGTGATGTGATTGGCGGTGTGGGCAGTACGCTGGGTGGTGTGGGAAAGGGTGTGGGTGGCTTGCTAGGCGGTATTACAGGATATGGAGAGGATAAGGAGAAATGAAGGTGCAAGGTTGAGAGGTGGTTGGAGAGGGTTATGGAGGAGGAGGAAGTGGAGTTGGATGAGGGTGTGCAGGGAGAGGATAATGAGGTCAAGAAAGAAGACGCTGGAGAGGGTGGTGGTGGTGTGCGAGAAGGGGGGGAAGAAGAAGAAGACGTCGGTGCCGTTGTCGTTGAGGAGGGGTTGAAAGCGGACTCGGTGCATGGCGGAGAGGAAGGTAAGGAAACCTGACATTGTCGCATGTACTTCTACCTAGGTATGCAAATTGTTGTCGTTACTACTATTAGCTTGCCAACATCTCCACACCCATCCATTCAACCCTACGTGATCCTCGAAACCAGAGGCAGGTAGGCGGGTTAGCATATGACCAACATCCCCCCTTACAACCTCATGACCACTCAATACCCCAAGCCACCGGCAGAAACCACGTCACACAGCCTAACCCTCACCCGCCCTCGCTTGGAAACAGCCACATCTGGCACGAAACCTCGCGCTGATCACCCTGGAGAAATACCGCCGAATTCGCTCCTTCTACGGTGGATATACTATACGCGGTAATGTGTGTCACGGCACTAGGTTTGGGGGCTTGCTGTTGTTTCGATAGGTTTCGATAGAAGGAATATAGTTAGGTCCTGTATATTGGGGGATGAGAAGATGGGGCAGTGGGGATGGAATTATGAGAGCTAGGTAATGATGATGCTGTTTGTGGTATGAGAAAAGGGAGAAGTGGATAGCTGCCTGCTGGCTAGTGGAAAATGCCTGTTGAGCGATTTTGCGGTAGACTTGCAAGATCTTTCCATGTACCATGTCCCCGTGGTGTCCACAGTTTAATCTCATAGCGGTCCACGGGTCTGCAGAAAAGGTCGTTGTTATCTATCCGACTGTCCACGCTATTCACCACCCAACACAACGGGTTACCAAGACCCCCATCTGGTTACCCAACGGCCCTTTCCAACGCATTTAACACACCGGCTTGGTCAGAAATGAACCACAAGCCTGCGCCTCTTCTTGCGTCGTCACCTCAGCCACTAACTCAGCACCACGCCGGCGCTTGCCGCTAGCCATCTCGTGTTCTCAAACACACTCACCTGAAATTGTAGTTTTTGCGAACTGGACTTTCGGAGTCCACGCCGGTCCGCGGTGTCATTAACGCAGGTCTAACTGCCCGATATACGCTGCGAGAGCTGTGATAGGGTCGGTTTCGAAACTAACTAGGCTTTCGGGAGGCACGTTGCGTCCGAACTGGCAGGGATGAGGGATGCAGGTGAGGGATTTCAAGGGCTGAAGGTCTGATCGCCGGAAATATCGTGGGCTTGCGCGTCAGGGTGTGGAGGAATAAGCTTTTTTTCGAATGCTTGGTATCGTTCTGACAGGTGTCGAGGAAAGCTTGGTATCATGGCTGGTGACGATCGGGGAGTCATCGCTCCTATCAGCTTGTAGAAAGACTTCTTGATCAGGCGATTTGCAGCCTGGCTTGTATACATGCGCATACTGCTACCTCTTTGCTTTCGTAGCTTCAATCCCGGGCAGCAAACAATTCCCCTCGAGTAAGACATCAGGCAGCATCTCACGACACGGCACACTCAGCCAGCTATTCCCGGCTGGCACACTGTAGCACAACCCCAGGACCCCCAAACCACTCTCGTAACCTTCCAGGTTTGTTTCGCGCATCATCAGCCCTTTTCACGCCCGGGTCAATTCAAGCCACAAGCACAGACGCTGAGAGCGCACGCACCAACCCTATTCCAGCCGCAAATGAGTCGATCAGGGACCAATCCGCCTACTTCCCTTGCAACGTGCACAGAAACGTGTGGCTGAGCTAGGCAATTATCACCGGCACTATCCTCCTCTCACGAAACGTGTGGAACAATAGTGCGTGCGACGACACCGTACCGGTATTCCTTCTGGAGACGGTCTTGAAGCTGGACTTGGGGAACTAGTTGGACTATTGAAACTATTGGCTCGCCGGACCGGCGTATACGCTGACCACCGGTTCCGGCGGCCGCTCATGCAGCGTGAACCCGTCGTGAGACTTGCTTGTGCCTGAGAAAGTGAGATCGCTGCAAGGGTTCGAGGTCGTGTGTGGAATTCACTCACATCTGGGCCTAGCCAGTAAGGTTACCGAGGTTTAGCGCCACGCCAGGTGAATGTAGGCTTGCGCATGCTTGCCTTGTTCCAACGCTCATACCCACGCTTGTTTCGGACGGGTTCATAAGCCACTACTGTCGCCCTTCAACTTCATGTGTGGCTCACGACGATTATTACTTCAAGGTACGCAGTTATTGGAAGGTGAGTTGATGATTGAGGGTGTGTTTGTTCGCTTAATCAAGAGGAGCAGATATACGAGAGTGAGGGCTGCGCTAACGAGGGTCTAGATCGCAGCGAATACATCTTGGACCATATTACCTCCAACCCAAAGCAGCAGGTTGACTCTATATCGTGAGGTTCTCCGCCCCGCCGCTGCGAGTCCAATTGTTGGATTTTCCTCATCTCGCTCGATTCCAAGGCCAGCGATTTCAACCACACCAACAATCCAATCTACCAAACCGCAACCATGCCGTCCACCCAACAAACCCCCCTTCTCCTCACCCTCACAGCCCTAGCAACCACCGTCCTCTCAGCACCAACAACCACCCACCCAACCCCACAACTAGAAGACCTCCAATGCCGCTGTCTCACCTTGTCCACCAGCCGCTCACCAACCCCATGCTCTTACCAAGAGCTCCTAACTCTAGACTGGGAAGCCGCCTTCTCCCTCTCCATCACCAACGCCCTGCCTATCCAATTCGCCGGCCAAACCACCATGGACACCCTACTCGCCATACCCAAGCCCCTCCCGCTTAGCCTCCTGCAGAGTATGCATGAGGGAGGGGAGGTAGCGCCGCTGGATCCGAGCGGCGGGGTTATGAGTGAGAATAGGGTTGTTTGTGGGTTTGGCGGGGAGGTTGAGGGGGTGAGTCGGAGAGGGAGCGGAGGCGTGGAGCAGGAGGTGCATTATGTGGGGACGGTGCTGGGGCTGTTTATGTTGGGTATGATCGTTTGGGTCGCTGGGGAGTGGGTGTGGATGAGGTGAGTTGCTGACACCTTCCGAAAGAGAGACATACGTACTAACATTTGGCATAGGTTCTTCTCAAGGACTGGGAGTATTGTGCTGGAGGGGGATGAGAAGGCTCTAAGAGCTGAGTTCGACGCCCTGACGGCTGAGGTCAAGGCCCTGACTGCGGAGGTCGAGGCTGAGACCAGGAGGATGCCTACGGACTACTCTTGAGGAGAGTCGGCATGATCGACTATCCGGTCTGATCACAAGGCCCCGGCGAGATGTTCATTACGAGGTTCCTTCGAAGCGGTCTACTTTCAGCACTCACATTCCCCACCAGAAGCAAGACTACGGCCGAGAAACGCTCGACCGAGCTCCTTGCTACCCACCCACACCTATTATCAGCCATCGTCCCGGATAGGCGTATCCCTGAAACATCGTCATGCGCACTGCCCTTTCTGGACTCTACTTTCGTCTTTGCAGAGGCCAACACAGCGCAGTACCCCTCCCAGACCATCCAAGAGGCTTTATTATCTGTCTCCGCACGCAGATACGCTCCTGCACTCTGCATCGCGCTATCCCGCACTTCATCCACCTTCATGGGGACTGTTGGGGGACACAAGTCAACACCACACACACACGATGGCTGAGGGACAATCAGCATCGTTGCAACAGCCAGGCGGGGAATACACATGGGTGGTCTGGGATTGGTGCTGAAGGTCTACGAGATTTTGTATCAATAACAAAACGTTACATATATCCAACTCCCTCTTTCACTTTGTCTGCACTCACATCAAGTCTGGGGTAGCTTTTACCATGTGTCGCAGATCGAACAGCTCTGAAACGGTACTGTAGCCGTGTGTATCACGTCAAAAGACTATCACATCAAATACACGCCAATACGTCCAGATTTCAGGCTTGTGAACAAGTTGTGTCTGAATCAATGCCATATTACGTATTACTCTACATAGTATCGTAACCAGTTAACATCGCTTTTACTTCCTAGCTCTAGAAATCCCCTATCTGCTAAACAAGTAAACAAGATACGCAAGCGCGAAAGGGGTATAAACGCTTTCAACAGCTATTCCGCCTATACTCCAGAAGATGTAGCACCAGCCAAACAAGGTCAGCTGCTATAAAAGTATGCGAGCGAGTCTGCGACTCAAGCTCAATGCGCCGACTCAGGGTACGAAAGTTGGACTTTGGGTTCGTAAAGCCTGCCAGATGTGTTAGCACTCCGAATCTTCACCCTGTACTTGAGATGAAAGCAACTTACATGAACGTCTCATACCTTACTCCCCTCCTCCTCTCCCTATTCCTTTCCTCCCCACTCCCCGCATACAACACCGGCTCCCAATCGACAACACTCCGCCACCTCTTCATAAGCTTCCGCCAATAACATGCTTCTGCCGCTTGCGTCAAGTATCTTTCCCTAAACACCTGAACCGAGTTATCCGCTATTCGCTTCGCCTTTTCGGGGTGGTCGAGCAGATCCTCCATAGCAGATGATAAATCCGAAAAGTCGCGTTCGACTTCTACAAAGTTCTGGTTGGAGCCGTTGGAGCGGAAGAGGTAGTGGTGGTGTTGTATCCATTGCAGTTTGTGCGAGACAATTACTGAGCGGCAGAGTTGGCGGTATTTGAGGGAGCCGGAGTAAGAACGGCCTAGAGGGGGGTTGTTAGTATGCAAGACTCTGTTAGTTTTGGGGGGTGTAGTACCTTCAGCGTGCGCAATGAACATGTAGTTACACTGATCCACTGGACCGAGGAATTGCTCTTTGAAATTTGGATCCGTCCATTTAAGTTGACCGACGTCGCTCCATGGCTTGCCTTTTGCTGCATCGAGGAGCGCTCTCCGCAGCTTAGGCGCGAAAGTGATTTTGCCTCTCCAGACTAGCTTCTCGATCTTTTGGTCCCACGACTCGACGGCTTCTCGCTGAACAGCTTCTTGAGCGACCTCATCCAATGTGCCCAGCGCGGGCATGTCCCAGCTCCAGAAGCCAAAGTCGGGTATTAACCAGAGGTTGTGATCTTGGACGCGGCGGGTGAGGGACCAGATCGGTTTGGCGGGTTGAGCAGGGAGGTCTTCCACGGAGAAGACGAATTCGATGTTTGGGATATCGGCGGTGGAGGGGGCGGCGAGAACGGCGCGGTATATAGCGCTGAGAGTGGCAATGGCTTTTTGACGGTTGACATTATCGACCATGTGAGTCTCGAGGATGTAGAGCTGTGATATGTTAGCATGCGCCCAGCACTTTGTTAACTGGCCAAGATTTCACAAACCTCTCTATCATAAACCATAGCCCTCACCATCCCCTTCGTAAGCTCGAAGCTATTAAGATCCGCCTGCGTCACCTTACCCCAACGACTCCGCACCTTAACCGCACGCTCAATATCCTCATATTGCCCCGGAAAAGCGCTATCGCACTGCGCCTCATCCAGCCCATAATTATTCTTATCCCTTGGGTACGTAAAAGTCCACAGGCCATGTTCCTCCAACTCCGTCGCATTAATCGTGAGAATAGCCTGATTTGCAGCGCAATCCAGGCAAGTGTCGCAGGAGAAGGTCGTACTGAATTCGCATAAACAGCGGCCCGCGGGCATGTATTCCTTTACCAGCGGGGGTAGAGAAGGGTTCTGCGTGCGCGTGCCGTAGAGAATGGTGCAGATGATGAGGAAGAGCAGGGCGCATGCCGAGACGAAGAAGAAGGAGAGGACTTCTCCGCCCGTAGGACAGCGGCGACGGTATACAGTCTTATCCTTCCGCTCCTCCACTATCCACATCTTCTTCATGAGCATTGGTGCTAGCGGGATCTGGGCGGCGAGACAAGGAGAGACGGCGGGGGCGGCGGGCAGCGAGGACACGCGAGCGAAGTTGGTCGCGGGTGTCTATATTATCGAAATTGGGGAGCTTCGGAGCGTGGCTGGAGGCGACATGAATGGCGACACTACCAGTATGAATATGTACAAGTGAAAGGGAAGACGCTAGGATAGAGAGCGTCGTGGAAGGACGGGCGCGCGGCAATGCGACTGACTGGCGGAGGTGAAGGGATCCAAAGACGGGTGTGGGAAAAAGAAGAGGGGCAGCAATGGAGACAGCCGGCGGGAGGGATGACGATAGTCGCTTCACGGTGGAGTTGGCATGGTGATGGACAAGACGGGTTGCCCCCAATGAGAGATACGGTGAGGGCGTTGCGGAGTGCGGTGCGCGGCGGGATATTTAGATCGGTCAACGCTTAGTACATTACAGTAGTACATTTGACAGGGGGCCAGAAGGTACCGACGCCTCCCATGCGCCTCGCCTTTGCCTCAACATCTTGTACTGAGTTACTCGCAGACATACTCTTTAGACTCGAGCGCGAACATTACATGAAGATTGACTATAGCAGCATAGACGTGCCCTCCCCCACCAATTCTTCCGCATCAAGCTCCCCCACTACCCCTGCACGCGTTGTCGCGACTGCGATTAAGCATTCGGTTGTAACCGCTGCATTCCCCACTCGCATCGCATCAAGCAATTCTCAGGCCCCCCGTGCCACTATCCTCCTACCTGTGCCTGTGGCTGCACAACCCCAATCCCCCATTGCGTGATTGCATCCGTCGTGAGATGCGCGAACCTTGAAATCACGAACTGTTGAACACGCGCGGCCTCTAGCGCCTGCCAACCCAATTTAGTAAGGTGCGCACGCGACCCACCTGCATTTCCTTGATGTCATTCAAACTTCAGCGCCTCTACTGTCGGAACTATTGACCATGGCAATAGTCTTGGTATCATCATTACATTATACTGCGAGAGCATGCGGATACACCTATTTAGCCCCATACGAGTAGGTACAGTAGGGCGCGTACGTGTTCGCATAGCGCATATACATATACTTGGTTGGTAGCGTCCCGCGGCAGTTGAAATGTAACCGACGTCAAAGCAGGTGTTGATCAATCGGGCATTAAAGTCTTCTGCGTTTGTGGGTCGTAGGTCGTTCCATGGTTGTCACACTCGTGGGTAGTGGGTCGCCGTTGCATGTCTGCATGTCTGCATCTGCGCAAGTGCCGGTGTGGAGTACTCTTACATCATTGAACCATGCTGCGTCTGATGGGTGGAGCACAAGAGAGTCATGGCTGATGTGGTAATGTAGGTTGGGTTTGACGGTGATGGAAAGACCAGTGCATGCGCGAAGGGTGACTGTAGCGTTATGGGACGAGCACTTGTAGTATAGTTACACTCGCTACTACTGAGCACACACGTGTTTTACTTACTCAAGAAATTTCAAAAGACACCTGGTGGAGCTCACGAACATCATCCTATCGACACGGGCGTTATGTCTGCGGGTCCTTTATTGTGATGAACACGCATATGAATGAGGATAATCAAGTCACATATGTCAAGTCAAGGTCTAGCAATTTCAGTGGCACAATAGTCAATCACAGGACATACACGTCCTGCAATCCTATGATAGATTCACACAAACTCCCCACCCATAGGCGCTCAACCCGCTGTACCCATACGAGGAGGCCATCAATGCTACGCATAACTCCTAGATGCGATAGTCAAGAACAAAAGAGACACTAAAAACAGGTAACCAGAAGATCCAGAATGAAGTAAGTGTTTGGCAAAAATATAGATAAAAAGGCTATGTACATGAGAAGCCTGGAGTAATGAAAGAAGCTCAAAAAAGAAGGTAAAGTAGGCAAAGAAGGGAAGAACAAGGGCCTAAGAAGTTGAATCGCTGGGTGCTTCCATAGCAACCCTACGAGAAAGTGGGATCAGCGACCAACAAGCCCTACAATTGTTGATATTGCAGGAGACATGTAAAGATGCCGAATGAGTGCGGCGGCGCTGATCCTCACTGGTATAACACGTCTGCCGTCTATGCCGACAGCACGTGCATATCCTCCTCATCCGCATCTTTGCGAATTCCGAAAGGTTGAAAGGCATTTGTCTTGCCTTTGTGAGCGTGAACCGCAAGACCCATCTCACGCATGCGTTCTGCACCACGACCGGGAGCGGGGCGCTTCTCTTTAGCGCCTTTGCGGTGTTGCTTGCGGTACAGTTTCTCCTTGCGTCGCTGCCTCTTCTTCTCGAGCCCGACTTTGATGTCGATGGCGCGGCGAATGGGCATGTCGGAGCCGTCGGCGTCTTCGTCCTCGTCGAGGTCGAATGGGTTCCTCATGGTGATGGGGGTACGTGGGACGGAGGCTGAGACTGTGGGCGCGGGGCGCTCGGCGATGCCGGCGAAGCGGATCGAGGTGTCGCTGCGCTGACGTGTGGTCGTAGTCACGGGGTTGACGGAGCCGCGACGTGTAGGTGGTGGGGACCTGAGGCGCATTGGAAGTGGAGGAGAATGGTGGCGCTTGGGAGAGTTTCCAAACAGCTTGCGTGGTGGGGGAGAACGGTGCACGGCACGCTTTGTGGGTGGGGGTGATCGCAAGCGCTTTGGTGACGGTAGAGGAGAACGCTTCTTCGAAACCTCTTTGCGGCGACCCCGTCCATCGATGTTGACGGGATCCATGCGGCCATGGATCATGAGATGATCAGTCTCGGAAGCTTTTTCATCCTCGGAAACCTCATCTTCGTCATCGTCAGGAAGTTCGGGATCCGATGTTGGGAACGTAGGATCGATGTCCTGTGGAGTAGGCTTGTGCTTGGCCGCACGTCGACGTTCGAGTGTTGACATATACGCCGCTTCAGCCGGCCTGTCTTCATCGAGCGTACCGCAGACGAAGTCTGTGCTGTCGGGCAGCTCAGGGGTGGGAACGCGGATGTTGACCGGCTTGGATGACTTTCTGCGCTTGGAAGGCTTGTCCATGATCTTGAGACCTTCGCGGCTCTCCAGAGACCCGATCGATGATTCAGATACGGTTCGGTGAGTCTTCAGACGAAGCTGTTCCAGATGCTCTACAGATGTCGCTGCAGTTGATGCTCCAGGTGCCCACCAGTCGTAGTCGGACCCGGCATCACTGTCATCATCTGAGACGGCAAATCCATTTTCATCATCGGTCTGGAAGCCCTCATCAGTCGCATCGCTGTACGCGGCATCGTCTTCGTCCTCGTCGAGCAGATCATCATCGTCGTCATCCATTTCGGCGTTGTCCTCATCCTCGTCCTCGTCCTCTTCGTCGATGGCTTCCTCCTCAGCAACCTCCTCGCCTAGCTTACGCAGGTTGTTCTCAATCTTGAGCGTGTCCTGAACTGTAAGCCGGCTTCGATGGCAGGTAACTTCTTGAGTCCACTCTTCAACCTCCTCTTCTGAGCTAGCAAACTCGTGGAAGCGGTATGCTTCACAGCGGGCAAGGTCGGAGTTGGAACTCAAGCGGCGCGTGTGGTCAACTGGGCGGACCTTACGCACGCTCACCGGAGAGTTGTTGCGGACCGTAGAGTCAGAGTCGCGATGGACTTTGGTGGTTGGCTTGGGAGACGAGGGTATCCGGCGTGGTGGCGGTGCGGGGCTAGCCATGCGGCGGGGTTTCGCAGCTGCTTCTGTGGATGGCTTGGACGGGCACGCGAACTTGATGGTGCAGACGCGCTTGGGAGGTTCTTCGGCCTGAGGAGCAGGCGCGGGCTTTGCAGGTGCCTCTGCAGGCTTCTTGTCGTCCTTGGGCCCGCATGCAAACATGATGCGCCTCTTCCTTCCCAGAACCGCCTCGATGCTCTGCTCGGTGCTCTGAGCAGGCGCGGTCTTGGGTACTGGGGTGATGTTCTCGTCGTCGTGTGAGACCACGGAGATGGGTAGCTCCAACGGTTTGTTGTTGAACGTGGGCAGCATGCTGTGGAACGCTGCCGAGGGGAGAGGCGGGCTCGGGGTGCAGGGCCGCGTGCCGGGGCTCGTGAAGCCTCCGTCGCTAGTGAGATCTGCCGTGCCACTGTTGTTACTCCATGTCGAGACGCACGACATGCCGCGGACGGGGCTCGCATCCGAGTGGTCCTCCACAGGCGAGCTCGCGTTCGAGCCCGACTTGAGCGCGGAGGTAAGAAGCGATGCTTTGCGATCTATGACCGGTTTCGATTTGGTGAATGATGTGGAGGAATGCTGGAGGACCAAAGGCGCAGGGCGTTGCGCGCGAGGTTCAGGGGGTTCGTCTAGGTCGCCCACGGCCTCCTCCTCTGCTGTCATATCTGGCGGACATGTATTCGACATGTTCTGTTGTGTGTTTATTTGTAACGCGCCCTGTCTAACAAAGTAATCCTGCTCGTTCGCCATGTGTTCTGTAGTCGGTGGTGTATCGATCGAGGAACGTGCGTGGGGTCGGTGCAAGTCGTGTACCAGATTCAATTGCTGGGTGCGAATAATGTTTCGAAGTGATGCAGTGATAGTGAAGTTGTGTGGTCGTGATGCAAGCGGGTGAGGCGTTGAACCGATTTGTTTTTGGCGCAATGCACCTGCCGCAACGTTCCTGGACCCTCGTTAGAGCGGGAGGCGTGCTATGTCGATCGTGTCGAGTGCAATGCAATTAGAGGCGGTTCGGCGGATTACTGCTGGGCGGTATGGATGGCTGTGTGGGAGAGTGGGGCCCCAGTGAGGCGAAGTGTTATAATATGGACAGAAACATGGTGGAGCTGTGTGTGATGAACCTTGGGTGGAACTAGAAGCGGGCTCGAAGACGTGTCAGAAGCGACAAGCGTCGGGCAGTGTCGAGTGGGAAGGGGTACCTGGGGAGGATGAGGTAGAGTTCCCACAGCGACAGCGACGTGTGGCGACGGGCCGCAGGCTAGCAGAGGGCCCGTTGACAAGTGAGCGGTGCTAGGGAGGGTGTAGATCGAAGGCCAAGCTGTGCTGTCAGACGACTACAGACTGCAACAGTAGTGGCGCAACGCAGGTGGGACTTGTTGTAGGAGAGAGGGAGCGAGGAATTTGATATGCACTTTGGCGGCTCGGCACCATCTGGTCTGCAAAGCACAAACAGTGGGTAACCGGCATTTTAATTCGCGCCCACGCCCGCGCAGCCAATGCCACGCTTGGCCTTTGTCAATTGTGCACTGGTCTAGCGATGCACCTGCTCCCGTGCTTCTCCCAAGCCAATTCACGCTGCCACACTTCCGTGACACGAGCCCTTTGGCCGTCAGATTCGGCAATCTCTGCGCGCAGTCATCCTCACTCATCAATGAATCAATGAACTTTGTTGCGGCCTTTGTATTGCCTTTGTTGTCGCCTCTGTCCTTCATTATTGACTTCATCCCCTTGTCAGTGCGGAAATGACATCTCGCGACTAGAATACTCCAGAGTACGCCAAAGCAGGTTTCATGCTTCCAGCACAGCCGATGCAAGACGCAATCGAGCAGCGCAACCCATGCCATGCTTCTTTCCGCAGGCTTCGGAAGTAGGACCCTGATCAACGCGACGCCGCCGTAAGCCGTAGAAGCTTCAGGGCCGCTTTCCTGTCGAAGCGCTGCATCCCGCCGACAACGCCAACGCTAGCCATGCCTCACACCTTCTTTTGTACCATCTGTCCGACGTCGCATGCATCAACACGACCACATGCACGCGCAATCTGCATCGCTGCTCTGCTCAACCCCAAGCACGGCGGCTCACTTCAGCTTTCCTCAAATGCCTCATTTCTCGCCATGTCTCCATTTCCCCTTCCTTCTCCCCTCTCACAGCTCCACATCGCAGCTTCATCTCTTGCTTCCACCTCTACACCGCTACTTGACCGCTTCTCTTACATCCGCGCCTCACCTTAGTTCTAAGAGGACGCGTCTACGCTGTAGAAAGTAGTCCATCATCTGACTGTCCATGGGCCGCGCCGCCATCCATTCAAGCCTCAAGAACGGGATACCGGTTTAATCCACCGTGCTCTGCCGCCAATCTGCAGCTGCACGATACTTGTCGTGCATCGCCGCATGCAGTGCCCAGCAAGAGGGTCCATCTCACGTCTGGGGTTTCGTTCGCTGACACGCAGTCTACCTACCAAACCCATTTCGCCAGCAAGCGCCTCAGCCGGCTTCAAACGAGCTTGTTCCAATCGCCGGCAATGTATTCGCGGGGAAGGTAGCCGTACCCCATAACGCGTGACGCTCCTACTTAACTACCCCCACGCGTGGTTTTCGCGCCAATACCAGTGTCCTGCTGTTTCGTGCTCCTACATACGTATCTGCCACGGGTGTGTAGGAGGAAGGTACCCCACACAATTTACCCAGTGTACGCAGCTTGGGTATTACCCGGTATCCGGCACGGCTTGCTACTTGCGGTCAGGCCTGAACAGCTGTCAGCCGTCCTCTCGCATACAATCCTTGTCCCCTCATCGCAATATGACGTAGTTGCTCCCTTCCATCCCGATAACCCGATTCTCACATGCGCGTGATATCAGCAGCGTCGTACACACATATATCGGCGTCCTCCTCTACTGCTACCACGTGTTGGATTGTGGAGAGTACGGTGTAGTTCAAGGTTGCCTTACCTACCCCTCATTTGCTAGTGGACTCGGCAGCGGCGCAGTACTAATGTTGCTTGCTTGCGCCGTACTTGCCTGAAGGGTTGTTTTCAAACTGGCTAAAACGTTAGAACCCGAGATACTTGTCGCAACATGCGAAGAGCTAGCAGTGACAGACTGGGATGTGCTTCACTGCAAATAGACCCTTGATCCATAATAAGCAAAGAGACATATCGACAGTGCAAGTTCGCAAGAAGAATGTATACTGTGCACACCTGTAGTTCTGGTCGTCCACATCTCCGTATTCAAACGCATCACTTGACACTCCCTACCGAACCACTCACACCATCCCGATCCTCCATCTCACCCACAGTCGCACAACAACGTCCCGTCAGGCCGTCCATCCTGCACCTGCGTAGCCTGCGTAGTTAAGCCAAGCCGCCTAAGCTAAACACAACCTTCCCCCCAAGACACTCCTTACTTCAGCCAAGCGGCTGGGCATCTCTCCTAGTCATCTGCTCGTTTCACGACCCGCTGATCGAATGGGAGTAATACCGAACAGGAGACCAACAGCATATAGCACACTGGGGTAAATTCCGGGGCATTTGTGTGAGGGCTAGGGAGTACAATAGGGTATGACAAGGTGTGGGAGGGAGGATGATATGTCATGTTCACTTGCTTCTCTTGTATTGAATGTAGTGCTGAATAGTGCTTCGTGTACCACGCGATATCAACATATTGGAAACAAATGCTCGCTGTCGAAGACAACCATATTGATGCTCGTCTAGTCCCAAAGCCAGTTTGTATGCAAAGGTCTTGCATTTGGGACAATAGCTTGATTACAACATCTACAACTGCATATACTGGCTCGTCATGTACTCCAATAATGCCACCTGAAGAACACCGACAATACACACCCACTACCTCCCTCATTCATCCCCACCAGGTATACTCAACCGCCTCAACTCTTGAATCTGATTCCCCAATTGCCGTCTATCCACCTGCAACTCCTTCCTCCAATTATCCTTGACAAAATCCAGCGTCCTTGCAAACACCAGCTCCCTCTCACTGCGCTCATGCTGAGGTACAAAAGTATCCGGGAACTGCGTCCAACCATGTCTACACCCAGGCGCGTGCCAGACCTCCATGCCTCCATTCTGCCTACTGGGCACATTGTCAGAGCCCGCCTGTCCACCCTGGCGTCCGTCCCAGTCGCCTGATCGCCCATCGCCGAAGCGTACAGGACCGTTCCAGTCGTTGTTGTTCATTTTGTCGACCCAGACGTCGCTTTGTACTGCCAAAGTGTCTTTCTCAGGTAGGACGAGGAGGATGGCGGCGTTCTTCTGGATATGCATTGGGTCGTTCAAGCCGGGGCTAGCTCGCGGGTGCGGCCGCAGTTTGCGTGGGAGGTAGGTTGGGCCCATGATTGAGAACAAGCCCGGTGCTTTCGGCTTCTGCTTGTGGTGGTCGTCTGGTCTTAGTGCGTTGGGTAATGGCTTCATGGGGCGCTCGTGGGGAAGTAGTCGTGCATCAAGCGAAGGGTAGAATAGGAGGAGTGGCAGCATGCGGGGCTGTGCTTGAGGGGGAGGGAGAAGAGAAGGCCACGACTCGAAGGGATCGTCCAGGATCGTGGCTCTGCGGTTTTCGGGCATGATAGGCGACATGGTGTCTGACTGCGGAGGGCCAGTCGTGCGCGACTGAGGACCGAGTGTAGTCGACATGCCCAGCTCAGGGCAAGGCGGTACTGATATAGCCATGTTCAAGGCAATGTTTCCTCCTGCCGAGAAGCCTGAAATCGCAAGACGTGTAGGATCGAGGGTGATGGTATTGACGTGCTCCAGGTGTGGTGCAAGAGGTTCCTTCTTCTTCTTTTCCAGTGCGCCATCCCGTACTATAGAGTAGTACCGCTGAATTTCCTCTCTAAGGACCTTGCCGGCTTTCGAAACTCCACTCGTGTCTAGGATCGCGGACAACACGTCTTCCGCGTCGTGGATAGCGGCGGGGAATTGGTGAAAGGGTCCGATGCGATATGACACGCTGATGGCTACGGCTCCGAGCTCACGCGACATCATCGACGCATATGGGGCTTGCTCCAAAGGCGATCCCATTATGAAGCCTCCGCCTGGTTTCGTTAGCCATGAGTGTTCTCAGAAATATACGAGCTCCGTACCATGAAAATCTAGCACCACAGGCACACGCCATTCCCCAGTCGCTTTCCTGTCCTGGTCGCCATTGCCCTCGAGATCGACCGGTTTCGGCGGAACAAAGACGTAAATGTAGATGAGGTTGCCCTTCCGACTCGGTAGCGATATGAGAAAAGGATGTGGCCCCTTGGGCGACGTGACGTGTAGGATCGAGAGAGGAACGAATCGCGGTATTTGGACAAGCGCAGTGCTGGATGCAGTCAGTGTCGGCCTCGCGCATTATTCATTACGGGATCTCCTACCGCCATTGTATGTGGAAGGGAAGGCGGAAAAAATAGGCAATCGAATGGAAATAGCTGCTCATCGTGATTATGACATGGAGGTAGATAGGGCGACGGCGTTCATGACGCGGAGGACTCGTTGTATGCGGCTGCGTCACGCATTGAGTGCTGAGTGAGCAATGTGCGTTGCGCGTTCACAAGAACTAAGGGGGACGCGGACTGTGTGCCCAGCTGGAAGGCACGGAAGCCATGGTCGGGTGTGACGTCAGATGTTGTTCGCGCTGCGATGCGATACAGGGAGATCGTGCCCTGCCGAAATTGTTGATGGTGTTTCAAGCCGGCGCCGGCTAGGCCAAAGCTTGATTGCGCGAAGCATCACAAGGATCATCCACCGCACCTGGGCATCTTGCCATTAGCACTGTCTTGTGTTAGTTCGTGCCCGATATCTTCCTGGTTCTGGTTCCGAAAACTCCAGCGCACATGGCTAGATGAAAAGAGTCCGTTCAAATGAACGCGCTTGTTGCTACACCTGACAATGTCGAAAGTGTCAAACACCACATCACAAAAGCATTGGCAAGCACATGGAATCCAGATTTACTCTGAGATTTGGTATATGTAGACTAGCTGACCATGATCATCATGCCACATATCAGCGGTACTGCACCCTGCAACTCATATGCAAGGCCCCGAGCCATCACGGAGGAAGTTAAGGCCATTTTTGCGTCATGTCTTGAAGCGTGAATCGTTAACCGGAGTACTCAGCCTGAAGCCGTGAAGGCGCAGGCGACGAAAGCAAGCCGCATGAAGCAGGCTAGCTAAGCACTTCTGGAAGAAGGTGAAGGACTTTGGGAAACCAAAGCAGCTTACCAGGCAGCGGCCTTGTCATCAGCCTCGGCATCAGCAGAGAAGCCTCCTCCACCGAAACCGCCGTCATCGCCACCGAAGCCAGTGTCAGCGGCAGCCTCACCGCCGAAGCCAGTAGCCTCAGCGTCGAAACCACCTGCATCACCACCGCCAAAGCCACCACCAAGGCCATCATCTGACTCATCGTCAGTGCCGTCGTGCCACTCGATGGTGTTGGGATCCTCAGGCATGTGCTCTTGAAGGAATTCCGGAATCCTAAATTCGTGCGAAGTAAGTTAGTAGGTGTGTCAAATGTAGCGCGTTCAGGATGCCACTTACTCCTGCTTGCTCTCGCACAGAATCTTGCAGAGGTCTGGGCCAATGTCTTCGTTGCGGTCGTTGAAGAAGGACGTAGCCTTGCCCTCGTTGCCGATACGCGCGGTACGACCAATGCGGTGAATGTACTCGGTGATACCGTCATGCATGGTTGAAGGAAGGTCGTAGTTGATGACATGCTTGACGTTGGCGACATCGAGACCACGCGCAGTAACGCCGGTAGCGACGAGAATGGGGCAGCGGCCGGTACGGAAGGAGCGAAGAGCATCTTCACGCTCGCGCTGAGTACGGTCTGAGTGAATGGAGGTGACAGGCATGCCCTTATTGTAGAGGAAGTCATCGACCATGTCGCACTTGACCTTGGAGTTGGTGAAGACCAGGGTACTATAGTGACAAAGTTAGATCTTGCGCTCATTGTAGATGTCAGAGGGGCTGTACGTACCGCTGAGGGCCTTCACTGAAGATCAAGTCAAACAGTGCCTGGCTCTTCGCGCTCTCCTCGGCGAAGATGACCTGCTGCGTGATGTTCTGATGGGTGCTGCCAACCCTACCAACCTCTGTACATTGTGAGTGAGCTGTTGGACAGATAAGAGAGTGGGAACATACTGATACGAACGCAGTCCTCATTCATGTACTCTTTCGCAAGACGGCGTGCTACGTACGAGTCAGTGTATGTCTCACATGCATTTCATACAGTCAGGACTTACCTGACTTGGGGAAGGTAGCAGAGAACATGAGATAGGTGTGGTCAGCGTCATCGTTCTGATCTAAACGATTGTTAGTAAATGATACAGGATATTGTCCAAAAAGTAACTCGTGGAAGTCCATGCTGGAATGAATGTGTCGACATACCTGAACCGGCGAACAGCTTCTCCATGGCCTCTTCCCAGCCAGTGGAGAGCAGCTCATCAGCCTCGTCGATGACGGTGAACCTGTTCGTGTCAGTCATTTATGAAGTATCTTACAAGATTGCTTAACTTACTTCAGGCGGTTGAAGGACAGCAGGTTGATGTTGGACATGAAGTCCATCAGGCGACCCGGCGTGGCGATAAGAATATCACAGCCCATCTCGAGCTGCTCGCGCTGATTCCTGCTAGGGGCACCACCGTAGATGACGCAAGGACGTAGCATGGTGCGGTAGCACACTAAATGAAGGGTGTGAAGTCAGTATATGTATCGCATGAATCTCATACCGGGGTACCTACAACGACGCGCCTCGTCAAAGATCTATCATGAAACCAGGTCAGTATACGTCTAGCATGTACTTCGTATGTTGGAGACTTACCTGACAGGCAAGCTCGCGCGTAGGGCAGACAACCAGGACGAGCGGCTCCGCACGGACTTTGTCAGTGAGAGGGTTGTAGCGGACCGGGTTAGGGCGCGGCGCAGCTAGTTGACGGGCCTTGCCCATGAGCTTGGACAGGATCGGGAGAAGGAATGCAGCAGTCTTGCCGGAACCTAAGTAGGATTAGTCGGAAGGAGAGTGAGTAGGAATGAGGTAGCTTACCAGTCTGTGCAACAGCAACGACATCGTGGCCAGTCAGGATGGACGGGATGCAGTAAGACTGGATCGGAGTCGGGTACTTGTACTGGCACAATTTGACGTTGTCGAGCATGACCGGGTGGAGACCTGCATCCTCAAACTGACAAAAGTTAGCAAAAACGTACGGGAAGAGCTTCAAGCTGATTTTTGGACAACTTACGTTGCGGACGGGACTGATCTTAGTCGCACTCTCAATAGTCACGTCAAACGAGAGCGCCTTGATGGCACCACCGGCGCGCTGGAGATACTCATCGGCAAATAGCATCTTCTCGAGCTCAGGGTTAGGCTCTCCAACATCGCCGAAGTCGTCGTCCCACTGGTAGATTGCGGCGTCAGAGAGCCAGACGGCTGTGTCGCGGGTCTCGTCTTCAGCGGGAGTGCCCCCAACGACGGTGTCATACTGGAAAGGAACTGGGTTGTTCCATCCGGCTTCTTGGGCCCGTGCAAGATCTTGGGCCTGCTGCTCCTTGCGGGCGGTGCCAGCGTTTGTTGCGGTCGCCTCCGGGACGCCTACGTCAGACATGACGAAGGAGGGAGAAAGTAGAGTGTGTAGAAAGTGTAGCTATTGCTTGAACGAGGTTGCTAATTGGAGCGTGGATGAGATTTGGGTATGTGGGGTAAGGAAGTTGGAGGTTGCGGGGAGAAAAGCTCGTGTTGTTTATATGGACAGAAAGGGTAGGAGCTGTGCGTAGTAGCGTCCCTTAGCGCGCTTTCCACAGGAGATACTGGTGCCTGGGTGACCACAACAATAAGCGAGAGGCCAGAAGCTTCCACAGCTAAGGTGAGCGAGGATAGGTGAAGGAGAGCGTGAAGGAGGAGCCTATGTCTGCCCAGTGATATCAAGACGATTTCGATGATGTCGATGCACTATAAGATGACACAGTAGTCTTCTGGAAGCTAGGACGAGTAGACTGTGATCTTGAATTGAGCATGAACGACTCGACTCAACTTGAAGAAGTAGCTGGCCCATGTGGTATCGAGCTCTTATATCTGACACGCAGGGATAGCGGTGAAGTAGCGCTCGGGGTGGTAGAATCAAGTAAGAGGACTGATAACAAGGACACAGATGGTGAGCTCCTGAAATCAATGACCGTCGTCTTGACAGTGATATGTTGGCAGCCGCCTAAATGAACAGACGATGTACTTCCGACACGTTTAATATAATAGAGTTGTCACACAATTATTCTTTGGAAGATCCACGTTCGCAACGTAGAGTAGCAGCTCGCACCCAAGCTGAAGAGGTTTTTCTACGAAAGGACAAAACTTGAAGTTTTCGCTGACGCTTTTCTTGTACAATACCAGGAGTATGGAAGGATCGTCGCTGGGAGCAGCGAATAGCTACAGGATCGTGTCCGTCTTATATCAAGTGACAGTGTACATTTCCCTCTTGCAGAGTTCGTAACAGCCGGAGCACTTTGCGAACATGATAACTGAGACGTGACTTAACAATGACATAAAGGAATATTGACAGGAGACGGGAAAGATGCAATGTGAGATCCGCTTACATGCGAAAGGAATCTGGATATATTACCATATCATCCATACTCGCAAGAGATTCGAAGTCTTCTTACTGCGTGTCGATTCACATTCCCTGGCGTAGAACCAGCCCACACATGCATTATCAACTCATTGCGATGGAGGCGAGACGCAATGCACATGGCCCAGACAGACCCGTCGGCACGTAGCCTGACTCTGTACTATATCCTACCTGTGACATGTCGCATAGTAGGGAGTCGCGACAACGCGGACCTACATATATAAGAAGATGTAGAAGACGTCTACAGCAGTCGTCGTTGACAAGACGTGACCCGAGGAGGACACTATGCCGGAACCGAGCTGGCGTATCGTGCCTGAATCATGCATGGCGGGCCGACTGAACCACACACGCGATGACGCGCCATGCATGCCGACTCTGACTTCGCTCACAGCCGTAATGCTCGTCTTCTTATGTTGGAAACCGGCCACTGCAATGTGAGCCGCGAAGTCTAAGTCCTTTGAGACGTCGAAGGATACAAAACGGTCCGGAGGCCCTAGTCTCAGCTCCAGAACCCCGCATGTATGCTTTGTTCAACTAGAAGTTTGTCAGCTCTGTTTGTCATGCGTAATTCAAGAGGATGTTGGTCTCTCCACCAACGGAAAAGCATTGACTTCTGTCATGTCGATGTGGATCAGGCTTACTTGTTTCGCCTCCACGGTCGCGTATATGGTTTGCTCCAGCCCCCGCAAGAGGTTGCTGTAGCGGCGTGGATCCATGTTCGGATCCCACAGCGACTCTCCAGGACGGAGCGGCATGTACTGCTCGTCGCCCCTGGAGCCGTCAGGAATTGACTTCTTCCTCTCCACCTCTGCAAGATGAAACGGCGGGTATCGCTCGTTGACCCTGGGGGACGGCAGGCGTCGCCTTCTTCACCAACACCTTCTCCGCCTCTTTCACCGCTACCTTCTTTCGCTCCATCTTCTCTTGTTCCGCCTTCTGTCGTTTCATCCTCTTTGCGAGGGTGACCTTGGAAGGCTCGAAGCCGCTCAGGTTGGGGCCCACCGAGTGCTTCGCCTGATCGTACACGAGACGGTTGCCCGTAGGCGCGAACATGGCGCCGGGGTGCGCGGAAGGTTTCCAGTTGTTCATCTGATGTTATGTCAGCGTCAGCTAAGTCGCGGGATGAAGTCTTGCCGCGGCGGAGACGTGTGATGCGGATGTGTCTGTCATCATAAGTCAGTATGTTATTAGGGCTTCATTGAGTTTCTTCCTGAAGCAGATAGGATTGTAGTCATAGGCAGACTGCTACCCCGCTGTCCTGCTTGTATATACGGTCATTCGTCGCCCTAGCCAGCAGGCTACAAGACGATCTCGCGAGCCCGAATTGGAGCCAGAGATGCCTCGAGGACCTCCTGGCTGTGTCGTTCGTGGGTGTGTGGTGTCTCTGGCCCGAAGGTAGGCGCCCCGGCGCTCACAGTGTCGTGGTGCCTGCGGTGGTTCGAGCCAGTCATGCTCGCGACAGTGCGACGGCGGCCTGATTGAATGCCTCGAGGCAACTGCGAGATCCTTGAAGAGCATCGGAAGACTTACGGGTACTTGTGTGTTGGTAGCTGGAGTCCTTGTTTTGGAGGTGGCGTTGGGAGTGGTGCGGTGATTGTGTTAGGTGCACGAAGTAACAGGCAGATTTGCCTGGAAATGCTCGGACGATCTGTTCGCACCTCCGCGCTCACCCCATAACCTTGTACCTTGCCACCTCCTAGGAGCAGTGCATGCGACGCCACTAGCCGCTGATGCCTCCGAGATCTCTCTTGCTCATTGAGCCAGTTCGCCTCTCCGAAGGGAGTCTTCGCATACCGAACCATGTACACTATGCTTCTCGAGACAGTCGGCCGTTCCATCAGCATTAGCTTTGGGCACATGACTGATCGGTCAAGGTGGGGAATGTAGCAAACAGCTAGACCGCCATTCGGTTGTTTGACGGTGCTCGTAGTCACAGAATCAAAGAAGGTAAGGTGGACTCGAGCTCCACAGACTATCCTTAGGAAGCCTACGAGAGTTACTGCTATCACGGAAGCCACGCCTCTGGATCTTCCGACATGGTAGGCCGAGTCACATTCGTGCTCGCATAAATGTGTGGGTACATGGTCCGATGTGTTGTGACTTTCTCAAGTTTACCTCGACCGTTTCTTCGGTGTAAGCTTCCCACACCCCCAGGACTTCTGTCTCTGAGTTTAATATCTATCTGGTCGAAACGGCAGGAATTTACTTATCTAATCTACAATGTGCTCAGGAGCAGTGTTAAGATCATTGAGTCAGCTCGTGTTTTAGTGCTTGTGTGTTTTTGTATAAGACCTGCAACATGATTCCGCGAAGAGACTAGACATAGCACACACATATACATCCCTAGTGAGCCAAGCATGCAGCCGAATCAGCCGCCATACGCGAGGCTGTCTCGCATGTAGTCTAGGCGAGCTGCGACGAAGCCGTTACCCTACAAAACTCGGGCCGACTGGCTTCTCCAACTATACACTATACCAATGATGTTACTTTTTATCCCGTTGAAGATTCTAGGTATAAATCTCTCTGACGTTGTGCTTGAAGCCACCAGAAATTAGTGGCTGTTTAGAGTTAGCGAGACCTACGTCATCACTCCCTGAGTTCCTGCCGTTGTCCACGCGACAACCCGCGCATCTTGGTTATCTCACATGCACGCCCCTCGTGCACATACCTGCAGGAGATCTCCAGATCCCCAGATTTGATTTTCTTTCTTTACACAACATGCACCCGGAATCGTTGTTGTCTAATTCTACCTTTCCCACACTAACAATTGACTGACAATGAACGACCCCGGCCTCGACGAGCCAGCGGGTGAGGCAGCGCAAGATGTTAATAACACAGTCCACGCCGAAGATGAACAGGCTGAGCAGGAAGAGCGGGAATATCTCGATCCAAGTTATGTCGCCCAGTACTTCGACGTCTCTTTGCGTTCGCTGACAAACTCAGCCAATGGTGGTTTGCCTCGACAGCGAGTCCTCTCATAGCAGGCACATTCGGCCCCATCGCCAACGGCTTCTCAATCTGCGCTCTCGTTGAAAAATGGAGAGTGTACATTCCGCCTGGAAGCGACGAGGGACACGGCTCGAAGATTACCGATCCGAAATGGCTTATCGCAGTCAATTCAGTTTCGCTCGTCTTCGCTCTAAGCGCCAACATCAGTTTGCTGCTCAACATGTCGAGGAGATTGACATTTGAGATTGCGCAACCTATCACTATTATCGGCTTCTATCTCGCTGGCTTCCTTTTGATGGCGCTCGTGGGGGTCGCTTCGTCATCTGTGTTCCGGATTCAGCCTATGGAAGAACATGCTCTCAGCCAAGCGTATTACTACGCTATCATCGCTGCGGGTATCTATTTCATCATCGCCTCTCTTATGGCCTTTACTGCTTTCGGAGCGTGGAAGGGTCATTATGCTAGAGACTTCCGACTGACGGCCAGTCAGAGGACGCTGATGCTACAGACCATCGCCTTCATGGTCTACCTGCTTATCGGCGCTCTGATATTCTCTTACGTCGAAGGCTGGATGTTCCTGGATGCGGTGTTCTGGGCCAACTTCACCCTTCTCACGATAGGTTTCGGCGGAGAGTTTGTGCCTAAAACGCATACTGGTCGCTCACTGCTGATCCCATATGCAATTGGTGGTCTAGTCACGGTTGGTTTGGTCATTGGTTCTATTCGATCCCTCATCCTAGAGCATGGAAAGCAAAAAATGGCGGCTCGCTTCATGGAAGTCAAGAGACAAAAGGTCCTCGAGTCCATTGATGGCGACACACAGACGATACGCATCTCGCTGTGGGAGAAGGTCGAGTTCTCCTCGAAAGGCTTAACAGAAGCCCAGAGACGAGAGCAAGAGTTCCACATAATGCGGCGTGTGCAAACATTATCCGAGCGAAAGAGGCGATACACTGCACTAGCTCTATCAACCACAGCAGCAATGCTATTGTGGTTCCTCGGAGCTTTAGTATTCATGTACTCTGAGAAGCCACAAGGTTTCAGCTACTTTGTCGCACTCTACTACGCCTACGTATCGCTTCTGACAATTGGCTACGGAGACTACGTCGTCGAGAGCAATGCTGGAAAGGCCTTCATGGTATTCTGGAGTCTACTCGCCGTACCCACACTCACCATTCTCATCTCGAATATGGGCGACACAGTCATCAAGGCCTTCAAGGACTTCACAATCTGGCTCGGCTCCCTCACCGTTTTACCCGACGAAGAAGGACTGAGTGCCGCACTCAAGGTGGGTTGGACAAGAATCAGATCCGGCAAGATTGGAGAAGATGAGAAGGCGAGCTCTACCGATTCCACGGAAAACCGCACTGAGGACCGGCTGGCAGCATACATTGAAGAAGAAGAGCTGGGCAAAGCGGAAGAGGCAGGCGAGCATGGGGATTATCTAGAACGCGACATCCGATTTTACCACTTTGTTCTCGCAAAGGAGGTCCGCAAATTGATGAAAGATGTCGAAAGCTCATCGTCGAAGCAATACGAGTACCATGAGTGGCAGTACTACCTCCGCCTAATCGGCCAAGACGAAAACGATCCTTCGCACCACCGCCAACCCAAAGCCAGCACTAAGCATGACGACGGCGAGGCTCCTGATATCGGTTCTGCGGACGACGGCAAGAAGCACGCATGGAGTTGGCTTGGCATCCGCAGTCCGCTCATGGGCAACCAGTCCGAGCCTCAATGGTTACTGCAGCGTTTAGCGATGAAATTGGAATCAGAGATGCGCAAGATGAGTTCATCCGACGAGAAGGTGAGGAAGGCGAAACCACCCATCTCCATGGCGGAGTTGAGGAAGAGAAAGGGCAGTGGGAAGATGTCTGAAGACACGCAGACGCGCACTTTGCAGGAGGATGTCGAGGCCACAGCGGTTAGCCAACGTGCTGCCAAGCGAGACTGATGCTGTGAAGGATAGGGGCCAAGGATGTCGATGTGAAGTGCATATACCGGCGTTTGCAGGTAATGATTGCTGATGGGTATACATATATGTTCTACTACCTCTTCCGTACATACATTTTCGGTAGTTTTACTATCCTTCTACCATCCTAAGACATTAGCAATATTTCAATTTTCCCTATGTCTTCTGCAGAAGTCAAATCACTACCCACTCTCTGGCTTGCACCCCCTCCCGGTTTCCTCCACTCCCCACATCATCCCGCCATCGAACCCGCGTCGATCGCCACCAGCGCCCTCCTCGCGACCCTCATACTCATCTTCTTAGCCACATTCCTCATCAAGAAATTGCGAGGAAATTTCCTGGATTCTACGAGCGGATCGCCTTCATCAGAGCACGCAGACAAACACCTCACGATTAGTGGACCACTGGACGATGTACTGCGGCGAAATAGAAACAGAGATAATGTAATGGATCAGCCGGTGCCAAGGCTGTGGTCGGGGTTCTCGAGTTCGAATGAGGATATTGAACGGGTAGGCGTTGGACAGGTGGGTGATGGGGGAGGAAGAGAGGAAGCGGTGGCGGGGGAGAGGAGGAGGAGGGCGGTTGAACTCGCCAACACGCCAGCGAGAATGCCGGATACTGCGCGTAATGCTACTCCAGCATACCCGCCTTATCCTGTTGAATTGGATGTTCTTCCTCGTCCGCCGCACGGCATTCATCATCGTTATCCGGATACGTACGCTGGTCGTCCACCGCCACCCAAGATTCCAATGCCCCAACACAACCTCAACACTCACACCACCAGCTACAACACCACCGATAACAAAGCCTCAAGCTCGCTTCCCCCACCCCTACGCCCCGCACCTCGCAACCCACGCTACTCCTTCGGCGACGACACAACCGTCGTAGGCGACAAAGCCGATGTCGAGACTCTACGCAGCGATCTAAGTTTCCCGGATACGGACTCGGATAATGCGAGTTATGAGGAGGGGAGATGGAAGGGCGGAGATGGGAAGGAGATGGGGTTGGTGGGTAGGCATTGGGAGTGATTTTGTCTTAGAATGATAGGGGGGGAGGAGGAGGAGGAGGGAGATATGATAGTGTTAACGATTGTGGTTGGAATGAATGGGAAGTAGGTGATGTATGTTATCTTAGAATCCCAATAATGTTCTTGACACAGAACAAATTTAATCTTATCATCACTTCAACCGCCCAAAATCAGCCCTAACCTCAACATCCCCCTCCTCCCCCAAAACCTTCCCTCTATCCCACTCCCTCCCCTCCCCCTTCTTCCTCCACACTACATCCTCCTCCCCCATTACATCCCCCCTCTCCCACTTCCGCACCTGATCATCCGTGAACCCCGCTTGCTTGAGTCGATCGGCGCCTTGTTGCTGCCAGCGCGCACGGTCACGCAGCGCTTCTAGTGCATCGCCCCAGTCGTCTTCTGCATCGGAGGCTGGGCGCACGTCGGTGCTGGGGTCGTAGGTAGAGGAGAAGCGTGATTCGATGCCGCCGCTTTGTGATTTGTACGCGTTGCGGCCCTTGGAGCGGACGGGCGGTGAGCGGGAAGGGGGCAGGGGGCCTACGATGGCTTCGAGAGGGTCAGAGGAGGAGGATGCTGGGGAGGGAGAGCGTTTGTTGGGGCGGCTGGGTTTGGAGTGTTTGGAGGTGGTGGGTTTGCGCTTTGGGCTGAGGGAGTGGGTTCGGTCTCGATGTCGGCTGTGTTTTCCGTGCTTTGAAGAATGGGGTGATCGGGATCGAGAAGCTGTTCGCGAGTGTGACCTGCGCCGCTCGTGCCTGCGATCTTTGTCGTCTCTTCCCCGCGGCTTGTAGCGTTCTTGCTCTTTGCTGTATTTATTCTTGGGCGCTTTGTCCTGAGGCGACCTTGATCGTCTCCGTTTCCGTCTGGAGTTGTCTTCCTCTTCACTATCGTGTCTCCTCTTGTGCCAGTGTCCATCTCTGCTTCTATCTCGATGCCGGCGAGATGATGTGCCCGTGGAATGGTCACGTTTTCTATCTCCGCGCTTTATCTTGTGCCCACTTTCATCATCTGTGCGACCCTGTCGTCTGCTCGATTCTGCGTCCGGTCGGTTGATGGCGCTTTCTGATGGCGCCAACCGTCCAGGATTATCTGCGCTCTCAGCATCGTTTCGGCTTGGCGCCCATGCATGCCCTTGTCCGTTCGCCTTCCTCTTCTCGCGGTCCATCATCCTAAGTCGGGCGCGAGACTCGGCGGCCTCTTTGGCAAGGAGCGCAGAGTTGTGGCTATCAGTCTGTCGGATGAGGTGTTGCAGGAAGCCCTTGTTCGGCCTGGGTGCGCGAGATTTCATTCTACAGCAGATTAGTACGAGCAGTCTCATAGTGGAGTGCTCATGTACTTTCAACGCTCATGCGACTGCATAGCGTGTACGGAGGCTCATGACGCACCTCGGATTGAAAGCATCAATGCCAACGAGCTCGTATTTCTTGGTCGCCTTCTTTGCGTCTTCTTTCAGCAGCTCTGCGATGTACGCGTCGTCGTCTAGGTCCTTGGCCATGGTGGGCGACTGTTGTTGGGGTGGAGAGGAAGGGTCTCAGAAGTCTGACCTTGCGCGATGCCTGGCGGCCATGTGAAATCATTCCACGCGGCGGGCCGTGCTAGCTGCATGCGGTAGTCGCCGCGGGGAACTCAGCCCTACGCGGGCATTCGCGATCCCAAACAAACATTCAATCCTTCAGTCCGTATACAACAAACACAATGGGACCTAAGCGGAAATCAGCGGCGCCAACACCAGCCGCAGTGTTGGAACAGTTACAGCAGTCAAAGTCACTCAAGCTCCTGGCTATTGCGGAAACACTATCGCCCAAGGATCTCCCACAGGCCGCGAAGAAGCGCAATTCGGCGGCGTCGGAGGACAGCGAACAGAATGGCGACACTCATCCGGCAGCCCTCGAGGCTGATCTACTACATTACAAGGTATGCACCCTCACAACACCACCAGAGAGACATGTCTAACATGGTTCGCAGGAACTCTTCAGCAAGCTACGCTTCAGCTACGTCGAACAGGTCACCAAGGAGAAGTTCCTACGCAGCATAACGGAGAACCCGCCCCGCCTGGTCGACGCTCACGAGAACGACGAGAAGGAGAAGGAGATACTGGGTCTCAAGGCAGAGCTCAAGGAGCGCAAGTTGGAGGTAGCTGATATCCTGAAGCAGCTGGAGGACAAGGGGAAAGAGCTCGCACTACGCTACGAGGGTCTTCAACTACGCACACAACAGCTTGAGTCACTTCCAAGTGAGATCGCAGGCCTAGAAGCGAGCATTGAACAGTTGAAGCACGAGCAAACGCCAGTCTCAACGAACCCTGAGCTGTCTCTCCCACTTCCAGAAACTCAGCGAGTACTCAGCGAACGAGAGGCGGAGCTCGCAGCCCTGAATGCGCAGATCGCAAGTCTGCAGGCTACCATCCCGAACCGAACCAGAGATCTGGAGAAGCTGGAGCGCGAGCTGAGGCCACTGGAGACGCAGAAACAGGGAACCGTGGCGGCAGCTAAAGAGGCCCGGAGACGGAAGGAAGAGGGCGGTGGAATCGGAGATGAACTAGAAGAGAGAGGAAGATGGCTCCGAGCGTCTGAAAAGGCGCTAAGGGAGATGTTGGATGTTGAGGGATGACGTCCTTGCGGTGAGCGGGTGTGATGTGCTTGTTACGGCGTTATGGACTCGAGATACCACTGCTTGAAACGAATTTTCTCTCTGCGCAATCTAACCCGTGCCTAATGCACCTGCGAACACGGTGCTTGAACATGTCCCCTAGGGCCCTAGTGACGGTTCGCCTCACTGCCAACGCATCCGCGCCCAAGAGCAGACTGCCGGACTAATCAATCGGCCTCGGAAACCAGAAATTCGAGTTGTTTTAGAATCTGGGCGGCTGGGTGCAGGGGTGCGGCGCGCTGTGGTTGGCCGGCCCCAGCCACTCACCGCCAGACGGCCTATCGATTACGTTGCCAGGCCATTCGACCCATAAACATGCGGCTGGTGGAGCCCTCGACGAGCTAATTGAGCTGGCTACCGATTCCATCCTTTCGTGACATCTGCAGCTGCAGTACCTCAGAGAAGACTTTCGCACCCTGCAGTCCTCGGAAACCGCTTCTTCCCAACGACGTCCAAGTGCACGGCGCCAGGAGCTGACGTTCCCCCACCACCGCGAGCTGTCCAACCGGACACGCTCTACACGACCACACCACTATACCACCTCGTCCCGGCCTGCGTCTACCTGCCTGACAGCGCGAGCCTCACTTTCGCTATTCTTACGCCAGTCACGACGTTACGACTCTCTGTTTCCACGTATTGTTGCTTGCTTGCGTTGTTAGCGAGAATCCGGTTTTCTGTCGTTACCTCGTCCGTCAGCCTGGTGTGTTTAACGACTTACGCACCTACTTTACGACTGTTTCTGGAGGAATTGGCCACTGAGCGGGAAACGGAACATTATTGCGATCATGTCGAACCAACTCTCGGACCCGGGGTCGAGCGTCTACGACTCGGCCACGATGCATGTGGGAGATGGCACATGGGATTCGCAGCGCAACACTTTTCTGCTGCCCAACTTGCAGGCCCCGAACTTTGAGACGATGCGATTGAACGGTAAGAAACTCTGCCATTAGAAGAAGACTACAGGAACTAACTACTCAGGCATGGGCAATCGCTTTCGCAGCATGGCCAGCTACAAGGCTCTCATCACCGCCCACGGCGTGTTGGCAGTCATTGCCTTCCTATTCGTAATACCGGCAGCTGTCTTCATGGCTCGCTTCTACCACCGCAACCCACGAACCGCCTTGCGAGTCCACATCTGGTTGCAGGTAGCAGCAGTCCTTCTTTCGACGGCTGCCATCGTCTGCAGCTTCCAAGCTGTTGGCCTCGAGAGGTCTCTGACCAACCCTCACCACGGCATCGGCGTTGCGCTATATACCCTTGTCATGGTCCAATTTCTCGGTGGCGCTCTCATTCATAAATTAGAAAAGGGCAAGGAGCGATTCAAGATCCCCCTCAAGCTTATGGTAAGTAAGCAACATGCGCAATTGCAACAAAGACTAACGTTTATAGGTTCATCAATGGCTAGGCCGTACGATTGCACTGCTTGGACTTGCACAGATACCCCTTGGCCTGACACTATACGGATCACCACTGGCCTTGTTCATCCTTTTCGCAGTGTGGACTTTCATCCTAGTGATCCTCTACTTCGTTCTTTCCTACAGGACCCAGCCCGAGATGGACTTTGATGATCGTAGCACCTACATCACCGACCGCTCATACAGTACCAGGATAAGCCGACGCACGAGTAGAGGCCCTGGTGCTGGAAAGCTCGCAGCAGCAGGAGCAGCCGGTGCAGGTTTAGCCGCCCTGGGTTCAAGAAGATCCCGAAGCCGCACCCGCAGCAGGCACGGTGGCACAGTTCTTAGTTCCCGACCCGACTCTCGGTCCCGCCGTGATTCCCGCTCCCGCGTTGCCGAATCTGAGTTCACTGAATCCTACTTGAGCGACGAGAAATACGGTGCCGATCGCAACAAAGGTTCCACGTGGAAGGACCGTCTCCTAGGAGCCGGGGCCGCAGCTGGAGGTATTTTCGCCGTCAAGAAGCTATTCAATCGCAAGCCAAAACATCCTCCGACCGAGACAGGGAGCGACTTCAGTTACAGCCGCCCCTTGGGGCCGTCCGAAGTCACTCAGACCGATATCTCCAGGCTCGAAGAAGGAAGGGCACCCGAATCTCCAGCAAACCGTCGAAACGACTGGCGTCGAGACAACCCACAAGCATCGGCATTGTCTGGAAGTGCTATGCGACCAGGTCACCGTCCAACTGGAAGTGTTACCTCCATTGACTCTTTCGACAGTCGGACAAGCCTCAGCGAAGAGACTGAGATGAGGCCTAGGGATCGACAGTATGGACTCAAGGAGGGTGTTGCTACGATGGGAGTCGTTGGTTTCCTGAAGCACTCTCTGAGTAAACGCAGCAAGAAGAAGGAAGACGACCGTGTGGAAGAAATGAGACAACAAGATCTGGAAGAGGAACGAGTCGCTCGCATGAACAGCCAACGCCGTAAGAAGTATACGGGTGATGGAGCACCTCCAAGGAGAGGCAACCGACCGCCGTCCACTATTCTGTCTGAGAGCGATATGACCGGCATCACACCCTCGGTAGCGCAGCGCCCATCTCGACCCATGGATTCCACCGTCACGCCCAACCCTAGCCGTCCCCCTCGCGCAGGTGTTTACAGTGTCCTGTCAGATTCTGGTTCCGAAGCTTACGACTCACCTGGAGGTCGTCACCACAGCCGACGTCGCACAGGAGACGCTCCAATAATACCTGCTGGTGCAGCTGCGGCAGCTACAGTCACTTCTGCCGGATCGCCTACCAAAAGGGAACGCCGCGGCAGTAGAGACGACGTGGCCTCCCCTCCTGTATCCGTCAAAGTCAAGATGCACAACGACGGTCGCCACGTAACCCTCCGCCGCCTCAACGAAGAAGAAGCCGCCGCAGAACGCGAAGCCCGCCGCCGAGATCGCCAACGAAAGAATCGCACCGGCAGCGTAAGTTCCATGAGCGGCGTAGGCGGCGACCGCTGGCGCAGAACCGAAGCCATGGAAGCTGCCCAAGCCGCTGAAATGGCCCAGCAATCTGGCGCTCCTCCTCCTCCAATGCCCATGCCCAGCTCGAGCACCCTCCGCATGCCCGAAGCTACTATTCCTCCGCCCCCACCTGGCCCTCCACCCATGTTCGGAAATGGCCAACAGCATCTAGCACCTGATCAAGCCAATTTCCCTCCTCCGCCCCCTATTCCGGCTGCGGCAGATACTGTCCTCAGCAGCCCCGTCTACGGCACCGAAACAGATCTAAGTAACTACGACTCCAACAGGAGAAGGCGAAGAGCAGAACGTGCACAGGCTAAGCAGGCGAGGTTAGGGGGGAGTCGTGTTGAGTTCTCATAATCGTGACGACTCCGCGGTTTGGAGGTGATGAGATGAAACAGAAAAGGTTTGAAAGCATGGTCGTTTGCGAGTTGCATTTCTCTGGCGTTTGTGAGTTGCTGAGCCTGTTCTGATTGTTGATATTGTTTTTTGGCCTGGCCTGCTTGGCTTGGGCTGATTGAAGCGTTATGGCATGGCATGTTTACGTTGTGAGACTGGAATTGAAATGGATGATGAGAAGAGTAAATAGAATGAGCATAGTTTGTGTGGCTTTTGTATAAATGTATCCGTACGCGCTTTGGCGTTGTAACAGTTTTTTTCTTTTGGGGTTGAGTACTGTGATGCTGTGGCGTGATGGTGTAGTTTGGTTTGTGAGGGTTGGTGTAGTATGGTGAAGGGAGTCGTGGTGCGAAGGAGGTGGGAAGGGAGATGTTGTGCGAGTTAGTGTGAGGGACTGGTGACATTGAGTGATGTATGTACCATGTTGTAGTTTGGTTCGTGGTATTTGCTTTGTGTGATATGGTACGGTACGGTGTGGTGTGATGGAGGAAGTGGTGGAAACGCGGTGTGTATGAAGTGCTGTGTGCGTTGGTAGTTTCAGCGAGTAAGAAACTGCCCCTTTGACTCAGACTGGGGCCTGATCTTGTTTCGGTTTGGAATGGGTTTACGACACGAATTGTATCGTCCCGGAGAGTCAGAAAGGCCTGGACGACGTGAGCTTCTGTAAAGATGTGATCGACTTGTGGAAGATACTAGGTTTTACGATGGTAGATTGGTAGGTAGATTAGTAGGTAGCTAGAAAACAGCTTTAGGGGAAAAGGTGGGGGGTGGTTTGGGGATGTGAAGCCGGGGTAGAAAGAGGCTCTGACCAAGTATGTATTTGGACAAGCTGAGTTGGAGTATGTATGCTTCTCACTATCGCTACCAACAAAAGTGTATCTATTCGCTCTATTGTCTTTCTATGCCTCATTGTGCCGCTTCATCGGGTTGTCTAGGTACTCTATTCTAAAACGTCTACCTAGGTACGTCTCACTTTCTTGAACTGCTCCAAGCGGTGCGGACGTCGGAAAGGCGATCGATAAGAGAGGTATGCGCGACCTACTCTTCAAGCAACAAGTCCGCGTTGGACATGTCCTATATTCTTGTACATTGTTAGTCCGTCTATCTGATACTAAGACCAAGTGTCGCGCCTACTATCAAAGGGGTCAAGAGTCAAGAGCAGTTGCTATAAACTCAAGATATTTCCTTTCCAGGGAACCGCGGCTCTCCTTCCAAGAAGCTCTCTTATCGAACCACAGCATTCAGTACTACCAGCAAACTATACTTTAGAACATTCTTTTTAATAAGAGGTTCTAATTTTGTACACATCTTTATTAAATCCTCTCATATCTATACGAGTTACGCAAGCCTCGATAAAGCGTATATATTATTGAAAAACACACTAGATAGTACATTATCAAAAGAACTAGGAAACGTACCGCCAAGGAAGACATTCAACACTCTCTTCTAGTATGCAATCGCTTTGCATACATGTAGCTAGTAACCGTAATTAGACATTACAAACCCCCACGCAGACATCGTCAGCATGGACATCTTCACCAATCTGTTTGCCCGGTTCTGTCGCCCTTCTTAGTCGCAAGCCCAACCTTCTCAGCTCACGCTGCTCCGCAGCACTGCCTCAAGTCCCACCCTTGCCTCATAGAAGACCATGCATATATCCAAAGCATGCGACACTAAGACTCTGCATGACCTCTTCCTCCTCGCTTGGTAAGCGACGCCGCGGAACACCTCTGCAAGTCATCACCACAGCTCTACCAAATCTCCGTATGACCTGTCTATACTCGCTTGACAAGCCACGCTGCGTGTGAACGCCTCTACAAGGAATCCCTTGTCTCCAGTCCACCCGTGTCTATACCCTGTTCACATGCCATGCGCTCGCTCTCGGCCCGCATGCTCACCGGCGACGTGGTCAAGCAGGCAGAAGAAGAAGCGCCTCATCGAGCAATTCATGCACGGATGTGTTATATCCAGTGTCTAAAAGTTATTTCCGCGGCTCCGCTAGCGGAAGTCCCCTGCATTAATGTGGAATTGACGTAGAATCTTCGACGGAAAGGGAAAAAAGTATGTAGTGACTGCAGCTCCTAGTGCGTCGGATAGGGGCGAATGTGGTAAGTGGAGATGGGCGGGAAAGAGGATGTGTAGAGTGGCTGTGCCGAAGACGCCGAAGGCGCCGAAGATGCCGATGGAGACGTCTTGGTTATTGCTACGTACCGAACAAGACGTTGTAATGATTGCTTCATGTCGTGTGGGCTGAACATGGTCGCCTGCTTGAATGGAAGGTGGCGAGGCAGCGGAGAAGAGCGAGGTGTTGAAGCTACATCGACTTGATTGACTCAACTCTTACATCTCTCGTTCTTCTCCTTATCTCTGTATCCTACTTGCAACAACCATTCGCGCATGAAGACAGGTTCTGTTACGCTCACATCCCGTTGGTCTGTGTGCAGTCACACAAATTTAATCTCCGCGGAGGCAGGTAGACGGGGACACGGGAGATGGAGCCACGGCATGGAGCCAAGAAGCAAGCAACGGTGGTGCAGCGTCGGCAACAAGGTCTAAGGATTTAGTGTAGGTGGTGACTGGGGGAATATATTGGAAGATTGAAAAATTGAGATGCATGGAACAGGCGAGAACGCAATGACGACAGCATCTTGCAGAAGAGGAATGCTGACAACGTGGCATTTGAACGGTGAAGTGAAATCATCGGTATGTGAATGTGACACTTCTGGTGATATTGTTTGATTGGCTGGGACGTTTGATAGGAAATTCATGGTCGACTTTGAAGTTGATGGGCTGGAATATAGAATGTGTGATGTCATGCTCATCGTCTGTAACGGGTGTGGACTTGCTACAATTGGCAGTCAATAGGCTATTGCTCTGTCCTCTATCAGTGTCAGAAAAGAAAATACTATACCAGATAGCAAATGACACGATATATGCATGAAATTGTTGGAAAATATTGGTGGTGATCCAATGAATGCCGGTTCTCATACACTACCATCGCAAATGAGTACCTAACGTGGAATAAGATCATCAAGCAGCATCCAGGTAAGATCTCCATACACGGCAGTGCAGTTCCGTGAGTATGTGTAAGAGTGAGGTCGGTTTTGCATCTGAATATGCAGCGTAGATTACCTAGGTACTTGATCCGACTTTCAGCCACATCATTCTGGTGACCCGCCAATGCGGGGCCGCACATCCATGTGCAGTGAGACCTACGGAGTTCACCGATCAGAGCGCAACAGAACGTTTCCGCACCTCCATCGCTTGGACAAGATTCGGCTCAGCGCATATGTCTAGGAAGGTGAAGGATCCAGAGGCTTTACTGGCATGTATCGATAAGACCCTGAACGGGAGAAGGCGATCCGCGCTTCCGGATCCTTGGGGACGGACATGCGCTTGTGGCACACCGATTGCAGTAGATCCCTCGCATTCGAGCGCAAAGAACGATTACGCTGAATCTCTGCATATTCTCGGGACACGTCTGAGTGCCGACTGGGACGGACAACTGGACCGTGGCTGCACTTACTGGCTGCAATATGATGATCAAGTGAGCCTCGGGTTACGATTCCCTTCGCAACTGCAGCTCTTGCGATCGCGATGCGCATCCCCAGCCGCGGCTTTTGAAGTACACGAAGATCGAGCTTGGCCAAGCCGGACATGATTGGGCCAGGCGTTCCCGACAACGCAAGGCACAAAAGCAAAAGCGTCGTCACGATTAACACCGCGAACCATCGAGGCCAGGATCACAAGACCTTTTTCAATTGCAACGCTGGACGTTTGCAGCCTTGCACAGCGACGGCGCGCGCGTCCGGTGTAATGGTGCATGCACATCCCAGCCATACGACGTCCCGAGATTCAAGCCGGTCTGAGGTATGCCGCTGCAAGACGCACAATGGCGTGCAGCAAAAGCAACACGTAGTGTGGTTCTAAGGACGTCTGAACCGCGGTTTTATTCTGCCCGGGCAGCAAAGCTGAATCAGCGGTTCAAGGGAGACTCCGCACCAATGAGAATGAAGTGAAGTAATGAGCATCGTCCCGATGTCGCAGTGGATCAGATGATAGATTGCGAAATGAGCATCCGTTCCGTTGTCGCTGCGCAGCAGAAATGTCGCATCGCATCTTACCGCTGCATGCCGTGCGTTCCATTCCACATCTGTATAATATTGAACAATAATAATTTGTGCAGCTAACCAGGGAGCGAATGGGAGCATCCGGGGATGTACAACTACCACCGCCTGGGATTCATGTGCCGCACACGCCAACCGAGTACGAGTCAGCGGTCTTTTTAACCGCCAATCAGCTCCTGCAGGCGTCTTAGTCAGCTGCGCCTACCACATGCGACGTAGCGCGAATGATTGATGCGACGACCTGCAAGTCCGCTGAACGATTGCGATGCTCACATGACTGACCCGAAAGCCGAGACCTTTTGCATCTCCAAGCGCCCAGGGAGGGGAAGGATGCCCCATTTCGTAGAGCCCGGCGATCGGTTCCTGATCACTCGGCGTGGTCATCACTGGGATGGCAGCGGAGTGCGAAACGTAGCGCTGTGGAATTCGGTCCGACCGGAGAGAAGCATAGACGAAGGAGTGCAAAAGGGTGGAAGATACCGCTGCATGGGAGGAGCATGGAGTAAGTTGGTATAGTCGCCACTTTGCTACAAGAGGAGTAGGGGATTAAAGTTTTTTTTGCAAACGATGGGACCCCCATGATCGAGCGTCACGACGTCGTAGACCACGTTGGGCAATTGGGCCAGCTGTAATTGCAGCAAATCTCAACAATGCTAATGCTCAAACCGCCAGTCTCAGACCCAGTGCGTGCGCTGTACCAAACTATGCCCAAGACCTCGCAATACTAACGTGTCGTGCGCGACAGCAACGTACGACTAATCGCGCAATGCCTCTGTGTGTTGCAAGGGCGGCAAAGGCCACCGGATGATAGCGAACTCTAAGACGGCGACGCATTCTTAGACGGCGATGCATTCTCACCATGGAGACTAAGTCTGACCCTTCCCTTGGGTTCACGGTCCATCTGATCACGTCGCGCCAAGCCTTTCCGTCGCCGTTGGAGACATGGCCTTTCGTACCAAGACAGGAACGCGCAATCGACTTTCTTCTCGAAAAGACCAAGCCTTTTACTCTCCCTCCCACGAGGCTGACCCGTCCCTGATCCCCAGGGTCCCATCAACGCCTCCAGCGCCAGAACCGCGACATGGTCCACCCCCGTCCCCGGCCGGCTGTCACTCATTGCTCGGAGGAAACTTTTGCGAAAAGCGCCTAAGCAAACGCTCCGACGTTAGACGGGCCGACCCCAGAGATAAAGCTTGAGAC